AATAGGACTGAGCTTCAGAGTCCCTGGCTTCCAATCTTCTCGAGAGGGGATTCCCTTGAGTCTCCGGAGCAACGTCGTTTTTGAGACCTTATAGTCTCTCGCTGCCGCTGCTACGGAGCGGCTGGCACCTGATCTGACAGCTGACATCGCAAGCAATAGACTCCCCTCTTTTAGGGACGATTGCACGCGTTTTGGTGTAGCCATTGCGTGTTGAAGTTGACGCGTTGTTGTGTTCAAAATTGTGGACCGCGTTGGGGTATGGACCGCGTTGGGGTTCCCCGCGTTAGGCAGACCGAAATTATGTAATAATACACACACGTGTGCCGGCGGTCAGTTGTAGTGCACAATAGACTACGCGGGGAAGAAGCGCACAAGAACTCACACCAAACAGCCTGCTGCAGTACTAGGTAGCTGACTGGAGAATCCTCATCAGTCCACATGTCCGCCTGATCCAGCCCTGGAGTCGAACGAATCTCCATTACCCACCTGCTCGAAGCCTCGCTGAGCCGCTGGAAGCACCGTCTACATTCGATCGAATCCTCAATGCTGCTTCAGTGCACAAGCATCAGTCTGCCTGCTTGAACAATTTCGGCTTTTTTGTCCCGTAACGTCATGGCAAGGTCCGTGCCGTGAAGCATTTCATCCTGCACGAATAGATCTGTCCTGCTAGCTCGTCCTGCCATTTCTTTGGGCGTGATCGGGTGGCACTACCTTTGACAGGGTGAAAGCAGTACACAATCTACCACCTGGAATCATACCTGTATGTGAGAGGCATCATTATGCGCTTCCATATGCAAGTGCCTTTCATGTCTTCTGAGCTGCGACGTTGCGCCGTTAGAGACTGATGGCCACCACTCATATGACAGCCGCCTCAAGTTACCCTCTGCTGACTCCATCGCACAAGCCGTCCGGACTCGAACCACTAAAGCGCTGACTGGTGGATCCTGAGCACGTAAGCCGATATTTCTGGCGATCCACTCCAACGAACGTATCAATCAGATCAACAATTGCTTTCGCTTGACGAGAAGGGATCTTTCATTCCAACTATCGCTCGCAATATCCAATCTATCTCGACTCACGTGATCGGACCAAATCATCTCTGAGTGGATTCTCCGAGATATTCGACTGCTGTCAAAGAAATAAACGTGCTGAGGTTCCCGCCAGCTACCACACCCAACCAGGCCCGACCACAGAATCAACTCAAGGTGCACCTGAGGGTCTACTATCGGCTACACTGGACTACGTGACTGGATGTAGCCACTTTGATAGCCCTTGGGAGTTACATGTTGTAGCTGCGATTCGAAGGTCTAGCGAAGCCGGCATGCTATGGCAACAGTCCCCTTTCGTATGTCGGGAGATGCCAGGAGATATACCTCTTCTTCCTCGTCATCCAGCAACCGTCTTGAAAATCGCCAACCACTGAGCACGACATTATGCCGTAACGGCCCACAGTGCCGCAAATATCAGGAGGGTACGTTTTCGAAATGCCGGATGATCAGCGATTCGGGCTGTGCTGCTGACACTCTGCACATAGGAACTTGTAACTTCAATCATGATTTCACAACATTGAACCAAGATATTCTTAGCATGTAAGTCTGATACAACTCATGTTCATAGAGATGTGCTGACTTGTGGAAGGTCCAAAAAGTCACTGACTGTCGAGTCGCCGGCCTTTTTGCCACGATCAGGCAACGTACAATCTGCAGCGGCAGTTGGAATAACGCCGAAAGCAGTAGCCGCGGCTGCCTTTACCCCACGAGGTTCAGGTAGAGAGCATCACGAAGTGGTACAAGAATTGTACGCGTTCTGACAAACTTTACAGGAACTGTAACCCCCGCCGTCATATCACACAATAAAGAGCCATCCGGGGACATGATGCATCAGCAGGCCTTTCAGCCGACTCAGGCATTTGCTGAGTTCATACCAGGACAAAACTTCCTGACAACCACGCCCCAGGTAGGAAATCACATCTCTTTCAATTGAAGTTGCGCTGACTTAAATGCAAGCTTGACGCACAGCTGCAAGCGCAAATCGGTGCCTACAATGACCCTTTCATGACACAATCGGCGCTGCATGGTCTGTCAACCGCGTCGGTACAGGTCAATCCATACGCACAAACAAACGCCGAGGCCGCAGCCCCACAATTCTATCAAGACGCTTCGAGTTACAAATATCCATTGAACTACCATCTCTACACACCCATTGGGCCGCAACGAGCAAACATCCTTCCCTATCAGCGAACTGCGGCGGACTTTTTCATTCCGGACGATCTCAGAGAAGATCTACAAAGGAAATCGGAAGCTGCGCTCCAGAGCTTTGCCAACAGCACACTTCCTCAGACTGTCGAATACTTCCATTCTCTGGTGGCACTTGACACGGGTCAGCAGAAAGGCGCAGCGACTTTTGGATATTCAAGCTGGGTCTATAAGGCTACCTCGTACCGGGATGGCCGCATCTATGCTTTGCGGCGCCTAGAGGGCTTCAAACTATCTAATGCACATGCCATTCGCTCTATTCAGGCGTGGAAGCGCATCATCAGCGCCAATTTGGTGCAGGTCCATGACGCTTTCACCGGACGATGGTTCGGGGACAGTTCACTCGTCGTCGTGACTGATTATCACCCCAGATCGCAGACACTGGCGGAAAAGTATTTTGCACCCGGCAGAAACGTACGCCTGCCATCTCAACATATCGAAGAAAGTGAGCTCTGGGCATATCTCGTCCAGTTGGCGAACGTTTTGAAGACGATCCACGAAGCTGGCCTTGCTGCACAAACGATTACGCCCTCCAAGATTCTTGTGACGTCCAAGGGCCGCATTCGACTCAACGGCTGCGGGATCTTCGACATTCTGAACTTCGAACAAAGACAAGCGCCCCACGAGTTGCAGCGAAATGATCTCACTAGTCTCGGCAGGCTGGTGCTCAGCATTGCAGCCCGTAGCATTAATGCAAATGCGAACACAACCCGATCACTGGAACAAGTGGGCAAGACGTATGGCGAGCGCCTTAAGACGTGTCTCCAGCGACTCGTGCTACAAACTTCCGCGACGCCTGGCGACCAGTCTGGCCAGTCAGGCGAGTTTACCGTACAGTCACTTTTGACCAACATCGCAGACAAGGTCATGAGCACCCTCGATAGTGCATTCGAGGAGAATGACCAGACCACAGCTGTTCTCATGCGCGAACTCGAGAATGGCCGGCTGGTCCGACTCCTAGCGAAGCTCAATATTATCCTAGAGCGGCCGGACACTAGCAGCACGCCTATTGCTAGCAACAACCCAGCGCTTCTGAACCAGCCCGGTTCTGCCTGGTCCGAGACGGGCGAGCGCTACTACCTCAAACTTTTCCGTGACTATGTCTTTCACCAGGTGGACCACGAAGGACGTCCAGTTCTCGATCTTGGCCACATCATCACCTGTTTGAATAAGCTGGATGCTGGGATCGAGGAGAAGATCCAGTTGGTCAGCCGAGACGAGCAACATGTCTGTGTCGTAAGTTACAAGGAGGTCAAGAGAGGCTTCGAGAGTGCCTGGCAGGAGATCCACAAGGCCGGGAACCCGACGAGGAAATAGGGTTCCCTCGATCGAATTCACGAGCCCTTGATGCATCGAGCAAAGAGCGAGACGTGTCTCGTTGCGCGCGCGAAATCGTGCTTGAACATTGGAACACACGGTGCAAACGACAATTATCAGATCGCCAGCGCCGGCGATCTCCTGTAGGTATCGCGGAATCATAGAGAAGGGGCTAAAGCTTTGAAGGTCGCCCTCGACTTGTGTGTAGACTCTTACTGTTGTCGTTGGATTTGGTCGCACTGCTTGCCATGGTACACTTTTCTGAGTACGCACACATACATAGCACACCTGCACACAAGAAATCATATATTTGAATTCTACCTTTTTCTTTTCCCACGATATATATTCCGCACTCGATGACCAGTCATTGAGACACCAACGCACGAGCCGACCAGTCAGCTGGCTCTCAAGTCCTTCGTTTGACGATGACACCAGCAGGTGTGATCAAACGACGCTCATGTGGACATTGATGATCTCGAGGGCTGCTATTACGCAAGGCGAGCTTAGCAAATACCAATGGCGCTGAATGTGGATGAACGATGCTGATTCTCTCTATTCTGATATCGGATAATCTTCCCTCCGGCCATTTCGACGTTCGATGTTGAGAATCTGCCCTTCGTGAATACCAGTGTTGGGCTTTCCAGTACGCTGGGTCTCCCGCTGCTTCGATGCGTTGAGCGCGAAAACATGCGAGGGCGTTGAAACGTCCTGCCGCTGACATGATGAAACTCTGTGTGATGGCAGTGGTGTGGCCGGCAGCCCAACACCTCGTGTTGGAAAACTTCGGACCTTGAGAGGGTCGTGTCTAGGTCACGTACGCAAGGTGGGTCTGATCACCCAAGTAGTCCCATTGAACGACAGAGCCAAATCTACTGTAGAGTGATCATACTGTATGTTGAATTTCTATGACTCATGATCTTCTCCTACTCTGATCTCACAAGCAACGACAAGGCGCTTCATCATCGGGCTAGAACGTGCCATGTGTCACTTCTTCTGATCGGATGACAATTTGATTGATGAAGGTGAAGACTTGGGACAAACCGTTGTTGATCGGGGACCGTCCGGATGGCGCTGGCGAGATGTGCCGGCTGATGACAGGCCCGTTCATACAGGGCGGACAGGGAGCAATGCCTCAACGCGAACCATTCGGGGACAGGTCCACCGTTCCTTACTGTCGCGTCGTTGAAAGATCGAAGACCCATGTTGACGCTGCCGCAGGACCAATTCGTTGTTTGGGTGATGTATGTCCGCGTGTGAGAGGCATGCCAGTGCATGCCTAGATACATGGCACACAGTGCTCAAGGCCGTGCATTGCAGAGCCTGAACCTAGTGCGATGGCGTGTATGCGTAGGGAGTACAGAGGTAAATGCACAGCAAAATGCTACATACATTGGAAAGTCCGTCCTTCAAGTAGATACTGTAGTATTACCTACGGGAAGAGATCGTGCCCACCTGGGCATGAAGGGCGGTCGGCGGACATGGTGCCAGCTTCGTCACATTGCACGCGCATGAGCACCCGCCAAACCATCTGGGCAGTTGCCAAAAAGAGGGCAAGCTTGCTTGCTCACTTGCCACCGGCGCTGTCCCCGTGGTCATCAGCCTTGATGAGATCGGGCTTATCATACAGATGCAGTATGGCATGTCGACAAACAAGGAAGGGAGAAACACAACCCTACACTACGATGAGAGCGACGGCGATGCGTCTGGAAAAGGTCGCCGTGCAGATACTCGAAGTGGAATGCCGCAAGCCTGCAGGCCACCTGCATCACGCACGAGGATTTTTTTGGGATAGCCGACCAGCAGCTTTGCAAACTTCAATCCGGTGTCCGGGAACTGCGCTGACCATGCAGCATTCTACTGAGAAGTTTGCCGTGCTTGTCTCTCCTTGATTTGTGTGCCCTTCTGCGGTGAGGCAAACAAACATCGGTGTCAGTCCCCTTGCCCTTCATCTTAATCGTGTCTCAGGAGGCTGAAGCGACCGGGCGCTGAGACATCGAAGAGAGGGCTTTCCCTGTGAGAGAAGCGAATGGCAAAGCCCTGTCCCACGAGTCAAGCCACAACGGGGAGATCGTCATTTGCGAAAGCAAAGTGACCGGCGTGCATGTATACAGGTACTACTATATAGTAGGTATGTACACAACCTGGGAGTTGTTCCCAGTGGCGAGCTCTCCAAGAGGCGGCAATGCGATTGTGCGGAGCAAGGTGGCAGTATCAGAATAGAGTAATAATGAAGAGCGTACGTCCTGAAGCACGCGAATGGATGCAGTTGGGATGATAAGCCATCGGACTGTGTATATTCGGACACAACGCCAGGGCGTCATTCTCACAGTGCTTTGAGTTACGTACAGAAATGTACAGTCTCGGCAGTACACAACTTGAGATGCGAAAAGAGGAGAAAGAAAAGCCAAATGTGAAGCAGGTTGCGGTGTGTGATGGCGAAACGCCGCCGCCGACAGGCAGGGCAAAGCGACGACGCCGTCTCCTGCAGCAAGCAATCCCGGCGCCATCCTCACCATTCCTCTCAGCGCCTGCATGGAGCGAGTTGGAGAGCTGGGATGAGAGGACCTGTGCACGGGCCGCAACGAACAATGGAAGATCTTGGATTCCCCGTCACACTGTCTTAATAATGTGGTGAGCTCCATGATATAGCTACCTAGGTATCCATAAATATGTGAATAATGAACAAAGCAAAAGAGCAGTTGGGCTATGATCATAAGGATTCTTACATTACGTTGGATGCACCACACCGCGACCACCTGCGATAATCGAAGGATCCCAGAAGGACGGAATGCTCGTCATTCGCACAAAGGCAGCGGCGGCGGGATCGACGGGAGCGGCGCCGTTGTGGTGTCGACGTGCATCCCGCAAGCAGGCCATCGAGGTCTGCAACAACTTTTGTGAATGGAAAAATACCACTCTGAAAGACCGTTCAGTTGTTGACAAAATTATGAAGCAGGAGACGCATGCACGGGCGGAGTGACTTTCTTCAACGACAAATACAAATGATGTCGCAGTCCCTCCGTCTCACGCGTCACAGATCTCAAACATGGGACACCCTTGCGAAACTAGGTAGGTGGATACCCGAGTCAAACACAGGATCACTTTCTCGTCACGTGGCGCCTGGAGAGAATTGTAGGGAAAGATGTCCAAGCACGCACGTCAATCAGTCATCAAGTGAAGCCGATCCGTCTGTTCCAATTGCAACGGTGCGACCGGATTGATAAACGTCAGATGGCAGTAATTGCCCGCTTCGAGACTGATGAGAAGTGCGGTTCGAGCACCTCTCGCCGAACAATGCTGGGGCGATGGGTGGGCGGTCGGCTGCGATCATGCGGACAGCACAGCACCTCGTCCACACAACGGCAATTGGATCAAGCGCTCATGGCAAATCTTGCCTCACTCATCTGATGACTTGTGTGGCATGTACAAGATTTTGGAGAGGACATGTCAAGTTCCGTCATTCCTGTATGAAGGCACACGGGACGTCTTTGTAGTGAACACCTGCAATCTGGTAAAGTGAAGAATGCCCACGAGTGGTACTGAAAGTACTAGTACATGATTGTGCCAGACGATGCCCGTGTTTGAGGATGGGTGGGAGCTCCTGTCCAGCACCGTCCGTCTGTATTATTGACCCGGGACACACACTTGTTGAGTGAATATGTGATTGTGCGTGCGTGCGCGATGAAAACAATTCCGCCCATCTCGTCCTTCAGACGACCGAGCAGCAAGCAATTGTATCAGCCCCAAAATAAAGCGAGAGTCCTCTGAAGGCTCGGGCTTGCGACACAATGCATTTTCGTGGTTGGCTGGCTGGCTCCGTGCCGGTTGTCGTCGTGCTTCGGCGGCGCTAGCCGTTTGGCACTGACGGCAGAACCTCGTGGTAGTGCGATGGCGGTCCACTCCACTACCGCTGTTGTCGCTGCTACAGCGCAGCAGCACGTACAGACCACTGTAGTTCTCGGGCGGTGTTCTCTCGCTCCAGCAGTAGATGCATCTTGTGTGCCATCGAAATGCCTCGCGGTCTGACCTCGCGGCTCGATTTTCCTTAGCAGCACCCACCGAGCTTGTCCTTTTCGACAATATCCTTCCTCGATCATATGCAATTAGACGTTCCCTTGCAGCACGTCAAGACTCTTCTCCGCCCTCCAATTCTGCTCAGGTCTTCTGCAATTCAGCTTCTCACCCGACGAACAATCTCGCCAGCAAGCCCGTCAGAACCAACACGACACCTCCAGGCTCTTACAACCGACGTCGCACCTTTTCCCACAATCAATACCACTCGAACAATCTCGCCCGTCGGCACGACCTTGAACGAGAACCGATAGTGAGTCCTGGGGCTTGTCCAAAACGCCAATCGACTGGTGAGCCACGTCATTATCCTCGGATTGAGCGCTTCAGTAGAGTGATCGGACATCAAGACTGGCCACGATACTAAGGCCAGTCAAAACCCGCAAGAGAAGATACAAGCACGATAAGTACGGCGCTGGCAACTGCGCCAGCCGTGCGGGAGCAATCCTCGTCGGATCTCTTGAAGTCAACGCATCGCAATGTCGACTCCGCAGACACTGATGCAGATATTACCACCACATCAACACTTAGACCATCAGCGGTATTTGCCCGCACCGCAAGATCGTCTATTACCGCCTCCACGACCATCGAGCAACCTCAGCAACAACTATCTCCACAATATACCTTCAAGGCCTTCGAGCAATCTCTCCGCTCGGCATTTGCCTCCACCGCGACCGGAGAGTGGCATGAGCAATCCTGCGTACAGCAAAACTCATAGTCAACCTCGAAGTGGTGCCGAGCACAATTACCACACTGGCCTCTCACAACATCAACACGACGAAAATCTAAGTCGAGCGAACAGCACATCGAGCCTCCAAACGCGGTACTTGCCGCCACCAACAACCTCAGCGTCGCGCGCCCCAGAACACATACCCGAACTCATGCCACCCGCGCATTCTCGCGACGTCCAGTCGTCACCACATGACAATGAGACTGCGACTGCTCGCAAGCGGAAAGAGCGCGGACCAGTCGATTGGGTTGCCTTCTATGGAGGCCGACCACCTGCCGAAATCATTGAAATTCATGATGATGACAGTCCAGCTCCGCCTGCCACTGTCCAACGACTGCCGCCCATGGCGACGAGCTCAAGTAACGCACAACATACAGACAAAAGAAGGCGGATAGCACGAGGGAGCAATGAAGCCGCATCATATAGCACGAGCGACACTATGCATTCATATTCAAATGGCAATTCCGCAGAAAGCTATCCCAACACTGCCGCTACCTCATTGACATCAACATCGAGCAGCAGCCGCCACGCAACCGCTCAAATAGGACATAAGCGGAAACGAACAGGCCGCCAAGCCGATGCAGATTTCTCTCGACAAGGCTATGCAGATGGTCTTAATCCTCAAGGTTATCTCGCCGAATATGGCGAATATATCCCACCTGCCAAACAGACCCGCAAGCAGAAGGAGGTCTATGTGCCATTGGTGGAAGAGGTATGTCGAAGATGCTATCACGTGCAATTCAAACGCTAATTTGACATGTTTCAGCGCCGAGTGCCCACAGAGCAGATTGACGACGAGGACGGTCATTACATCGTCCACGAAGGCAGCAAGCTGGGGCAATACTATACGATAGTGAAGCTTCTTGGTCAAGGAACTTTCGGAAAGGTCGTGTCAGCCATTGATGCACGGACTCGGAGAGAGGTCGCTGTCAAAATTATCCGGGCAGTGCCAAAGGTAGATTGATGACCTACCGGATTGCAGCTCAGGTCCGATCACTAATATCTTTCACAGTATCGTGATGCCAGTCGCATCGAATTACGGGTATTGCAGACCCTGAAAACCGCAGACGAATACAACCGGAATCGATGTATTCAACTTCGAGAATGCTTCGACTGGCGAGGCCATATTTGCATAGTGACGCCACTTCTGGGTCTTTCAGTTTTCGACTTCCTAAAAAGTGGAGGTTTCGTGCCATTTCCAGGATCACAAATTCAAGCCTTCGCCCGCCAATTACTCGGTTCCATCGCCTTTCTGCACGACCTCAACCTCATTCACACGGATCTCAAGCCGGAAAATATCCTGCTTCTCAGCCACGCCTACCAGACATTCACCTACAACCGGAACATCCCCTCCTCAAGTACTCTCACAGCACGCTCGGCCAAGTTCCGCCGAGTCTTGTTGAGTCCACGAATAAATCTGATTGATTTCGGAAGTGCCACCTTTGACGATGAGTACCACAGCTCGGTAGTCAGCACTCGGCACTATCGGGCTCCAGAGATCATCTTGGGAATTGGTAAGAATGAAAAAAGCAAACGAGTTTGACAAGGACGGATTATTGATTATTGATTATCGCATAGGCTGGAGTCACCCTATCGACATTTGGTCTTTGGGATGCATTTTGGTGGAATGCTGGACCGGTGATGCTCTGTTTCAGACCCACGATTGTGCAGAGCATCTTAGCATGATGCAGGTGCGTTTTGAACAAACGTATGCGCTTCTTAACATACCAGTTGCTGATAATTGGTGTTACAGGCGGTGACTGGCAAGGAGATAGACAAACACCTCATCCAGGAACTAAAGAAGATTACGAAACGAAACGACAAAACCAGTGCAGCTCGTTTTTTCAAAAACAACAAGCTCATCTACCCGAGTCCGGAAACTCCACGACAATCTAGGAAATTCGTGCGAGCGATGAAACGGCTCGAGGAGATTGTGCCCCCAACGTGTCGGTTCAACGAGCTATTTCTTGATCTTCTAAGAAAGATTTTCGTGTACGACCCCAAAAAGCGGATCACAGCTCGGGAGGCTCTTACACATCCTTGGTTCTCGGAGATCGTTCAGGACGACGGAACGGAGGCGACACGGATCCGATACGAGAAAGAAAGAAAGGAGCAAGAGCGGGAAAGGGAGCGGACTGAGGAGCAGGATGATGACGAAAACGACGATGAGCCAGACGACGAGGATGAGGGGAGGAGTTGGAACAAGCCGAGTTACCGAGCCCCAAGACCTGAAGAGCGATTAGCAACTGCAGATGACGGCCGTCGGTATAGCAAACCAGTTTACCGGGCCACAAGAAGATGATGGAGGAATGGGATGGATTGAGATTTGTGGTTGGCGCATGGGTGGTTTCATACTTTCGGCGGCACTCTCTTCTCGTTGTGGACTTCTTTTGGAATGGCGCACGTCCTCAGCATGTCTGAGTTGGAGATTCTTTTGATGGGCCATCGTTCAGATGCTTGGCATGATTTCTCTTATTTTATGGCACTCTCAATGCACTCTGAGGTGCAAAATGGGACAAGCGCAGCCTGCATTGACTTTCCTTTGGGACAGGACATATACACCGACCAGGCACACGTGCGCCCTCTGGCGCGAACGCGATCGAAACCGGCACGTGTGCTGGAGCGCTTTAATAATTGCTTTTCATGAATTCGGGATTACGAGGGAGGAGTAATCATTGTTTGGGATTCTGGGGGGTTTTATGCAACTTTATGTCGGTCACGAATTGGATGCACGATGGCATGCACTGTGCCGGAACGTTTATCTTTGTTCTTCAGAAGCGTCAAGTTTGAGAGCGGCATTGGTTTTTCTGTCTGTCTTCGTAACGGCTCGTATAGTCATGCACTACGTATGAATACATTCATGCCTAGTCGTGACCATTATTCATCGCCAGCAAGGTGGATCAGCTTCAAGCGAACCTTGATGTGTATTTTGTCGTGTATCCATATGTAGACAATATTCAGATCGGACAGAGCGATGGGCCAAGATTTCGCGCGGAATCGAACCGCATCCCACATCTGATCTCATCGGACGGACTTGTGGAGGGGTGCTCCGTACTGTGACAGAGGGTCTGTCTATTGTTCGTAGCAGACATTCAAGCTTGCGGGCAAGAATCCAAGTGAACAGCTGATTCACGATTGCGCCAAATCAGATTTCAACACTCAAAATGGCGAACCCAAGAATCGAAGAAGTCGACGATGACAATTTCGCCGACGATCCGGAAGAGATGGACTTAGATGCCTTCGACTTCGCGCGGCCGCAAAAAGGAAACCTAGGTCCCACGAGACCTGCCGACGGCGACGACGACGACGACGACGACGACGATGACGACGACGACGATGACGACGACGATGACGGCGCGACAGGATTGTCACCTCAGGATATGCAAAAACTCTTACAGAACTCACAAGCCGCGGGCAATCTTCCACGCTTTTCCGAGGCCGATCGCGAACGACTACAGCGCGAACAGCAAGCAGCGAGCAAGCACTTCCAATGCATATACCCTGTATACTTCGACAGCTCACGGAGTAGGGAGGACGGACGACGAGTGAGCAAAGGCGATGCAACCGCGAACCCATTGGCGCGAGATATCGTCGATGCGCTCCAGCATATCGGTCAGACAAAGGGCGTACCACTGCAGATTGTTTTCGAGCCTACCAAGACTCATCCGAAAGACTGGGCGAACCCGGGTCGCGTGAAGGTCCTGATCAAGAAAGACGGTGCACCTATCAGTTCTAAGATTCAAAACAGTACGTCTCTTCAATGCGCTCTCCCCGTATCCCGATTCTGGGGTTTGGAACGAGTAGATCACTGACAGATTCCCACTCGCAGAATCTTACCTCTACAAGTTGATCGCTGCATACCTCAAATCACATCCCACAACAACAGCGTCGCCGATGCGCTTCCGGATCCAGGGCATGCCCATGCCCAAGGACGGCAAGATCCTTCCACCCGCCATCCCTCGAGGATCCAAAATCGGCCAGATTCTCCCGCTTCATTCGCCGGCGTTATCCGGCGGCGGTGTGTCGGACAATTTCTTGCAGGATGTTATGAATGAGATGGGTGGGCAGTTGCCTCCAGGGATCAATCCGGATATGCTGAGTGCGCTTGGCGGCGGGATGGGTGGAATGGGCGGAATGGGAGGCGGCGGAGCTGGTGGGAGCGTCAAGAAAGTCAAAGAGAAGAAGAAGAAATGAGACATCGAGAGGTCTGTCAAATTTTATGCTGGAGGATGCATCGAAGAGGAACATTTTCATGGCCTCTTGCTGAGATGGCTCTCGTTGTACAGCGAATGACGCGGTACAAATCTTTGCGTCTACACCTGTGCAGCTTGCACAATGCTTTCAGCGTGGTCTAGTAAGTCAGGCGTACATGATCACGACCAGGGGGCTCGTCTTCATTCTGGACCGGTTTTGAGCATCTTGGAAGTCGGGATGGAAATATGGCGAACATGTAGGGATACGATAGTGCATCTATCCCGGAGATCGGGTACATCTCGTGTGGCATCGCCTCTGTCATTACCATGCAAGGGTTACGGTTGCAGACATTGGCCATTCTGTAGTTTTGTCTGGCGTGAAGGCGCATACATCTCGACAAGTCAAAAATACTCTTCATTCTGTTCCTATCGTGTAACAAGTTTAGCGGGGTACGTGACCCTACTGCTTGGTGTCCTTCATTCACTTCATTTCATCCCCTTCATTTCAACTTCTCCTTGTGCGAAACAAAACAGGAACAAGAAGCAAATGCCGCGACGCTCGTGGCGCGACGATGAGCCCCAAGACGTCTCGCCACCACCGCTCAAGAGGAAAAAGTTGTCTGAAGCACCCACCGAGCAACCGTCAGAGGCTGATGTTGTATCGTCCGACATAACTATATATAGCTGGAACATCAACGGCATTGCTCCGTTTGTGCAGGAAGAAATAACGAATTTCTTTATACCCAAGGTCGAGAACCAGGCACAGACGAGATTAGCACCTGTAAACGAGAGCCTCAAAGATGTCCTCCGACGATATCAATGGCCTACCATGCTACTGCTACAAGAAGTGAAGATAAAAGCAACAGATCTCTCCACACAGAGGGCTATCCAGCGGTCCTTAAGGACAAGGCGAGCCGATGCGGAGGGCGACGAACCTCCTTACATCGCCCACTTTTGCCTTCCTTCAGACCCGCATAACGCTCGTGGATTTGGCCGGAGGGTCTATGGCGTCTGCAGCATCATCCGCGAAGACTTCTTCGAGAAGGAGGTCGCGCGGGTGAGAAAAGTTGACTGGGACGCCGAAGGCCGCTTTTGCATCTGCGAAACTAAGGGTTCTCCAGCAGTGCCTAGATTGGCCATCATCAACGTTTATGCCCTCAATGGGACGGACAGTCCGTACAAGGATTCGAGGACGGGAGAGATCATTGGAACCAGGCACGATCGTAAGCTGGAAGTCCACAGAAAATTGCAAGAGGAATGTCGAATGCTTGAGGAGCAAGGGTTCGCAGTGGTCCTAGCGGGTGATATGAATGTTGCGAGATCCGCTCTCGACGGACATCCGAACCTACGCACCGTACCGCGGCAACACTGTCTCAACCGGGCGGATTTTGAGGCCAAATTTTTCGGTGGCGCTGAAGGAGCTGATCGTAGCACCGATGTTGGAGAGGAAGCGACGACATTAGCAAAGGAAGGGCATCCCTTAGGAATGATTGACACTTTCCGTACGCTGCATCCGACACGCAAAGGCTATACATATTATCCTCGAGGTGTCGTTTTTGGGTCAAGCTGCGACAGAGTTGACATGATTCTCATCTCAAAATCCATCGAGAACTGTCTGAAAGGCGCAGACATCAAGGAAACGCGTCGTGATCGAGGCACCAGTGATCATGTTCCACTTTCTGTCATGTTGAGGTTCAAGGAGACGTTGAAAAATTCGAACGATTGACCCAAGCATGCCCCAGCCATTGTCGCTCGAAACTTAAGGTCATGCCATTGGATACAGCAATGATGATAAGTTCACTCAGAAGGGGTCACCGTCCTATGCTCCGTGCTGCGCGACCACTGCGTCCACAATCGCCCGGAAAGCCTCGGTCTCTTCTTCGACCGTGCCACCACCAGCGGCATTGGACAAATTGATGCCGCCACCTACGTAGCAGGGAATCTTGAGTCTTCGTGCAAGGACTTTGGCTAGGCGAGTCGCGAAATCTAACGTAGACGGGACTGTATATAAGGCTGTGCTCATTGGCTGGGTAGGATTGTATCTCTGCAAGAGCTTAGCGATGGGCGTCAATGCGACATTTCTACCTTGGCAATCATACATCAGGCATAGCGTAGACGAAACTACCCAGCGGAGCAATGCCATCACCACTATCTATGGTGGTCGTTGCAACAAAGAGCAGGAGTGAGGTAGCGTAAGTGGTGAGGTGTAGGTTGATACGTGTGCCTGGACTTGAGGAAAGCTCTACAGCCAACTCCTTGTGATCGTTCACGTCATTCACAGGGATTCCGGTCACTGCCGCCATTGTTGTGATGAAGATGAAAGTGATGAAGTTGATGACATTGATTGAATTATCGTCAACTCATGTACAAGCCCTTTGCCAGAAGTCGTGGCACTTCATAGGTCAACGTACTTGTGACCTCTTTCCATACCTCGATGTTTCTACCGACTGAAGTGACGTACATTCTTTACTTTTTCAGAAAGTCGCGAGAATTGAACAGCGCAAGAATAATGGACTCTAGGTCCCATCAATGCTGATGCTTGAAATCTACTGCACGTTCAAGCACAACTCCTAGCCTAACTGGGCCAAACTTATTGACCTTTGGGCGTTGTCGCGATGGCTGTAGAACAGCAGAACACCGGAACACAAGAATATGGGTTTGACCCTTTGTCTGATCCACAGGAGGCGCGCATCCTATATGCCACCCTGGACTCCTTCCGGTATGACCACAAACCAACACACGGAGATTGATGCCGAATTCGCGGCTCATGAATCCGAATATCAACAGACAATATCGACGAGCCGCACACTACAACATTACCCACATCCGACGACAATCGTTCTATGCTTTACCATCAGCTCAAAATGATGTGCTATCGTCGCCACCCATCTCGATGCTGAAAACTTTTGCTGCAGTAGATCGAGCAATAGAAAGCAATGCTGAGATTGCTGAAGCAATCCTTGCCGTAGGTCTTCCTTCGTTCGGCATCGCAGCTGAGGATCATCGATGGAAAAACTGTGCAAGACCTAGCGATCTAGACAAAGCTCGCTCAACGATACGCCAAATGTATCGCGATTGGGCGTTTGAAGGATTGCCAGAGCGGCAAGCCGCTTTTGTTCCAATCATGTCAGCGCTCGAAAAGCATTTTTCGGATCTTGCTCCGAGTGAGCGGCACCAATGCAAGGTGCTTGTGCCGGGCGCAGGACTTGGTAGGCTTGTCTTTGAGCTTTGTGCAGCTGGCTGGACAGTCGAAGGCAATGAAATATCCTATCATCAGCTGATTGCCTCGAATTATATTCTCAATTTAGTCGGTGGTGCTGGCGCGCACAAGCTTCACCCGTGGGCTCTGAATTTCAGCAATCACAAGTCTCGAGCGCATCAACTACAAGCTGTTCGAATACCCGATGTCAATCCGGTTGAATATCTAGAGGAAGCTTCGACAAGATTGGCATCAGAGGTGCATTATAGCGATCGTATGACGATGACGGCAGGAGACTTCTGTGTGCTCTATCGTCAATCGGAGCATCGAGAACGCTTCAATGCCGTGACCACCTGCTTTTTCATCGATACTGCGCCGAATGTCATTAATTACATTGAGACCGTAAGGTTTTGCTTAGCAGCTGGTGGCATCTGGATCAACCTTGGGCCACTCCTGTGGCATTTTGAAAGCGGCCCTACTCCTGCCGAGATTGAAAAGCAATCAGGTAGGACGAAGAAAGGACCGCGGAAGGATGGTAATGTGGACATCGATGCAGGGATTGGCGAACCTGGATCGTTCGAACTCTGCAACGATGAAGTGCTTGCTCTTCTCGAGCACTACGGCTTCGATGTCATTGAGCACAGAGATGCTCCCCCGACTGGATATATCCAAGATTCTGCGAGCATGTTACACAATGTGTATCATCCGACTTTCTGGATCGCGAGAAAGCGATAATAGCTGTTCAGCTACTATGAGCTCGACATTTGCCTGTTGCATAAACGCTTCAAGGCGCGGTTGTGACGAAACGGGCACTTCCGCATACATCTGCGGAGGAAGCTTTGTGGCGCGTTGCCGGGAAGCCGGAATGCACATTACCCAGAGTCGAGAATTTTGAAGGTTGAGTCATGCAGGCCTGACGAATGTCGATGCGAATGAACTCACTCGTTTACTGCACGCCTGATGTCGGCTGGGGTCGGCACAAGAAAATACTCCGAAAAAGTCATCCACTGTGGGACGTTATCGACACGACAACTGCGGGCTGCTATTTACTGGATTATGTAGGCGACGCGAACCCCTCCGAAAGTCTTGTCCCCCTTGTCCCCCCAAAATTGGCTGGTACGTCAGAATTGCCCCGCATTCCGGGCAAAAGTTTGGTTGCCCAAAGAGATTCGCGTCGGCGTAGTTTGGCATTGAATTTTGCAGGCGAGTCATTCGGATCTGCAAGTGCTTAAGACTGATGAGTGATTACCTATCCCCTCAATAACATTCTCTTATTTTCCTCAATGAGTCAGATCTCTTGATTCAATCTTGGACACTAAACATTTGACGAACGAATCTCACTGTGCGAGACAACCTCAATACTTTCCCAACAGCCCGCGTCATTCGACTACCAAGCCCTGCACTCTCTGGAGAAACGCGACATTCGAGTCGCGACGTCAAGATGACCATGTTCGTCCGATATCGTCTACAGCGGTCGTTCATTGCAACTAATCACTTGCTCCAGGCTCAAAGATCCTTCGAAAAAGTACCGCAAATTCAAACCTCTCAACATCCCTGATCGTCAATGGCCTTCGAAGACAATCGACAAGGTTCCACGTTGGCTGGCGACCGACTTACGCGATGGCAATCAATCCTTGGTTGACCCCATGGACGGCGAGCAGAAATGGAATTACTTCAAGATGCTGGTGCGATTAGGGTACAAGGAGATTGAGATTTCATTTCCCGCGTCTGGAGCGACCGATTTCGACTTTACAAGGAGATTGGTGACGACGCCGGGCGTCGTGCCCGATGACGTCTGGTTGCAAGTCCTTTCGCCGTGCCGGAAAGAGCTGATCAAACGGACCGTGGAGAGCTTGCGCGGGGCGAAAAAGGCGATTCTACATCTCTACCTGGCTACAAGCCCGTGTTTCCAACAAATCGTCTTCGGCATGAACAATGAGCAAAGTCTTGCGCTTGCGGTCGAGTGTACAAAGTACGCACGATCGCTCACTAAGGACGACCCAAATTCCGGAGTAGAAGAATGGGCATACGAGTTCTCGCCTGAGACTTTTTCAGACTCAGATCCTGATTTCGTGGTGGAGGTCTGTGAGGCTGTCAAGGCTGCATGGGAGCCGTCAGTGGAGAACAAAATCATCTTCAACCTTCCAGCTACGGTTGAGATGAGCACACCAAACGTTTACGCTGATCAGATCGAGTACTTCTGTCGCCATATCTCGGAGCGGGACAAGATCGCCGTCTCCCTGCATCCACACAACGATCGAGGCTGCGCAGTGGCAGCGTCCGAACTTGCGCAAATGGCAGGGGCCGACAGGGTGGAGGGCACTCTCTTCGGTAATGGCGAGCGGACGGGAAATGTCGACCTTGTCACCCTCGGCTTAAATCTCTACACACAAGGCATCCATCCTGGCATCGACTTCTCAGATCTCAACAGTGTCATTGATGTTGTAGAGAAAAGCACAAAGATTCCTGTACATCCCCGCGCTCCCTATGGTGGCCAACTTGTCGTCTGCGCCTTTTCAGGATCTCATCAAGATGCGATCAAAAAGGGTTTCAATAAGCGGACGACTGAGGGTGCTGGTCACGAAGATCCGTGGGTCATGCCATATCTGCCACTTGATCCCCAGGACATTGGACGGACTTACGAAGCGGTTATTCGTGTCAACAGCCAGTCTGGCAAAGGTGGTGTCGCTTGGATTATTCAACGTACTCTTCAATTGGACCTCCCGCGTGGATTGCAAGTCGCGTTTTCCAGAATCATCCAGACCAAGACCGATCAGGTTGGCCGCGAGTTGCTCGCTAACGAGATCAAGGATCTCTTCGTGGATGCCTACCATTTGAATCGCAATCCTCGATTCGCCCTCATTGATTATGACATCACAAGCGAACGAACCGCCGATCCTACAGCACAGCCAGTCGAAGGAAAAACGGCCACGAATCGTAATCTTCGCCGGAAGTTCAAGGGTGTTATCGAAATTGACGGCCACGAGCATCATCTCGAAGGATCTGGAAATGGTGCTCTCTCCGCACTCGCGGACGCGCTCAAGAACTTGGGAATCGATTTGGACATCGTAGGTTACACAGAGCATGCTATCCAAGGTACCAGTCCATGGGGCCGTGAATCGCAGGCCGCCGCCTACATTGAGTGTACAGCGGCGGGCTCGAGTGAGAAAGTGTGGGGTGTCGGCATCCACGAGGATGTGGTGCAATCATCGTTGTTTGCTCTGCTTGGCGCAGCTTCTTCGGTAAGTGACCACTCTGTGCTATGACACATGCACACTTGGCGTAGCAACATGTCCTAACACATTTGCTGCAATCCAGTTCCTCTCCTCAAGGCCGTCGACGCCTATTCCATTCCGACCGAAACGCGGGAACACTTTCAGTATCACACATTCTCCGCTTGACGCCGTGGAAAATACCGAAGGCGCAGAGGGAACTCAAACTCCGGCGGTCGACCTCACAGACATCAAGGCAACTTTGAACGGAGCTCCATCAAGTGCGCCGGATGTAGCGACGTCGAATGTGCAAGCAACACCTGCCCAGGAGGAGGCGTCGACTGTGCAGGAATCAAAACCGTAAGAGTGATTCAACAAGAAAACTCTTCATCTGAAAATTCAATTCGTGGAGCGCGGGCATATATGTGTCCGGCGACCTACACAAAAGTTGTCCGCACAGGACGGAAGATATATAGATAACCCTGGTAGCCCTGATTACCTCATTTCACTAAAGAAAAATCATTCGTAATGTCATTATTTCTTTGAGGTGCGTATGTCCGTACTGCTGCGGTCGAGGCCTTCCAGTGCTTACAATCTACTGCGTGCCGACTTCTCCCGTCCGCCTGATGGCCGAAGTGCCTCGCTCACACGGCTCATGACCTCCACCAATTGCCGCTCTCTCAGGCGCGGCGTGATGACCTGCAGACTAAGCATGCTGCCCAAGTAGACGTTTCTGTCCACCTTGGTCCATAGCTCCCGATTACTTTGGTCCCACGGGTTGAGAGGTTTGGAGCCGCCAGGCAGTTCCTCAGCGAGATCCTCCTGCGTTAACGGTCGCACCGGGACTACGCCGGCGGGAAGGTCTAGGAGATTGAACGCGGCGGTGTAGTTTGGCGTTCCCCAGCGATCGATGGGAGCGACGGGATGCGGCATGACCGGACAGATGAGAGCATCAAGCGGCGAGCCGTCTGGGGATTTCCACAGCTCGAGGAACTTCTTCTGCAGCTCGGAGATAGCGCCTTTGGAGTCCCAGATCTCATTGATGGACTTCTGTTTCCTGCGGGTGAGACGTCCTTGTAGCCAAGGCGAGAGCGGCTCCCCTGTTGCCTCGAAATGGTCGAACCACGTGTTTGCGCCATCGAGAGAGACGATTCCGTTGAAGGTCTTGTTGGTGCGAGAGAGGACCTGCGTTGCATCGACTTCGACAATTTCGAAGTCCGAGATCGCCGCGCGAAGACTGGTTGCTACAGAGTTGAGAAAAGATTCTACTGGCGGTAATGGGCTGACGTGACCATCCGTCCGGATGATACCGACTCGAATGCGTCTCTTCGAGGTCCTGAGCGATACCTGCTGGGACCAGTCTTGAGGAAGCACATCTGGATCTGATGTATGAGTAGAAGCGTCGAGGACCACACGCAAGAACATCTCGCAACTTCGTAGACTTTGCGATAGAGGACCAGCAGTGGCCTCAATCATCAGCTTCGAGGACCCGGGTTTGTGCCCATTCTCTTGTCCTGCAAATGGGACACGACCATGCGACGGCTTGATGCCGAACAAGGCATTGCAGGCAGCAGGGATGCGAATACTGCCGCCGACGTCCGTTCCCACGCCCAGGATGCTACCTCTCAAAGCCAACAGAGCACCCTCGCCTCCACTCGAGCCGCCTGCTGTCAACTTGAGATTGGCCGGATTCAAGGTACGACCAAAGACATTGTTATGCGAGTCGAGCGCCATCATGCTTTGCGGCACATTGGTCTTGCAGTAAAGCACTGCGCCGAGACTGAGAAGGAGATCTACCAAAGCGGAATTCTCGCTCGCTGGCTTGAAACAGATGTTGGCCACGCCTACCGACGCATCGTAGCCCTTGACCTTAAAGGAGTCCTTGAGCGAAATGGGCAACCCATGAAGCGGTCCAATCGGCTTTCCTGTACGCGCCAGATGCGCATCAAGCTCCCGAGCTCTCGAAAGCGCATCGTCGAATAGAATTTCCGTCAGGCAGTTCGAGACTTGCTGAGCAATGGCAGCGCGTTTGCAGAACGCACGCGTTACGACTTCACTGCTGAAGTGAGCCTGTGCTAGTAGATCGACCAACGTGACAGCATCATAGTCCTCGGTGATCGCTAGTTCTTGAGGCTCGAGTAAGCCACATCGCCGTGGCACATGAAGCACGCTGTCACTGATGGGCTTGATGCTTTCTGCGGAAAGACGCCAGGCAGATGGGATTCTGCTGGAGCGCTCCTCGAGCTTTCGCGCCGAAATGTCTCTCCACGTATCAGGCATTCTTTGATTGTTAAGGGTTGCAGTGATGAGAATTATCTTGAGGATACCGTTGAGAGGCAATCAACGCTGGAAGGTTGACATCGCCGGCATACCATCAATCGCAAGTACCATTCATATCACTCTCGAGTCGTGACGAACTATTCATAACGCTTAGGGTTGCCTCCGCTGTTTTCAAGTTTCCACCCTACAAAATACTTTGCCTGTCTAGATGATTGGTATTAACCATGCAAACATCCCTGAGTGATGTGAATGACTTCGTGCTCACTACCCATGTCCTCTCTTTTCTCCATTGTTGGACCTGGTTTGCTCAGCGGCGGCATCACTACTCCATCAGTTCGATTTGGAGACACCGTCCTTCGCTGCATGTATGCAAGTCAAAGCTGACCCTGACCACGACTACGTGTTCCTCGTGTCGGATGAAAGGATCTACTGACTCGACATCTCTTGCTTTTACCCGTCGGCGACATTCACAGTTTCCGACAGACCATGTCACAGCTCCACCGATGAGCCATGTGATAATGCGATCACGCCAGTAGGATTGAGAGCTTGCCCCGGTCAAACAACGGATGTGGCAGCGGGGAAGCAAAACAACCTTGGGAGCTGGAGCTGTCCCTACCCAATACCGTCATCTGTGGATGGTAGCCGTGTTGCCCTCCGCCACTATAGAATATGAAGTCTAGAACGATAGAGACCGACATGCTCCTGCATATTGAACTCGATTCCATGTCGACTCGTCTCTCCGAACGTGGGAGACTAGCGATATCATTATAGTATGCATCAGTCATGTCTCTCGATGGTCGATGCGTGGCGCAAACGTGTGCTCGTCTTGTTGAGGGTGTCACGATCCGTCGCCAGGGGGAAAGATCTAATCAGGTCTTTTTTTGGGGACTGAACACGAGATTTACAGATTTCAGAATGATTCCTATGGACGTCATGCTCCGTTGCTCATAGCACCCGGCGACCCGAGAGGAGGACCATGCTCGCAGGAATGATCCTTGATGAGGCACTAGTAGGCATCGACGACGACGGAAGTTTAGAGCATCTACAGCACCGCAGATTACATTATTGTCACAGAGAGACGGGCTGTAACTCGAATCATTACATCTGTTCTTTCGGTACGACCACGTGCAGCTTGGTGAAATCATTTAAGTCGCATCTAACAAACTTGATGACGATGATGACTGATCTAAAGCCATTTCGCTCGTTCCTTCGTGACATGGCAATTAGCCGTCTTCGATATCTTCCACATCGTCAAGGTGGAAGTAGTCGTGGCGGGAAGTTATCAGCCACGGGATCGTCGCACGACTCGACTCAGAAGAAATGGGGTTACATCTCGAACGCATGGGGATCGCTGCAAGTTGCTGACCGACTGCACGTCCGATAGCGATTAATAGCGTGAAGATGGCCGCAAAGCCGCGTCGATTGGCTAACTTGATGCTGCAGTCATGTACGCCCAGATTGACCATGGTGGCAGGTGTTCTTGAATTCTCTGAAGCCGAAAATAGAACCCCTCACAACCGAATGGGCACATGCGCATGCAGTACCCTGAAATGCATCTGGATGATGAAGTCCGATCGTGGAATTTTTGTGTGACGGACCTTATGCCCTCTACAGTTTTCTAGGCACTGGAGGTGGACGCTTTAGTGCCTTCGGCAGGTTCCAGTGTGTGCGCGAGACGCACTCTCGCATCAGCCATAAAACGCACCGCGCCGACGGCCGCAGACGGCCAAGCGACGAGAGCACGCAGCGTCCACGCAAAGCCACCGTTCTTCCTTGGTGGAGAAGTGGAATACCTGGACAGTCTCGATATCGATCATTACTCTATCTTTGACGACCGAAAATTTAGATTAACCAGCTGCGAGGAACGAGCGCACCCGAATCAGGGTCGCCGACAAGACCTCGGTTTCAATGCAAATTCCATGGCACTGGGACAGCTATCTTTCTAGCCTGCCGAAGTTTTGCACGCCTGTGCCTAACCGATCAGTGTTCCAGCTCATCCAAATGTACGCGGCTAATTCACAGTGCCGTGAATGCAAAATCGCCGTTGGGTGATGCTACCTTCTCCACTCTGATATGATCACCAGTGACCCACCCAGGTTGGTGGGCACCATGAAACGTTCGCTCACGCGTAGCCTCTCGCCAAACCGTGGATTTCGAGGCCATGGACATGGGGGATGTCTGAAACACAATATGGTAACATGTGTGTATATGTGGCAGGTGCGTCTCCATATAGAGATGGCCGACGGCGAGCCATCGGAACCACCGCGAGCCAGGCGTGGGAGAGCTTGGAAGCCATCACAATACCTGCGTGTGACGTTCGTCGCGACGGGCCTGCAGTTGCCGACGTGGCGTTCATGAGTCTAGACACTTCCAAGGCGGGATAAAGACGCCAGCATCTCAATCGTTCCAGTCTAAAGACTCCAGTACACGCATCCTCGCTCCAGTGGCCTCATTGACCGCGGATCATGTATGAAAATTGATTCTTACCTAGGTAGGAGTGAAAACAGAGCGACGAGCTCAATCCCACTAAGCTCATCGAAGCAGGAATCCGATAATTCATGCATGCACCACCACATCTACAATACATAAGCGTATTGCTTGATGACCGTTCGTGGCATACCTAACGGTAAACAGAGCCAAGTTTTTCATGACTACATCTTGTCTTGACGGCCCGCTACCACTGCAATATGCATCCGTCCACGCTCCACAGACGCCGTGGGCGGCGAGTCGGCAGTTGCCGGCATGCCCTCGATTCTGCATTTGCACGTCATGTGCCGCAATGGGATTTTTTCCTCACACACTCGAGAGGCATTTCCCCTGCCCTCTCGTGCCTATATGTGTGTTAGCGCAACAGGCTCTCGGCGTTTGTCCATGGCCAAGTGCTCAGTGACCGACCATGGATCGCTTGCGAATACACGTGGGTAGGACATGTCAGGAAGTATACAACCCTTTCGTGCACCATGATGTGACGCCATACACCACACCGCCGCGCGTCGCCTCTCCTCCCAGTTTCTCGAGAAAGAATTGCCGCAGAGTGGCCAACGGACAAGACCGATGCCCGTCCGTGTAGTATCACCTAGGAATGCTGCGATGTAGATCAAGTGTTACGCTGATGCGTTGCGGACATGGCCTTGTCCCAAGGCCGTTTCGATGCGACCTACTCGTTTGGCCCCAGAACGCTCTTCAATTGGTGACTTTGATAATATAGCACGCGAAGATCGCACTGTAACTTTCCGAAATATGTGCCCTAGATGACACGACGACTATGTTGTCGGGCCTGCAGTGTAAATGTTGATGAGACGCAGAAGGGTGTGCGCGAGAGGTGCATATAGGACGATGCTGCTTCTCGTGTCCAGGCATCTCAAAATAGCTCTTGCAGATGCAACCGTGGTGTGCACGATGTCTCTTTGTGGCAAGGCTGTCGAGGAGCCTCCGGTGCAACGTCTCTGATTTGTCGAGAGCGTGTAGCCTCGTGCTAGTAGCGGCAACGGCCCGGACCAACCCCGAACCGAGTCAGCAGCGTCACATCGGACCGCCGCCGCTGACGACCGATTCTTTTTTGCCCGCTTGAACCCCGTATATTCTGGTGTACCAGATGGCGGACGGGATAACGAAGTGGAGGAGATCCCAGCCCGCGAATCCAGGAATTGGGGCAGACCGACCACTCCGACGTATGATTAGACGTTGTGAGACGTTGTGGGACCATAGTTGTATCTGCACTAAACATGATTAGGAGCCAGAGCGGTGTTGTGCGCCCGCTCATTAACGGCATGGCCATCGGATGCTTTGCCGGTAGTCATTTGCTAGATGCAGTATACTCATCCGGAGCATACAGTCAGACCGCACCGACCATTAAGCTGGCACGCTGCTATTCTCGATCGCTGACGGGCAGGTAGTTGTCGTAGGATGTGCGTGTGCGTGTGTGCGTGTTGGAAGGCGATCAACATGCGACGGACAGGTGATGTCAACCTGCAAGGAAACGTCGAAGCTTAGCCACCTGCGCCGATATGCTCGAGGGGTCGTCCGACCTCCGCATGCCCAGCGACATGTCATAGCCATCCCGGCAGATCCAATGCAATCTGATTTGTGCCTTGCTATGTTTAGCCGACGTGGGTACGCCGTCTTCCGACTAAGGCAGCGGCCTGATCGGACCATGTAAATGATGCTCGTACCCTGGACCGATGTCATAGCAAAGTCGACTTCGGAGCACCACTTCTCGATTTGCCGGGCAGGATTCACTATTCGCCCACGCAATAGCCAAAGCTTGTGCATTACTGGCTGTAACACACGATCAACCTGGCACCGTCCTACTCTAGCTCGACTAACGTCTATTTTGAGAGTTGGGTACCCATCGATACCACTGCCCTGGCATCACCTCTGCAACTATGTATATTGGCTCCGGACCCACGGAGACCGTCCAGACCAGCTTCATTCCAAAGACTCCAACTCCAAGTCATTGTTTGACGATCCACACTCGCTTGATTCACTCGTTTAATTGTGACCATTCCTCGACCATCCCGACATCCGTCTCCAACTCCTCATCTCGCCATTCTCATCAATAACGTGTACAATATCTAAACCTCACCACGACGAATATCTCCGGTGGCTTCGACATCGATACTGTTTCTTGAACCCAGCCCAGTATCGAGTGCCGCAGCATCGTTTCAACAAACCTCAACTCTAGTCCTTAGCAACTTCGGCTTTGGATTCGCCTTTAGCTGCCTTCCGCCCGGCTATTCATCTCATAACATACATATATCCTTTTCAACAGCCCCCATGTCCGGTCGCGGCGCAGGTCCATCACGGCGTAGCCATACCAAGAGCCGCAAGGGATGCAAAACTTGCAAACGCCGACACATTCGATGCGATGAGACATTCCCTCAGTGCAAAAATTGTGTCAAGCATATGGTCCGATGCGACTACCTCGAAAACACCGGGTCTGATACCGAAAGCGCGCAACACAGCCCAGAGCAACATGCTCTCAGCTTTTCACCAAGCACCGAGAGTAAGATTGAACAATGGCAAAGCACTGGCAGCTTTCCTTACCCGGATCTGCAAGTGTTTCCTCCGCCACCGACACAAGAGTATTCTAAGAATGAGTTGCGATTGATTCATCATCTGACCTCGGTCTCCAACGAACTTCGTTCGAAAGGCGTCTCAAATCTAACCACCTGGACAGAGAAGGTGCCCAAATTTCTGAGTTTGGCCGCAACATATCCATTCGTGATGCATGCACTGCTCTCATTCTCCGCAAATAACATAGCGTGGACCCGCTCCTCTAGCGAAACTCGGAATGTACAGATGCAGCATGGAACGATCGCACTCCGCGGTTTACATGAGGCTATAGGCAATTTCTCTCATGCCAACGCAGATGCCGCGCTCGCAACCTCGCTCCTGCTTCTCTGGCAAGCCACTGACTGGCAGAGCTGGTCTTCTCTGCGCAATGGAATACAATCTGTGCTGGTGAGGATGCAATCATGGACACACGACTCCATCTTCGCGGAGTTCATCAACGAGGAAGGCATGTTTGAGGGACACGACGATGTGTCTCAACAAGCGGCGCCGTTGGCGCCTGCTGAGAGAAGTGCCACCCTGCAAACACTTCTGTCTGCTTTGCAACGTCTCCAGGCCTTCTTTGTCGACAACGAGGCTGAATTGCACTGGATCAGCCAGCTGACCTCGTACGTGGAGAGTTTACACTCCTCGGTGCCGGCCCGGACGCCCGAGGAGCAATTTGCGCACCTATATCTCCTCCGCAAATGGCTATTTTGGGTCCCAGCGTTGCTTCTTCAACGACCGTCTGGCCAGGGACCTGCGATGCTTACCCTAGCGTATTTCTACTCGACGGCCCTTGTGCTAGAGCCTCTGTTCCCAGCTCTGGGTCCTGCTTTCTGTGCAAGGAGCGCTCTCGTGCCACTGGAGAACATCATCAATATCACAGATGCCATGCACTCGCAGTATGGTGCGGACAATTCCTCGCAAGAGATCATCTCGCTCATGCAATTTCCCTGCCACTCTGCTCTTCTCTTCCGCACCCAGCATATGTTGGACGACCAGTCACAATCTCAGCACTCCTACGCTCACTCGCAAGTACAGACTACTCCAGGCTTGCTCGACGAAACAAGTATGCTTGATTTCAACTCAAGTGTGCTCGATTACACAGGACTCGAGAATCACAATTCGGCTTATGCGTCTGATTCGATGCAGTATGGCATGGCTTCCACAAACTTCAATCACTCGTACCTACAAGTACCTTCTTCACTTCCTACACAGCAGCTAGCATTGCCAGACTTCACCCACGGAGCACAGAATTGGGGCACAGTCCCGTCACCTGGCTTTCCACCGCGGGCATTCGCAGCTGAAGCCGCCGATGCTGCACTCTACGACGACTACAACGATGGACACGATGTCATGCACGATATGCTGCGCGGTGATCAATTCGGGTGCGTACCTCCGGCTCCGATCTGGACCTGAACCTCCACGACGGACTTCAAGATATCATCCTTCATCCACCTGCACCTTTTACAATCGTCTCCCGACGGCAGTCGAACAACGTCGTGCAAGAATCGAAGCTCACACTCCTTCAGGCAATGAGAAATTCCATCCGCGTATAATGCGAAAGGCCGAATTATCTTGGCCATCGCATATTGATACAGCTCCTGCTCACCGCCGAATCGGTTGAGTCTTCGGCGGAACGTCCGCAAAAGCCAGGATTTGTCAGTCATGAAGGAACACCACCGATAGACAAACCTCGTCCTCGCGACGGTAGACAGACAGTATTCGCGCTTCAGAATGCCGTCATAAGAGCTTCCGGCACATCTGCGCAGTACCACATCGCTACTGGGTCAGATCGCAAAGTCAACACTGCAGCGAGTAGCCGCTCCTATGGAGTCAAAGCCTCGCTGCGAGCGATAAACCTGAAGCCACAAGAATCCTTTGGAAGTCTTAAATCCACAGCATGAACATCCGATGATCGGACCTGTATGTCGACTTGGGAGGTGGACCCCCAAGAATGGAAAAGCCGTGCATTGCAGCTCGCCACTTGTGTCTCTTTTGCAAGAACTGCACCGTTGAATCATCCGCATAGCATTTCTACAGGAGTTGGGTACAAGCACGGACGGAGGACATTTAATGACACGCATTGGAACGGGAACATGATGATCGAGAGCGTTTTCAGCGCGCTCAGACTTCGTTTGTAATGATGATTGTGGATATGATACACTACATTAATAAATAATGAACCTCTAGTATTATTACGCGAGCGCCTCGGTTCAAAGAAGTCTTCACTTCGTGTGTGTCTACTTGCTTACTGCGCACGACTTGGTCATCTGCCAAGTCGCTCCTTATACGTATGTTTAAGTCGGTAGGCAAGCCACTCCATGTTGCTTCCAACTCCCGGCTTTCACGATACACGTTCATCTTGCTCTGTACTACTCGCGTAGTCTCCCTCGAAAATTCAATTTCTCAGACACGAATGCTACCTCAGCTCGACAAGAAAACTTACTTGCTGGGGACGAGACACGGCGTTTAAGGAGTGATCGACTTGGATGTATTGGATCTCAAGATTGACGAATGCCAGATCGCGTGCGTTGATTAAAACGAGTTCAGCTTAATACGGGAAGAATGCGGCATAAAAGTATCAAGCCTGGTCGCCCTCATTTCGCCAATGGTCGATCGTCTGCTGGAGACGATCCAACATGGCATCCTTGCGAGAATCGCTGCACCAACTACCACGGATGCCGTTCTCACAAACAAGCGCCCACTCATCCACAGATAGCGCAAATGCCTCGTGAACGGCCATGTAGTTGTCTAGAATATAGTGATTGCCGAAATAAGCGGGATCGTCGCTGTTGAGAGAGAACTTCACGCCAGCGTCAAGAAATGTCCGGATCGGCAGATCCCCGATCGATGTGACGCATCGCAGGTAGAGATTACTGTAGGGACAGACAGTGAGCATGATGCCTCGTTCGGCGACCTTGGACATCAGAGCGGCATCTGTCGCAAGACGGATGCCGTGGTCGATCCGCTCGACCTCCAAGTGCTCCAGCGCATTGGCAATGTATTCCGCTGGACCTTCCTCGCCCGCGTGAGCGGTAAGTCTTAAAGATCTTGCTTTGGCATCGGCATACAGTGATTTGAACAACTCGGGTGGAAACGCCAGCTCGCTTGAGTCCAGGCCGATTCCGATGAAGTGGCCCTGGCCCAGACTAGCTTGAAGCTCCTCATGAGCAAACGTCGCCTCACAATGCGCAGCCGGAAGGTGGCGAAGGAAACAGCAGATCAATTCACTCGAGATTCCCAGCTCTGAGTTAGCGCGCCGCCGCGCGGCTTCAAAACCAGCCTGGATAGTCGCGAATGTCACGCCTCGCTCCAGGTGCGCCTGTGGATCGAAGAAGAGCTCGGCGTGCATGACCCCGTCCTGTCTGGCATGTTGGAAGTAGTCCCAGGCGAGAGCCTCGAAGTCTGAAGCGTCGATCAACACGCTCATGCCGATATAATAGTAGTGGAGGAAATCATCCAAGGATGAGAAGTCGTTGTAGCGCTTCGATAGAGCTTCCGTAGAGGCGAAAGCGGCGTCATCGGCAGGCAGGATAATGTTGTTCTTGGCGGCCAATTGGAACAGAATTGCAGGAGATAGAGCGCCCTCAAGATGCATGTGGTGTTCACATTTTGGCAGAGCTATGAGAAATGATCGAAAATCTGTGATGGCCATGGTTGCCGTGCCCAGAAATTATTTTGGAAAGCTTCTGTCGCAGCGCGATGCGTTACTTGATACTTTGTGTAAATCTGCAAGAACTCGAACAACCAATATGTGATACATTTCGAGAGTTCGTCGAAACGACCCTGGTATTGGAGGCTGCATTATGCAAGGCTCGCGGCTACCCGTGTTGATAAGCCCACAACACATCCTTAGCTTCCATGAAAAGATGAGCGCTGATAACTCGAGACGATAAGAAAGTCATTTCTACCCTTTTGGCATAGGTCTCGGAGACGTCGACGACGTGAATGCCAGCGATACCTGCGTCGAGCTGATTCAAATGCATCGTGGGCTTATTAGTGTTAGACACATACCATACCCAGCTACGATAATCCAATGAAAGCAGAAAAAAATCATCGAGATGACTAAACATCTCAGAAAGGCGGCTTCACGATCTGTCATGCCACTCCGAATACAGTGCAGGCATGGGATCAGTGCCGTTAGGAGGCTAGATCTGCTGTCGGCCATCGCACGATATTCGATACAGATCAACTACTTGTAGCAGTAACCGTATGCGGTTGCGGCGTGCCGCGTGCTCGGTGAGCGAGGTTTCGGAAAGCCGGCTGGCGACGACACGATGTAATTGTCAATTGATTCGCATCGCGCCATCATTTCTCATTCGGCTGGTCCAGCCAGAAGCGCATCATTGTTGTGATGACTATATCACCAAGTAAGCCCTTGAACGACATACGGCATCGTAGTGACAAGCACGACAAGGTTGCTCCTGATATCTGAAACGTCGTCTCATACGAGTATGTGAGTTTATCCTGGCAGCTGATCATTACTCCTCACGAAAGACAGGGCAAGGATGCCGACAGAAGAGGTTGACACCGTCCAGTAGAGCGCGCGCACTGGACAATTAATTTGGATATCGGCACTGTTGAAAGCCAAAGGCCGCCCACTTGACCCACTCAGCCCTCGTTTCCGAACAGAGCCGAGCCCTCACGCGGCCTGTGCCGCAGAAGAAGCTCATCTCGCGTCGTCATCATTTCGCTCCAAACGCCACGGCCGTGCTGACCTGGAGGGCAAGATCTCGGCGGCAATCTCGCCGCTGTCCGGTATGCCTGTGTTCGCGAATGCTGTCGAGCTCGAATCTGATCCAAAGAGTTTGACTGATTTGTCATAGACAAAGCCGCCGGCCCAATGGCCAAGAGAGGTGAAGGAATCGGCACGAAAGGGGCCCCCACATAGACTACTCAACAAAGGCGCTGTCCTCCGGATCGGAGACTTTTCCTCACCTTGGGCGAGTAGTGCTTTATGATCACGTCAAGCGGCAATTGGGCCGTTCCAAGGAGCCTCGGATGTCAGGGTTACCACACATGTGACAGGCTGACTGATCGTATCGAATGGATGCGTGCACTTTATACATAGCGCACCTCACGCTGCGCGGCCGCGAGGCCACGGTCGGCATGATATGCGAACAGCTAAGCCCAGTGGCAATCCACGACGTACGCGAGCTCGGATGTGCATTGCAGCCACGGCTCCCACAGCCGAATCATGACTCGGACCCGGGGGAGCTGCGATTCAAAAGGCACCTTCCCAATGGGGCATTACGCCACACGCAACAAATGGGACGGCGTTGACAGATCGGCAAGTGGCTGAAGCCCGTCCGGCAGGATTCGGAAATCAAATGGACAATCCAGTGATTTCGTCAGAGGCCCTGTTGTCAACATCATGATTTGGGTAGGCATCTGTCGTCACGTTCCACGACATGTATATAGCACGGAGATCTCATGTCCAGCTGAGCAGCTCAAGTCGCTAGTGGCGCAGCAGAGCACTGAACCAAGTCGCTCGCTTTCGTTGCCCAACGTCCGTAAGCGTCGGCGACGTCAACGGCGTAATTGGGGTCGTGATTTGCCCAAAGGGCTTACTTTCTGGCATCGCCAGCTCTGATGATCGTCTATGCACACAGTATGAGTCATGTTGCAGCCACCGACGTCGAAGGGATCGTCCCTGCTACTAATGATGAAAGCGGCGGCATTGATAGTGACGCCGAGGATGATGATAATAAAAATGATGACGATGCAAATGGACTGCAAGACGAGATTATGCTTCATCCGACGTCGATTTGGCATCCAAGCTTCGATGCTAAGTTGGAAGCGCTTGACAAAATGATCCCAGCGAGCGCCAGTGTCCCGTGACTGCGAACCTCCACGACACACATCTATGACATGTAGTGCCATCGTCGACTGTGACGGCCATCTGTACAAGGCTTCGGAGATGTGATGAGTCCCTGATGTACTCGACTTCGATGCGTTGGCCATCGAGATGGTGTTGCTGGAGTCTTGCGACCTCCGAAATTTCTGAGCTTGCGATAGCCACCACGGCCACGATCGTATAGAGTGTGTGGGAAACAAGGTCCAACTTTGAGGTTCGATCTCGCGCCCGAGCTGCACGTCGGGGGCTGACTGTCTTTCTCATCCACGGGCGGGCAAGCATGGTGGACGCCACGTCTACGTTTAGCTTGGCGACCGGCTCTGCTTGCCCCAACGCACTGACTCTCTCGCTAAACATTGTTTAAATGAGGGAGACATTGGGCGGATGAGAAGAAAATCACGGTTGACCGTGCTCCCCGTAGTCGGTGGCAGATGCCAGCTCTTGGTTATTGGCAAATCGGCTTGATTCCCCTTCGGAGACGACATCCGTCTGCACAGACAGTCCATATGAATCAGTTGAATGGATTTTCTCTCCAATAACGCCAAATTTACGGTGCACGCCGCGACGGCGATTTGCCTTCTTTACGCAGAATTGAAGTCTCGTGGACCGACCGGCTGCAGTGCTCGGATAGGCAAATTATGAGCATGAGATTCAACCTTGGGACGTTGTCGGATCGTGGTGAGCTGCCCGTTTCGAACGTGACGGGATCCGGACTACTGTCCAAATTTGCTGGACATCTTCTACCCCCGCTCCAATGCGCGTTTTGAGTTTACGCCAACTGGGCAGAAGGAATGTATTGACAGGAACAGTAGGCCTGATCTCCGCTCTCCGGACGAAATTCTTCCGGCATGCGGGCTTGCACATACTTTCCTAGGGTGGTAGTAGTACTGTACTCGAGAGCGCTGTTTCATTTTCCTCAACGTCGCGACAACCTGGTATGTCAGCTCACTATTATGGCGATAACTTGTCACCAACTCGCCAGGCGCAGGTAACCTCGGAGCATAGCATATCACATTGGTCCAATCCGGGGACTTGCGTGTTGCATGTGCAGCATGTATCACGCATGCATCGCGATCCTGATGCGTTCCATTGGAAGCCTTATCATGCCAAGGACTGTCAACTCGTAACGCGAACGAGCGAGCCTTCGCTTGAGATTATTCTGGAAGAAATTGACCTCGTGGCTCCCGTTGACGCACCTTTCGCGTGGAGGGCTAGATCGAGACGCTTTTGCGTTTCGCTAGCCCACCCATGCACAACCCGGCCGCTTTGCCCTTGTCTTGTCTCACGGCAAATTCCGACCCCATGCCCGCCGTCTTTTAACCCACGTCCCTGATCATCTCGTCTTACCGCACCAGAGCTGTCTGTGAAATTGCAGGATCACGCCCGGATGTATATGTGGTGTCTCCGGAAAATATGGCACTGTGCGCACAGAGTGGATGCATCATCTTCTCGTTGCATGATCGATGTCCTGAAAGATAACAGCTCTTGATACGTGTGATGAATCGCCTGGTCGGTACGGCTGCTTGCTGCTTCAGCTGCTGCTGGAACGAGTCGCAGGCGGTCCATTTCCCGCCGGATCCGGCTGGCAGCCCGCCTACAGCTACAGCCCGTCGTGCCCGTCCACAACCTCCAGCTACTGTATGTGCAAGCAGCCACTAAACAAAGACTTGAAGCACACTTGCTAGACAGGACGCCACCAGGTTTGGCGCTGATGTTGTCATGTAATCTCGCTGAGCGCTACACACATGCCATGCATGTGCCTCATCTCGAGTCTGCATGCATCGGCTTGCTGTCGCTGGCACTGCGGGCGCGAGGATAAATCTACGCCTCGGTTCGGTGGCGTCGCTTGAGACGATAGTGTCTGATCAACCAGAAGTGGACGCCCGAGGATGAAAGAGTATCTGGATATGGCGCACGTTGTCGGCCCAGGTTTCTATAAGGCACAGAACATATGGCCTAGGCATGGGTGCAAACCGCGCCTTGATACCGCGACCATGTCATCAATGGCCATTACTATGACTTCCATTGGGAATCAGGGGTTGTTATGGTGCCGGCCGAATCCCTCGGTCGTCTTTCCTTGCATTCCATTCCTTCGAGCGCTTGACTAATGTACCTCGAACCATCGGTCTCAAGCCTCGGATCGCCGGTGCCGCACTGCGCATCGCCATGCTGTTGTGCGTGGGCGTATGATCGGCCTGCAAACCCAACTGCCGCACACCCATGTGCGAGTTCTTTGCATTGCACATACGTGCCGACTATTTTGTACATCATGTTGCAACCGACCCACCGTGGTCCACAATCCTGGTGCAACGCGGCCTACGCGCATATTCGGACGTCGTCCTGATACCTCCCGAGTGCGCTGGACTTTCCTTGTTTTGGACAGACCCCAATTGTGCATTGCAGATGTCACTTGCTTCCAAAAGCTTCGCGCCCGCCTTCTGAATGTCGGAGGGGTTGGAGGATAGACGACACCATACAGGAGGTGCGCCGTGTACTTCATCTATCATGTCTTACTCACACTACGGGCCCTGTACATACCTGTGATGCACCCCCACCACACCGGATCAATGCCTCGTCTCGGATTGTCTCAAAACGTCTAAACGCAGCTTCACAGGGAAAGTCCACGCTGAGCTATCCGAAGGTGGGCAGGGAATGTCACTACCGTCCCCGCGTCGAGGGCACATTCGTTGAGATGATATCGGACGACTTACAACGTAGCAACCACGACGTCTGCAGCCTTCCTTCACTTGCATCCTGAACCCGACTTTGATCGACGTCGACCAGTCTGGAAGGGCTGGCGCACAAGCGGATGGATATGTCCGCTCTTGTTCCGGGAGCGTGTGGACGTGCTTATGATCACTAACGCGGCGCACGCTATGGCCATGAACTTTTAATCAGCGCCCACGCACGATCCTCGTCGAGATACATGGACGCATCTCGCACGGTTGTCTGATGAGTCGAACTGGACGTGAGGAATTCCTCGAATGGACTATCGACCAGAACGTTAGTCTACCATGGCCTCGTTCGAGAACTAGTGCACTGTGCACAGCTAGTCGATGGTGACCAATGAAGTCTGCATCTATCTGCTCCACGCCAGTGTTTGAACGGAGTGAATGCGTGAATCGCGTGAATGCGACAAAATCCGCTCAGATGGGTGTGTCTCGTATGCTGTCGAAGGTATGTGCGGGATGAGGACGAGTCTAGAGAAGATTGTGAGAGGACAGGAAGGAGGACAGGTAAGAGGACGGGTGAGGGAAAGTAAGAAGGGCTCCCACCCAACTCGTCCACATCTCAATCCACTCGCGGGAGGGAGCCTTGGAAGCAGGGTTGATGACTTCCTCTTCATCACCTCATCTATTGTGTAGGACTGTACACAAGAATTTTACCAGTAAAATCCTGTCCACTCCCCGAAGCGCGTGGTTGCCACTTCCTTTTCCGAGCTGCGTCGCGCGCCGGGATCCAGCATTCCTTGTATAGTGGCATAGTGGTATAGTGCCAGGTAGGCAGTCAGCAGTACACTACATTGACAACCCTCCCGGGCTCGCATCCGACTGCAGCTTCGTCCAGCACTTTTAGGTAGGCGACTAGGGAATTGGCGCCATCTATTTCGTTACATTCCAAGGTTGGCAGCGCCGCCGCCGGCCGCCAAATTCGTTCCGGTCCCCTGCGACGACATCCCCTCTTTTTGCCCGCGCACCCTCCTCCTCCCAATCGGATCGTCTTGTGCGGCCGAACGTCCGTCTCTGACGAGCATTACGCCAATTGGACAGGGTCTGTTTTCCCGGGCAGTGTGAGAGATAGAAGAGCACGTTGCGGTTGTTTTGCTTTACCTGGTAGAGCCATGTCGATCTCTGCTTGTCGTTCTCGTTGTCTCAGATTGAACTAAAATATTCACCCGCCAACCGACAGTTCTCTCCGGCCCTGGGGTTGCTTCCTCGCATTATACGAAGCCATTTAGAGCGTCACTGGGTTTTCAAGACCGCAGACTCTCCTTCTTATCCTCCTTTGCCGCTCCGTTTGTGTGTCTGAACGGTGTTTTCGTCATTGTTGGATCGACATCGTTTGACTGACACCTCATTCTTCAACATTCAATTTGGCCGGTCTCGCCCCTTCGCTACCACTGCTGTTGTTGTTATTGTTGTTGCCGTTCCAACTGTTATAGGCACTTATCGTCCTCGCGGTAGCTGGGAACGCCACACGGCCATACTTGGATCGAGGGACATGTGCGCTTCATGCTGATGGGCATGCGGTTTAAGCCACTTCTCTTCAAGTCAGACCTTTGCTGGAGAAGTCGGCGCATATCATCATGAACCACCACAGGACTCTGAGCCTGCAATCTCAGACAGGCCACAATGCCATCGCCTACTCTTCGGCCAGTTCCGCATCAATGCAGCCTACAGGCCCATCATATGCATCCTCAGAACAGCACACTCCGAGCAACAGGACCGATTCGCCATCATCGATGCATAGCGGGCATCAGCCGAGCGGTCTCGGACCGGCATTTCAGTATGCGAACAATCACATGATGCCCACATCTGCTCCGAGTTCTGGAGTGCCCGACTACTATCCGGGACCTGAATCTGTTGCTTCAACGCCAGGCCGGTCGCCGACCCACACGTCCCTTAACATGCTGTCTGCGCAACAGAAGCGCGCGTATCGTCAGAGAAGGAAGGATCCCAGCTGTGACGCTTGTCGAGAGCGAAAGGTCAAGTGCGATGCGACTGATACTTCTAGCTGCTCGGAATGCTCAAGTCGTTCGGTGAAATGCCAATTCACGAAGGAGACGAATCGAAGGATGTCGTCCATAAAGCAAGTGCAAGACCTCGAAAAGCAACTTTCACAGGCTCGACAACACATTACGCAACTAAAGGATCGTTTGAAAGATGGCGGCGTTGCGCTGGCGGACGCAGATGTCAAATCAGCAATCATCGCGAACGCGCCGGTTTTGAACCTTCCCTCATCGACCCAAAAAGAACATCGTCCACCACTTCCAGCAATCGACGGTATGGACGAGGTAAGGAAGAACATTCGCAATTACAGTCGGGGGATCTTCAAGCCACCACCTCCTTACCGACAATTTGGGGCGCAAACGAGATTTCCACACCAGAACCATCCATTACCACCAAAACACATCGCGGATCGATGCTTAGCCAACTATCACGGGTCTGTGCATCTGAACTCACCGCTCTTGCACTGGCCTACATTCATGAAGGAGTACGAGGAAGTCTATCGCGTGGGCGGCTTCCAGGATTCTCGGCATATTTGGGTTGCTCTTTTCTACAGCGTCATGGCTTGCGGTATTGTGATGGACCCACGACCGTCAACAGCAAAGGACGAAGCAGACGGCGCACACTACATCGATTTGTGTCTCATGAACGTCAACACGTGGAGCGACGAGCTCACGCTGGACACAGTGCGTACAACGCTGATCATGTCCATATTTTTTGTTGAAAGCAATTTGCTCTCTCCAGCTTGGGTATGGATGGGCGCGGCGGTGCGCATCGCCCAAGACATTGGGTTGCATACGGACCGCAGGGCATACACTTCTCGAGAGGCAGAGAATTCGTTCGAGGCAGAGATGAGACGTCGCGTTTGGTGGTCGGTGTACAATTGGGACAGGTATGTACACAATCATCTACGCGGCTGGGCGAAGAACTTCAATGACTGACGAGTTTGCAGAATCATCTCCTTGGACACTGGACGACCACTGTTGATTAACGATGACGATTGTGAAATCAGTGAGCCAACGCCTGTTGACGAGGACGCAATCACACCGAACGGCATATTACAAAGCAAAACTCAAGCGGGCTGCACTTCTCTCGTCGCCATGATAACCGTGTCGCGGATCACGGCGCAAATCAAACGGAGCTTGAAGCTTCAGACAATTGCACCTTCGACACTGGCTACTTACGACGCGCACTTTCGGTCGGTCATGTCCACTTGGCCGGAGCCATATCCGATGCATTCGCAGGCACCGTTGGATCCGCGTTTGCTGCCGAGTGTTTGCTCGCTCCAAAACAGCATGTTCTTTCTCTATCGTCACAACTTGTCGCCCGCCTGTCGAAGCTGGAGCGACCGTCACGACGCCCTCCAACGCTGTGTCTCTGTCGCACAAAACATGGCGCATTATGTTGAACGCACCTTTCGCGATCCTTCTGTGGTCTCTCGGCAGGGTCATTTCTCTCCCGAGCATCTCTCTCAGTGGGCCGCACGAATGCGAAGTGTCGCACCTGCTTTCTTATGCACCTTGGTGTGGCGATGCCAACTAGTGCTTTGCCTCGTCGGCGATTTTGCCAGTGCACAAACACTGATGCATGTGTCCGTCGCCATCGCTGACTTGCGCAAGATCAACGTTGCCTGTGGCCGTTATTTGACTTTCTTCCTCGAACAGCTCGTAGGCCGACTACGCGCTGGAGCAAGTTTCCATGATCTCGCTCGCGATGAAGCCATGCTGGCATATGTCAGCGGGGATATGCAAGCGTGTATCGACGGCGCCTGGACGTGGACTGGAGGTGAGATGGGCGCCCCTTTCATGCCCCCTCAAGGCGGCCCACACTCTCCACCGCTGGTGCTCATACACCCAGGTGCAAGGCAGTCTGAGCAGGCTGAGCAGCAATCGACAAGCACATTGTCCGAGCGCGAGAAGAAGGAATGGGGAGGTTGGGATCATGTGCAAAGGATGATCCAGCAATTGGCGCACGACCGAGAACAGCAACAGCAACAGCAGCACGAACAGCGACAGCAACAGCAACATCAACAGCAGTATGCCCAGCGCCTACAGCACCCGCAACCGCAGCCGCCGCATCATTCGTCTCTACACCAGACACACCACTCTCACTCGTCCAGCCTCGGCACGTTATCACGACAGCTCACGCCTCCAGCACAAGCCACGCCGTCACACGATCATCGACGTCAAACTTCACAACATCACTTCCCGGCAGGTTCAGGCGGCCAAGCGGCGGCAGCACCACCGCAGCGCAACACAAACCAATCACCCCTGCGATCGGGATTGACGAATCAGCAGCCACTGCCACCGCCGCTCCCGCCAACCCCTACACATCATCATCAGCACCCGTCACAACATCAGCTGCCACCGCCACCTCCGCCGCCTCCACAGCAGCATTATCGACCAAGTCATTCTCCGCATCCGAGCCTGACATCCCCCCGATCACATTACGCGCCTGCGCCCACGAGCGAGCCATATCGATCTCCACCGCGCAGTGCCATGGCGAAGACCACAGGGACTCTTCCAGGCCCGACGCTCCCAGCTCCTGCGCCGACAACGAATCGCATGAGCATCAAGGAGATCATGTGAATGATGAGCCGGCATTCACCCTGTCCCGACACTGAACGATGTCACGACTCATACCGTCCAGCGACAACTCTCGGTATAGACCGAACTCGGGCCTCCGATTACGGAACCCGTACCTTGAGGACGATTTGCCGACTACCTTTTCTTTTCAACTTCCCGTCATGTGTTTCCCTTGCACATATCTACACTTTCTCCCCAACAGCATTCGATTCGGAGAGCTATGAGAAGAGAAGGATCATTTGATGTGGCTTTTGAACCTACTATTTGAGGAAAATTTGTTCCTCGACGATGAATGATCATGACGGCCGTGACGGTCATTTCACGATTTTTTTTGATATCCCCCTTAGATTATTTCGAATCTAATTCCATTTCTCGTTCACTTGTTCATCGCGACAAGGATTCTTATGTGCAGGAATCTTAGATACAGGACGAGGCTGATGATGAGGAAACGCCCACGGCCTGTTCGCACAAGCAAGTGATGTATTCCCGGCGTTAGATGCAAGTTGCGGTTCGCGCAGAGAGTACCAACGACTTAGATGCCCACGTGCTCTTCACATCTGTCTCACCTATAGTCGGCTGCAGAGATTGAGAGTATCGTCAGCCGCCGTGCACAGATAATAGCGTGCGTGCTGTGCGTGGGAGATGAAGAGTACAGTCAAGAACTTGCCGCCCGCCTCTCATTCACCAATGAATATCACGTTTCCAACCCCGCCCACGTCATCGCTTCTCTTTCACGAAGTTGGATTGAGCTCACGATTTTCTGTCGAGTCCATCTCACCTAGATAGACACTTTACCACTACCTACCTAGATAGACCTTTTACCACTACCTATCTAGATAGATAAATACATATCACAATGAATCTCCAGCAAGGTGGAGCTAGCGACAGAAGAAAACAAGGAAAGAGGAAGGCTTGTCTGTGGCCAAGCTTTGCGGTTCCTTGCCCTGATCGAAGCCCATGAGGAGCCCAATCCACCTCCTATACATTCTACACTTCTCCCCGGAGGTCCGCCAAATGAATGTTGATGATGAACTCTAGACCCGCCCGGATATCGTCTCCACACAACACACACGTTCTCATCAGCTCTGCCGTGTTTCGCTGGTTGGGATGATATTCCTTCACCCATCCATTCGTCCACCATCGACACCACCACCAACCATCACCACTCGTGGGTTGAAATTGCTTTTGCTGCATGTGGCACATTGTTGTCCTTCATCCATGAGCCGCGAAATGCCTATGTGGGACGGCACATTCTTGTGACCAATGGATTCACCGACGTACCCGCATCTGCTGCATTCGCACGCCCGGCCGCCCAGGAATGATTACACTTCACATATCTTCACGCCTCTGTATGCATCCATACGTAGTAAGTATGCATTATGCAGAATGGTTAGTCAATGACGTGGGTGTCGGTGCCGCAGAGCTGCCACCAGCTGCTAAAATGAACTCGACGCCTGAGCTATATAGCTGCAGCACTACTGGACTGTTACCTTTTCCCGTGCCGAATTCCCATCGGGCAGCACAACGGTCAACGGAAAGCTCCAGCTTCTCGCAAACCACTGATGTTTCGGGGCGGAATAATGGCACCTTCATGCATGGAAACGCGTTCGTTCGAGTCGATCAAGGCTATGGTACATCCGTACTACCTCTAGCAACCTGCCTATCTACCAATCATGGTTGATACTTCGCTTCAGGTAGGTACGGTAGCTCTGTCGAAGCTCCTTCTTCCTTGCCTGCCTCTCACCTGTCATGCTCGGGGATCTCGATTGCCCTCACAGTTCAATGCCCCGTTGATAGAAACTTGACTGCATATATATTCACTCGTCCTACTCTTCACGAGTCCCTCGCGTTCATCTTACGCGTCCTCATTCACGCCCTACGCTTCTTCTCATTCTATTACTTCTCTTGAAACTCGCCTTTACTCCTTTGACCTCCACCAGTATACATAACAACTAGAAGGCATACCTCTGCCAGCGGCCAATCTCCCTTATCACTCGCCAACATGGTTCACTTGGGAAAGGTCCCCACGGACGACGAGCTCAAGAAGCCTGTCATCGAAGCTCTCAAGGAGCTTGATCTGTCCGGCCCTGGCAATGATGACTTCACAACTAGTGTTTATGGCTCCAGATTTGCCGCCGCCGACCTGCCCAAGCATGAGATGCCCGAAAATGAGATGCCTCGTGAGGTCGCCTACCGAATGATCAAGTGGGTGACCATCATCTGGTGAAAGCCAATGTGTTGGGCTCGCAGTCACTGACAACATGACGACAGAGACGATCTCTCCCTAGATGGCACGCCCACTCTCAAGTAGGTTCTCTGCTGATCTAGCTCGAAAGTCTCACAATCTGACCCGACCAGCTTGGCCTCTTTCGTCACCACATATATGGAGGAGGAAGCAGAGAAGCTCATGGTGGAGGCTTTCTCCAAGAACTTCATCGATTACGAAGAGTATCCGGTGTCCGCTGATATTCAAAACCGATGTGTCTCCATGATCGCTCGTCTCTTCAACATTCCCACTCACGATGCCTCCACGAACGCCATGGGCACGTCCACCATTGGCTCATCCGAAGCCATCATGTTGGCTACCTTGGCCATGAAGAAGCGTTGGCAAAACAAGAGAAAGGCCGAGGGCAAAGACTACAGCAGACCCAACATTATCATGAATGCGGCTGTGCAAGTCTGTTGGGAAAAGGCCGCCCGCTACTTCGATGTCGAGGAGAAGTTTGTTTACTGCACAGAAGATCGCTTTGTGATCGACCCTGAAGAGACTGTGAACCTGATCGACGAGAACACCATCGGCATCTGCTCTATCCTCGGAACCACCTACACGGGAGAGTACGAAGACACCAAGGCCATCAACGACCTTCTCATCGAGCGTGGCATTGACTGCCCGATCCACGTGGATGCTGCGTCGGGAGGATTCGTTGCACCATTCGTGAACCCCAACCTCGAGTGGGACTTCCGTCTTGAGAAGGTTGTCTCGATCAACGTCTCCGGTCACAAGTACGGTCTCGTATACCCTGGTGTAGGCTGGGTCGTCTGGAGGGACCCCGAGTTCCTGCCCAAGGAGCTCATCTTCAACATCAACTACCTCGGCGCCGACCAAGCCTCCTTCACACTCAACTTCTCCCGAGGCGCCTCGCAGGTCATCGCTCAATACTACCAGCTCATTCGCCTGGGCAAGCGCGGTTATCGCGCCATCATGTGCAACCTAACCCGCACCGCCGACTACCTAAGCAAGGCTGTCGAATCCATGGGCTTCATCCTCATGTCCGAGACCGGCGGCCGAGGTCTCCCCCTCGTCGCCTTCCGCCTCAACCCAGAGCACGACCACCCCTTCGACGAATTTGCCATCGCCCATCAGCTCCGCGAACGCGGCTGGGTCGTGCCCGCCTACACCATGGCCCCCAACGCCGGCAAGCTGAAGATGATGCGCGTGGTCGTGCGTGAGGATTTCTCGCGATCCCGCTGCGATGCTCTCGTCACCGACCTCAAGCTCGCGCTCGACGAGCTCACCAAGATGGACGCCGCGCGCCTCAAGCTCCATGATGAGCGACGGAAGAACGTCGGCAAGCTTAGCGGCAAGCATGAGAAGGTCAATGATCACTACGCTGATGAGGAGCACAGTCTCAAGGGCAAGCACGGCAAGACACACGCCGTATGCTAGACGATAGAGCGAGCGATCGGGCTTCTGAAAATTTCTACGTTCGGGTACGAGATCGACATGGAGGAGAACAAATGTGTCTTGATGACGCCAGACGTCTCATACATGGCATCCGCGTGGATGGCCCACAACTCGCAACGGACCCATACCACACTAAGACGAAGATAGTAGAATCATAAATAATGACGATAAAGAAAAAAAGAATGCTATTTTAGATCCACACCGACAGGAAAAAAGGATCACCAAATTCGTCCACCTATCTTTTCCCTTCTTTTCTCGATTGTCTTCTCGCTATGCTAATCCCAGAACCATGCATCGCGCGGTTCCATTAACTCTCTATCAATCATTGCGGGGGTATCGATCGTCTACGCGGAATGAATCAGCACGTCCCTCGCAGGCCCGGTGCTGGCGGGTTCCCGGTCTTTCCTCCCGACTTGGGAGTGCTCGTCGATCTCGACGGGTGCAGGGGCGGGTTTCGTGGTATAGCTCTGACGCTTCGGGTCGGCGAACGCGGATGTCGTCGCCGTTGCGATTCTCTCCGCGGGACGCTGGAATTCGGGGCTCACGGGCGAGACTCGCCCGTCGGATGCTGGAGCGGCGGCGAATGCTGAAGTGAACGCGCTTGTGCTGCTGCTGCTACCGGTGGTCGCATTGGCAGCGGTGCTGTTGGGTTTGTATGCTGGTCCTGGGTTCGAGGCGATGGGCGAGGGGTGGTAGGCGACGTAGGTATTATTGGACTGGGGAGGCGTGGAGGGGCGTTTGGTCGTGTCGTCGGAACCTTGCGGTTCCCAGCCGTAGTTTGCGGGTTCGATGAAGGGGGTCGTGCCGGAATTCTGGGCATCTGTCGGGTCGGAGAAGGGGTTTGTGAGAGTCTCTTCGGCGGGCGAGACGGAATAGTCGCGGGCAGGTCGCTGGCCGGGTGGGGGACCCGCTGGCGCTGTGTAGGCGAAATCTCGAGAGTTTTCAGGCTCGTTTGTTGCGGGTGCGAATGCCGAATAGACGTTGGCGGAGGTTTCTGTGGAAGTTGCGGCTGTCGGTCGCGAAGTTTCTTGCTGCGTAGCATTGGCCGGCGGATTGGGCGATGAGCCTCGGGTGCGGCGCGCGGCGAGCAAGGCGCGCTGGAAACGAGTGTTGGACAGTGTCAGCTGCTCGTTCGTCTCGATAAGGGTCTGCATCGTGTCGTGGTCGGGCTCCGGGTTGACGGAATCGATGTAGCCCTGCATGCTGCGTGAAGCCGTCTGGCAGCGATCGGCGAACTCGCGGACGAGATCATTCGAAAGCAGCTCGTCAGCCGGAGTTGATTGAACCAACTGCATCAAGATCTTCGCTGTGTTGCGCGCCTCTTCGATGCGACTGGCCAATTCGGCGGGCGGCGGTAGTGTCGGCCGACGTTGATGGGATTGTCCTCCAGCCTGCGCATTCACGTATCGCGATTGCTGTAGCATCGGCGGAAGTGGCATGGGTGGGTATCGCGTGCTCTTTTCCTTAGCCCACATCTGCAGCAGAGCCTTGCAGCCTTCATCCTCTCTCTTGCTCACCTCTAGCGAGTCCAAGGTCTCGCGGAGGATCTGTTGGGTACTGGGGTCGTTGCCATTGCGCAGGAGCTTCTTGACGGTCGTGACGAAGGTCTCATCAAAGTTGCGGGTGAAGATGGGTCCAGGGTGGTCGGACAGAATGCGCACCAGCATGATGGCGTTGTACTGGACGTGCGGTTTCTTGTTGTAGTCCTTCGAGAGGAAGGAGCGAATCTGCCGCGCAGCATCTGCAGCTGCGACCGGTGAAGACTCCACACTCTCGACGATCACTGGAAGGTGTAGTACTTCTTCTCCGCCTGCATTGTTGGATCCGGACTCGCAGAAGAGGCGAATCGCTCGAACCGCATTGCCTTCTGGAGAGTCGGCATGATCGTCTTCGGGTTCATTGGTCTCGGTGGTGCGACGGATCAGACTCTTGAATCCTTTCATGCTCTTCATCGCTGCGGGTGTTTGAGAATTGTTGCGTGCAGATCGTTATGTTGCACGCCAGCAGGGGTATAGCAGACACTTATTATGTGGGCACCTGCAATATCGTAATGTCAACGCGTAGCCAAGAAGGTTGAGGGGCTGTGCATGGACGCGTACTCCAGCCAGGCAGACAGCGATTGTGGCGCGCACCTAACGGGTAAAGGACAGCTCAGATCAGTCCTGAGCTTGATTGAAGACTCAGAAAGGCCCAAGGCTACAGCGTGGTCTTTTTAATACTCCCCAGGAGCGGGTGAGAGCTACTGGAGATGGGGTGTCAGCGCCAACGTAAAGAACAGCCATCAGTCACGAATCCGCGTCATTTCCCACGCGGCACAGTCGAAGACCCTTGGGACGACCTTGGTACAGACCAAGGGAGCGTAATAATAGTAAGCCCTAGTGGTTTCGGTCGTAAAATTAGATGCGGGCGACCCACCTGATCTGCTTGGATCGAGCAGATAAAATCAATGGCACAATTGTCGGGTTATGAAGCATTCGATCTGTCTCATCGATGATAGCCAAGCAACCAAGGACTCCTCGCGTGGCGCGTCAAATAGACGCGCCATCCAAACTCCTCGATCGCCAGAGCCCGGCCGCTTTTACATCATGCATCGGACGCCTCAAGATAGCCGCCACGCTGTGTCAATGTGGCGATCGCTTTGGGACGTCGGATATACGCATATCTTGTGCATCGTATCTGACTCCCCGAGCGACACATAATCGTATTGATGACGGCGACTGCGAACCTGCGTGACAACCGTGGAAGTTCGAACATTGTCAGGCAGACTTGAAACACAAAATCCATTGTGTGCGCATTGAATATATGAATATAGTTGCACATCTGCCGCCGTTTCGGCTGCAAGTTCCTTCTGGAGTTGCCAAAGTTACAGCTCGTCAGTAGTGCTTCGCTGTTCATTCGCCAAACTAGTCGACAGACGGCCTAGATCTAGTACGACCCAATCTCGTCCACGGTTGCCGACGACCACACAGACGTATTTACCCGGACGTCCTCCTACAGTCATTTTCTGGGGCGCAAATCCACCTTCTGCTGGGAAAGAATGGACAACAACGGCAGATGCCGAATGATCTGCAGTGTGCAGCATCAGTGCAGTACAATGCTCGTCCTCATAGCGAACAAGGCTAAGGATGCATTGGTGAATCGCCGGGAACAGTTTCGCGTCGATGACTTGACCGGCTTTCGAGAAGGACCTCGTCACTGTGATTGTCTCTGGTTCAGGTTGTGGTCGATCAGGCGTGAGGCGAGAGCTTTCTGCGAATGACAAACGCGTCTTCGTCGTTGAGGGAATTGGTAACCTTACTTCAAAGGTAGTCAGATGCGTCGCTGCCTTCAAAGACTTTGGAGGAACAGCGACTATGTGTGCGATTGCTGGGAATTTTGGGATGAGTTTCTGACCCGGTGATTGCAGAGCCATATCAGCGGCCGTCAATCCCTCCTCCAGAGACAAAGTGGCTTTGAACGATGGTTCGAGCATCCGGCTCTGCCAAGCGGTGATTTTCTCCAATGCCATGCGAATATGACCTTGCAACACGGCCGCGGTAGCTGGAATATTTAATGAAGCAGACGCCACTGCCGATTGGGGTGCGCCGTTCATAGCCCGCTTCGCCCATGCTTTCTCATCGTCCAATACTGCATCTGTAGCTTCTCCAAATTTCAGCTGCTTAACGAAAGCATGCGCCGAAAAGTCGTGCTTGCTCAGTTGCTGTTGAAATTCTTGTTTGGTGTCAATGTATGGCACCAGGCGACTTTTTGTCATTGTCTCCTTGATATATCTGGAAATTAAAGAGTAGTCTAGCGATGGCACTTCGCGTTCTTCGATCTCGACAGCACCGTTTGAGAATGGTTCTGCTGTTCCGATTTCGATTTGCATCTTGAGCCATTTGCTGAAAGCTCGAAATTGCTTGTGCTCGGTTATCACAATGGACGAACATTGCTCGGCAAGCACCCGCAAGCTGTCGACAGCACACAAGATGTTTGTGAATAACTCTGGTGCACAATCGAACTTGGAGGATCCTTCGTGGAAGATCGCCTGGCCACGAAGCTCACAAGCAGCAATACTGAAACGCTCCAGAGCCGGTGAAAGATTGATGAAGAGGTGGTGTTGGATATTAGTGTACATAGAGCCCACTGCCGTGTCCCATCGCTTGTGGTTATTGTCTTGCACTATATCAGTAAGCCACTCAAGTATGGGAGCACTGAATTCTCCTGTCAAGGCAAGGTGGTAGAGACCAAGAATTGCGTCACCTTCATCGCTGTCGCTGAGCATTCCGCTCAAAGACTTCATCAACCGTGTTGGGAATTGTTGCCCGGTCGTGAAGTCATGCTCGATGCATCGTACAGTATGGAGTACATAATCGAGCAGACTTTGCATTCGCTTCGTGTTGCTAGCAATGACGTGTAGTAGCGGGCTGCCCAGTGTGCTAAGAGGCAGTCGAACAAAGTCAATCCGAAGTAGGGATTGGTCTTCATTCGACAGGATGGTATGGTAGGAGCTCTGGGGATGCGACGCATGCAGAAACGAGTTTCGGCCGACCTGGGATGAACCGATCTTCACAGTCTCGTCTAAGAGCACTTGTGCGACGCCATCTGCCTGGCAGACGACCAGAGCTTCGACGGTGCCAGTACCGGACTCCTTGCGCGTTTCGAACACTTCGTCAGCAGCCACCAATGTTGCGAATTTGTTGCCAGCAGGACCAGCTTTAATCAAAGACATTCCGTGAGCAGGTATCGCACTGAGTCGTGGAAGAATCGTGGTGACATCCAGGCTAGTGATAGCACCCGGGAGGGCTCCTGCAACGTGGTCGAAGCCTTTGCTCTGAAGCTCTTTGTTTTCGTGGAGAGATTCGCTACCCCAGTCATCCAGTGACAGGTGGCTGTCCTTTACTTGACCGATGGACCGTCCAGGGACGGTGTGCGAGTCCCAACTGAATTGGCAAATGGATTCACTTGTCTCATCGTCATCTTCGAATGTAGGTCGGAGGTCCAGCCTCCAATCATCCTACGCTTGAGCTTTAGCCTTGAGCCTAGCTTGGACAAAAGACCCCGGGGCAATTTGATGAGTGTCGTCTCTAGGTCTCTAGTTCATCACTTACATCCTGTTGATTTTGGTTCGCTTCGCTCCGCCCGGTGCTGATTACACCTCCGCGCTCTCCGTCATGAACGGCATAACTTCCATCATTCCAAGCAACAGCTAGCATCGATCCATCGGAGCGCCATCCAATCGATCGTACCTCGCAATCATCTCGACGTTTGATTACAAATGCGACCTGGCCAGATATGATTCGATAAACAGAGATGTCCCATGTGGAGTGCACGACTGCGAGCAGATCTCGAGGTCCACATAAGCTCGAGAATCGAATCGGATTTGGCAGACGATGCTTGGAGAGGGTGCGAAGCACGGCGCTCTCAGCCGTCATGGTGACATTTCCACGGCGGTCGTTTCGACAGGCGATCGAAAATGGCCGATTGAACCAGTCAAGTAACTTGGGTGCACGGGCCACATTGGTATAATTCCCCATCGTGGATTTTGACGACTTAGACAGCCCCACGAAGATAACACGATCCAGAAATGCCGGAGTGCATCAATGTCTCCTCGGAGAATGGCGGTGGTCTTATCCGTTATGTTACACCTGCGATGACACGACCTAGGTAATCATGATGCGCTGCTGAACGCGCGAAATTGCTGTGCGGCCGAATTTGTCAACACCTGATATTCGCGAGCACAGGGGAAAACGCCAATACTCATAGCACTACGGAAAGGAGGCAGGAACGACTACGCCGCTCATGCCAAAATGTTGACAAAGTTTTTTCGCAACGCTCAATGACGACCTATCCGTCCAAGAGTTCATTTAATCCATCCGCTGAAGCCTCAGAATATGAGGTGCAGGCGCCAGACTATCGACCAATGCTTTCGTCTCGCAATCCCTTCGCCACATTTGCCTGCCGTGTTATTTTCAAAGCCTTCGGCATGCAGGTTTCCTTGAACACAACAACGTCCTTTGAATTTAATATCTACTGATCCAAGTTTGCGTGCCAAAATTGCTTCCGGATTGTTTTCCAGCCATGCGAAGTCCAGATCAGGTTGCCTTTACTTATGGTAAGGTAACTTGGTTGGTGTCGTGCCTGGGCGACGCTAAAAATCGCCTTCCCTAGTGCAGGGGATCATTCCTTTTTGCATGGGCTGCATCGGCGTGCGACTCAGCATACTGCGAATGTTTGTCGGAAGTAGTCTTTGAAGCAGACTGTTGTTGCTTTCCGCCGCTCCACAATGCACCTTGTCCTGTCGTCGCAATTAGCATCCATATGGTGAGATGCATGGCTTCGTACCATATGAGCCTTGAGTAGTCAAAGATTGCTTCGAATCGCCCGAGGATAGAACGATTTTCGGCTGCCAGAGACCATTGCACTGTGTCTGCTGGGTTGAGCCGCTTGCCTCTGACATCGTGGGGACTGCTCCTTGGATGCTGTGTATCTTCTGACCTCGAGGTTGAAGGACCATCAATCAGGCTCGCTGGAAAGGCGTGTGATGAATGAATAACAACTACATCGTCTTTCCACGGTCTTATAAATCAAGAACAACGGCGCCATGTCGAAGGTGGTACCACATGCCATGGAACAGCAAGCAGCTTCGTGGTCGATTTTGCGGCCTGTCACACCTGCTCATGTGGATCACAAAAGTCTATAATTTCAACATCTAGCAAGCTTTGGGCGTCAGCAGCTACATTCGTACCACTCACACAGTACTGGATTTAAGTACGATCTGAATGCCACGACCGAGACGCGACATGTGACTCCACGAATCCGGTAAGCACCTAGGTACACATCATTATAGCCGCACGCGCTGAGGGCCGCTTCTGCTTTTCACGAGCTCCATCTCTCGATGTTGCAATTGCAAACACTTTCACACAGAGTCGTGAACAGTATTGTGCAGGTGTGGCAATTTCGGCGGCCCACTGCATTCTGCTGTGACCTCGTCGTTCCTGTCTGATTCGGTCTGGTCGTGGTCTGTGCTGCTGTAAAATAAGGCCTTCGTGTAGTCGTAGACTGCCTGTCTTTCATGCATCATATGCTACCATAAAAGAGCACCATTCCGAATTCACACAATTCTATAAAGTGAAGACGTTGGAAATTCGGAGAAGAGGCTCGCTGTTGAAAGTCGAGTCCTGTGTTGGGGGACCCATGGCAGGTTGAGCCGGCGCGTTTGACTGGTACTATTTGGCAACCTTTTTCTCTCTCGAGCTATCGGGGGATTTTCCGAGTTAGGAAGTTGTCTCTTGGAATGATTCTCGAGTCAATGCATGAATTTTGTACCACAGGCGTGCAAGGCGCACACAGGTATCTCGATGCCCATTCTCGCGACTCTAATCGCTCACCAGAACTCCCCATTCCAACGCGATGTCTTACGTGTAGAACTCTTGGCCGGGGCAGAGGAATCGAATTCACTTTATGCATCATGTCCTCGGTTTTTGGCAGACGAATGTGGAGTGAATGAGACCGGATAATGCATGTGCTTGGTGAGCCTTAACAATATCAATTCCTTTGTCATCGAGTCGCGTTATCTTGATGATGTCTCATACAAAAGATTCCACCTGCAAGATGACAATCCAGATATTGCTCTTGCAGCTTCGACCGTGATAAATCGCCATATCCTTCGCAATCGCGTCCTAGGTAAGGCCCGTTTGATGCAACGTTAAGCTCAATCAAAGCAATATGGCACAACGCACAAGTAACGATGAAGCATTCCTACGTCGCTCCTATCGCTCGAGCGCGCGCTCCTACGACAGCAATGGTCGGGACTATCTCGCGTCGGTCATGAATTGGTCGAAAGCGCGGTTCGAAGACTGGTTAACTTCACCAAAGGGCTTTTGTCATCTCAGGTTGTAGTATAACCTGTGTGTTGCAGGGCGGAAACGGTTCAACAAGGTAGTACACTTCATCAACGACGGCGAGAATGGCTATTTCTACGACCCAGACGGGCTCGAGAAAGAAATTTTGCAGTTGTGTCTTGTTGCAAGCAATGGACATGATCGCTACTGTTCGCTCGTGGATGGGAACTACGAGGTCGTTCCCAAGACATCAGCATGGCCTGTGCAAGACCTGTGGGCGCAGACAGCATGGCGAATAGTCGAGGACAACATCCGTTCTGGAGACGCTCTCGAGAAGACTTCTCGACGATGTCCGGAAAAGTCTTATGGTTTCGTTATCGAGATCCTATGCATTGCGTTTCATTCCATTGCTCATCGAGGTTCTAATTCGGTTTGGGACGAGATCATCAATGGTCCGCGAGATACGACAGCGTTGTTGCTATACGCGCGTCGGAGGCAGACAGGATTGACGGTAAATCATTCTGGGAAGCAAGTAAATACCTGCACCAGATCGGGTCCCGATATCGACCTCGAGGGAGAATACGATGCTTTGCCCAACTACTTTCAGGACAGTGCTTACGAAGGTAGCACAGAGCCTGAAGACAAAGTTTTGTCGAAGCGGTGTCATGGAAAGAGTGATACCTTCATCGAGGCGGGAGCAGAATTCCTTGTCAATCTTTGTGATCCTGCCGTTGAACATACAAGCACCTGCAAGACAAGCGAGAAGTCGAAGGCGGGAAACCCTCGAAGTCGCAGCAATCATGACTTTCGTGATTTGTACTTGGTGGACGATTCAGGCAATGCCATCACAGGATACTACACCCGATCTCAGGTGCGCAAGGATTGATCAGCGACTGTTCTCGATCTTGCGGGACAAAGGAGGCCGCAAAACTCCATTCAAATCATGACATTGGCTACCTGTTACAAGTCGATCACACTCGCAGTATACCTTCTTCAATCGAAGAGCATCTTGGAAATGGTTCGCTGAGATCTTGCACGTCGCCCTATCTTAAGGCGTGCTTTCCGTTGCGCAAATCCAGATAGCATTGGTCGAATATTGATTTAAGCGCTGGTGGCAGCCTTGGCTAGGTCGGCCAGAGCCTCCTGGCGCTTGAAGCGCGCATCTTGAATGACACTAGCGTCGGCATCGTTGGAGAAGTTTCCAGTCCACTCAACAAAAGTCGATCCTGCGTGTTCGCCGCTGGTGACTGGGAAAAGACGAATGGTCGATAGGACGCTGGTGTATGTGAGAGCTGGGGTTGAGGAGATGACTGAGTAGGTGATGTAGTGGTTGATGGTCTAATTAGTGAGGGAAGGTTAATAAAATATTCGTCATTGGCAACAATTAACATCACGTTCACCCACGCTGTGTTCTTCCTGCTTGACCTCCAGCACGGTGTTGTCCTTGAAAGTCCACTTGACGATATCGGTCTCTTCACTTGCACCCTTCACGAACTCCGAGGATGTGATAGCAGAGTAAAACTTGGAGAAGTCCTGGAGTTTAATGAAGTGCCAAACATGCGCGAGCTTTGCCTTGATCACGGCTGATTCAGTCACCGCGGTGCTGGTGGGAATGATGCTCTGTTGGCCAGACATTTTATCGATTCAATTGACTCTTCGAGCGTGAAGATGATGATGTGGTTGATTCGGTTGATTTGATTGTGATCGTGTGCGGTGTTTACACAGTATAATCTAATCTTCGTAAACATTACGACCACAACGTACCTACCTAGTACTATGGACCTGCCAGCGCCTCCAGGGCTACTGTCGACATCATTGGCATGCACGTCAACAGCGACTGCCCCACCAATTTTCCATATGGACCCCTCGAGTAGTAATTGACGTCACCGACTAAATTGCAAGCACGTGACTTTAGGGGAGATGAACGCCCGGCGCTGAGCGAAAGCCCGATGCAGTCGTCGGCAAAGCCTGGAGCTAATCCAAATTTGAAACTGTGCCTGTAAATGTCTTCACGATGAAGCAACGCGAGCTTTGGCATTGAAAATTGCCAGAGCATATCAAGCTTATATTGCTTCGTCATGGCTGCCACACAGTTCGACGCCGGCCAGAATGATGCACTCGCTGGTCAGCAAGCTCATGAGCATGCTGTCGGCATTGATGTCTTTGTCGGCGCAAATACTCATGCATTCGGTTGTGTAGTGAAGCAGAGATACACGGACTTTCTGGTCAACGAAATTCTACCTGGTGGTCGCGTACTACACTTGGTGAAAGACGAGCCACTTCCAGACCGCAAGCGCAAAAGAGGTGAAAGAAAGGATGAAGAGGATCGGCAGAAAAAGCTGAGACTCGACGATGGCGACACAGCCGACGATGCAAATGCTATCCAGCCTGCCGCCGAAGGGACAAATGACAAACCAGTTCCTGATGTCCAGGGAGCGGCAGGAAAGGGCGATGTCGCCGTGCCAGGAACATCAGAGGTGGATACGCCGGCCGCCAAACTTGTAGCCATTGCTGGCATCAAGGAAGAGGATAGAAATGCTCTAATAAAACTGTTTGGCGGAGAAGTAGCTTCGTCTCTATTCGACCTATATGCCTGCACAGTCGTATTTCCTCATCGTAAGCCTCGCGATCAACCAACCGTTCTATCCAAGCCCTTCTCCGAAAAATCGCAACGGACAGAGGCCCATACAGCCATTCGTCGCATTTTCGGTGCCAACAGATTGGAGTCAATGACTGTGCAGGATCCGAACAACCCAGCTTCGCCTGCCACTGTTATCTCCATCAGATCTACTCCGCCAAAGGCGCCCGTCGATCCAAACAAGGATGAGCAACAAAAGGGTAAGATCATCTGGTCGGAATTAGGAGGAGAATATTTGCATTTCAGTCTATACAAGGAGAACAAGGATACCATGGAAGTACTATATTTCATCGCATCACAACTCAAGTTGCACATCAAGCATTTCTCATTCGCTGGAACGAAAGACCGCAGGGGAGTCACAGTGCAACGAGTGGCGGTTCATCGAATTAAACGCGAGCGATTGGAAAGCTTGAATCGTATTGCACGAGGCTTCAGGTTGGCCGGTCCTTGGGAACACAAATCCGAGGCTCTTGCTTTAGGAATGTTGGGAGGCAACGAGTTCGTGTTGACGTTACGAGACGCTCGATTCGCTAATGAGCAGCCCACTTGGTGTATCGAGGAGCGCCTAAAGCACGCTTCTGAGATTGTGTCAATTGCAGCGAAAAGTCTGAGCACAGCCGGATTCTTGAACTATTACGGCTTGCAACGATTCGGCACGCACAGCATCGGCACGCATTCGATTGGAATGAAGATCCTGAAAGGAGATCTCAAGGGTGCTGTGGATGGAATTCTTTCGTATGATCCTGCTTTGGCTGCTCTAGACGTGGACCAGCAAGATGGTCAGGCAGCGAATGGTCACAGCGTTAAGTCACTGGTTCCGCGAGATGACATCAGCCGTGCCAAAGCCATACATGCCTTCCGATCTGGTGCAAAGGTATCCGAATCGCTCGCGTATGTGCCTGGTCCTCGGTTCTCCGCCGAGAAGGGCATGATTACCTTTTTGAGCAAGAAGGATCACAAGACTGGCGCGAAACCCAACGAGACCGATTACCAAGGCGCGATTCTACAAATTCAGCGAAACCTGCGCCTGATGTACATTCATGCTTATCAGAGCTTTGTGTGGAATACTGTCGCAGGAAAACGCTGGCAACAATTTGGTGCAAAAGTCGTTGAGGGCGATCTCGTGATCGTCGGAGACAAAGAGCGTGAGGAAGGCATCGCCAACGGCTCAAACACGCGCAAAAATGAAGTAGACGAGAACGGTGAGCCGATCGTGCATCCCACAGCATCTGCTGCGGTCGGTACAGAGGACGCGGCGGGCGCTCCGGATGATGCGGAGTACACGGACGATCCTTTCATTCGTGCGCGACCTCTAAGCAAGGACGAAGCCGAGAGCGGACGATACACCATATTCGACGTCGTTCTGCCTCTGCCCGGCTACGATGTACTGTACCCCAGCAACGATGTCGGGAAGTTTTACGAGGAATTCATGGCATCAGAAATCGGTGGCGGTCTCGACCCACACAACATGCGTCGCGCTTGGAAGGAGATTTCCCTCTCGGGTGGCTACAGGAAGATGATGGCCAGACCTCTGGGCCAGGGAGTAGAGGTTGACGTCAAAGCTTACCAGAGCCCTGACGCGCAGCTCGTTCAGACTGATCTTGAGAAGCTGGAAAAGCGCGGGCCGGCCTCCACCAGCGTTCCACAGTCGGCTGAAGAACAAGCACAGACTGGCGGCAAGGACCAGCTCGCGATCCTTCTGAAACTCAAGCTCGGGAGCAGTCAGTATGCGACCATGGCATTGCGCGAGTTGACCAAGGGTGGTGCTGCCGGCTATCGCCCCGAGTACTCGCTGTCGAAGCGATAGATCACGGACGGAGTATTCACACATATCTGTACCATAAAGAGTCATATCACTGAACCACATAACGATCGATGAACAGCTATATCTAGGACAAAGAGTACCTCATTGCTTTCGATCACCAATACTGGCTGCTGCACCCTCTGAGTCATCCGATCCTTGCATAGACTAACACCGAAGATCGTCATAGGACCCGGCTAAATGTGTCGTAATACCGCTGTGTATGGAGATGTGAAGAGAGTGCGCTGGGAAAACGTTCAATTTGTGCGCGGCTAGTCTTGCCATAGGTCAAAGATATCCGCGACCCCTGAGAAAATTGTCATGAACAGGTGCACCGGCCCGGAGCCACCTCACACTTCATGCTCTTTGCGCGCACTGCTACCACAGATCTTATTTCGGCCACGAGGATGAAGCCTGTGAAATCAGCAATTGTTCGGCTTGGTTCTGTGCTAGCATCTCTCCGAACCACACGTCGACGATACGTTCGACATGACTTCTGGTACAGTCGACATGAACTCGTGTGGCTCGTCGAGCATTTCAAAAAAAAGATGCAATGACTTTTCCGCCATGTATGGATGAAAAGCGTTGCGAGCGCACGCTCGCTGCTCCTCATGATTTGCTATCAATCCGCTCAAAATGACTTACTCTGGAAAGTCCCGCACGTCTGCTGCTAACTGGCGCGCCGAAGCCAGGCCTCTGAGCCCACGTCCCAATGCTGCGACACCAAGCTCTCGTGCCAATGCTGCGACACCCAGCCAACGTCCAAATGCTGCGACACCCGCGGCCGAACGTCCGTCTTGGGTCACCGCTTCGCTGAAGAAACTCGATTCAGATCCCGAATGGCATTACTGCTCAGCCGAGATAGCCATGCCACAGCCAAGGCGCGTGATTCGACCTCCATCCGTGCAAGCGATTGATGGAGCCAGCGCGGCCCCTGAACAAGCCCCTGATCAGCACCATGTGCCTTTCGCGATGATGCGCGCGGATAGCCAGGATGAATACGCAGCTTACAGAATTTACTCTTACGAGGAACGTTCGAGGATTTTCCGGGAAGCATGGGAGCAACAGCGGCGATGGGAGCAAAACGCTTATTATGAGGCGTACAAGAAGGCCAATCCTAATCTGAGTTATCAAGACTTCGACCTTCTCGACGCCTTCTTCGAGTTGCCGCCGACGGAAATAGAAGAGAACTTCCACATCAATTCTTACGAGTCTCATCCCTGGGTGAAACACTTCTGGCAGGTGGAACGAGGTTATTGTTACCCGTCGTATCAGATGACCACAATCAACGGATCGACCGTGCCTGAGCACATGCTCGGCAAATTTTAGAAAATCTGGCTATCGTCAAGTGGGTCGAAGTCTGGTTTGACGTTTGCTCTCTGCTTCTTCTCGCGGAAAGTATCGTCTAGCTCCTCCGACGTCGCAGCTTCGACGACCAGATCATCGACCATCTCAGTATACGAGGGCTCAGTCTTCGGGTGGATGGGTTTTCGGCCAGAGAGAATTTCGAGCAAGGAGTCTTCTGCTCCGTCCTCGTAGAAGGAATCTTCCAAGTTGTTCGGCTCAATCGGAGGAGGAAGGGTTGCTTGATCATCTTGTCCTTCGGGGTATACGAGTGCAAATTTTAGCTTTTCAGTCGCGAGAATTATAGCTTTTGATTCGGGTTGTGTCCAGAGCCACGTCAATGTCGCCTTGGGTTTGCACTCGGTGAGAACCACTTGCGGCCCCTCCTGTGAAGATAAATCGTAGATGTGTGCCATACTTTCTCCACAATCGATCATCAAAGTGTGAGTCCTTGTCGGGTGCCAGAGCAATTTTCGAACGTTATTGTGGAGGACGACGACGGCGTGGAGTGAATAATTTGTGACGTTCCAAAGCCAGGTTGTGCTGAGCGACCGATTATCACGAGTTGCAATGTAAGAGCCGTCACAATTGAAACATAACTCGCTGATACCAAGCTCGTCGGGCTCGGTGCTCGACCTTGCTTTTGAGAGAGGAGGTGATACTGGGTGCGGCATCAGCGAGTATGTCCGGACATTCGCTGCCGACACAGATTCCTGCCATACGGGAACTTGCGAATCGCTCGACAAAAGCTTTTGGTCAATGCTGATTGGATGTTGGAGGATGGCAACAGGGGTAAAAGTTTTCGTATTTAACAACTCGATGGTGTTGTCGTGTTTGGCAAGTGCTAACAATCGGCTTTCTGGAGACCAGGATGCAGATTTCGTGCCTAATTCTCCGTTCTCTTCATTTGGTGACGAGTATGACCGGAATAGGTGTCCATCTGGCGTGTAGATGTGGATGCTTGGAGATGAAGATGGGACGTCCAAGACCGCAAGCCATCGACCATCGGGCGACCATGATAGTGACTGTGCATCTGTGGTGGCGAGTTTTATTGAAGCACGCGGCAGGAATGTTCCGGTAAAGTATCGAGCAAGTGCGTCTTCGGCACCGGATCGTGACAGCAGCACGAGCAGTGTCGCCGTGCTGTTCTCTTTCGTCGTTGGTCGCAGTGCTCTGACTTGTCCACTCCCTATCATTTTGGCATCTGGGAGCTCCACATGCTTTCCCGTCCGTAAATGGCAAATTCTAGTCTTGCCAAACTCCCATGTCACGACAATCTCATCCTTGCCGACAAATTCGGCGGCAACAATATGGCCAAACCCTCCTGACCCATTGTCGAGGTCAGCGATGGTCCCTGGGCGTTTGGCGACATTTTCAACTTTGATGCCGTTGTCCCCGAGGATGAGTATTGATCCACTGTCATCGGACCATTTCAACGCCTTGGGTTTGATCTTATGGAGGCTCGGTCTAATGTTCTTCAATTGTACACGACCAGTTCGGACATCGTGCAACCCTAAGAAGGTTTCGCGAACGAAAGCGATGCTGTCACCTCTGTGGTTGAGTGCTGCACAAGTCTGCATTGCGACAGAAGTTCAAGAAGAGTAAAAAAATTGATTCCGTTCGAGATATGCCTGGGGTCTTGCAAGAGGGCATACTCGAGCCAATCAGGCGTATGTCGTGGCAGTGACAGTCGTAGATCTCCGTGATCGTAGATGCCCAATTTATCTCTTGCGACTCGTGAAAAATCTGGACTCCGGCCAGCCGCTTTCAAGAGGATTATAATACACCTGGGCACTTGCGAGTTTATTCCTTGGCTGCCGTGTTACTGTGGATGGTGAAATGAACCACATCTTGTGAAGAGCACTTGCAGTCCAGGTACAGTACATCCACACGTTCGCTGGGGGATGGAATTACATATGCGCCTGAGGCACTCAAAGACAATTGACTTCCTTTCCTCATTTCTCAAATGCTGTATAATTTCAATAAAGCGTGCTGTGATCCATACATGATTGCAACAAATCGATTTATCGCAGACGGCAATCGAGCGTGGCCGCCGGGCTTCTCATGCTCGGAGCGAGAAACCTGCCCTCTTCGCCGGAAGAACGTGAAGCTCGACAAAAGCCTCGAATGCGAGAGCATGCAATTGGAAAAAAGGGGAGATGACATGTAGCCGCCCACAACTAGCTGCTATATATCCGTATTATGGTGCTCTTAGATATCTTCGAGTCGCAACCATTCACAACACAAAGTTTCAAGGGTGGTAGTCCCGGAAAGTCATCCGTCGCCTTTCCTTTGCCTTTACCCGCTGATTTGGAAGACTTTTGAGCTTTCAAACCGCTCCGCGCACAGGATCCGCAGTAAACCTGGAAGACCTGAGGTCAGTATCTCGAGCAAATCAATCGTATCTTGGAATGAAACTCAACACAACTTACATGACCACAAGCTTTTATGACCCATAACTCTTGTTTCATTTCGTCGGGTCCTGTAGCAAGCTCGTCTCCACAGTTTGGGCATACCACCACTTCATCTTCGCCAGGCGTTCGCGTGAAGCCTGGCGCAGCGTCCTTAGGCGGCTCGTATTTCGGTGAAGGCACTCGATTACCTCCAGGAAGACCCATGTCAAACGCAGGCGCATCGTAAGTGAACATATTCCTCATCATGCGATAGCCTTCCACTACTCGATCGGCCGCTGGCGGTGGTTGCGGCGCTGGCGGAATAGGCGGCCCATGCCGCCGAAAGAAGTCGGCGAGTGGAAGAGGAGGCATCGTGCGGCGACTGCGACCTTCTACAGTTTGCAAATCCCTAAATCGCTCATAGAGCCGCGGCATAAATCTTGCCATTGCATAATCAGGCATGTCGCGCATGCCGGGATCCGGGTGGCCAAGCTGATCTCCTCCTCTTCCCACGTAGCGTGTGTCGGTTACCACTACTTCGTCGTCATTATCATTATCGTCCGTTAGGTCTATGACGGTATTGTCGCCATATGAAGGTTGGGGCGTTGTGTATCCTGCGTTGCGCGATGATGATCTGTGAGTTGATCCAGTGTGCTGTAAGTGATCCTGGGTGGTGCGTCCCTCCAACGCTGTTCCCCGTTGAGATGGCTGCCGGAGCATAGAATGTTGAGGAGGTCCCTGAGTATCAGACTCTTCTCTACGTGGAAAAGGATACGGATGTAGCATGGGGCGAATCGTTCCATCTTCCTCTTCTTCCGCGTCACTTCCTATCGAGATAATATTCCGCTCATATCGGGGTAGCCTCTGTGCCCGTGCAGTGGGCAAGGCCAGGTTTGATCGTAATTGACGCAATCCATCTGTTCTGCTATCCGCGGACCTCGAACTGTCCTCGCGAGTAAGGTCGATGTACTGCGAATGAGATTGAGACATAACTGGGCGCCGGAAGTCAAGCCCGTCTCCGGCGAAACGTGAAGGCCGTTCTGAGCGACTTGGTGATATCCGGCGGCGGCGTGTGGTCTGTTCGTTGTTGTAGTGTTCGTCCTGTTGGACAAAGAGCGATTGATGATGCCTTGTGTCACTTTGTAGGTGGTGGTCCGTAGTGTTCATGTTGGTAAGAAATCCCTAGAAATTCTGCGGCGTAAGTAGAAGACGCTGAGATATCTCAGCCGGCGGAACGATGCTGACAACGCATAGAACATTGCAGATGACATGTATTTGGCAGGCCTGGACATCAAAGGGCTTACCTTGATCTCTTGACGTTGGTGGTAGTGGCAAGCACGAGGACCATTAGCGCTGCCGCCGCCATCCATTTTGGCTGGACAATGGTTGGTACATGCGAGCAAGACAGAGGCTGGTGTGCCTGTGGGCAACACAACGATAGGTGAGAATGAATGGAGAACAAAGTACAGAACTTTTCGGTACTGCGAACAATAATTGTGAGCGACGGAAAAAGGCCACGGAGTTGGCGAGTCGTTCTACGCAGTAAAGTTGTAGAGGAAGTCGAACCCCATCCGGTCACGAACAGCAAGTGGGTAGGTACATCATTGATGCCTGTCCGCCGGAGGTCTGCTCCACGCCGCTGCTATCTACCACGAACAAATGTCACCTGGACTTATTCCGGCCACACTTGTACATAACCCAACGCTACCTGCCTACCTAGGTAGGTAGGCATTGCTTTGAAGTTGTAGCGGCCTCTTATACCAGCGATACGTCGGTGGACAGCGGTAGTGCAATGTTGGACTTCTAGCATCCGGGCACATACCACACCGACCAAATTTGCTAGGAAGATCAACCAAAGTTCAAACTGTATGCGGAGGACATACCTAGGAGTGGGCGGCCGCACATTTCACTTGTCGAATCGCTGACTCCAGAGTTTACCACAGTCCCTTGCCAGCATGTGATTATGCTGCACATTCCATAAATGACATTGTAGCATACAACAATTAGACACTTTCATACTCCACGACCGTCTAAAGTACAAGCCACCGCCAGACCATGGCCTGACGGCTTTACAGCCCGAGAACAGTAATGATTCCGTCCGAGTTCAGCGTCACCAAACTCGACGCGCGTGCAGCCCATTTGACGTCCACTGCGCCGACTGCTTTCCGAAGCGGCTCCGACCAGGACTTGCCGCTCTTCGAGTATTGACTCACTACGGTCCCACCTGAGCCGACTGCTGCTAGGAATTGACCAGTGTAGTCCCAGGAGATACCTGAGACTGCCATGCCAGTGGACACGGTCTTTAGCGCACTCAACTTTCGCAGATCCCATACTGTGACTGCTTCTTGACCCTCGTTCGCAGTCGCTAGCCATGTACCGTTCTCAGAGAAGCTGATCGCAACGACCGGCGAGCTGCCTGAAGGTGATGGGAAGGTATGCGCGAGTTGGGATTCAAGGACATTGTAAAGTCTCACTGCGCCATCGGCGCCCCCTGTTGCCAGTAAATTGCCGTCAGGGTGAAACACGATCGCAGTAAGCTCTGTTTCAAGTCGTTAGCGCCATCTGCTTGCTTGCTATAGAAATCAAGTGAATACTTACCAGCATCGCCGTACACCTGGGTGAGAACTGCTGCATTCGCAAGATCATACAAAACGTAACTTTTGTCGTATCCTGCTGACACCAAGATATCACCACTAGGGTGAACATCGAGCGCCGTGGCTGCTCCTGCGTGCTGGCTGAATTTTGCAAGTGTATTGCCCTCTTGCGCGACGATCACAGCGCCGTTGGCAGTAGAGACGGCCTGCCTGTCGTTGCACCATGTTCCGTCCAATATTGCGCCTGCTCCTAGATTGCTCCGTGTACTAATAGTGTTTTGTTCAAGGTCGAAGATTGCGATTGTACCATCCGAATCTCCAGACAGGAAAAAGTTACCAGTCGGATCTGCAGCAAGTTTCCTCGCACCCGTACACTGCGTATCGCTCGTCGTCTTTGTGTCGAATGCTTGAACATCTTCAGCAGTGGCCCAGTCCTCCGGAACAGGTCTTCTTCGTCGCGTAGCCATCAGGTTTGCCTGTGTTGTTTTGATTTTGTCGACCACCTCTTCCGAAAGGCCCTGCCCGTCAACCTGCATCGCATCGCCGTTCGATGCTCTATTGCCCTCCAGTCCCGACACTCTTGAAAGAGCATCCCGTGCTTGGTCACGCTCTTTCTGTAGCCGAGCGATCACTCTCTGTGCGGAATCATTGTAGTAGAGGGCTGTGCTTAGCTCCTGGCGAGTCTCGGCGAGCTGCTGTTTGAGTTGGAAAGTTTCGAGTATGAGCGCGTCCCATTCGTTCTGGAAGGTCGAGAGCAAAGCCGGGATTGACGTGAGGGTCGGTGGTCGGGGTTTTACGATACGGCTCTGTTTGAGATCGACGAGATCGTCGATCGAGAGTTCCTCGCCATTCACAGGATCAGTTCCATTTTGTGAGATATAATCCTCGATGAGGCGTCGCTCGAAGACGTTGCCTAAAATTTTCTTTGTCAATTCTCATGACTGTGAGGAGGAGGATGTCTGCGACCAACCTGATTTACGAGAAGCAACGGGATGCTCTGGCGCTTCGCCGGAGACTGTGACGAGAGAGATGTCAGCGACCGAGATCATGCATACGGCATCTCAGGTGCACTTACTTGCACACAACATATTTTATGGATCGCCAATTGAAAACGATGTTGGACAATTGGTGACGCTATTTGTGACCATTGAATTTTGGGCGCATGAGCTAGACGCGCCTGCTGTGGTTGGCGGTCCCGGGAGAACTTCGGCATCGATTGTTGAACTGACGGGGACGTGTTTAGAGATGACTAATGCCGCGACCGATGCCGGGGAATGCCAGGAGCAAAAGTGTCTCGCGGTCCGACTAGTTTGTAGTGGGGCATCCATTGATGATGATGACAGCCCGCTGGCACGACTTGCAATATCTTCAGTACAACTTGAACCTACTGTCGAGATGCGTTGACGGACGACGAGGTTTCGTCATCATTGATTGTCACAGCAGCTTCGATGACTTTTCGCTATGAATGTTGAGATTGCAGGCACACAGCTGTTATCTAGATACGCGATACCGATTGATCCCAGGCAGGATTCGAAGCCAATGGGGAGGGAGCATATGTTCAGATTGATGCCGGCGACGTCACTCTGAGAGAATGTATTGGCGATAAGCAACAGACTTTTCGCAACAACGATGAAGCGATGGTTTTTGGTGGATGATGATGAGAGAAGGAACAGATAGAAAAGCCCTGTCTTTGGCGAAATGCCTTTGCCAACGAACTTGTGGAATGTCGGGCAAAGATTGTTGAGAGGAGCATGTCGTTCTGCCCCTGACGTTACATACTCGGTACGATCCATTGACACATGGGCATTTTCGGGCGTGAAAGAGCGTGATGACGATGGTCGTTCAGCATATAGGTGGTGTCTCCGGTGGTCGTTCTGGGCGATTTGATTCGCCTTGTCCTCCAAGTCGGATTGCCATTCCCCGATGATGAGGCAATGCCTACCTAGGTATGAATGAGTCCCGTCTCTTCTTAGCTACTCGCCCGCGGGCGTTGAGATATACACCTGGGCAGTACTATTTACCACAGACAAGGACAAAAGGAGGGGCGGCGGTGGTCGGCGAGAAATCTACGTAATTGCCCGTACGTTGCCGCGGGGCTGCGTGGGCTGGCTGCAAATACCTAGGTAAAATGTCCACCACGCCCGTCTCTACGCGCCTTCTCCACCCGATGATTCTTCGTTGTTGTGTTGACGGCTGTTGTTAGCGGGGCTCCGATCGTTGGCTAAGTAGGTGTAGTCATGTGCAATATGTGACCCGGCAATGGGAGAATCGCCGAATGTTCGGGGAGGGAGACGCGAACAAAGAAAGTGAGAGAACGTGTATGGGTGTGTGTTAGAGCCGAATGTTGAGGAGCTCTTTTGTTTCCCCCATTGACCTTATCTTCAAAAACAAAGACATTCTTCTTCTGTCCCTCCCAAATACCTTCTTCGTCCTCTCTATAACCTCTACTCGACACCATCAAGGTTGTGATCATTCCGCTCCAGTCTTGATCTTTCTTCCTCCTCTATTCCACCCTCATCTCAGATTTCACAATGGCCACCAGCGTTCTCAGCGTCAAGTCTGGCGTCATCTACGGAGGTGAGCCTTGCCATCTTGTTCCTCTCATACAGCCCATGCTCTTCTGCAGCCGGACGCTAACCCTCTGACTTCCTTCTGCTAGAGGATGTCAGGAAGCTTTTCAAGTACGCACAAGACAAGGTCTTCGCCATTCCAGCCATCAACGTGACCTCCTCCTCCACCGTTGTTGCTGCACTTGAGGCCGCCCGCGACGCCAAATCTCCCATCATCCTCCAGGTCAGCCAGGGTGGTGCTGCCTACTTTGCCGGCAAGGGTGTTGGCAACAAGAACCAGGAGGCTTCCATTGCTGGAGCCGTCGCTGCCGCTCACTACATTCGCGCCGTCGCCCCTGCCTACGGTATCCCAGTTGTCCTCCACACCGACCACTGCGCCAAGAAGCTCCTGCCGTGGTTCGATGGCATGCTCGAGGCCGATGAGGCCTTCTTCAAGCAGAACGGTACTCCTCTGTTCTCCAGCCACATGATCGACTTGTCCGAGGAATCGGTCGAGGAGAACATTGAGACCACCGCCAAGTACCTCGAGCGTGCCGCACCCATGAAGCAATGGCTCGAGATGGAGATCGGTATCACTGGTGGTGAGGAAGACGGTGTGAACAACGAGGACGTTGACAACAACAGCCTCTACACCCAACCCGAGGATATCTACAACATCTACAAGCGCCTATCGCCCATCTCGCCATACTTCTCCATCGCCGCTGGTTTCGGTAACGTCCACGGTGTGTACAAGCCTGGTAACGTCAAGCTCCGACCCGAGCTCCTCCAGAAGCACCAGCAGTACGTCCAGGAGCAGGAGAAGACTGAGGAGAAGAAACCCGTGTTCCTCGTCTTCCACGGTGGCTCTGGCTCCAGCAAGCAGGACTTCCTGGACGCTATCAGCTACGGTGTCGTCAAGGTCAACCTCGACACTGACCTCCAATACGCATACACCGAGGGTATCCGAGACTACATGGTCAACAAGAAGGACTACGTCAGCTCTCAAGTCGGTAACCCTGACGGCGATGACAAGCCCAACAAGAAGTAAGTGCAAATTTCAGAAATTGCCGGCGTCGAGATTCAAACTAACATGCATGTCGCAGGTACTACGACCCAAGAGTCTGGGTCCGCGAGGGTGAGAAGACCATGACCAAGCGTGTCATCGTCGCCCTTGACGACTTCAACACCGCCAACCAGCTGTAGATTACGACCGAAAATCGAAGGAGTTGTTGAAAAGAAAATTGGAGCATTGCTTGAAATCCGAATGGCACCGATGCAGGATTCTTTGTCAGCGTGTTTAGCCTGAACAATACCTTGAATCAGACAATTGGCGTGTAAGCTTCAAACATGAAATGACAAATGGACATGATGTGCAGCTTTCGCTCGCGGTACGAGCATGTAGTAGAGCGCAGAATATCTGACGTTCTTTGTGGCGACAATCTCCCATGCTGCTGACTAGGCATACCGAATCGACAACCCGAATAAACGTCAAAACGGCGAGGGAGATTCATGCGGAGGAGCTACAGTGTAAGATTGATGGGTTGCCGGTCGATGTTGCGTTGCAACCTGATGTCTTCCCTAGTCTTTGGTAAAACGACAATCGTCGAATGGCATATCAAGTAGGTAGTTTAGGAAATTCAAGCTTAGGATCCGGTTTTCTCATCGACCACCAACGAGTACCAAAACTTTCCGGGCCCTGGGGAGATTCTTTGCATGACAAAACACATGCTGTTTGACACCTACCTAGTAGGTATACCTTCAGAGTTGAGTAAAATACATAGCACTCGAAATGAACTCAAACAAACATACGATAAATAAAAGTACAGAAGGGGGTATCTGTGTGAAAATAGATGGTCAACAACAAACACAAAAGTACAGTATAGTACACAGCGCCGATGGTTTCCAGGCGAGTAAAGGACATCTCCACTTTCGCAAAACAGGAAAATATCGAACGTCCCATTGTACACAAAATGTATCGCACAGTGAGAAGTAAAGCATGAAAAGTGATGTCAAGCATCATCGTACAGAGACCCCATTGCGAATCAGTTGCCCCAAGTACGGGAGAGCTGATGGTCTTGATTCACCTGCTGCCAGAGGTCATAGAAGTCGGTGCTCTCGTATGCGCGGCGGACGGAGGAGGCGGAGCCGTTTTGGTAGCTCGGTGGCTTGGAGTAAGCATTCGCGGAGGAATAGGGAGGCAGGCGGTTGTAGTTGGTGTTATAATGGTTGGTTGAGGCGGTCATTGTCCGTCCGGTGAAGTTAGCTGGCTTGCGGCTGGCGGTCTTGGGGGATTTGCTGGTTGCGCTTGACGGGTTCTTGGGTCGTCGGGAAGCGGGTTTTGCCGGAGGGGCGTCGTCGTCGTCCTCGTTGGCGCTCTTGAAGGCCTTGCGTGTCGGTGCGCGGAGATCTCGGAGAATCTCGGACAATTCGGCAGGTGTGGAGGCGATCTGTGCCTTGAGGTATTGAGTAACATTGTCCGACTTGAGGTCTTCCATTACGGGTTGACGATAGACATAGTCGAATTTCGACGGGTTTGGACGTGAGATCGGCTCGACCTTCGGATCAAGGTATGCCTCATCGCCCTTCGCAAGGAGCTGCGCGATATCTAGGGACTCTCCTGGCGCAATACTTTCGGGATGAGAAGGAGTGATGCAGTCCATGTCGACCTCTTTGCGGAGGACGTGGTCGATGTCGATTGCACTGAAGTATGCGCATGATTGCGGAAGATCATCGATGCCGATCTGTTGGCTGAACATAGCACGAGTCCAAACGTTCGCAACCTGCATTGCCATCGCAGTGCGATATTTGTCCTCATCCTTGGCGAGATAACGAACTTCGTCATGTACCGTCAATGCAAGACGAGCGGCGATGTTATACCTGCGACAGAGATACTCCATACTGACCACCAACAGGTGAAGATAGTCAACTCCAGAAGATTGAATAGCCCAGTTGATACGGCTCGTCATGAAATCACCCTTCTTCGAGATGAAGCGGCGCATTAAAGCTTCGGTGATTCCAGCCCCGAGAACCGGCGTTCGAGGTCGCTCTTGATCAGCAAAGTCTTCTAAACGATTGAACACGAGACTCTCGGTACCTCCGCGCCAAAACTTTCTGTCCTTGAGGAATTTCGATCCAACCTTTTTGCCTTTGGTTTCGTGGTAAAGGTTGGTCGCAACTCGCTGCGCTTCCTCATCAGTCACACTTGGGTTGAACTGACGCAGCAGCGATTGTGCAAAGGTCAGCCCAGCGCCGTAGATTCGTCCGTAGTTGAAGACCTTGGCATCATTACGTGATATGCCCAGGATACTAGCAGTGCGTGAGTGCAAATCCGTGCCTGCAGCCTTCGTACCTTCCAGGGTCATGAATCCGATTGCATTTCCGCCATGGAGCTTGAAGTTGGCATCCCCTACGACTGATGCGATCCAGAGCTCTTCACTATCGACATCAGCTCCCACAAAGCAATAGCCTGGCGGCGCAGTGATGATGCTCTTCAATTCAGATCCAACACGATTCTTCTTTGCATTGGCTGCGGTCATCCAAGTGTTTTCCACCGCACGTCGAGTGATGGTGCCCATTGGGATGACTTGAGGTAGAATGAACCCAAGCTTGTCCTTACTAGAATCGGCATTTTCTGTATACACGGCCATCTGAGATGTGATTCTGTCACGGGCACTGATCCAGTACGAGCATGACGCGTTCATTTCAAGGGCCTCCTTTGCGTGTTCGTATTTTGAGGATAGCGTGCCCTTCTCGAAGAATGAAAGGTACCCCTTCGCTAAAGGCGACGCACATCGCGCCTTTGCGCCGTCTTTGTGTGGGAGCTTGAAATAAGCATGGCCGCGATCATCTCGTAGGGTTAGGTTTTCTTCCTCGTACATATCGCACCGTGTCATTGACAAGCTCTGATATTTGTCAGCAGTTGCGATCGGGACCTTGAAAGTCCAGCCGAAAACATCTGACCAGACCAAAGGATTACTATCCCAGGACATCTTCAGCAGTAGTGGTGCGATACGTGTCCTCACGGTCAACGAAATGTCAGCATCGTTGGTGGAGAACAGATCTTTGTACCACTTTGGCATCCCAGGCTTTTTCTGTCTGGCGGCCGGCCGCGGGGGATCGTTTTTCTTCTTGCCTTTGACCATGCGAACTTCCTGTCCACTCCAATCTAGTTGATTGAGCCAGGGGTCTTGTTCGTAAGTCGATGGGTCATTGCGAAGTGCAACCGCCTTTTCTGCCAGGTCGACAAGTCTCTCTTGAACGCCCGTCAGAAGCTTCTGATAAGTCGCCTCGGCATTTGCGATGTAGGCACTCCACTTGTCGTTGATCGGTAGAATCTCAGTTGACATATGTCGGAGAGCAGCGAACGAGACAGGGTGCGGGCAGGTCTCGAGGAAGTTGGGGAAGACTCTTTTGTAGACCTTGTGCGTGATATCCACATCTGCAGCGCAATAATCCAGAAGCTCGTCAAGACGTTCCACGACGCCTTTTCGGTCTAGCTCGCCAAACCACTCGCGTTTTGCTTTGTCGATGGTGATGCCACAGTGAAAGTGGGCGACCTCCCGCAGACTATTTGTCGATGATCGGCCGACCCACAAATCGGCCTCTTCCTCGAACGAGAGGTTATTCTCAAGCAAAGCGTTCAAGTCACCGTTCTCCTCGGCAGCGGCAATCTTATCCTGCGTTTCACGATCCTTCTTATGCTTGTTCCAGGTAGGCCGCTGTCGACTACACATGCCATTGACTGCCACGTGTAGACTCATGGTGTCAACGAAAAAGTTGGCCGTTTGCTCGATGCTATATTCTTCGAGGATGCGGGCTCGATCATAGCCGATATTGTGACCGACGATGATCCTGGGCTTCTTAGGGTCTCCCAAGGGAATCAAATGCTTGTCATCCTCAGATTCTCCCAGAAGCCAGGGCGAGATCCATGCATACCAATGGGTCGCAGATGTCGCACAAGCCATGGCTGCAAAGTTCGTTTCATGCCACATCACCTCTACGTCGAAGCTCAACACATCAGCATCGGGTGTATCTATGGGTTCTGAGGATCCATCCGGGTTGTATTTCGTCCATCCGCTCCGTTGGACCCATTTGCGCGGTCGCGCGGGCGGAGACGCTCGGGCGAACTTTTTAGCTATCTCGAGATAGGGCTCTGCGCTATCCATTCCCAAGCGAAAGAAGTGCTCGTCAAGAGACGTTCCCTGCAGGTCAGGTAGGTCGAACCCAATCGGCGGTGATACATCGCTGGTTTTGCCGTAAAGATCGTGCCGGGTGAGATGATCCTTTGACAGAGCGACAAGCTCAGCATCCGGTTTCGAAGTTTCTGATGGATTTGGAAAAAGTTGTGGATAGATGTGGGCGCTGACTTGTTGCACTCCGATCTCATTGTGACGTGCTGTGGACTGAATCGCCAAAGAACGTGGCGCCGACGGTTCTTCGACTGTAGCCGCAGTGGTTGTCGCATTTCGTCGATGAGCACACGACCAGCTCAGGGGCTGCGGGCGCAATCGCAAAAGTGATGTCTGTTGAGTGCGCTCGAGCACATTCGCCAGCTGATGATGGCATCGGGAACGCATGATCTCGATGAAGAACGCCTCAATGGATTATCGTTCGATGTTGTTGTGCGCGGACATGGTCCAATTGCGGTGCTTGAAGGCGACGAGAGGGAGAGGTTTCCACTGCCAGTATCGCGTCATGCAGAAATTCATCTAATGAATTAGCTTCGCGAGGATAAGGCCGCGCTACTAAATCCCCTGCAGCTGCACGTGAGCGCCGGGGTCCTTTCTTCGGTGGCATGCGGCTTTCCACGTCCAATATCACTGATCTCATTATTACCTAGACATCTCATCAATCATGACAATGCACCCATCTGCCAGGCGAATCGTCGTGATTTGTTGTAAAACTCTTCTTGTAGTACAGATCAGGCCTCCAAAAATCGGCTCATAGACGAGATATGCTTGCACACCTGGGCACCAATCCTTTGGCCAGCCATTGCTATTACTGTCCCCAGGTGGTCACGCCCAATCCTTCACAATGTTAAGCCCTGTCCACCAAAATTGCCACCGAATTCGCATATGTGCATCACGATATGGATCGGAACCACCAGCATAGAAACCAACAAACATCCTGATGGATAATGTAACAATTGATCCCGTGGATGCAATGCCCGCCCGAGCGTTTGTCAATATTCAGAAATAATAGATCGAACAGAAACTTAGCCTCTTGTACGATGTATCTAGAATCCTCGCAAGGGTTGGACAGCACAATCTGGCTGGAATCCAGATCCGCTGCTCGGCTTTATCCTGTACCGCCGACGGTGATCGCCCAATTTCGCGTCACCACATCTCTGCCCTTCCGTCGTGTGCTCGCGAGCAACATGAACCTGTCGATCCGGCATCAGCGCACTGAAAAGGCAGTGCGAAAGACACATGGCAAATCTGCCTCACAATAATTTGTTATGGCCACAAAGAGAATGGGCTTTTGAGCATCGTCCAGCTGATGAAGCATGGCCGCCTGCAGATGTCGAGTAAGAACCGCCCCTTCACTTCCAAGGTTATTACTCTTATATTGTCGATTGCGCCCAGAATCCGCTCCTTCTGCCTATTGCACATCACAAAGAGATTGCTGACCTTGTGGCCGCTCGAGCATAAAGTAATTCCTGGCTTTTACAAATACATCCTCAACATCCTAGCAGCGGTGACAGCCATCACCACGCCCATGATCTAAATACACACTCTCTAAGCGCCAGCGACTCCAGGTCTCAGCGACCGGATTTGCTGGAAGCAATACTCAACAACGACTCTTCTGCACTGCCGACAGAGTCTGCCAGAGTACAACTCGAAGCGCGCTCGATACGAACAGCAGAGCCATACCCAACATCTGCTCGAGACCAGCGCAGGCCCCTCGCGAGACACCAGAACGACTGGCTAGATCGTACTGCTGTCGAACCGCAGCACGCTGCTCAGTTTCCTAGTCACCTCATTCCAAATACTTCGCCTGGGCTTTCACCGCAGTCTCCTTATTCGGAGTCCTCCAGACCAACTGATGACGACCTCGAAGCTTTGGTTGCATCGAGCGATTCTGAAGAAGAGGCTGTCGATTCACAGAGAGCCACCATGCCGCCTCCAAGGCAGACAAATAGAAATGTGGTCGATTTGACTGCAGAGTCTCCGCCTATGCCCGCAGCCAGCGCGACACGGGATCGGAAGCGCGCAAGAGAAGCAGATTCGTCAGCAGAGGGCGGGTCTGAGAAGCGCAGTAGGGTTGCAGTGGATGACATTGAAGAGATTGATCTGGCCGAGGACGAAATGACAGCAGAAGAAAAGGTTCTGCAAGCACAACAGAGGGAGGCGATACAGGCGCAGCGGGCTGGGGAGGATGGCGGGCCACATCGCATCGGCCAAAGGCAATGTGTGATTTGCATGGAGAACTTCACGAACATTACTGCGACCCACTGCGGTAAGTCTGCCGGTTCGATCAAGTTGAGAGGAAACTGACTTTCGGGGATTAGGTCACTTCTACTGCCACGAATGCTTGATCCGCAGTCTAATGGCTGCAGAGAAGACCAACGAGCGGAATACCGGCAATTGTCCCATATGCAGAAAAACCGTCTCTCGTGCGAACAGGGCTGCCACAAAGCCGCACATCATACCCATCTCCTTCATGACAAAGGGCGCTTTCGAGCGCAACAAACGACGACGAATGACGCATGATGATGAGTCCTATCGCCATTCGAGGAGCAGACCTTGAGACCTATGGCCACTGACCCACTTTTTATTTCACTTAACGTAGAGCATGATACCCAGGAATTGCATGAGCATTTGGCGTCGGAGAGGAAGATGTAGTCTCGACCACCGGAACGATTGTACGATATTGAAATGACGAAAATTGCACACACTAAAGCTTGATGATGTTGTCCCAGTAGAAGTACAATTGCTATGGCAATATGGCAACTCCAGTCCATCCCGGGATCCCTTTGAAAATGATGATAGTAATGACAGGTGAGAGAAGAATTCCTATCCTCCTGGCCAGAAAACCGCGCTTTCCGACACAGGAGCTGACATTGACGAACCTATCGCCGACCCAATCCCCACTTCGCAATCCTCTCCTGTACATCGCCCCATGAAATGTCCCTGAGCGTGACATTCTCCTCCATACCCTGCTGCAACACAACCGTCGGGGCCCCACTGCCCTCACCAGCGTTCTTGATCTCTCCACCGAAGACCTGCTTCGCCACCCTCCGCAGATCCTGAATCGTGACACCCTCAATATTCTTGACCATCTCCTTGACCGGGATGCGGCGGCCATGCACTTGCACCTGGCGGCCGAGATCCTCGAGCCCGACCATGCGGCTCTCAAGGTTCATGAGCAGCGAGGAGCGGAGCTGGTTCTTGGCGCGCTTGACCTCGACGTCGGTGAGGCGGCCCAAGCCGGTCTCCGCGCTCAGCACGCTAAGTTCGCGGGCCATGGTGTCCAACATGCGCGGGACGAATTGGGTACCGCATGCGGCGGAGATGCCGAAGAGTCCTGAGTCGGTGTAGGCGTGGTTGAATGCAACGCAGTTTTCCACCCAGCCGTATTGGTTTAGAACATTGGTGTACAGTCGGCTGTACATTCCCTTGCCGGGGCCTCCGGCGGAGAAGGAACCGCCGCCTCCGAGGAGAGTTTGGAGAGTGGCTAGCGCATAGATGTCGGGAGAGGAGATCGGAAGAGATTCGAAGGCAAGGTGTATGTGAGAGAGGCGGGGCATAGCAGGGTTCGGCGGAATAGGAAGAGGTGGCATCGTCAGGAATCCACCAGTGTAGCGTGAGGGTGAAGTATAATCTACCGCCGACTCTAAAGGATTGGGAATTAGTTGTGAAGGGTCGAGCGGAGAGACGGTGGCTTGTTGTGTGGCCGAGGTTGAAAGGTTCTTCAAGAATGGAATCTTGGACATGAGTCGGGACTCTTTCTGCGGAGGGAGCGTAGTTGACTTGAGTGATGATAGAGCCTGCTCGCTGCCAGCCGAATTCGACGTTGAAGACGTCGGGGACGCCGCCATATCACCGAAGTACTGCTCAGTAAGTTTGACGGCTTGGGTGTGCTCTACACCAGCGAATGCGACAACAATCCTCTCCGGCTTGAAGAATGCTTTGCGATATGCCTCAACTGTGCTTCGGTTGATGCTTGCCAATCGCTCCTGCGGGCACAATAGGGGGTTACCCAATGTATTGTCCTTATAAGCCGCCATGTGAACCAATTCCGGTAGGATCAACTCAGGCTTGGACCAAATCTCCCCTATTTCGTATTCTGCGGTTTCCAATTGCCTTTGTACCTCGTCCTCGGTGATCTGGGGGTCGCGAATCGTCTCTGCGAGCAGACCGATAGTCTCGGGCACGGCAGCGTTGAAAGTCGCAGACTGGTACATCAAACTTTCTCGCGATGATGCGCATTGTATGTTTCCGCCGAGTGACTCTATTGATTCCAGCATCTTATCAGATGACCTTTTGGTAGTGGACTTGAAGGCCAGTCTATCAATGATATGTGATACTCCGCGGAGGTCATCGTTCTCGTATCTCGACCCGGCATCGATGTAGACGCCAATTCCCGAGAAATGGCCCGGAAGAGCCTCGGTGGCGATGCGTACTCCATTTGGTAGTGTTGTCACCTCGTCCAACTCGGCGACATCCCGCGTCAGAGGCTCGTTCGTGGCAGTCGCAAATTTCCGCAGTCCACTGGAGGTCGTGCGCGAAGCATTCGGCAAAGCTCTGCTGAGCTGTCGTGGAATTGCGAGAGTTTTACTCATGTTGCCGATGGAATGGACGATATGATGGGTGTAGGCGGAGATGTCGCGAGACCAAATTATTCGGATGATTGGGGATCAAGCCAGGATTGTGCCTAGCTTTTTTTGTCCGCGGATGACTGCACTTGCCCGCGTGCCTGTTAAAATTTGATCAAATCGCGTCGCCAGCAGAGGTGAATGTTGGGCGTTTTCCAGATTATCACGGGCTCTAATCATATTATGGGACTTATAATGGCGAGATTCATGGTCATGGAAGCAGAGGGGAGACGATATTGCATAAGGATGGGCACCTCCGTCGGACAGGCATCACCCGCCGCCCAATAATAATCCCGCGAACAACGATCTTCAGCCGAAAGGGGATTCCGCCTCCGCTTTGCACGTGACATCATCTAAAAAAGTTGTAGAGATCAGCTTCGAGTATCGTGACCAACACAAGTCATCCATTCATTCATCTCATCTCGTTGTTCATCGGTGCGCGGTCCATTGTACAATATGTCTTTCGCGAGGACGCTACTTTCCACCTCTCGGGCTTTGCGCAGCCCTCACAGCTCTCCCATACAATGCGCATTGAACGTAAGAGGGCGGGCACAATTCGCCGCTGCAGCAGCAACCGCTGTTCGTGGATACGCGACTGCTTTCGAGCGGAGTAAGCCTCACGTCAATATCGGTACAATCGGTCACGTCGATCACGGAAAGGTAGAGGTCCTCTAATTGGCATAATTTGCATACAGGACTAACGTTGTGATACAGACTACTCTCACTGCGGCTATCACAAAACGACAAGCCGAGAAAGGCTTCGCCAACTTCCTTGACTATGGTTCCATCGACAAGGCCCCGGAAGAGCGAAAGCGTGGTATCACCATCTCCACCGCTCACATTGAATACCAGACCGAGAACCGTCACTACGCTCACGTCGACTGTCCCGGTCACGCAGATTACATCAAAAACATGATTACTGGAGCCGCATCCATGGACGGAGCCATCATTGTCGTTGCTGCCAGTGACGGTCAAATGCCTCAAACCCGCGAGCATCTTCTCCTCGCCCGCCAGGTCGGCGTGAAGCGCATTGTTGTCTTCGTGAACAAGGTCGACGCCATCGAAGACAAGGAGATGTTGGAGCTCGTAGAGATGGAGATGAGGGAGCTCTTGACAACTTATGGATTCGAGGGTGACGACACTCCTATCGTGTTGGGCTCTGCTCTGTGCGCACTGGAAGGCAGACAGCAAGATATCGGTGCCGACAAGATTGATGAGCTCCTCAAGGCAGTGGATGAGTGGATTCCTACCCCAGAACGAGACATCGCCAAGCCATTCTTGATGTCTGTCGAAGATGTCTTCTCTATCCCTGGTCGTGGTACCGTCGCCTCTGGGCGTGTTGAGCGTGGTGTGTTGAAGAGAGATGCTGAAGTCGAATTGGTTGGCAAGAACGCCGCACCAATCAAGACCAAGGTCACGGACATCGAAACATTCAAGAAGTCATGTGAAGAATCACGAGCAGGAGACAACTCCGGTCTTCTACTTCGTGGTGTAAAGCGCGAGGACGTTCTCCGAGGCATGGTCATCTGTGTCCCAGGTTCGACCAAGGCGCACAAGAAATTTTTGACCTCGATGTACGTTCTGTCCAAGGAGGAGGGAGGACGACACACGGGTTTCGCCAACAACTATAAGCCTCAGCTCTTCATCCGAACTGCTGATGAGGCCGCCACTTTGACTTGGCCGGAGGGCAGTGAGGGTGCTACCGAGAACAAGATGATCATGCCTGGCGATAATGTAGAGATGTTGTGCGAGATCAACAAACCGCTTGCGATTGAGCAGGGACAACGCTTCAACATTCGCGAAGGTGGCAGGACTGTCGCCACTGGTCTCATTACCCGCATCATCGAGTAAAGCGACTGCTCCCCGTCCGATGGAGATGGTTCTCGAGGTGAAGTCAATGACTTCGAGGCAAAGCCGTGCTACCGACTTCTTCTCATGTTCTCAGACCGTCGCATCAGACATTGAGACTATACGAACTTGTAATGCGGCGTACAAATACGCTATAGTGTTCATGGCACTGTTGTATATTACAATTCTGTGAATTTGTACTTTAGATATGGAGGTCTTGGAACAACTCTTGGTCTGGACTGTTTATGTAACACTTGATACCACCAGAACCGATCTCTTCTCTACTTGCCCCTGCCTACTCGATTTCCAACGGAAACATGGCGATGACCTGTGTAGTCCCATATTTGTGGTGCACGTGACCCTTCGATTTTGCTTGCGGCAATCCATCTCCTTCTGGCATTTCCATTGAGCTGTCATGCGACAGCGCATTCCGGCCAACGGTCAAGACATCATCTACACATTTGACCGTCAAGTTACCGAATATTTTAGTTTTGTTGATTCCTGCGAGATTTTGCGCCTGAGTGTGGTGCTTGAAACCATCAATCCGGCACGACATCTACTGCCGAGGCTCTGCGCTGGCGATTATTGACCGAGCTTGAATAGCTTACTACACCGCACGAAAGGCTTAGCACGCCTGTACATCAGCGATCCAATGCTGCTTCAATATTGCAACAGACGAATCGCCACCACCTGCTGGTCCACAATGCCTCTGCGCGCGAAGATCATGAACCCGGCCATGGCGGGTCAAGCCACGAGATCCGTAAGGCTGTCGATATATGCTCCTCGGGGTGAAATCCTCGACTGACTTTACCACATAGTTCGCCGCCACCACAGATATCAAAGAATTACCAGGCGATGCACCAGATGATGTTCTTTTCGATTCACAGGGCGGTGTCCGGAGTATCCTTCTCAACCGACCCAAGAAACTCAACTCACTGGATGCCAGCATGATCAGGAAAATCGCGCCCAGACTGAAAGAATGGAGTCGCAGTGATATGGCCAACGTTGTTGTCATCAAGGGCGAGGGGCGCGCATTCTGTGCTGGAGGCGACGTTGCGTCGCTTGCGAAACAAAATAAGACAGGCGCAGAGGGACAACAGGCAAGCAAGGATTACTTTGCGCTTGAATACAAGCTGGATCATCTCATTGCTACGTACAAGAAGCCATACGTCGCGTTCATTGACGGCATCACTATGGGTGGCGGTGTTGGATTATCCATGCATGCGCCGTTCAGAATTGCGACCGAAAATACAGTCTTCGCCATGCCTGAAACCAATATCGGACTCTTCCCCGATGTTGGCGCTTCCTTCTTCTTGCCACGGTTGGGTGGTGGTCTAGGCACATATCTGGCCCTCACATCGGATCAACTCAAGGGCGTTGATGTTTTCTATGCTGGCGTCGCCACTCATTATTTACATTCCTCATCTCTTCCCGATCTTGAGGCTCGACTTGCGGAACTACAGTTCAAAGATTACGACGACCTACCGACTCGATTACAGGTTATCAACAGCACAATTGAGGAATTCTGTACGGGCCTTCCTCATGATAAGCCTATCGCATCAGGGTGTGTCGGCGGCGATATTCGCAAAGCGATCGACTTTGTTTTTCAAGCAGCGCACGACATAAATGAAATGTTTGAAGCTTTGGACGAAATTCGACACGACATTTCGCCCAAAAGTCCCATCGTCGAATGGATTTCAAAGACCAAAAAGACAATCCTTTCTCGATCCCCCACTTCGCTCAAGGTCACCATCCGACAACTTCAGCAGGGCATTAGTTGGTCTATCGCTGACACGTTCCGCAAAGAGCATCGCATCGCATCCAAGTTCATGGAGCATCCCGACTTTGTGGAGGGTGTATCGGCTTTGCTAATTGACAAGCCAAAGCGGACCCCCACCTGGTCTCCTGGCTCGCTGGAGGAAGTTTCGGACGCAGACGTGGCCGCCTTCTTCAACAACCCGACGAGTTTTGAGCTGTTGAACAAGGATGCTGGCAGCACCGAACAAGACTACACTGCTTACCCGCATGCGCATTTCACATTGCCTACCGATCTCGCTGTCGAGGTTCACTGGAGGAATGGCATGAAACAAGAGGAGATCATGCAGAAGCTCGTTCGTGAGTACAAAGGTAAACAAGGCGTCAAAGAAAAAGTGGCCGATATTCTGCAACGAAGATTAAATTCGAAGGGATTCAACGAAAACTACGAGGCTATCTGGGAATGGTTGTGAGTGTTGCACCTCTTGTACATTACACATGGAACGAAACACTTCCAAAATAATTCTGCATTCACAATTACGCATTATCATTTAGGTCACATATCGTTCATGATATCAGAATTAGGTTTACCATAGTTAGTCATGGATTGCACTGGTAGATATGCACGAGAACGTGCTTTTCGCCAGCACATGCAACACAATGGGCAGTCGAGCTCTTTTGATATATGAAAAGGCAATGCGTATCTCGTAATGCCCGAGCAAGCCATCATCGACGATTGATCACCACAACTAGGGAGTTCCAGACAGCGTCCCGTATCCATCTGGCAGATGCGGAAACCGCGCCTTGTCATCTGCGACTTTCCTTTTGAACAGGCCCACTTCCTTCAATAGCTCGTCGACTTCAGCCTGCCATGCGTCATGCTCGAATCCACCTTCTCCACTCACTACCGAATCGCCGTCATCTTCGCCCATGCCGCTATCATGGTCGTCGTCCTCGGCGTCGAGCTGTTCTGATGGCGACAGAGAATCGCGACTGACAAGCTCCTTAGGAATTACGATCGGGTTCTTCAGCTCGCTGACTGCCAGCGCCAAGTGGCGCCTGAGCGCTTCGATCTCCACGCGTAACGCCTCGTTCTGTGGTCGCAATTCGTCCACCTCCTGTGTAAGAGCACGGATCTTGACTTCGGACACCACTCGAGATTCCTCCATTGCCCGTTGCATCTTGCTGACTTGACGCTGGTAGTCCTCGAGCTCGTCTCTGGCACGATCTGCTTCATCGCGTTTCCGCAGTGCTGCCGCATTGACAGAAAGTTGTAGTGATTTGATTGTTTCTTGCATCTCAAGAATTTTGGCGTCGCGCTCGGCTGCGCTGACTGCATCTTGGTTGACGTGTGCCTTGGTACGGATACGCTTCGCTTGGTCGGCGTAGCGGAGTGTCGAGAGAGTCTCCTCATAGTCTGCGGGAGAGATGCAGGCTACCATTGCCGTTTTACTGTTGCCTCCGAGGGAGTCCTTCAACAGCCAAGTCAGGACACTGTCCCGATAAGGCACTACCTCAATCCGACGCTTGCATGAATTTTGCGACCCAGCAGCGCGAATTGCACGTTGTCTTTTCGGATCTGCTAACGCGGCAATTACTCGGCCGAGTGTTGTAAGAGATTGGTTGATGTTGGCTCCCTCGCGAAGGCGTTGACCAGTGGCCTCTGTGCGTACAGCGCGCTCAGAACCTGCCAGGTCGACCAAGCGCATGCGGGCTAGTCGTTCGATTGTGCTATCCGTTGTGATATCGTGCTGGATCTGCTTGAGGGTGAGGGTGAAGACAGCATGTGAGCGCGACGAGGTGTCGTTCATCTTGGTGCTGGCGGTCGTCCGATTCATGTCACCTATCCTCATGAGTCGCTCGATGTCCTCGAAACTTTTGACCGGCTCATCGGTCAGATTCTGCACATAGACACCATCTGTCTTGCTTTCTCTGATCTTGAGGTATGTGGGTGGATTTGTTTTGGGGGTGAAGAGATCTTTGACATGTTCGTTGTAGATCTCGAAGTACGAGACATGAACGCCGTATGTTATACTGCTGTTCTGTTCGCCCTCGATCCGCTCAAACAAGCCCTGACAGGTCCGTGGGATCAAGCCAGGCTGATCCGGTGTTCCCATCATCGTGTATGATTTGCCACTGCCTGTCTGGCCATATGCGAAAATGCAGGTGTGGTAGCCATCGAAGTTGTGGTCCAAGAACTCTTCGCCAAAGGAAGCGTATACATCTCTCTGATGCGCGTAGTGTGGATCTGATTCTCGATGTGACCAGAACGAGTGGTCGAATATAAAGTTCTTTTCCTCGTGCTGTCGACTTCTTGAATTGGAGTCACCATGATCGATATCGGGTGGGGAGAGTCGCGTTCGTTGTGATACCGGGTCCATATGAACAAGACATGGTGAATTTTTGTCAAGCTCTACCGTGCATCCATACGTCAGTGACAACTTCACACGCATGGTTCCTTTGTTGGGCATTACCTCTTTGTAAGAACTTCCTCACCCGCACCACCACTTTGACATTTCCGCCATCCCCATCGATAGGTGTGAAAGGACGCTCCATATGGTCAACAGGCTCTCTGGCACGCAAGCTCGGCGCGCTGGCGGTGGAATGATAGTATGCAATGTCTGGTGTCGTCAAAGCCCGCGACGCCATGCTGCGGAATGAAAGGTTCTCAAAATGCCGGATACCAACGAGATTCTCGCACAGGTCACAATTGCATCGTTGCGGACATGAGTAATAAGTGGTTGATGCTCAATCCATTCACCATTCGCGGTTAGTAAAGCTTTGGATTAGGACACGCGCGCACCAAGCGCTGCTTCTGCCCGCCAAAGTGCTGGAGACCCTGGTGTGAGCTCTCGCAGCCAGTAAACAATGACGACACACAGTTGCTGTAGTGACACCACATGACTCGCGCTCAAAAGCTCTTCACGCGTCCCACCTTCACGCGTTGAAGCTCAGCTCGGACCGGGCCTAGCGCGTCCTCTCATCAGCACATGTCACCAATGTGAACTTTTTTGAAGAATCGAATACCAGTCACTTCGGGATCGGTATTCTACGACCTCATTGTGAGGCTCATTTCACACAGACTCGGAAATATCAGTCGGTTCGCTGATACAAATAAATTCACACCCGACTGGCCAGGGTTTTGTTGTGATAGAGTCTCACTCTAGGACGTGTGCTAAATGCCAACGGGACGAAGCCATTCGTTGCCTCTATTGAGTACGGATACGCAGGAATAGTCATGTCAGGCAGTAATGAGCCAACACCAACACCGGCCGGTGCCGGCTCTGCGCCATCTAAGCCAGCTGCTCCGAGTCGCTCGTCATCGGCATCAACCAGGGGAAAGCCAGTGATTGCAAAGCCGAAATTTGTCGGCAGAAGGTCACAAGCTGCTCGAGCCGAGCTGGAAAAAGAGGCTGCAAAGAAGAAAGCTGCCGAATCTAAAGCTGCAGCGGCAGAGGCTGGGAAAAAGCGATGGGAGCATAAAGGCGATGGCCGGGGTGGCGCCAGAGGCGGAAGGGGCGGAAGAGGACGGGGCGGCTTCATGGGTGATCATCAAAGTCGCACGCAAGACGGTGTCGCTAGCGGACCATTTGGATCAGGCCAAGTCAGTAGTGACAGCAGCAGTCGACGATATGCTGCTAGTACGGGCGGTAGTGGCTTTGGAGGTGGTGGGTTTGGCGGAGGTGGAGCAGGCACAAGTTTTGGGGGCTCGAGAAGTGGTGGCTCAGGAGGTGGTTCAGGAGGCTCTGGTGTCAAATATGAAGCTGGATCCAGTGGTCCGCATGTCTTCAAGACTGAGGGAAGTGTGTACATCTCTAGTGACGAAGACGAAACCGAAGGCCGAAAGAAGAACATCGACGATCTTCAACGTGTGGTCGATTTGACTATCGAGGATGACCAGCAAGACGACAACGTCTTTGCGCCGGTCCGGTTAAAGCGAGAACCTCACAAAGATCGAACCGTGGCTTTCAATGCTGAGACTAGGCCGGCCACAGGTCAAAGCACTTCGAAAGATGCCAGCGCCACACAAGGAACGTCTGACCGTAGGAAAGGCAAGCAACGAGCGAGCGATGTCGTAATCACTCAAGTCAGATCGAAACGACCCACTGCATATAGCTCGTCAGACGATGATGGTGACGAAGTACCCATCAAGACAGAAACTTTGGACGAAGAAGCAAGCGCTCGTCCTGTCACTCCACCTACTGCTCCCATGACAACAGAACAGCCGCCCGCAAGCCCACCTTCATCACCGGAAAGCCGGCGGAAGGCCAAGGAACAGATCAAATCGTCTGACGAAAATCCGGATGAAGAAGACGACGATGATGAGTATCCCTTACCAGAGATGCCAAAGTTTCAGACTCAGGCAGAAGCGGACGAATGGAGACGCCACCATGCTGATCTTGACATCATTCGGAAGGAGTTAGGCCGGCAAGTCTTGAGCGCAGTTGGTGAAGATGGAAGCGCAGCGCCGACTGATACTGCCGCGCACCAACGTGCCAAGAAAGCTGAGGAGATCCGATCAGAACACGTCTACCTTTTCCAATTTCCGCCAGCGCTCCCGGATCTAGTGCCTGTTCGCGTCAAGCCAGATCCTGATGCCGTCGAAGTAAACAGCGATGAAATGCACATCGATCCCCCATCACAACAACCAGCGATCAAGAAGGAAGAAGGGTACAGCAATGCTACCAAGTCTCTCAAGCCAAGTCTACCCTCAGGCTCAGTCGGCAAGCTTCGAATTCATAAATCAGGCAAGGCAGTCCTAGACTGGGGTGGCACAAGCCTGGTGCTGTCGGCAGGCACAGATCCCAGCTTCTTGCAGAATATTCTCATCGCTACTGTACCGGAGACAAAGCCGGATGCAGACGCACCTGCAGAAGACCAAGAAGAGGCGATTGGCATGAGCATGGGCCAGGTCAGAGGAAAGTTTGTCGTGACCCCGAATTGGGATGAGATTTTGCATTGAACTGGGTGCGGAGGTGGCACAACATTATGATGACCAGCCGATGATGATGAAAATGAGAATGAAGTCATGGTAGCTTTTTAATGGGCATGAGGAGAGAAACTCAAAAATAGGAAAAGGCATACGCGACGACCATTGCGTGACACAGAATGGTTGGATCGAGGCAGTCAAGTATCACTTGTCAATACTTGCAACACGAATCCAATGATTTCTCTGACTATAGCTATAGCTATAGTCTATGCTGTTTCGCATATTCGCAAAGCACAATTCCTGCCGCCGTCTGCACATTCAAACTCCGGGTGATACCGATCTGCGGTATTTCAATCAGCACATCACACTCGCTGAGGATAAGCGCCGGAATGCCCTCCTTCTCGCTGCCCATGACGAGGATACACTTCTCCGGTAGAGCACACTCGACAGAACCCAGCATGACGCTGCGATCAGTCTGTTCGATTCCGCAGACCACGAAGCCTTCCTTCTGCTTCTTCTCGACGAGGAAGCCTTGCAGTTGGTTTGGCGGAAGCGAGTGGAGAGGCAGGTGTAAGTGCGAGGAGACGCTGACGCCGGAAAACTCCCGATTCGATGTGACTTGTGTATGGGACATGAACAGACCTCCTGCGCCGAAAATTTCGCTAACGCGAGAGAGTCCACCCAAATTGTATGGGTTATCAATGAGCGAGGCGATCACGAGAAGATTTGAGTGGCGCTTGCGTGAACTTTCAAGGTAGGCGGCTCCTTTCGTCTGCAGGATAGTCGAATTGGAGACGCTACCCAGAGCTTGAGTGATATTCTCAATGTTCTGCAGGACTTTATCGGATTCAGTGAGTCCTTTTGATACACTTGTCGATGTGGTCGTGTCCACTATCGCGTCGCCGAGGGGCATGCAAGATGCGGCCTTAGCTTCAACTGGAAGCTGCGCATCGGAGGCGTAAAGGCTGACGAAGCACTCGTGATTGGTCTGTCTCTTTTCAACGTTATCGAGCTCGTACCATGTTCCTTCAACTAAATGGGTGAGATTATGGTCCGCGACCGGATCTAGCTTGTCAATTCGACGGTCGAGAGGTGGGTCTCCAAATCTCTGCAGACTGCGCACAAAGTCGTCTAAAGCCTTGAAAGTCGTGTCATCACGGACCGCGTCCCACTTCCTGACAATCGCCAGGTCACGCAAGACTGGTATTTGCCATTGAGCTTCGTGGCGGATCACCACTTTGGACGATGCTGAAAGTGTGACGAAGATTGCCATCAGGTCCAACCCGAAGTTTTCTGTCGAGTTGGGTGCTTTGGCGACTGAGACGCCAATCTTCATCAGGGAAGCCAGGAATTTGGGATTGGCGTGATGGTCTTGCACTCGTAGCTCAGACAGCAGAACATGTCTCAGATCTTCGTGGTGGAGATGGATCCTGGCTATCATCCATTCCACCAGATATCGATAAGTCGGTAGCGGCTCTATGGAGAGAATGTAGTGGAGATCCTTCAGCACACGCTCCGCGTCAGCAGCACTAACTGCGGGAATGTATTGCTCCAAGCAAAGCAGCAAAACTTGCAATTGTAGTACAGTCTTCCATTGGCTAACAGTCGGTGGGGGAGTTTTTTGTCTCAGCCATCGTTGCAGCAAGCGCTGTGAGATTTTCTCAGAGGCACCGATCTCGATCTTTTCGATACGGCTGACCAGGTCGAGGAAGGCTGCGAATCCATGACTCTCACGTTTGCCGCAGTAAAACTCGTGATCGAAGACCTTGGTCTCTACACTGATGTTTGAAATCAGTCTGGCGGTGCAGTCCTCAAGCAATGCATCGACGGTCGGAGCCGGCGGCTGTTCTGCAAGATGGACGGTGAATTCCTCAATGTTGAGAAATGTAGGTTCTATCGCCATGTGGACGAGGTTCAACCTGATCTGTTGTAGGAGTGGGTAAAGCAGGTACGCCTTGCTGTCAGATTGCTTGAGAAGGTTTCTAATCATGGTTTGCAAGTGTTCTTGCGACTCAGACAAGATATCATCGTGTTGCATGATGCTTGGAAGATTATGATGTAGCAGCACACCGGGAATGGCTGTGAGAAGATGGCTGGGAAACTCGAGATACTCCAGGTCACTCCATATATCCTCGAGCTGCGTAACAAGCTCTGTAGAGTTTAAAGACTTGTCTTCGTTTGCCAGGCGTTCAACAATGCGTGAGCACTTCTTGATGGTTTCGGCTTCGTTCAGATCTCTTCGAGATCGTTCTGGAGATAATGAAGATATCGAACCATGAAGCTGTGCCGATCGATTGCTCTCAAGGCTCAGCGCCTTCGAGATCGTCTTCTCCCACATTACAGCAGCGTCTACGATCACCTGGCTTGCTCCTTCTCCCTGCTGATGACTGCAGTAGTCGTAGCACATTTTCCATAACCTCGCGAGAATGAAATCCCGAGCGGCTTCGGGCAATAGACCTGTCCAAACCACCATCTTATTGGCTTTTTCCAAATGCGAAGCATCAAGTTTTGGAGGTTGATCAGAATCGAGAGCTCGTCCAAGTCCTTCGAAGATGTACACCATGGCGTACGCAAAATTGTTGTTGGCTTTCCTGAGAACGTTGTCAAGCATTGCATCTACGATATCACCGCGCTGAAGTTCTTGACGGCGGAGCAATTGCGTTAGATATCCTGCCAACGTTTCACCATGCCTGCAGACCAAAACTTCATTATTGTTGTAGCGAAGAGATGATGTGAACAGGTACCCCTGCATTGCCCACGGGAGTAATGTTTCCTGCAGAAAAGAAATGAACTCGTGGTGGTCATCTACCCTGAGCTGAGACCTGAGAATCCAGTTTCCAATGAACTTCCGGTTCGAGTCCTGGATTTTATGATCGAGAGCACACGCTAGTAGCGTATAGAACCAAACGGGCTTGATGAGTGATTGAGACGAGGTGAGGAAGTCCAGATCTGGTTCACATTGCTGGACCTGGTTGAGATACCTCCCGAGGACGATGGTTTCGAAAATCGTACAGAATCTGCTGTATTGCTGGCGAATCTTGGAACTATCTGAAGGCCAATTAGCGTGAGGTTCGATCGTGCGGCTGACATGGGCAAACGATTGCTCAGTCTAACCATCTTTCAATTTATATTGTGATTTGGAAGGCATCCCAACCATGTACGCACCTATACCTTGATGGTCTTCCGCCACGATATATGATGTCAAATTAGGTGTTCCAGCCGCTACATCAACTGAGGCTCTCAAAATCTGCAGTGTGCTTTTCCGTCGTTCCGAGTCGCCATGTCGCAGTCCCTGTACCAGGAGCTGCCAGTATCTTGGGTCTTTTAATATCGATACATCAATCGCTGTTGAGGGCGAAGCTAGCCGAAGCCAAAGAGTGGATCCGATGAATTGATACTGTTTGTCGCTCGCATCCAGGAGCTCCTGTATCCTTAACCAGATGCTGTGCTGCTCAGAAGAAGCCAGTGTTCCGCTTTCGCTTATGATCCGGGACAATATTCTTTGAGCTTCTAACGCGAGTTTGATGTCGAGTGCGCCCACCAGGATCAGACAGGATCTGAACAGAATAAGGCCACTGGCGCCCCCAGTGGAGGAGCTCAAGTTCGCGCCAACGGAGGCCAAATGTAACGCAACCTCGGCGAAAGTGGTTTTGGCATGCTCATCTGGGTCCGCTGGGCTGCCTCTTACGTCCTGTTCTCCAGTAGCATTTGATGCCGCCATTGGCACAGCACTCCATTTCCTGTCGTGCTGGACCAATGCAGCAGCACGCTCTATTTTAGAGATTGAGTCACACACAACCTGCTCCCGCAGATCTGGGTATGCCTCGCAAAGCAAGGAAACAGTCTGAGCTTGTCCATTTGTGATTCGGGTGCTTAAATTATCAACAAGCGTTTGCATTGCAGTCGACTCCGGCTGCATCTGAAGGAGCGAAGCTAGTATACCGACATCATTGAAAGTACTCGATGCCGTAAGCTGCGCAGCCACATTAACGATTGCTGCTTTTCTCTCGGAGAGAGGAATATATTTCAGGAGCAGCCCAGTGGCGTCGTTCTCTGCCAGTGAAGCCATTCTAGTAACCCTTCTAGCTGCAGGCCGCAGAGGCAATGGCGGTCGCGCTCTGAACCCGGTTCTAAGGGATGAAATCATCTGCCGTCTGCATCGCTGCTGTAGAGAGTCGTTGCTGTCATCGTTGTGATCGGTTCACACGACAAGCGAAATAAATTTGATGGCTATCTAATAACGAGGTGAATCGCTGGTGCTTTTTAGGGTTAAACTGCTGGGAACAACCCAAACCCTGGTATTCAACTGCCTGTCCATGCCGTGGACCAACATCTTATCTTCTCCTTATGCTTCCTGTTTGTTTGGAGCAAATGTGTTGTTTTGATGACCGTGTCATTGTCGGAAATGTTTCCTCACTGTCGGAAAGTTTTCCGCTGCACCCTCATGTCAGCTGCAGATCTACGGATATGCGTTTGTCACATAGTTGGTGGAGGGTGGTGCTGTGCCACTCAGCGCTGACGAGGGTCGTTATGGTCAGCGTATGGACATGGGCATAAATATGGCGAGCGTCCTGACAGCTCGGAGGAAGCGATACATCACCCCAACATTGAGATCCCAAAGCGATCCAAATCATGTCAAATAAGCTCCGAGTCGCAATTTCTGGGGGAGGCGTCGCTGGTGCGTCGATGATCCACGCTCTCCTGAACTACTCACACATCGATGCCCATATATTCGAGTCTGCGCCATCCTTTCGTGAGGCGGGCATTGCATTTGGCCTCGCAAGAAATGCTACGAGGGCACTTGGACTTATCGGCCCTTCCGCAACGGAATGTCTTGCCAGTGCCGGAGGTGTACCGATGCTGGGAGTCCACTTTGTCCTCGGCCAAGGACCTAACGCAGGAGACCAAGTTTATGAGGCAGACGTTGAGCAAAGAGGACATGCAACTACTACATTAGTCCAGCGAGCACAATTTCTCCGAGAGCTTTTGAAGACTATTCCGGAGGAACGCTTGCATGCCTAGAAGAAGTTACAATCCGTTGAGCGGAGGGCTGATGGCTCCCTCCTGATTCAATTTTCGGACGGTACCAGTCATGAATGCGATATCCTCATCGGTGCCGATGGTATAGGTTCAAGCGTGCGGAAAGAGATCCTCGAAGCCGAGGATTCTGCTTGCATACCTCACAATTCTGGCGCTTGGGTCATCATGAAATTGTTCCCTTCCGAACGCGCCCAAGCAGTGCTCGGCGATGCTCCTATCAGCATCTTGAATGCGCGAGAGTACGGCTGGCTTGCCCAGAACACATTCATCTTGCACAACATCCTCAGCGACGGGGACCTGGTCCAATATGCGGTTTGTGGATATGATGAAGACGCTGTTGGGTCAGATCGGCGCCAGAGGCTTGTGACGAGAGATCAACTCAGAGAGATGTACAATGGCAAAGGCTGGTTGCCACATCTCGAGCGCGGCGTCGAAGAGGTAAGCGTATTGCAAAAAGCCTCCAAGTTCTATCACATCCAAAACTAATATTGACCGTATTGTAGCTACTGTGCAATGAAGAGCGACACGATGCTTGGTATTTGGCGGAGCACCCTCCCGCACGCACCTACATCAGCGGGCCTATCTGTGTTGTAGGCGATGCAGCCCACGCCACGACCGCATTCCAAGGATCAGGAGGTGGTATGTGCATCGAAGACAGCATGATCTTGTCCTCATTGTTGGGTCGTGCTTCTTCTCCTGCGGAAGCACTGGTAGCTCTTGAAGTCTACGACCAGGTTCGACGGCCGCGAACCCAAGAGATTGTCAAATCGAGTTGGGATACTGGCAAGATTTTCATGGCGCTGGACCAGGACACAAATTTGGACGCCGAGAAGCTCAAGGCGAAGCTGCGGCCTCGGTGGGATTTCATCGTGGACTTTGACATCGAAAAGAGTAGAGAAGAAGCCTTGAAGTTGTTTGACACTAAGGTCAAAACTGCTCTTGGCAAGTAGATACATATCATGCATAGTCTTTGAAATCTGGATCAGTCGCAGGGTACTCCCAAATGGGTCAAGACACCGACGAGCGCAAGCCGTCCTAGGATTTGATGAATTCCTGCATGTCGCGAGTGTAAATTGAAAGTTAGATGCTGCTCGGAACCGCAAACTCCATGATGAGGGAACGCATTGACATAATTTCGGGTACGGAGGGCCGCGACGATCCGCGACAGATACGCAGACCAGGAAAATCCCGACGATCTTGGAAAGGAAAGATCGACGTGTCGATGAAACATTTTTTCGCAGCGGTTCAGGATGTCCTTGTATTACGAGGCAGCCGAAGTTCTAACGAGCGTGAAGGGAAATAATGGATCCCTCAAGTCTGTCGTGTTTGGGAAGAAGACGTGGAAGAGCGATGCAAAGACCCTTTTCGCTCTGGCTGCAGAAGCCGCAAAATGGAGCAGCGTTCTGTCGGAAGTCGTCGAAAATAGCGGAATTATGAAGTTGGAGAAAAATGTTAGTACTTTCATACAACCACAACCATGGCAGAAGACACGAGTCTCTGATACTACAATACACAGCTTTCGCCAACTCTCACACTGCTACTTGTTCACGATCTTCTACTCGCAAAGAGAGGCATTGCATTGCCCGGAAAGCATGGACTTTACGTTGCAGTCACCCGCCACAAGGCACGACTCACAGCCGAGTTGACCAAAGCTAGAATTCGGCGGAGACTGACCTCTCTAGAAGCGCTGCGCGCTCACGTCAATGCCGGCAGTGCCGATGCTCAAGGGCACGAGGCCGGGAATGCTCCAGCTCCGCGACATCCTCGTTGGATCCGGATCAATACTCTTCGAACTACACTCGAGCATGAGCTGGCCACCACGTTCGTCAACTATGAGCGAGTGTCGCAGTTGAAGGATGTCGCGACGGCCAAAGCTACCCAGAGCGTTATATATGTTGACGATCACGTCGCTAACCTGGTGGCGATCGTTGGAGTCGAAGAGCCTACCAAGTTCAAGGCGTACAAGGAAGGCAAGCTCATATTTCAAGAAAAAGCATCCTGCTTCCCGGCCGCGCTGCTCAATCCGACGGTAGACGACGTCCATATAATTGATGCGTGCGCAGCCCCCGGAAACAAGACGACACATCTTGCTGCATTGCTGCAAGCTGCTCTGGCCTCTTCGGGTGAGAGCGACGCATCGAGTTGTCATGTCACAGCCTGCGAGAAGGACAATTTGCGCTCCCAAATACTCGTCAAGATGGTCAAGCTGGCCGAGGCCGATAGCACTGTCACTGTCAAGAAGAAGCAAGACTTCCTCCGACTCGACCCTTTCTCGAAGGAGTTTTCAAATGTCACCGCTTTGCTGTTGGATCCAAGTTGTTCAGGAAGTGGTATCGTTGGTCGAGATGAAGGCACATTAAATATCTGTCTACCGTCACTTGACAATGGCAATACTCAAGATGACAATAAACGTGGCAAGAAGCGGAAACGCGGTGCCGCAAAAGAGAAGCCCGGTCCTCCAGCGGCCGACGTCAAAGTCAAAGATGGGGAAGAAGACCAAGACGATGACGCTTCCGACGCATTAGTGGAAGAGACGGCTATCGAAGAAACCGACGAAGCAAAGCTCAAGGCTAGACTGGAGTCTCTCTCCGCTTTCCAACTCCGACTTTTGACGCATGCTATGGCGTTTCCCACCGCCAGGAAAATCACCTACTCGACTTGTTCCATTCACAATGATGAGAACGAAAATATAGTCGTGAAAGCATTGTCCTCTGAAGTTGCACGAGAGCAAGGATGGAAGGTCATGAAGCGATCGATTCAGGTGGACGGTATGCGCAAATGGCACAAGCGTGGCTCTATCGAGGCAGTCAAAACCGTTGCTGCCGGTCTGGGTGAGGAGTCAATTTCTTCGCTGGACTATGAGGAAATAGCGGAGGCGTGTATCAGGTGTGACAAACGTGGTGATGATGGAACCATGGGATTCTTCGTCGCCGGATTTATCCGAGATAGTTCAACCACAGCTGCAGCGCCGGAAACAAAGGCCCCTGCAACACGAACGAAACCTGCGAAGAAGAAAACGAAGACAACGAAGACGACAATTGACACCCACAAGGATGAGGAGTGGAACGGCTTTGGAGACGAGGATTGAAGTTGATTAGCTTTTGCCGCTCATGCTAGCCATAGAACGACCAGAGCCAAACTTATTTGTTCTCAGCAGCGACCGTCTCGGCAGTCTCCGGTAACCGATTCTGAGCATCAGTCGAGCCCGCTTCCTTCTTGCCGACCTGTGCGTCATCTCTTTCCAAGGCACGCTGACCCGCGAAAACAGGGTCGCGTTCGTTGATCCCTGTCTGGCTCGCCGACGCACCGGTTCCCTCAAGCGAGTGACCATCGTTCTTGCGGTGTTTGTGACCATCGTGTCGGATCTCGACGCTCGATTGGCCTTGGACGGGTTTTCCTAGGCCAATGTGGACATCGGCTGAGGTCGCCCCGACGAGAGTATCTGATGCCTTAGTCTCACTGCCGACTGACTCGGTCTGGTCGAGATTGTTAGAGCCTGGGGCAGTGTCGACGCCAGCGTTGGGCCGGAATGTTCTATCGGCTGGAGCTGTGCCGGCTGGGAGAGTCTGGGCGTGGAATTCGGGCTTGCTGTCGTTGCCGACGAGACGGCCGGTTTGGTGCTGTATCCTTGTCAGCTCGAACAGATCTTCAAGTTCCGACGTCGCAGTCACTCACGCCTTCAGTGGTGGCAGGTCCTTCACGAGGAACGCGTGCGCTGAACTCTCCGCTACCACCTCCAGGGGCAGCGTTGGCAAGCGCTTCAGTGTTGAGGTTTGACATTGTTGCACGATTTGCGATGATGTATGGGATCGCTGTGAATGAGTTTTGGGGATTGCAGTAGTAAAGAGGTTGAGAGATTGTATGGAGCACAAATCAATATCTGAGTGAATTTCTTTATTTATTATTCCCCCTTCCTCGATTCCGTCATAGCTAGACATACCTACATAGCTACCACATTATCGCGGCATCCATCGCAATGAATCGCGTGTGATGCTGTGATGCGCAAGTGAAAGAAAATTATGGCCCACGATAGTAATTTGGACGTCACTGCAGCGTCATGGACCTGACTTACTCCGATATTTCACCATTCGCCCATTTGGGTGTTACATCTGCGCGAAATCTATCACAATTCTTCTCATTGCATAGTGATGACCGCTCCGGTGGATCCCCAACAACCATTGCTGTGTTGCAATGGCAGATCTCCGCGTCCAGCAGGAAGTGGTGATCAGGGATGATGGCTGGTCAGGGTCACCTGGAATGCTTCAGCGATTGCTCTCGTAATATTATCTCCTAAGTATTCATTTAATGAGTTGCCGCAACATTTCTGGAGCTCATCCAGCTAACAATGATGCGTCCGCGAGCAGAATTTATATGTGTATCGCGGCTGGTACGTGGAGGTTCTCGTCTACGCTCGTGATGCCCTGATTAATCTCCGACGCAGCGGATCTCCATCTCGCTGTCATGGCGAAAGATCGCACAATTATTAACCGAAAATGTGCATTGGGACCGCAAAAGACCCACTAATTCTCATACAGTCACTGCAGCAAGCCAGGTGCAAAACCGTTGGCCATGCTGAGCTTTGTTGTGGTACTGCTATATACGTAATGTAGAGAAGACATGTCGGTCATGGAATAGTTATGCCTTGCCGAATGATGTCGTCCGTTTTAGGCGAGCTCTTCCGAGATTCGCGAAACTTTGACGCGAATTTGATTAAATGCCCTAAATTTGCAATGGAGACCCAGGCCTGCGAGTGAGGATTTCTTGTTCTACGTATCGATAAGACCTCAAGGCATCGCGCGCATCGCCATCAGATGTTGAACCTGTCAGAGGCGTCCAAGACACCACGTCAGCTCTGGCATTCCGAATCAAGACGGCCGCCACACTGGCGACCTCAATTCCACGCTCTATTCCACTCCTCACGAGATCCACGATTACTTCTGCGCGCTGGATTCGCGCTCGCATAACCACGATTGATTCAACGCCTCTCCACTTCTTCACTACACGTTGCACAAGGAAGTGGCTCCACGACACTTCGTCCCGGAGATCTAAAAAGCCAGCAATCTGGAAACCTAACGAGATAGACCAGAAGTCTAAAAATACACTGCAGAGGCTACAATCCCTTCTTCAGTCCGAGCCGGAAACGCCAAGGACTGAAACATTATCGCAGAGTTCATCTACGGCTAGATGGAACAAGCAGAGTGAACTTGCGGAATTGAATGATATTCTATCGGACGAGGAGGAACAAGATCACCTAGTGACAGAACAATTTGTGGATCATGCTCTGCCACTAATAACCCACATACAGCCCAGGACCATCAAAGTACCCGAATCACCGGTTGTTCGTTGGAAAAGGCGAGGGGGCGCTTATTTTGAACGATATCATAAGACTGTTGAAAGGAGCGAGTCGATCTGTGATCCAAGTACAATTGCCTTCCTCAAAGACCACGTGAAGAAACTTCAGATTCCTGCAAGGATTGCGAAGGCCCCCGAACTTCCATTTGCCGGGATAATGCATTCTTTCGTGCAAGTCATCACGACGCCCACGGCGGATACACCAGGCACGACGCTCCTCTTGCACTTTGCGAAAAAGCGCTACATAATTGGCAGCTTAGCTGAGGGCACGCAACGCGCGGCAGTGCAATTTGGGGCCAGACTGCTCAAGGTCCAGGACTTTTTCGTCACTGGACGCACAGAATGGAGGAATGTTGGGGGTACGATTGGCATGATTCTCACATTGGCTGATTCCCTCGCCTCTAGCCAACATAGCGCACTAGAGGAGACCATGAAGAAGTTGCGGGCGAAAGCGAAACGTGAAGGCTACGCGGATGATGTTGGCAAGATGCGGCGGCTCGAGGGGGAAGTGAAGAAGAAACATTCTGGCAGAATCAACTTCTTTGGACCTCCGAACATGAACTACATGCTTGCCACCACCCGCCGTTTCGTGTTTCGAAGAGGCATGCCGGTGGATATTCACGAAATACGCAGTCCACAAACCTCGGGCTCGGTGGAAGACCGGAACGACGAATGGGCGCCTACCTGGATGGATGAGAATATCAAGGTCTGGGCCATGGCCAATCTACCCTCAAATGCATCCACCCGAAGAGCCAATTCTTCTGTCAGCCCTCGCAAGCGAAGCCTCGAGGAAGCCTTTGCTGCCGAGACAACACCGAATGTCGATAAGGAAATGGGGAATCTCAATGACATTGTTGAGGACATGACTGCTGAAGATCGCAACTATCTAACAGTAAAGGCCGTTGTTGGGGAAATGTTTGACTCCGCCTGGCGTCTAGACACTTTGCATGAGACACTCTTGTCTGCAGTCAAGTTGCCCGCTACTATTTTCGTACGGGATGCTACGACTCATAAAATCGTGCGATATTCTGGACCACTTCCTGATGGGAAAACTACGCTTCCAGACCCTGACCTTAAAGTCCTAGTGCGCCGACCCTGGCCTGGTGCCCTTGTCGAAAGCTTACCTCCTGCAACGCCTGCCAAAGAATCTGTCAGCTATATTATTCGCTGCCAATTCCAACGAGGAAAGTTTAATGCCAAGCGAGCCAAGGAGTTGGGTTTGCAGTCAGGCCCAAATTTCCGTAAGCTGACCCAGGGCGAGAGTGTTGTGAACGACGCAGGAGAAACGATCACTCCAGAGATGGTACTTTCTGCTGGTAAGGAGGGCGGAGGCGTTGCAGTCATCGACATTCCTCATGTGGACTACATCGAGGGTACGCTTGGCCGACCTGAGTGGCACGAGCCTAAGGTTATGGCTGGAGTGGGTGGGATGTTCTGGATGTGTGGCCCAGACGTTGCTAAGCATCCTCGAATCCATACGTTCATGCAGCAGTTCAAGCATCTGGAGCATAGTGTGGCATCGCCCGATTATTGTCCTAACAACATTGCTCTGGAGGGCACCGCTTCATCAACTGTGATGCTAAGGAAGCTCGATCCTGATCGGTACAGCATTCCGGTCCATGATGGTACAACACCTGACGGAACTTTGCTTCGAGGCGCAACTGAAAATGCTGTGATCACCGCCCAAAATCATCCTCTGCCCGAGGGAGTGCATATCGCTGCCCGAGGTCACACTCTTGACCTTGAACCAAGTATCAAATATGATTCTAGCAATGCTGCGCCCGCCTTCGTCGTTGCCGATGCAGAAGCTGAGGTCCCGGATGACGCAATAGCAGAGGCAGACAAGGCTCGGGCAGCCATCGCCTCTGTCGATGAGAAAATGGAAGCATGGATCAACAGTCTCCCTCCTGGTAGCAAGGACGTTGAGATCATCACTCTGGGTACTGGTTCTGCGCTGCCGTCCAAATATCGAAATGTCTCCGCGACTTTGGTGCTGGTACCAAACTGGGGAAACATCCTATTCGACTGCGGCGAGAACACACTAGGGCAAATGAAGCGTGTCTTCACCGAGACCGAATTGAAGCAAGTGCTGCGCGATTTGAAGATTCTCAGCATCAGCCACATGCACGCGGATCATCACCTTGGCACGGCGGCCGTAATCAAGGCTTGGTATCAAGAAGTACACGGCGGACAGCCTGGGCCAACACAAGCACCCACCGAGACCACCTCTAAGATCGACATCGATAAGCTCTTCCGCGACGATCGACGCTTGGCCGTCGTTTCCGAGACTGCCATGCAGGCATGGCTCTACGAATACAGCTGTATCGAAGATTACGGCTATTCTCGAATCGCGCCTATAGTGTTGACTCCTACGAGAAAGTATTTTGACGGCGACGGTCCAGGAACCAGACCGCCCCTTCACTGGTTCACTCTTTCGTCGGCTCTTGATAGCTTGAGCGAAAAGGCTCGCGTGGCCCGATTATCCGCGACTCGAGTTCCACTCTCCCTTCTCAATCTCACTAATCTGGAGGCCGCACAGGTCGTGCATTGCCATGGCGCCCGCGCGGTCAGCATCACCTTGCCTTCTGGTTTCAAAATTAGCTTCTCGGGCGATTGTCGACCTTCGCGGGACTTTGCGAGAATCGGTCGGGGCAGCACCGTCTGCATCCACGAGGCGACCTTCGACGATGAGTTGAAGGGCGACGCCCTGGCCAAGAAACACAGCACTACCTCGGAGGCGCTGCACATTGCGGAGAGTATGAACGCTCGCGCTTGCGTTTTGACGCACTTCAGTCAGCGATACCAGAAGGTTCCCATTCTAGAAAGGGGCGAGGGCGAGGAACTGGATCCGAATACTGCGTCGACCGCTCCCCCCGCTGTGGATGGGGATGACGTGGATATGTCCCGCCCCGCCGATGCTATTGACGATGCGCCGGATGCAGAAGCGCTTTATGAGGGCGCCCCCGAAGAGGACATGACCTATGCCGATCAGAAGGGCTCTGCGGGAGCAGATAGCGTCGGCCAGCAGTACGACCTTGAAGATGCGAAGAAGCCCAAACTAGCCCGTGAAGGCTCGAACCCGGGCGAACCGGTCAAGCTGCGTCTGAAATCGGACATGAAAGTCTGCGTCGCGTTCGATTACATGCGCGTCAAAGTCGGCGACATCGGGCACATGGAGAAATTTACGCCGGCACTGGTCAAGCTGTTTGAGGCCGCGGAGGCAGAGGACTCGGTGTTACTGTTCGAAGCGGATGAGGCGGATGAGACGGGCATCGACGGTACAGGGAATCAACAACAAGACAAGAAACAGGATCGAAAGAAGAAAGGCGGACGGAGGAATAACTAGATGAATTCCCAGCAAGCAATGAGCGTGTTCTTCAATCCCGTAAATGAGTTTGTGCGCCGAGACTCCATTCCTGTATTCAATGAAATATCGGTGTCAGTGTGGAGCATCAAGCTACACGTGATGTCATACACGGGCATATATGCGTTTTGATAATGTGATTTTTTGGAGACGCCGCAATTACATATGCAAGCCCATAGGGCTGATGCAGGCAATCGTGGCAGGGACTTTCTTCTTGTTGGAATTCCCTAAAAACCTGATATCATACGAGGAATAGCCAGTGAAGATCGGCCACGCCGAGCCGTCAGGTCACTGTAAGAAAACACCGACACCATCCCGTCCATGCTGCGCAAAGAATCGTTCGCTTGTGTGACACCCGCACCATGAAATAAATCGTCTATCTGTTGCTCTTGGCGACACGCTCCAACTCGTCCTTCTTCTTGATCGCGTAGCTGTTGCTGCTTCCCTTAGCGGCGTTGATAAGCTCTTCCGCCAAGCACTCAGCAATGGTCTTGATGTTGCGGAAGGCGGCTTCTCTGGCGCCGATGGTGAGGAGAGCGATGGCCTGGTTCACACGTCGAAGTGGCGAAACGTCAACGGCTTGACGACGGACGGTTCCTGCGCTACCGATACGTGTGCTGTCTTCTCGGGGTCCGCAGTTGACTATAGCGTCGACGGCGATTTGAATGGGGTTCTGGTCGGTCATGATGTGGACCTGTGATGTTGTGTTAGAGAGGAAGCTGCATAGCCGAGACTGGTTGAGTTTGCTCACAATCTCGAAAGCGTGTGCGACAATGCGGACAGCCATCAACTTCTTTCCGTTGTTGCGGCCGTTCATCATCAGCGAGTTGGTGAGTCGCTCGATAATTGGGCATTGCGCTTTGCGGAAACGCTTGACAGCGTATCGTCCTGCGGAGTGGGAGATGTAGACCGGCTGTCGGATTTGGATGTAATCACTATTGAGCATCGCCCGTCAGCCATCCGCTCTTTGATCCCTCCATTCCAGCGCCTGCACTGCCGAAGGTGCCTGCGATCCGTAGCAAACGTACGTGAGCGAAATATCCCTGATCTCGACATCCTCGTAGCTCCATTTGTTGAAAAGCTTCGTGCTGCCGATCTCGCTAACAACGTCCTTGGGCAGGACGGGGTAGCCCTGAGGAGCCTCAACTTCGACTTCGCCGTCAGACATGATCGCGACTCTTCGCTGCACGAGGAACAAAGAGAATATGCGGTGGTTGTTGTTGGCGGTGGAGTGGTGGTCGTCTTTGAATACTCGGACCAGTACGTGTAGTCACTCATACATTGAAATTCGACCTGAAGGTGCTATTGCCAAGCCGCGCTAGCCGGCGTGAACAGCCCACGCACAAATCCGACAATATGTCAAGTCACGTGAATTCAGTAGAACTGAGCCCTATCTCAAAATCATACACACCTGGGCACAGCAATTGAATATTTCAACGGGATGCATTCCGCGCTTTTCGACAAGCAATCGTCAAAAGACTTCCAAGGTTATTCGCAGAAGATCCTGTCCGGTTCTGTGTCCGACGGCAGCTATACTTGTGTTTTCTTGCCATCGGCTTATAACTCAGCAATACTGAAGCAGACGCCTGTCGGGACCTCTTACGTTACATTACTCAAGATCAAGTGAAACGCATGTCATTTTTTCCAGTAGTGTCGGCTCTCCTAAACCCTGTCCTCTCTGTGTCCAGGATCTCATGCTTGCCTGTTGAATGTCACTCGATAATCCGTCGCATATCCTGCTCACACTCTGGATACTGCTCGTTCATTTTCGCATTGTTTCTCTCACACGTCACGTAGCAATATGCAGAACCTGAATCATTATTCCAAAGTATGAGCCTTCTCACTCATGGTTCGCTGCCTTCGTATCAGGAAAAGTGAAGCTTCCCATGCCTGTGACACATTCGTGTCGCTCTGACGCCTCGATGTCATGACTCGCAGCCTGTTCAAGCATAAAACTCATACCATAGGACAAGGTACCGTCGGCGTGTGCTCGAGTACCATGGAACTAGACGGAACGGGCGTCTCAAGGTTAGTCTCTCAACTGCTGAACGCCGGAGCCGCCTGCTTTGCCGACAGCCTGCAGGCTACCCGTCAAGGCCGTCTGCGAACGCGCCAAGGTCCCCGTTGAAGAATCCTCCACCGAACGACCCCAGACCGGCGTCGTGATCACCATGCTGAGTTTGTCTTTTCTTAGCAAATGGCTGGCCGGCATGGCCGTTCATCGTTGTGCGATTTTTGTCGAAGGATGCAACCGAGGAGAGATCATTAAAATTATCGTCGTTGTCTTCGTCATTCAGGCCTGTAAATTCGTTTGCATCAGCATTGGGATTCATTTAGGTGACAAGCTCAACATTACTAGCGACTGACCTTCCGCACTTCGCTTCTCACCCGGCGGTTTCCCGCTCTTCGTTCTTTTCTTCTTCGCATCCGCTGCCTTTTTCCAGATCTGCCAGCGAACGTAATTTGGTCGATCGAATTGGTTCTGAGCTAATTGCTGAGCTGTAGCTCCTTCCATGTATTGCCAGCATCTGAACATGAACCAATGCTGCATGATCTTCTGGGCCTTTACTTGGGCTTCAAAGTTGGCCGGGTCATACTGCGGAAGCCAATTGATCTCCTCGGCGTACGGATTCTTGTTCGACTCGAGGTCCGCAGTCGCCGAGTAACAAAACAGGGGAACAGGTGGTCTCAGTTCATTGGCCTCGTCGATGCGGCTCGGGTTAGGCTCATAGAAGATCTCCTGCCAGTCGCTTTTGCGATAGCCAACAAGCAGACGTTTGTGAGATGCCTTGATCAGCATCTTGTTATGCTCCTGTGTGATATGTTCAAGTCAATTTCGAGCAAAGGACAATCAATGATAGCAACGATTGCAAATGATGAGCAGGTGATGATGATGATGATGATGATGTTGTTGTTGTTGTCTACTTGACAGATTGCTGAAGACGTGTTGGAACAAACTGGGCGACTGTTCCTCACTTGAAAGGTTGATGCGGTAGCTGAAGATGTTTGTGGGAATGAGTGAGCTGAAGCCGGCTTAAGTATTGGTGCTTGAGGAGGCCACGCTCACAATAGACAAACATTTGCTCACACGTGAAGGCTCGTGATAAGAATGGCGATCTTGTGAGTTGGAGGAGTGTGAGTGTGAAAACCGTGCTTGAGCCTTCCGAGCAGTTATTGATAGATTTGAGGTGCGAACATCACTACGAAGGTGATTCATGCTCATGTGTTCTGTTGAAGCTGGGCCGGCATCAACCATATGATAATCCTTACGCGAGTGATAAGCAATGCTAGATCCGTTGGCAAGAAATTGAAACCTTGTGACAACGATGCGATTGCGCAACAGTGTTACGCCCATTGTGAAAGTCCATGACTGTGCCTTCATGTGAATCTGTCATTCGGCCAGATTGATACTTGACGTCTCTGGAATGAATCTTTGAAAATCATGCAAAGATGGGGATGCACGAGCTCTTGGCTTGAAGGAGATCGTTCGCGACATGATAATGCTTGCATCGAGCGTAGAATGGGTAATCCACGGGGTCAATACATTTTGAAAGTTGTTATTCACATCTGCAATTGCTTTAGCCCTGCCAGCGATGATAATTGAGGAGCTCGCTGCGTCAGAACCGCATAGCGGCAGACCAGAAAAGTACGTCTTGTCACATGTTCAGCAGACGGCATTGTGTGATATGTGATCCCTTCGACGGCTTGACAGAGTGCACCTAGGTATGTAACGATGACCGCGAGGGGCAGGACGGCAGTCCCATTAGAGTTTCGGACTGGCCCGTAGCTAAATATATCTGCCTCCAAGACGCGTCCGATCCATTTCAATTAATCACGGACCCCATTGCGAGCGCGTCTTCCCACGCGCTCCGTCATGATCGTTCGTCGCACGTCGCAACCCAGCCAACGGTTTCGCACTTACTTTGTTGAGAGGGTGCAAGTTTGTTAGAACACAAGCCTGATGCTGCAACTCACTACCAACATCCCTGCTACTTCGACATTTTGAAGTCGTTATACACCGGGACTGCGCTCAACCTCTACATCATGGCCAACTCATCTGTTATGCACACGCGCAAAAAGCAGTTCCAAACTCCAATCACCTCATTCTTCCCACGCGAAAGCGCAGACGATGTGCGCCGAACACTGCACACACCATCATTGGCACCAGCACTACCCGCAGCGACCCAGGCCGGCCTAATCAGCGTAGGTATGCGAGTCAGAAAGTCGGTTCCTGAAGGTTACAAGACGCACAAGACAATCGGCCAAGCAGCCTCGAGCTCGATGCCCCCGTCTGCAATCAAGATACGCTCTGAGCCGACAGTCACAGGGTCACAAGAACTCATGCCCTTCTGTGGTCTTCACAAGATTGGTGGTCTGGGGATGCAACAAATGCCCGCTTCGTCAGCTCCGGCGGCTGTGATGGATACGTACGAGCTAGACTTCGAACACATGCCGGATCTTTCTGGGTCGCAAATTACTCTATCATCATCGCAAGAGAGCTTCGGGCCGGTAGAGGAGCCTTCTAATAGGAAACGGACATACGAAGACGAAGTCGAAGACGGCATGGATGCGCTGTTCGAGGACATGCATGCCCCAGACATTATACACCATCAGATGCCAGGGGTGTCCCGACCGATCGCAAAACCGCGCAATCTGCGCAAAACTGCGATCTCAGATCAACCTGCTGTGATTAATCCTGGCGATTTTGATGAGGCCCCGTTCCTGACGCCGATGGAAGTCGTGGATTAGAGGAGGACAACGTCGCAGCTCCACCACTTTCACGTCCGATCGCATTTTCTGGAATCCATTAATGCAGCACTTTCTAGTGAAAATCATATCAACAATCCACATGGTCATGACTTGATGCGCTGGTGCTCGCTGCCTCCTTGGTCATCTTCTCGAACAGGCTGTGCCCCGCTCAGGCTTCGCTCACAGTACACAATATGAAATCATATTCCAAGTGCATGCAATAGTCATCTGCGTCGCATTGCTGTGTCTATTCTCGAGCAGCATCGCATGAACTTTTATTTCAATCGTTCCGTGCACGATACACCATAGGGGTTGAAAACATGAGGGGATGTTCTCGTATTAACGACACCATTCACACCCCTCGAACCAAGCTGCAAAAATTGCGCCTACCGATCGGAAAATTGGAAAATCACTGGAAACAGCCACAGCGTGCCCCATTGCAACAAAGAGCTTGGGCTGACAGTCAACATCATCGTCAAACGATAAGTAACAAGCAACATCAAAAGTTCGTCAAGTGCACCCCGATCTGGCTAAAAACGGTATTGAACGTCTCGAGCATATGCGGTCAACATCTACGTGTATTGAATGCGATCCACTATGATGCTCGTCTGGCATCAGCCCGGAGAGTAGAGGACAGCCTTTGACCTCATATCTGTCGGGATATGGGATCGGAAGCCGGAACTGTCCAGATCACAGGACTTTGGTCCCAAGCCTAGTAAGGGCCGTCATCTGCGTCATATCTACTATGAGAGCAACCCGCATGCAGTGAGCCGATGCTCGTCTGAGCACCACCTCGACCTACATCGGATATGCAGCATTGGAACAGTTTGATGCTCATGTAAACAGCAATGTGGAGATTGTGTAGCGCTTTCGATGTGACGTCGATTGTGCGATTGATGTTCATTTCCGCACTCATGGAACAGACGCCGAAATCTAGGCTCTTGGACATGAGGACAGTCAGAAACGTTAAGCACCGCCAGGCACAATCCGTTGCCTAAGCGGGGTTAAACAGATTCAGGGGAGACGGGAGAAGGAAATGGATGAAGGCACGTGACTGGCATCATCCCACCTTCAAGTCCGGTCCCGCCATGAGATTGACACTACTGGAAACACCTAATAACACCTAGTATTGTAGTAATATTTGCCGTGCTAATGAACTATGGATTTCGCGCTGCTTCTTTCAAATCTCCAGTCGTGCCGCCGCCGCCGCCGCCAATCTGTGGTCGTCGTAAAGAGCAACGACGCCAGCGCCCAAGGAATAGACAGATCTTTAGCCGCCTTTGTCCAAAATTATTATTGTGATCACCGTACTCGTCCGCTTCCCATACACCGCCTCGTCTTTTTGTTTCCAGACCTCTATAGTCACAAAATCTCGACCTTCATTCTGTGACCTCGACGTCTTCCAACCACTGGACCCTGTTTGCCAAGCACGTATACATTTCACAGCCTGTGCGCGTCCCGCCAAATAAACGTCGCTTGCGATTAACTCGAGCCCGCAGAACAGTTGATGCGCATCTCTCGATAAGAGCGACGAAGCTCGACGCCCTTTTGCCACCAGCTCACAATAGACTCACACGCCCAACATGGACGTGAACCAGGTCTTGACGGGAACCATCTCACCTGGTATGTGAGCCTGTGATCTCAGAGCCTGGACTCCCGCGAGGAGCGAGGGGTAATTCGCACGAAAGTAAGCAGAACTGACAGACTGCGATTGTTAGATGCCCAGGTTCGCACTGCTGCCGAACAGCAGTTGCTCCAGGCCGCGGAACAAGATTTCGTAAGTGAGGCCACCACGGCTCCTGACATCACAGTGAGCTGATTAGGAGATTTCTGCAGCCTGGATACCTCATAACACTCTCTCGCGAACTTGCCAATGATTCCGCAGATTCCTCCGTGCGTATGGCCGCTGGTCTCGCACTCAAAAACTCGTTTTCAGCTCGCGACTTTGCACGCCTGCGTGAAGTACAGCGTCGGTGGATCGAGCAGATCGACCCGCAGATCAAACAACAGGTCAAAACTCTAGCCTTGCAGACGCTGGGCGCGACCGACGTCAGAGCGTCACAATCTGCCGCACAGTTCATTGCGTCCATCGCCGCCATCGAGCTGCCCAGAGAGCAATGGCCCGATCTGATGCAAACTTTGGTCGAGAATGTCGGCAGTGGGTCAGATCAGAAGAAGCAGGCTTCACTCACAACAATTGGTTTCATCTGCGAGACTGATGAGCAAGATCTCCGCGACAGCTTGGCCCAGCACAGCAATGCCATCCTCACGGCCGTTGTTCAAGGAGCACGCAAGGAGGAGCCAAACGTCGAGATCCGAAATGCGGCCATCACAGCTCTTGGTGACTCTCTCGAATTTGTGCGCACCAATTTCGAAAACGAAGGCGAGCGGAACTACATCATGCAGGTCGTATGCGAGGCGACGCAAGCCGAGGATTCACGCATCAAGCAAGGATCATACGGATGTTTGAACCGTATCATGAGCTTATACTATGAGAAGATGAGATTTTACATGGAGAAGGCACTGTTTGGGCTCACCATTCAGGGCATGAAGAATGAGGATGAGGACGTTGCCAAACTTGCCGTCGAGTTTTGGTGCACAGTCTGCGAGGAGGAGATCAGCATCGAGGATGATAATGTCCAGGCTCAGGCAGAAAACAGCGCCGAAGTGCGTCAATACTTCAACTTCGCTCGCGTGGCCACTCAGGAGGTTGTCCCTGTCCTGCTTGAATTGCTCGCAAAGCAGGATGAAGATGCTGGAGACGATGAGTACAACATCTCTCGCGCTGCCTACCAGTGTGTTCAATTGTGGGCTCAGGCAGTTGGCAGCCAGGTCGTTCCTCCTGTCCTCACCTTTGTGGAGCGAAACTTGCGCAGCGAAGACTGGCACTACCGTGATGCTGCAGTTTCCGCCTTTGGAGCAATGATGGAGGGACCCGATGAGAAGGTCCTGGACCCATTGGTCAAGCAGGCGCTTCCAGTCCTGATCACCATGATGGCCGATCCTTCGGTCCAAGTTCGTGACTCAGCAGCTTTCGCGCTCGGCCGCATCTGTGAGGCTGTGTCCGAATCTATCGACCCGCAGGAGCACCTTCAGCCGCTCATTACGGCATTGTTCCAGGGTCTTGCTTCTCACCCGAAGATGGCGAGCTCTTGCTGCTGGGCGTTGATGAACCTTGCGGACCGCTTCGCTGGGGAGCCCGGATGCCAGACCAACCCGTTATCTGAGCACTTCCAGGCCAGCGTGCAGCATCTTCTACAGCTCACTGAGAGTACTCATGACAATACCCTTCGCGTCGCAGCGTATGAAGTTCTCAACGCCTTTGTTACCAATGCCGCGAACGACACTGTTACAATGGTCGCTAGCTTGAGCGATGTCATTATCGAAAGACTCGAGAAGACCATCCCGATGCTTCAGCAAGTCGTATCGGTCGAGGATCGTCTCACCCTGGATGAGATGCAGACTTCGCTCACATCAGTCATCATGGCCATCATTGGACGACTTGAGAAGGAGATTGCACCCCAGGCTGATCGGATCATGCAGCTCATGCTTACACTACTCCAATCTCTGCCGCCAAAGTCCAGTGTGCCCGATACAGTGTTTGCCACCATCGGCTCATTGGCCAACGTCCTCGATGCAGACTTCGAGAAATATATGCAGTCCTTCGCACCCTTCTTGTTGACGGCACTCAATAACCAAGAGGAGCCTCAGCTCTGCTCAATGGCCATTGGCCTCGTCACTGATGTGACACGTGCCTTGGAGCAGAAGATTGCTCCTTGGTGTGATGGTTTCATGAACGGTCTTCTTAACAACCTCCGAGTATGTGAATCCCCTGTAGTCAAATCACTTCGTATGCTGACATTCCACAGAGCCCAAACCTTGGCAACCAGTTCAAGCCAGCGATTCTGCAGTCATTTGGCGATATTGCTCAATGCATCGGTGGTGCCTTCGAGCCTTATATTTCCGTTGTCGCGCAAGTCTTGCAGCAGGCTGCCAACGTCAATAACGTCGACAGCTCAACGAGCTTTGAGATGATTGACTACATCGTCTCGTTGCGCGAGGGTATCATGGATGCTTGGGGCGGTATCATCATCGCCGTCAGAAGCTCGCAAAAGCGTAAGAAATTAAGCAGTCACCAGCTGATCACAATCTCGCTAACATCCTTTGAAGAGCAATTGATTCAACCTTATGTGGATTCGATCTTCCAGCTATTACAGAGCGTCTATCAAGACCCTAACCGCACCGAGGCGCTTCTCAGGTCAAGCATGGGTGTCGTCGGGTATGTCAATCCTCTCGAATTTGGTGGACTTCAACTAACGATACTCTAGTGATATCTCCGAGGCATTCCCAGGCGGCGAAGTCAGCGCCTACTTCCGAAACGACTGGATTACTCCTATGGCGCGTGATACACGAAGCAACAAGGAGTTCTCCTCACGGACGATCGAGACTGCTCGCTGGGCTCGTGAACAGATTAAGCGACAGACTGGTAAGTTCCGACAGACCCGCTAATCGGTAGCAAGTCATGAGTTCTGTGCTGACTGAATTCAAAGCTCTCGGCAATGCATAAACTGTGATTTGATGTCACATACTCTCCAGTCCCATCAGCCTGCTTGGCCATCTTTGGCCTGAAAGACATCGATGGCCAAAAGGAGGATCGCCGATTGACCGCGCTGACGAGGTCGAGCGTGATGTTCCTTACATCAACGGCATCTGGTCTCGTGGCCAACTCGCATTGCATCGCATCGCACCGCCTTGAGACGATACCAGAGTGTTGAGTCGAGCGATCTGATCCGGCTTGGTCGGTGATGCCGAGGCGGGAACGAACGTCATTTCAATAATGTTCTCGCTACTCGCGGCCAGCTCATCACCACTTTCCAGCACCATCACCACCTCCTATCACCATTCCACAATCAGCACCGCGAGCAATGAGCACAAATCAAGATTCAGACTATAAAGCTTGCAACACATCACGACTTACACCCTTCCCAACCCTCGCATCAATACCCCCATTCCCGCCTCCCGCCTTCTGAGACCAAAGTGGCCAATTCGAGTCGAGGAAATATTCCCATGGTCAGCAATCTTGGAACGATTCGCGGCCATCTACATCATTTTGGTTCCTACGATGGGAAGCCGGGCTCCAATTTTGCGCTGTCTCTGCTATCGCACTTGATCTCCTTTGACGTTGACCCGTTGAGAGAAACTTCACGCTGGTGGTGTACTTCGATCTTTCTTGCCCACAAACATTTCAACCACCAATTCATCCATCAATATTTAACTCTTCTGACCCCCGACATGCTGTGATGAGGTAGTACTGTGACTCATTTATTTCTACTTCATATATATAATGTGGTGATCACAATGACTTACGTGCACGCCGCTTGACCGTGAATGTTATCCGTCCGTTGTGTCGAAACGCGAAGGCCCTGCGTGTTCGTCGGGTCTCCTGTAGGGGCTTGTTCATACCGGCGCGATATCAGGCACCGGTCAGTAAGTGAGAACATGGGAGTCAAGTTCATCCTGAAGCTCATCATCATCGTCATCACATCTATCTCCATCGCCATCCGAAGAAAGCAGGGTCATCCATGAATTCCGCTGTGCTTTCTTTCACATTCCTCCCATCATGACCACGTGATGATCGGCTTGATACAAGTCCCATCGTGCATCCTGCGACAACAGCATGTCAGCACCAAAAGCTCACCGACGATGTCCGACGCGCGGGGGGTGGGGGGGGAATCTACTCACTCCTGCAAAGCCTGCTCGAAATCGTGCGCGGGGATCTTCTTCATCAGCCGATCGAAGGGAAAATTCCCATCCCGGTACCACCGGATCATCTCCGGGATGAACTCGCGGGGATATGCGGAGCCCTCGATCGCCCCGATCCACTGTTTCCCGGAGTTCATGAACTCGAAGACGTTGACGCTGCTGAGCGTGAGGTCCAGCGGCGCGGCGCCGACCTGGATGTACTTGCCGCAGTTCCGCGTGAAATGCATCCCCTCGATGATGAGCGACGGTGCGCCCGTCGTGTCGATGGTGATGGTGGGGCCGACGCCGTCGGAAAGGGCCCTGATGGCTTCGGTAAGAGACTTTCTTCCCGGGGGCAGGGCGGAGCTGTTGAGGACGTGGGTGGCGCCGAGATCCTTCGCGAGGGCGAGGCGTTGCTCGACGCGGTCGATCCCGATTATGATCCGGCAGTTGCTGTTCTTGGCTGCCATGATGGCGGATAGGCCTACGCCACCCAGGCCCATGATGCAGATTGCGTCTGTGGGCTCTGCCTTGGCGACGTTGAGGACGGTGCCGCTGCCGGTCTGAATGCCGCAGCCGAGAGGGGCGAAGAGTTGGAGTTCCTCCTTGTCCTGGACGAGACCCTTGACGTTGACGACGGAGGCCTGCTTGACGATGCTGAAGTGCGCAAAGGACGATTGTCCAAAGAAGTGACCGCCCACATCCGGCGCTGCCCCTTTGTCATCCGCAGAAGCGGTCGAGGCCAGTTTGAAAATCCGATGCGGCCCGAAGTTCAGCGGTAGGGAATTGGTGCAATTCGACCAATGCCGCGTCTTGCAGAGCGCGCATTCGTCGCAGAAATCAAACGAGAGCAACACGGGATCTCCCACGGCCGCCACTTCCACCCCTGTACCGACGTCTCGAACATATCCCGAGCCTTGGAAAAAGCCCGAAACTCGTCAGCAAGCCCATGGAGTTTTCCTTACGATTCCAATGCCTACCTTCATGGCCCAAAACCCGCGGATAGAACGCGATCGGCGAGGAGCCCGCGTCGAGATTCCCAATGAAAGCATCAGTGTGGCAGACGCCCGAAGCGACCATCTCGACTAGCATTTCGCCGGCTTCGAGGGGTCTCAGCAGGAGCTCGTCCATTCTCCAGCCATTGTTCTTGAGCGCATCGTGGCAGACGATGGCTTTGGTCTTCGTAGGTGGAGGTTTGTACGCGCGGCCGAATCTCTCCTGATCCTCCCAGACTTTCCGCAGGGAAGGCGGGATGTTCGATGAAGCCCTCGATGACATGTGTGGATTCCCAACGCCTTTTTCCAATGAGCGACCGGGACGTATGGATAATGCGGAGATTGCCCGAGAATGTGGATGCAAGCAGTCGGTTCTATCTAGTGTAGTCTCCTTCTTCTTGGTATTACATGTACTCTTTGTCGTTTGATACTCCGGAATTCCTGGGGAGGTGACGTTCTACCCTGGGGGTTGTGGGACGCTCCACGGACAAAGCATCATCTGGGTCCAACCACAGCCGAGCCCAGCGATGATGCACACGACCCGCACATCTCGACGGTGTCACCGCTATTATGGAACAGCGCGGTGGAAGAATCCATGGTACTGCGCTGTATGTGTTATCTCGGGCGATGATGCACGCGTCTGTTCATCATCATTCAACCACTCATCTACCGAATCTCCGGGACGCTGCGGGGGTTGGGGAACCGGTTGGTACCACGACCGCGCAGGAATAAGAAAGCGGACATCATCTGCCGAGGGAGAGAGAGAAAGACAAGCAGCGGTGAACTGAATTGAACGTCATGCAAACGGCACGTCACCAGCCAATGAGTTCTTATTGATTTTGATTCCTGCCAAGACGTGCAGAAGGTATAGGCCATCTCGATAGATCGGCGTGCATGGTGGAGTGTGTGTACTTAGACGTAACGACATGGCCTGAGGAAGCCACACGGCCAATGATCGGTGATAACTTCGTCGAAGCAAATCAGTAATCGTAAGCAGATCATCACTGCCAGCGAGAGAATTCAGTAAGAGAGAGAAATTATTAATTATCTTTTCTTCGATTCCTGGTTGCGAGCATGAAAATTTGCCAAGGAAGGGAACGAGATACAGTAGAGAGAGGGAAAGAGCAAACAAACGCTCTGCCATTTCCTTCCACCAAGGTCGCCGAGCCTGATCGCTTCGGACGTTTCCCAAAGGTTTAAACGGTTGCGACGGGGGCGAGAAATCGCCCCCGAAACGAAGAGCGAGCAAACGCAGGCAAGCGAAGTTGAACAAAAAAGACTGCCTCCCAAGCCAGCCCCAACAGGGCGCAATCGAAGCGACCAAAGACTGGGTCTGCAAACAAAATGCTGCGACAGCGCCGGATGCGCCTGCCGTTCTATAGGTTTCCCTTTCCCAAGAAACGCCGTGCTCCGCTGGAAAGATATCGCTGGAGTGATGAGAGAGGGAGATAAAGTAAAAGACCATCCCCTGAGATAATCAAAGGATGAAGTAAGAACGATAGTACGAAATTGGGTTTCGGAACGAACAAAAGAGAGTTTTCCTCTCGTTGCCCAGGCCGACTTGTCCCATGTGAGGGGGTCCGTAGGACGGCTGAGGTTGCGAGGGATGATTGATTGATTTGATGGAGGAATTAAAGTTCGTATATTCATGCGGGTCGTGGCAGTTGGTTCGAGATTTCCAGCGACGAGGCGGGGAGGAGATGAGCCGTCGTTGCAGAATCCCCAAGACTGCAGGATTTGGAGGGTTGTGTTTCCGGGAGGATGTCGGCGCTTGTTTGAAGGAAAACCTACTGCCAGAGTGGTTGTGTGACGACGCTACCCAAGGTTCCACGGATCATGACCGGCAATTGGAAGCCGGCGGCGAGCTGTTCTCGCACGAAGATGGAGGATTTCTTATACCGGCGGTCGGTGTATTTCTCGTAGACGGTGCGGTGGTGGATTCTAGCCGCCTGGCAGCAGTCGAGGAGCGCCTTCAGCAATCGGTAGAGTTGGGCGAGGGTGTAGTTGGAGTAGTAGACGTGAGCTGCGGACCAATCTCCCTTGCGCAAGAGCAGTCGCGCCATGCAGTGCGCGCCGGCGGCCAGGTAACTTGGCGTGCAGCCGATGAAGCGCTCGTCCATGATGGTCACTTCGAGGAAGTACTTAGCCAACGTGCGTGTCTCAAGGTCATAGTCGTCTGCTTTGCTGATGCGCCGGAGAAAGCTCATTGGGCCTGGCCAGCCAAGCTCGAATTGCAGCATGCTGAGCATGAAGCGCTCCGCCTTGAGCAGCTCATCCGCGGTGTAGCCGTTGTCGACCATGTAGATGATCTCACTGAGGGTCGGGCAGTTCACTTCTTCGTATTTGGCGGCAATGAAGATGGCCGTCGCGCCCACAAGTTGAAGCTTGCCGAGCGACACGATCTTGCAGGAGAGGAAGCGGTCGATGTAGTTGATCGTCAGGAACAGTGTCTCCGGCAGGAGGTTAAACCGCTGGTGGACTTGAACGACCCAGTCGACGAGAACGCCACGCATAGACCATTGGATCTCGGTCTGCTGATCCATGTAGAATGGATTGGGGGCCATGCGCACCTCCAACTCATGCATGTAGGAGAAAATCTCATCGCCGTACTCGGCGACCATAGAGGTGTCCCAGTACTCCTCTTCGATATCGTCTACAGACCGCGTGGCGAGGACGTGAGCAGCGGCAGCGTCCAGCTCTGCCTGAACCTTCTCTGTGCAGCGAGGATTGAAGACGGTCGTGTGTCCGTTCGTCAAATCGCCAGAGAGACCCCACGATCGAGCTGTTGTGTATCCGTCAGAGTCAAGAGCATCCTCGACGTCGTCGACTTCGTATGATGAGGGAGCGTGAGATGTTGCGCGTGGTTGGGCAGCGGTGCGCGACTTCTCGTGTTGCGCGACGGAGGCTCCGTCAGACTTGACGCTTGTGACGGGTGCTGAAGTAGTCGCAATGGCTTTTGGCACTGCTACGGCAGGTGCGGCCGACGAGGATGATACGTGCCGTGTGGATGTCGATATGCTTTCGGTTGGGCGCGAAGTGATCGCGTTTGTGTTTGTTTGTGAATCCAAGCTGGATTTTACTTCGAGTTCGACGGCGGGCTGGACGTCTCGTAGAACTTTGGTGCTTTTCTTGGGAGCGACCTTCTTGACTTGGTCGAATTGGACCTCCGTCGAGTTGGACGCGGCGGTTGCATGCGCCTTTGACTGCTGTGCGACGACGTTTGTGGTGTTGAGAGGCTTCTGGGAGAGACTGCTTTTGATTGCCAGTGGTCGAGCAGCTGGACGTGCCAGAGCTGCGACAGGTGCTTGCTTGACCCAATCCTTTTGGTTGCTGAGCTTGCCGGGCGAAACTTTGCCAACCTCGGAATCGTCCTTGTGCACAACCTTCAAGTTGACGTTGACCTCTCCCAAGATCCGGTGTGTATTCTGTGCTGTTGCCGCTGCCTTCAGCGCGCCAGCTTGAAGTAGACTTGAAAGAGCCGGGCTCGACTTTGTCCGAATGTGGCCCAGGGACTTGACGTGAGTCGCTGCGACCATGTGTGCTGGCATAGCATTTTCATCGTGGATGCGCAGCGCGCGAGCACGGTGAGGCTGTCAAGAGTTAGCATGTTGATCAAAGTGGAAAAGGGTTCCATTGTGCAATGCCAATGCGACCTGTGCCGATTTCGGGCGAGGAGCAAGCGTCGCACATCGTTCGAAGCCGCGCGCAAGCTCACAAAGGCGCATCCGGAGGCAACCATATGAAGCGGTATGATGGACGCGATGACACAATGTGTATGTTTGTTACATGCGGGCGAAATCGCGCAAGTGGTGTTGGCTTACCTTGGCGTCCATTTTGATCGATCGAGACTTTGTCCGAAGCGCAGCAGCGACAAAGTTGGCAATACGTCGGCGAGATGTGAATCCTGGTTCGCAGATTGACTGTTGCTCGATCTCTTCGATATGGTCTGATCCGGTGCAGTCGTGTAATCGATGTCGAAGTTGGCGATCGCAGTCGGTTTGGAATTCTGTTCACAACTGACTGAGCATCGGCCGTCGCGTGGTGAGCGTCGGGACTCGTTGAGGCGTTGCAAGAGAGGCGACGATGCTGACGAACTGATCACCACGCCCACAATCGATGCGCTGCAAGCGGTGGCAGGAAGGAATTGCTGCTCGAGGTTAGCGATGCGAATGTTGATGGTGATGAAGAAGGAAGTCCAAGACAATAAGCACGCCCCGTGCGCCAGTCTTCTAGTTGAATTGAAGCTCCTCTTGTTGTCGGTCTGTTTACCGCGCCAAGCCGTTGCTCCATGCATGAGATGGTCGCGGGCTCACAGCGGACAAAACAGCGGGCAGACAGCGGCTCCACCCGTACCGCACGAACGCGACCCTCACCTACCACGGTTGCGCTGCGGGAGAGAGAAAACGTGCGTGCAGACAACCCAGCGAGAAGGGCGGCGCGCACTGCAGAAAGGACTCACGATTGGCAGGAAAGCCGTCAGCTCCGCGGCCGTGCATGCCCTGCCTGGCGTGCCTGGCAAGAAGCACAATTCCCGTTGCTGTAATAATCTGAACGATACACCGGCAGCAACAGTCGTAATATCAGCACGCATCGACTCCGGCACGACGCGGTCGCATGAGATGAGAGAGAAGAGGGAGAAGAGGAGGAGTGACGCATCTCCACCTGCTGCAGGCTGATGAAGACATGTGCAGATAAATGAGCATCATCGTCTGTCATTTCGTCGTGTCTCGCGGGGTCCCTACTTGTGCATGTGCTGCTGCACCCGGATGAGAGTCGCAGGTCGCCCACATACGCGCAGGCGGCTTTGCGTTGAAACCTCCAGCACGTATCGTACATATTTGCGCACCCAGGTGATCATCGCGCATTTGCAGAGAGACAATGTGTGTACTTCACTGCCGGAGTACAGGAGCTACCTAGGTAGTCATCGATTTTCATCACGTTATACATACATGAGGAGGGATTCCCACACAGCACCATGTCACGAGTGCGTTATTACAGCATATGAATCGGAGGTCTCTGGCCCTGATGACTCGGATGAACGCCCATTCAGGTGTTTCTCTCGGCGTGCTGTATCTGTACTCGAGAAGGAGTAGCGGGCACTGTCCACCCACGGGGTCTTTGTGCGAATTTTGCGCTCGTGGCAATGCGCATCGAGTAGCCCTTGGAGAGGAATACGTAGTCCCTAGTGGATATAGATCTCTCATTCTATATTTTGGGCATATCTCGCGACTCGAGTTCTCCGTCGATGCAAATTCCGCTTCATCACGAGTCTTTGATGAGTACCTAGTAGTGCAGCTGAGACCCAGCAACCCCAATTCCATGCACACGGTGACACGGGCACCTGAGCATAATAATAATTGCAGAACCGCAGGGGTGCCCTTCATGAATCTCCTGCAAGTCGATTCGGGCCAGAGGTTCGGGCCGAAGCGTGTTAGCTCATGACACAGACCCAAGGGACTTCCATCGATCACCTCCAGGGCTCCAAACTCCAGAATTGCCGCAGGTGGAAAAGTGACGTCAATCTTTGTTGTGAGTCGCGTCTTCCAGTCGCGCTTCCTGGCATATTACACCACATTCATTTTATACAACCACTCTTGGGATATGAAGCACTCAAGACTTGCGAGGATCGATCTGACAATCATGTATCGATGATCTATCAAGTTCTCAGGCTTTCAAATGGAAGATATCCAACTTGCCTACATATCGCGGTGCCCACGCGCCGGCACGTGACGATTCCGCAGGCACCCGATGCCCATGTGTGTGAGCGGAGAGGACTTTGCGCGACATTTCAATCACGACCGAAGTCGTCTCCATGCGACTATTGAAGAATTGCTCCAGCAACGGAGCGGGATATCTAGGATGTTCCTAGCCATCAGTGTGTTTGTGGCGAGCGTGTGTATGTGTGTGTCTGTGTCTGTGTATACCCGGTGAGGAGGACCGATGGTCTTTGCTCGATGTGCTGGCAAGCGACACGGCGCCGTGCGGGGACAGCCTATCATTTGGCACTGGCTTCGTGATGCTGGAACCCGAGAGCGGGCGACTTTCGGCAGACAACGCACAAGCCGCCGCCGCCGCCGCTGGACCCCTCCCAGCACAAAGTCGTCGGTTCTGGGTTGCGCAACGAGAGTGAGCAGCTCGACAGGATCTGCTGGGCGATGTTCTTGGAGGGTAATCGATCTGGAGAGCTTCGTCCTGGCGTAGGGTCGAGCTCCATGGTGCGATATGCGACATTGACGAATTTCCATCATCACTCCACCTTGGATCGGTGACTGATCTGCTGTCAATTCCAGTGTACCTAGGTATGCTTGAGGTTGAGCTGATGGGAGAGGTGTTTCTCTGTTGCCAATGTCCGTACACCTGGGTACAGTACAATGCTAAACGGAATACATGGGTACTGTCGCACGCAGATACGTAGAGGTAGATCTGGTTGGGACTTCAGAACTAGCGAGCTCTTCCCACAACCCCGTCCCCACCGGGATCATTTTGCTCTCCGAGACGGCGCCAAACTCCATCTCATACACATCCATGATGCGCCAAGATCATCACGACAAGAACAGACCGCATCTCTCTCTTTTCCATGCCACCATGCAGGCCGGATAGTGTCTAGTGTTACCTGATGGGTAGCACGGTGAAAACTTTTGTAAATGCTACCTTTCTGGCGCGCACCTGGATGGGACAGCAAGCCTCTCTCTGCCCCTCCTCTTCCTCCTCCCCCGGTCGTTTACGCACGAAATCTCATCGCATGCCGATACCGCCACGAGAGGCAAATGCAGCTCCGACCTCTCTTCTGCCTTCGCGATGATGAATTCAAGCTAGATCGGTTCATCGTGACTGGCTATCTGGTCACCGTCATTTCCTGTTGAAGGGGACCCGCATATCTACCCCAATGACATCGCACTCAACCCTATCATCATTCGTGGGTGCGCAGACGCACAGACGCTGAGCGAGCTGGATATTGATGACCCTCTCTTGCAGATATTTTGCGCGCTTCTCTAGATCACACCACGATGATACTCGTACACTTGAGGTTTTATCTCTCGGCGTGATGGTTCCCCACAGATCCTGCCTCCTAGTTCTATCTATGCGTGCCAGGGAGAGGGAGAGACAAGGCAAAGAGCGCCCCCGCGGTCGAGATGTCAAACGTGACTGTCCACGAGCGGATGACCAGCGTGGGCGTCCGTGACGTGATTGGTGCGCATTGTTCTCGCCCAGGTGCACCGTGGACCGCTGCTCCAAATCGAGCACACTCTGCAGCTACGTCGACCAAGGGAAGCCACCTCAGGCAGACTGATGTCGTCGCATTCTTCGCACCGGCGTTTCCACTTCCCTCTTCGCCCATCCTGTCTAGCCATTGAAAGCGAAATTGTCAACTGCAAGTGTCTTACAGGGACTGCTAACCTGGCAGTCCCTTGTGTCGATGCGCTCGTAGAATATCGCAGGTCCGTCAGGGCGAAGAGGAGGATTGGTGAACAGGTGCACAAGCCGAAACAAATCTTGCTTTTCTGGCTCGATCGCCGGGCTATACTGCCTGCGGAGGAATACGGCTGAGGTTGGAGCGCGGCTCCAGCTAATGTCCAGGATTATCATACCGGGTGTGCTGTGCTACTGCTGTATGATTCCATTCAAATCCGTTCCTACGACATTTCTCGGGCAGGCCTGAGGCGCTTCACAGGCTCATACTCAAAAGTAGGTAGTCTGCATGCATGACCTTGTTCTTGGTTCGATCAGACCACACAATGGAGGAAATGAGAGGAGAGATATATTGTAGTCCCTCGCCATCATGTCCTCTATGAGACGAGATCGTGCTTTTGCCATGCAAGCACAGTAGTTCACATATATGAAGGGCGTCTAAAGGGAAGAATTAATGTCCGGATGTGTTGGATGCGACTCGGGGAGCGCCTCGCCGTCCGTTGAGGGCCAGTCAGTCTCTCTCTTTTGCGCGCGCTGTCTGTGTCTCTTTCTCGCTGCACCCACTCACTACGCAGGGCATGGCCATACACCACCTCCACTCTTTCGCCTTTCTTTCTCATACTATCGCATCACCTTCACTCGCTCCTTTGGTATCCTGTTCGCCAGGTGTCGCATTTGTCCTTCCTGGTCATCTTGTCGCAAATCACGATTCTTTCATTTGATCCTCTGATTCCCGATTGTTCCCATTACGGCCCATTTCGCCGGGTCGTCACCTCAGCCAGCATCGCTGTCCGGCGGCGACAGGAGCGACACCTTGCCCTTCGAACACCATCATTCTCTCATCGGCAGCACTTGTATGTAGTTGGCGATCCAAGGTGAGCATCCGATGACCCATTTGGGTGTCCTGAAAACCCCATCAGCCTCAATTTTGTCATCTTCGCACTTCGTCCCAATGGACGAGACTCAAGACAGGATACCTCGCCTCTCCCCTTGCGCATCCCATCCAATGAGTGCCATGCCATGGCAGGCAGATGTCATCGTATCATATGCTAACTCTGCGAAATTCTTCCAGTCATTGCAGCATTTCGCACATCACTGCCGTCGCCCGTCTCGAGGGCCCAGGTTTCACTTTTGCGCCGACGACGAGCTGAGAGGCGCTCATTGTCTTTCACCCGCCAACTCGCCTGGACCCAATCCCAATAACCTCCCACTGCCCCAAGAACCCATTCAAGAGGTGGACTGTTGGAAATATGGACGTTTCAAAGATGTTGTCTAATGGGACCCATGACGCTGCTACGAGCGGCGATGCGAGGAAACAGAATCACTCATACACAACCCGTCAGGGAAGCCAACCGCATGAATCGCATCAGTATGCACGACCTGCAAGCCTGTCTTCGCAGCGCTCGGCGAGGAACCACTACGGCGGCTCTAGCCATTCGGGACATGCTCGTGCGTCACCGACCAAGAAGGACCAGAAGCAAGTCATCTTTCAATTGGTGGATCCCGGTGACCCGAAGCTGCAAGCTCGCCTGCCCATGCGAGTGATGCTCTCCCCCAAGGACACCACCGAGTCCATCATCACGACGGTGAAAAACTTTTGGGGTCTGTATGAGCACGGAGTCAGTTTCGAGAACAAGGAGGGCATCAGCATCATCGCTACGTTTGACAACTTCGATTATGACATGACCGTCTTCGTCAGGACAGTGCCATTGCCGCCCAGCGTGCTTGGTGAACACGCCAGGGATTCAGCATCTCCGGTCAAGCCTACTCTGGGCGCACCTTTCGAAATGCGCCCGAGCCTGCATGGAACGCGCTCGCCGTCCCGATCCGCCGCTCGTTCTGCCGGAGTACGTAGTGTGTCTCCTCAGTCTGAAATGGACCGTCGCAGCGTCTCTGCTGCACCCGGCGCCAAGTCGCGATCGCAGCGTAAGCAGAGCCGCGACACTGGCGCGCTGGGTGACGGCGAAGGCTACAGCAGCGGCATCGACGATCAGGGATCGGTGACCAGCTCGCGTCGATCCAAGGTCGAAGAGATCAAGGCCGAGATCACCGTCGATAACATTGTCGAGGGCGGCCGTCGTAAGAGGATGTTCGAAAGCTCAGTAAGTTCGGTTATACTGGAATCCCCAAGGTTTGTTCTGTCACTTACAGCCAACAGGAACTTCCTCTGTTCGTCCCACCACAAATTCCCATAAGCGCTTCTATATCCTCAACATCTCCTCAACGTCGGGCGAACCATATCAGCACGGCGTCGCCATACGCTTTCTCCAACCAACAAACCTTCTCTTATCAACACCCGCTGCCGTCGCCGCAGAGCTTCGTCGGTGGTTCTGTCCATGGTCACAATGGATTTCCTAGCAATCCTTACCAAAGCACCATGCCACGTCCGATGCGCGGAGCACGAAGCAGCGGTGCTAGCTATTCATCTCATCGTCACTCGAATGGCATTCTGCCCACTCCGGATCCCACCGTGGGCAGTGTCATCTCTGACGAGGACGTTGCGCTACAGCTGATGCGCCTCGGTGACCCTGCAGCCTTCTCGCACGGGCGAACGTCGACGTCTACCTACGACGACGCCTTGAGTGGTAAGGCCGACGCTGCTTCCTCATGCGAAGGCAGCTCTGCCGACGAGGACGAGGACGACGAGGATGTCAGGCACGGCATCGAGGATAAGAGAGGTTTGCCCACGGCAGCACGAGGCGATGCTGGTCCTCAACGAAAGAAGCAGCGATTGATGAATGACCATACGAGCGATGCCACCAGCGCCGACGAGTATGATGACCGGCGCGACGCACCATTCATCGGCGAGGCCAATGGCGCACGTCCCAGTGTCGACGGCAAATTTGCTAAGGTCAAGAGCAAGTCGCGCATCTCTGCCGTGCCTAACGGGGCATCGATCAAGGCGGGCAAACCACGAGCACCTTCAATGTCCAAGCCGAAGAAGACACCCGTGCCGACCACAAAGGCACCAATGTCGCCGGCCTCGCTGCCATCCCAATCGCGCAAGGCCTCTGTAGGCTCCACCATCAACTTCCAGAATCAACTTGGGCCCAATGAGGAAGACCTGTCCTCCAAACCTCGGTGCCAACGGTGCCGCAAGAGTAAGAAGGGCTGTGACCGCCAGCGCCCATGCGGCCGCTGCAAAGACGCCGGTATCGGCATCGACGGTTGCGTCAGCGAAGACGAGGGCAATGGCCGCAAGGGCCGATACGGGCGACACATGAATATTCCCATCAAGAAGGGCGACGAGGTGATGATGGACGGCACGGAGCCTCCGGTGGTTCATCAGCACCCCAACGCGGTACCTGCGAACGGATATTTCCTTGCGCCGGCCCTGCCAGACAAGAACAAGAAGCGCAAGAAATAGGCTCTGCAACGATCACCGCCTGTTCGCACGGAAGACTACGGTCGCAACACATCCGACGGATGTCTCGCATGAAAGAACATGCTGATAGCGGCAATAGATCCAAAGCCGCACGCGATTCGTGCGCATCGCCTCTAAACTACGAAAGGGGGCACAACACAAAGTAACTCACAAGGATTCGGAAGAGAAAAGGGAAACAAAATAGAACGGAGGGAAGGAAAACAAAAGGCCATATGTTCACGACGCCCCACGAATAATCCGAACTGGAATCGGTGCTTTTTCCTTTTGCGAACCATCTTATTGTTGCTGCTGCCGTTGTTGCTCTGAATTGTTTTTTTCCCGCCCCGCGCGATTTCCGCATTGCATCGTTCTGTTTCTTCCCCCAACCAACCTGTCGTCCATCATTCGACAGAGGTTGCACGTCTTTGCTTTTCACACTTGACGGCCGCACAGCTTTCCTTTTCTCTCTCTCTCTCTCTCTCTCTCTCTCTCTCTCTCTCTCTCTTTGCGCGCAACGCCCTCTTTCGTTTGCAAACTTTTTGGACTATTCTCGAGGGTAGACTCTTTATACCTGGTTTTTCTCTTTTGCAACGATGGCCGCTATGCAACGAAGACGGGTTTCTCGAATGTGCTTTCTCTCTCTGTCTCTCTCTCTCTGTGTGTGTCTCTGTCTCTCTCGTTAGGCTAGGTCTTGACTGCTGAGAACCCTGTCTACCTCCTTGTCATATTGAAATGATGACCGGCGTGAACACCTTGGTTCTACAGCGGGAGTCCTCGATACGATATCCATGTCTTCTGCTGGTGGTGTCCTACGAGCATTCGAAATCTGATATTCAATGCTCAGCCCTGGAGGTGTTCACAACGACAGATTTGATGCACGTCAGATCCACGCGGGCCGAATTATCCGCCACCAGAGAGGACCGGTGAGAGGAATCCCACAGCAGTACATACATGCAGCACTGCCTACCTACTGCAGACCAATACACGCGCGACCCAACTCTGACCCACAGAGAACCTTGGAAGTTCCCGTGTTGTTATTGTTATGTGTTCCAGGTCGGCAGCGATGTGCCGTGACTGTGGCGATCAGAGCGGATGTACTGCACTGCAGGTGGGATAGAGTTTCCCACCACGAGTGTGGCACAGCACCAGTAGTCATGACTATTTGACTCCTGCCTGCCTGCCTGCCTGCCTATGTACTAGGTAGTCACATCGACTTGGACCACAGTGGCATGGACGAGGTTATTCATGGTCGAATGTAACTACACGTCCATTTCAACTAGACAAAGTATAAAGAATACTGCTGCCATTTCAGACTGGACAAAGTATAACCGAGACTGCTACCATTTCCAGTTGTTGTTATTGTTATTGCCGCTCTTGTTCTGTTCCGACTCCCCTTACGCGGGTTCGTCTTTTGGGGGCTGAAACGCCCTCCCCATCGGCACTCTTTGCCCGCCCCAGTCTCGACTCATAATGACAAGGCTGTGCCCAGCGTAATAATAATCCTTCAGATTCCCATGTCCTCCTGTACACGCCATACCGACCTGGATCCATGCGACATTCACGAGACTACAGTACAGTCGCTGTTTAGTCATCATCTATTATATTTCCTGTATTCAAACTTCGATTTGTTATTCCTCTGTAGGACCATCAAACATCGACTACCTACTACTCTCATCTTCTGGCTGGAGGAGTGCATCATCCCAGGACGAGACCCCCGCTTCTTACGCGGCCCTTGTCATATACCCTTGCAACATGGCGGAAGAGGCACCTGCGCCGACTTCCATTGCTGACCGCATCGCTGCACTCAAATTGAACCAAGTCGGTCCTGCAGCCTTGCCAGCAAGACCCGGCTTTGTGCCCAAGCAAGATCAGAGTGCGGTTGTTGTTGTTCACGGGCGGGACAACAGCCAAAGACGCCAGCCGCCTCCGCCACCTCCTGCGCGACCTGAATTGCCCGCTCGGCCGGATCGTGCACGCCAGGGCAACGGCAATGCGAATTCCCTACAATCGGATCACTCCGAGAGCAACAATGTTCCTGCTCGGCCGCCATTGCCGTCGCGCACATCGCAAGCGTCCCTAGGTCCCGCCTTGCCACCGAGAAAGACGTCAGCACCACCCACGCCTGCCTTACCACCAAGGCGCCCATCAGATGCTCCCAGCACACCCGGAAATCTCCATAATCGACGAGGCTCCAACGAATCGGCCAGTTCTGTGGCGACAGCAAGGTCGTCGCTCTCCGGTATCTCCAACGGCACGTCGATCACATCATCTGGTGGCAACAACAAGATTCGTGCACCCGAGTATGATCCCGCCTCCCTTCCCAAGTTACCTCCAAACCGCACAAAGGAGCAAAAGGAAGCCGATGCACGCAGATATGCCGGCCTGCGACCTTTGCGTCAGACCAAATCCTCGCCTAAGGTCGACCAAGTCCTCGTCGAGGAGAGCACCCCTCCGCCACCCGTCCAGACCCGATCAATTGTTGCACGTCCTCCAGCATTGCCGAATCGCAATGCACCAGCCCAGCCGACATACCAAGCGATAGAGCCAGCTCCCCCGCCGCAGCCTTCACGACCAGCTATAGCTCCGCCACCCCGAGTCAGACAATCCGCTTTGAGTTTCGGCCTGAACAATGCCACGCAGACACCGCCGCCTCTTCCCGGAGTAAGACCAGGCTCCGTGCCGCAGACGAACGGCGCACCTCCACCTGTACCGATGGCATCCAAGCCGGATCTCGCCGCATTGCAGGCCTCCAAGCCAAAGCCAAATGCAAATCGCGCGCAAGGGCAGGAAATCATGGAATTGACCCCCTCGAATTTCGATCAAGTCGTTCTTCGCTCTGGCCGACCAACCTTGGTGGATTTCTATCTTCCGTGGTGTGTGCCGTGTCAAGAATTCGCGCCGACTTATAAAGAAGTGGCGGACAGCTTCTCGCCAGACCGTGTCGTCATCGCCAAGTTCGACAATGGCAATCACAAAGCGATCGGTGAGAGATATGGTGTGAACTGTTGGCCTACTCTGCTATATTTCGATGGCAAGAGCGATGACCCTATTGATTATCGACCCTTACGTAAAGCCTGGGACAAGGAGTCGCTGAATAATTTCATCCAAGACAACATCGGCTGGGATGCTCAGCCTGCGCCAGCTCCCTCAACGGCGCCGAGCCCAGGGAGCTGTCTTCCCTGCCGTGATTTCTCGGGGCCTGACAACCATGCTGCAAGATTTCCACGCCAGTCCATCCCATCTACGGACGTGGGATGGCTGGCCAACCAGCTCACCGCACCATTTCCCTCCCACACGGACAAAGCACGCGCCATTTTCACATGGCTGCATCACAACGTCGCCTACGATGTCGTGTCATATTTCCGGACGGGGCTGAAGCCATCGACACCTCAATCTACCATCCAAACTGGACTCGCCGTTTGCGAAGGTTATGCTGGACTGTTCAGTGCATTGGCGCTCAAGGCCGGTCTCGAATGCATGGTTCTCAGCGGTGCGAGCAAGGGCGGACCCTATCAACCCATGAAACCCGGAGATCCCATGCCCACCTACAAGTCAGACCACGCCTGGAACGCAGTCCGCATCGACAACGGCGAATGGAAACTGATCGACTCCTGCTGGGGTGCCGGCAACGTCGACAACAACGCCCAAACCTTCACAAAGGACTTCAAACCCTACTGGTTCACCATGACCAACCAAGTCTTCGGCTACTCCCACTACCCGCCCGACTCCGTCCACCAATACCTGCCCCCGGGCACGTTCTGCTCCTGGGAAACCTACAACCTCACCCCCAAATACGGCTGTCGCCCGCAACACTACGACGGCTGTTTTCAAGAAGAGGGCATGGACTGGTCCTCCGTGCAACCCAACATCGAAAAGATCCCCCTCCACGCCCAAGCCGGCCCGAGCGTCCGCTTCGCCTTTCAGAAGATCTGCCCGCACTACGACCCCGTGCGCAACGGCCAGGGTGCCCTCTACCCCTACGCGCTACAAGTCGAGGGTCTCAAGGACACGGGTTTCGGCCGCGACATGATCCCTCTGGAAACGAACGGCGAGGTCTGGTGGGCGGACGTCCCCGTGCGGAGCCTGGGCTCCCCCGGGCAGAAGGTCCGACTCATGGCGATCACGAAGCTGGGCGGGAGGAGCGGCAGGGGCATCTCGCAGGCCGAGTATAAGCGGAAGGCCACCTCTGAGGGCTTCTCGAGCTCGTTCGTTTGCGAGTGGGTCATGGCGTGAGTTGCTCGAGTTCGGCCTTTCGTCCGCCAGGGGAGAAGGAGAGGTATGGAACCATTTTCTTGCACGTTTCTTGAGATTGGATTTGGGAATCGTCACACATTATAGAAACATCGGCAGAGGAAGCCCGGCCTTATCATTCATTCCTCGGAGCTTTCTCTTGCGCGCTGGAGCATTTGATTTGGCGTGCGCTACGTACATTTTGGGGGGGATTTTGGACAAATGCCCGTGCGAATCCCGAATCACGAAATCCATGACACGTATTCTTGCGCTTTTCCAATCATCATAATTCGTGTCCTTGTTTTCCATCGCGATACTCGAGTGCCATCTCTTCCCTTGCAAAATCGGCAAAACTTTGGTCATCGTCCCGTCTCCTGTCTAGCCATGAACTTACGGCAAGTCCCTGGCATACTGCCGCAATCCTATAGACATTCCCAAATCCCCGTCATCCGTGTGAGTCTGCTCCATATGGGGAGGGTTCGCAGAAGCCCGGCGGCGCGCCGGGTGGGTGTTCACCTCGCCCGTCGCATCGGAGAAATATCCTCACGACGACCAAATTCGAGCGCTTGTCCAACGCTCTTTATTGCGCCATCTTCCGCGGCCTTTCCATGCACTCCTCCGTCTCACCGAGACTGTTGCGGCGAAATCAGGACTACCGAATCACCTGTTCAGGATGTTCCGAAATGTCAGCCTTTTCCTGTCCAGTATCCCTCCATTGTGGGTTTTCTCCATGCCGCGAGGGGCATTCATGCGGAAACTGACCTCTTACAAACAACATCTCCGACTGCTTCTTGATCGTGCTGATGCCGTCGTTGTCGTCGTCGTCGTTGCCTTCCTGCTCATCCACCACGTAGATCGTCTCGGTGACGTCGCCCAGGACGAGGTTACAATGGCTGTCGTAAGCCTATCTCCGAGATCAGATTTTGCGTTAGCCTGGGACAATTGCGCCGTCGTCGCTCCGTCTCGTAGTGTACGCACGTGAAGGCGGCCTTGTAATTCTCGGTCTCCGCGCAGCTTGACGAAGACAATCTCGTTCAATGACAACCGCACCAGGTCGAGGGGCTCGTTCCCGGTCGCGACGGCCGTCGCGTCCTCTGTGTCCGACATTGCTGCTCTTGGTTTTCGCCGGGCCGCGCGAGGGTGTGATGTGCGACGACGGGTCCAAAGGAGATGGTTGTACGTATCGCCAATTCTTCCGCGACGGCTTTTGTGAGGTCGACGCATTTCGCGGGTGCGTCCGGCGCTAGTGTCATCAGTCCGCCACACGGGCCCCTCTGCCCCACCATCAGCACATCGCGTGGCGTGGCGGAAAAACCGTTGCCGCTGGCTAGTGTGAAACCATCCCAAAGTCAAAACACGCCTTCATCGGGCGCGGAATCTGTCGGAATTAGCGCCGTCAGGCGGACAGGTTCGCGTGGATGTCTTCGCTTAGGGTTGTACTTGGGGTTAGTTCTCGACCATCGACTTGTCGATCGTGCGTATCACATGCTGCCCTTGGAGTACATCGATCTGCTTGGGATTTGACTAGATATGATAGAACTGGAAGTTTGCGCTCACGAGCGCTTCATGGTTTTTCACCTAGGCCTGTCTTCTCACGAGCCACACGACGCGCGACCAACCGTGTGGGTGGGAGATTCTCTACGCGATCATCCATAAGCTGCTCGACGAATCTTAAGAAGTCATCACCGCGTCAACAACCACAACCTACAAACCAGAGTGGACCAGACAATCAGCTTAACCATGACCAGAAGGTCATTCGACCTGACGAAGTCTTTCGGGATTATACCAATGACACATCCGACGAGATCCACCCTGCGATGGGTGAGAGGCTCGACACCAAAAGCAATACTCCCGATTTCTTTTCCAAGCATCAGGCCGCCGTCCGGGAGTCACATTTGAACGAGTCTGTCGATGATCGATATGATCTGAAGACTTCCCGGAGGACCGCAGCTATCGACTACGTAGGAGCCGCAGACACCGATAGTAGCAACGGAGCTGACGACGCAGCTCAGAAATATGAGTACACAGACATCGATGAACCAGGAATAAGCGGAAGCCGAGATTATCAACTACTAGACATTGATTACCGAACGACTCTGGCCGTTGCTCTTGACCGAAAGGAGGCCGACTTGGTGGTTCGATGCATTCTTTCCGCATATGAAGCAAACGACTATCTGTTCATCCAGGCGTTGTCGAATGAGACATTCTCCAAGATCCTCATGATCATGCAACCAAGCTTGCTCGTCAACGACATCACATCGGTGCATCGTGATCTCAGCATCGGCAAGGTGCGACAACTAGGCATCGCTTCGGCCAACCGAGTGGCCAGGGAATATTCAGACTTGGTGGTACGAATAGTCGAAATTCGACTTGATGACGGCCGCTCAAAACTGAGCCTGGATGATTACGTCGTTTTCCTGCGAAGTGCTCGGGATCTTGGCAACCACAAGATGGCATCGTTTGCATGGGGCGCACTGCTCCGGGATGGTCACACACCAGACACGCGTTGCTACAACCACTACATGGCCGCGCATGTTTGGAACGGAAGACACCGACACCAGCACAGGCAGAAAGTACGAGTGACCCCTTTCAACAAGAAAAACCGGTTGAGAGAAGAGCGCCGGGCAAAGTTCTCCGCGCTTGATATAGCTTCTGCCGACACCTTGACCATGGCACAGCATGTCTTCGACACAATGTCGACGGAAGGTGTTGCTCCGGACGAAGAGAGCTATCGCATATTGATCGTAGCAGCGGCTCGTCAAGGCCGCGTGAGCGAGGTCAAGACCATTTTGAAGAAGATATGGGAGATTGACGTTGACACAATCCAGCAGGGCGCTCTTACTCAAGATGCATCTCAGCGAATCGGAGAAAGCCTACCGTTGCGGCCATGTCAAGCTCTCCTCGTCACCATAGCGCACGCTTTTGGCATCAACAATGATATCCCTACAGCGCTGCGTGTGATCGACCACATCGCGCAGCAACATCGATTATTTATCGACGAGCAAGTCTGGGATGAACTCTTCGAGAGGACGTTCGTTCTGTCCATTGATCGGACAGGAACATCAAGAGCTGACGGAAGCAAGATAGGCCAGCTGCCTGTGCAGAGCCTACAAAGCTTATGGGATACAATGATTGGCGAGCCTTACCGCGTTCAACCGACGATGAGGATGTACAACTATCTCATCAAGAATCTCGCCTCTCGCGCCCGGACTCCGATCATGGTTATCCGAATGAGCGAAGGATTGAATCTGTACAAGAAACACCGCGACGAAGCCGCCACTGCGTTCAAAAGATTGAAAGCTGCGATAGCCCAAGAAAATGCCGGAGATCCGTTAAGTTCCTCAATTGAAAACCTGCGCTATGAGTGGGAACATCGCAATCTGCTTCGTCGACGTGATGTCTACCTCCTGAAGCGGTGGATGTCCCTGTTATTGCAATCATTCGATGAGTGGCATCGAGTGGATTGGGTAGATCGACACTACGCCTGCGGTCTCCCCGCTTTGTTGTGGGGATGGCGCGAATGGGCACCCACGCTGGTGGAATATGAAACACCTACTGCGTTCGTTGCGTTCAACATCCGGTCCAAGGATGAGATTGCTCTGAGATCGAGTCGCAAGGCTAGGACTCAGCAGAAGCAGAGGCGCGTCTTGGATGCGGCGCCGAGGTTGATTGGCCAAGATTGGACTTGGGATGTGAAAGGTAATAGAGCGATCTTGCCGAGCGCGCGGTGACCATCCTATCTGATGGTTGTGTCAATTTCTAATGCTCGCGAGCTTGGATTTAGGTAGAGTTGAACGCGTCTCGGCTCCCACGCGCACAAGTCTTGGTTGTCACGATTGTCACGTTGTTTAGTACCCGTGGACTTCGCAAAAGCTTCGTCACGGCCCGACCCCCGCTGTGCACCGTTTCGGGGCAAGCGTGATCGAGAGCGCGTAACCCAAACTCTATGTTTGGTTCATGGATTGTTTCATCATGATGTATGAATAGTCTCAACCGGCGCAGTTGTGCGGCACAGTCCATGTCCATATTTTCTTGGCCGACTTCACCTTCGTCGTAGAGAGAGTGTGTGAAGATCAATCTGGACACGCTCGACAGAAGTGCAAAGCAAGGCAGCCTTCGAGATCCCGCACTTCGGTATGGCGACAGAGCAGGACATCTCAGGAGGACGGCCTCCATCGAGTCCGCGGGTTCAGCTTCCACAGGTGAACGAAGTGGACGGCCATCTGGCGGCCCCGGCATCGCCGCTCTCGACCAGTCCACAGGAATATCGTCAGTCCTCATCGCAGGGCGCGTCACACAGTCATTCCAATTCGCGTATTTCACACAAGCACCGAGGTTCACGCTCGCCCCGTGGATCGATGGCGGATGACAAAAGCCCGCTCCCGCGCCGTCGGAGCAGTATGATGTCGACCATTTCATCAAGTGGACTGCGTAATCGGAGACTTACGCGGACGGCAACGGTTATGACTACCCGTGGCGATTTCCCGCACTCCCAACTTGCGAGCTCGAACCCCGGCGCAGAGCCTGGTATTGATGTGACTAGCGAAGGTGACGAGTTGCTGCCCGAGCACCTCAGCAACTTGAAGGCAGCTTGTACTATCAATATCATCGACTATTCCGAGGACCGTCGGATTTTCCACACGGCTACGAATCACGACTTGGCCGAAAAGCTGGATCAACCGCGGCCGGAAGACCTTCCTTGTCGTTGGATCTCCGTCAACGGAATTAGTTGGGATGTCATCCGGGTTATTGGTAACAAGTATCATCTTCATCAGTTGGCTATCGAAGATCTCATCCATACTCGATCACGGACGAAAGTCGACTGGTACTCCGACCATGCCGCCATTGTGCTTACACTTCAAAAGCTGGTGAGGCTACATTCACATCAAGGCGCCGATGACGATGACTGCTCAGAATGCTCAGCGACTGCGGACGATGATGACTCGATCCTTAAGTCTGGAAGCGCGCGCAAAGCGAAACGGGGTTGGTTCTCGAGGAAGCGAGCTGGCAAGGAAAATGTTCTTCCCACCGTGAACCCAAACAAGCTCGAGGAGACTGTGACTGCGCACAGCAGTCCTTCGCATGATTCTCCTGTGACAGAGATAAGAACTCTTCACCGATATGAGAACGCAGCCATTCCCGAACACACGGCGTGGATGGAGAAACACAGCCCTCTCACAGCTGAGGACCTCGCTGTCAGCGTGGAGCAAGTCTGTCTCTTCCTACTCGACGACAACACGGTCGTTTCTTTCTTTGAGCAATCCGCCGAGGAGATTGAACGTCCGATTCTGGCACGACTGAACAGCAAATACACGGTCCTCCGTCGCAGCTGTGACGCTTCTATGCTGCTCCAAGCCATCATCGACGCCATTGTCGATCTGGCAGGTCCCGTGAGAGAAGCCTACAACACCGCAAGGAAGGAACTACAGATTGCCGCCATGACCCACCCGGACATCCGCACCTCGCGTGCCCTCCACATCTTCGGCGAAGAAATCGACATGCTGCAAAACCTGTTCAAGCCGATCGTCCACCTCGTCAATGCCCTCCGCGACCACAACGCCGATCCATTTTCCCGAACTCAGCCGCCGCTCCCTTCTTCCGACGGCAATGTCCCGCACGTCCAGTCGCACATGACGCCCGTACCCACACAGACCCGACGCGAGGGAGCAGCAGGAGGACTGCGACCAGGAGCGATGACCGACCTCCGACGCACCTCCTACATGCGACGCGAGGCGATGAGCAGCGTGGCCATCACCCCGCTGGCGCACACCTACTTCGGCGACGTGCTCGACCACTGCATCACGACGATCGCGGCCCTGGAGCAGATGGACGCCAGCGCCAACAACATCTCCAACCTGATCTTCAACACCGTCAGCGCCAAGACGAACAACTTCATGATGATCCTCGCCGTCGTCACCGTCTTCTTCGCGCCCCTGACCTTCATCTCGGGGTACTTCGGCATGAACTTCGCCAACGGGAACGGCCTCGACCACCCCTTTGCCTTCTTCTTCGTCGTCGCCACGCCCGCCGTCATCGGCTTCATGCTCCTCGTGCTGGCGGTGTACAAGACCGATGCCATCCTCGAGTGGTTGGCTCGGGGCCGGTGGAGGCCGCACATGCGATCGCTGGGCCTGGTGCGTCGGCGCGCCATCCCTTGAGGTGGAGAACGGCGGAGTCGTTGTCGTCGTCCCAACCATTCTTCCCCTGTTGTGTGACCTTTCCATTGTTTGATTCTTGCATAGAAAACCTTTCGGCCCGATGATATCCACGGATCAAGAACTTTCTTTCTGCTTACATGGCGTCCGTATCACTTCTGATCGTCGGCCGGCCCACGCTGGACGAGGAGCCGCTCTTCTCGGCGAGGCAGAGCCGGTGCGTGGTTCTACAGCTCTACTTTTGTTTTTACCCGTCCACTTCTTTCATCCGTGGACCTCTCGTTCCACCTGATCGCCCATGTTGCCATCCCGAATCCCTTTCCCCGTTGACTTTCTTCGAAGCGGAAACGCCTCGTCGATGCTCCCATCATTCCCATCCCATGTGAGAAAAAGACCCCGTGTGGTCCGAGCAAGTTCACGGCCCGATCATGCGTCTCACCAAGGTGACCGCGCATTCCTTGTCCATAGCGTGTCCGAACATCCTCGGCTGATTTCGCGATGGACCGTGATGGAGAACTCTCTCTCCTGCGTCCCCTGGGCCGGCCATTAATCTCACAGTCTTTGCACTAGGTAGGATAGGACGGCGGCCGGATCGGAGATCATCATCGTGGTCGTCGATTCCTTCGGGTTTTTTGCCTCTGGACATGGAGAGAAGAATAACAAAATTATCATTGTTATTATGGCTGGGCCGGCCGGATCAGCCTGTGCAGAGTCGAGTGGGTCCGCTCCGTGTTGGTGGAAATATAGGTCTCTCTGAGTGTTGGCTCGGTCGGGCTGGTGGGCAAAGCGTGGATTACTGTTCGTGTCCGGCGCTTATTTCGAACGGATCCCGGGCATGACCATGATGGAATGAATACCGCCCTGTCCTACCTGTCTATCTACCTGCCCTTACTGATACTGCCTGAATTTACGTGTTTCATGTAATGATGTCGGAGAAGGCCACGGTATGTGTATTTATGTATGTATATCGTGAGTGAGTGAGTGAGTGAGTGACGGAGATGGTTCGTTCGATGACACGTGAGTCTGTGGAAACCGCTGATTTTGCTGATTGATGATGATGATAATGATGACAAGGATGATGGTAATAAAGCGAGCGTTGCAAACAGACAGTTCTGTCATCTACGGGAGTCGTGCGTGGTGCATGCGAACCGATATTATTATTACCGTGCTGCGCGACGTCCTGTCGAAAAGTGATAATTTAATGCTCTGGTCAAGTCAGGCAGGCAGGCAGGCAGGCATTGTTCCTTCCGCCGGTGCAAGAAGAAGAACTGATGATGAATTGATGATGATCATCGTGGGCTTTCTGCCCAACCAAGAAGCCCTCCCCAGCCAGGCAGCCCGGTGTGAGAAAAAGCTGATGCGACCCAGCAGGCGGCCGAATCTCCCTCTTGCTTCCATTTCCCACTTAACCGCCCCCGTCTGTTTTACCGCCCGGCCTATTCCGTGCCGTCCGTCGATCCAATCGCTGTTGTTCTCGCGCCTCGGAACCCGAGTTTCAGGTTGTTGGCAAGGACGGACGATGATGGATAAGTCCATGACAGCAAACCAAAGGCATCTCTCAAAGGCAGGCAGGCGGGAGATTGCGAGACGAGGATCCTGATACAGTATGGTTACAAGCACGGTGTTCACAGTGATAGTCTGAACGGCACATCCGAGTTCCTATTTTATTATTATTGTCATTATCGCTTGCGTGATTTATTCACGACGATCCCATAAACATCGCGCGACGCACACGCGCGGGACATTACAGCCCACGCGACCCAAGATCCAATCCACATACGACTGTAAAATGACATAACCGGAGTGAAACCCTCCCACGGAAGAGATGACGATGATGGACGACAATTCACCACCCTCTCGTGTGTACGGCGTGCTGCTGCACCACACCGCTCCGAGGGCCATTGTGCTCTCATCCTTCCCCGTTCGGCGTATCGCGGTGGTGATGACAACGATGACATGAGAAACCAGGCAGGACCAGAGATGGATACGGCAGTTAAATCACGAATCATCCCGGAGAGATGACGATCGAACATGGGAGGAGGAGGGAGGGGCGGCGGCGAGATTATTACGCGCGCGCGGCGGTCGTTCCGGTCGGGAGGGGAGGAGGAGAAGGAGGAGGTGGTGTGGTGGCTAGGGATTCGACCTCCCTTTGGCGGCTGTTGGGGAGCGATACAGTAATAAAACAGTAGTCTTTTCGATAGTGTGCCCGCCGCCCATTAGTCTTGGAGGGAAATGAACTACAGTACTGTGCTGTAGAACTGAGTGATGATGGATGATGATACGGTAGGAGGCGGCCGCTGACAGATAACTTCCCACGATCCTGGCCTTCGCGCTCGTTTGCCGCCGGGGTCTCTCGTATGTGATGCTTATTACTTACTGTACAGCAGTAGATATATCGACTGTTGGACGTTGGGTTTATTATTGTATGGTGACTCCGGTTGGGCTGTCGTGTGCGCGCACATACCGTATCCTATGGTCGATCAATCTGGCCCAGCGGTGCATACAGTATCATCCTCCATCGGCGCCTGTCGTCCTTTCCGTATTGTGTCGTATGACATGTCTCCAAGGAGGTAATGTGTCGACTATCGTTGGGATGATGATGGTGGTGCTTGCTCTTTGTCCTGCAATTGCAATTTATATGAGTGCCCAGTGATGACAACAGGAGGAATGCCAATGCCAAATCATGACTCTAGCCAGGTACCTAGTAGTGATGATGTTTGACAGTCCATTGTCCATTGTCCATGGTACATTTATTTTCAAGGTGACATACATTGTACATACCATCAACAACGTCGACCACTACGGTACCCATCGCGGTGGTCAAGCAAGCCAACTCAACGATTAAGCATACCTAACTAGTAGGTGATCCCACTACTGCTGCACTTCAAGCTGCACTTCAGCCCGGACTGGGCTGATTTCACGTCCAGTCTTTTCGTTGCGCTCTCGGCTTCTTTCCCCAGTCTCTCCTGCTTACAGCATCCCTCCACTCCCCTTGCCCCCTTCCCTTGCCTTGCCTTACCTCGCCCTGCCCTACCGAATTCTACAGTATCGGTATTGCCTTTGATTATTACTCCCCGTCCGTCCGGACATACATGACTGTACAGTGCATGGATACATACACACACATATACATACATCCCGTATCACCGCCGCCGGATACGCAGACATCTCGAACCCATCCGGTCCTGTGTGCGTCTGTACCAGTCTGCCGCAGTCCATTTTCTTTTTCTCTGGCCTTTCCTATCTTGCATCTCATCATCCAGCATACGCGCGCGATATACTTCCAACACCACCCGGGCAGCAAGCGGGAGTGATCCTTGTTGCTTACAGTACTACAGTACTATTCGTCGGAGGCCCAACCACCGACGGGTTCAATCACAGTAATAATCATCCGCGCCGCCGCTGCTCTCCAGTCATCAGCGTGCCCGCCCAGGTGCCCAGGTGCCCTGATTACAGCCCGAAAGTGTGTTATTATCATCACAGTCCAGTCCAGTCCAATCCAGTCCAATCCAGCACAGTCCGGTGGCCATCGCCTCCGCTCTCTCTCTCTCTCTCTTTCGTCGCACGGAGTCCAGGCAAAAAGTCTCCACTTCTCCACCACCACGGTACTTTGCGTCCTGTGTACATAATACATAGCGAGTGTATAGTGTATACTGCACCACTGCACCACCACCACCACCACCACTACAGCACAATCGCCCTCGGCTTACCTCCCTCCTCTCTCTTCCCCTTCTCTCTCTCTCTCTCTCTCCCCATATAGTCGGGTACTTACTCTTTGCGCCGAGCCAGCGCCTGCGGAACGCTCACTCCTTGGCGGTCAACTTCTTCTGCATACTCCTCCTCACCGTCGCATCTCTCGCCCGTCACAACACCACACCTCCAAACCTCGACGATAATTCCACCACCCACACGACTTTTGCGCGATCGCCTCCTGGACGGCGGACTTCAACCACCTTCTGGATCCCGCCCGACAGAGTTATCCGACCCTAGCGCTGCGTCATTTTCCCACCCGCGCCCTGAGTCGGACGGCATCATCACCACCATATCCACCACCACGTCTCACGACCATCACCGGAACCTCCTCCTCTTGACTGAGTGCGGCGTCGTCGGTGTGGTCAGGAGTGCTCTCCGCCAGTTGCCACCATGAGAGAAGTCAATTTCAGTATCCCAAATGTCAACAAAGCCTCCGTGGGCATCACCACCGCCCTCTATGACCGCCGGGCACTCGACTGCACCTCGACACTGCCCCTGGTCAACTCCCTCAACAGTCTCGCATACCTCACCACGTCTTCCGGTCGCATCCGGGATATCCTCACCGTCGATGGCGGCATCGAGCGCCTGGTATGCATGCTCAAGGAGGGCCGGAACAAGGACCAGCTGGAGATGTTCAAATGGAACCTTGCGTTTATTTGTGTCGTCAATATCGGTATAAGGGGCTCGGAGGCGGTGCGGACCCGCGTGGTCGAGGCCGACATGGTCCCGGTCATCGCCACCATCCTCGACAACTACTTTCGCGTCATCGAGAGGAGCAAGGAGAAGCACGAAAGCGAACGTCGCAAAAGCCCCCATTCAAACTCGAAGAGTGCATCCAGATCCTCTCACCGAGCCGAGTCACAGGAACATCGTAGCATCCGGACCCGACGACATGCCCCTCCACCTATCTCCATCCCAGATGTCACCGAGCGACCGAGCGGCAACGAACGCCTCCGAGATCTCACTCCTCCAGGATCTGTGGCGAACCTATCGCTGAGCTCACCTCCCGAGCGGACCACATTCTCACGAGCCGAGCAACGACCATTCTGGACGGCGGAACACGTCGCGAGCTCCAGCCAAAACCTCACCACCCCTCCCGTCAACCCTCCCCACACCGCAGTCCCATCGCAGAGCTCTGGTGCCAGCGCTGGTAGCAGCAGCTCCGTGCGACCGGTACGAGACGCGGACCGCCTACCATCAATGGTACCGAAATTGCATGCCGAGAACTCACAACCACAATCGCCAACCACGCCGAGTGGTCCTTCACAACGCACGAGTGGCAACCTTGCCGCGGTCGGTGCTTCTCGACAACGACGCCGGCCCTCCCTTCGACAACAAGCTTCGACCTCGGGCTCGGACAATGATGGACCGTTGGAGGAGATAGCACCCGAGGTGGCGAACCTGGCTGACGACTCGATGGAGCCTACCCTTGGCCTGCAGACAGATATCGTGATGCAGGACATGGCAGCGGACGAGAGCATCCTGCAGCCCACGGATGACGCTGTCACAATTAATATCCCTGACGCGTCGAACACCGACGATGAGACGTTCAACATCGCACATCCGTCGGCAGGTGATGGTAGCATCAGCCCAACAGCCAATCCGACCCAGACCAGGCTGGGATTTGCACGCGCCCGACTGCCGAATGTGCCAGACATTGCTCCAGCCAACACCCCACAGCCGCCGTTCATCCGCTATCCCTTGCGGGTGTTGCAGACGGACCAATTACTCTCCACCAATGCTCGGACCATCCCGGCCGCGCTCCCTCGCGACGAGGACGTGATCATGGCGCTACAGCTCCTGGCATATGTTTCAAAATACTGCAACCTTCGGAAATACTTCCAGGAGTCCCGTCTCGTACCACGCCTCAAAATTCGTGAATCGGATCTCAGTGAACTCATCGGCGAGACCAACGGACCTGCGCCGCCAACACAGGAGGAATTGGACGATGAATGGGACAATGAATTCGTCGAGGAATCCAAGGAAGAGCCTTACAACATCTTCCCCCTGATTGAGAAATTCACCGCCAAACACGCCTCGACCCGCTACTCCTCCAGTGCCACCCCACAACACTCGGACATGCACTACTGGGCCGGCGTCGTCATGCGGAACCTCTGCCGCAAAGACGATAACAAGGGCGGCATCCGCCAATGCGCCTATTGGAAATGTGGGAAATGGGAGGAATGGCCCCGGCAGTTCGCCAAATGTCGCCGATGCCGTCGGACGAAGTACTGCAGCAAGGACTGTCAGAAGGGCGCCTGGGCCAGCCATCGCTTCTGGTGCGTCGCCGCCGATGACGCTTCTCGAGAAGGCGGCGGCGCCGAGGCCGCGGGGGTCGGTGCGAGCAGCAGCGGTGGCGAGCGACACCACCACCGCCACCATCGATCATCCCATGCCCATCATTCCCACGGCTCGGGGGATGCCACCCGGGATCCTCACCGAACTTCCTCAAGGAACGTCTCGGATCCGGGAGAATGAGATCACGGCCGAAGAGTTTGTGTACGATCCCCTCACCCCCTTTTTTCACTATCGGGACATTTTTTGCTGCATTGGGACCCGGGGGGACTTGTTCTATTTTCCTCTCAAGTTTTCGTCATGCAGGATATGCTTTTCTCCTCCTCTTCCCACCATTGCTCTCCACCCCAGACCGACCAGGAGTCCGGTCTGGGCGGCACGTTGTGGGAGCATAAAAACCACCAACGAGGGATCCCAGGAGGACCGGAAATTTTTAGCGAGGAGTGCGGCGTCATTTCTCATCCAGTTTTGGGGGAACGGGGGCATTGAATCATCTTTTTTTTCCCCTCTCGGGAAATTTTCCAACTTCGGGAGAAGCATTTCTTCTCGGAAATTCCCAGCTGCGGATGTTCGTGTACGTGCGTCGAAAAAAAAACTTGGCGGGCGGAATTGGGGGTGGAAATACAGGAATGAGAGCTATCGAGGCCATCTTCCTCCCTCCCTCTCTCTCTCCAAGACTGCAACTCGATTGTCCCGCCTGATTTGAACGGGAGAGAAGAGGGGGGGAAAGTGAGGGGGAGAGAGTCTCAGACCGATGGGAGAACAAAACCCTCAGCGGCTTCTTCCTCCCTAGAGAGATCGGCCATGCTGTAAAAACCGAGCTTTCAATCCTCCTTCTCCCAAGGCATCGATTCGGGAATGACACGAAATTCACAAAACAAATGAGAGACGAAACCCGAAAATTTCCCCGACTTATTATCAAATGACAATCCTACCTTCATCCTGACTGATTGACTGACTGACTGACTGACAATGTGATCAATCCCTGACCATCGCCTTTCTTTTCTTTTTTAAACCTCTCCAGCTGTGAGCACCCTGAACCATGGCCTCCCCGCTACCTATACAGTAGGAATAAGAATCGTCATCGTCACGGAAAATCCCATTCATCGACCTCCATCTCGACAATAGATTCCCTCCTTCCTGCTTTTGTCTTCTCTCGCTCAAACGACCCTCCCAAATCCCTAACACCATCGGACAAAACAACAACCACAATCATAATGTAATCTCCCCCGAAAACGCCCCATCGTCCTCCTCCGCGTGCATGAAATTCGCCCGCAGCGCCGTCACGCTCGTCTCGCCCTCCTTCACCGCCCACCCGTCCGACCCGGGCCCCGCCCGCTGCACGCTGTCGTAGACGTCCTGGAACTTCGGCGCCCACCTGAATCTCCTCGACGCATCTCCTCCCGCGTGCTCCGCATCCGCCGCGGCGTCGTCCGCGACGGTCGTCTCCTCGAAACAGCCGCCCTGCGTCCACGCGTTGCCCAGCATCCTCGTCCACACCACCCGCTTGTCCCGCACGCCGACCTTCACGGGCACGTTGACGCTGTACAGCACGCCCTTCTTCCAGAACCCTCCTCCTTTCCCCTCCTCGGAAATCCCCTGCTTCGCGAGATATTCGCACACCCGCACGCCCTGCCCGCACGCCTCCAGCACCGCCTCGGGATCGTTCCAGTCGGATTCCTGGCGGAAATACGCGAAGCTCAACGCGATGGATCGGTAGCCGCAGAGCGTCGCCTCCAATGCCGCGCCCAGCGTGCCGGAGCTCAGCGCGAACACCGCCGTGGTGTTGCGGCCGAAGTTCGGGCCGGAGATGACGAGGTCGATCGGCGGCAGGTCCTCTCCGGATGAGGAGGACGAGGAGGGCCGGAAGAAGGGCCCGTTCAGCCCGAGCTGCGAACAGCTCGCCGGCGTGCTGTCCACCAGGACCCACGGTCTCCTCCGGCCGCCCCTCTCGCCCGGGCTGGGGTTGCGGCCCGGGTCGTGCAGCGCCGGGGTCGTGGCCGGTGGCCAGTACGCCGCGGTCGACACGGCCTGGTCCACCATGTGCGCCTTGCCGATCCAGCTCCTCTGCCGGTCCGGGATGATCACCGACACCGTGTGCCCGGCGCCCTCGAGCGCTTGGATGAAGGGGAGGATGTAAGGAGAGGCTTTGGAGCAGGGCGGGCCGTCGTCGTTTGTCAACTGGGAGGAGGGTCGGCGATGTCAGTGTTTTTCTCCTTCTTCTTTTGGGGGTAGGAGATGGGGTCTTTTTCGTTTGTTTGCTTTTTCCTCTCTTTTCCTCGTTTTGGAGATGTCTTGAATGGAGGGTTTATTTTGATAGGCAATCGTGGTTGAGTGTGGTTTTCAAGCATTAAAGTCTCCGGGTCTCTCTCTGGTGAAGGAATCCGAACTCACCATTATATGCATCGTTGCGGCTTGACGAGGGAGGGGAGGATATGCAGTAATGTCGCAATCCAGTCGTAATCCTTCTTGCCCTTTGAGGTAGGACCAGTTTTGTCAACGACGATCTTCGCACGATCTGGAGTCGTCGTCGTTGGCCGCGTCGAGAACGAAGGTCGTCGGTTTGTTCGTGGGATCGTAATGAAGCTTTGCTTGTGGTCTCCCAATGCTTGCTTTGTTCTACCAGGAGTGTGTATCTCTATCGTCACAATCTACGACGTTGCCAATTGATTCAACTGGGATCAATTCGAGATCCAGCAAGACTTGTCCAATTTGGTGATGTAAAGTCGATTCACCTCGAGATTTCGAATGATGTAAATGCAACAGAGTAGACGCTGGGTGTGGAAGCGGTCCAATGATGTGATGATGACCTTATGCGAGGTCGGTGTGCCCACCGACAGCTCTTGTGTGCAGGTAAATGGATGGTGCTTGATGCCGCCGAGATCCATGCTAATATGTGCCGTCCATATTCTTAGTAAATGTCATCTGCTCACCGCGGGTCTTGAATAAATCGACCACTTCAAATACTCATCAACAATTTGAGATATTTAATCGACCATGTTGTCATGTTCACAACACTATGAGATATCATCTCCACTCTAGAAGTCATCCTTGATGTCGAAAATTACATCCAGCATAGGAGAAAGCTTATCTGAACGGATCTCAAGATGCTACAGTGGCAAAACAACCGCGAGAGACCCAACAAACATCTATTCATCGGCCTCTCCCAAGTCGAGACCCTCTCACCACGATGCATCGTCCGTATTAAGGGTGATGATCGACCATAATACCTTCAAAGGTCAACAGGCAAATAGCGCTTGTCTCGAAGGAATTTATGGTTTTCGGCGTCATTTTTCGCGTCGAGTTGCACGCTTTCGAGATGACCATCGGTAGGACCGATGTAGGACCGTAGCAAGCATGTTTCGGTCATTGGATCGTCGAAACTCTATCTCCTCCCATGAACCTGTGATGAATGGTTTCCTGTCACCTCCCTTGCTTAAAGTCGGATAGTTTGTGTTTTCTGTCTTCACTGTTTTGTGCTACGATATTCCTTGTTGAGTAGAACACTTACTTTGCCGTGGAATCTGTCCTCCTTTGATCTGCTCGTTCCAAGATCACTTCCATCGGCAGTCCAAGATTCTCAACCTCCAAGGATCGAAAACCAAGCCGCTCTATCACAAAGAGCTCCCTCTACATAACAACATGCGACTCTTCGGCCGTCAAGAGAAGGGAGGAGAAGGGACAAGCAGAGTCGAGAGGGTCTCATCCTTTCCCCATGCCAAATCAAAACAGAAAGTGACTGGCCTGGCCATCGCCATGGGCGCCGTGGCATCGATAGGTGGCATGATCTTCGGCTACGTATCCGGACAAATCAGCGGGATGTTCTTGATGGCGGACTACGCTGCCCGATTCGGCGAGAGACAGACAGATGGTAGCTATACCTTTTCCGCCGTCAGACAGGGGACGATCGTCGCTCTCCTCTGTGCTGGTGCGCTCTTGGGCTCGCTCGGCGCGGGCAAGTTGGCGGATTGGCAGGGTCGGAGGCTGGCAATTTCGGTGTCTGCGTTCTTCTGTTGTATTGGGACGGTGATCGAGATCTCATCTACGACGTTCTGGCTGCAGTTCGCCCTCGGACGTTTGATCAATGGGATTGGCATTGGGGCTCTGTCAGTCGCCGTACCCATGTATCAGTCCGAATGTGCGCCGGACATCATTCGCGGCATGCTCGTAGCGTCATACCAGCTCAACATGACCTTTGGCATTTTTCTCGCCGAGGCGATTAACCTCGCTACCGAAGGCCTCTCTTCGAGTGCATCCTGGAGGATCCCGAATGGCATCTCATTCCTCTGGGCACTCATCCTCGGAGCCTCGATGCTCTTTCTACCGGAATCTCCTCGATATGCATATCGCAAAGGTCGAGATGAAGAAGCTCGCACCACCATTTCACGACTCGCTGGTCTGGATCCGACATCGCGGGAGGTGAACGATATCATCTATTCCCTGCGTTGCAACCTCGAGCAGGAGAAAGCTGCAGCGGAAGCCAAATGGCACGAGATCTTCACCGGTCCGCGAATGTTCTATCGGACTCTGCTTGGCGTGACTCTACAAGCTGGTCAGCAGCTGACCGGGGCCAATTTCTTCTTCTACTATGGCACGACTATCTTCGCAGCGACGGGTCTAAGCAATAGCTACGTCACTCAAATCATCCTGGGAGCTGTCAATCTGGTGTTTACCTTTGCTGGACTATACGTCGTTCAGAAATGCGGACGGAGAAAGTCTTTGATGGCTGGAGCCGCATGGATGTGCATGTGCTTCTTGGTCTTTTCCTTTGTCGGCCGCTTCGCTCTGGATAGTGAGAATCCGATGAACACACCAGCAGCTGGCAATGTCCTCATTGTGTTTTCGTGCTTGTTCATTGCAGCATTTGCAACGACATGGGGTGAGCACACGGACCGTTATCATGCATATCGGTGTGACTAGCTAACATTTCAATATAGGTCCTTTGGTATGGGGAGTAGTCGCCGAGCTGTATCCCTCGAAATATCGAGCACAGTGCATGGCCATCAGCACATCTGCCAATTGGCTTTTCAATTTTTTGTAAGTACCAGCTTGCAATACTCGTGTCACTTCAGGCCAAACAGACATGGATTAGATACTGACCCACTGAGCAGGCTATCGTTCTTCACGCGCTTCATCACCAATGCGATCGGATATCTTTACGGCCTGGTCTTTGCGAGCTGTTGCGCGGTCTTGGTGTTTATCGTCTTCTTCTGCTTGATTGAGCACAAGGACCGAAGTCTGGAGGAGATTGACGCCATGTACGTCCTAAAGATCAATCCCATCACCAGCGATAAGTGGGATGGTAGCAAGGTGGACGAGGAGACAGATCGATCGGGCCGCACGGATTCGGAGCCGAGTCGGCGACAGAAGTCTACGCACGAGGCATAAGCTTGAGTGTGATTGTACACTCGTGCCTGCGAATCCGGCCGATGATGGACGGAGATGTAAAGTACTGAAGTCCATAGAGTCGTCGATTCGGCCTGAGAGGCGTCGTCGTCGTTGTATTCTACTTAGGGTTCATCACGCGTAATGAGTGCGGAAATGTACCGAACAGCCAAAACACCCACCTGCAGTCTCACCATTGAACAGAAGCGCTTGTGACATCATTATTCGTAACCAGCGGACGTCTGCTCTGACAATGACTCCCACACATCTCGCAATGCCACGAGAAATGTACTCGTCACACTGATGATACTTCATTCTTCGGCATTTCCCAAAGCCCGTCATTCCCAGTAACATGTACGGGACAGTGACGAAGATATTACCACGACCAGCATCTCATCTAGCGGCGACCAATTGTCATATATGAACGCCAGAGAAGCGTTCACTTGGTAAGGTCTATTTTATTTCTCACGTCTATAGGCATATCATTCCAGTGCAGCAGCAGCATCGCATCGTGAACATCCAGAGGTTACCCAAATTCCTCATTTACGCACAAGAAACCCTTCGAAGATCCACCATCATCATGGCTCTCTCCTTGCCCACCGCCCGTTACCTAGGCGCCGGCTCCTTCGTCTACAACTTCATCGCCCAACAATACGGCCTCAACTCCACTCCCAACATGAAAGACATCCACGACCGAAACCTCTCCTTCTTCTCCCCGCAACCCTACTTCATCGGAGGCTTCTTCGCCTGCCAGACCGTCGTCCAACTCGCCTGGCTCTACAAGCTCTGGCGGCTCAACAAGAACAACCCGGCGGAGAAGAAGGAACTCGACACGATCGTGAAGTTCGTGCCCTACTACGCCCTGGGAAACTTCTGCATCGGCACCTGGATGTTCTTCTGGAACGCGGAACACCTCAAGATCGCCGATATCTTCGTCGTCGTGAACACCACCGCCCAACTCTTCTACGTCTTCGCCCAGCAGGAGCCCATGGACACGCGCTCCTGGGGGAGCATCCTCACGCACATCAACTCCAAGACTTTCGCGGGCATCGGAATTCTGGACATCGTTCACAATACATCCGTGGCGTTCTTCAAGAACCAGCATCCTTCTAACTTTGTCAAGATCGCGACGGCCCTGGGGTTTGCGGGACTCAGCGCCGGCAGCGATTGGATTTTCGGCGGTTGTTTGGTCTATGATTTGATTGCTCTCAGTATCGGGCAGTCTGATTACGGCGACAAGAGCTGGAGCCGGCTTCTGGGATTCTATGCGATCGGTAGTGCTGCTATCGTCGCTGCGCGCAATCTTCTCAGGTAAGGGTGTGGAAGAAAGACTTTCGATTTGAAGGGCTCGCATTTGTTATGTTTAACACTCTTTTCATTCCTGTTTTTTTTTGGATTCGAATGCTCTTCCCGCGCGTGGGTGTTTCGTGTGGAAGATTGATCGAATGACTGAATGCTGATGGGTCGTGTGTTGCTTTACAGACCACCATATGTGCAAGAGGGCTATGTCGCAGCCGAGCAGGATGATGTTGACGAACAGGTGTGATGTCGAAGTTATATAATGAGCTCTTGGGATTCGAGATCGGTGTCTTACTTCTTTCAATGTATCAGTGATCATTAGCATGTACCATACTATTACCAATGCTTTTCTGAAGTCATCAGCACTGGTCGTCCGAGCATTGTGAAGCATCGTGATCGCGTAGAGTTCTGTGACGCACGGTTAGGTGGCGGATGACGTTTTACATGCGATACTGCACCACCTCCAGACATCGATCGTATATTGCTTGGATGCATGCATTTTTGTCCAATTAAGCTAGACTTTTCCAATGCGTCGCTACACTTTTGAGTAATCCAGTTCTCTCTTTCGCATACAGGCGATTGTCCAAAGCCTCCCGTCATCTCACCCTAAGTCGCTTTGCTTTTCGTTTTGCCTCCACCAGCACGCTTGCCGGCGGGCTTGCTCAGGTGTCCCTCCGGAATCCAGCTCTCATCGTAGCCTTTGGAGCCGGTCGTCACGGCCGGTCCGTCAGCGCCCTCCACAGCGACTTGGTCTTTCGGGTCCACCGGCTTTTGTCCAGTGGTGGAGCGCTTGGCCCGCTCACCACCCTTGCCACCGCGCTTCTTCTGTGGGAGCAGGTCCTTGATCCAGATGTTGTAGATGGCGTAGACGGTACCGCCGAAAACACCGGCGAGGATGAGGTAGAGGAAGATTCTGTAATTGGCAGAGTTAGTGACCAATTTTCCGATAGGTGGTCAGTGAGAGCTGCTCCGTGTTACGTACACTTGCGGGTCCAAGATTGAAAAGGGTGCCTCGACCACCGAGACGCTTTCCTTGTAGACGCCGAGGGTGAAAATGCTCTCGCGCGCCTGAACCAACAGCTTCAGATCGAGCGTGACATCTCGAGGGTTCATGATCTCCGAGAATGAGTATTGGACAGTCTCGGTGCTCTTGGGAGGAATGACAGTGGAGTATTTGGTCACGGTCAAGTTGCGCAGAATCTCTGGCGGGTTCGGCGCGCCCAATGCGCCTTCGGTGGTGAGGAGGGTACCAGTGGCGACCAGAACGACGATGGGTTCGGGCTCATTGTTGACGACTTGGAACAGCGCGCGGGTGGGTCGTCCATTGACCAATTTGATTCCAAAGACTTCGGCGTCGGGGAATGTGGTTGTCACGTCAATCTTCACCGAGGGAGCTTTCGCATCAGGGTCCTTGGGTGTGTCCAACACTCTTTGAACATCCTCGGGACTGGCGGTCCTGACGTTGGCGGTATTGTCGCTCTGTTCACAGTCAGAAAGCTAGTCGCGTTGGCGCATGTGGCAAGGAAGTATGATATACCTTAACGTCCGCAGCGCTCTGCGCCAGTGCTACTGCGCTGCAAGCAGCCAGAGCGAGCAATTGCTTAAGTGATACCATTTCTGAGATATGATAATGGCTAAATCGTGTCGACAACCTCTGATGTCAGTATTTCGATTTGCACGAGACCAGCTGTCTGTTGTAACTGCCATTGGGCTAGGCTGAACTGGTGGAGCACATATATGATGACTAATCACTGACTAAGCACCGTCTTCTATGTGCGGTCGCCCTTGGACCTTCTTCGTCACCAGATCTCATGCAGTTGGTGAATCGTAACCTCATGTTAGAACATAGATCGGAGGTAGCTGAGACATTATTCTCCAAACCACTTCTTAAATCATTCCACCTCTTGGTTGCGAGCGATTTCATGTTCTGAGATTGTGTCTTTATATTGTCCTCTTGAACCTCAGCTGATTGGAAGCCGGCTACGTCATACCAAAGTTCTCGGCCTCCGTCGAATCGTACTGCGTGTGACCTTGAGGCTGAGCACCACTATCTCCAGGACTACTATGATTGCCGTTCACACGTCGTGATAGTTTCAATTGATTTCTTTTCCTACTGCATTGTTGAGCAGTCGCAGAACAGCTGCGGCAAAGGTTCCAACAGACAAACAGTCAGGGTTGTATTTGCACGAACGTCCAAGCTGAGATCTCCCTTGATAAGGTTTCACGAAATGGACAAGCTGAAAGGCGTTGCAAAGGGAGGATGGCATCCGAGTGGAGACAAAGCTATACACCGAGACACGTGGAAATCGGATTTAAAAGGCATCGCGAGCGGCAAGAAACATGATCCCTATGAGTCAGCCAGGAATCACCAGTCAACTCCTCTCACCAGTCTGAAAGATCCTGATTCTTTTGGCCCGCCTCCCAAACACATTCCAAACAGCCATGATGACACAAACTCTCAAGCGCTTTCAACAGTGAGAAGACCGGCCGCTGCATCGGGGTCGGGTGCACGCGTGCCAACAGCTGCCTCACGCCAGATCGAGCAGAGTGTCGAAGTCGCTAAACCAGTCGTGCCTTACAGGACGGACACGACAGGACTCAGGACCGATAATCTACCAAAGCCACCGAGTCGTTCAGCCATTGGAGGTGTTCCTTCTCCAAAGACAGCATCGCCGGTCCCATTACCCGCACGACAAACGACAGGAATTATACCCAGAGGTGGGCCACCACCAGTCTTACCGCCCCGAGAAAACTCAGCTACCACTCAACATGGACCTACTCCTCCACCAGCCTACAACGCACTGAACTCGAATCGAAACGTTCCTCTGGTGTCAGTCAACCCACAGGCAGCATCAAATCTAGCGCGCGCAGGCATCTCGGTGCCCGCTCTAGGAATCGATACCGCGTCTACAGGCGCAGCTAGCAGACCAGCGGCTGGCACTTCACAGGTAAACGAGCTTCAGCAGCGTTTCGCACGGATGAATGCCAGTGCATCGGCGAGTCCAATATCACCAACAGCAGCAGGGATGGTCGCTGCGGCGGCACAAAAGAAAGCGGCGCCACCTCCACCCCCAAAGAAAGCCATCCTGCAATCTCACGATGAATCGCCGATTCCATCAGCGGGCGCGCCACCACCGATTCCTCTCAGCAGCAAGCCACGGCCGTGATGGAAGTTTATCCAGTGAAATATTGAGTACATAGTACTGGCAATTGACGTCTGAACGTCGACCGCAGGCGGGTCGAGGTGATGCTTATTGAAACCAATGCTGAAGTGCCAAACTTGGCTCAACATGATCAAATCTGACCCATGACTGAGTTTGATTCAGCATTCTGTATGGAACTGGGATTATAGCAATAAGTGGAGTTCGGAACGACGAGCCCGTGAGCACGAGTCATAAGTCTAGGGACGATTTGAATGTGAAAGGAAGAAACCAGATCCTCGATCGGCGTTGTTTAGCCATGAAGGTTGAATTTTGAAGTGTATTGCAAATGTCGTCGCATTGCAGCGCAAGATTTCCACAATTTCGTGTCTCAGTAATGGTTTTTGAGGCGGGCGCTGTCGTCAGAATGATCCCACCAACATCTCGAAGATACCTGAATCTTCTCAAATATGAGACTAAGATCAGATGTTGATTTGTGAGGAATGATATGGATCCTCGATATATGCGTTAAGAGAACATTCGTATGTAGGCGAATGTCAGTGGAGGGGGATGAATACTAGCGTGAAGACGACTGGATTTGTGAAGTTGGACGTCTGCGATTCGCACCACGGCGCTAAGCTGAATGGGGTGCACCGCCAAGGCTGTAGGACGTCCGTGCACGCACGCACCTGGAAAACGAACAGCCAGGTCGACAACGACATCTTGAAAGTGCTCGCATCAATCACGATATCGTCGCCACATCTCCAACCGCAAAGATGTCGCTCGTCACCGGCGAGAAGTCGAACTTCCAGTTCATCTTGCGTCTGCTCAACACCAACGTACGTACCGCCGGATCACGCCCATGAAAGCCTAGCCGATGGCGCACGAGACCAGTGGAGGAAGCAATCGCGACGGTGGACACAATGGGCATGAGTGCTGACGAGGATTGGGAATACAGGTCGATGGCAAACAGAAGGTCATGTACGCCTTGACCAAGATCAAGGGTGTCGGTCGCCGATACAGCAACTTGGTCTGCAAGAAGGCCGATGTTGACCTCAACAAGCGGTACATCTCCCTTTCCAGCAGCGTGAACAGAATTCCTGGTCACTCCCCACGACATGGCGAACAACAACCAACTAACGTGTCATTTCCTACAGCGCCGGTGAACTCACATCCGAAGAGCTCGAGCGTATCGTCACAATCATCCAAAACCCCACCCAATACAAGATCCCCACCTGGTTCCTCAACAGACAGCGCGACATCGTGGACGGCAAGGACTACCAGATCCTCGCCAACGGCGTCGACAGCAAGCTCCGTGAGGACTTGGAGCGCCTGAAGAAGATCCGCGCCCACCGTGGTCTCCGTCACTACTGGGGTCTGCGTGTCCGCGGACAGCACAGCAAGACCACCGGCCGACGAGGAAGGACCGTTGGTGTCAGCAAGAAGAAGTCATAGAGGTTGCGCGCGCGCGGGCTTTTCTTGTTGGCTGTGGGGGAGGCAGGCCGGAGGAGCGAGGCCGTGGCCCGTTGGTGTCTTCTTCTGTGCTATTTATCATGGTCGGGAAAACATGGCGTGGGTGGAGCAAAATCCGGAAGGCGTCTCTTTTATTATCGGAGAAGAAATGATTTTAGGGAGGCGAAGCTGCACCAAAACGTCTTCGCTCTCTCTGTCACGCCGCCTGCCCTTCATCATCGTGCGGAGAGACGCGATGTACGGGCCGGCTCACATTTTCCACGGTGTCAAATGCATAACGCGAGAAATCTTTTTTGAAACAAAAACCTGTCATCATGCCCTCCAACGATCCAATGACCCCCCCTCGTCATGAAATGAAAGCAGGATTCCCAAATATCACCACGGCCAACCGCGCCTTATCGACAACGATGGTCTCTCGCGACCAGCCTCAACTCTGTGCTTCGACCCAACCTCCTCTCCCTGCCCACTTCCCGTCCCTTTTCCCCGTCTCGACAGTACCACCGTAACCTCCACCCCTCACACCATTTCTCCCATTCATTTCCGACAAAGACCCTCCCTCGACTTCCTCCTCCCCCCAAAGCCCCGTTTCCCAAAGTCTTCCTCCTCTCCAACCTTACCAATCACTAAAAAGGGCATTCGTTCGTTCCCTCTTCGATCACGGATCATCGCCGTCGTCGATCTCTTCGCTACGGACGAGTGGTGATGCCTTCCTCCTCTTCCCCCCGGCGAGGCACTGACCCGAGGATGAGAGTAAGAGTGACCGTTCACACACCCCACCCTCCCCCGTCTCTCTTTCTCCGTAGCTATCGAGGGTATGACCCCATCTATCTACCGCTCATATACGTGTATGTACAAGAGAGAGAGAGAGAGGGTGTCTAAATCAAAGATTCGAGATTGAGCAGAGGGGAAGAAACCGCACGTAGACGAGCGACGATGAAGAAGAGGAGAAAAAAAAAACAAAAACAAAGGGCAGATGGGATTTTGGTTTTCTGCAAAATGGGGAAATGTCACAGCGAGGGGTTTTCACGGGTGGCAGGGAGGAGTTCTTTTATTTTATTCTTCATTGCAATGCGGATTTGATTGATTTTACATATATTCATGGGTGTGTGTTGTGCGGGCGATGCCCAGGGAGAGAAAGAGGGAGAGAGAGAGAGAGACACTCTTCCCGTCGAGAACGAAAAAAACGAGGACTTCCTCATGAGGGGGAAAAAGTGCCAGATCTCTCTAGGAAGACCTGGATCCCAGGAGCGAAGGGGACATCGAAGTTCGCACTGGACGACGAGACGGGTTTTTTTTCTCTAGTTCTCGATCCATTCGCCGGCCAACCACCGGTCGAGCATGTCCAGCGACGCGGCGGGCTGGTCGTAGGGGACCATGTGGCCGCCGGCGTGGAGGCGCAGGAAGGTGAAGTTGCCCGAGGACTTGACGGAGCCGATGTTGGAGCCGTCGGCCTTGAGCTTGAGGTCCTTGAGCTCGGCCTTGGCGTACTTGGCCTGGCCGGGCCACTCGAGCGCGTTGGTCCAGGCGAGGTTGCCGAGCCAGTTGCAGATGAAGTCGGCGTCGCCGGCGTAGATCAGGACGGGGATCTCCTTGAGGATGCCCGGCACCAGGCGGTGGAAGGGCTGCATCCAGTCGCCCGCGAAGAGGAAGTTGCGGTTGATGTCGAAGTTGCAGGAGTCGTACTTGGAGACCTCGACGCCCAGGGCGTCCATGACGTCCTGGCGGTTGAGGTACTTTGAGATCCAGTCGAGCTCGTTGTAGCAGAGGGGGTTGTCGCCGCAAGGCTTGCGGACGTCGTAGACGTTCTGGCCGGTGCGCTGGTAGGCGCCGATCAGGGCGTTGTTACAGTAGATGGAGGCGGGCACGCAAGACCAGACGGACTCGCTCTTGTAGCACGATTCGATCAGGCTCTGGCAGCGGGGGAGGGCGTTGTCCATGGCGGTGCACTCCTGCTCGTTCAGCACGGCGGGCCACCCACCGTCACCGCAAGCCATGGGACGGTAGTACTCGTACTGAGTGTAGCCATCGGTGAGACCGTTGCCGATCAGGACGGATTGCAGGTTGATGTTGCGCTTCTTGTGGGAGAGGATCTCGGCGGCGAAGACCGGGATGTAGTGACCGGCGTAAGACTCGCCGGAGATGTGGAAAGGCTGCTTGGCGTATTCGGGGAATTGCTTGAAGAAGAGGGTCAGGAGCGCGTAAACGTCCTTGCCCGCGGCGACGGTGTTGGAGACCTTGCCGCCGGAGTAGGAGTAGCCGACGTTGACGGGCTGGTCGAGGAAGATGACGTTGGCGTTCTCGTTCCAGCTGCTGGGGTTGTAGACGACCTCGCCCTTCTCGTTGATGGACGACGGACCGAGCTCCATGAACAGACCCGTCAACGAAGAGCAGCCCGGACCACCGTTGAGCCAGAGGACCACCGGGTCGTTCTTGGGGTCGTTGCGGGACTCGAAGAACCAGTAGAAGAGATGCTTGTCATCCTCCTCGTTGTCCAAGTAACCCGAATATTGGGTCACGTTGTCCACCTTGAGCTTCTTGGGGTCGACCTTCTTGGTGCGCAGGTTGAACGCCTCGAGGTGACCATCAATCTCACGCTCCTTCTGTCCCTTGGAGTTGGTGGTGTAGAGGTTGTGGAGATCCTCGCCCTTGGTAACGAAGTCCCACTCGCTGTGCGCTTTGCGGACATGTGGCTTCGGCTTGCTGAAGAAGTTGGCTTGGCTCATGCTCTCCGGGAACATCATAGCGACCTCATCCCAGGCCTGACGGGCATCCGCGGTCAGGTGCTTGAGCTCTTGCTGGAAGTTCTCAAGCGGCTTGGTCCAGGATGCGGCCTTGTCGGAGGCAGCCTTGAACGCCTCACGGACGTTGTCGGTGGCGGCCTTCAAGGGTTGCTGCTGGGAAACACTCGCAGCAGCAGCTCCGAAGAGGAGCGCCGAGGCGGCGACCTTCATGATGGGGAGGTGATTGTTGTTGCCGCGGTGGCGAGTATGTGAGTGGGAGATGGAGAGGACAACAGCGATGATGACGATGATCCCGTACGATACGACGATGAAGGTGTGGAAAGTAGGATGGAGGGAGGAGAGAGAAAGAGGGAGGAGGGTGAAGAGAAGAGGAAGAGAGGATGAGAGGCAGGCAATGGGAGCGGATATGTATGTGACGATGATGGTACACCACTGACTACAGTATGGTATAGTATGGTATGGTATGGACGGAGAGCTAGGTACTGTACCTTGGAAGCTTGCACGCTTGGTGTTGGGGTAGGAGGAGGAAGTGGGCGGCAGTCATCATCACAGTCACTTTGCGCTCAGGACTGATTGTACTGCTGTGTACTGTACCGAGAATAGGCGTCAATCACAGCCCTGGAGGTTACGTATGTGTGTGACTGAATGAATGGCACGGTTGGGGAGTGTTCTACAGTACATTTAGTGCAGTGCAATGGTGGCTATATGTGTATGTGTGTATGTGTGGTGGTGAATGTGGAGGAATGACCTCTTGTCGGATCCATAGGCAACGCCTAAAACGGTCAAGTCTGGAAGCGGAGTTTAGATCCTGATAACCTTGGAACCCAGCCAGCCAGACAGATAGCCAGCCAGCCAGCCACGCCGCTGATGGAGAGACTACCCACTATCGACTAGACAGACCATCATGTGATGACGCATATCTATGTATCCGACTAACTGACTCTACGCGCGCGCCGTTGTTATCATTCTTCTATCGCTCACACGCAGGTACCATCTCACATCACCGACAGTACAGTAGAGTATAGTAAGGTACAGCACAGCACAGCACAGTCCAGTACAGGACAGGACAAGACAGAACAAGGACAGGATAGGAAAGGACAGCATACACGTGATCAACCAATACTCTCGTTTGTCCATCACAGTGCTCCTCATGTGCAGCAGCGCTAGAGATGAACGGTCACAGTCACAGTCACAGACAGAGACAGACAGACAGACAGAGACAGACAGAGAGACAGGGCACGTGACAGGCAGACGGAGCACGTGACAGGCAAGGTATGTTTCCTTTCTCGTGCCCAAGTCAGGTCACGTGCATCGTCATGACTCGGCAAAGCGGGACATTCGCCAAATTCCAGCCCTGCAGAGAAAGCCCGACTGTTGCGGCTGCGTCATGGCTCCAGGGCGGGCGCGTGCCTCCGGGAAACAGAAATTATTACTGTTGCTGTACAGTAGGATGTGATGAGAGAGCTTCACGATAGTCACATTCATTCTATACATATCAAATCTGCATATAAGGTGACGGAAATCTCGTCGCCGCCGTCATGCCGATCAACCAACCCTCCAACCAGATCAAGCTGACCAACGTCAGTCTGGTCCGCATGAAAAAAGGTGCACCATCCTCCCCGGTCCGCCCACCATCGAAATGTCCACTGACAGAAAAACTATAGGCAAGAAAAGATTCGAGATCGCATGTTACAAGAACACCATCACCTCATTCCGCGCCGGCAACGAGACCGACCTCGACAACGTCCTTCAGATCCAAAATGTCTTCCTCAACGTCTCCAAAGGCGAAGTCGCTCCCAATGACGACCTCAAAAAGGCCTTCCCGGGTCTCACCCGTGATCAGGTCGTCCTGGAAATCTTGAAGAAGGGTGAAATTCAAATCGGCGAGAAAGAGCGATCGCAGGAGCTGGAGCGTGTTCACAAGGAGGTCATCGACATGGTCGCGGGCAGATTGGTCGATCCGACCTCGAAGCGGGTCTACACCACAGGCATGATCGAAAAGGCGCTCGACCAACTGAGCAGTCAAGGCGGCCACGCCGGGAGGAACGCCGGCAAAGGACAACCGGACACATCGGATCGCAGCAAGAGTCGAGACCAAGGCGGCGCAGACGCAGGATCCACGTCCAAAGGAAAAGCCGCCGCCGCCGCAGCAGAAGATGCCGACCCTGCGCCCGAAAAGGCCAAACCCCGATGGACCGGCGTGACGACCAACCGCAGCGCCAAACTCCAAGCCCTCGAAGCCATCAAAGCCCTGATCGCCCACCAACCCATCCCCGTCGCCCGCGCCCGCATGCGCCTCCGCATCACGTGCCCGCTCAGCGTGCTCAAGCAGAACGTCAAGACTCCGCCCAGGTCGGAAGGCGAGGAGGCCACGACCAGCAGCGTCAAGGAGAGGCTCCTGGGCTACGTCGAACAGGTCGAGAGCCAGGACATCGCCGGCGAGGAGTGGGAGGCGGTCGGCTTCGTGGAGCCCGGCAGCTTCAAGACGCTGAGCGATTTCATCAGCACGCAGACGAAGGGGCGGGCGAGGGCGGAGGTGTTGGATATGGCGGTCACGCATGAAGGCGATTGATGGGAGCGAGCGTGTCGTGTGGAGTTCCTGACGATGTTTCATGAAGGAAATGATGAGTGATGAATTTATGAGCAGCGGCAGCGGCAGCAGCACTGCATGGGCTGGGGTGACCTGATGTCTATTTATCAGTACAATCAATGCGGTTGTTCTCACCGGACCTCCAGAAGAGACTGGGAGTGTGACGAGATGACCAAAAAAAAACCTCCGAGAGAAGAGAAGAAACCCCACAGCCTGTCCCTCGATTTGAAACTCCCCAATCCACCTCCGCCTTCTCCTTCCTTCCCCGAGAGCAAAGCGATCTCACACTTTCCCACCACCCTCCTCCTCCTCCCCATTCTCCTCCACCCACCCAAGCCTCTCCCCGACCTTGACCTTCATCCCCGTCTCGATCGCCCACTTCCAACACTTCCCCCTGCGGCCCCCATCGAACCCCTGATCAAAGCTGGGCCTCAAGCCCTTCGGGGCCTCAAAGACCAGCACGATCGTGCTGCCCAGCTGGAAACCGCCCATCTCCTCCCCCTTCTTCAGCGCATGGCCGCCGAGGACCTTGCTCGCGGCGGAATACGTGGCCTCGGCGTAGCCGCTGTAGGGCTCGCCCCGCGCCGCGGCCTGCTCGGCCGCGCGGTCGGCCAGGGTGTCGGTCAGCAGGCTGTTGGTGCGCAGCTCGCGGTCGAAGTTGACCACGATGCTGCCGACGTTGGTCGCGCCGACGGGCGTGTAGCTGAAGAAGCCGTACTTCCACCGGCCCAGCAGCACCACCCGCTCGTTCAGCGTGAACAGGCCCGGCAGCGTCTTGACCAGGTACGGCGACACGCTGTACAGCTCGCCCGCGAAGTGCCGCCGGCTCTCCACCACCCACGACACCGGGCTGTGGAACCGGTGGTAGTCCCCCGGCGCCAGGTACACGACGCAGTAGTAGAGCGCCGTCGGCGAGTCCTTCTCGTCCGAGCCGCTGGTGCTGCTGTAGTACCATGGTCTGGACGGTTTGGCGAGCTCGGCGGCGACGGCTTTCTCGGAGGAGGTGGAGGATTTCGTGGATTGGTCGACGATGGAGTCGGCGTTGTTTTTGTCGTTGTGGTCGTCAGGGGTGGCGATTTCCTGTTGGCGGTTCTTCCACCAGAAGCGGCTTTTCTTCGTCGGTGCTGCGCTGTCCGGCGAGGCGCCGGAGAAGAGGCTGGGGAGGGTGTAGGAGATGCCGTTCACGCGCGCGAACTCCTCGTCGGCGCGGACGACGTCGGACTCGCCCTCGGCGACCCGGTCGGGTGATGCTTGTGGCGAGCCTTTTGCTCCCGCGATGTTGCTGGAGATGGGCGTTCCTGGTGTGGGCTGTGCGCCGAGCAGGGCGTCTACGCTATACGTGACGCCCTTGACTTGCTCGACTTCGCCATGCTCGATGGATCCGAATTGGACGACCCGGCCGTCGGCGGGGGAGAGGATGGCATTGGGATGCGGATGTAATGGTCGACAGCCGGGTTTGATCTCCCGGTAGAAGAACTCCGCGAGGTTCCGGTACGTGTGCAGATCCGGCTCGTTGACCTCGTCGAAATTCACCCCGAAGATATATCCGTATAGTTTGAAACCGGGAACGCGCAGGTGATATGGGATGTCAATGCTGTTGAACCATCCCCACCACCGCGACACCGCCTTCAACGGGATCGTGCTCATGATTTGCACCGTCCAGGGCCCGCTCGGACGAATCCTCTCTCGCCGCCGCGGCCTCCCCAGCTGATCGGTGTCTTCACCATCAGCTCTTCTGCGCTCCTCCTCTTCCCGGTTCCGGCGTTCTCGTTCTTGTATCCGATAGAATTGAAATGCGCCGAGGAAGGCAATGCCCAACGCGATGGGAATGGGTCGCCATACTGTCGGATTTGATTTGAAGGAGGCTCCGAGCCGGGAGGAGAAGGATTCCTTGTTTTGCTCGGATTTGCTGTCGCTCCTCCTTGAACTGGCGGAGAATGGCCGCCGCCGGACGATGCGAATGTGTGGTTGTCCGGCGGCTGGACGGAGGATCGGACGGAGAAATTGGGTGCGCATCGTTAAAGGAGTGCGGATCTATTAAATGATACCTCAGAACAACATGTCGGACTGCGCGATCTCTCTAAGAGTCCTGAAATATGCCAGGAGAGAGTCGTTCAGCGTGAGGAAAACCGCGTGTATGAGTTTGTACCGGACAAAGCTCGAAACTTTTACGAGATGTCTTGGTGACGTCTTCCGCTGTCGATGAGCCGTGCGTGGACCAGAGAGACACAGCAGCGTGCTTGGTCGGTCTCCACGTTCACGCGAGTTTTCACATGACAGGTGAGGAACAAGTACAGTACTAAATGTGATTGCATATATTTGTATTTCGCGTTGATCCGCATACACATTGATCATCATCTCATGCTCCGGTATATTTGAATCACCCTCACCCTCACCCTCACCTATCACATTCGAATTCGTTTCTCAACACACGCAATTTGTTAGTCTGACGGAACGACTTCAGCACATGAACGCCGTTGACTTCGACCCTGGATTATTTCATCGCAGGGCATGTCATTCTGACTCAGCACAATTCACCTGCACGACGTCTTTCCACTTTCGGACGTGACAACTTGCCTCACATCGACACCTTTGACAACACAATCTCGCTCACAGCAAACAGTAACGTAAACGACGAGAGCGCCCTTGAATTGTACCGGACAGTTGCCCGTGGTTTGCGGTCGCGGCATTAAAAACGTCTTACAAGTCGCCGAGAGGCATTTCCCGATCCATTCCGGCGCATGAAAGATGGCGACTAATGGAGTCGCGACGATTACGCTTCGTTGCAAGGTGCCACCGGGCCACATCTCTGGCGATATAGACGAGTTCAATTTGGGTTCATTTGCGACTTCTGCAAAAATCGGGGCCGTCCGTGAGAGGATTCAGCAACAGTTGCCCGGAAATCCTACGCCCGTCCAACAACGAATACTCCACGGCGGCCGGGCTCTGGTTGACGACGAACAGTCGCTCGCGGATGCATTGAATGTGAAACGAGACCCCACACAGGACACATACGTTGTTCATTTGCTTGTTCGCGGCAATGGCGCGTCCACACCTGCACCTGCGTCGCAAAGAATCCCTGTACCTGGAGTCGGCTCGGTAAACCCACGGCCAGGGCAGTCTCCGGCGCCACAGCAAATCCACCCTGGGGATGTTCGACAGGGAAACGCGCATCAATTGCCTCAACAGCAGCCTCAACAACCTTTTCTCAACCAACATGTCGATCCACTCATTGCGCATCAAAGACTTCATGCACAATTCGTACAGCAACAGCATCAACAGAACCAACACGCATTCTCGCCCTTCCCACACGGATTCCCTGGTATGCCTCCGCGGCATAATGGTGGACAAACGCCTCATACGGTTCCTGCTCAGCCTGGGTCAGGAGAGCCACCTCGAAACCCGGGCGGTCTCACTCCACAACCTGACGCACACCCAATTGCACACGATACTCCGAGCTCTGCACGCCCTGATACCAACTCCACACCTAACTCTATCCCTCAACCACCCGTAAATGCTCCGCATCTCGCAGCAGGTCTTCCAAATCCGATGCATCGTCCGATCAGTGGCCAAGGGTTTCACGTGGAAGGTGTCGGTCAGGACGGCCAGCGGTTCAGTGTTCATCAACAAACATTTAGCATTCCTGTTGGAGGCCCACAATTTGGTGTTCCGGGTATGCCGGGCCTGTCACCGTTTCCCGGCACCGCTCAACGCCCTGCAACAGTACCGTCTCTGGTGGCGAGCGCCGCTGTGGCTCAAGCCGCAGTCGCGACAGATCGTGCTCGTCAAGCTAGTTCCGACGTGAACCAATCACTTCAGACACTGCTCGCGAGAGAAGATCTCAACGACGACCAGCGAACCCGAATCCGTGAGATTCTTGATGGCGCCCAACGCGCGAGCGGTCAAGCAACACAAGCTCGATCTGCTTTGACACAAGTGATGATGGCATATAATGCACCACAGATGCCCACAGTGGGACCCCTGCCGCCCTTTGGTCGCCCCCAGGAGACAACACCTCAACACAATTCCCTTCCTACAATTCGGACTCCATCAGAACTGACTTGTTACCTACTATCCGCTCCGGATGGACCTCGTGCGATCCTATACTCGCCTCACCATGGTACTTACCATGGAAATTATAATCAAGGTTTATCCTCTGCCAGCCTCCTGAGCCAATTTGCATCACGATCGCAGCAAGCAGAAGGCGCGGGCGTTCCTCCTGCGCCTGGAGCCGGACAAGCGGGCAACCTACCTAACCAAGGCATTGAGATCCAATTGCCTGCGGAGTTGCAGCCGGCGGAACCTGCTGGACCCATGCAGGCCATTCTTGGCCACTTTTGGCTCCTGGCGCGAATCATGATATTTGCTTATTTCCTGTTAGGCTCAAACATGGGATGGCGTCGACCATTCGTTTTGACAGTGATAGGCATTGGCTTCTGGATGATCCGCATGGGACTCTTTGGCGACGGTGGACTCCTTCGAAGATGGTGGGACGAGATCATGCAAGGCCCGCGACCTGCTCAGGCACGCGCTGCAGATGGTCAGGCTGATGGGCAAGGAGCGCAAGACGGAGTCGGAGCAGCGCGCCCGGCTCGCATGCCTACTCCCGAAGAACTTGCGCAGCGTCTCTTGAATCAAGCGGCGCGCGGGAACGGTAACGCCGCCATGAATCCTCAAATGCGCTGGCTACGAGAGCAGGTAAGGCCGGCCGAACGAGCTGCTGCACTGTTCGTCGGAAGTCTATGGCCTGGAGTCGGCGAAGCAGCTGTACGAGCCAGAGAGCAAGAGGAGCGTAGACTTGCAGAAGAGGAGATCGCAGCGCGTAGGCGAGAGGAGGAAGAGCGACAGCGCGAGAATGAAGCGCGTGATGTCAAAGAAAGCGAAGGTTCCAAGACTGAAGAGAAAGCGACGCTTGAACAAAACAATGCAGCGTCCAGCGCTGCTGTTGACCAGAGCTCCCAGGATGCCGGCACTGTCAGCGCCGCCACCACCGAATCATAAGCTGTCGGATGATGACGTTGCACGTTGTGCACACATTACACGGCTGTACAAACCACGAGTCATTCGCCCAACACATGACGATTATTTGAGACTCAATTTAAGGGTCGTTCAATATCCTGCAATACACTCGTACATCGGAGAATTGCCCTCGGCGAACTTGACGCAAGTTTGGATGGGAAACATCCCCGTACGACCGGCGTCGTCTTTCATGGCTGGAAATCCGTTGTCCTGCATTTTCACGACAGTCGCACAAAGTCAACACGTGCAGGGGTCACGATTCCGGACACGAGATACAAGGCTTTTGGAATTTCGTCGTTTGCAACCTGACAAAGAACTGCGTCACCTTTTTTCTCGAGATTCATGCCGCTTAAGCTGTCGACCTGCCGACTTGTTTGACAACAAGCTTAGATCGGGACTTTAAGCGGACCTCTTCCAAGGCGTTGTGCCTGAATGCTCGCCTGACGACACCAGACGCCAAGCATGATACACAGCTCTCGGAAGGCCGTTTCGGAAGATGAATAACCCGGAAATTATCAAGACATTGCCCGTATAATCGCTGAACCACCTGCTATCTACGGCCAGTCACCAATACGGCTTTCACTGCCTTCTCCGAGTGTCCAATGAGCCTATGTTGCTGTTCGGGAAACCGGTTACGAGATTGATCCCGCACTTGAGAAAAGAAGGGCACTGAGCACTCCGTTATCTTCTCAAGTATATTTGACCGTCTTCACGCATCGAACGTATTTAGCTGTGCCGCATGACACCCCGTCATTTCACCCCAGTACGAGAGTATATATATAGGTCATCGAAGCCCTGTTGAGGTCATCTCGACGTCGGAGCAGGACGACAATATCACAATTACCGCGCGTACTCTCTTGACGGCTTCGATCAGAGTGAAGACAAGATGTTGCTTCTCAGCACCCCTGACAATGACGCCCTGGAGCCATTAGCCGGCAAAGCTATATTATCATTTCTCCATCTACCGATCGAGATACAAGATCTGATCCTACGCTTTGCTGTCACGGAAGATCATCCGATCATCATGGATTCCTCCTTCATCTCCCCTAATGGCGTTACTGTGGAACAATCACGACCGAGCAAACCCCTCAACGGACAGGCCCATCAAAGAGCTGCCAGCCGTCATCCTACAATTTTACCTCCAATCACCCTCGTCAACCGCCGTCTCCGCAATCGCTCCCTCCCCTTCTTCTACCGCCACAACACCTTCGTCCTCGTCATCCGCCACACCGAAGCCGCTCACAGGCAACACCACCTTACCTCTCCACCGCCGGCGCGATCCACGCAGCCATCACACATCAAAGACAAATCGCCCCCCGAAACCTACAGACCCTCCTCTCCACTACACAGCCGCCCGCCTCTTCCAGACATCCCCTCCATCCGCTTCATCCGACAAATCGAGACCGACGCCGTGATGCGACGAAATCTCCACCATATCCGCATCCGCCACATCTTCCGACGGGTAGATTTTGAGGTGGAATTCGAATGCTTCGTACCGAAATCCTCGAATGTGCCTCCATCAGCACCGCCCATTCCCCCGCCGGCACCACCACCATCATCACCATCATCTCCGCCCCGCCCGATCCACGACCCCGACCACAACGGATCCCTGAATTACCGCATTACCCGCGTCCTCCCGCACAGCGCGGACGGCTGGGTGTACGGCTACGTGCGGCGCGCGAGGCTGTTCCTGATGCTGTACAACCGCCCGGATCGCGGCCGCGCGCGGGGAGAGGCCGGTCCGGCGGGCGGTTATTCGACGGGGCAAGGAGCGGCGGAAACGGGGAATGCGCTGGAGATGAGGAGCGCGGACGGGGATCGCCCGGGTGCTTCTACTTCTCCTTCTTCTTCTTCTTCTTCTTCTTCTTCTTTTTCTTTTTCTTCTACTCCGTGGAGGAAATTGGTTGATGTCAAGGGCTTGGTGCGGTATGATTGGAATGTGAGATGACATGTGTGTATAAGTATATGTGAGAGAGAGAGAGAGAGGGAGAGAGAGAGAGAGAGAGAGAGAGAGAGAGAAGACGGCGGTACGAGATCCCGGTATGATTCGCGATGTAAACTCGGTGAGGCGCTCTCTTTTTCCTTTTCCTTTTCCATTCATTAGACGAAGAAATGACCCAAGGGAGAATCCCCACCATCTTTTTTTCAAAATTCTCAATCATGCTTCTCTTCTGTTGCTGTCATTCCTCCCTCTCCTCCCCAGCGCTGGAAGTCCACGCCACATCTCCCAGGAGCAGCGGAACGGACGGGAGAGGTATTTGCACGTACCGGACGAGGCGAGGACTAAGATTGGGGGGATTAGAATTTCGATTTGAATTTCTTTTTTTTCTATAAAAGGAAAACTACGACTGATGGGGACGATCTCTCACGTGGGCTGTTCCTAACCTCATAGTACTCTTTCCCTCACAATTTCCCTCTCTTTCCGAAACCATTCCTCCTATTTTTAGGGAGGGGGGGGGGGGGGAAGGACTATGCCGACCGACTCCGCGCTATGCATGCGATTTGATTCCATGACTTTCCTTTTCTTTTTCTCTTCGTTTCATTTCATTTCGTTTCGTCCTTCTGGGAGGGGGTTTCCCACCGAGACGGGTTCGCCTTCGGCCCCTCGGGTTTGTTTACCCCCGACTTTCTGCGGTGGGGGGTCGTTCCGATCCGATGTCATGCCCTGTCGTCCACGTTCGGAACACCCCTCCGACGGTTCCCGTCATGAAGCGCGGGCGTCCGTTCCCGGGACTTCGTCGCCGTCCGCGGCGGCGGCGGCGGCGGAGGATTCCGCCTCTCCATCAGAGTCATCAGAAGGCGATGACATGGCGCCCGTCTTCCCGGCGTCGTCGGAGAAGAGCTCCACCGTGGCGTTCGTCGCCGGGGTAAGCACCGGCGATGCTGCCGCGCCCGCCGCCGTGGCGACAAGGTCCACGTCATACATCGCCGGGACCTCCAGTGCGCCAGTGGCGATAGGCGAGAGGCGGGACGCTGCGCTGCTGCTGCCGCCGCTGAGCAGGCCGAGGTAGAGGACGAGGACGCCCAGGACGAAGATGATGACGTTCTTGCGGTCTTGCGCCAGCAGGAAGAGGTAGTTTCGCAGCAGGATGGAGAGCGGGATGTCGGCGGGTCGGCGGTAGATCTCGGGGAGGCTGAGGCGGGGTTTGCGGCGAGGGGTGGTGTTGTTGGGGTCGGAGGAGGAGGCGTGGGCGGGCGAAGGGGAGAGGTGGCGGTCGGGATCTGCGGCGGGCGGGTCGAGGGCGAAGTCGCTGGACGTCGGGCCGCGTCCCTCGCCCGCCGTCCGGGCTTGTTCCTCGAGGATGGCGCGGATCCGGGATTCCTCCTGCTCGTTCAGGAGGTCCTGCGCCGCGTCGGCCTCGGTCTGCGCCGCGTCGAGCTGTTTGCGCAGGTCCGCGTCGATCCAGGGGAAGATCTCGACGTCCACGCGCTCCATGTCGGACCATGCCGCGGCCCACGCCGAAGGCCCCAGCAGGCCGTTCGCCGCGAAGATCTTGACCGCCCAGACCTTTTCGCCTGCCGCGCCCGACTGGGCGGGCTTCATGTGTTGGTGGCACGTGGAGCAGGTTTCGATGTCGGAGCCGATGGCCGAGTCGCTGTCCTTGACGGAGCTGACGGAGGACACAGCGGAGCTGACGGAGTCGCGGGCCCGGAAGTGTCCACATTTGGTGACGCGCTCTTTACTCAGCTCGAGGGACTGCAGCAGGCGTTCCTCGAGCAGCTCATATTCCCCCTTGGGATGCTGGATGAGGATGCCTCGTTGCGCCACGGTCTCGGAGATCTTACATCGCAGCAGTTCCAGGTTGTCGAGGATATTCTGCGGGAGGAGCCTGCGCAGGACTTCGGGGCTCCAACGGATATCGGCCGGGAGGAGGGTGACGTGGAGGAGGACGAGAGGGTAGTCGCGAGATTCGTCGTCCTCTTCGGGTAGACGTCGTGGCTTGGGACTGCCTTTGATGCTGGACGGTGGAGCTGAGCGTGGTGTGCCGGGACGTGATCGTGTTTGGTGTAGTACGGATCGGCGGGGACTGCGCTCAAAGGGTGTCGGCGAGGTCATCTGCATGCGGCGGACGGAGGACGGGCGTCGGAATGCTGCTCGAACGGACTGGGGAGAGTACGGGTGATGTAAAGGCGTGGTCCGGTCGTCGTGGTCGACGTCGTAGCTGGATTCGGGGAAGGATGATATTGAGGTGCTGGTGAGGATGGATGCTCTCCGAGCGTTGTGCAGGTCCCCATCCTCGTCGCCCTGGACGCCGCTGAGTGGTGAGTCGGTTCGCTCATAAGGTTCGACGAGCGTGTCGTCGCCTGCCGCAAAGTCCTCTACACTGTACTCGTCGTCTGGGATGGACGGAGTCGCATTGTGTTTGAGCGTCGCGACCCTCGACAGCTCGTCAGTGGGTCCACGATGATCGGGGTCTGAAGGTTCAATGTGGGGCGGAGGAGGAGCGGCCGAGCGAGGGATCTTGGTAGGTTTCGTGGTGGTGCCGGTTGCGCCGGCGACGTCTTCGTAGATTGTGAATCGCGGTGCTTTCGTTTGCCGAGCCATGGTGGGTGTCGACGCCGGCGAGGAAGATCGACAGGTTCGACCCGTACAGGACGGACGATCAGCGACAATAAACAGGCAACGGGGGTTATAGCATTATATTTTCTGAGATCGGAGAGAATGTCGCCGCTTGTGAAGAGTGAATGTTCGGTAGACGACGATATGCCCCTAGACTAGCCGTGCGTTGGGAGAGAGCGAGAGAGAGGCATCAATGCAGATGTTCACGGTTGCATGTGCATATGCAGCAGCAGCAGCAGCAGCAGCAGCAGCGTTTACCGGTGCGAGTCGTCCGTGGCTGGGAGCGACATGTGCGTTTTTTCCCTTCGACTCATGCAACTCATGGATCCATTCCTCTCCCTCCAATCGGCGGTGTGTGTTTAGCGTTCTGCTGGCACGTTGGGCGTCTACCGGGAGAGAAAGACGGGAGTAGTCTGGAGTAGTGAATTGGTGCTAATGCAGCAGTGGAGAAGTGGAATGAATGGCGATGCGGTGTATTATTTACTTACCGTGCTGCAGTCCAGACACAACGGCGGTAATAAATTTCGATGAGGGGTCACCGTTTCCGCAACAACGCGACCGAAAACTGTCGGCACCCGCCCGCGCCCGTCTACAGAACACTCTTCGGTAAAACTTGTAAATGTACACATCCCCGGCTGTCTCTCCAAGGCATATATATCGTGGCAAACATCTCCAGCATCGATTCGGCGCATGTTCTCCGATGTCGTAAGCACGCAACTCTCTGCTCTGCAGCGCTTCCGCTGAGATGATGCGACGGGGACTCTTTGTGTCGGTATAAACACCCCAACAATGCCACGATGGAAATGCACGAGACACACTGCCTCGAGTCTCTCGTTCTCCACGATTCGTTCATTATATTGAATTCAAGTGAATTGAAGTGCATGTTATATCTGGGCGTACATTGCGGTCTCAAAAGATTGCAATCGGTGCTATACCAGATCCACGCCCGGTGCATATAGTGCGTGGCAGCAGCGTCGTGCAAGAACAGGGCAACTCGGAAGACCGGCTCTCCAATCGGCCTTCTCTGTCCACGGACGCTGCAACAACTCATCAGCAGACTGTCTTTCCTCAGGATCCCACTGTATAGCGAGCGCAATCAAGGACGTCGAAAAAGAGCAGCGTCTCCTCCGTGGCGTCCATTCGATCCTTGAGGAGGAGACAATTCGACAGAGAATGATGACTAATAGCGAGTGAAACAGCCCGGATTGCCCCTCCGGAAGCTCCTCTGCAAGGATGTTGGCTCTCTTGGGAGACGACCTCGCTGTATGGAAAGTCGATCGCATTCTCTGCTTCCTTCCTTTCTCCAGTGCCAATGAGGCGACGATCCAGAGCGTATACTCATACCATACTCTCCTACAAAACAATCGTCTTCTTGGCTTCGCTCGGAGAACGACTCCGCCGTGAGTCTTGGGTTACCCGGACACGGCACTCCAACGACGGATCGTAAAAAGCCAGCTTCCTCCCGCGACACGATCGCATATTTGCCTGTAGATGTGAAAATTCTAGCCTGACATCTACCTGAGAAAGAGAGGACGGGAGAATCATTCGTTATCATTGGTGATGAGAGAATTGGAAAGGGTGAGGTAGGCAGTCGAAGGGGGGTATCTAATCGAAAGAAAATCATATCATATCGCAGCGGGGACGCGCGAGCCCATTTGGAAAAAAGAATCCCGCGTACTGAAGCCCGATGAGAGTGCCCGAGGCCCAGAGACCAAGAAAAATCGATGATCGGGGAAAAAAGGAGAGAAAACACCATCGTCCCTCATCCACGGCTCCGAAATGGAGACATCCCACTCTCCATCCCCCAAATCCATCGATTCCCGGATTTCCTTCTCACAGCCATTCCTTCAGGATCGTCGTGATCCGCATCACCCTCCAGGAGTAACAGTGCAGCTCCGACCGCAGTTCCTGCACGGCCGCGGCGTGTGCGCGCGCCGCCGCGCTGCCGCCACAGGCACCGGCGCGGGCGGTCTTGCGGGGACTGCTCAGTCGCGTCGGACGGTCCGGGGAAGATGAAGCGGAAGAGTATGGAGATTGTACGGCGGCCGCTGTGCTCGAGGATCTCGGAGGGAAGGTCCCGGCGGAATCGTCGGCGGGAAAGCCACCGCCGCCGCCGAAGGCGTCTTCGCGCTCGGCGGTGTGCAGGTATTCGACGAGCCATTTCGCCATGATGATCATGTTGCTGAGTAGGTTCCGCACGGAGGGCTGGTGGGGCCGGAGGGCGTCGGCGGTGGCGGTGCGGTGGGACTGTTTGGCGCCGTTGCCGCTCAGATGGAGGGTCGAGGAGGGGGAGGGTTTGTTCGTTGAGCACGGTGGGGGAGGGCAGGTCGATTTGATGGTGACTTCCAGGAAAACCTGGAGGTCCTCGAGGGTGTGCAGGCCCTGTTGGAATTTGTGGCGGATGTGGGTGAAGAGTTGCTGTTGTTGTTGCTGTTTCGCTGTGGAGGTGGCGCTTGATGATGAGGTGGAGGATGTTGTTGTCGAGGTGGAGTTCGTGGATAGGCGCCGGTCATGATCTGGGCTGTCGGGCGACGGGGAGGAGAGATGGCTGCTGTAGGGACTGTTTCGAATGCTGCTGTTTCTGGGACTGTTGCTAGATCTTGAGGACGCGCTTGGTGCGGAGAAGTGAAATCGAATCGGTGTCTGTCGGGTAGGCGAGTGCCATTGCGGAGTAGGTTTAGCCATGTCGCCGGCCGAAGATATTTGAGACTGTCGATCAGGGCGCTCGCCGGTCACGTTGCTGGGGATGATGGAAACGACCGTGTGGGATTACTTGTGTTTGTTGATATGAGGTGGATGTTGTTGCAACGAGCGTGGGCGACAAGGCAGTCGATGGTGAGAACGATTGTGACGGATGTGCTGTGATTCGAAGAACGGCGCGACGATCATTCTTTATTAAAAGTTACGACGGTGAGGGAGAGGATATATGCCGACGGTGACCCGGTGGATAGAGTGTCGTGTCAAGAGTCTGTCGGCGAAAGCGGCACGAGCAAGGTGAATTGAACCCGGAGAGTACCAGAGGACAGACAAGAGTAAGCAGAAACGGGCAAGGAGAGATGAAGATCCAGTGAAGGCTTCGTGGTTCAACGGACGCGGATCCGCAGAAATGGAGAGTGTTGAGGGTGAGAGGTGAATGACGTCTGGGTGAGCCGGAGGTTATCACCAACTGTTGAAGCCGGGGAGTTGATGCGCCACAACCGGATTAAAAATTATGTTGATGATGGTAATAAAAATACATGTCCCATACAGAAAATGGAGTTGGTGATGGAAGGTGGAGACGGTGATGATAATAAAGAAGGGAGACGACCGTCTTCACCACTAGTAGGAAAATGCATGCACATGCCGTCGACGAGTGTTGCACTCTTGAGGGTCGGTCGTCGCCGCGTAGCATAGAACCCACAGGATGGCGCTCTCAGCCCGTGTTGAATCTCTGTGCGTCGTTCCGCGGTCTCGTGATGGAGAGTGATATCAGGCACACCCCTCGAGCACAGAATACACACACTTGCAACCTGAGCGCCTCAAGACGTCGGCGCAGGGGAAACCCACAGATGTTATGCATGATGATTATTAGCAGCGCAGAACATTCACACTCCTCCCTTTGGCGGCTTCTCCTTATTATTCTTATTATGGTGTTGGTCGATGTGCGATGTGCATGTCGCTGTGAGGGGCGACATGGAGGATGGAGTATGGGGTCATGCAGCATGTAAACCTTCCTAGGTTGGAGGTAAGTACCCGATACATCACCTGGAGCGAGCTAGTAATGAGACTGCTGGCGTGAGGGCTGCTGCTGCCCTCGAAGCGTGTGGCTGCGAACAGTGTCGACCTCCCTCAAGCGGGCGTCCATGTCTCCCTGTGCGCGATGAATCTTCGAAATGCTGCAACATGTTCCGAGCGCACGTGTTTCGTCTGGAGGTGCGCCTGACCGCAGGCCCCGACGCTGGAGCACGACGAGCGTCTGGCGATTCCCGGTTTCATCGCCAGCGCAAGCGACTGGTGATCCAGCCCTACGACGAGAAGGATGCAGATTGGTGACAGGGTAACATGAAGAGGGCCAAAGTCTATCCCGGTAGTCGCGATACGGTATGATCCAGTGTGGGTTCGCATGAGGCACAAGCGAGAGTAGCAGATGAGGTGAGGATACGAACCCTCGAATAGCGCATCAGGGGAGATGAGATCCCCAGGCACGCGGATCATGATACACACCTGCGGGCAAACACTGTATCTCTTGCATAGCCAATCATCTCCGCTCATGTGGGTAATTTCTCCGATACGAGACGCTAGAACGACCACCATAGTAAATATCACAAACATCACCAGACAACGACATGGACGTCTTCACGATGCTCACACACATAGCCATCATGGAGAAATGATCACATGACAGTGAGCAGAGGTCTCGCTCTCGGCGCAGTGACACATTGTCCATCCAACGACCGCCTCCCAAATGGGTAGACGAGTTAAGCTGGAAGCTGTATATTACTCATCAGATACGACGTTGCAACCCTCAGACACCATGGTGTCTGGCAAAGCACGCCCGTAACCCAGTATCTATTGAATTTTCGAAGAGCCTCATCCGTTATGCCAACCGTGTCCTCGATGCAGGTACGCAACGTTAAGCCTTAGGAACCACGGAACCGATCACACACAACTGCAGGACAGTGCATACAACACCACACGAGCCACGTCCACGACCATCCCATCTCCCATATATCTTCCATGTCGCGACGTCTCTCCCCGAAGAATTCCCTCATGCATGTATAGCCACGTACGTAACTGTGCCGTTCTCTCAAACCTACCATGTGTCATTGTCCATCCACCCATCCCATCCCGTGCCTCCCTTGGCTCGGAAAGACGTCTATATCGATCCCCGAACTTAGAACACAGCAGCGAGACGTTTCGGCTCTCGCTCGATGGATGACGACAGGGAAAACATCGTCATCGGAGGCTCATCAACGATGATGATGGCCGATCACAGGATCAACTGCTCTCCATCGGTTGAGATCATGCTGTATATCTCTGCGGGATTGTGTGTGACGTGCATGTTGGTATGCAGTGCATTGGACTTCCTACCGCGCCGGCCGGCCCAGCACTCATCTCGCCGTTTGCCTTCCTCGCGTATGATGTGGATGCGCCCAGCGAGACGACGGCGGAATTGTGTCGGTGTCGGCATCGATACGCGCGCCCGGAGGTTCTGTCGTCATCGTCATCGGGTAAGTCAGAGCGTTTCTAGCGGAAAGCGCTCGCGACAAGATAGAAAAAGTGTGGGCATATATTCATCATTAATAGATCCATCATACTAGGTAGGTGTGCAAAGTATTCAAACGCAAAAGCAGGGTCATCGTCATCACTTCACGGATCGACTTCCTTCCTCCCACCCCACCATCCTTCTCCACACAATCATCGCAAACACATCAGAACGTCCTGGCGAACAGCCTCCTCAGCGGCCCTTTGCTCAACCACCTCCACTGGCTCGGCGGCAGGACGACCTGGGTCGCGACGCGATCATGCTCGAGCAATCTCTGCTCGTAGCCTCCCGGGGCGAAAACGTCCTCGGGTAACTCCCGGACGTCCTCATGCAGCCGATCGTCGCCCTGATACTTCCACACGATGGGCGCGACCGCCGGCCTGGTCCCCGCCGTCGCCGAAGCCAGCTGCTCGCCGAACGTCTTGCCGTCGACCGGGCTGATCGGCGTCATGGGCAGGGTTTCCAAATCCGCGACTTTCGGCTGCGCCGTGTCGCCGGCGTAGAGGCGCCAGCCGGCGAGGGGCCCCGCGCGGCGGAACAACGCGCTGGGCCGTTGCGGGTCGTATTTGGGGACGGTTTTGCTGAAGGTTATGAGTTGCCAGAGGCGGTGGACGACCTTCTGGTAGAACACCCGCGGCTCGATGTCGCGGCCGCCGAGGGCGATGCGCGCGCGCACGCTGGCGTGCACGGTCTCGCGGGTGTTGTGCAGGAGCTGGTCGGGCTTGATCCGGCCGGTGACGTAGTCGGTCTTGTGGTAGCGGCCTGGGCGCCGGAAGCGTTTCCCGGCGAGGTTCTGGGGGAAGGTGAGCGTGTTGTAGAGTTTGCCCATGGCCCAGCCGCGGTAGACGGTCGAGAGGGGCTCCGGGAGGGTGTTGTAGTAGTTGGTCGTGTGCTTGAAGCAGAGGTCGATGTAGGCGTCGTCGAATTGGATCCAGTGACGGGATTGGAATTTGGAGGGATCGGGAAGGTGCTTGCCGGACATGTGGTCCATCATCCAGGCGAGGGTGAGGTCTGCTGTGCCGTTGTCGTCGACGCTGCCACCGATGTTACCGTGGGCGCCGGGAAACCAGGCTTGTTTGAGGAAAGTCGTGGTGTTCTTCGAGTTCAATTCCCAGACTGCAGGAGAGTATGGCGCGCGATGCTCGTCGAGCGCGAGCGCTTGGAAAGCATGGCGAACACGAATGTCGAGACGGGTGTCGAACCATCGGTAATCTCGGAGGAACGCCGGCAAGCCGAAGGTCTCTTGCAAAATTGGGTTGATGGGAATGCCGAGCGCGCCAACAGTGTCCCAACAGCCGATAGCATCGATCTCAGCCTCCTGAGTCAGACCGAGGGACAGAAGATGTTTGCGGTATTCAAACATGTAATTGTCGATCCCCGCTTCACTCCTGTCGTGTGCGAGCGCAATCGGGGGTTGGTTCTTCCTGGCGTCGATCTCCTGGTCCGGGTTCGCTTGGACGTACGCATTGATGAACATCGGCTCGTGATCATCATCGCCAGCCCGCTCCCAGTCCATGAAGCACTCGTAGAAATGTGGCAGAGCCTTTTTCGTCAGGATGCCCACCGCCGCGATAAAACCACCGAGACTACGCGCCGTGAAAGCTCCGCGAGAAAAGCCCATCAGGAAGATGGAGTCGGGCTCCTGAGCGGGATCACGAGGCGAGTAATTCGACGCAAGGAAAGCGTATGCCTCCCGGATATTCTCCGAAAGGCCGACTCCGAGTCCACCACCCGCCAAATGATTGTACAGACCAATTCCAGTCCCAAGACCGGCCTGGTAGTAAACAATTTGCGGGTGATGGTCGTCGTCTTCAGATTTGATGGCACGCGCGATTCGCGTCACATTGGAGGGATTCTGAAGCTTCCCGGGTTGTCCCCAAGAGCCTTTCTTCCATCCATTGTCACGGTCAATCCATGTGCCTGTTCGTCCATTATCAGCGACGTTGATTTTGCTATGAGCAACAGCGCTGGTTACTACTGACCGTCGCAGCAGACAATGAGCTTCTTGGGGTTTCTCAAGCCCATTTTCTGGCCCGCTGCCACCTCCGCAGGGCTGGTCCCGGTGTCACCTGAAGTCGCCATTGCGCGCTGGTGGTTCTAAGCGGTCGTCTCGCGTCTGTTCTATCTCTTGGATCTTGAAGTATATGGCCAAAACGATGTTGATTATATCGTCGCGCACCGGGAAACACGCGCCAGGTATTCCGCAAGTCTCACAGCAGGTGTAGAAGATCAGACCACGAGATGCAAGCCCGCAATGGCACCTGCAGTTTATGCGACAGAGCCAAGAGAAAGAGTTAGTGAGCCAAGGGAACCATCACCCGATATTATGTATCACTGCGATTCGAGGCGTCCTACGGATGCATACATCTACGTATACAAAGAAACAGCGTGGGATCGACATTCAGGCCGATATGTCACCGCCGTCCCTAGCGATGGGTGGTGGCGCGTGGCCTGCAACCTCCTTCTCGCTCTTTTCAAGTCGATCCAGGGAGGGAGGCAGATCTGACGTTAGCATGGGATGTAGCGCGAACGGCCATCATGACTTATTATTACTAGAAATAAACCATTGCCAGCACAGGACTGCTGTGTCGCATATGCGATGCGGCGCAGCAGCGCCTACAGGCGAAAAGACTCCGATCTGAGCTCGGAATGGATCCTGCGCAGCTCACGTGTAAAAGACCAGACGATGACATTCCGATGCCATGAATATCGAACCTGGCAGCGACGACATGTATGTAAACGCCGACAACCCAAAGGGACCCAGAAAGCCTCTGGCTACCTCTCGCTTTGGGCAGGCCGCTGAGGTCATCACGCTCATCGTCATCGTCACAGTGATGAAGGGTGCACGCGCACCAGGAGGAGCCCATTCCTGCCCCAAATCCGGCGAATGAAGCGTGGACAACGTGCACATGCAGGCGGCTACCCGTTAGTAGTCAGGGAATAGCGCGTGCGCAGCTGGACATCGGAATCAGGATAGTTTGGTAGCGGTGGGCGCCGCCCGCTTGCCCCTTTGGCCCCCTCCATCAGCTGCCCAGGTGTGTGGGCATCGTGCCCTGTCGTACCCTGTCGTGCCCTGTCTTCCAGTTGTGGGAGCCACTTGCACTGCGCACATCCTACCCGGACCATCAAGATGTGCGATGTATAATAGTAAGCTGACAGGCCCGCCACTGCCACCGTCGACGACCTCAGATGGACAACGGTGCTGCTTGCCGTCCACGATGAAGGCTTTCTCATGCTGACGCGCGACCTAAGACCATTTGGCAAGTCTTGAGTGAGAGCTGCAGAGATGACTAGCATACGCTGGCCTAGCGAAATGGACACTTTTGTTTTTGGCTCATGAATGATCTGTTTGCCGTCTGTTGGGTCCTATTCTCGATTTCAAAACGGAGCACAAAATTTCCAGGCCGGCATGCATTCTTTTCTTGCACACGCAAGTGGTAGTGGTGGAGGTAGGTGTTCAAGATGAACAGCAGAGGTTGACCGTCGAAGACAAAGAGAACAATGCTACGCAGGAAGCATAAAGAAGAGTTCCTTGAGATCAATTTCCTTGCTCTTTCGAGACAACTCCAAGCTGCCCTGGTTCAGTCGCCGAAAATGATAAAAAGTTATGAACTCGACGTGTCCTGTCCGTGAAGCAAACCTGTGGTGGTCTTGCGAAACGTACGAGCGCGAACCGGCTTGAAATACGGACCAAAGAGTGCACAGTCTGAGTTCTGCTCTCTGTTTTACACGTACGCAGACAGCGAAATCGACGAAGATGGACAAGACGCGGAATATGAGCAGGATGCCGAGGGCAAGCCTCGACGAAGCGATCGTGTATTCAAGCGTAGTCAGGTTGAGCGGACCGTACGTCTCTAAAAGGAAGTTCAGACCATACAACCGAATGCCTTCTCTGCGGATCCATAAGAAGAAGAACCAGAGAGGTAAAGGTAAGTGGGGAGAATCTAAACTGTTTGAGATATCATAATTTGAGACGCAACCTGTAATTTGAGCGCGAGTCATAATCTTTGTGGAACCCACGTCTCTTCCTCGCATTTCCAACCTCCACGAGACCTCGATTCGCTCCGCGTGACCAGGCAACAACAAGCAAGGTGTGGCGACGACAACGATTCAGAAACAGAGCTGCATGCACATGCCATCAATGCGCTGCCTCACTTGCAACTCGACTAATCTCGATCCGTCTCTCCCCAGAGTGTTTGCGGAGTACTGTCTCCGAAGGACAGTGCGGCCTCACTTTGTTGAACCGTAACACAGACATTCGCTTACTTGGACCTTGGGGCGCAGGGCCATTCTGCAGCTTGGCGCTTGCAAAAGTCCTTCGGGACGCGTCTGTCCTTCATGGCGTTTTCAATCTTCGTACTCCTGAATTACAGGTTCCTACATGTATTTCTCAACATATGCATCCTTCGGAATGTCGGCGCATCTTGGCAGCGTTCTTTCTGGCCCCGTCTTGATCTAGGGTCAAGCGTTGGACTTCAAGATTCCGATTTCTGTAGGTCCGCTCGTTGCCTTCGAGACTCCTCGATACCGTTGATTCGTTCTTCGCCTCGTTTTCTCCACGCCGAGATGGAGACCCTCCCAAAGGAAGACCCTTCAGGATGCTGCACTAGCTAGAGCATCCCCACACTCGGACTGAACTGAGTTTCACCATGGCGATGAACATCAGAAGCGTTCTTTTCTTTGCAAAGAACAAAGCAAAGAGCTCGCATTTGTGTTCCGCTTGAGGGCCCATCGCACGACTGCTCTTGCAGCTTCCATTTTCGAAGCATGCCGGTGGTCCCACCCAGATACAACGAGAAGATACTGTCCTTCGAATCACAGCAGGTGTGTGCGAATTCGAAACCAAGGTCATGCTCACGGCGTACACAAACCACGGCCCCGTTCCTAGTATGAAGGACCCTGCGCCTCGTTTCATCGCGCAAATCTCGTCCTGCAGACCAGCTGTCGTACCTTGAGATGCCTCCGAGAGATGCCTAGGAGATATGCATGAAAGAAGATATAAAAGGGTGGGTGACTTCCCCTGATATTCTCATCTTTCAGAATCAAACACTTCCACTCTCTACTACAAACCATCATCATCATCACAAATCAACACCATCATCTCCAATAGACTTTGCTGTCTGATCACTACCACTCTCGATCATCACCATGAAGGCGGCCACCAGCATCATCCTCCTCACTACGGCTCTCACCGCCAGCGTCTCTGCCCTCGGCTGCTACGGCGGTGGGCAAGACATCAGAGCAGAAGACTTAATCTATCACTCCGGCCGTGCCTGCAGGGGCTACGACGGCAAGCCGGGCGCCTTCCAAGGCACCTTCGGCCCGGGTGAAACCAAGTCGGTCTGTGTGGACATTGGCGGCAACCGGGTCGACATGCAAGTGCATAACCAGAACGGCGGCGCATCCTTCGATATCAGGGACGACGACTGTGCCAAAGAGCTGGCGAATGTGGTCTACAGTTGCCAGTATGACACCTCCAACTCCTGGGGCGGAGAGTTCCAAAACTCGGGATGGTGGTTCAGGTATGTTGTCTCCCCTCCGAATTTCGAGCCGTTTTCCCTTTTACTGGTCCCGTCTGAATGCTTGTATCACTTATGGTGGTTTTTGCTGACTATCGGCTTTTACAGATTGGATCCCAACAGCGGCAACTGCCCGCACTAGGAGAGTAGCAGTTGGTTGGACTCCGATGCTCAAGGTATAAAGCACCGGACGGGTCTTCTAGAAAGAACAAGCGATACAGTTAAGCGCTGCAGTCAGCTTCTCTCTCTCTCGTTCCTTCCTAGTTATACATAAGGGGAGGAAGGGAAGCGAAAGGAGATCTGATGTTAGCATGAGACATAGCACAAAACGGGCAACGTAGAAAGGAAATCCATCATATTTGGACGGTGATGTCGCAGTGATAGTCCAGTTAGTGCGCAGATGCAACGTCTTTCAGCTGTGCGAAGCCACTTCTTCTTTACAAACGAGCACCATTATAGGCGATATTCGGATATTGAAGCTGATAGGCCCGTCACTGCCACCATTGACGGCCTGATATAGACAACGCTGCTGCTCGCCGTCTACGATGAGGGCTTTCTCGTGCTGACGTCCGACGGCTGAAGAGAGAGCTGTAGTAATATGTAGTATAACCTACTGTTCGTGAAGCAAACCTTTGTTGGTCTTCCATAACAATCTCGAGTGTGGGCCGGTTTGAATCATGGATTAGGGAGCCTGAAAATCTGGGCGAGCGATGTCCTCAGATGGATTCGAGCCTCATAGCAGCATATCTGGTATGATCTGAAAGATGGTGTGCTTATTCCGGGGCAGGGCGAAGTTGGAATAAATCCTGGTGGAGACTCATAGCGATTCTTGACCGACTTCCACGGCTTCTTGTACACGGAAACCCTTGGATTGTACTATCGACCTGGCCGATCGGTGAGGACGACGCTGGCCGAGTGTACATCCCGGCATCACTCGTCCATTACTATTTCTACACCTGCCAAGCGTAGTCGTCTTCTCGATTGGCGTCGAGTCAACTCCCGCTAGCTTCTCGCCTCTCTTCTATTCACGCGCGGACACCGAAATCGACGAAAATGAAAGGGAGGACGCGGAAGATGGGCAGGATCCTGAAAGCAAGCTTGAACGCCACAGCCAAAAGTTCAACTGTAGACAAGTGGAGCGGCCGCGCCACTATCCTCTGCGCATCTGTTGAAGAAGGATAAGAGAGGTAAACCGAGGAGGGGCTTGAGATTGCTGGAGGCACTACGATCTGAGACGGAAACGCTTTCCTTGGGCGCAAAGTCGTAAGGCTTTCTGTCAAATCCATACGTTCTTCATCATAAATTTTCGATACTTTGTGTGATCCTCTCTTCGCTACGCATAAACCGGCCAAACAACAAGCAAGGTGTGAGTGACCACCACCACAACAGGACAAACACCAAGGCCGGACGCCACGTACCAATTGATGCCTTATCTCACTTGCAGTTAAGATCTCTCTCTCTCTCCAGACATCTTCATGAGTTCAGCTGCCATCGGACAGACCGGCCTGATTGCCGTTTTCAAACGCCTTGAGACTAGCACAACATCCAGATAGTACGATGGAGAGCACACATGACCATACGAAGAGGCTCTTTCTCTCCATATACACCATTTTTCCATATATAATCACGGCGGGGAAGAGAGAGTGAGAGAAAGCCAAGTTACATCACGATCTCCGGGCGAAAAATCTCCAACAGCCAGCGTCCTGTTTCTTTTCTTCCCGTCTTATTGGAGATGCGGGACTCCCATTATTGTCTCAACGGAAGAGACATCGCGCTGGAGCAAGAAGAAGCATGTTGATGACGATGATGATTATGCAGGTATACCGGAACTTTGGAGAGCATGCAGAACAAAAGGGGTTACCGGAGCGGGATCCTTTATTTTGTGCCTCTCGCTCTCTCTCTCTCTCGGGAGAACTGCTATCTGTGTGAGTAAATTGATTAGTAGAGGGGGAAAAGAACCTTTCAAACCGATCTGTCCTTCCCTTCCTTCTTCTTCCTTCTCCTGTCTTCTACGCTTCTCTCCCCTTTCGCTTCCATTCACCCCTGCTACCAATAAGTACGTCTCTTGGAACAGATATTGGACCCCCTTCTCTCTCAATCATTTCAATCTACTCAATCCATGTATGTTTGCAAATGTACAGGGAGGTAAGATAGTATGTGAAGATAGTATGACGGGAAGGGGTAGAAGAAGACGAGAAAGGACAGTAATGTTTGTCGGATCTGTGCTGCTCATCTGGGATGAATAGGCTGTACAAAGTATTTGAGCTGGATCGCATATAGTGTAACAACCCGGAGAGTAATCACTCTCTGTCATGGACCTTTCGGCCTGAACCCACTCCAGTACTAGACATCCCTTATGAAAATTCATGTTCTGATATCATTCCAGGGTTGCCTCTAACGTCTAGTTCGAATCATTTGTACGAGTCATTTATTTCACTCGGTATTGGGTTTCGCTCTGTCTGGAATCGTCCATCATTTCCATTATGCTGACTTCCGAACCCCTTGAGCTCCCAAGACCACAGCTCACGACAGACCTGCGGAGGACATAAAACCTAAACGCATCTGTAGGATCCGGCAGCAGTAAGCCGCGGTCTCGATCCATCCCTCTGCTGAACGACTGCAGAATACTAGCCCCGAAGGACAGGACGGCCTCACTTTTTCAGACCGCGAGCAGTTCCCTCGTAATCAAAGAATGCGAGAGACGTGCAAAATGCGGCTAGTTACTTTGTAGAGAGTGCAGGTCACAGTCGTCCAATCTTGATCTTTGATATGTTAGTTGCGCCACTGTCGAAGCTTGTACGAACTCGTTATCATCTTCCCATTTTAAGATCCCCTTACAGTGCTTCCTCTGTGTAGCATTAAGGCGTCGGATCTGTAAGGAGAATTTGCGCTTAAAAAGGTCTCATTTAATATGCAGACATCAGATGTAAGAATACTCACTTCGGTAGAGTTGAATATCTCAGCTCCCACCGTCTCCAAATCGTATCACCATGCGGAGGTAGCACTGTAAAACGCATGTCTGGTTCATGTAGACACAAAGTTTCGCTTAATTAGACTTTGGGGCGCAGCGCCATCCTGCACCTTCGCGCTTACGCCAAGGAGATTCCTCGGGACCCTGAACGTCTCGTGCTTCTGTCCTGAATGCCTCCTCGATCTTCAATTACCCAGAGGTCCTGGTTCTCCATGTCCTTCTCAACAAGCCATTCTCCTGAATGTCTGTGGGTTCCAGCATTGATCTTCCTGATGATACCGAGGCACAGCAACCTTCATATCCAGAGTGAGGGCCAACACACCATCCTGACGGGTCTCCCTTTGGGATGATCTGGGAATTGGGGCTCGGCAGGGATACAGCGAGGCCGAGAACGAATCAATAACATCAAGGAGTCTCGAAGGCAACGAGCGGACAATCTCCACAGACCAGGGTCGCGAAGTTCAAGGTGTGGCCATGTATCGCAACATTCGTCGCCCAGACCGGCTGTCAATCCCGGAGGTGTACCTGGACGATGTCTTCATGAAAGAAAGATATAAAAGAGTGTAAATTTCCCCTCGATATCTTCATCTTATAGAATTCAAACACTTCAACTCTCTCATCCAACCAGCACCTTTAAACGTCGACTCCAATCAACTGCAACAGATTCCGTGGTCTTACTACCACTCTCAATCGTTACTATGAAGTTCACCACCTGCGTCATCCTCCTCACTACGGCCTTTAGCGCCAGTGTTTCTGCTATCGGTTGCTACAATCTCCGCGGACAACAGATCAAAGCAAGCGATTTGATCTACAACTCCGACCGGGCTTGCAAGGGCTACGACGGCAAGCGGGGCGCCTTCCAAGGTACCTTCGGACCGGGCGAGACGAAGTCAGTCTGTGTGAATATTGGCGACGACCGTGTCGACATGCAGGTGCAGAATCAGAACCGCGGCGCGTCCTTCGACCTGAATGACAACGACTGTGCCAAAGAGTTGGCCAGCGTCGTGACCAGATGCCAGGGTTCGGTTGCCGCTGGCGACTCTGTTGGTGGGGAGTTTCAAAACGCCGGATGGTGGTTCAGGTATGCATTTCTTCCGAGTCTATAGACCGTTCTTCCCCTATCACTGGTTCTGTAATATTTCATGCTTGTGGTCACTTGCTGGCGGTGTGTGCTGACCACCGGCTTTGCACAGGGTGGACCCCAACAACGGCAACTGCTAGAGGGCAGCGACTGGTTGGACTCTCATGTTCAGGGTGTGGCTGTGACGACCACGACAAGTCTTCCGAGAAGAATAAGAGACATAACTGGGCACTGCAGTCAGTCTCTCTTTCTCCCCCTAAGTTTTACATACATGGAGGTAGGGAGCGAGGACTGATCTGAGTCTGGGATACAGTGTAAACGGTCATTGCAACCATCAACAAACAGAAATAAAATCCATTATCATCAGAACAGTGTATGTCGACACAGCAGGTAATGGTCAAGTATGCAAACATTTTACATCGATTCGAATGACTTATTGAGATAATTCCGGGCTGATGTAACTTGGAGCTACATAATACACGTGATGATGGATCTGATTTCAAGAAGCCGCTCTTAAAGCGAACATCGCCTCGGATGACGCCGGAGGCAGGATTTGATGTTTCATGCAGGACATGGTTGAGGATCTCCAAGGGTGCTAGAGACAGGAGAGCGTTTATACAGAAAATGTGGCTGGCTACTTGAAGTCTCCGCAATGAGGCCGGTCTGGTTAATGCAAGTGAACCAAGTGACGATGTCGAATAATGGTCAGATTTGAGGGACAGCTCATGCCTCGACGCCCTGACACTCAAATATCCGGCGTCGCAAAGTGATGAATTCCAAGCGCAATGTTAGGCTGCTTCGCGTGATCCGATATTCCCTCTTTAGCCAGAGCGATGAACAAAGGTAGATCTACGTCGTACTCCCAGTGGCGTCATGTTCGGGTTATATGTGATTTCTCGAGATTTGGAGTCATTCTTTTCAAACTTCAGCCGCGGCGGAGACGGCATCCGACTATCGCGCCTGATGTTCGGGCTCCTTTCAGAAGCGCGTGCAATATGTCGTGAATCTGGTGAATGCCAGCGAGGACTTCCTCTGCCCATGAATTCTGCCTCCCGCTTACGTTCGTAGATGGGCCAATTTTCGTAAAGATCTCCATGCGGCGCTCGTCTCGGACTGGCGCTTCGAGGAGAAGGCGTGTACCGACGCGACGATCCTCTGTCATACCCACCGGCAAATTTGGAAGGTGTTCTCATCTCGATCAAAGGACCGAAACCAACAGAGGTAGGATGACCAGGCTCCTAGTATGGTCGTCCGCCTCGTCCTCCGCCACCACCGTAGCCATTCCCTCGTGGACCATCGTATCCGCCACCAGGTGGTCGCTCACCGCGTCGCCAGTCCCCACGCGGCGGAGGAGGCGCGTTGTATGATCCACCGCCTCCTCCACCACCACCACCTCCTCCCCTATCGCGTCCACCGTAGCCTCCTCGGTACCCACCACCTCCCCCACCGCGTCCATATCCATTCTCACGTGGTCCTCCCGGGCCGCCATAGCTTCCGTTGCGACCACGCGAGCTAGGACCTGGAGGGACTCTGCCATCGGGACCAGGAGAAAGAATGCTACAAGCGATGTAATCGCCGATGACGAATCGAGCGCCAGCTAATGTCTTTCGCGCATCTCCCTCCAGGCTCTCCTTGGCCAAGCCGCCGCCGTACTCGTCGTCCATCTCGGCATTGTTACCTCCCACGACGACCGTGCCGAGCAATTTATCCGTCCAGCGTCCGCGGCCATCGCTACCCACCGGCGCCCGCGTGTCGGGGAAGACCAGTGAATAGACAAGCCGCGTGCCAACCGGTGGCGTGGTGAGTTTATTCGCGGCGATGAGGGCATTGGTGAACTCCGAGGTCAATTCCGCGAGAGTGCAGTCGGGCCAGGTGTAGATCTGCACGCTCTGTTGTCGGATCGTCTGTGGAAGGATTTGCGAGTAGTCTGCGAGACCGGTCGTATCGCTTGGCGGCGCGACGCTGAATTCCATCGGGTCGAAGGAGTTGGAACTTCGCCAGTAGAGACGCAGGAGAAATGGCGTCGTCGCGGCGCGATCAATGTCGGTACCTGCGCCCGGTTGCAGCGCCATGGTTGATGTGATGAATCGATTGAATGTGCGTAGGGAATCGAGGAGATTGAGTGAAACGCTTCGATGGCAATTCAAGCTGCTTGCGTAAGTGATTGAGGTGTTGACGATGTGGTGATGAAGTGAGCTTCGGTTGGTGCATTTGGGCTGGCCCTGCAGATTTTCCTCATTGAACGCGCCTGCCACGGAACTTCATCATATGTGAAACTCTAAACTATCAAGCTCGGTGATTGGTGGGCTGACAGCTCACGCTAGGCGCATGTCTCGATGTCCAATTTCTATAAGCATGAAACATACCAAGCACTGTCTTCACCTTCGATGTTCGAATACTTAAAAAGAAAATCAAATGCTTATTTAAAAACTAGTAAATCTCAAACATGGATTTCGCAAGTCTTATGAAATCTCAGATCTCCGGATCATCAACAACGAACAAAGATTCCGGTGGCAAGAAATATCTCAAACGATCTGATGTGGAGGCACAACGACAAGCACAATATCTCAAGGAGCAAGAAGATCTCGAACACGCCCGTCTCGACCGACTAGAAAAGAAACGCAAACGCGACGAAGAGGAAGCCGAACAGAAGCGCGCCCGCGAGGAGAAACGTCAACGCCTCGCCGAACAAAGCAAACGTCTCCGCGAGGAAGAAGCAGAGGCCGAAGAATCCGCTCGAAGGAGAAGACTAGGCCTGCCCGAACTCGAGAAACGACCCGAAGCTAGAAGCGAGGACGGTCTCCCTCAGGGCGAAGAAGACATCCCCGACTCCGACCTTCAAACCAAACTCCGCGACCTCTCCGAACCCATCATCCTCTTCGGCGAAACCCACAGACAACGCCTCCGACGCTACCGCAGACTCACCGCCAAAGCCCTCGCGCCCAAACTCAGCAACGGCCCCATCCCCACCACCCTCGCCCTCCTCCCGGAAGCAGAGATGAAAGTGCCCGACTCCGTGCCCAAGGACGCCGCCGGCCAAGCCCTCCTGGCGCGCCAGCTGGCCAGCTACTTCGACATGCTGCTGCGGGAATGGGACGTGGCGCTGTCGCAGCGCAGCCGCGAGGTGCAGCAGTCCAGCACGGGCAAGCAAGCGCACGGGTCGTACGTGGCGGCGCGGGGCAACCTGGTGCCGCTGTTCCGCAAGCTGGAGACGTCCAGCCTGGCGGCTCCGCTGCTGGCGGCGGTGCACGAGATCGTGCACCTCGCGCAGCTGAAGCGCTACGTGCACGCCAACGACGCGTACCTGCGCCTCTCGATCGGCAAGGCCGCGTGGCCGATCGGCGTCACCATGGTGGGCATCCACGAGCGCAGCGCGCGCGAGAAGCTCCACGAGACGGGCGCCGCCTCCAAGGCCCACATCCTGAGCGACGAGGCCACGCGGAAGATGCTCCAGGGGATCAAGCGGTGCTTGAGCTTCGCGCAGGTGAGGTGGCCGCCGGAGGATCTGGGGCAGCTCATGGGGTGAGTGGAGGACGAAGGGGAAGGCTGGTTGCGTCATCGTTTCTCTTCGTGTGTGTGTGTATGTGTGTTATTTACATATTTTCCTCCTCTGTCGGACGACGAACAAGATCCAATCCCTGTGGGGAAGATTCTCCTTTCGCCTCCTCATCATTTCATCGTGTCACAGAGGATCTCCACCTCTCTCCCGCCTTTTCCACGACGATGTCCTCTTCCCTTTTCCCCTCTCTTCAAAAAAAGAACCAAAAAGAGGAGGGATGTGGACCGCCACGTCCCGTGGAAAAAGTGAAGAAGTACAAAGGATGGCAGGAAAGCGGATCGAGAAAAGAAAAACAAGAAGGATAGGACAGAGAAAAGGGGGAGCTCTCGCCCAGCTCTCTCTCACTCTCTCGGAAAAAAACACCCGTCCAGGATTCCATCAGATCTTCTCAGCGGAGACAAAAGAGGGGGGAGAGAGAGATGAAGGTGTCGAAGATTTGAAATTTCGGAACAAAAGAAGAGAACGACGGGGGAGAAAAATAAACCCTTCCCCCCTTTGCGCCCAACAACACCAAGAAGGATTCTCCAACCCAAGAAAACCAATTCGCCATTTCCCCCTCAGAATACATCAAAGCGAAAGAATTTTAAATACAAAAAGAGAAAGAAAGAAAAAAAAAGAAAGCGGCTTCTATCCCTGCTTCGTCACTCGTTTTCTGCCATTCCCGTCTGTCCGTAGTGGAGGAGGATGCCACGTCAATTCCGCCGGAAGCCCGCCAGGAAACTCTTCCTCTTGCCCAGCCGGCCGCTCTTCACCGAGACCGCGTCCGCGGGGATCGCGGGCGGGGCCGGGGGCGCGGGCATGCGGGGGGTCGCGTTGACGGTGGATCGGCGTTTGGTGATGTTGGCCGCCGAGGAGGACGATGCGGCGGCGGCGGCGGCGGCGGATTTGATGTCGGCAATGGTGGTGGTTTGACCGCCGCCGGCGGGGGAGTCGAGGTAGCTGTCGTGGCGGCTGGTGGAGGAGGTGCTCTGGAAGGAGGTCTGCGGGTGCAGGATCTTCTTGGAAGAGATGGCCGAGGAGAGGGTCGGGGAGGCTTTGGGGTCGCTGCGGAGGAAGGAGAGGGCGCGGTCCTTGCGGGAGAGGGGCACGGTGGCGGTGTTGAGCTGCGGGAGTTTGGGGATGGAGGAGCTCGAGGTCGCGGTGGTGAGCATCTCGAAGTCTTGGCCCGAGAAGGTCTTGGGTCGGCCATTCTTCAGGCGGCCGTAGGCGGCGCCGATCTCGTTCCGCATACTATTTGAGCGGAGGCTGCTTTGGGAGAAATCGGTCTTGTTGCCCGAGTCGCCGTGGGATGTGCTGGGTCGCTGGGGGTTGGTTTCGGAGGTGGATCGTTGGAAAGGAGTCGTTGTGCCGGATTTGGAGGTTTGCTGTGGGAGAGCGTTCCAAGTGTTGGAATTGTCGGGACGAGACGTCGTCGCAATTGCAGCTTCAACGTGGGATTCTTGAGGGAGCGGACCGAGGTTGAAATCGAGGTCGTTCTTCGGAGACGTTGTTTGATGCAAGGATTGAACACTGCGTCGATTCATTGGTGAGAATGTTCGTCGCATGTCCGATGGGAGATGTTTCTCTTGGCGTTCTAGCTCCCCCAAGATGGTGGTGCCGTTGATGGCTAAGTTCTCCTCGGGCATCTGGTGAAATTTGATGATGCCGCGATTGGGAGGCACACTGAGAATGTCGGCCATGAACGATTGGATCAATGCGGCGTTCCGCTTGTTCATGGTCGGCCCCATGTGTGACGATACTGCAGTAATGGTGAGGATATAGCATGGATCAAAGGTACCGCCGAGCGCAAGACAAGCGCTGTGGTCGAGCTTCACCATGATAGCCGAAGCAGGTCGATTATACCGTTTGACGAGATTGTAGGATAAATCGGTCACCAAGGTGAACTCGTCCTTGACGATAACATTGGTTCGTAGCTCCGCAATGACCGGGGAATCCCTCGATGCTCGATCCCGAGCGAGCGAAGACATCGGGCTGTCTTTGTACTGATTCTGCTCCTCCTGATATTGACCGCGCTGTTTCTGAACCTCCAGGCCGTACTGTTCCTGTATATTCATCCCATTGCCGAGACCCCCGACCAACACACTAGATCGATCGCCAGGTCGTCGTTGCGCAAGAGTGTCATATTCGTGTTTCGCCATTGGATCGTTGCCGTAAATCTCCGCGACTTGGAGGCTCTGTCTTCGAATGGCTGCTGCGTTGGACACAAGAGAATTCCGTCGACTTGTTGTCGCAGAAGCAATTTGTTGGTGAGTGGTAACAGCAGCGGAAGAGGAGGAGGGCGATTGATATCTCGGTGCGAGGAGGTCGAAGGAGTGCTCGGACCTGGAGCCTGCTGCAGCAGAGTGCGCCATGTCGACGATGGAAGAGGTTGTCAAGCCGGACCGATATAGAAATGTTGTGGAAGAGTCGCACACCGCACGCGATTGATCGCCTCGTGGGCGGAACAGGAAGGCGACAAGAGACCGGACAATGCTTTGTGCGTGTCAAAATATGTTGAGCGCACAAGGTCGTACAAAGAAAGGTCCGGATTGACTTTGTTCCTGAAGCGTGGGCGTAGTAAATAGCGCGATCGGAGTGAGAGAAAGTTGCTGGAGAGGAGGAAAAAGATGCTCGACACCGAGGCGACACCACAAGAGAGGAATTCAAAGCGAGATCGCGTGGACTCAACGGCGAACGTGATCTTTGGGTGATGACCGTGAATAATAGCGGCAGCGATAGAGAGGAAGAGAGAGAGAGAGAGAGAGAGAGAAAGAGAGAGAGAAGGAACGGATGATTGACGGTTGAGCTGGGCGAGCCAGAAGGAGGCGAGAGAGAGAGAGAGAGGGTCGAGAGGTGATGGGTGAAACTTCACAACGCGGTTCTACTTTTGCTTGATGGGCAGGCAGACAATTGACAATCGCGCTGCTTCGTCTGCTTTAATTGTCCACTGTTGACGTGCAGAGAGGTTTGTAGGAGGTGTTGGTCCAGCCTGCCACTATTGATGAGGATGAGGATGAGGATGATGAGGGACCGCGACAGACGAGAGGAAACCGACTATACCAACCGCGCATGGCCAATGTCCAGTACATACAGTATGCGCAATATCGCACATCGCGACTACAGTGCATATACCAATGCGGGCAATACATACACTCCACGACGCCAATCGTCGCCGCTAACAATACTGTAATTAACTTTCTACCTCTCCCTCCCTCCACCAGACCCCATACTGGACATAGATGGTAAAAACAGACTTTCACCCTGCCCCAGACACTCGGGATGATGATTTATCATTAGCTTAGGGAGCTGCTGCAGACTAAATCCCCACCTGCATGAACATCCATCTCATCCATCTCGCCTCCGCGGCCGAGACAGACGAGGTAATGAAGGGTGGGAAGAGCAGGTAGAGACAACACGACATTACTGTACTGCAGCTGGAGGTGTCCTGTACTGTAATCCACGCTCGTATCACTCCACCACCACCACCACCTCCACTCCTCGGAAACGATGAGTGCGCCAAGAGCGTTTTATCATCAGAGACATGTTGTGTGCTGCATGTGCGCACTCCCACCGCATATCATCGTGTCCGCACCTGGGCATATACATGTAGGCTGGCTTCACATTTACATTTGCCGTCGGGAGTGGATCGCGTCGGTTCTTATTGCTACTGTAGGACGGAAGGGAAAAGAAAAAGTCCCTAGAATCAAGATCGGGGCATATACCAGGAAAGGGCCCTTCGCTCGCTCGCTCGCCGGGCCACGGCACGATCACCTTTATCACTCCATCCATCTCTGTCTCTCTCTCTCTTTCGGCGGATGTGTGGCGCCAGTACGCCGTTTTCCACATCCGTTCCTGATGATGCTCTCCCCCTCTCTACTCGCTTTTGCGTCCGCATCCGCTTATTATTATTCTCATTCTTATCCTTATCATCATTCGTCTTCTGAAAAGGAAAAATTAGAATTAAGGGCTAAATTAATGCCGATCCTCAGATGAAGTTCTTCCGACTATAGTATGTAGTAGTACCTACTAGATATGTGCCGTAGTCATCTTCGGTGGAGCCCCCCAGAACTGGCTGGCTGGCTGGCTGGCGGTGCGGTGAGAAGGAGACACACATCGCAGTCGTTCCATCGGACCTGCACGATGTGGTGCAGCCAGATCTCATCTCCATTCATTTCGTCCCAAGATTTCATCATCTGCACGCTACTGTACTTTATCATCGCAGCCGACCCTCACCACCAGCAGCAGCAGGACACACTCTCTCTCCCGGCTCTCCCCAACCGAGGAGGCGAAATATCATGTTTTGCGGGGATGGGGATGGGCTGGCCTCTTTCGCCGTTCACGTCACAGTCCCTGGCCTAGCCTAGCCTGCAATCAATTTCACGCGAGCAGTATCTCCGTCTGTATGTATGGATGTATGTATCAGTCTGGTCGGCGGCGCCGGCGGAGGAGGAGGTGGTGGGAGGTGCGAGGTGCGGCGGGCAAGCATGTGAGAGAGGAAACGCGAAGGATCCTTTTCATTCAATCGGAGCCGTTGTCACCCATCGTTCGTGGTTGGCCGATCGCGTCTCTGATGTGTATACTGTACCGGTGTACCCCATCTCATTCACGCGCGTGTGTGTGTGGGTGTGTGGGTGTGTGGGTGCCTGTGTCTGTGTCTGTGTGCCTATCGCGTGGTCCGCCCGTTCCAAATCGTCCCAAGACATATCGTCCACGTCTACAAACTCCACCGCTCTCGAGTCCTCGCGAAGTCCGTGATAACAACCATCATTGAAAACGGATATCGTGCTGAATCGTAAGAGGGCCCAGCAACACCGATCAAGAGGTGCGCGCAAAAGCAGAGAGAGACTCATCACCTCCTCGAGCGGCGCCCTGTCCGCCAAGAGAGAGCCACAGGGCCCGAAAACGCTTTCATTGCATGGCCATGTCTGCATGCAGGACGACGAGATTTCCCCGATCATCCTCTCATTTCCAATTTGTTGCGCCGAATGTTCCCATCGGGCCTGCGGGCAGTCTCTCTCGATTACAACAATAACAAAATAAATAATAACAACAATAACAATAAGAACAGGCCTACATCGCTCCCAAGGTTGAAACCGAAGAGAGCGACCGCGACGAGGCGCGCATCTCCCGTCCTCCCACCCCGGCCCGACCGACCGACCGACCGACCGTAAGACCAAGGGCTGCTTCCGACGCGCGCCAGCTATTCGCACGCGACGATGGAGGAGAGAGGACCCGATCATCTATCCAATCCCCAAGAGGGATAGCTCGCGACTTCCCCATCGTCAACGTCTCTGGTCGGTCTACATGGCGTTTTTTCTGTGACGTTTCTCGGGTAAGATTTGGAAATCCTGTGAACCCATGAGCCGGCGGTGGGACCTTGGTACGGACGGCCGACCTGTCAACGGGAGGGACTGTAGCTTTTGATGTGTGTGCGGGTCATGTATGTGTCATGCTATTTTTATCGGCGAGACCCAATCGGACACGACTCCACCTGCAGCGAGCGGTGCCTTCCGTTCTGGGCGGTCCATCGTGGGAGTCTTCACTACAACTACACAGCCCAGGCGTTGTGTTGATGATAATTTGACGTGCGAACTCCCCCATCGCATCTCAAATTTCTCAATGGTCGCAGAATTCCCCCGAATATCTCGTTCTAACTCCAAGAAGCATGACAAGCGAATCACAGGATATACAGCTCTGGCGAGGAACTGCTGGGAGATATGTGCGAATCGGCGATCCGTCCTCCCAGCGATCAAACCCAGATTATCGGCCGCCCAACGGTCCGTCCACCGGGTTGCAGGATCCCAGAGTCGTGAAATCCGAAATCCGAAATCCTTTCGCGCGCACATGATCGCATGGGTCGCGGCCGCTGACACAACCATGTAACGGAGCATGGAGGAACCATGGAACGACCCAGTGAAGGTTTGGATTTTATCCCATGGATGACGTGTGGTTTTGGTCTTTTCGCTTCGCGCGCCACGTGTCTCTGTCTCTCTCTCTCTCCCTGTTTTGGTCTCTTTGGCACTCGGCGTGTCTCGGAAATGACGCGCAAGCGGTTTTATCTAAGCATTGATGGCTGGGAGGTGGTATCGAGAGTGATGTGAGCGTTCGTTGTTGTGCTCACCCATTGAACAAGTCTCTTTGGCATTGGCCTTCTCTCCCACTTGTAGGCGTCAGGGCAATCTTCTGTTGAGGACGTGTTGTAGAATCATTCCCTTCAACTTTCGTCCTGGTCGGGGAACTCGAACACGCCGGAGCGCTGCCAGGATTTCTTCCTCGTCAATGTATTCTTCTCGGGTGTCTTGCCCGATTCCATCTCCTCCTGATATTTGGTCGTTGCAGACCCCGTCGTCGTCGGCCATGGTTTGCACAGGTCAATCTTCCCTCGAGGATACGTGATCTCCAGGAAGCAGTAGATGAGATAGTCCACAATGACCACGATGACGAACAGCTTGCCCGCCCAGACTCCACAACCAAAGTAGCGCTTCAGCCTGTCCATGAGTGCGAAAGATGGGATCTGCGCGGGTTGGCCGTAGTTCATCCATTCCTCGTCGTAGAAGCCTTCGTTGTCCGGTGCGCAGGGGGTGTCGGTGATGAGGTCGTAGACTCGCTCCGTCCGCCGAGCGATATCCGCCCACGAATACATGTTCTTGACAAGATCGTGAAAGCCGTCCCGTCGGACGGACTTGCTGGTGAGGAGACCTACGGCTTCTGTGACACCACGAACGACGTCTTCCACTTCGGGCAGGACAAAAACCGTCATTTTATCGGGTAGCACTTCGGGTACACCGCCCACTCGTGTGGCGACCACCATCAGGCCGCAACTGGCTGCTTCCACCAGCACAGTCCCGAATGCTTCGGTGAGCGAAGTCGAAAGTAACAGATGCCCGCGAATCATTACGTCTCGCACTTCCTCGTGACGGATACTACCAAGCATCATAACCCGGCTTTGTCCCGACGGCGTGTAAACGAGCTGTTGTGGAAGCGATTCCAAAGTTTGCTCGAGGTCAATGGCCTGTGGACCACTGCCAGCAATGATGAATCGAAGAGTGGCGTGACGACGGAGAAGAAGCGGCAGTGCAGAGATAAGTAAATCGGTTCCTTTGTTGTAGAAGAGCCGTGATATGACCACAATGGTGATGGGGTCGCCAGGTCCTATCGGCTGAGTAGGATCCGGAGGAGGTGGTAGAAGCGACTCCTTCTCACTCTGCATGCTCAGCGCTTTGGCTTCATGGGGCTGTAGAGGTTTGAAGCTGCTTGGTACGACTGCGTTCGGGATGACCGAAACTGCGAGCGGATTTAGAGATGCTCTCAGCGTCGTGTTCTCCTTGCTAATGCTCTGTCAGCGCCTTGTTCCGGTGCTTCGATGCGTAGTCATCCCTACCATGTGTGGCTGACACAAATGACGTGGTCTACGTCGCTCAGACTGAATTTGAGCAACTTGTTGGCCATGATGCTAGCTGTGTCACTGAAGCCAAACAAGCTGTGGTCGGTGAACACAGTATGTAAGCTCATCGTCCTCGCATGTAATAGCCCTTCGTGACAAAGATTGCTAAGAGACGCATGGCCATGAACGATCTGTATTCGTTCACGGATGAAAATTTGCCGCAGGATTGGAAACGAAGAAAAGACCGTCGGAAAAGTCGTCGACCGATAAACAACCCAGTGAGGAAGGTGATAAACTTTTAAACGATTCGTAAGGTATCGTACACCTGAGCGACTCGGGCCGGGTGGCCCATATGCGTGGGTAATTATTATTACATTATGTCCTCGGTCGATCAGTTTCTACATGCTATCAGCACGAGAACGTCGTCGTCGAAATCGAGGGAGGCTCTTGTTGCCGGATCATGAACGTTCATTGTAGCTTGATACATACAGTGGATAATTGATAAATATGACTTTCTACTCCTCCAGGCTGCGGGTAGAAGAAATCCGAGATCATCCTTGCCAACATCAGTTAACGGGTTTGAACAAATCAATGATAGCCCGTAATGCATACGCAATATTGTAAGGCATCTTGTCAAAATGGCGACGTGACGAAGCACGCCTGCTCGATCCAGTGATTGATGAGGTGTCTAAACCGATTCATTCCGGCGCAAGTCTCCCAATTGATCTCGACTTCATCGTGGCCGAATGTGAGATTTGCCTTCTGACAGGATGCTTTCGATATTGGCAGTCCATTTGTAGAAACGGAGTGGTCGTGTCTGCTCAAGCACAGTAGGAAGCCGTGCACTCCCGCGGAGTGTATTCCAAGATCGATCAGCGGAATTCGTTCCGGCACTAGCGCGATGTCGACAATTTTTTGAAGCTTCCAAAGCTTCAACATTGGAAAAGTTGTCGCAAAAGGCGCAACTCACGTCATAAATCGATCACTCCTCATGTCGACCGCAGACTCAGCTGGCAAGAAGCGCAGGCGTGATCCTGGACCAGAAGACGCTAAAAGGAGGACAGCACCGAGATTGAGCAAAGAAGTTCATCATTCTGAGGAGCCTGATGCGCCAGAGTTTGTGCGCCAACACATAAATTTTGACGATGACAATATCGACGAGAGCTTGGATATCGTAGCGCCGCAGCCTGGTGGAGAATTTGCGCATATCAAATCGACCAAGAAACGTCACAAACTTGAGAAAGAAGCTCGTAAGGCTCGGAAAGCCGGGAACACCACTGAGAACAAGTTACCGAACGCTGTTTTGCCCAGAAGAGAACTTGATCTCGTAGAGTTCGAGGAACCCTCAGCCACCGTCAGATGCTCCGACAATGTGGTCGACGCTGCCAGTCGGGACCGCTCGGGACGAGACGAAGGTTTGGTTACGGGAGAAGCTGCGTCACAATCGCAAGCTGAGGCAGCTGGGCCACGGAGGCGTCGTCACAAATTGGAAAAAGTGCTGGAGCAATCAGATGTAGCTGGAAGAGAGGAAGCGACACAGTCTGATGAAGAACGACTCAAGAAGCATGCTGGTGTACTAGGCAAATTCCAAAAGTCGACTCAACTTTCACGAACCGCCCGTGAGGCTGCCGAAAATGCACCGAACAATGAGGCAGAACAGCCAGAGGCAGTCCATGAACTGGTCGTCCCGCGTATCGAAACTGGTCCGAGACCGCGCCTTTTGCCAGCAGATGCGGCCATGCCCGAATGGCTGGCCCAGCCAACTGTGGTGCACAGCGATGCAAGAATCGGGTTTGGTGATCTAGGACTTGAAGACGATTTGGCGCATAAGCTGTCACAACTTGGATTTGCCGAAGCCCTCCCTGTCCAGCAGGTCGTAGTACCCTTGTTGCTACCGCCGGGAGTATCAGGCGCCACATACTTGCCAGGTAGTGAACCTGTGCTACCAGATATTGCAGTGAGCGCACCGACTGGCAGTGGCAAGACCATTGCATATCTATTGCCGATAGTAGAATCATTGAAATTTCGGCCACTTCGAGGTCATATCACGGCCGTTGTGATCGTACCCACTCGAGAACTGGTCACTCAAGTCGCTGCAGTGGCAGAGAGTCTGACGAAAGGTACTTACATACGTGTCGGCACAGCCACTGGTTCAAGAAAGCTTGGAGTTGAGCAAGAAAAGCTGGTACGACGGGAGCAGCGCTACGACCCGGAAACCTATTCGCGCCTTGTAGCGCAAGCCGATAGATTTATGAGACCGCCTGAACTGGACTCGGAAGATATGGAGACATACTTGGACGAGCTTGCTGAATCCGATTCTAAGACTGAGCAACGCCTAGAGGACACTTTACAATGCTTGTCAAATCATGTGCCGACATATTCCTCAGCAGTCGACATTCTGATTGCAACACCTGGTCGTCTCGTCGAGCATTTGTCCAGCACGCTAGGTTTCAACCTGACATATCTGCGATGGCTTGTCATAGACGAAGCTGACAAGATCCTCGATAACGAAAATGAAGGCTTTCTTGATATCCTAGCGACAGAGATCCGTCGGCCACGGAGATATGACGAACAGACTGCTCGAGAACAATATCTGCGATCGACCGATACCTGGGATGACGGTCGAGAACGGCATGTAAGGAAGGTCGTACTCTCAGCAACGATGACTCGCGATATCACGAAATTGAGCTCGCTCGGGCTGCAGCGCCCTAAGCTGGTTGTTGTTCGCGGCGCTGAGGGCAAGGCCGTTTCGACATCTGCTGCAGGGCACAATGGAGACGAGTTGTTGGGCGATGCCGTGCAAGACGGTGACATATTCGAGCTCCCACCCACGCTCGTCGAATATTGTGTTCCTGTTGGCGATGGTAGTGAGAAACCATTAATTGCCATGGAATTGCTTTTTGCGAAAATACTACTTTCAGAAAGTGCAGATAAGTCACGGCGGACCTCGTTGCGTAAATCGCAACCAGAAAAGGACGTCAGCGAAGATGCCGATGATGCTTCGGAAGACGGCTCTGAAGAAGAATCTTCAGATGACTCGGACTCGGCTTCGGACTCAGAACCGGATTCCGATTCCGATTCAGAATCCGACGATCTTTCAAGCGACTCTACGGATGATACCTCGTCTGTGAGCAGCATCTCCGATGATAGCAGCGACGAAGATGATTCCGCAACATCCGAAGACGGGGAAGATGATGGGACGGATGACGAGCAACCTCCCGCAATCAAGCGAACACAATCCCTACGCAAATCTGACAAAGCCGAGGCCGCTGCTCCCACAATATTGGTCTTCACTTCCAGTAACGAGGCCGCCCATCGACTATCCCATCTTCTTAAATCCCTGAAGCCCGAGTTCGCGTCATGGATTAGTACCCTCACCAAAACCAAAACCGCAAAGGGCGTGAATCTCCAATCAAAGAACCAGGAACCCGTCATCGTCGTCTCCACAGATCGTGCAGCTCGAGGTTTGGACAGTTTCGGGAACCGGCCAATCACCCATATCATCCAGTACGACGTTCCACGATCGATCACAGGCTATGTTCATCGAGTTGGTAGGACAGCGCGCGCGGGTCGTGTAGGTGATGCTTGGACGCTATATACAAATACCGAGGCACGGTGGTTCACAGGTCAGATTACAAAGGCTGCGACATTGCGACGCTCGCAGGCTGTTGAGAGAGTAAAACTGTTCATGAATGATGAGGGAATGCGGAAGCGATATGCTACTGTTCTGGCGGATATGAAACAGACGGTGTTTGGAAAAGTTTGAGTTTGAGCTCGAAAGAAAGACCCATTTATTGCAATTTTCAAGATGACTATTCAATTGTTACAGTTGTCATATCAGTCCATCCATTCGTCCACCCGTCTCGATAGCTCATTGTGATTGTCCCGCGAGCATGAACGGGCTGCGAGCTCGAAACTGCCTGCCTTTCCAGAGAAATAGGACAGGTGCGAAGCTCAGCATCAGCGCGAGGAAGGCAATGAGAGTGCTCGCCCACTGGAAACCAAGATTGGAATACAGCGCCTTGGTCGCAAGCGGCAAGAGACCAGCAGTGACATTTTCCATCGCAGCCACCGCACTGATCGCCGAACCCGCGAAGCCCGAAGCAGCGTATGCATCGCATACGTAGTCCGACGCGGCCGTGATCACCATCTGCACACCGAAGCCCACCATCGCCAATCCAATCGTGGGGACGATCCATGGTAGCTCCGGGTACGATGTCCAGGCATAGACGAACATCCCGCCCGTCATGCCGAAGAATGATGCGAAAACGCTCATGTATAGCCTACCCTCCGGAATCGGCGTTCCTGGGAATTCCTTGTTTCGGGCAGCGGAGCGGAAAAAGAGGCGGTGCTGGAAGAGGCATGCTATGAAGCCGAGGAATTCGCCGATCACAATTGCGAATTGGACGTAACCTGTGCTGTAGGCGGACCAGCCGTATAAGCCGGCAAAGACCTGTTCCACAGATTGCGTGAAGAGGTAGACCAGGCCGAAGGCGAAAGCTGACCACATTGTAGCGGCGAAGAGCACAGGCTCTGTGAAGAGAAGATAGATTGGGCGGGAGCTCGACTTCAGTAGGCGACGCCAGAGGGGCGGGACTGATTCGTTACCAGATTTCTTCAGCTTCAAGGCGCTCTCTTGATGTCTCGACTTGAGTCGTCTTCGAAGGATGACGTGCGCTCGAGTTTCTCGAAGGAAGATGACGAAGATCGGCAAACAGGCCCCATAAACGATGAGCTGAATGTAAAAAATCCTTCAAGGAGTCAGCCGTGTGATCGATCTAGATTAAGGGTATCTGCACTCACCAACGCCAATTTCCAATGTTCTGCATAACTCCGGCGAACAAGGGTGGACCAAGCGTACTTCCTGCAACGTAGAAGAAGATATAAATGCTGACAGGGACGCTACGGGCCCTCTCATCCTGCCAGAGATCAGGAATGATGCTAGCGGCGGTGTTGGCCACGAGCGCCACACAGCCGCCTGTAATGAATCGTGTGACAATCAAAGTAGCAAAGTTCTGCGCCAGAGCTTGCGGGATGATGAAGATCAGGAACACAATGTATGAAACGATGTGGCCAATTCGAACGCCGAAATCTTCCAGTAGCGGCAATGCAAAGATGATACAGACGGCTCCTCCGAGACTCCAGCTTGTGACGGCCCAGTAACTGTGAGGAAAAGGATCATCACTGACTCCAAACTCGGCGTTGATCTCGCGAGCTGCGACGGTGATGGAGGTTCCATTCCACGGCAAGATCAGTGTTCCGATCAATGCGATCAGTGTGATAGTCCACTTCTTTGACTCGGGCCAATTAAAGGGTATGTCCTTGTCGTCTGGATCGCTCCAGCCAGTGCTTGAAACATCGTCAGGCTTCCCGTTGGTTGGGCTGGAATCTTGGAGGTCTTTCACGATGGGCGAGTTTGCCTCTTCGGGGTTGGATATTTGGACACTCATGATGTATATTCAGTCGTTGGGTGCAATAGCCATGGTTTGCGACACGTCTCGAGTTGAGTGATACAACTGCCAAAAAAAGGCACTTCTACTCGATTTATATAGACAAAGAGAGGACCATTGCTTTTCTGTCATGCGTCAGTCAAAAGACAACAAAAGGATAAGAACGTCCGATCAACCGAGCAGCATCGCCTATAACATCGTTTCTGGGCGTAGTTTCGTCCAGAAGGGCATTAGTAGATTCTTGGCCATGAAATCTCTACTGAACGCTCCCGCGAGGATGGACATTAGGGCTGCCAAAACGGCTTCTTTGAGAAGGTACAAGGCATTCATTGTCGTGTTGGTGTTTTCATGGAGTCATAGTCTCGGATCATCTTCCGCATCATTGTCGTCGCCAAGTCGTATTCGTGTAGGGAGATCGCCACTTTGCAGCCAATGATCATTTACGTCTGCCGGGTATGGACCGCTGCAGCGGATTATTGTCTTGCAAGGTTGTATCGGCAGTGCATAGCTGGGTTCGGCCGCCAACACCTTCCCAGATCGTCCGCTACTACCCCACTAGGATCTCTCGAGGAATCGATCGTCTGTGTAAAATTCAGTTGATGAGCCTCATCAAATTGTCCGGGCGGATAGCTTCCCAAGCCACGCGATTTGATGCGGATCTTTTTCGTGACAGGACCAATAGAAGCTTATCAGTTGCAGCTGACGGCTAGCTCCAAGCATTCCCGCTTCTACTGTATTGTCACAGGCGAATGTGATTTGAGTTGCTGTAGATATGCAAATGCGTATATCACATGAGAGTCAATAGCCTCAATCCAAAGTGCTAACCTCCGCTGAGAAAGATCCTGTAGAGGCCAAATCAACACAAACATGGCGCCCAACTTTGAGCAAGCCCGGAAGCAAATCTACGAAGCACACGATGAAGATCCTAACAAGCATGTGACCAGCAGCGGAGAGCAACTCCCCTACGAGACCCATTATTCCCAGAAGATGGAATCATATCTCGCAAAGCGCGCACCAGACGCTTCCGACATCCTCAAATTGGCAATCTGCGGGCAACATTTCAGAAGATGGGAAGTCCCCCGCGATCAATTCCCCATGACCAAGCTAGGCTATCACTCCTGGCGTACGCATCTCAAGAAGCGACAAGCGAAGCTCATCGGGGAGATTGTTGAGCAAAATGGCTACTCCGCCGAGGATAAGCAGCGTTGTATTGCTTTGATCGAGAAGGAGGGTCTTCGTCAGGGCGAGCCTGAGGTGCAAGTCCTGGAGGATGTCGCATGTTTGGTCTTCCTGGATGATCAATTCGATGAATTCAAGGAAAAGCATGATGAGCAGAAGATTATCACAATTTTACAGAAGACGTGGGTTAAAATGTCCAAGGAGGGACAAGATATGGCCTTGCAGATCCCAATGACGGAGGAGTGCAAAGCACTTGTTGTGAAGGCTTTGAGCGGATGATTGCGGTTTTCTTTCTCTCTGGATTGATGTGGCAGTAGGAGAGGACTCTGACGAGTACAAGACAAGCGCTCAGAGATATTCTCGACAATGACCATATAAGCCGCTTCCGTAGATTTGGAATTCAGCTGATGAGATGAGACGTGAACATCACATTCACAGAGAAGTTGCTCATAACGCTGTTGAATCTCGCAATCGTTAAATTGTGATTATACTAAGCCTCTGCTTTTTCATACGTGACGGTTGATTCATCGCGCTCACGAAGTAGAGATCACTCAGGCATTCGAGGTTTCCTATCAGCCAAGATGGATGCAAACATCGCCATCGCCTGTACATTGACTTCAGCAGGTACAGGTTGATCCGGCTTCGCAATTGAGGACAGTAACTTGAAGTAGTTGATATAAAACGAGGGTGTTGATGTGAAGTAAATCCGTGCTTCCTCATTGCTAGGATTGCTGAAAGTATGGGGAGCACGAATCGGGGCGACAATGAAGTCGCCAACTTTGGCATCGATGATTTTCTTGTCTTTGCCTTCCTCTGAGGTGTCTGGGACGTGGAAGCGGACGGTGCCTTGCGTGATGTAGAAGGTCTCGTCGTGCATTTCGTGCCAGTGGGGTGGAGGACCTGGTGTCTTGGGCGGCAAGATCAATTCGGCTACTCCGATACGATTGTCTAATTCGCGGTGCCTAGTGAGTAAACGATGTCATCTGAGTTGACCAGATTGTTGTCATACCTGTGTTCGAGCCATCTTCGATGATACGACAGGTGATGGGTCCGAGTTTCAATACTTCACCAGCTTTCACGGGCACGAACTGAATATCGACGCTTGGTACTGCTAGTAGGCTCGACATGGTGAAATTCTGTTGTTAGATGATCGAATAGTACTTCTGGCTTGCGAAGAGCTTCGTAAATAGCACAGGATATCTGTCGCCGAAGTCCTGCAGTTCCCCATGTGCCTCACACAAGGGAGTGGGGTTGCACCCAGTACCGTGCCATCTCGTCATTGCGGATGATAAGCCGTAGGCCGAGATGACAGGCGAAAGGAACGTCACGCCTCTCACACCGAACTGCGATAGAGGAATTGTATCCATACGAGTCTCTCAATGATATCTCGGAGGCTAATAAATGGACTAATATGGGCCCTCCAGAGATTTACGCGCCGTGAACAACATGTTCTCTGCCAGAGTCCTACCCGAAGTTCTGCTCGCTCACAACAACCCGACTACTAATGGACTGGTCGATGCAAGAATAAATTAGCAGTGAATCTGATACATGAAATGTTCCTGAAAGATCGAAGTATCAAATAGATTCAAATGGTGGATCGAGAGAGGACTGCCATATATTGGTCATGTGATTGCGCGTTGCTGGCTTGACGCGGTCGCGTCTCCCGAAGTGGCGTAAACTGTATTACTTCAATGTGGGAGAGTTTATGTCTATGTCAAAGGATTATAATCATCTCGCGACAAGATGCGGCCTTTCAAGCCGCCTACGCTCACGCACGTTCTTAAGGCACCGCAGAACAATAGCAGTGTGAACGTTGCAAATGAAGAGCCGCCTGCGAAGAAACGGCGACTGACATCAGACCCTGTCCCATCAAGATCATCTCCGAAATCAGATATCGTGCATCGGGGCTCACAAGTCTCATCTCGAAGTCCTCTCAAACCAGTCAGAGAGACAAGCACATCTGTTAATGCAGGATCAAGCGAGACACACACGGTTTACTACGCCGTACTGTGGCGGAAACCTACTACAAGGAAGAACAAAACATGGGACGGTGACGGAGTGTTGTGCGTCCGTGATGGGCAAGCTTTCCTGAAAAACGACAAGGGTAAGGACCTTGGCCGTACTTCATGTAAAGGGCCACTGTTTGTTGGCTCAGGCCTGTCAGTAGGTGGCAGGGAGGTCGAGGTTGAAGCATTGATGACGAAAGATGACTACAGGTCTGTTCAAAAGAACTTGGAGAAGGTCGCACAGCCGCCCCCAGTATCGAAGCAGGCTGATGGAGCGACCCAAATTACAAAGAAGGCCCAAGCAAGGCACGACAAAATCGTCGTGACGCAGAAAGAACGCCTCACCAATGCAGTGCCGAGTTCTCAAGCATCGAGAAGCTCCTTCAAGACCCCACTAGCCGTAAACCATGTTCAAGCTATGCCTAAAGACGTTGCTGTCCCTGTACCTCGCCATGATCCCAAAGCCACGAATGCTTTGATAATGAAGCGACCACGTCCTGTATCCAAAGGACAACAAATAGTGGACGTCGTGGTGGATCCGTTGTTGACCCGAGCACTACGCGAGCATCAACGCGCCGGCGTTGCCTTCTTGTACGAGTGCGTCATGGGGATGAAGAGTCATGGTGGCGAGGGTGCAGTACTGGCAGATGAGATGGGACTCGGCAAGACCTTGCAGACCATCGCACTGATCTGGACATTGCTCAAGCAAAATCCAATATACAACGATCCCCCGGTAATCAAGAAAGCTTTGATTGTTTGCCCTGTTACACTGATCGAGAACTGGAAAGCGGAATTTCGGAAGTGGTTGGGCAACGAGCGTGTTGGCATTTACGCTTTGGAGAATAGCAAGCAGCGTCTGACCGACTTCACGCGCGGCAGGGCGTACAGTGTCATGATCGTTGGCTACGAGATGTTGGTCAAGGTAAAAGCCGACCTTTTGAAATGTCGCGATATCGGAATCGTGATTGCAGATGAAGGTCATCGGTTGAAGACTCAAGGCAATAAAGCCGCTGCCGCTATCAAAGAGCTCCAGACAGAACGGAGGGTCATCTTGAGCGGGACACCGGTCCAAAATGATCTGACGGAATTCTTCACTATGGCTGATTTCGTGAATCCCGGAGTGCTGAACAAGTATTCGCATTTCAAGAAGGAATTTGAAACCCCGATTCTACGCAGTCGCCAGCCTGGTGCCAGTGCAGAAGATCTCGAGAAAGGAGAGAGCCGTAATCAGGAATTAGCGGAGCTGACTAGTCCCTTCATTCTGCGTCGGACAGCCGAAATTTTGTCAAAATATTTGCCGACCAAGACCGAGTACGTCGTCTTCTGCAGGCCGACAACCAAACAAGCGTCAATATATCGCAAGATTATCGCCTCGCCGGCTTTCGGTACTGCGTTTGGGGCGCCTCACAATCAGCTGGAATTGATCAATGTGTTGAAGAAGCTTTGCAACAGTCCTTCGCTTCTACTGGAGAAGGATGGCGATGACCAGGCGAAGGAGAGCGCTGTGAAGGATGCAATCAAAGAAGTGCCCCAAAGAATTCTGAGAGAAAATGTGGCGAGCGGAAAGCTACGCGTTCTTGACGCTTTACTTGATCAAATACATCAACATACTGAGGAAAAGGTCGTCCTGGTCAGCAATTACACCTCGACCATGGACATACTTGAGAGGTTGATTGGATCGCTTGGCTATTCACATCTTCGACTTGACGGTTCCACGCCAACATCCAAGCGACAAGACCTTGTCAATCGGTTCAACCGATCATCAAAGAGCAATTCATTCATATTCCTGCTGTCGGCCAAAGCTGGTGGCGTGGGACTGAACTTGATTGGTGCTTCGCGCCTCATTCTATTCGACATCGACTGGAATCCCGCCACAGATCTGCAAGCCATGGCTCGTGTCCATCGAGATGGTCAGAAGCACCCGTGTTTCATCTATCGCCTCTTGACGCAAGGCGCCCTTGACGAGAAGATTTTCCAGCGCCAGGTCAGCAAGACGGGTCTCGCTGACAGTGTGGTCGATGGCAAAACAGGAGTCAGCGGCTTCACGCACGAAGAGCTGCGGAACTTGTTCAGTCTCGACGAGAGTCCTGACTGCGAGACTCACAAATTACTTAATTGCCCTTGTGGCGGAAACGGTCTTGTTGTGAGAGACTCGATCGATGATTCTGGCATCACAATAGACGAAGAGAGCGGGGCAGAAATTGTTCGACTCGACGATGACCAGGAAGCGGATGCTCTCTTGAGCTCGAAGCCGAGGCCCTTGACCGACGTAGACCGCGATGCACAGGAGGAGGAAATCCGACGACAATCTCGAGAATGCAAGGATTCAACCGGACGTACGAAGATGTTGAGTCTGATGCAGTACACCCATCTAGACACTTCGCTCTGTGTTCAGCCGGTGGCGGAGCCGCCTCGAGAGGATACTGAGTTGGTCGACGACGTTCAAGAGGAGACGAGTACTGGGCAGATTGATGACGTCGTCCTCCGCGAGGTGGTCACGGCGAATGTCAGCTGGATCGGATTTGTGTTTTCGAAGATGAGCGCTACGTGAGCTTGTCGTGTGTATAGCTTAGACGGCTGATAGAGCTCTCCTATGCTGATGAGAAAATATTGACGACGGATGTGCAAATAGCCGTGATAGTGTTCCGCAAATAAGTTTGTTCGTAGCAACATTGTAGGCAGCACAGCGAGATGTCCACTCTTCGCTAGGCTACTCCGAGAGATGTAATTATACGGAAAGGGGGAACGAATTTTTGAGAGAGCAAAAAGCGCTCATTGTCTTAAAACGGGCAAAATAGAGGTTGAAAATGTGGTGTTATTGCACGATCCGAAATATACATGATGGTTATACAACGAAGCAGACACAGGCAATAAGAAGCATCGCTAACGCTTGACCCAAGCAGGCATCTTCCTCGCCTTGAGCTTTCCGGGCTTCTTTCTCTCCACTCTCCTAGGATCACGGGAGACGACACCAGCTGCCAATTGTTAGCGATGATTTCTGTTAAATATAGAAGTAAGTCGATCTCACCTTTTCGTAACGCGGGTTTCAAAGCAGGCTCGTGGGCCAATAGCGCCTTCGCAAGCCCGAGGGTAATTGCCTCTGCTTGGCCGGTGGTACCGCCTCCCTCAACCTTGGCCCACACGTTGTATTTGTCCAGCCTGGAAGTCGCCTTCAAAGCCCAAACGGCTGACTCGCGATCGTGTATCCGGCTGAAATAATCTGCGATTGTCCGTCCGTTGACAAAACACTCTCCTTGGCCCTCCACGAGGTAAACCATCGCAGAACTTGACTTTCTCCGACCAATGCCCTTTGCGCGTCCCCACGAGTCGATTGGGATTGGCTTGGCCGGGTTGTCATGCGGCTGTACCTGCCGCTTGTATTTGTTGAGCGCAGTGACGACTTCTTCAGGCATGACCGATGGGTGTATGCAGTTCATCCTCTTCAACAGGGACAGCAGAATGCCATAGCCCTTGACGCGCACAGGCTCAGCGAGCTCAATTCGATATTCCGAGAGCTTCTTCCATGCCACTCTAGTTGCCTCTGCCATTGGAACTCGCGGTAACAACTGATATCTGCGGAGGAGTACTGCCAAAGAAAGAACATCGTCCGTGTAGCGCGGCGTGCCCGTGAAGTATGAGGGAGACGCGGGCACCACGCGGATTTCCTTCATCAAGGAATTGGTAGCATCGTCGGTTCGTGAGCTCGACCTGCCTCTTCCGCCACTCGGTCTGCGATTTGGACGATCTGTGAATGAAATGGGAGCGGCTGCTCGGAAGTCAGGCTCTTTTGACCTGGTGATGGTAACCAGGCGTCGACATTGCTGCGGATTCTGCTGGCGACTGAGAGGAGCGGCTGCCGAGCTGCCGGATGATCGTAGACAGGCCAGGGACAGGCGACTGTGGCCTGCGCGAAGAAGGCAGGGCTCCATGCTGGCGAGCGATGTCGATGTCCGTCGATGGACAATGGTTCCGTCAAATCGTTCTGATCAATTGCAATTGTTCGCCGGCCAGCACGATTTCCTGATTGAGCTTAGTTCCGTTTTGAGAGTGCAAGCCGCCAACGTTGGTGCCTGAGGCTTATGACCTCGAACAATTTGTGCATTCCAAGTTCCAATGATAAAATTAAAGAGGGGCAAAAAGAGAGCCCGTGAGAGAACCGCAGGGACCCAAAGCGAGCTGTTACGCGCACGACCCTCCTCCACCTGCCAGAGTGAAAAAGTCGTTTCTCTTCGAGCTTCCATTACTCATTTCGCAGCAACCTCTTCTTTCCTTCTTTGCTTCATTCTCATCACCACTTCACCTTTTTTCATTAAGTTTGGATTCATTGCCAACGAAGGCGCCCTCTTATATTTTCCTCTTCACTTGACTTCTCATCGCCAATCATGGCTCCCTTCGGAAAAATTTACGGTTACAAAGTAGGACGCCCCACGATGCTACCCCACTGCCAACCATTGCATGCGTTTCTCGGGAATGAAAAAAACGATCCTTGAAACTCACAGTGGTTTTTGCATAGGGCAACCCACGCACCAACCCGCTCCTCATCGTCGCCAAGGCCAACAACCTCGACATCGAGCTCGTTGAGATCGAGCCTCCGGCCGGTGTCACCGATGACTACCGCCGTCTGAACAAGCTCGGCAAGGTCCCTACCTTCGAGGGTGCCGATGGCTACGTTTTGACTGAGGTCATTGCCATCGCTGTGTACCGTGAGTAGCCCCCCCTACGCATGAATATTCAGAATCGCATGGCTGGCCAGTTGGCTAGCCAAGTGCGATTCTGCCGTCGCCCTTTGCATGATGTTTCATTTAACTAGTTATCCCTGTCTGAAGACAACTGTTGAGAAAATTCACACTCTGATACGCATTTGCCAATATACTACCTGTTCAAACACAATTCTGTTGGAATCAATGCTAATATAGCGTAATAGTCACTTCGCAGAACGAGAAGACCACCCTCCTCGGCAAGACCAAGCAGGACTACGCTTCCATCCTCCGATGGCTCTCTTTCGCCAACACTGAGCTGCTTCCCAAGCTCGGTGGTGCTTTCCGCCCATTGATCGGAAAGGACCCCTACAACAAGAAGAACGTCCAGGACTCTCTGGATGCTGCTGCCAAGAACGCCACCGTCCTCGAGGAGCACCTCTGGGTTAACACCTACCTCGTCGGAGAGCGCATCACCCTCGCCGACATCTTCACTGCTGCCATTATCTCCCGCGGATTCGAGTACTTCTACGATGCCGAGTGGCGCAAGGCTCACCCTTCCGTCACCCGATGGTTCGAGACTATCCGCAACCAGTCTCTCTACAGCGATGTTGTCGAGAAGAAGGACTTCATTGAGAAGGCCATTGCCAACGTTGCCCCCAAGAAGGAGAAGGAGGACAAGCCCAAGGCCGCCCCCGCTGAGCAGCCCAAGAAGCAAGAGAAGAAGAAGAAGGAGGACGATGAGGAGGAGGAGGAGGACAAGCCAGAGCCCAAGCCCAAGCACCCGCTGGAGGCTTTGCCCAAGGCTACATTCGTTCTTGATGACTGGTAAGTGTTCTCAAGTCATGTATCGTCGTTGAGATCAGCACTGACATTCTATTTAGGAAGCGCAAATACTCCAACGAGGATACCCGAGAGGTTGCCCTGCCTTGGTTCTGGGAGAACGTTAAGTTCGACGAGTACAGCATCTGGCGTGTGGACTACAAGTACAACGAGGAGCTCACGATGACCTTCATGACCTCCAACTTGATCGGTGGATTCTTCAACCGTTTGGAGGCCAGCCGCAAGTACCTCTTTGGTGCTGCGTCAGTCTACGGCGTCACCAACGACAGCGTCATCCAGGGTGCGTTCGTCCTTCGTGGCCAGGACTCTCTCCCCGTCTTCGATGTTGCTCCCGACTTCGAGAGCTACTCGTTCACCAAGCTCGACCCCACCAACGCCGCCGACAAGGAATTTGTTGAGAACCAGTGGGCGTGGGACAAGCCCGTTGAGGTCAACGGCAAGACCCTCGAGCACGCCGACGGCAAGGTCTTCAAATAGACGACTCGCTCCACGACGGAACGACTCAAAAGTGGTGTTGCAGCTCGATCAGCGAGTTGCAACCCGACGACCCTTGCGGGCTCGTCTAATGTGGCAGATGAATATAACGAGACATGGCACGAACAATTCCATTGTGTCTGGCAGAGTGTGATGTGTCGTCATGAACACATAATGTCGCACTACGAATCACACTCGAAGGAAAGCATTAGATAGAAAAACAAAAGATACCAACGGTCCAAGTACCGGACTATGCTTCAAAGCATTCCCGCTCCTGTTTTGTGATGTGACAATGCTCCTTCGTCCCGCCGAACATAATTTACAGCACGTGTGTTATTTCATGGTATAAGGAGGACATGGATGATGGTCAATTAAACTTCAGCGTCTGCCCAAGCCCGACTTCTGCCGTCGACCAAAAGAGATGCTGGTTGGAACCCCCGATTGCAGCGTTGAATTCTTCAGAGCAGAAGTAATACCATCCAGGGTATCGTCAGAAGCAGAAGCACCTTTGGGGTCACCTTGGTGGCCAAGTTCGCGAGATTGAGGATCAAAACTGGCAGCCGGTTTGGCTACACCAAGCACATTCTCATTGACATCCTCGTCGTCATCACCTTCAGCATCAGCCATGTGTCGCTCCCGACTGCTGGCCCGATGCCCTTGTGCATCGACACCACGACGTAACATGCTCGCGCGACCGTCATTCCCTGTATTCACGACGAAGAAGTCGTAGTTGCGAGGAAAGCCATGCTTATCGACGAGGTGACTCCGACGCTTCTTCCAATCGCTGCAAAGCTTCTCACATTCCGGGATGAAGCATGCGTAGATTTTGAGTTTCTCGCTCGATCCTGCAGCTATGTCGCTGCTCCTTCTTGAACCATTGCGGTCATTTCGCTCGCGTTTCGCCGCGAAGAATGGGTCGTGGTTTTCGGTAATGTGCAACTCGAGGAAATGCGATGAGGGGAGATTCTTGCCGCATTCTTTGCAGCGGTTGACATGCGCGCTTGCTACATGGTTCTCGTATGCTTGGATGTTCGGAAATCTCTGTGGCTGATGTGGTGGTAACGAGCATGTGACACTACGCTTGCTGTTGGTGGAGCTTTTAGAGTTGTTGCTGGCGGAATCGTCGAGTTGAGTAAACTTTGTCTCTCGTAGTACGCTCGGCTCGATGTTTGTATCGGTCGCCTCCTGCGATAACGCATCCGGAGTTGAGTCCTCTCTATCACGTTTTAGGCCCATTATCGAATACGGAGGATAAGGAACGCTGAATGTGAAGCTGGCCTGATCAGCAAACTCAAGACTGCAGGCGAAGCTGTGGCCGCTGCTCGAGATCTTCACATGTGCTTTGACATTCTACGCACGAAAAATCTATTTTTCGATTATGCAAATCCTAGGTCACGGGCATGACACAGAGCAAGACTGAAACCCATTCCCAAGTACATTCTTCCATGTCGAGTCACGGTTGCTTCGACAAGTCCACTGTCACGTGGAAGAGAGGCTGCTATTGATTTTGAGGCTAATGCTAATCAAAAGCTGGGTGCGTATATTAATTGGGTAGGGTTCAGCGGCAAGTTGGGCAACACCAGTCATCCACCTTCCGGATTCCTCCCGATCGTTCTCTGCGACCTTGCGGGCGCGCAACACATACATAACGTATGCGTGTGGCCAGACTGACGCCCTTGACCTGCTGATCACGAAGACTCCTGCGACTTGTCGCTCCTGGTTCGCCCCAAAAATTCGCCCGCTAGTATAGTGACACACTTGAACAACTCCGGCCAGCCCACCGCCAGCGTTGGCCAAATGGATCGCTCCGGAACGCCTTTCTGCTACCTTCGTCACTCTCTGTCCTAGTCACGACGGTGACCGAGTGGTCAGGGAGCGCATATGTGGCCCTCGCTACCATCATTATGGAAGATTTGCTTGCGCAAGAGCGCACTGCTGAACAGCATGTCTACCAACTTCTGAAAAAGCCCGATGAGCCGATTTTCAATCTCCTCGAAGCGTTCGCCTCCTACCGCCGACTTTGCTTGAAGAGCATTGCGGCTGACTTTCGAAATGTCGAGACTGCCGAGTTACGCCTTTGGCGTGCGCATTGCGCAGGCAAGAGTTACTTTCACGTAGCTCTTTCCAGCATGCGCAAGCGGCATACCGACAAGCAGCAGCCTCAGCCCGTGGAGACACGCAAGCTGATGCGGCTTTATCTTGACTTTATCAAAAAGAGCCAGGTCTTCTACCGTGAATACATCTACATACTGAGTTCGAGTTCGGTGGGAATTGTTGAGCTGGAGGCGATTGCTCAGATGCGAAACACGATGAAGGACAAGAACAACAGCTTTGGCGAAAGCCAGCCGTTGCGGATCGCACCAGAACAACGGGACATCGTGTTGAAATCGGCACACCAATGTCTGATTTATCTTGGCGATTTATCTCGCTGGCGCGCCTCTGAGCAGCTCGACAAAGTTCCTGAATTCGGGCCCGCTATTGGCTATTATGCCTTGGCTGCCACTCTGATGCCTTCTTCAGGCATGGGTCACCATCAGCAAGCTGTCGTGGAGCTCGAACAACGTCACCACCTTTACGCGATCTACCACCTGTACCGCGCCTTAGTCGTTGCAAACCCTCATCCCAACGCAGCGAGCAATCTCCATGCCGAGTTCAAAAAGACTAATGCCGCCTGGGACAAAGGCGAATTGATTCAGAAAGGACCGCCAAACGATCCGGAGGCTCCGAAACGAGCTCTGGTCGGCTGGTTTGTCCGACTCCACAGCATCTGTTACAAAGGTGAGACATTTGCTGGATTTGAAGAGTTGGAACGTGAGGTCTTGGGTCAGTTGTCAACCGGTGTCAAGCAGCGCTTGCTGGACGACAAATACGAGAAACTTTTGCGGAAAATGGTCGTAGTCAACCTCGCTGCTCAGTATTGGGCAGGCCAGCGCTTCCAGTGTAAGTCGAACCGCCTATCTTTCTGCTCATCTTGAGACTAACCTCCGACGAGCCGATCCGGATAAGCAGCAAAACCAACAGTCGTTCTTCTATTTCTTCCGATTTAACATCACGACATTCACATCGTTATGTCGTGTTTTCTACGACGAGCTCAAAGCCCGCCTACTCAGCTTGGAAGACGACGATGCTGAACTGGCAGTGAAGATCACCCCCAGCCTCCGTCGAATCCTGCCGAGCATTCGTCTCTACAACATGTGGCTCATGTCAATGGTTCACATGGTTGTGGGCTTGTCCGGCGAACCCTTTCTCGCACCTTCGATTGCACAATTTTGGCCTTGCTACGCCAGAGCTGTGGATCTCATTGCGCAAGGTTTCCCCATCTGGGATCTTGAAGATGTTGCGGATGTCACTTACATGTTGGAAGAAGACGTCGACACGATTGAATTTCAACCTCTCATGGACGCCAAGACAATGAAGACTTGGCAGAATAAGGAAAACGGAATGCTCAAACGAAAGTACACAGATGCCGACGTGGAGAAAGGCTCTCAAGATGACGAGATGCTTCAGCGCGTCAAAGACTTCCTCGTTGACGGGCTTTATCTAGCTAACGATGACGACGATGCCCCCATTTGTCTTCGGGGCACCAGGATTCTTTGCTCGACAGATGGAACGATTGATGACCTTGTTGTTCGGCCCAAGGAATATGAGCCAATGCAACTCGACAAAGCGACGCCTACCGGTGCTCAGTTCGCCCCGGCGGTCATCAGCTATGCTGCAATTGCAGCCAAGGGACATGCTTCGGTTGTGCCGCCGCATAGAGCGCAAAAACCAGCAATGAAGGAAGATTTTCAAAATCGTGAGACCCAGCTCCAAAGCATGGTCGCAGACTTGGTTGACGACGACGACGGAAACAATCCGATCACTCCGCCTCAGCCAGCAATTGGATTTCTGACAACCGTCAATAACGATGACGTGCAATTCTCTGTGGACGCTGCCGCGGACGGTTCATCTGTCAGCCCGTGTGTGCACCCTTGGTCACACCAAGCAAATGCTGCCCTGACTCCTCCGATGACTCGAGCATCGCCAAATGGACAATTCGCCCGGCACGATCGCATACAGTCTGTTGCTAACCTATGGGAGAACTCGACGGCACTTGCCTCACCATACCATGCTGGCCCGACGAGTGGTACTCTACACTCTCCTATCGGTACTAGTCCTCACAACCATTCTCGCGTCAATTCTATGAGTAGCGTTCGAAGCAAAACGTCGCAGAATATCGCCGGGTCTTGGACCTCCCTAGAGAAACCTCTCCTCTTCGGCGCTAGTGGCAGTCTATGGAGCACACCAGTCGCTCGACCCGATCTCAGTGGCAGAAATGTCACTCCGCCCAATGGTCAGGGTGGTTGAACAACTTGAAGCGCCTCGAGCGCATTATGTTACATCCCCTTTCGCCCAAACACAATCGCCTGTGTTTATGCCACCAAAGAGGTTTCACTCGTATGATCACATACACCAACAAGCCTCGAAGCCGGCCGCATGCACCCGAACACGAGCTTCATACAATTGCTCGTGCGTTTGTGAGGAGAGAACACAGCTGCGCTGTCATCCTATGATAATCGCCAGCATGGCCTACATCGAAGCACCGCAAGCTAAGATGAGAGATCGAGCCCATCTCTGGATTCGAGCGATTGACAATGAGGAGGACATGAGAAATATGGGAAATTGCGTAAGTTGCGACAGGAATCTTAAGGACGAGTTTGGAACTTTAGCTGCGTTTTTATTACAACAAATATACGTTTTTCGGGGACTTATTGTCTTGTTTTCCGCTCGGCAATCTAATCGGAGCGACAACGGCCATTGACAGTGCCCCAGTCGTCTCATGTCGACCATGAGGTTTGTGCATCTTGCTGTAGCAACTCTACACTCAGTGTCATGAATCAACTTTGTCGATCGTTGACAGAAACGTAGTTGGCTTCACAAGGGCATACAATAATACAAGCATCGGTGTGATACACAGCACATTGTCGTGGAAATATGTTGTCGAAATGCAAACGTTTGCTCGCTCAGGATTTCTTGCCCCACCTTGACCTTTGGAAGAATGGTCCCAAGTTGGGCGGACTTGTCATGTCCGTCCGTTTCCCGAGACCCTGCCTGAAACTCCGTCCACCGCTCTAGCCCCGTTGAGTTAAATTCCCATGACGATGCCGGACGTGGTGGGACATCATTGTATGCACAGATCGGTACGCGGGGCATTGGATTGCAGAAGTCTGCAGGCCCATTTTATTATTATTTCGTCGGAACCACGTCAACACTTTTCCTTTTCCCCATACTTTCACCTTATTATCGCCCATCATGTCAACCGAGCAACAATACGAGCTTCTCTGCCTTGAGAACCCTCTCCTTGATATCCAAGGTCAAGGGTAGGAATTCCTCAACCACTGCATTGGTCAACCGTGGTGCTCCAGCTGACGAGACACACAGTGATGAGGCTCTTCTGAACCAATACGGCCTCAAGGCCAACGACGCCATTTTGGCTGAGGAGAAGCACCTTTCTCTTTTCGAGGAACTCATTCAGAACCGCTCCGCCAAGCTATTGGCAGGTGGTGCCGCCCAGAACACTGCCCGAGGTGCTCAGTACATCCTCTCACCCAACTCGGTCGTATTCTTCGGTTGTGTCGGCAAGGACAAATACGCCGACATCCTGCAGGAGGCTAACAAGGAGGCCGGCCTCGCCGTCCGCTACCGATATGATGAGGAAACTCCTACTGGACGATGCGGTGTCATCATCACTGGCCACAACCGAAGCATGTGCACCGACCTCGCTGCCGCCAACAAGTACAAAATTGAGCACTTGAAGGAGAACTGGAGCGTCGTTGAGAACTCCAAGGCGTACTTCGTTGGTGGATACCACTTGACCGTCAGCGTGCCCTCCATTTTGGCACTCGCCGAGGAGGCTGCCAAGAAGAACAAGCCCTTCATCCTCTCCCTCTCAGCGCCTTTCATCCCACAGTTCTTCAAGGACCCTCTGGACCAGACTGCACCATACTGGGACTACGTTATCGGTAACGAGACCGAGGCCACCTCCTACGCCGACTCACACGACCTCAACACCCACGACATCTCGGCCATTGCCAAGGCGTTGGCCAACCTTCCCAAGGAGAACAAGCAGCGCAAGCGTGTCGCCATCATCACACAGGGCACTGACCCGACCATCGTCGCCGTGCAGGGTGAGGATGAGGTCAAGTCTTACCCCGTCCACAAGATCGACAAGTCGGAGATCGTCGACACCACTGGTGCTGGAGACGCCTTTGCGGGTGGTTTCTTCGCCGGTGTTGCACAGGGCAAGAGCCTCGAGACCTGCGTCGACATGGGACAATGGTTGGCCGCACTGAGCTTGCGCGAGCTTGGTCCTCAGTATGTCCCTCCCATAACATACATTGACCACGCGAGTATACTGACACCGAGAAACAGGTACCCTTTCCCCAAGCAAGCCTACGCTACCCTCCCCGTGAACTAAATGATACCGAGCTGCCAAAGTAGCTTGCTGTTTCAACAACCCATCTCATCACTCTCCGTCGCCTGTACGTGATACCCGATTATATCCTCCACGATGTAATTTATTTAGCATAAATTCCTGGAAACCCAGGGAGGGACCGTTCCGGTCTCGCCTCCTCAGTCTCGAATCGAGATAGGGAAAATAAAAATAAACATTACAAGTTACTTTTCATTCATCTTCTGAGACGGTACGTAGGTTTCTTTGTCAAATCAAGTAGCCTCACACAAAACATACCTCGGTCAAAGTATGCAGGAGCAAAAGAGTGCGGCGGTAGGAAATGCTGCGACACATGGTAACACGTTCTCGGAACCAGTAAGTTGTGGCTGGATGTTATTGTCTAGTCATGTACCACGATGCCTGCACAGAACGCTGGCAGGCATTCTCTGGCGGCAAGCGCCCGTTGTCAATACACTTCAGGGCTCTCTTTATCGCCAAGGCGGTCAAAGGCATGGGCGCTTCAGGGCATCGACGGGCCGAGGCGGCTCGCCGGATGACCTTCAGCCAACACACTACAGCAGCTATCTGTTGTCTCCAGCTTGCACACAAGCCTCCAGGTACTTTTCTGTGCATTACAGCCTCCACTGTGTCGGCACCACTGTCCACATGCGGTCGGATGGCGATCCAAGAGAGCATGCTCAGCTGTGCCGCACGCATATGCAATTTTGAATATCGAGGCACCTCGGTGATTCTATCATGAGAATCTCGATCCGACGAACAGGATCCCGGCCAACTCAATATTGACAACAGCAAAGCACGAGCATGATCTGCAAATAGAATTTCATGTCTAGGGCAACGACTACCCTAGGGGAGAAACGAACGCTGTCGGAGCAGTTTGCCTTTCGCCGAACGAGAACGATAGCGCTCCTTCATCAACGTGGCTTGCGGCAACCTCTAACTCGTGTTCGTTGAGATGGCATTGTCTCGTGGCACGACAGCGATGACCTCGGCAACAAATGACATGCTGGCAGTTAGTTGACCTCCAACATCGGTGGTGTCACAATCAACAGATTAGGCTCTGCGGGCACTTGTCAAATTGTGGCTTGTTGTCATCAGACACAGGACGTGCTCATGAAAGCCGCAATGCCCGGATGCGTATTGGTATTTTCATGAGCCGACAACATTGGTTTTCGGTTGAGACAAGCCATCGTGTCACAGAGCTCATCTACATGCGAACAATTTGATTCTGGCCATATTCGCTTTAGATGTAACACACTTACAATGCGAACAGACATTGATTGGCCGGAGGAGAGCACTCGCGATTGTCCATGAGCGCGGGCACATGGGAGCAGAACATCTAAATGAGGCTTGACGCGCGGACCACTCCGGGTATGCAGCCTCTGCCGGCACGACGCGTGGTGTGAAATGGACTCAACAAAGTACTGCCGCTGCTGCTGCAAGTCATCGCCCGTACCTGAGGGACCCTCACCTCTAGCTTGCGGATCCACGAGGCCGCCGCGAAGGGCTGGACGTCTTGCCCGTACGCGCTCAACACAGGCACTCCTCATGCCGGCTGACTGCACGATGTATGCAGATCATAACGTGTTGTGTCTCCCATCACTGGACGTCCATTGCTCGGCCAAGATATTTTGATGACTTCTATTCGACCGAGAGGACCACACCGAAGAAAATAATGATTGAGTGGCTTCGTTCATCAATCTCAAACGGACTATTAATACATACAGGCAGCCGACTCGGCCGAAGACAACATATGACTACGACTGTCAAACATGCAGCCACTAGGAAAATCAAATCAACGTAGAACAAAGACTTCTCGGCACTTTCTCTACACGGCGGCACAGCAATATAGACTAAGCATTGCAGAAGTTAGACTTCATCCCCTCTCATGGGCCAGCATTGGAAGGATGAGTGAGCGGAGGAAGATGCATGAGTCCGCACACCCTTGCTACCCGAGCTAGACGTTCTCGAAAGAGGAAGGACTTGCAGCTCACGCTTCCATACAATCGATTCCTCTTCTCACGGTCTTTTTGGTTGCTCATGGCCAATGGGGTCTCGGCAGCAGTCATACCCACACGCTTTTCCCATTGGTTTCCATACATCTTGCAGCTAGGTACGCGAATGACAGAGCATTTCTCTGTCTTGGACACACAGAGATGGAGGCGCCGTGTCGGTCCTCAACTCATCGGAGGGGCGCCGGCACGACTTACTTAGGGGTGCCTTTCGATGTACTCGTTGGCACGAAAATTACCTGCAGCATGACACCACCCTATCGACGCCTTCTCCTTCTCACTTCAGCCACCGCGATTATCATAGCCTTTGACTTGCTCCAATTTCCAATGCAGCCTCACAAAGTCTATCAGACTTGATGAGACCCTAGATCTGTGGTGTGGACAACTGCTACCCTGACACAAATCAAGATTGATAGATGCTGAGACTGACATAATCATATCATCACCACGAAGCGTGTCTGCGTATTGCGTGTTCATTCATCCTCGGTTGCATTGAGACATTGTACACAGAGACACCCCGATCCTTTGCTTTTTGAGTTGCACCGGTACTGCTTCGTTGTGACCAGTTCCAATCATCCGGCCGCGCTGCACGAACTTGCCATTCCCTTTTGACTGGCTGTGTGTCCAACAGCGACCCCGAACGATACGGCCAACTATTTTTAACAAGGGCATTGTTGTCTGTTTCTCATTATACTTTTCATTGCAATTCTACAGCATGTCGTTTTGAGCAGTGTTGTTGTTGAACCTCTATTTCGGGACATTATCCTATGGCGATTCGATCTGCCCATTCAGAGCAGGTCGTCATTTCTCCAAGGTCTGGGGTGTCTCACTGCCTTGTTTCTGACAGCATAACTTCATTCGCTCGGTGTCATGTCCTCAGCCGAACTCGCGGCATCATGGACCTTCTCGCAGTCGAACCAACAAGATGGGAACCCCATAGGGCCTGGAGCACATGACAGCATACATCGCACATCGGACGGTGAGATCAGCTCTGCACAGCCTCCTTCTCAACCTTACCAAGATACATTCGATTCCGAAGTGCAGTCAGAGCTGTATGCAAGACACGGCGGGAACACCAGTTTCACGCCTGCACGCCTTCGAATGCCTTCTGATGCGTCCCAGAACCACTCGCTCAGCGAGGGCGTTGTCGGCAGTAGCTCGTGGCACAATCAACCATTTCATGGTGATCTCGCAGGTTTGACGCCGCAGACAACAGACACTCCTGGTCAACCGGCAAGAAACTCGTTCTTGTATGGAAACCAGCTACTCACACCTACGTCAATGACGACCATTCGGGATTGCTCGCCAGGAAGCCTCTTGATACCGGGTCGAACAAGGATCGACGGAGCCTACAATGTAACGGGTGTTGCACAACACCAGCCTCCCTGGCCAGCACCCGCCCAAGTGTTGCAATACTCGTCACATTTGCAAATCCCTCACGCGTCACAGGGGCAGAATGTGCCACAATTCCATCTGCCTCTCACGGAGTACAACTTGTGCAACGCGGACACAACGCCGGAATCATCTTCGAATCCGGGACACAATCCCGCGACACAACACAAATACAATGATCCGCCCACGGTCTCTCAGAATGACTGGCAACCTTTGCAGAAGAGCGCGGATTCGAGACAGCACAATACAATCGCAATGCCTGCTTCATCAAGTCATTCTTCAATGATGCTGTTAGGGCCACACATGCTCTACAATCAAGATCGACATCGACTTGAACATCCTTACCAATTGGCATCGGTGCACAATCCGACCAGAAATGATAGCAAAACGACTACCGACGTTCCTCTATATACTTCGCACCACACACATGAGGTTCATGAAGCACCCATACCAGAGCAGCCACGGTTCGATCAAAATTACCACGAAATCAACCTGCGATCGATATTCACAAATGTCCACCATGGGTCATTGATGGGCATCGACGAGAAATTATTAACAATGTCGGCGTATTACCTCTCCCATATAGAGACCCAAGGTGAATCACCTTCAACCATGAATCATCCTTCATTTCAAACACTAAATCATTTACCCTAGGCCTCCATCTAGATTGCCAGGACCCAAACGGCGCAGAGAACGAATGCATCCGCAACCAACGCACTCGCGATTGGGACATTTTCAACCACGCCTGGCTTACAGCGCTCCAGCGACAGCTCGAACTGACCCATCACTCCACACAAGCACAACATCCGTTGCGCGATGCCGCTTCGGTCATGGATATACCGGCGCTCGAGGGCTTGGCAGATGAGCTCGTTCGGCTGTGCGACAGAGTGGACAAGTATGGATTGGTAGACTTCCAGATGGGCGTTGCCGAAGATGAGATTATCGATCGTGAGTGTGGTCTCCTTTGCAAAGAGACATTGCCATTGTTTTCTGCTCGCATCATCGGCTTACATGTTATTCACCTAGTCATCCTTCGTTGTCTGGCCGCCTTGGAACCTAGGCAAGATGAGCCTTCCAATTCCATCGAAACAGATTGATCCGCCCGTTTCTGTCAGGAGGCAGCTGATTCTCTGCCCTCAATTCAAGAACATGGAAAAGCTGGCGAGGGATAAACTGCCCTCGACCATTTCGAGCCAAAGAAGATATATCAGCACTGAGTGAAACCGATATGCCAACACTGCTATCCCTTCTCTTTTGACTATGCCCAGGACGCGAATTCACTGACCAAGATCTCCTCGGCGGACACGTCAATACCATCAGAAATCCTTTTTTCTCGTTTTGAGAATAGACTAGGGCCAACAATCCCGCCGACGACCAATAACATCATCACCTGGAACGATGGCACGGCATGATAAGACACCGGAATTCCGCAATCTCGTCGCGCCCGGTCTGTACAAAAACATGAGATGCTCTCCCTGGCAGGTGGCCTTCGCTCGAGGAACCCCGTTTCCCAAATGAGCAGACGGGAGGAGTGCGGTTCATGCGAAAGCGCTGAGTCAAACCCAACGGAGGTCCAGGTGGAAGGAGAATCATCGTGGGGTGGGCGTGTGTGTGTGTCAGCTCACACGTGCACACAACAGACACGAACCAACAAAAGTCATCTATAGATGAGAGCGGAGTCGCAAGTAAGATGGGACTGACACGGCAAGTTGTATTGGCTGGAAAATCTCAGGGGGAAGTGTGCGCTGCGGAGTCTCAGACGCGGCAAAAGTCTCTGTCGATGTTTCCGGGACGTTATTCGCGATTGATATGCGCCCAAGTATAGAATTGGAGAAAAAATGGAAGATAGATTTCTCCTCTCGGAACAAAGAAAAAGAGCCGGTAAATTCGAGAAGGGAAGAAGAGTATAAAGACTACGGCAAGGTTTCCGTCGCACGAGGAAACTCCAGCGGACGAGAGAAGCCAACATTTCCCGGGTTCCATACCACGTCGCGTTACAAATGACGTTTCCATTCCTGACGAGCAGCGCGGTGCCGCCTTCATTCGCTCGCAGTCCACCCGCACCAGGCGACAGATCTCGCCATGCCTTGCTTGGTGCAACCTGGGAACTGGATCATCATCTCGAAACCCAGGGCTTCCGCGTTGGTTTGGGTGCGCGGCACAACGCACGCACGCACGGCAGCTTTCAAGCACCGTTCCCTCCCATGAGAAGAAAGAGAAAATTTGATTTCTCCGACCTATATAGTCCAAGCCGATCCCCCACGACGAAAAGGTCGAGTAGACCCGCGAGGTTGTGAGCAGGCCGCCGCCGACCGTATATCGGATTCCACGATGAACGAACGGATGTCGCACAGACGGAGAAAACGTTCACTCGCGCGCGTCCGGGCCGGCTTTCCCGCAATTGCTGGTTTTATTTCTTCGTTCCGCGCGTTTCACCAGGGATTTCCCGTGACGTCGAAATTTCAACGGCCTCGAGGAATTGCGGAGAGGGTGATGGTGGTGGTGGTTCACTCGTGCCGTTTGTCTCGTACGTTTCATTCCGTTCATACGTTGCTGCGGTGGTGGTTCCTGATGATAGGGACTATTGATTAAAAATAATAAAATAAAATGGCGTGCAAGAACGATTGCGCGGTCGTGTTGTTTCGTTTCCAATTCCCGGGCCTGTGCGACTTTGTGTGCTTCACAGTTCAAACTCTCTTGTTCTCCCGCGCGCGTCCCCGAATTCGGCAGGCTTTGGCGCTTGGCAAGGAATGGGGATTCCTGGTCGATTTGTCCGAGTTGTTTCTCGCTTTCGCTCCTCGGAACCTTGGGATTGCACCTTTTCGAAGGTTTTGCATTTACTTGCTTGTCCTGTTTGGGAAAGTCTGTTTGTGACCTTCTTGCTCGCTCGCTGATCGATCGATGCCAAAGTCGGAATGTCGGGCCCTGGGGACTGCCGATGTCACCGGTGGAGGAGAAGTTCGAAGCTTGTCGAAGTACCGAAGGAACCTCCTGGTCACATCATATGTGACCTCTCCACATCATTGGATGGTGCGCGACTGCTGCATTGGCGATCGATGGCGTGCGGTAGTGTAATGCCGCACGATGTATTGCCTTTCTACTTGTTTGCTTTTTGGATCTTCTACCTCAAGGTGACCATGGAAGCAGGTGCTTGAAATCGTGCGCGGCCGACACTCCCGCGAGGATGTCCGGCGTGGTGAACTTGAGCGACGAGGAGAGGCGACGCAGGTTGAAATCGATTGATCTCCTCTTCTTGTCGATCGGCGTTGAGGGTTGTTGCTGTTGTTGTTGTTGTTGTTCGTCTTGTCTGACCTCATCAATGCTGGTTGTCAGACGGTACGGCGGAGGGGACGACGCTGGAACATCAACGGTCTGAGTCACCGGTGACGAAGGTGCTGTAGCCGTTGTGGTTGGTTCCGAGACACATTGCTCGTATGGAGGCAGCTCGTGTACAATTTCCGTGACTTGTTCAACGAGGTGGTGCTTGTCGAGCTGTTCGGTCTGGTCGAATTGCGGGATTCGAGATTGACGACGGGATCCCTCAATGCGAGAATACCTTTGTTGCCGCTTGGTGCGGATTTTCTCGATGAAGGTCGATCCGGCGACGGCGATGAGAACACCTGCCATGACGTGTGTTTGGTGATTTGGCACCGTGTTGATGGGAAGGACGATTGGATGTTCAATGGTGGACATGATGGCGAGATGGTGAAAGTATTGGCGAGGGCCAGGCACGAGATATATGTGAAGTGGTCACAACGTCTACCTGAAGAAGACAAAGAAAAGAACGGTCGTTCAACGATCAGGACCATGGAAACATCATATGAGGAAGAGCCACTCTGTACTACGTGTGGACGATCAGATGATCCAGATCGGGTGCATGCCCAGGTGTATTGGGAAACGAGACGACCAAGGCCGCGAAGGCGCCACCAAATATCGTGCATCAACAGTAGGACGTCCAAGGCGCGCGACTTGGCGGGTGATATGGCAGGAAGGAGCCTTCCGATCCATGGTCTGCGCGATGGTAGGACGCAGCCAGCAAGCGAGCGAGCGGGCCAGTGACAAAGAAATCCGCAGATTGTGTGAAAACGGTCCAACGCAGTGCTGCTGCGCGGTGCCGTCTGACCGATATGTCATCGCAATATCACGCAGCAGGAAGGAAAAGCGTACATAGGTACAGTAGTCAAAAAGTGCGCGCACGCTGACGTGGAATTGAAGGAGGTCTGCAGCAGTCGTCTCCTCGCGTACATGGCACATCCCGCATCCCGCATGGCCGTTCACTTTTCGCCCATCTCACCAAACCTGCAAGCCGTTGGAGCTAGAACCGCGTTCACGCCTGGGCGAGAGATTTGGAGAACTAGAGATGAACCTCATTTTCCTTGCCGTGTTCACGTGGCTCATTTGTCCTCCCATTCCCGCCCACAGATCGGGTCCCAAGGGAGATTCCCACGCTGCCTAGAACACCAGGACAATTCGAACCATGCATGTATTCGCGTCCCGCGTTGCGAAGGTGTATAGGTATTTGTGTTATTAGTACCTAGGTCCTACGTGGATGAAATCTTGGAGAAGATTGTTACTGCAGGCGCGCCGTTGAGGTTCACGGAGATGAAACAAGGCCCAGACCCGTTGTGACTCGAGGGCTCGCTGTCATTATCGTCGTCATTCACGGTACAATTCGACTTCGTATCCTTCTTTAAACAACGGCTGGGATCAGCATTATGATGACGCGGTATTCCGAAATGTCTGCTCCTGTTCATCTGGGAATTTCCATCGACAGGGAATATGATATACCTCACACATGTACCTAGAGTGTCCTGTATGCAGCCACAGACTTGGGGAGACAGACACGCGAACCAGCCCGACGCAACGGACAGACAAGCCCGCTCCTCCTTCAACTCCCCGCATTTCTGTCTGTCGCTCGCTTGATCGCATAGGCCCAGACCTTCATCACTCATCAAGTACAGGTGCTTGCTTTTACTACGACTGCGCGTGTACTAATCCACACGCGTGTACCACTATCTTTTTTCCCTTGCCCATGCAGAGCGGTCTTACATCTTTCTGGAACGCATACAGCTTCTGTTTCCTTCCTTCCGCTCGGCCGTCCATACATGCGCAGTAACGCAGTCGAGGTTAGGGTGCTCATGCCATAGTTCCTCACGCGATGCCAATGCTGGGCAGCGCGACGACATGCATGTTCTACGGAGGAAGAGATAGAGAGGACAGGGAAGTCAGGTCCTTGATAGGAGGGGGTAGCCTTTCTCGCGAAGGATCCGAGAATTCCTTGGAAGAGCTTTCCACAATCGGGATGGAATGCGGATGGAGACGTGCTAGCAAGCTGTAAACAGATTGACAGGGCTGGGAAGAGCGTGTAAGGAATACAGCCGGTGCGGAGCGTGGGTGCCAGGAAGGAGTTGCAGAAGCATAGATTTCGGCAGATTCATAGGGCATTCTTGACGGCATCAGTCGGTCATGAAAGGACAAGGCATGGAGATTTCCTTTCACCGTCGGTCTTCTCCTTTACAAACACGCGTGGTGGTGATGAGCGACCCTGGGGTAATAAAACCAGCGACGAGTCTCACCGCGCGCAACGAAAGACCAATCATACCATTGAGCATCATACACCATAGCTCTCAACTTCCGCTCTGCACTCATCCCATCAGCATCACTCCACACATCTACCAGGTCAATTTGTTCCACCATAAGAGAGATTCCCACTTCCAGTCAGGCATCACGCCGCAGGCCCGCATCAAACGACCCGCGCAACAAGTGAAGCCAGAGAGGCATCCGCACACTCCACATCATCACATGGTCTCTCTTCGAGAACCCAACCCCCCTGTAGTCTACAGCCCGTCTATCTCCTGCATGCGTCCATCGCAATATCTCACCCGCAACGCACCCCGGACGGTCGAGCAGTAGCGTCATTCCCGCCATGTGCCAGTGCCATGCCGCCGCGCCGCGCCGCGCCGCGCCCGCGCCAGTGCCAGCGTCGGCGCCGATGGAATCAATTGCAGACCGATCCAAGACACGCATTGCACAGTGCACAGATAGACGAGACAAGATAGGCTGCTGCTGCTGGTACCGGATGCGTCAATGGCAGAGGTATTTCTAGGTATTCGGGCAATGCAACATGAGTAGAGAAACCAGATGGGGATCATCCCAAGACCTCCGGGGCAGAACACGTCGCATGTATCATCAGTCTGGTCGCGATGGGCCTTTCTTTTCCCCTGGGCAATTCCGGGAATGTCTCCCTTGTTCTCGGTCGAAAGACCTCTCTGGGCAGAAATAAACCTGGGAAGGATTCCCTCTGGGGATTCCGCCTGGGATTCGAAAATATAGAAAAAAACCCAATACACGAGAAGGATTTCAACGGGGTCCGTCCGGTCCAGTAGCGGCGTTGGAGGAAGATGGACTTTCCCTTTTGAGCATTGGGTCTCGAATCCTTTCTCGATGACGGTAGTCTCTCGACTCGATTCGATAGAGGGAAATAAATTCTAGATGTCGAAGCGAGAGAACTACCCGGATGACAATCCGGCACTGGGCTGGAGGGACAGGAAAAGGTGAGACACACACGCACGTGGTGTCTTTCTTCTCTCATGGTAGAGAATGGTCGTTGGCTACTGGAGGGGCTCCGGAGCGCAGTGCGCCCGTGGTCGGTAGCATACTAGAGAGTCGTATGGCCATCCGTGCACGCGAGGTGAGAGAGGAGAGCTTATATCACGATGTTCGCGCGATGGACGGAAGAAGACGTGGTGAGGACGGGATTGAATTATGCGCTTGCAAGTCAAGACAACACCAGAAGGAAGAAGGCTGGAGATCTCTTCCCTCCATTGTGTGCTGTACTCTCCAACCAAGTGGCAAGGAGTTTTGAACAGTGACTGGTACCTCCCACACTCTGGACCAAAAATCCTTTCTGATGGGGGGGAAAATGCAAGAATTGTTCCCCAATCGCGTGTGTCCTGGCGATTACTCTCTTTTGGTCCCTCTCCCAACTCAACCCTCAATCACACACCAAACAACACAGAGTTGACCCAAGCAAGAAAAAACAAATGCAACGACAATGCAAGAAACGAAAAAGAGAGCAGACATTTCCGACCATCAGACAACCCGGAATAAACAGAGAGAAAAGAAGATAAGATGAAGATTCCGAGCCACCCGAAGGGAGCAAGCAGGGAAGTGAGTCAATAACGACAGGAGTAGAAGTAGAAACAAGAGGGAGGAAGGTGATGGGGGAAGAAACTGCTAGCGCCCGAAGCGGGAGACGGGGATTCCATCTCTGACAAGATCGGTTTCTGTGTCTCTTTCTGTCCTGTGCGGAAAATCAAGGCAGGCGTATGTTTTTTGTGGGTGGCATCAGGGTCGTGTGCGCGGCCGAGTGGGCTCAGGGAAAGCCCGATTCGGTCGGCCATGATTATTGGAAAATGTGCGTGTGTCATTAGAAGAAATGCGTATGCGGCTTGCTTAGTTCGTGCACTTCCATCTCCTGTTGAAAAGCATTCCGTTAGTCATTTTTTCTCTCTTTTTGCAGACATGCGGAAAGTTCCAATCGTGCTTACCATTTTGAATGTATTAAGCTCCTCCTTGATCTGCTGAGCAAGCATAGGAGTGAGACGGTTGCAAGTAGCAATCTCGCCGCGGCGGTCATATTCGGTTGCGGACCAGGCATCGTGGAATTGGATTCGTGGGCTGAAGCTGATGGATCGGGTAGATCCGTTGGGCGTCGTGACGGCACTCTTCGACATCGAAGGCAATCTGTTGGTAAAGTAGTCACCATTGGCACCACCCTTCAGAGATCCAGTGCGACCGTCCTTGGGTGTGCTGGGCATGCTGGATGCAGGGCTATCAGGCAGGTTGAGCACAGGCGCACTGCTTCCGTCGACGACGGGTCTGATGACAGGTGAACCACCGCTTGGAGAAGCCGTCCCCGATCGTTTCAAGATGCCCTTCTTCACAGCGGCGAGAACCTCAGCTCGATCACGATCACTGCCAACCACGCTTCGACGAGAATCCGAACCATCCGCAGATCCGCGGGAACCAGGCTTGATGATGCTATTAGCAGCATCGATCGAGTTCCGCTCGAGCTTAGGAAATCCGGTAACTCCATGCGGTCGCTCAGTGATATCGGCGTTGACATTCACTTTCTGTCGTTCAGCCTCGACGGTGACCATCGAGACTTGAGCGACACTGGGCTGTACTGCAGCACTGGGTCCGACTTGCACAGGACCATCAGCAGCAGGAACGCCAATGACGGACTTGGGCCGGAAGAGGCCCTTGATGCTCCTAGCACCCTTCTTGGTCGCCTTGCCCATCTTTCGCAACATCATCGAAGCGGATGATGCAGTTGAAGAAATGGAGAGGTTGTCGGTAGACCCAGCGAAGCCGCCTTGTCCAGAATAGATGCCAGCACCGATTCCGGCCTCCTCCTGCCTTCGTGCAATCTCTTGCTGCTCCGCATCGAGTTCATCGTCAATCTGCTGTTGGTGCTGTTCCTTGGTCTGCTGCGCAATCGCGTTATTCTCAGCGGCACCTCTCCTCAGTTCCTGCGCGCTACCGAAAGAAAATGCTCTTCGTAGACGTGATTTCATGCCCTTGTTCAGATCTTTGTCAGCTAGGGCAGCGAGGTGCTGGGAAGCAGGAGAAGCGGAGGCCATGCCAGACTGAGCAGCAGAAGCATAGGTCTTGGGCTTGGCAGGTGAAGCAGCGCCCGAGGCGGAGTCGTCGACCTGTGCCTGTCTAGAGAGCGGCGATGGAGTACCAATACGCTTGGTAGCATCAGTAGAGCCACGTGAGCCTGCATTGGCATTTTTAGGCTCAGCTTGTGAAACAACCAATTTCACAGTGTCCTGGGCGGCCGCTGCCGAATTTTGTGATAGCTCGCCAGAGACACTGTCGAAGAAAGCGCCAGGCATAATTGTGGTGGGAGTGGAGGTCGCACTTGCATCACCTGTCGACGGCCGAGGAGGATCCAACGATGCAGGCGCGCGTCCCACATCCAGATTGCCAAAACTCCGCCGCCTGTATCTGTTCGGCTTCGTTGTGCTAATGGCACTGTCATCCTGACTTTCCGTTCGAGGCAATGCCGGCATGGTATTCACACTGGTTGAACTCGTGTCTGGCGAAGGAGCAGCCCCAGCTTTAAGCGTAGAGGTATTCGAGTCTGTGCGCTTTTGTGCAGGTCGCCTATACCGATCTGGCGATGGTTTGACCGCTGAAGTCTCCCCGAGGGTCGTCAGCGAGAGGTCGGGGATATTGGTTGTGATATTGATCAGCGAACCATTGTGAGACCCCATCACCGAATCATCCTTTGCTGATGGTTGTGATGACTCGGTTGATGTTGTGCTGGATGCCGAGGCAGATTGTGTGTGTGCGTGCCGGCTGGTTGCCAAACTGGCGCGCGGCTGAGGTGTATTCGTTCCTGTACGTACATCCTGTCGTAGACCTGGCGTGGATGAAAAGGCGAACGTTGGAATTGGTGCTCCAGCTGTGCCACGGTATCCAGTACCCTGCCCAGAGTATGTGGCCCGCGGTGGGCCTGCTGACCTTCCAGTTTGTTGAGGGTATTGTTGAGACGTTCCTTGGAATGCTTCAGCTGATGTAGGGCGGTTGTGCATTATGGTGATAGAATTCGGAGACTGGACAGATAGCGAGAGTACCTCGGCCATTGAACTCGCCTGAGGTAGCGTGATAGGCAGAGATGGAAAGGTGTGTTAATTAATAGTGATGAGATTGTTGGGAAGGGAAGAATATTATGCTAGAAGTATTGTCAGCATCAAGTTTCTTGAGTGTTCTGCCGGTTGACTGAGATCATTGTCACCAGGACGGAGAGGGCAAGGCCGAGATGGGTGCACGCTGCTGTGTCTCACAAAAATCGACGAGGGAGACTGCAACTTGCGTGGAAGAATCAAGCCCTCGGCAATACACAGAAGATTTGCAGCAGCTGCCATTTCCATCTTAGGATCTCCATTGCAATCCCATCCTGAATGATGACCGATGTGTGTAGACACTGTTTTCGCTCCTCCTTTGGGGCGGCTGATTGAGGGATTGTGCCAGGAGAAGGACGACGGAGATGGTTTCATGCCCTTGATATGCCGCTCACTCACCGTTTGTATGTATCCCGCGAGTGATGAAGATGATGATATCTTGTATCCAATCACAAACTCTTTGCTTTTGTCGGCCGAAATGGAAGGAAGGAGGAAGCAACGCTGTCTTCAGAGGACGTGCGAGAGCGAAATGGCTGTGGTGAACATAAGCATGGCTCACGACAGGTAGCAAACAAGCCGACGGCGATGTGAACAGGTGAAGATAGCGATGCAAACGACGATGCAGTCGTCAAATCGTTTCAGTCGTCACAATGGCGAAGCAGGAAAATGCGGCAGCGAGTGGTGCGGAGTGAGTGTGATGAGAGGTGGTGGTGTATTGTGTGCAGCAAACAGGCAGGTGGCGGAGAAGGGTTGGTCCAGGATAAAGGTGGGCGTCGCAGTGAGTGTCAACCAGGGGCTGCGAGCGAGACGAAAACAAGCGCGTATACCACCAAAAAGTGCACGCACACACTCTCTCTCTCACATCGGCACACACACGCACCCTGATCAACCACCCACTGCAGATGGTCTCCCACGCGCACCGTACAGTTAGACACGCACACATACACACCTTGAGCTTTCTCCTCACACGCAGATCCAGCCGATGGTTGCCTCGATGTTCCCGAGGGTTTACCCAAGAAATTTCCTGTACTGGTGGTCGCTCGGCCGCGGACGTTCCTCAGCAGCGAGTCCCAACGGGAGACGGGGTACGGGCGACAGAATGCTGGGTCGAGGGTGAGGAAGAAAGAATGGGTAGGACGCCGCTGTGGAGAATGGGCACAGGAAACGCACATACAGCACAGCCGTAGTAGCAGTATGGTGGAAGTAGTAGAAGAACAACGGAAGGACGCATACAAGACCAGATGGAAGTGTTCTCGCTCCGGATGATATGTGCTGACAGTGATGATGAATAATGGCGGCGGAGGGAAACTCGAAACGTGCACCCTCGAGAAAGTCCACGGGTGACGAATGGTTGGATGGAGGATAACGTAGCGCCGCTGCTGTTGGCAAAAGGAAAGTCAATACACGCCTAGGTAGAAGATAGTAGTGGTACATCCATAGCTGGTGAGGCACTTTCTTCACCACTGAACTGGACGGGCTGATGATCACGGGCGGGTAGACCGTATTCCCATGAGCAATCATCGTCAACCTTGGGAGGTGATTTGAAGCTATCGGGCGGACGGGCAGGTTGGCCGATCATCAGCGGACACGGCAACGGGACCGAAATGGTATCTCCAGACGATTTCTCCAGCCGGCGGAGGAGCTCACTGGCTATACTGCTGCAACCTATTCGTGGCCGAGTCTGGCTCGTACAGCGTTTTCGGTTTTCTTCCAATCTGACCCGACCAAGTATTCACAGATCATTCGGTCCTTTTCACGGGTTGCTCCACTGTGGAAACACAACATCATCGCGAGATTCACAACTGCGGGAGAATGTCACCCAACCCGACTGCTCTCGATCGTCCTCATTCCCACCAAAGACTATCATCACCAACACGAGCTACTGTATGCACGTAGAATGAGATTATTGAGCTACCGACGATACAGTGGTCCTCCACAATGCACTAACGTAGACCAGCTGCAGCTCATTGTTAGGAGGAAGGAGGGTTGAGTGGCGGCGGCGGCGTCTACGGTACGACGGTGTCGCAGACAATTCGGCTGCGGCTGCGACTCTGCTGCAGCAACCCGCAATCACGACATGAAACTAGGTGGAAAGCATGAGGCCTGCATATTTTCGCTGAGGAGCTAACACAATCTCTCCCCTCCAAAGAGATGCCCGGGACGCTGCAGTGGAGAAACAGCAAGATGGACGGCTTCTCGGATAGATCTCACTAGAAGAGGTGGGAGGTTCGAAACCGTCTGGTGTCGTCATGTGAAAGATGTCGTCTACCGCATGTGGACCCGGTGTTGGTCACGTACGCGAAGAAGCAGCTCTCATACGGTTGTCATCAATCCCATCATCCAGGCGCCCACGTGCGTGAGAACCCGCAGCTTTTCAATCAAACCCGGGATCGTTGTTATTTAGGCGGACATTACAACTGCAGCACTGAGCAGCTACAGTACCATACAGGAGTGCAATTGTCGCGGCATCCGTGCCGTACGGGCCACGTCATTGTCATCATCTTGCACCGGAAACGGATCGATCATGCGCATTTCCCACGGTTATCTCCTGTTATTATCTGGAGATTCGATAGTCCAGTACAGTGCTGGATCTGGAAATCTCCTCCAAGAGCGACCGAGATGATGACTGCCCTTGTAGATCACCATCGCCTTTGTCTCTGAGTTGTCGTTCATTGACCGAGATGACCGCAGATTGAAATCACGCCGTGCCTCGGCGATCAGACCCGTGTACAAAAGGACTCCGCGCGCACAACAAAGGGGACCAGATCATGTTCAGCGATGATCCGCAGAGATGAAACCGCCACGGACGCTGCACCCTAAATCCACCTCCTCCCGCCAGGTTTGGCTCATCTTATTGTTACTCACCATGGCAGTTCCCGTCACATCGAGTCGCAGGCTAGTAATCATAATAATAAATTGATCATCACCACCGGCAAAGGAGAGAGTGAGGGGAAGCCAGGCCTGGTCTGGATTTCCTCCGGCCAGTATTACTGTAAATCGATAAATTGATAAAATGAATAACAATAATGACACAGCTCTCTAGGATAGGATAGGATCCAGGAGACTCGGCGGAGGAATTATGTTTCGATGAAGGCCGTTGCTCGATCGAAACTCTGCTTTTCAATAATAGTTCGCACGTTTGCACTACTGTGACAATTACGAGCATTCACCATACTACTCGAAATGCGGACGACATTCCGTCTCGCTGCACGCAGACGCAAGGACCAGCGAGAGTCTCCTGCGCGAGAGCCCCTTCACAATTCCCTCGTTCGTTCCAGCTTTCGTGCACCCTGGTATCTTCGTGCGACAAAATGGTCTGTGACTTCGATCCTTTAATGTATAGACGTGAAGTCTATTCAGCACGCGCGCTTGCTTCGTCCGCTTCGGCATCCGTGCTGTCGCTACACTTTCGTTCTACATGTACCATGATTGATATCCATATATAGCGAACCTGGTCTCCCATACCCCGTGGCTTCATCCCCTTATCGCTCCGTGAGAAGCTGCAATTGCGCTTCTGTCTCGTCCACGGCGTTCGAGGCCAGGTTTGGATCCAAGCTTGACTCCATCCATCGCCGACTCCGGCGTGTCCGACCGGACAAGACACAAAAAATCCCCCATGTCCAAACGCAGGTACGATTTCGAGCCAGCGTGGAATCGTCCCAGCGGAACGAGAATCCAGACGGGACAACACATAGAAACGAAGAAACAAAAAAAAAAGGCCCGTGGGATCTACCGCCTAGGTTTTCCCTCCCTCGCCCTACACACCATTTTGTCTGTTCTCATAATGGAACGCCGAAGAACCCACGCCTAGGCGCCACTGCTGCACGATCGCCAACCATTGATTCATCAGGAGCGCGTGTTCTGTTTCGGCCAAGATTCTTCTACGGAGGGCAGTCTTCGGGAAGTCTCGTGGCGCACACCCAGGCTTTTTCTTCTCACTCGTGTGTGTAGGCTTTCACCAGCCCAGGAGTCGTAGTGGATGATGCCCTCCGCCGCCCAATGTTCCCGCAGACGCGCAGATTTCCCGCCTCTGCTAAAATATCCAATACGAGTCACTTTTCCTCGCGCGGAGGTAGTGGATATGCAAACGTTCATGCGGCTCGCTGACACGCTTGCCCACGAACCTACCTACTACTCAGTGGATGTCTCCATGCCACGCTAGCGAACCACACGATAATTTGTGCCGGTGTCTATGATATTTGTAAGGTAAGAGCAGTGGTAACTGAGCAAATCGTTCACTTTCCGCATCCGTTGACCAAAGTGACGATTCCCTCATCATGGTCATCATCACGGGTTATCCCAATCTCCGTCATCTCCGTCCAAATCCAGATCGGATCACGATCTTACACAGGAATCATGAAAGGGTTCGGTACAACGTTTCGACGCCGCTGCTCGCATGACGGTCATCCATCGGTATCATGACATGTGATCTCAACACCCACAGACACATACATACACGTTCCGAGACAATGTCGAGCCGCCGGGCTGAGCGCCATCCGGGCTTTCCTCTCTCGCGAACCGAACATTAAGTTTCTGTGATTTGATTTGATTTTTCTCTTACGATGATATGGCAAAGGACTTTTTTTCCCGAAACCTCTTTGAGGATCGTCATCTCACGGTTGGGTCGATTGATTCCGAGTAGGATTTGGCGGGAAAGTGTTTATCACCGCGGGAACAACAACCATTCGGTTCTTTCACATCGATGATGATCAACGGATCAAACATGTCAGCGTGAGTGAGGCTTCGCACAGGAAGGTTTTCTCTCACCTTAACATTTCTCGACATGTCATTGCAATCGCGTGTCATACGCAATGGCCGTTGATCGGATTGTAAAAGCTATCGAATTCTTCGAACAAGCCATCATTCATCCTCCATAGTACAGTTACAGCAGCAATAGCTAATAACAATTCTACGTCTTGAAAACCACCTTCCCGCGACGACTCGGAGCGAACAATCCGGACTTCTAATCCCTTGCCTTGCTCGTGTCCACACGCTTCCACATGCCCACATGATCAATCCCCTCCTCATCCCAAGTGCCCAGCGCCTCATCCGTCTCGAAGCCATATTTCGCCCAGAGTTTCTGTACACCGATCTGCGCATGCACCATGATGAGGCCCTGGAATTCCAACGCCGCATTCTTCTGTAGATAGACCTCCCTCTCCGCGGGATCCAGCTGCAAACGGACATCCCCGGGGTGTTTGGCGACGAAGTCGATCGCCCGCCGAATCAATAAATTCGAGATCCCCATCTTTCGGAAGTCTTTCACTACCGCCAAGCGACCAATCTTCACATATGACTCCTGTCCCTGATCGCCCACTCCCCGATCATTCTCCTCGTGCGGCGGATTCGGCGCGGGGACCACGCGGATCGTGCCAATCGGCACCCTGGTGCTGACGATCTCGGAACTATCCTTCTTGCCCTCGAGGGCGCCCGGTTTGCTCGGCATGGATGCGTATGCGACCCAGTGGAAACTCCGGCGGTCGTCGCTGTCCAGCTCGTTCTCGAGGAGCACGCCTTGCTCTTTGACGAAGACTTCTTCGCGCACGACCATGGCGTCGATGAAGGCTTGCGGAACGCGTTTGAGCGGCTCGATGGAGGCGTTGGCTTGCTCGCTGGGAGGTTTCCGCCGGTCGTAGTTGGCGAGCCGCGAGTAGGGGGGCAGGACGCATTCGACGAAATCTGAGCGGGGCGGGGCGAGGGCCATGGTGGAGGTTGTCGTGGTGGACTCGTCGATATATCAAAGTGCTGAGAATTCTCTTATCTTGACCGCCTTGACTTGATCGTGCAACTCGCTGTAGTATTCCTGGTCTGTTGGGCAGCAGTGGTGCGTGAGGGTTGAAGGTAAGTTGCAGGTGCTTATTGATTTTCAACTCGGGAGGAATGCGAATTGGACGCAGCGGAAAGATAACATCTCGCTCGCCACCGTTCAGCGAAATGCGTTGTACAGGCCGTGTCGAACAAGGAAAACGTGAGCGCGTATGGGATCTACAGAATCACGCATTATGTATGTGTCACAATGGTGTCGGTACAGTACTCATGGACTTTAGTTGCATATCCTATACCGACGATAGACAATGCGCCATTCATGTGAAGGAACGAAGTGGGGCAATTACGTCGTTTGGTCTGCATTAGGGTTCGGGTTGGGGTTGTCTTGCACATGAGTACATTTCTGGTTGGACTGTTATCGAGGTTCACCATTATCACAGATATTGTTTGTACTGCTATATTGACGTTGTGATATGCTATGAACAGTTTGTAAAGATCTTGGTCATGGTATTATATCAATGCGTGGTCACAGTACGGTGTTGTCAGCCCGAGTCGTTAGAGCACTGCCCAAACTGAATTTGGGCACAAGTACCAGAGAAGAGCGCGATCCAAAGGACTCGTCTTGAGATGATTACACGATTATTTTGTTTGGTCAGGACTATATATCTAACCCGAGGTCAGCAGGAAATTGGTGCAGAACCTCTACATCCTCCTTCACAAACACACAAACACTCCCACCAAAACCAGGAAAAACACCAAAACCATCCCGACCAATGACCACAACAGCCCTATCCTCTTCCTTCTGTAGCACATCGACCCAGCGCTCGCCGGCACACCCAGCAGCCATCTTCTTATAAGTCCGCATGCCATGCAATGCAATACTCATGATAACAACGCAGCCCGGACGATCAGCAGTCCCTGCTCGAGTCCAGCCAATGCAGGACATGCTATCAAAGTAGTCTCTCTGGGGACCATAGGCGAAATATCGACGGGCGAGCATCAGCGAAGGCAGGACGCCATCCGTCATTGGCGGTTGTGAGCCGCTCTCATATGCCGTCTTTCTCTCCGAAGAGCTGATGGGAACTTTACACGCTGGTCCTTCTGCGTGAGGGCCTTGAATACCTACCAGATCGCCCCAGAAGACGCACGGGAGTCCGTCCTGGCGAAGTAGTATGAATGCATAGAAGAGCGCTTTCAGGCTCGAATCGATAGGCGTGAAGCTCGACTGCCCTGCTTGCGTATCATGATTGCTCACACATGTCACTGCTTGAGCTGGACGAAGCGAGACTAGAGCTCGGCCGTCGGGATGACCTGGACCGGACAGGAGAGTTCTCAAATCGGCGTTTCGGCTGCCTATGAGGACGTCCCCAGAGACACGCGAGAAGCTGTTTAGGAGCGGCGTGTCGTAGGTATACGCGAGTACCGCGGATGAGTCTGGTGGTGTCACGGCGTCGAGCCAACGGATTTGTCGGCTGACATGGGGGCACCAGATTTCGCCGATGATCATTGCGTCTCTGCCGTACTTATCCCGGCTTGTAGCCTGTACTACAGCGATCCAGTCTCGGATGAAATTTCGCGAGATGTGCTGTGCTGCGTCCAAACGGAAGTTCGGAATGCCTACATCTGTGACCATCCATCGACCCCATCTGAGGATCTCCTCTCGCACATCTGGGTGTTTGTAGTAAATATTCGAAAACATGAGGTAGTCATAATTACCAAGTTCTTCCGTCGTGACATCGTCTGCCCAGTTCTTGCCAGGGCGCACTGGGACCATGGACTTGCGTCGAGACGGTCTCGAGAAGGAGTTCGAGAGGCGGCCCATTCTTCCCGGCCGCTGGTCTGACGCATTAGATGAATGAGCATCTCCCAGCCGAAAAGCCGGATCAGAACACGTCGCTGGGTCATCGATCAATTTGAAAATGGCGTTCTTCTGGGCCTTCTGATCCCAATCAGTGCCATTGAAATGTTCCGCGCGCCATCTGAAAGCCGAATACTTCATCCCCTCACGTTCGCGACCAGGAAAGTCGTATTTCAACCAAGCTTCAATCATCCTCGGCCTGCAAGTCTCCACACGCCGATCTACCCCCAAGGCAGATGAGCAAACGTCCACGACATAGACTCGCGAGGAGAAGATTCGACATACCATCTTTGTCCACCTCAACCGCCCAAGTCTCCTCCGTCGCATCTCCAGCGGTCTTATGGCTCAGGACAGCATCCCAGATGATATCAATGCCATTATCTCCACTCTTTCGTGCTGTATCCAAGAGATCCTGCAGCTCTTCCCGCGAGCCCCAATGGGTGCTGCGCGCCCATTTCTGGTCAAATTCGCCGAGGTCCCAGAGATCATAGCAATCATATCCATTGCTGTTGGGATTGTTCGCCTTGCAGCCAGGCGGTAGCCAGATCGAAGTCACGCCGAGGTTTGCGAGATGAGGCAGGACGCGGTTGAGACGCGACCAGAGAGAATTGGGCGAGTGGGTTTCGTGTGGTGCGGGAGGTTGCGAGGGTGTGTGCCATTCGAAGGCTTGGAGAAGGAGTCTGTTCTCGACAGTGGGCATTCTGAGGATCGAGATGAGGAGATCTTGGTCGATGATCTTGAGGTTGTTGGTGATTGTTGCATGCTCGAAGCTGTGGAGGACGCTGAAAGTCACTGGTAGTTATTAGTCGCTCGAATGAGCATTTGCGACTCATCGGATCTCGTTCCGAATCATCAGCGACATTTTCATAACAAATCGCCAGCTCACCTGTGTCGGGCCACGGTCAACGCATTTTCGCTTGTGTAATGTAACTGTTCCGACCTCCCACACAACCCTTACAGAAGCCAATGGCCGAACGGCAGAGCATTCGGTCGCACAAACACGTGTGATCCATGAAAAGGAAGCGACAAGAACTTTCAATCGATATCCGCCTGCGCGCTGCATGTCCTAGTGTACAGGTCCGAGTTCGCAGAAAAAGCTCAGATGCATCTCTATTCCGTCTATGCCATCCAGATATTAGGTAATTTCGCTTCGCCGCTCTTCTTTCCGGAGAGAGTCAACGCCGCCATCCAGATACTCGTGCGGACTCGAGAGTGTCTCCTAGCTGCAGCAGTAAACCCAGATCGCCAAAAATAAAAAAGTCCTCAACGCGTGAAAAGTTTGGTGTTTGCCAGATCTATTAACCTCAGGGAGTCTATTGACCTACTCCGCTGATTTATTTGGCGATCTCGACACCACCGACGGCTCCCAATGCCTATAGAATTTCGTTAGCTCGCATCATAGGCATGGAAGTATCCATCATCACTAACCTTCTTGAGATCACCGTAGATGGCGAATTGACCGGCGGTCAAGGTACCGACCATGAAGAGACGGGCGCCGATACCGCTGAATGATCCCTTCAATCCGAGCTCACCAGCAATCTTGATGAGACGGCTGACGGTACCCTCACCAGGAGCACCCTTGGTCTTGTTGATCTTTGAGAGCATGGTGTCGGCGGGCTGGGAAACAATGGCGGCAGCGAAACCGGCGATCAAACCAGATCCGAGGTTGATGGCAGTGTTCATGCTGGCGCTGGTGGTGGCGCGGTCGAAGATGTTGGCGTAAGCGTACTCGGCGACCTTCTCGTAGACGACGAACTTGGTCATGGTGTAGGGAACCCTGTGATGATCGGTGTCAGCCCGGTGTTTTCGTGTAGTCTCGTTCGTTGGATTTAAACTTACTGCTTGAAAAGAATGGGTCCAAATCCAGAGTAGAGAGCACCGACACCCTCAGTGCTGACGATCTTGCTGAAACCGGACACGAGACCGGTCGCAAACTTGGGGTCGGAGACCATGCGGATACGGGTGGCCTCGAGCGGGCACAGAGCGATATCAGCGAAGAACTCACCAGCCGCGGATGAGGCAAGGTAGACGGCGGTACGGTTCTCCTTGGCGGTCTCGTAGCCAACGAGGTTGATGGATTGTTGCTTGAAGAACTCGTATCCTCCGAACTTGAGAGAACCCTGGAGGAAGTAACCGGCGAAGGTAGGTCCGAAACCGGTCATGAGAGCGCCAGCACCCTCATTCTTGACGACCTGGCTGATGCCACCAATGAGACCGCGGTTGTAGGTGACGGGGTCAAGCTGGATACGGGTCTTGACGCTGAAACGGGGAACATGTCAGCCGCTGAGCATGGCAATGCGTGATTGAAGAGAGAGTTTATGCGCCGTCCGAGATGTCCATCTTCGTTCCTCCTCTTCTCATTCTTCATCCCGGCTAGCTGGTGAAGTCGTCGAGCTGATCCTGCAACTTACACATCAATGGGAGTGAGGGCACCGTGGGTGACGGAACAGCAGACAGCACCGGCGAGGGCGAATCGCGAGTAAAGGCTGAAACCGGAGAGCTTCTCGGGGTTGACGGCGGCCTCAACCTTCTGCTTGACAGCGTCGAGCTTGTTGCTGCCGGTGGAAACTGGGGGAGCGCTCATATTGGCGATATGTGAGGAGCTGAGGTGAGACGGAGTGGAGAGATGGATAGATACACGCGAAAGGTGTATGAAGATGATTGATGCACAGAAGTTGGTGATGGCAGAACAATGGAGATACAGAGAGATCACACAGGTCTGACAGATATTCTTTTTCGGCAACGGTCGCTCACTGTCACAACGCTTCTCTCGAAAACAAGCCGGGAAAGTTCACCGTAGCTTGCCTGAGTTTCCCAACCACCACCGAGCTCCGAGCCCCAACCCTCAACCAATCACCTCAGCTTGCGCTCCGGCGTGCGCCTGGCGTTACTATTAATCTTCCGTGGCGGCCACGCCCGAATCCTTGGTACTTGTTTTATCCATACCCTTAATCATTTATTCCATTCAATTTAACTATTCGTTCACGATCGCCCTGATTTCATCGTCTGTGAATGATTTTAGGCACGGTAATGTCGCAACTCCTTTTGCCGCATTTGGTACTGGTCATCCCTTGACGGCTCCTCCAACAGCTTCTGAGTATGCTCTGCTCGGCTGAGTTTGCCGGGACAAGCCCGACGAGCTACCAAGTGCCTTTGATTCTTCTAGAGACTAGGCTTAATAGTAATACCCGGCTCGGAAGATATCTTGAAAGTCGGCTAAAGACCGTCTCACGCGACATCCGGCAGTCTGCCGAAATACCACCGTATACGCCATGGGCACGCCATATACACGGTTTTTGAGAACCTCAAGTCAGACATCTTGTCCCAAAGTGAATCAGAAGATCGTCATGTGAGCTGCTCGTGCTCTAACAATCCCGCTTCTGTGACAACCGTCTTCTCAGCGATGACCTTAAATCGTCTGGAACCTCCAAGCTCATGGCAAGAACATTCCCATTCCATGCTCGGTACAGGTGAGCAACCTGCCATATGTAGGCATCCCTAAGCAGGCCCGGGGCCTATCTATTGGTTTAGGCATGCGCCTTGTGCTTCCACGTGGCTCAGTATGGCGATTTCGTTCAGCGCATAGCACTCTGAAGGCGTACGGACAGCAATGCCAAGCAGCTTGAAATCTGGTGATGCAAGTGGGGAGATGTTTGATCACGGCGTCAAGCAGAACAAGTGCGAGGGGCCGACACCTTGCTCGGCTAGATCACGCGAAGACAACTCTAAGCGCCTTGTCTAGTTTCGAGGAGCTGTGCTACCTCTTTGGCTTGAATAAGCAGACAACTGACACCAACAGGATCGATTGTTGCATTCCGATTAGCTGACCAAAACCGGCATACCAATTGGCTCACACTATAGTGCTTCGCTGGTCACTGATCTATGCCAGGGATATATCTTTTGCCTTGTGTAACCAATGTTCTACATACACGCGCGCCAGACCCTGGACACATTACTCCGGTCAGGTAACACGAGTTTCGAGACTAAATCATGGAAATTCAAGATATCCGCAAACCACATTCGTCAGCTTCACTATCAAACACGAAATCAAATAGCTCCTCCTGCGGGGAATTCAAATGCTGCCAAGCACGAGTCGAAGCGCCTTGCATTCATTTATGTCCATTGTAGCCATTCCTCAAGGATTCCGAGGAAGTGCATTGGCCGACGCCATACTTCGAATTCACCCAAGAGCCCAACAAGACATGATGATAATCGTGACTACCGCCGGCGGCAAATCGTCGCTGTCGTAGAATGTCCTTGCAACCGCTGACGCGTATGCAAGCATCACCACTCGTGTCACTCCTTCCATGAGTGTACATTGTTATCGCTGGTCGTTACGACGAATCATGGAGAGCGACTTCGTGTTCTGGAATGTGCCATCGTTCAGTACGAACAGATTCATCACGAATACGTATCATGTACAGCGATGTAGAGAAACTCACACAAATCACATAAAGTTGTCGATTCCGACGGCAAATATGTCCTTCTCTCTCAGATAATCATCATCATCTCCTTCAAAGGCCACGAAATCAGGCCATACGATCAATAGGGAATTCTGCAATAATGGCAGGAAGCTCAACCAAGGACACACACATGTTAATTGAAACCTCTTCAGATGGTCGCCAATCATCGAAAGACTATGTGCCGCCCTTTGATAGGCATCCCAAGGTGCATCCTCGATGTTTTCTGGGTGCCGAGTGTACCGAAAATCATAGCAACAAAAGCAGGCCGACAATCCCTTTGCGAAGCATAGAATTCTGCGTCGTTTGCCTTCGCCTCGTCTCGCAGAAACCATTCAAGCCTGAGGGATTTATCACCAGTATGTGCAAATTGTATATCAAAAACATGAGTCCCCATCATTCTGATTTCACTCAGTCGTGCCATTTGACGGTACACCACGCAAAGCAATAATCCTTCGACACAGCGATTATGAAAGATGTTCACAATTTGAGTGCTGCGATGCAAGTTGGGATGTATTGAATGCCGTGGTGATATGCCGCGGTTTATGCTCATTGCTTGCCCGCGAAATCTTGGACAAAGATCCCTACCTATTGCTCTTGCTGGGAGAATTGTTGAAACCAGCGGATTTCCGTCGAAGTTCTGTCGAGAAGGCCTACTCGGATTTGTTGAAACGTCTGACCAGGGTGGAAGTTGTTCAGCGCAGCCAATTGGACATTGAGGCCTCCCTCAATGCGCTGCTGAAGTCGCTGCCGCTGGAGCTACACCAGGATATTCTTTCTTTGGCCTGGAATTCCAAGGCCTGGCTCACCTATGTCTATGACAATCATATCAAGCCCTTCTTGGAAGCCGAGCGGAACAGTCTGAAGTACAAAGAGCACATGGCACTGGAACACCCACATGACATATCACAGACTGTCGAGAACATTACGCAATCCGAAGTGAAATTTCTCGGGAAATCCTACGTTGCTATCGAGCATCATGAGTATGATGACATCGGAAGTGACGACGAAGGCGAAGACGAACACGGAAAAAAATGGAAGGAATGGAAGGGTTGGTATACTGCTAAAGGGAATGAGAAGCTTGTGATCTCGTTGGACAACATTGGATGTCGCGCGATTAATGTCTTGGGCGATCCAGAAACTCCGCGAGGGTTGAGATATCGCGTATTCAAGAAAGACGAGATGATGAGTTTGTGGTGTAAAGTATGGTCAACATCGAAGCATTCAAAGCTGACAGTGACTAACGAGCTGACCAGGGCGCATTAATTGGGGATATAGTCCCCCGGTACGCTCGTCACCGTGATCTCCAATGGGGATTAGATAAGAGCACTGGCGGATACTTTCCCTGGTCGACGCCGGGAATTTACGACGTTCATGCGAGCTTCACTGGCCCACAAAGCTCGAGTCACATATACACCTTCCTAGTGACCACATATCCTGTCCCTGCAAATCTCTCAGCAATTACAGTTGGGCTCACGAGTTATCGCAAGATTATTGAAGTCTTACAATTCCACGACGAACAGGGCAAAGGCACGAATATGAAGGGGCTACTCAATCTTCTCCCCTTGGGGATGAGTTTGGACGATTACTTGTGGATACATTTTCCGCTCTGGAAGGACGAGAAAATCAAGCAGATTCATGTCAGACACAGACGTGGAAATGATTTCTTCCATCTGAAGAAAGTGGACCCGCCCTTTAGGATCGACGAAAACACTCTTATCGTGAGTTTCACCCGGAGTGTCCTGACTGTGGGAATCAAGCTGACTGAACTGCTAGATTGAAACAACCCAGGGCAGATTTTGTCACCTGGGTCCTTATATACCTCTTGAGTGGCGAAAGTTATCGGACAATCTTCTTGACGACCTTCATCTCAACCACGACGACGATTTAATGAACGAACACAACGATGATGAGGATGACGACGATGAGGAGGACGACGACGACAACGATAACGGTGTCAGTGATGACCATGACGGCGATGCCGATGATGATGATGATAACGTGATCGTTGCCGACCATGAAAATTGGCGCGAACGAGGTTTGAAATCGTTTCGCATGTCTTCTCTGCTACGTGGTGGCAACAAGTCGAAAACCATCACACATCTGCATTTGACCGAGAGCAGAGAAGGAGAGCAGCCTGTCATGTACGTGGCGTTGACATTGGATCGGGGATCTAAACCTTTGGACTTCTACAAAGATGACAAACATGACAAAGACTCCGAGTTAGCAGTCCGTCATAAACAAATCATCTGGCAAAATACGTTTTCTCCACCACAGCCCTCACGTGAATGGACCCGAGCCGAGCTAGAGGTCCTGAGTGAGGCTGACATGGGGAATGTCAGATCATATCGCTGCCAGGACTTCCTTTACATATCTAAACCTCCTGCAGAACCCAAGAGCCTCTGGCATTGCATCGGCATGATGCTAGAGACATCCAACGGCCCAATTGTTCTTGGGCAGTGGATACCGGACGACATCGCCAAGCTCCAGGACGGGCGATTGAAAATACGCGGGCCTTTCTCCGCCGAGGGAGGCATCCGGTTCTCCACCGAAACGGGTTCGGACCTCTACAAAGACCCTGGTCCGATCTTTGTCAACAAAGCAGTCATTGGGAGCGCGAGCATACACGCAAACGCTGACACTATTATTTCATGGTGGGCCAACCACGATGCTAACGGACCGCGAAACAGGCTGCAAGTGAGGAACAAGTTTCAGGATGTTGAGATGACGGGTTAGGACAAGACTGCTGTGCATGCACAAGGGTTAAGTTATCATCAGCAACAATGGCGTGCCGTTGGGACATAAGAGGGGGTTGGATTGTTAATTGATGCTAGCCAAATAGCTGTTGCGCATTGAAAGTGAACGGTGACAATCCCTTTGACTTCCACATCGCACCACCGTCTGCCATCAACTCAGAGCTTCCGATGGAACTTTTCGCATCATGATTTCATCCTTTTTGACCAGTCGACCCAGCCACTCTGCAACAGCAAAACTTGACAAAGTAGTAGATCAGCCATCGCTACCGCTCAACGCCGATGCCATACTAGCATTGCAATGGAAAGGCGTTGCCATTCTCTGCCTCTCGAGGCCCTGCTGAAATCAGCAATGCCTCTGAACTTGTAACCTCTTCTTCTTGATGAAGAAGTCGTATTTTTCCGTGATGCGCGCTCTGGCTGTACATACCCGGAGGCTTTCATCTGTGATCTCTGAACGAGATCGAGCCGGTGCATCAGCCAAGTACTGGCGGCCCAGAAGCATGTCGGCATGAGTCGCGTATAGGACCTCGCGCGCATCTCACTCTCGGGGCGTGCGGCTTGATAGTTTCAATTCGTCCCTCACTTATCTCACCGCAAATCCGGCTCCATCATCCACGATGCGAGTTTGATATTATTCGGCACGGTATGTTGTGTTTTACGCTTCGTATGTGAAGGCAGCACAAAAGGCCGACTCTTCTCCGCCGGTTTGTCGTCCACGCGTCGAATATCCTGACTCTGATCCCGAGCGAACAGCTGCACGGCGCGAAGATGCGTGTCTTTGCCGTTCTGATGGTTTTCTAGGATACGCACTTGGACGAGAAAGGCGCGAAGCACGGGTCGTTTGCTCCAGTCGATGTCACGCGGTACTTCGTCATCTTCATTCTCCTCGTCATCGTCTTCGATGGGGCCGATGCTCGTGAAGTCCACGTCGATCCAACCTGTCGGTCGATCGAAGGACATTTCTGCGAATTCTTGAATGTCGTGGACACCCATGCCGGCTAGAAATTGGATTTTGGTCGGAGTGTAGGATTCATCATTTTGGAAGTCGAGGAAAATACGCATGTGTACGATCGAGACCAATTTGAAAAAATGGATGCTGAGCAGATGCGGCTGTGGACCGTCGGATTGCCAGAAGAGACTCGTATCAGGCGAACGTAATGCCGCAACACCGTTGCCTGGCTTGGCTGTGCTGACAGTCCATGAGGCGAGAGAGGAAATCTCCTTCAATCCAGGAGGAGGGAAAATGTCATCTTCGAGGAGTTGCCCCTCCAGCTCTGCCGGAAAGGTCAATCTACGGAGATCGATACCATTTGCATGAGATGTAGGATCCCACCTTGCTCTGAGCCTTCTTGGTCGTTGGCTTCGTCGTCGATTTCTTCGTTGATCGGCTCGGGTGATGCATCGACATCTCGGTTTGTGACTTCGTCGCTCGCGATGTCGTTATCGATTGTAGAGACGTTAGTTTGCTCCAGCTCCGCACGCGCCCGCGCTTGCCTACGGGTTGAGGTAGGCATTGTTCTGTGTTGAATTTACCTCCGCAAGATCTACAATGTCGAAATGAGAAAGGTGGGTTTCAAAAGTTCTAATAGCATCAAGCATACAATGAGCGTTCAAATTATTATGAATGGCAAACGCGACCCGCTGGCACATGTAGGACATCCACAAATAGATGCCATTCCGTAAACAGGAATTTCGAGAATGGTCGCAGGTCCGGGCAAAATGTTAGCGCGTTGCGAATTTCGGCTCACTGTCCGCTCGCGTGCGCCGCCGCGTCTCTCGCGAAGGCCTGTGACGTGACCTGGAAATCTACATGTTTCAAGATTCTGCAACCACGTAGAATATTGTTTTCTGGCCGTGAACACGCCAACATGAAGAAGGCGGCGCAACATGAGAAAGATGCCGACTTGGACAGCGAGAATGAGGAATACGACGAGAATGCCGATGAAGACTTTAATCCCGATGAAGTAGCCGCACAAGACGACGACAAATCTTCGTCATCAGAAGACGAAGAAGATGCCAAGCAGCCCACGAAACCGAAAGGGAAATCTGCAAAGGCGAAAAGGAAATCCGATGTAATTGAAGAAGAGTTAGATTCTGGAGATGAAGCGACCATACGAGAACGTCGGAAAAAGAAACGGAAGAAGGATGAGGATGAGGACGGGGAGGAAAGTGCTGGCGAAGGCGGATTCATTCGAACACGAGCACAACGATATGCTGAGTGAGTAGTAGAGTTCTGGTGGACATGAAGGTCAGGAACTGATACCTTCGCAGGAAAGTAGAGCAAAAGCAGAGAAGGCACGCCACTCTCGGTCATGTCACGGTGGACGTTGACAAGCTATGGGCAGAGTTGAATAGCCTACCTGTGGGTAGGATATCTATTTCGGACACAAATTCAACGGAGGATAAATCTGCAAAGCCAGATGGCGCAGAAGGTCGAGACAAAGATTCGAAACCCACTCAATCCAAGGACGATCTCATCACAATTAAGAAGCGGATTCGCTATGCAGGAGAGGTCACTGAAGTTGAAGAGCAAGTCCCTCGAAGCTCAAAAGAGGCCCAGAAATATCTCGCTGAACACCCCGAGGCTGATCCAAATCACGCGCTTCACTCCATCGACCCCAACGGTTTACAGCGACCAATGAAGCGTCCATCGATCTTCGAGCCAAATCCTAGTAGTCTGGTCAAGGGCGTCGCGCCGGAGAATCTACGGCCTCGAGCGCCGAGTCGCTTCGATGTCAAGCGCATGGAGGAGGAGAAGAGAAAGAAGGCATTGAAGATGAGCACGGTACAGAAAAGTGCGCTGGATTGGAAAGGCTTCGTCAATCAAGAGGGCTTGCGCGACGAGCTGGACGAATACGGGAAAAGTAAGAAGGGATTCATGGCACGAGAGGCTTTCCTGGATCGCGCAGCTGGAGCACGCGAACAGGCGGCGAGGGAAGCTCGCTTGAAGCTATGATTGACGAAGTGATGCAATTGACCGCAGTCTGTTGCGGCGTTCAGGACCCGAGTGCGAAGTCCTTGTTGGTTTCTGCGAGCATTGTGATACCCCGGCCTTCGGCAATACTTTTTCCACAGAATGTGATTTTTCCTACAGCAACATCGAATTTTGACGATCATACGTCAGGGCTGCCCGGTGAGCGAACGTGCCCTGCGATAATCTGTTGCGACCGTTAACTCCACTTTGAAGTTGCAAAGGACATCCATTTACCTGCTGCTACTCGAACTGTAGAGCACCACATACGGTGTATCATCGCAACACGTGTTGATTGTCGGGACTAAAACTTCACATTCGCCTGTCGATCAACAAGTGAAGGACCGCGGCTTGATTTTTAGGCTCGGCTACTTTGTGGATCTACAAAATATTGTGCATTTGCAGATCTTCGCACGAACAGTGATGCACTGCTGTGCTATAAAATGTTCAACAACCTTGGAAGTTCTTGACAAGAGGCACTAAAGACAGTGCTTTCCCAAAGGACATTGTAGGTGAGAAGACATATGTGCGATTGATGTGCTATGCTCTCCCGACAACGGATTCGTTGCGAGCCTTGGAAAGTGTAACAAGAGAGACGTCAGGCTCATGTGCTTTAGTTTTCATGCGCAGTTCCTGTCGTCCTTCCGCATTGATGCAAAACATCATTCGAGCTAAAGACTCCACCGCATGCATGTCCGTTTTATGACTTCCGGTCAACCCGAGATCTTCACGACTATCAACGTCAACCCCGCCTCCAACTAAATGCAGCCCGACACCAAGAAATACTTGGCTTTTTCCGATTAACGCCGATCACAGACATGCATACAGTTATCAATGGCAGCACGCGACTGGGCCGATTGTATGTAATACCAAAGATAGATCGATAGATAGACGTGGAATCGTACTCCACATGGTCTTACTCGACATATTGACTCATCGTTGAGATTCTTCTTCTGCACAACTTCGCTCTGTCCATTTGGGTCAAATTGAGACGCGCGCACGTGGCTCCCAGCGCATTGATACGACATCATTGTCCTCTTCAGCGGTCATTCTGACGAAACCGCGCACACAACTTGGCGACACTACCATTATTCTCCGAGCCCTCGGAAGCGAACAACATATCCAACAGGCGACAACCAGACAGTCGCTTCGCCCATCCGGTGCAACTTCGACCTTATCGCAGTCACACAACTTTTGTGGAAGGAAGCTCCTTCGCCCGTAGACATGGGTCAAGACGTGATTGAGGAGGCGGAATTGAACGCACATGCGACCAATAACGGACACCTCACAAATGGCACATCGGGAGACGTCGCACACAATGAGAGTGACCAGACCGATGAGAACATCTTTCTCTTCGTCCCGAACTTGATCGGTGGGTGTTCACGAGTCGTGGAATGTCACGGCCCACCCAACTTGGCCGTGTCCATTCTTGGACCTTATCGATCGAGACCTGACATTTGAGATTGCAGGATACTTCCGCATTGTCCTCTGCCTTGCATCGCTCTACTTCATGCCACTGCACCCGCGACGCTGCAGCTTCCTCTATTCCATCTCATGCCTACTCGACGCTTTGGATGGTATCGCAGCGCGGAAGTTCTCACAAAGCACGCGCTTTGGCGCTGTGTTGGACATGGTCACAGACCGATGCGCGACAACTTGCTTGCTGGTCTTCTTGGCCACGGCGAAGCCGGCCTACAGCATGATCTTCCAAGGTCTGATCTCGCTGGACCTGGCTAGTCATTACATGCACATGTACGCAACTCTGGTCATGGGAGGACAGACACAGAGTCACAAGAACGTCGACGCCAAGAGGAGCAGGATCATGAATCTTTACTACAGCAACAAGGTGAGCTTGATAATCATATGAGCGACTGCACATTCCGTTCAGTCAAGACTGACTACCTAGATGCACGCTGTGACTATCGATTGCTGACTGACAAACCTCTCAGACTGTCCTCTTCGTCACTTGCGCTCTGAACGAGCTCTTCTTCATCGCGCTCTACCTTCTCTGCTTCAGCTCGCCCATCATCACGCCTGCTTTGAAGTGGCCCGCGGACGCTGGCACCAGTCCCACATCGCCGAGCGCACCAACACCGTCTTTGTTCTTTCCCAGCCCGTTCAGCGCCGCGGCCATGGAGATGGCCCGAGCCAACAAGATGGACTCATTCGTCCCGTGGGTACTTACCATCGGAAGTTCACCCGTTATGCTCTTCAAGCAGTGGGTGAATGTGGTCCAGCTCGTCAAGGCGAGTAAGTGGCTTGCAGAGGGTGACCGAAAGGATCGCAAGAGAATGGGCCTGCCGAAGAAGAGCACGATCGGTCTCGCCAATGGGAAGAAGAATCTTTGAGGTCGATCTGCTCAGTGCTCGATGCGACGAGGCATCTATTGGATTTTGGTGATCACATTTGCACATTCAAACTCTTGCTGGGTTGATTATTTCGACTATCTGGCGCCTTTCCACCCCGCTGGAATGATGTTGCGATGCGAGGGGTGCAATTGTTCACACGGTGATGCGGCACAGGAGTGACCTGCATCGATTACGCATCTTATGCGCGTGATTGGCTGGATTAAGCTTCGCATGAGACTTTCTTTAAATCTTGCCTCTGTCATTCCAGCGCCGAGGCGCTTCTAAACAAAACTACCACCAGCTGCAAGACAAGCAGATTTGCTGGCTTCGACAGGATTGCACTGAATCAAAACGACCACATGGCTCTACCTCGAATCCGAGCCTGTCTTTTCGACATGGACGGCCTGCTGATCAATAGCGAAGATCTCATAAGCAAGTCCATCAACGAGATCCTCGCCAAGTACGGCAAACCACCCTTGCCTTGGTCTGTCAAGACTCAGCTCCAAGGTCGCGCTCTCCCCGATGCAAGTAAAATCCTCCGCGCCTGGGCCGACCTTCCCATCACCGATGCCGAGTATCAAGCCCAGCTCAAAGTTCAGCACGCCACATGGTTTCCGACCTGTGCGCCACTCCCAGGCGTTGAGCAGCTCCTCGCGACCCTTACTGCGGCATCAAATATGGAACTGGCCCTTGCCACAAGCTCCTCCCGGGAGAAATTCGAGCTCAAAACAAAGCATCTACAGACCCTGTTTGCCGCGTTCCCTCCCGAACGTCGCGTCCTCGGCGACGACCCGCGCGTGTCTGCCCACAAGCCCGCCCCGGAAATCTACCTCGTCGCGCTCAAATGCATCAACGACAGTCTCGAGCGGCAAGGCAAGGCCGCCATCCGGCCCGAGGAGTGCTTAGTCCTGGAAGACGCCATTTTGGGCGTCGAGGCCGGCAGAGCGGCGGGGATGCAGGTACTCTGGTGTCCGCACCCGGGGCTGTTGGAGGAGATTCGAGAGGGTGGACGTGGTGAGGAGATCCTCAGCGTGGCGTCGCGAGCCGAGATCCCCTTCGACGCGGTGTTTCGGCGTTGCAAGGCGGGTGGTGTTCCATTGTCGAAGACATCACAGTCCGATCATCGTGAGTGGGTTCGATTGGTCGACACTTTGGAGGAATTTGACTACACATCGTATGGCATTGAGGTGGAGAGTCGAGAGTGAAGTTTAGGGTGCATCATATCTGGGGATTGTCTATACACAATTATAGCCTCATGACGTAGTACCCAAGTGCCATGTAGGATTCCATAAAAATCGCATTCGAGCCATCGTAATCGTGTACTGACCCGCCGAGATCGTCAACATTGCATGACCACAAAGGTACCCAAGGTATGCTTCTGCAGCTACTTCCCAGGATACAGAGAGGATAGTGTATCAGTATGTACCCTGTAGACAGTTGTCCATAGTAACAATCTACATTACAGGAGTACTACAGGAGGAACACCAAGCGAGAACGACGTACAGTATAACAGCGTGACAGCTTTTGATGATTCATTTCGATTCATTCTACTGTACTGCACATATTGTGGAGAAGGGTTCGTCTTTCACCTGTCGTGTGATTTCCATTTCCACCTGCATCCTTTGCCGAGGCGAACCTCTCTCCCTGACCGAGTCCGTGCACCCGCCACCACCACCATCACCAATGCGCTAAAGGGGGAGCTTGACGAAATTTGGGAGGCTGCGAATGTCTATACCTAGGTACAGTAGTTACGTACCGGACATACAGTTTGCAGAGCATGACACGATGTGTAGTCTGCCTCCATATGTGATATATACTCTCCTGTGCTGTACCCGCCTCTCGTCGCATGCGACATGGCTGAGGGAGAGAGGGAGACAGAGAGCTGTGCTCTCTGTGGCGCAGAATGGTTATACTGTACATACACCTGGGCAGCCCTGGAGTGATAATGATATGGAACTGTAAATCGCCCACTGGGGTTTTCCCCGCGGGTCCAATGGGAACGAATGGGGAAGAAGGTCGCGGGAACACGGATCGGTCTATTTAGCAAGCTCATCATCAGACATCTCGCCGAATTTATTACACTGCGCCTCAAAAAAAAGATTGGCTGACGATTGGCGATATCGTGCAGCATGTAGTATGTGCAGTGCTGTCCTTTGTGCGCAGAGAAAGCGGTCCCCCCTCCCCCTGGCTGTGCATAAAAACAAGAATAATCTGCTGGAGATTGGATGGGAAAAAAGGGGGTCGGATTTCTGACCCGCAGAGATGATCGCTGCGGGAGTCGGGGTAAGCAGATGCAGAAGCCCACAAATTTCGCGAGCCGGCAGCAGGCCGTGTCGTGTCCATCATTTGGGTCCTGGGGCCATTGTTCGGGGTCTCATCCATTATTCGCTCTCACATATCATTCTCGCCCGTATAGGTAGAGGCGACGGGATGGAGAGGCAGGAAAAGATGCCGATTGCAAATCAAATACTGTATGTGTTGTAATGACATATAACATAGTCGCGGTTGATCGTCAATGCTGCTGCGGGATACTACACTGCACATGGCTTAAACCCTCTCTCTGTGCCTGATCGCAATAACCTTGGAAGCCAGATACCGAACCCTCTCTTCTCCGCTTTCCGCTGTGTGCGATAAGTTTGGTCCTTTCCGGGGCTGCAACAACTTTGACAGCTTCTCCAATTGGCGCGTGTCTCGCTTGCTCGCCTCTCTCACACTCAACTGCAGAGAGACCATCTTTTTTTCGTCTCTCCTTCCCTCGCCGATTGAACCTCGAATGTGTTCGTCTTCTCCCCCCAATTGCTTCGTTTCATCGCATTCGCATCTTGACCCTCGTTGCCATTGAGTGCGCGAGCCTTTCACACCCTCGAAAGGGACGACGATTTTGACCTCGTCTCCTTGGGCACAGCGACCTTTCTTCCAATTCATCACCCATCTATCGTCTCCCTGATCGCTACGCCCGCATCTACCACCACCTCTACCCGCTCGCTTCCATCGCCGCCGTCATGGCCGAGGAATCCAAAGGCATCCTCGACATGGGGGGACCGCAACCGCCGCAGTCCATTGGCACCACCGCCGGCAAGCTCGTCTCCGGCCTCATCGACATCCTCAAGCCCGAGATCCTCACACGTCGCAAGCATTCCGGTGGTGTACGACGGACAAAAACCGCATGGCTCGATGGTCTTCGCGGTACGGCGGCCTTCTGTGTCGCTCTGATGCATTTGACCGTCTACACCCACGCCGGCATCGAGCACTGTTACGGTGGTCAGACATACTTCAACCAGTACAACACCAGCCCGCTCGCTCTGCCCTTCATCCGAATCCCCTTCACCGGAGGTCATTTCGCCGTCACCGTCTTCTTCGTCATTTCTGGATACGTCGTTCCTCGCCGTCTGATCTCCCTCATCAACGAGGGCCGTCGGGATGAATTCATCGACTCGGTTCAATCCGCCATCGTCCGCCGTCCCATCCGTCTCTACGTGCCCGTCATCCTCTCCACCGGATGGTTGGTCATCATGTGGCACTTCTTCCGCGTCACCACCGCCTGGCCGACGGTGCAGCCGACCCTCCTCGGCGAGTTGAAGATGTGGGTCGTGGACAACTTCAAATTCATCTACATCCACCGCATCGGTTGGTTGTTCACCTACTACAACGTGCACACCTGGACCATCCCTGTCGAACTGCGCGGTTCCATGTGGATGTTCGTCTGGCTCTTCGCCTTCCACACCGTCGGCACGCGCTACCGAATGCTGGCCACCCTCGGCCTCGTCATCTACCTGGTCATGGGCGCGCCCGCCGCTCAGTACGCCTGCTTCTTCGCCGGTATGCTCCAGTCGGAGATGGACATGCTCGCCGAGAGCGGCGCCAACGTCCGCTTGCCCTGGGACCCGATCACGAAATTCATGCGCGAGCGCCCGAAGTTCCGCATGTTCGTCTACCACATGCTCCTGCTCGGCGGTCTCTTCTTGGCCGGTCAACCCGCCTCCGATCAACACGACCGACACGAACTGCTCGGAAACTGCCCGGGTTGGGGCCCGCTCCGTTGGTTCATTCCTGCGGTCTACGACGAGCTCAACCAGTACCGATGGTTCTGGCTTTTCTGGGGTTCATGGATGGTCCTGGTCTCCGTCAAGGAGATCGCATGGGCCAAGTGGATCTTCGAGACCAACTTCTGTCAATGTAAGTCGAGATAATCAACCCGAGGAGGAGAAATCCCCGCCCCTTCAGTGCCGCGCTCCCCCAAAATCACCTCCCGAATCCTTCCCTCACTGACCATAATTCCCCTCAGATCTCGGCAAGCACTCCTTCGCCCTCTACCTCGTCCACGGCCCGACCATCGGCGTCGTCGGCGAGCGCCTCTTCTACCTCACCGGCCTCAAGGAGCCCATCACGCCCGAGACCAAGCTCAACTTCGGCCACTACACCAACGCGTGGAAGAACGCGCCCTGGTGGCCCTTCCCCGAGAAGGAAACCCCGGGCCTCGAGGGCGGCTTCTGGGTCTGCATCATCATCTGCATGCCCCTGTTCCTCTACCTGGCCGAGATCGGCACCCGCTGCTTCGACGAGCCGAGCGTGAGGTTCTCGAGTTGGGTGTGGCGCAAGATGAAGACGCTGAAATAGAGGGAGAAAATCAGGAGAGGAGAGGAAGGGTTTTGTCAGCAAAAATCCCTCCTCTTGTTTTTGGGCTTGGCTTTTTGTTCTGAAGCAGCAGCAGCAGCAGCAGCAGCAGCAGCAGCAGTAGTAGCAGCGGAATTCCCTTCCAAGGCGGAGGAGCAAATGGAGATGGTCGCAAGCACAGAACGCCAGCGCTCCAGAGCCCCCGGCACAACGAGCACGATCGTTCCCTTCAGAAACGGTCTCCTCCATCCTCCCTTGGGATCAACTTCAATTGGCCATCAATGGACCGAGCCCGTTTCGCATTTGTCTGGCGTGCAAGCCACTGTAGAAACAGAAACAAGAGAGGCGAAGAGAAAGTAAGAAGGAAAGAATCATGGCAGCCATTTTTTACTTTTTCCTCAATTGAAAACATTCGCCGCTGTGTACTTGTATGCTTAAATTGGAGTTTTTTCTCTCTTTCCCCGTTCGATTGTCCCTTGTCCTTTTCCTTTCCCTTTTTCATCGCAGTGAAAGTCGGACGTCTTGCTCTATATCATTAAACCGCCCCCTCTCCTTTCTTTCCCCCTTTTCCTTTCTTCCTCATTCACCTTTCTCGTTTCGATACTCTCATTACATGCCGGCACCCTCACCCTCGTCCCTTTGAGATTCCCAGCCTATGTGCCACATCCTCACCCCCTCCGATGACCCTTTCCCCATGATGATGATGATGTGACGGAGCACAGTCTGCCCGGAGCGTGAACCTCGCTCTTCCTCGCCGCCGCCGCCGTCGTCGTCGCTCCTCGGGAGTGCTCGATCTCCGTTCTGAACCCGCTTCGATACAGGAAGGCCACCACAGCAGGAGGATCCGATGTGACATCGAAAATGCCCTTCTGCCTCTCCCTTCGGCCGCCGACGACAGTCCCTGTCGATGACCAACCCCAACCCCACCAACGGCAATGATATGGAGATCATGAGAACGATCGATGGACAGCGAGGAACATCGTCCCTCCAGAAATGGATCTCCCACCTTTCTCGTCCCTCGCCGGCCCGTGTCTCCTCCTTCGAGAAAGGAGGTGGACTGTGCAGACAAGTGATCAGATCAGGTGCGATGCGCGTCCGCTCACCGATCGGAATGTAGGAATGCTCTTCGAAGTTCGTCGCGGTCTGCCTGAGGGAAGGCTCTTGGATTTCTATCCACCATATATCTACACGAGGAGATCTCGATCTACGAAAGAATGATATTCGACGCACAGCGTCGTGAAAGACGATGGCCTTTGGAAAGTCTCAAAATTAAATTCACGTAAACGAATCCCCGCGGCCTCATCCTCCATCTCCTGCGTTGCTCTTCGCAAACAAACAATCGCTGTCGCGCGCAAACATGCAGCGCGGCCATCACGGCAACCCTCCTCGCCGCGATGCTCGGGGCCTCCCATCGAAGGTGTTCCGCTGTCGTACTATACAAGAAAACCTCACCGAAGTTCCGCAAGTGAACATCCCAAAAGATCGGCCTCCGGTCCGCGTATGATACCCACGACCGGCTCGGAATGCGAGTCTCGCGGACTTGTGTCTCGACGAGTGATAATCGACTGGACGGACCACTCAGAGGCCCAGCTGTTCCATTTCTTCGACCAGGTCGTCGCCGCTTGCCCTGTCGTCGTTGGATGGTTGGTCAGACTCCTCGTCATCTCCGCGATCAGGCTCGTCGTGATCTTCGTGGTCGGACTCTTCGTCATCTTCGCCCTGTCGCCCAGGCATGATTGCGATGATTGCTTCGCCCGGGCGTAGGCCTGTATTTTGAAATTCGAGCAGCGCGGGCTCGACGATCCTCTCATACCAATGAGGGTCGCCGCCGAATTCGGCCCATTCCCATGTATGCACTACTTCGGCAGGAGTGACCTCCCACAGACAGAGCCAGTGATTCGGTGTGTAATCGGTTTCATACGGGCTTTCCACCTTGTAATTCGTTTTTTCGATCGAGAAGTCGAGGACAGGTAACCCGAGTCTGAACCGGGTTCGTGGGTCGACAAGCGTGAGTGACTGAGGCCCTCGCCGAGGTCTTGAGGCTCTGAAATATTCAAGCTTGCTCGCCTGCTCGGGGCTTGATGTGAATGATATGACTGGAGTGGCATGTTCCCAATTCTTATGGTCAATGTGCAATTCCAGCAGTTTCTTGCGAGTAGCGAAACTGTTCAACAGACAACCCGTGTCTCTTGCAAGCATCCTACGCGTGCGAGGATTTGGTATGCTACCCGACTGGCGGTCCCAGACGCGCAGGAGAGGTTTGTCCCACAAAGACGCGGCATGTTCATCTGCAGGGCCACCGGAGCTGTGAGACATCCGTTCCTCATCGCAACATGATCTGATGTGCAATGAGTGACGCTCGGGATGGCCGGGACAAAAAGGGATCCAGTCGGTCGAGCTTGGGTCGGTAAGACGTTCGACCGCAATGTCGTGCGTGAGAGTTTCCGGGACCTCCATAGCGCTCGTGATTTGACGAGCGTTTTGAAGAGAAGCGCGCGAAACAGTGAGCACGATTGACGTCGGCCTTTTGTATCCAATGCAGGTGGGGGGCTGCTACGAGCAGACAGCTATGCGTCTAATGATGCATGCTTTCACCGGTCGCCCAACACCCAGTTGTGACATGCGTAGGTATTCTCGAACTTTCCGCGCAATCGTGCATCCAGTGAAAGCGTCTTGAATAGATGCGTCACTCGCATTTCACATGCATCTATTTGTAACACCTGCATCTTGAACAGATGCGGCGTCTGCTGCTACCATCAGCCGACGGTTGTAGTTGTAAGGATTGCGGCATCCTATCTTTGGGCATTGCATTGGTTTCTAGGGAGGGTTCAATTGATACCATGGACTCCACCAAAACGCCTCGATGTTCTTCCTAGATGTGATCATCGGCATGAGTCTTGTTCGCCTCTATGAGCGAGGAAATAAAAGTTGTCGTGGAAGTGTACATGTCTTGCCACATCTCCCTTTCACCAGACACCACGCAATATCGCATGTTCCATTACATCAGTCGACCCAATACCCAGAAGTAGATGTAAAAGTCCCGCGTCTCCTCGCGAGACACAAATGCACAGGCGGTTGACAGAGCGACAACAGCTGAGGTTGGGGTTGGAATCCCAGACATGATAAATAGCGTTGCCCCGACCTGGAAATTGCGTAGACCCTAACATCAGACTACACCTCACCTGCCCGGCCGGGCCCACAGGTCCAGTCCACGGGTGCGGCTGGTAGGTAGATCCGCAGTAGCCAAAGGGACGTCGTTTTCGGAACAGCCTGAATGAAGTGCAGGAGGAAAAGGCAAGCGTGAAAAACAAGCCGAGGGGAGAAGAGACATCATAGAGGGGAAGTGGTGGACAAAGCGAGAAAGGAATGTCGTGTCAAAGCTCCTCTTATTATCGAAGTAAGATGAGAAAGAAAGAAGTGATAACAATCCCAAGGAACTCCAGAACCCACATTCCCTTTCCCAGGAGAAAGAAGCCACATGAAAAAAGAACAGCAACAACAGCAACGGCCGAACTCCCAAGACACCAATCCTCCCTCCGTCAGCCTCTGTCCCCTCTGCCTCATGACACGAACACAAATGCAAACACATGAACACACATTATAAATTAGACCCACAACTTCCGAGACTCAATGAAGGAAAGAAAAGTCCTCTAACAGATGATGCTCTCCCCCAGATAGCCCAACTCCGCAAAGAGCAGATCCTCCTCGTCGTCGGGATATTCCAAGGACGACGACGACGCATCGTTCCCGATTCCACCGTTACTGCCGCCCACAACTGCGCCACTGATGCTGGCGTGATGGGGCCGAGGGTGTTCCGCACGGATATCGTAATGCTGCACGACGATTTTTCTCTCCAGCAGCGGCGGGGAGGGCACGGTGGCGTATTGGGGTCGGAGGCGGACGTCGCCGAAGCGGGTCTGCTCTTCAGAGGAGGGAGAGGAGGAGGGATTCTCGGTCCTGGGATGTGAGGAGAGGAGGGCGCTTGGGTGGAGGCTTTGGTCGTCGTAGTCGTCGTCGTCGGAGTGGGAGTGCGGGTTGATCGAGTCGTCGTCATCGTCGTCGTCGTCGTCGTCCTCGGCGCCGAAGACGATCATGTTTTGTAGTTGGGCGCGCTCGCCCAGGTTGCTCTCTGAGCCGGTTCCTGTGCCGAGGCGACTCGCGCTTGCGCTTGTGTTCGGGTTGGCCTTGGAGGTTGTGTAGGTGTAAGTGTTCGCGTAGGTGTAGGCGGTCATGGTTGAGACCGAGGAAGTTGTTCTGCGGAGGGCGGCGGAGGCGGACGCCGGTGGTGGGGGAGGTGGGGTTGCGGGAGGTGGACGCGTTGGTTGAGAGGTTCGGGGGCGGAAGGCCGGGTGCATTGTTGTGTAGTCGCGCGTTGAGGAGGGGAGTGGGGGAGATAGGATGGGTAGCGGCGTGGTTGTTATTTGTGCTGTGGTTGTTTTTGATGTCGTTGTCGGCGGCGCAGGAGGTGCTGTTGTAGGTACAGGTATGGGTGCAGGCACAGGAGGCGGAGGGGGGAGTCTGGTCGGTGATGGAGGGTGAGTCAGTGGCTGGGAGGGTGGCTCGATGGTGGATGTATCGCTGGTGCTGAGATCCGCGCAGGATGTCTCAGTCACCAGAGAAGGGGGATATGCGCCCGGCGGAGAAATAAAGACTGTCTCAGCGAGTGCGGCTGTCGCTGTCGTGACGGAAGCGTACGAAGCGATTCGCTCGATGAAGGATTCTCGTGCGACCTGTGGCGACTCGAAAGAGTATTTGGGCGTACTCGTGAGCATATCGTCCAGGGTGGTGCGGTATGAGGACGGGCTGGAGGGCGCTGTACTTGCGATGCTGTTCTTACGGTCGTCGGGACTGAGAAGAAGATCCTCATTTTTGACGACAAGACCGACGATTCGGTCACCTGTTGCAGCAGTGGCGGTTTTAGGTCGTGGACGAGAAACCGCGTGAGATTCGAGTTGTTTCGGTGAGATGGGCTTCTCCAGTGCGGTCACGGTAGACATGTCCAGAGCCGTCGTGTTGTTGATATCGATGTCGAAATCGATCTCATCCGTGGGAGATGGTAGACGGCCGAATGTGGAGATCGGATTGAACATGGTGGTTGTCATGGGCGTTCTCGGACCGTCGCTGGAACTTATGGTACATGCAGAAAAGGTCGGCGTGAGGAGCATGGCAGAAGATCCAGCAGAGTCACGGTGGTGCGCCGGGGCTTCGTGAGGCTGATGAAGACGACGATGGCGCGAAAAATCAATTGCACTTCCCCTCCTGCCCGAGATGACGTTTCCGCCGACGAGCGCAGCAGCCGTCTGAGGCGTTAATAATTGGAGGCCACAACCGGGATATGAATGTCGAGCTGCTGCACGACCGCCTGGACACAACTGTGGCCGAATAGGCGAAGGCGCGCCCTGAAGGGTGAGGTTTGGCTGAGAGTAGATATCAGGATGACCTTGCCGTTGTTGCGTTGGAGGGCTGTCGCCGATGGTAGAACGAATCGAGCCGGAGATTGTAGTATCCGGTCGAGGCGGCGAGGCCAGTGAGGTGGAGTCCTGACGACCAGCGGATTTTGGTCGGTTTTGTAGAGAAACCGCATCGCTCTCCCGGCTGGGAATAGCAAGGCGTAGAGGAGAAGCGGCTGCGACAATCGATGCAATGACTTCACCATCCTGTCCCGAGTCGCGACGTTCTTCGACCGCCGGCGTTTCCGCCAAATCTACCACGCGCGGCGAATTGGGTTCTAGATCATCGATATCGTCCTCGCAGGGAAAGAGCGTCGCGGCGAGCAGGTCGATCGAAGTCAACGGCGACGCGCCCAAAACATTAGGGTAGGGGTATTCTGGTTTCAGAACGTGTTTCGCTCGGGAGGAGAGTCCTCGTTCCTGCTCGGCATGCGCGTTGACCAGAATCGCCACATGTTCATCGCTGTCGTCGCAGACAAAAGAGATCGGCGCGGAACCTGGAGCAGAGCGACCTCTGCTCATATCAGTGCTGTCATGGCGAGAGCTGCGGGGACCCGACCTTGAGCTTTCGCTCATGAGGCTGACTTCGCTGTACTTTGAGTGAGCAGAGCCCGACGCTTGTCTCGAGGGCAATGGAGTAAGCTTTCCGGTCTTTCTTGCTACATTCCTGCGTTCGCTTTTGGCACGACGCTCTTCCTCGAGGATCAACGCAGGGACACTCTCTAGTCGACCGCTGAGAGCATGGTCCGACTTGCAATTCTTGTATAGCTTGGAGAATGGTGGAGGGTTAAGCTTAGCATACTTGCTCGCGGGATCAAGAGACTGCGCTCGGGCCTGTAGTTCCGGTCGGTTGACTTTGGACGAGGTTGTGATGTCGGCATGGGCCGTCCGGCAGCGCGGCGGGAGGCGGATCTGCTCGATGGGTACTTCAAGAATGTTGACCGTCTGACCGGGCATCAGTGGGCAGTCATTGGTGAAAGGTAGTCGATCATCGTAGGCGTCTTGCTCATAGTTCATCCGGTAGTAATACCAGTAAGTGCCGCCTTGCTTCAAGCCTCCCGTCCGAGGTCGGCTCCACGCCAGTTGCGTGTCGTCGCCTTCGCTGCGTCCGCCATCGAAGATGATGTTCTCGAACTGAAAGCAACCCGACCAGACTCCATTGCCCCGACGGCGGTCATGGTGCATGCGATATGGGAGATTGAAGTTGTCCCATGATCCGAACAATTCGATAGTTCGGTATTGTGGTTTAGTATTGAAAAGGAATGTGATGAGGGTAGTGGCCTCCATGGCGCAATGTGCCGCCTCTCGAAAAGAGAGTGAGGGACGTTGTTGGCGATGTTGTGAAAATGTTGGAGACGAATGAATGAAATCGAAACGAATGCCGATCGTGTTTGCGAAACGACCAGGTTACACAAATTTCTCCTCTGCGTTGCTTGTTCAACAAGGATGCATCCCGGTGACGATATCGACTTGGGCGGGAGAGACAGTGAGTGAAACACGAAAAGAAAACAAAAAAGGTCCGACGACGATTAAAACGACAAAAACAACAAAAGGAAGAAGAAGGTCGGCGGCAGTGATGATAACATGCGAGAACGTCGAGCAGTAACACCAGCAGCGGCCGGACGGGTACTTCAACAGTCACGTTGACGACGGCGATGAGGAAGCAGTGGCGTATCGGGTGGTTGTCGCCACGGAGCAGCGGCCAGTGTTTGAAGATGAATCAGGGACGCGAAGTCTGGTACGAGCGAGACACCCAGTGATGAAGAAGAGGATGGACGATCGTGAGGTCGAGAACCATGGAATTGTTAACGGGACCCATGTGGTGGGTAGTACAGAACACTTAGAATAGCATGGTCGAGAGGAACGATTACTACCGGCTGCTTGTAGTCTTCTTCCCCTTGTTCTCCTTGCCCCTTGATGGTGGACGATGATGAGTAGCGAACGGGTCCCGAGTGAGCGGTCGTACAAATGGTTTGCGGATCAATGTCGTGCTAGGGTGTGCCCGAACGGAACCCGTGAGGAGTTGATGGACAGTATCTATTCATCACCGGTGTTGTATGTAGACGAGAAGAACAAAGGAGACGAAATGAAAGGGCTTGACAATGCGCTCGACCCACCTGTTCGCACTCCCACGTTCATCACAGAGGTGAATCGCATGGCGATGCCGTGCAGTACATACTGATGATAAGTGGTGGGATGCGACGCGCGCAACAGTTGCTGTATCCTGGCCAGCGGTTCGGCGAATTAGCAGACGTTGCGCGCATCAACGTTCAGTAGTGGTGAGATGAAGGGGAGAAGCATAAATCCTGATCCTGGCCCACACACACATACAGGCATGCATATATCCGCATAGCCTCGCCATTCATCCATCATTGTGCAGTCATCAATAAACAAATGATCAGAGCATGGAGGGATATGAGTGGTGAGGGATAAAACGTGGTGGGGCGTTGAGAGGGCGAAGAGAAGACGCGCGCCAGGCAAGAAGAGACTTGGAAGGAGGGAGAAATCCGGTTTGACGACGCGCGCGACGAACGACGGACACACGCACACGCACACCCACATTCCCTCTCTCTCGCGCCGTTTCGCCTTTGTCTCGTCAGCTTTGCATCAATTTGCGCCAACCACATAGTGACCTTGGGGGACATCAATCAACAGATATACATATGCACCAAGACCACGGACATGAAAGCAGGGAACACCCAGACACACACACGCACACATGCGCTGTTTGAACCGGCGGCACACACCGTCCACCTACGTAGAAGTAGAAGATACATACATGTGTCCCACTCGCACAAACCCGGATGACAGCTGTCTGTCGTCCCGTCAGCACGTAGAAAACGCGCCGTCATCAGGCAAAAGTGATCGCACACGGGCAGTGTTCCCGAGGACCTTGGTACCGTGGTGGAATGCGCCGGTTCACGCGCGCGTGCGAAATGACGCCCGGCGGTCATATTAAACCGGATCTTCTCGTGAGGCTGCTGGCCGGCCGGGCTGTGTGGATTGGTTCACCTGGGCTTGGCTGGGTTGGAACGAGTACCTACTGAAATTCCAAAGCGACCGGGCGGACCATGTATGGGCAGCGACAAAGATCAATTCTGTGCTGTCCATCCATTTATAATTATTAACCCACCCAAGCAATGAGAAATACTTGTAATAACATGTAAAGTCACGAGATACGAGCTCTCCCACCTACACGTCCCACAGATATAATTCGTCGTCGTGTCTCCGCCTTCCCATCTGAAGTTCTCTAAGGTTCCACTTCAACAGTAAATCATCGCCGCCCCTTTCTCCATCTCCATCTCCCTCTCCATCTCCAGCCATCCGGCAAACCCTGCCTAGCTCGCTAGCCTCACACGATTATCTCCAAGCCCATCGTCACTAGCCCACCGGTTCCCCACGATAGACTTCACCCTGATTCATCTGTCATTACGTGTTTCAGGCCGGCCTTGCTCCCGTTTTCACTGTCCACGGCCGTCTCCGGCGCGCATACACGCGAATGTTCGGCGAGCCTGCTGCCCGAGGATTTCCCTTTCGCTCACCTGGATCTTCAGTACGGGATCTTGTTACTCGTGTCGTTCTCCAGTAGGGTACGGGCGGGAAAGGTCCCTCGTGAGGAGCGCCGGCATGGAGAGGCCGGCGGTTTTGATTCCTTCGTTAACGGTGCAGAAACGATGACGACGATGATGATGATGATGATGAAATTCCGCTATGATTTCTTCCCAAAAAATAATAAAATTGAGAGAAATAAGGATGTCAAAAAAATGGTTCGTTTTTCATACAATCATCTTCCATAAATATAACTCCCTTCCTTTCCATGCATGCCCTCGTCTTCGGTTGCGAGAGATTTCTTCAGACCCCCTCCATGTGTTTCCGGATGTCCCTCAGGAACAACGCGCAGACGATGCAGACCCCGCCGAACGCGATCGAGATGTAATAGGGATAGCGGTACGCCTCCGTGAACGCCTCCTGCACGAACCCGATGATCGTCTCGTAGGCGACGTCCTTCTTGAGGACCAGCGGGCTCTCCGCGATGAACTCCTTCAGCAGGCGGGCCTGCGAGCGGCCGGCCATTTCGATCATGTGTTTGAGGGAATCGTAGTCGTAGCAAATGCCCGCGTAGGCGGTTTTGGCGCCCGCGATGACGGCGAGCGGGTAGAATTTCGCGTAGAAGACGTTGTAGTAGGCGGTGAAGGCGATGGCGCCGCCGATGTAGCGGATCGAGAGGGTGATGGCGGTGATGGTGCCGATGAGTTCGGTGGGCGCGACGATCTGTGCGATGATGCTGCAGGGGATGATCACCGCGCCGACGCCCACGCAGGACATGGTCAGGATCGGGTAGACGTAGTGGTTGAGGTTGTCGAGGGAGGCGCCGGCCATGGCGCCGGTGAAGGCGGTCATCAGGACGGTGGTGAAGATCATGATGATGGTGGTGCGGCCCTTGGTCACGCCAATCAGGACGAGGGCGAGGAAGGCGCCGCCGATGATGCCGAAGCCGATGGGTAGGGTGCGGATGCCGTCTTGGACTGGGTCGTCACCGTACATGTTGAAGGACTGGGTGGGCCAGAAGAGCAGGACAACGAGGAAGTTGCCGCCGCTGAAGAAGGTGATGAGCAGAATCGAGATCATGGAGCGCTTGTCCTTGGAGAAGAGCGCGGCGGGAACCATGGGGTTCTTGGCAAACTTCATCTCCCAGACGAAGAAGCCGGCGATCAAAGCAGCGCCGATCAGGAACGGAACGAGCACCTGAGCGGAGGACCACGGGGTGTCCTGAGCACCAGTTTGCATGCCCACCATGAAGAGAACGACACCAGCGATGCTGAGGAATCCACCGATGTAATCAATCTCCGCGAGAATCTCTTTCTTGGGCCGCATGGGCACATCGCTGAGCGGGTCCTTGTAGCAGAAGATGACGAGGATGAGGCCGACCAAATTCCAGATGCCGATGAGGGCGCCATTCCATCGCCAGCCGCCTTGCATGGATACGAGCTGGGCCCACAGAGCCGAAGGGCAGAACGGGAGGATCGTGGCGACGACGGCTCCGACATAGGCGGGTCGCTTGCGGACGGGGACGAGTTCGGAGGTACCGGCGAGGGAGATGAGCTCGTTGAGACCGGCACCGAGACCACAGACGACCATGCCACCTGGAATGCAATGTCAGCTAGGTTCATGCTTCGACATGTGTCGTCTATGACCCACCAATGGCAGCGTTGATGTTTGTGGCGGTCGAGACGATGATAGGTCCGATCATGAGCATGAGTTGACCAGCGACGGCGACAGATTTCCGTCCAAACATGTCGGAAAGGTTGCCAACGAAAGGACACAGCGCGGCATTGGGAATCAGGTAACCGATAACCATCCAGAGATACTGTGGAGGTAGGCATCGTGATCAGCAGCTGTATTTCGGATTGCCTTTGTCCGGAATGTAGTACTCACAGTGCCATCTGCACCTCCAATATCACTGTAGATCAACGGGAGGACAGCGCCGTAGAGGTAGAGCGGAATCTGCGATCCAACCCAAAGGAAAGACATGGCTGTCAAGGCGAGGAATAATTTCAAGTTCATCTGCGGAAAAGGAAGGAAACGAATTAGTATTCTGAAATCTTGATATCAATTGAATCTGTGTATTCCCGCAAACCATACTTACATGTTGATGAATGTTTGGGTTCTCGAGCTCTGCACGGAGAGCCGCATTGCGAGCCGCATCGTGGTGATCCTCGCCATATCCCGCCTCCAGCTTCTCGATGAAGTGGTCGCCGCCCTTGCTGGCCATGATGACCTCCGTAGGCGGAGGAGTGCTGTCGGTGGAGACCATGATGGTCTTGCGAGGAGCGTTGAACGCTCGAAGGATCGATCCGCGAGAGGTGTGATGAGGAGCCCGCTCTGGGACGATCAAGAACTTCGGTCACTCGGCGGTATCAAAGTGTTGTATGTCGACAGTCGTCGGTTGGGAGTGAGAGTGAATGCGCCTAAGCACTGTATGCACTCGAGCTGTGATTTCCTGCTCGTAGAGAATGAAAGGAATATAGGCAGGAACAGACAGACGGGGGAGGGGAGGAAGCGACATTGCTTCATGAGAGGCGTTGTGGGTCATTATGTAGGAAGGCACTTCGGCAACAAGCTCCAGCTGCCATCGTGAGGTCTTTTCGCGCTCCATTGAACCAAGTGAGACGTGAGTTCTCGGCTTTCGATGGTGTTGTCTTGCGTACCTCGGCGGCTTGTACGGATTGAGGATGGTCTCGCGCCACATGGGTGTGCACATACACTCTATTCCTCGAGAATGGAGAAAAAGAGACAGGTACCTCAGCTAGTCACTGCACGCTTCGCGGTGCCAAGGTGGTGAAGGAATGTACAGTATGCAAAGCAGACTTGCAGCCAGGATGTCGCCGCCGCCACTAATCAAAATGCCCCGTTGGAAGTGCATGTGACAAGGGACGGAGGATAATGAATGGATGGAAAGACAACCGGGTAAATATTGGTGTGACATGCATAGCCGGGAGTGTAATAATAACAACAACAACAATCCGTCACTGCAGGGAGAGGAACATTTCATTTATCACAGGATACCTACCTAGGTATGATTGAACAGACGGGACCCTTACATGAAGCAAGACAACGAGAGAGAGAGAGGGAGAGAGGGGTGTGATCCCACACAGGTAAATGCTTTGGGCGCATATCATATAATTGCTTGGTAGGTATGGACGGGATGTGAGCACCTGTCAGAAGATGAGCGGCACAAGCAAGAGGACGGTGGGTGCTCTAAACCAGGGTAAAATAAAATAAGGCTCTGGGCGAAGAAAATTGGCGGTGCAGAGGGACTGGAATGTCATGATCCATGTCATCAGACATACTCGAGACACCCCAGTGGTGGTGCTGGCCAAGGAAGAAAAGAAGGCGGCGGCCCCAATTTGCAGGACAACACTGGAGCAATGAGCTGGAAATGAATTGATGGCCCAGGTCACAGGTGCGATGCAAAGTCGACGATGCACGGGCGGGCTTCTCCACAAATGAGGGGCGCCAACTCTATAGCGTCACTCTCTGCGATCCCGCCAATATAGACCAGCGGCTTGGGAATGCAGCCAAATCATCAGTGGGAACCCACCTGCACCTGCACCTGAGCTACCATGGATTCCATTGATATAATATCATACATGAGGTTCATCGAAAACTCAATCATCTGTCCATCCATGGCACATAGATACATACCTAGGTACACAGGCATTCTTGATAGGGTTTGTCGTCAGTCAGTTGGCGCGCGTCTCAGGATCTGACAGGTATCACCACGTGTGCGACGACGATGACCCCGTCGATTGCTCTATCTCGCGCATCAAAGACTCGTCAATTCATGTGTGCATGCATGCATGCATGTGTTTCCGCGCTAAATCCTGTACACTTGCGCTATTCATCAATGGAAGTTCTGGGCGTCCACTGCGCCCTCTTTGCATTACCTGCCGCTTTCAGGACCACTCACGAGCTTCGCCTCCGCCGCCCGCCCGCAGTAGCTTCTCCAGAAGTATTGACGACGTGCGCTACACCTCTCGGCGGTTTGTCCGCTTGCGATGGTGGGCGTGTGTGCTGCTGTGTTGCAGAGGTGCTCGAGGCGAGATCAGCTCAGAAGCATCGGGTACACGATGATGCGCGCCCAGTCACCAGTGTCGAACTCAGAGATCTACCCAGGTGATTTTCGAGATGTGAAGCAGCCCTTTGAGAGGTTCCTATTGGATCGCTGGCTACCGTCGGGCGGCAGATTGAGTGGCATATGTATAAGCTCTGCTCATCTTCCCTCGCACGGCATCGTGGAACTGACTCGGATAAGTGGTCTCGATTATCACTTTGACGGATTTTGCACATACTCGCGAATCCGTTAATACTGTAGATGTTGATGATTTCGCGACCATCTGGAGAAATGAACCTGTGGTGGTCGATGGCGCCAAGGTAGCCTCAACCCCGCAATTTGATGGTTAGCCGACGGCCCCACGGGAACGGACAAAAGGTCCGGCGAGCCTGGACCGTGACCACTACTTCCGGCGGCGCTCTCGTCCTTTGGCTTGCTCGTCAGCCAATTAACACCAATCAGACGTATTCGCGCCCGGACATGAATCAACTCCAATTACGTACGCCACTATGGAGGCGACTTTCCGTTCTGCACTCGGACGACAGTCGCCCTCGAGGACAGAGCCGCCGCGTCGTCTGAACAAAACGCCACCACGTCAAGGTGTCTGCATCTGAAAAGGCTTGGCTCGACGTCGCGATTTAATTCCTCAAACTTGACTGGCTTAATCCTTCCCGCCACTCACATGGCTTCAGACGAGCTATTTCCACGCTTGGCGAGAATGCGTGGCAGAAACGCTAGAAGCCTCGTGATGCGCGGTAGTGGCGAAGGACAGAAGCATCGTGATGGTACGCTGAGACAACATTGACAGTCTTTGACTAATTTAAATCATCGAGACCGACCTTCGCCTGGCCTATGATTTGTCGTTTCGATCAGCCACTGACGGCCGGGTCGCGCAACTCCCGTGGCTGCTACGAGACGCTTGAGCCGCATGTATTTCTACAGCCGTCATTACCATTTGTACTGTCATGATGATCACGCGCCCACATTTCGAGCCATGCAGTCCGTCATTCTGATACGATGTACGCTTGCCGACTCGGCCGTATCCTCACAACCACATAGCGGGAACGACAACCAGATCTTCGGATCTTTTTGACGTTCGAGAAAAGTCGCGACCTATGCTAATGGTGCCACTGCAGCGGCACGTCTTGGCTGATTGGCAGTAAGGGTTGGCGACCAAGAACGCTCCATACACATGTCGATCGTTTCTCGACTACCTCTCCATCAACTCTCTGTCAAGGTATGTACCCGCAGTCAACTCCTCGCCAGTATTCAGTGCCGCAGATGGTTTCTCCAATCCAATAAACTCCCCTGCCGCAATCGCCGCAATGATGAACCCGAACGCGGTGATCATCCAACTCGCAATGGAGAAACCCGTCGAGAAATCGCGATCCTCCGTGGCAAATCCATAAGCCAACCCTACTCCCAAACTTGACAACACCGCCAGCATAAGTCCGATATAGATCTTGACCGTATCAAACTGCTCCTTGACCTCAATGTCAACCACCGCGCCGAGCTCCACCAACGAATCCAACCGACACACCCAATCCCGCCCCGACCTCGGACAATCCTTCCCCCTCTGACTCGAGAACATCCCCATCTCGCCTTTCCCCAGCCGATGCACCTTCCACATGAACGCATTCCTGGCAGTCTGATCACACCTCCGGGTGACCGATTTCCGATCACTGATCTTCCAATGCCCATAGGGGAACTTTCCCGCAGGGTACGCATGATACTGCAAGAAATACACATACGACACCACCCGATACGACGTCATCTTCTGCAGGAGTCCGATCTGTCGCGCCTTCAAACTCCGGTACTCCCGTAACAAATGCTGCGCGAAAGCCCGATCGTCCCACGTCCCCCGCGTGTATTGGAATTCCCTCCCCTTGAACCTCTCCCCGCGCCGCGTGAGGACCAGTTTCAACGGCAACGTCAGCGACTCCTGCGTCCGCGAGAGTCGGCCCTGTTCATACGAGGAGACCGGCCGTCGCCCGGTCTCCGGCCGCGGGAGGGACCCTCCACCCCCCGGCGCGGCGACCGCTGCTCGCGGCCAGAGGCCTTTCCTCGCCGCGCCCGCCGGCGGGTAACGCAGGAAATCCACCCGCAGAGATGTATCCTTGATCTCCTGAACCCGCGTCTGCATTCTCCCCTCGGCGACCATCGTCGGCCGCGACGTTTTGTACCGTGATCGCTCCTCCATGCGCACGCGCGCTTCGTACTCCGCCGCCGCCGCCGCATCAGGCCGACTTCCCGGCCGCGGCGGGTACGGCGCCGACTGCGAATGGGGCGGCGGCGGCGGCGGCCTGTCATAAAAATGAATCTCCGCCTCGCCGTAGTCTTCGTCGCTGAGATTCCCGTCGTTCCGCCCGCCGCCCCCTTTGCCGTAGTAGTAGTCGTCGAGAACATCATCCTCGTTCTGGTCGTCTTCCTCCGATTTCGCGCTCACGTGATACACAGGCGTCGTCTTCCTCCGCGAGGAATAAGAGTAGAAATTCCCGCCTCCGCCGCCGCTCTCCTCCGGCTGGAGATATTGTCTCCGACCTCTCCTCCGCTGCTGCTGTGAGCGCCTTTCTCCGCCCCCGGAAGTTGCCCCACTCCTCCTCCGGTCGTCGTCGTTGATGAGCACATACGGTCCCTGATCCGGTGGGGGCACGCCGGCATATGCTGGACCTCCGCCCGCTCCCTCGCCGCTGCCGCCGTTGGGGGGTCGTCGTCCTGAGCGCGTGCGGCTGGGCGGGCGCGGGATGTAGAATTCTTCGACAACGACCTCATCGTCGCCTTGGGCGCGGATGCGGCTTGTTGGGCGGGAGGACCGTCGGCGTTGTCGGGAGCGGCTGGGGCGGCGGTTGATGTCTTCCGAGTCGGAGGAGGAGGGTGGGTAGCGGTTTGTTGACATTATTTCTTGTTGTTCTTGGATGCAGGTTTTAAGTGGATGATGTTTTCAAAATTTCGTCCTTAGATTGCTTGCTTGTACATGTCGCTGGATGTCTTTCTCCTTAATTCAGTCCTTTTGATTATTGCGGCGATGATGATCTCATGTTTGCTCTTGAGCTCTTGAAAATTCCCGGAGATCGCCTGCTTCTTCTCCCAAATTATGATTATGCCAGTAAAATTTTGTGCTCTCTCCAGGCAGTATTCTTCTGATCACGAGCGCAGGATTTCGTTTTCCTCCAAGGTTGCCCAGGTGTTGTTATTTATTGTCCTTCGCTAGCGCTGACGGGCCCCCCTTCAGCCGCGTGGGTTTAGGGTTTGGGCTAGTTTGGGACAATTCTGGGGCTAGTCTGACGGAGATCCATGGATGAGACGACAGTGACATGCTACATCATGAACATTTGGGTCAGTAGCATTTCTTCGGCCTCCAGGGCTGGTTGCCATCTCAAACCTTGTGGTGGGCCGAGAATGTGCAAGAATTCAGATCACGGGAATCGCCGAGTATTGTCACTATTCACTGGCCAGCGCGTTGTCTTGATATCGAAGAACACATCCCGGGGGAGCAAATGATCTGCTCAGAGGTGGTCGTATAACGGTGTTAGCACGCTCCAGCCTATGTTATTTGATGATAGCCGTTTGCCGTCGTTGATTCCGGATCTTCCTCAAGACCAATGTTACCAGCCAACGATTCTACATGAGATCTCCATATAGTTTCCGATCTACGAGCCGAGATATTTCATTATAGATGAATCATACTAAAATGACCGCCGATCGCTAGAAAAGCTACTTGTCTGTTTCTCTCCAGCGGCAAGAAACTACAGCATTCGCGTTCTCAAGAATTGACGACCTTTGCTGAATTCATCACTTGCTGTGTGCCATGGCATGCAGAAGAGGGGTACAGGATACCGGGAATTATAGACGTGATAGCAAGATGATATGTACTCACCATGTATCATGGCCTTGTACCAAGTGCCAGCGCACTGGCATCGTGGCGCTGTGATATTCATTCGCTCGAGCAAATTGAACGAAGAGCTTCAGCCCTGTAACTATGTTCTCAGATAATATAAAGCTGCGGTGTGGTTGACCAAACAGCCATCTTCAAATTCAGGAGATTTAATGATTCTTCGACTATACACACTCTAAGATGCCTCTACCAGACCCCCTCCCCAGTCCTCTCACTAAAGAGATCGCTCGGACAAGACTGGTCAAACAGCAAGGATTGGATCCAATAACACCATACGAACGAAAGTATAGCCATGTGCCTGAGGTCTGGATTCGTAATCACCTCTGGGAGCAAACTTCCACCTGTTCCGAAGAGATCATCCAAAAGCCCGAATGTCGCTTACTGGCCGCAGATCGCAAAGCAGCATACCTGTGGGACAAGCCTCTCCTCTTCTGGTACTCCTACTCCTACCCTCACCAACCCCGGAAAGGCGGACGCATGTTTGCAGGCAACCCTACAGTGCGCTTGGCCTCCTTTGACCTCCGTGCCCAGTCCCTGTACCTGCATCTCCGTGGCTCTCTGACACAGTCACCATATCTCCAAGTGTGTACCAATCCCGAATATGTGGCCAAGGACATAACACGATACCTCAACTCAGGTATCTGCTCACCACGTGTCGTCTTGATCGATCCTCGCCCACGGCTTCGCGCGGGACTCCCGATTATCCACTATGACTCTGAGCTCGGCCGCTACAGTACCCGTATGCCTGCAGACGTGTCTCAACTTCGTGAGAGAGCAGGCATCTCTCCTGATCATTATTTGTGTCTGTGGGAGATCACGACAGAGGAGATTGTTCATGAATGGGAGTGGACAGATCCCAGTCAATCCTGGCATTGGTATGAGAATACCGTCGAGCCAGCGTTGCGCAAACACCAGGAGCAGAGTTGAAGTTCATGTACGATCGCAATCAAATTGCAAGTCTTAACATGTTGCTCTGAATGTTCAATGTTTGCAAAAATGCTTATTCATAATGCGCCCAGGTGTATGCATTCTATTTGTGTTTTGCGGTAGGCCACACCGAGCAAGGGATTTACAGCACCTGAGCGGTTCGCTGCCTCGATTATCTGACGCTCCAAACAAGCAGAGAGAGTTCCGATGTTTTCCTGAGTGGCTTACAATCTGAAAAATCTGAAAATTGGGACAAATGTACGAGAGGTCGGATGCAAAGCACGATTGAGCGCGCAACCACAGTGCCGTTTATCGAGCTGCTTAGCTTGCCGCTGGCGGCAATACATTTCAACGACATACTCAACGCTAGAATGCGAGAATGCATATGGTAGACAAGCAAGATTCAGTATGTATGTTTCTTTGCTGGGATTGTTTCGTTCGCATTTGCGCCAGTTAATCCTCTGCATACCTTGGAAGAGCAAACGAAGTTGACAAGCGCGGCTCCAAGTCAAGAGACTTTATAAATGAATGAGCACTGCCTCTGTTCCTCGCACGCAAAAGTACAGCGTCAAGAATGGATGTACGACTTGACTCTCCCAGGTCGCCCAACTGGCATTGGGCGGCCCACAGCGACGAACGCAGCGAGGACGGTCTGACTAAACACAATGCTATTGCACGTTTGATGATACCGTCCGAAGAAAGAGCCCATCCTTGGGCAAAAGATCATCTCCATGTCTCCAGTACACAGCAAGGACTACCCATGGGACTACGAGGGACTGGGGTCTGGAACGTGCCTCTTCTCCGATACTGGGATTCTGATTCCGGAAGCATTCCTCATCCCGACACCCGCCGCATGCTCGCCAGAGATTCTACTATTCGACTGGATACATACGAGATCCGCAAGGAAACTTTGCAAAGCCACCTTTATCCTACGATCAAGAAAGCAACGCCGTATATCTCGTTCTCGTCATGTGCTGGCTTCGTCCACCTCGATATGAAGCGCAGAGAGAAAGATGGCAAACACCAACGCTTGACTTTGATCGATCCGCAAACTCGTTTGCGTCTTCAATTGCCGATTCTGAAATTTGTCGACGAGTTCAAGCATTATAAATTATACAACCCGTCTCGGGCAGATGTCACGACAGGCCACTGGATGTGTTTGTGGGAAGTTACGCCTGAAGAAGTGGTGTGGACTTGGAACTGGGATGAGTTGAAAGATAACCCAGAATGGTACTGGGATGTTGTTGAGCCTGCACTGCGAACGTTCCAGGCAACTGGTCGACGGCCCGGAGAGCCTGAAGTACAGTAGATAGTACACGAACAAAAGCCGTTGTCACTTCTGATGACCCCGTCAACCTGAGAACGTTGTGTCGGATCGACCGATCTCGTTCCGGCGAGGCCCGATGTTCAATCCTTTTGTTTTATTTGGAATAAGAAATTGATACCAGTTATCGAAAGTGAGAGATTCCTTATTTTAGACCTCTAATCTGTCGGTGAACCACAATTAATTTCATTCGTGAGGAGTTTGGGAAATTCAAGTGCACAGATTTGTGTCAGCAACCTTGGAAGTCTATTTTACACATTCTGACTTCACAAAAGGTATCGTGATATACCGGCAATTGCTGGGCCAGGTGACAAATCAGCGAAGGAATCTTTCTCTCCAGGGCTGTCAGCTAATCCTGGTGAACGTTAGAAATCTACGCTTCGTTCACAAATCCAATTACAACATACTTCTTCTGCTTGTCGGATCTCAGATCCTCGTCAACAAGTCCTTCTCATAGTCTTTTAACTATCCAAGTCCAAGTTTTGAGCGCCATCGTCCTGATGGCTCAATTCCCTCCACACGCTCCGGTTGGCAGGGATGACAAGCTGTGCACAAATGCTTCGCACCAATAATTTTCAGTCACTCTAACACCTGAGTTTCTAGCAGCAGCCGCCGCGCTGGGTGATATACCTTGGGATCAATTGCCAAATACCCAAGTGCTGTATAGATCCATGCTTTGGGGCCATCGTCCACCATTTCTGCGCATCGAACCAATAACGGTACTTGAGCGGACGATTGTCGAAAGGCGACGCCGACTGTTCAACAACTCAGATCTTCTACGCGAGATCTGGACAAGGTACGCCGTCGTCACATGCAAGCGCTGGAGCAAGAAGACAATCACCAAACGCCATCAGATTTTGCGACAGGCCTGGGGCAGCGACATCAATCTCGCGGGTCGACCAGACGTGGACGCCTTCCGTGAAACTTGCTGCTCGTCCGATTGGACCGACAAATCTGCTCAGCGAAACGCGATTCTCTGGCCTCACGTCAATCTCGAGGACTTGCAAAAGCCAAGGAACTTGCCGTTATTCTTACAAAGCCGCGCACTTCACCATCCTGGAGAGTTTGCGGGATCTGATCGAAGTTCGATACTATGTGACCTGCGTAAAACACTTGTCTTGCAAGAGACAGAATTTCCGGGATACCTGATGCTGATGGCTTCTGCTGAAACTCGTGAAACATACGGCAAGTTGATTCATCTCAGCAAATTTTCGAAGACCATGCAGACGGCAACAAGTGGTTTTTACCTTCCAATGCATCTCGGAAACATATTATTAGAGATTCAAGACAAAGTCTGGTCATTCCTGGTTGCGTGTGCGAGGGGAATTATGCACGACATGTCAGAATACGGCGTCTTCAACTCTTTGCCAGATCCAGGTGTCCCGACGATAGCAAACTACGGTCCAAGCAACTCTTGGTCTGACGACGCTGCAGAGGCAGCTTATCGCGTCTCGACATACATTGGCTTCGCAAAACTTGAAAGGCTCATGGCTGCTACCCGTGACGCAGCAATGGATCATTTCTGAGCCATGAGAGAAGATCCCGATTACTTCATAGATTCAGTTCTTGCTTTGTATCCCGTGGTGACTAGGACTCCTATCACAGAGCCTGATGGGGGACGAAGATTCTTAGCTTTGTCTATGCGAACATCGAATGCATTTGTCATGGCATATATCTGGAACTACCTGCATAGGCTCTTAGCAGATTTACGACAGATGCAAGGCGATGAGGTCGCGATCACTGGAGTGCTTTCAGAAAACGATATCCAGGCTTTAGCATATCTCAAGCACGCACTTCAGTGCCATATGGACAATCAGATTGATCTGTTCTGGGAGACCTGTTACAGTGGACCATGTTACTGCCCAGAGTTCCAAATATTGCCTCCTGGTTCGAGCAATTTGAGACGGCTCTATGACTACCATGGCGTACTGACAGGGGTTGATCTGAAGATGATGCATCTTCTGAATTTCATCTTCACCAAGGGAAGTGGCTTAGGCGATCAATGCTCACACTATGCTAGGATGGCCATGGTTATCGAGGAAGCACATCGCCTATTCGAAGCTTACACAGACAGTTCCAGGTTTTTGTCATACTGTAGTGCGGACCTTTTGGCGGAACTCGCTACCCTTGCAGCGTGTGTGTGTGAAGTTGAAGAATTTCACGAAAATATGGGTCTATTGGTCGACTACCCTTCCAAGTTTCAAAAGCATAATGATAAGACTTTGGGAGACCTTGCGAAGCCTCTTACTGACTCTCAACCCGAATATATGAGAGTTCTTGCCCAAGATGTTCGCGCAAGGAAGTACGGCAAAGACGAGAGCAGGTCCGCTCGTCCAGCCATGAGACAAAGGACTCGTGAAAATGTTGATCTTGCTCGTCAATCCGAGCAAAGACTCGACTCCTTATGGGCAAATTTTGATCAGGTCTTGCGGAAGTATGGGCTGGCACCATTTGCTCCTGATGCACGTCTTCTTGAAACGATTCAGCGGACACCGCCATGGAATGATTCGGAACTGAGCAAGACCTCAGCCAGAGCGCCCCTTCCACTCGCGCAGAACCTCACACTCGCAGAGGACCTCAAGGCTTGGTACAGAGATTTACAGGTCAACAATGAGCGCACACTGGAAGGCGCTCAGACGACAGCTCCAGCCAAAATCAAATTGAAAACTCGAGGCGTGGGCGTGGGGCATCGCTCTGTGGGAATTCAAACGAGCTGACCATCGACTGAGTCGGTGACACCGCCATCCACCCTCCACATGAATGCTCGCGCCTTGAAAACTTTCGAGGCCATATTATTCACTCCCGGGCCGAGTGCCGTGCCCGGAGAGATCCCCTGGAAGAATTTCGTAAGTGCAATGGTCAGCGCGCTGAGCGCGGGTTTCCGAGCGGAGAAATTGTACGGGTCGGTCTGGAAGTTCGATCCCTTAAAAATTGCGGTTGAGCGGAGTCGCAGCAGCATCATCTTCCACGAGCCTCATCCAAGTGACAAGATTCCTTATCGCACTGCTCGCCGTCATGGCCGTCGTCTGACTCCGGCGTTCGGCTGGACTGGGGAAACCTTCGTCCTTGCAGAGAAGGTCACGTTAATTGCTCAGAAATTCTCAAAGGGCGCTGCTGTGGGCTTCAAATCTGATCGATGAGATGCTGCGTTGATCACGCTTCGCCTTGACTTCTGGTATCTCAAAGTATGACCAGGACTAATCTCTTGTTTTCTTGGTTTGATTTGATTGCGTTAGAACTTTTGAAAAGTGGAAAGGGTGATGCAGGATTGTTCCGGGATACCACTTACCGAGCATTTTTTGTTTCAAGCCACAGGCCGACGCAGCTACACGAGTGTTTGTATCAATCGCGAGTGTACTTCGTCTTCATCGCGGGGAAGATTGGAATGGATTTGTTTTGCTTTGAAATTTGTATAGCAAGACGGACAGCACTTATTTTCTGTTCATCGACTTTCGACACGGAGTTAGCTCCGAAGATGCTTTCGCTGCATCATTAAACGACTTACAATAACTTCTTGTGTAGCAATCGAACGTATTGTTCCTCACCTCCAACAAATGTAACATCGCCTAGGTGCTTGCTGCAGAGGACCTGTTTCATGCGCATTCCATGCGCAGTTGAATGGAACGCCCAAAGATCGCACCGTGGACGAAAATGCGACGTATACCAAAGTGAAAGAATCACGGAATGTTGCATGAGCACGCCACCCAAATTCACTTGTCAGACAATCCGCAAAGGTATGAGAAACCTTTTTACATATACATATCATTTGTAGGTGTTTCGCTATACATTGTTACATTAATGGCCCGGCCCAATCCATCAGAATCTGCTTCAACTCGCTTGTACTTGTTCTCCTTGAGAAATTCTCAATTATTGTTTTACCGCCTATCTTACTATACTGTCTTCACACTTCAGCCAAGCGAAATGGTTCAGCAGACGAATTCCGCAGACGCAATCAAGATGGCTTGCCATCTCGCTTCCCCTCTTGCGAAAACGAGTATTCAAGCGGCAATCCGCGGTGAAGTGTCCCGGGATGATGTGCCAGACACACGAACACGATACCAGCTTTCGATATACCGAGGAAGAGTAGCACCTTTGAACATCAAGCCGGTTGCAAGTATCGTGGAAGTAATCAACAGACGACGCACAAACGTATTTGAAAATTACAACGCGCTGCGGGAAATCTGGCATCGACACGGTTGGACAATTTGCAAACGCTGGGAGAAGAAGTCAATCAAGCAGCGGCAAAACGTTCTCAAGCAGGCTCAGGCTGGCAGCATTGGCAGCAAACATCGACCGGACCTCACGATTTTCTGCATGCTTGCAACTCGTGGAATTTGGCAGGATCATCGAGATCAGCGAGATGTCGTTCTCCTGCCTTTCATCAATATTGAGGATCTGCAGAATCCCAGGAATCTCATGGTCTTTATGCATGCACGAGCGACCAATGAACCTATTGCTTTCGCGCATATGGAAGAATTTCTGTCACTGTGCGATTCGAGGTTGACGCTGGAAATCACTGATCTGGCTCGACCGTGCTACCCAATGCTGTTCAAAAAGGCAGGAAGTGATCAAGAGTACGGGAGATTGATTGACATGAGGGACTTCGCGGATATGACCCCGGGATGGCTCAAAAGCAACGAAGTTCATCCTGTTGGCGTTGGTCTGGAGATCCTGGAGAGACAAGACAAAATCTGGACCTTCCTGACAGCTTGTGCACAAGGTATTATGCATGATCTGCCAGGTGTTCGTATCCTAGAAGCCCCGCAGTGTAGTCCTATCCCATCACCGCCAGTCGACTTTCGCTTCGCTTCATGGTCAGATGCAGCAGAGCTGTTACCCTACAGCGCACCAGTCAGCATCAACCTTGAACGAATGACAAGACTTCTGTATGCCAAATGTAATATTGAGATTGAACATTACTGGTCTCTCCGAGAGGATCCAAGTTACTTTGTCGAGACGGCTCTATGGCACTCAGAAACACCGCTCGACAAGAAATCGTGGCCACTCTATGTCTCGAACGCAATGTGGGCTGCGTTTCACGATCATCGTGTCTGGATCTGTCTATTCTCGATATCTAGAGACTTACTGGCTGACTACGGAAGTGAGCCCACCGTATATGATTTTCAAGACAGAGACAGTTGTCGACCACTCATGGCGATCTTCGTCTTACTCCAAGGCCATCTCAAGTCCCGGATCCAGAACTTGTGGCTATCTTTCTCTTCTTCGCCACGAGCGATGGAATTCCTGAGTAAAGACATCAACAATTTCCATGCAGTCCGTTACAATTCGTACGATGCCGAACTGAAAATCATGACTTTGCTGTGTGCCATCAATGGCGCGCTGTCTGTTAGTCTTAGCAGCGACAAGAGCGTCATTCGCTTGACGATGATCATAGCAGAAGCACAACGCCTTCAAGAGACTGATCATCGAGCCTCATCTGCAATCTCCTCGGCTATGGCAGCTGATCTTGCAGAGCTAGCTACTATTGCTGGTCCTCTGCGCCAGATCATATTGTTCCTTTCCAACTATGCCACCACCACCAACGACGACGTGCCCGCAATTGTGGACCTAGACATGCATTTATTCTATCAGATTAGACACGGCTTAGTATTGGAGGGGACAATCCGCGGACCCAATATCAAGAGCGTGAAGTACACAAAGAATTGCGGTCAAGATCCAAGCTGGTTTGCTTGCCCTAGGGATAAGCCTAGAACCCGAGAGACAGTCGAGCGGATGCGACAGGCCGAGAGCAGATTGGATGTCTTGTGGTCGCATTTCGACACATGGACCGAACGAGAAGGTCTGGTGTCTTTCGTGGACCGTCTTATCGGACTGCCGCCGAGAGTTCTGCACAGAACTGCGCCCTGGAACGAATCCGAGATCATGGAACTTGTTCCAAAGAAAGCGTCCCCACAGACAGTACAGGATCTCGCCGATTTGTATCGCGATCTTGAGGTCAACACTGAGCGTACGGTGAACACACCGATGCCAACTCAAGCGAAGATCAAACTGAAAACCCGGGGTGCGGGTGATCGTTCGTCAGAAAATGAATGCATTGGCGATCGCTCCTCGGGCGAAACTAAATCCTGCAAGGCGGTCAGCGCCGATCTTGCTTCCTCCCCAGTCCTCAAGGTCAACAGTCGCGCCCTCGAAGCCTTCAAGATCCTCTTCTTCACGCCCTCGCCAAATGCCATACCAGGCGAACTCTCCTGGAATGACTTCATGTACGCCATGGTCTCCGCTAGCTTCAGTGCGGAAAAGTTGTACGGTTCAGCATGGAAGTTCGATTCTGTAGTCATAGGGGACGCCGCCAATATGGCCGACGATAAGTTCAGTAATCGTAGCATCATATTTCATGAGCCGCATCCGAGCAATAAGATCCCATACTGGATCGCACGTCGGCACGGCCGTCGCCTCACACGTGCGTATGGCTGGACCGCTGAGACATTCGTGCTCGCCGAGAAGACCGTACCTGCGAATGAAAGCGTGTGAAAAGGACGCTTTCGATGAAATCCAGCTTTTACTCAACGGCGTCTCGAGACCCGATCATGGCTTGAATACATCTCCTGTTGGTGCGCCTTCGATTTGCTTGGATCTGAAGTCGTTCTTCGCTTGGCTTTGATCTATTTGGTTTTCCTTGATTTTGCTAGATCGATTTGCTTGGTTGCTTTACTTTGCTTGCTTGATTGGTTCGGTTGTTCGATATGGTGCCGGAAATTTTCTTGGGTTTGAATTCGAGAAGGGAACATTCAGACTTGCGATGTTGTATTGGAAAGAAGTCCCGGATGGATCTCCCGAATACCCTATTGCAAAGACCATCCGACTCCTGCGACTAATCGGTCTTGAAACTGTTCGTTACATTTTTCCAGGTTCCGACTAATTGGGTCTCGCTCTTCGACGTCAGGTTTGGATGCACATCGCATCACCTCGCTGATACCCGAAAATAATGCATCGTTTCTCCGATTTCCTGCTCAGCTCATCGATTTTCAAGCATCGATCATCACTCGTCGCGCTCGACTTTCAGCTCGTCTCTAACGAGAAGCTGATAGTTCATCTGACGTCCCTGCTCGACTCTTTTGTACTTTTACGCTTGGCTTCGTCAGTTCCTTTCAAACCCGTTTCTGATGCGCAATGGCGCAAGATCCGCGCACTGGCTGCATCTCTCCTCCGTCGACGCACCTACAGCTTCAGTTTCTCGCGTTTTGCGAGTTTTGCTTCACATGCTTTTATGAATGATCCTGCACTGCAGCTCCATTTTCTCATGTTTCAATTATTCATTACCTCGTGCCTTTCATCATGCTTCTATACCGCTCGATGACCTCTCTGCGCGCATCGCCCAATTCCTCGCGTCTCTTCAACGATCCCGCATTCGCCGGGACATTGGCGACATTGACCTTCGCCCCATTCCGGACCTTAAATTTCTCCTTGGGGATGACCTTGAGCGTGGGTGGGGCTTGCACCACATCATGTAAGCCCTTGGGTTTCTCTCGACGTTCTTTCAACACCGCCCAGGGATCCTCATCGTCGTCCATCGCCGTCTCGCCTAGCATCCGCTTCCTCTTCTTCCGTTTTCCTTCGGGGAATGCTAGACTTTGACCTCCGAGCTCCGTCTCCTTCTCTTCTGCTAGTTCCTCCTGCTTCTCTTGAAACTCCTCAATGGCGTCCTTGCGTCGCACGTCTTCCTCCCGCCACTCTGCATACATTTTCTTTAAGCGCTTCTCCGTCTTCGTCTGTCGCTCCTTGATCCCATCGATTTTGGTATTCCCCTTTCGCGTGAGCCCTCCCATAGGCAAAGCCTGATCTACTCGAGCAGCGAAATCGGCAAGCCGCTCGCCGGGTTGGATTTTCAAGGTAGGATCCGATGTGATTGTTTTGCTCGGCATAGTAGGCGGAGGCGGCGCTTCCTGCCCGAGTTTCTGCTTTTTCGATTTGCGTGATGCTCCATCGTCCAAGCCTGATCGCGGCTTCACGCCCGCTTGCATCTGCATGAGACGTGCAAACGCACGTGGGGTATCGTCTTCGTTGCGCGCATTTCGTTTCCGCTTCTTTGGCTGATCGCTGGATTTTTTCGTGAAGACCGTTGGGTGTTCAAAGGCTGCGAGAGGTTTTACTACAGCTCCTGGCGCAAGATCGAAACTGTTGTCTGCTTAGCTGGACTGACTCCCTGGTTTGCAGGAAGAAGAACCTACTCTTTTGCGCCACCGGTACGCTTACGCGTATGCTTGTGAGGCATGTCGATCAATTATTCCTTTTCAATTGAACCCTCCTTCACAATGCTTAAATTTCCGCAAGACGTCGGTCGGTGATGAATGCGATTGACATTGTCCTCGAGACCACAATTTTTCAATTCGTGATTATATAAGCGAGCGTCGGGCTAAAAATTGGATGGATCGAAACCGAGCGGCGCCAGAACCTAGATTCTCTACCATCATGCACACTACCAGGAAGGTGGCTGCTCCGGGGCAATCTATTTTGTTACAGTATTCTCTCCTAGCAATTCAAGAGATCTATCAGCCGCGGTCCAGGTTATGGAGAACCACTTTTGGATTGAGGATATAGCAGAGCCATGTCGTGGGTATCGTAATACAGCCCAAATATTTCGCCCACCTCCAGGGCTGGCTCTCATTGGATTTTCGATGCCACATGTTTCAGACGGGTAATCGGTACCTGCAGATATGTCTCGCACGTTATTACACTGTGGTAATTCGAGATGCGCCACATATTGCAGGATGGAGCATTGTCCATTTGCATGTCGGAGATGACGATTGGACTCTGATGCCTGCAAGTGATGTAGACACTTTCGCATCGTCAAACGACAACGTGTACACGATCTCTCCTCAAACATGGTGTGACTACCTAGGTAAGGGGAAATTCAGGGATGGCGATACATGTACGAGTGTTCATCCAGTAGCCAGCGCCAGGGGGGAGGAGGGATCGCGCATCAGTTCTTAGGACACGCGTTCTCGAAATACCATTGGAGGGGAAGAATCGGCAGAGACGATGATACCGATAGGCCGCGTATAATGTTTCAAACATATGTAGCATGTTACTTATTACGCAGTTCTGCATTTGACGGTGCATTCGCTTGTCGCCAGGGTCACGTCAGACCTATTTTCTTGCTGGATGGTGCGAAACGCTCAAACGGTGCCATTCGATCGGATTCACGCACCCGCCGTTTTCTGTTCCTATTTTGGCCAACATCACGCCAAAGGGCGGGATTTTGCTTGCTAGTCAATCGGCCAGCTAGCCACCTCGGACGTCGCGCCAAGCTTTGCTCCAGGAACGACGCTCGGGATTCTCGACAGAGGTCTTGTGCTCTCGTTCTCTCATTGTGCTGTACTGCGCATTTCGTTCGTTGGTCCCAAAACTCAACTCCTCGATAAACCCGTCCGCTCTCGCCGTTGCGTCGTGTCCGGATATTCTTGCATCTGCGTCGCACACTCGATTGGCCGCGATATCGCACATCTGGTCGCCCTCGGTGTGTCTGTCGCTACCGAGACCATCGTCGGCGCTCGTGAACATTTGCGCCAGGCTGCGCAGTTTTGCTCTCCGACCTCCACGGCATCCACGGCGATAATATACTCCTTCCTCGTACTCTCCTACAGGACTCAACTCCTCGCCGGTGACCTTTCGAGTCATCATGGAAGACAAATACGTCGGATTGGCGCTGGCGGTTTGCAGTACGCTAGGCATCGGCGCGTCCTTCGTCATCACCAAGAAGGGCCTCAATGCAGCGGCAGAAACACACGGCTTTGAGGGCGATGGCTTCGCATATCTAAGGAATCCTATCTGGTGGGCGGGTATCATCACGATGGTGGTTGGCGAGGTCTGCAACTTCTCGGCATACGCATTTGCACCAGCGATCCTCGTCACCCCGCTCGGCGCTTTGAGTGTCCTCATCGGCGCCGTCCTGGGCAGTTATTTCCTCGGTGAACAGCTTGGGATATTAGGGCGGATAGGATGCGCAATATGTCTGATTGGCAGTGTGGTCATTGTGTTGCATGCGCCGGCGGATGAAGAGGTGGAAGACATTGGGACGCTGTTGAACTACGCGCTACAGCCTGGTAAGATCAGTTTATTGGAGGAGATCGCGTGCGCATACCGGTTGACTAATAGATACTTTCGCAGGCTTCTTATTCTACTGCACCATCGTGGCTGTCTTCGCCTTCGTCATGATCTACAAGATCGCGCCGGTTTATGGAAAGAAGAACCCCATGATATTCATCAGCATTTGTTCCTCTGTCGGCTCCATCTCGGTCATGGCCATCAAAGGATTTGGTGTTGCTTTGAAGCTATCACTCGGAGGAAACAATCAATTCTCAAACCCATCAACATACGTCTTCGCAATCACGGTCATCGTTTGCATCTTGACCCAGATGAACTACTTTAACAAGGCGTTGACCCACTTCAATACGAACATGTGAGTATCAAGCGCGGAACTAGATCGTCATCAGAAACTTCAATGCTGACCCATTCCTCCAGCGTAAACCCTCTCTACTACGTAACATTCACCACCTGTACCCTCGTCGCCTCCTTCATCCTCTTCCGCGGCTTCAATACAACCGACGCCATAAACACAATCTCTCTCCTTTGCGGTTTCCTCACCATCTTCACCGGCGTCTACCTCCTGAACCTCTCCCGCGAAGACCCCAACGGCAATAACCTCGGCATCCGCCAAGGTGACGAACGCGGCCAGTACCAACATGTCGATGGAATTCCCACGGACGGCCTCGCCGGTCTCCAAACCCGCCTCTCCATGCAAGCCCGACGCAGTGGCGACGAGAATCGCCGCCACAGTGACAGCTGGAGTCTTCACAGCGGGAAATTCGCCAACGGCAACAGCAAACGAAAACCCAGCAATAACGGCGATCTTTTGCATAATTACGACATCGAGGCCAGTTCGCCGCATAATCTCACGGGGTTGACTGGGGATAGCGACGATGAGGAGGATAACTCTTTGCCGTCAAATAGGAAGCGCACGTCTTTTGATGAGGGCAATGGGAGGAGGTTACAGGCTGAGGCTGGCAGCAGCTCAAGAAATGGGTCGAAGAATTCGAGAAGTGGTGCGACAGGGGCAAATGGGACTCGAAGGTAGTAGAGGGAAGGGGGAGAAGGATGAGAGGAGGGTTCTCTCCCCCTTTCGTTCTTTTTATGTTGTTCGTATCTCTTTTTTTCTTTTCTTTCTCCCCTCGATTGGAAGAAGAGCTATGCATGACTTAATGATAATGCCCGGCTCCTGGATGCTGAAAAGTACATTTTCTCGTTTCTCCCCTCCTAGCAGCACAACAGTGGTGACTGCAAGATTCGGAACAGACGGGACGTTGGAGCAGAAGAGGTCACAGAAGCCCGGATTTGATGATTTGGTGAATGACAACGCGATCTCACGTGACTTTAATGGCCGACGCGGGCCGTCGGGCGCGCCGCAGAGTAGACCATCACACCCACCACTTTCCCTTCCTCCACGCGACAAGCGTCCATGTTCGAGCCTCGCAAGCATCACCCAATTTTTCGAGCAATCGCAGCACCGAATACCACCGCACAGCTCGTTCATCATGAAACGTGATGGCAGTGTCATCTGCTGTCCTGATTGAAAAGCTTGTCGAAGATGTAGCAGTCACCGGTCCGCGGGGTAAGTGAACGATATGCATGATTTTTGTGTGTTCCAGGTTTGGACATTTTGTGAGATAATCCAAGGCTGATTGATCGCCGTATCCAGGCTTCACCACCCGACAATTTGGTGATGCTGTCAAAGCGTTCTACAACGAGCACAATTCGAAGGTCATTGAAGGCAACGGATGTGATCAACAAATTGACATTCTCTTCTCGGAAACACCACCTGTTGAGCGGGTCGTGGTAAATGATCAACTTCTCGAAACTGTTCTCCTCGAGCTGCGCAAGCATTCCGATATACAATTCAAGCCTCCTGGCAAAGCCAAGAAAGTCTCAACGACAGAACAAAGCAATGATATCGAGCCTCCGTTGTCTGGGTTCGAAGCTAAGTTTGCAGGTCAACGTGTCTTCGTCTCGGAGGAGCGTATGTGGCAGGAGCTTACAGGGCACTCTGTCGATCATACTCGCATCACGCCCAAAGAGTTCGAATGCCTACTCGTCATTGCAGCCACTGGTGCGGAGGGTATCTTGCAGAAATTCGTCACCGAACGCACTGGTCAAGACAAGCGATCGGTGCCCAAGCGAACCGATCGACTCGCACAGAATGGCTACATCACAAAAGATGCTGTTGTCGGCGCAGGAACAAAAACAAGCATTCTCAAGCTCAAGAAATTCTCCCAGATGCCGGTGGCGCTGCCAACGAACCATGAGAAACCCACAACGGAGCAAGCAAACGGCACTCGTCAAATAATTTTTTATGATATCTGGTTCGATGCGACCATGAAAATGCTGCAAGACAACGGCAACATCGTGCCATTAGCGGACTTACGGGCCGGACTGGGGATCACTGGCAAACAATGGGAGACTAAAAGATTCTTCCACTGTATCCGTCGTCTCATTCGCGCTGGTTGCGTACGCACGTTAAGTGCAGCATTAGCTCTTGAACCGGAAGCGGAGGGAGAAAACGCATCGAGGTCCAGCCGTAAAATGCATAGAAGCAACTGCGTTCAGTTACTGCGTGACCCAACTGATGTGGATCGAAAGGTGTTTCAAACCGGCAGCTACAAGGGCAAACCCAAGTCGATCGTCCCTGACCAGGAAGAAGATTCCGAAGAGAGTGATGGAGGTGATCTCGATACCACAATCGCCGTGCCCGAGACATCTGGAGCCGCTGTGGAAGCAGGCGGGAGTGAAAAGCCTGCTGTGACACCCCCGGCTCATTGGAGCCCTCTGATCCCGCTGAATAATCAAATTTACGACCTCGTCGACAAAGCCGGACTACAAGGGCTGACGGCGAAACAACTGTACGATCGATTGGGCGGAGCTTCCTGGCATCGCCCAATTGACGAAGCACTAGCCAAAATCACGGACATATGGCAGCACTCTCAGCCGCCTCATCTTCGTCATCTCACTCTCATTCGCGATACAGTCATCGACTTCAAAATTCTGGTCTTCCATTTCCGCTCTCTGGAAAATTACCGCAAAGCTGTGACTGCAGGACACGCTGTATGGGAGGCGGTCATCGATGAAAAGTCACTCGCAGAGTTCGAGGAGACTACCAAGGCAGCAGACTCATCCCTCGATGAGTGGGGTTTTCCACAGCTCAATAAGAATGAGCTCATACGTGGCGGCCGTGGCAGCCTTGCCGAATGCAGACACATGTTCCGTCATCCTCAAAGGATAAATGCCAGTATCAAAGTACGGAGGGAACTGGACGAGTCTGAAATGGAATTGGACGATGTCGGCTCTGCCTCCGAACTTGATCCAAAAGCAGATGCGCGTGTGGTCAGGAGCGCGACCAATCAGGATCATGATCAAACTCTGGCACCGAGCACTTGCGAAACCCCCGATCTTACAGCTCAGCAGAATACTCAGCAGGCCTCTGCACAGGAAGTGCCTCCGCAAGATCCTTCTCCAGCCGCCGCCCATGCAATCGACCCAGCACCTGTCACTATCCCCGAAACGAGCCACCAGCCTGTCATTCGTAGAAAGCGCGGTCGACCAAGAAAGAATGCCATTCCAGAAAGTACCGCAAATCTACCTTCCGGAAAAGACGAAAGTGCCTTGCGCGAAACCGACCCACCGCATCCCAAGCGGAGGCGCATCACAGAAGATGGCAACGACGATGCCGCTGCAGATACCTCGTCTGGAGATTTCAATGCCGCTCAACGCTTGAAGGAGCTATTTGCCAATAGACCGCTGGGGAGACCGACGCGCGCTTTTCAGGCCGAGGCTGAAAGGCTGCGTCGCTTGGTTGAAGCGCAAATCAAGGAGCAGGAGGCGATTGTGGCGGCTTTGGCTGCGGAGATGGAGTTTGTAGATAAAGAGGGAGCTGACGAGGCGCCTGTAGTTAATGAGGCGCCTGAAGTTGAAGATGGACCTGAAGTACATGATGGGCCTGAAACTGATGAGGCTGTTGGAAGGGAATTTCTCCTGCCACAAACCGCGCCTGTAGCTGTTGCGGCAAACGCGTCTGGTGCGCAGGAAACAGATATGATGGAGGATGATGATGAGGATTATGTTGACGACGATGCCTCGGAGCAGCCCGGTCTCGAAGACCCGGATCTCGAAGACCCTGATTTCGAAGACCACGATGCAGAAGACAGTGCCCCCACACGGAAAACAGAGCGCCCTTCGCGCGTCAAGCGAGCTGGCTTGGTTCGCAGTGGTGGATTCGTTGCTGCTCATCGTGCCAAGGTCATCTTAGATGCCGTTCACGCATGTGGCGGCGTCTTTCCAGGGAACAACGAAATGTGGTACGTCGTTGCCACCGCATGGCAGAAACACTCTGCTCAGACTCTGGACCGTCAGACTCTCGAGCGAGCTATTCGGAATCTCGTCACGAGCGGCAAATTGCAGAAGATCACTTGGACTTTCTCGGATAGGAAAGGCTTTGTGCATACTCGTGCAATACTCGCGGAACCACACATCAAGCCGCAAGATCCTGTGGTCAAGGCCATGCAGAGAAATGTCGAAGAGACTCTGCCGAATCAGTACCTCCCGAAGGAGGTCGAGGTCTTTGCTAGTCTACGCCATCAGGCTTCCAGCGCGCCTGGCACGGCGAAACCCATGGCTACACCTAAGCGCAAGACGACATTTGAGATCACGACAATGCCTAAACTCACGGCAGCGCCTGAGCTGACGACGGCACCTAATGCAAGTAAGGCGCATGTTCCGAAATCAAAGGAGCCGGAACATGGCCTCAAAGTTTCGTCTTCCAGGAACGGCGGAATCATTGGACGGGTCAAGTATCCGGAAGACAACAGTGTTCTTGTGAAGTCGGTGCCAAGAATTGGAAGAAAGACGCCAAGCAGCGCGCAGGTAGATAACCCAGTGGTTGTCACGACCGATCGACTTCGAGTAATGCCGCCTGCGGACAATATTTCCCCGTCTGCCTCATTCCCTGGAGTGTTCGACTCCGCCCCATCGGGATCGCTCATTGATCCGTCCATCGATCAGCGCAGTATCAACATCATGAATGACTCGGCCGTTGATTCGGCATCTTTGGCCGCGCGATTCAAGACATCTCAAATACGATATCAATCGATTCCTTCGGGTCGCCACGTACTTCCAGTGCCAGTGAAAAGAATCTACCGCAAACGACACGAGAAGATAGAAATTCATCCACTCAGCCAAGGAGGAGAACAATGGTCGCGAGCATGGTCTCTCTTAATGGGTCTTGCATGCCTTGGACATACCGTAACCGGAACATTCGCATCGCGGGCCATTATCTCCGATGCTGTGGTTGTTCCACCCCGTGTCGGATTGAAACCACTATTTGTTAAGCCGGCACCACCGCCACCGAGGAGCCTCCGAAATATTCTGGACGAGATCGAGTCTCTGCGTAAGGCTCCGTACTCACGTCAGGCTACATTGAATGCGCAATTGAGCGAAGATGAACAAGACCCCTTCCGTCGTGAGATCAATACCGTGCAAGCATGGGAAGAAGAGATGATCGGAGCAGGCAAGGCTATTCGTGGTGAAGATGGCATCGCTTTCGTAAACCACACCCTGAAGGTCCCTCATGTTGTCCTCAAGCGCAATGCTCGATCGCGGCGTCCAGAAGGGATACCACTCATATCGAGCATAATCGAGCCTCCGCCGAAGAAGAAGAAGTACAGATCTCGCAAAGCTGCCGTTGCGCCAACCCTCGAACTCGAGGAACCACGGCCGCATCAAGTTCGCCCTGCAGGCGAACCACGTCACCGACGTGATCGCCAGGGCGCGGCGAACTTCGCCGACGGCGAGCGACTGATCGCGGCCATCGCATTGATCATGGTGACTTGTGGAGGTATCAATCAAGGTCCCAGCTGGTCGCTCATTTCCCATGCGCTTTCGTTTCGATATGATGGCGAATTCCTTCGTCGACGGTGGAACTGGATCAGAGGCGGACGCCACGTAGACTTGGAGCAGATACGAGATGCTATCCGAGAGCCTTTTCTAATTGCTTACGAGAACGACGAGATTCCGAGAATAGACTATCAAAATCTCGCTGCTACCGACTGGCCAGCTCTACTGGATTGGGTGGAAGATGAAGTCATGCCTACGCTGGGTCCGAGACCAAAAGCCGGTGTTCCTGTGGCCATGCGACCAACCACTGTCAATCAAGCACTCTATGAAGCTTCGAGCGGGCTGGACGGTGCTGCTGGCCGCAAGAGTGATTATTTCACGTCCGCGATCGTGGACCATCGCAGACAGATGACTCTTCACTTCTCGAACGGAACACTTTTGCCAAAAGCAGTCTCGAGCAGTCACGGACTGAATGACAACCACATCTTGCTCAAATCATGGATCAGGGCTGTGGCTCTGACCAAGCAGTGGAACTACAATCCTCGCGCTGCATCTGCAAGCCTGTCCGTCTTCGATGAGGCAACACTGACTCAAGTGACGCAAGATATGATTGAGAACCACATCCTCGTACAGGATCGTAAAGGCCGGCAAATGCCGGGTCGAAATTATCAGATCCATCAAGATGTGCTTTCTCAATTTCGTCGTTGGCCCAAGCAAGACGAACATCTCTACCTACGCAATGTTGCAGATGCAAGGATCGCTATCGACGAACATTTTCAAATGTACGATGAACTGGATTTGATTGCCACTGCTCAAGATGTGGAATACCTCGTCTTGATCAATATGGTCTCTCAGGGGTTCATTGTTCCCAAAGCCAAACTGCCTGAACGAAATGACGATCCCGACGCTCCTCATCCAAAACTCACCAAGTGGTCATATGGTAAGAAAGGCTACGAAACAAAGAACACAAACATCAACGATCTCAAATTTGTTCTCTCCTTCAAGAAGACGCCCAACTACACTTCGGAACACGGCCTCCAGCCCGCATCAATCCCCCAACATACCTCCAAATTCCCGCCCGAAATCGGCCACCGCATACCGATCTGGATGGACATCCACGGCCAACGCATCGACGACGTCTGGGACATGGCCGTACGCTCTATCCTACACATCCTCGTGTATCGCGCGGGTTCCACCGCCGCAATGATCGAGACCGCCCACAATCAAAAGTTATGGACCTGGGAAATCGACCTCGTTCTCTCGTGGATGGAAGCCGCCGGTGTAGCAGAACGTTGTGGCGTCGAAGATGCCCCCGATCCCATCACCGGTGCGTGGAGAGGTGGTTGGCGCACGAGCGCGTGGTGGTATTGTGCCTTTTTGCCCGAGGTTGCGGATTGGGCGGCGCCTGGTTGTGGTCAGATTGAGCAGCATATTGGGTTGCAATGGGCAAGCTAACCTATTGGAGATTCGGCCCCAGACCGTGGGATGGACTGTCGCGGGCTGCGTTGACTTTATGTCGCGCGTCTTCTGGTAATACACCCATTGAAACGAGATCGTGGATGAATTTGGCCATCTGTTCCTGCACTCTTGGTCGGTTCTATGGCATAGATATTTTTCAGCAACGAACATCTGCAAGGAGAACGGGGCATCTTACACCATCAACCGGATGCGACAACTGTTCAGCAGTCAACACCGGTGGCTTCTTGCTGGCCCAACATCTTTCCCCGAGAGGTGAAGTTTTCAGACTGCCTTCCCTCTGATGAAGCTCTGCACTCGACATCTCGCCCAAGTACACCGCGTCCTTCCACGTCTCTCCCACTCGGAAGTTATAAAAATGGACACGATGGCTGTACCCTGTTGTCGGCGTTCCGAGATAATCATAAAGAATCCCATAGCATGGATCGATCGCCGGGTCCATCGGATTCTCGGTACTCGGCGAGCGGATGAAGAGGCTGAACTCTGCCCGCATGTGGTCCTCACCACGGCCGATGAGTAGCCAGGCGTGTTCTTTGCGGTCATTGCGTTCATTCTCGATTGCTTCTTGTTTGATCTTCATTGTCGAGGATCCGGCGCTCGATCCGGTTGGCCCTTGCTGAATGTCCATTTTCGTATGTGAGAGGTGGCTGTATGAGTTTGGAGTCTTGAAGGGTGTTTGCGGATCGAGTCTTATGTCTGAGAATTACTCTGTCGAAGTGTCATACTTATTATGTACATTATAGAAGCATCATATGGATAGCAAGTTTGCTACAATGTACCAATATTACCAGATGTCCCTTCAGGGATGTCTACCAATCACTATGCCAAGCACATGATTCCTCTCGCAGCGAACACAGGTATCATAAGCAGCGGCGGGAATGAGTGTGCGACCACCTCTTGTGCACCACAATGGACGAACCGACCACGTCAACGAGTACAAGTCTACGGCAGAATGATTTGCTCATCGGTTCCTCAACGGGACCCAACGAGGCTGCGATCTTTAGGCGGCGCTTGTAAGGGGGTTTGCTCGTGCCTTCTTGTTGTCGGAACAATTTTGCCACGGCATGCGTGCGAATGAAGACTCCGGACTCGCGCGAGCGCTTGTTTTGGCAGCCCTCGTACTTACTGTTGAGTGTGTCACGATATTCGCTTACGACGCAATGAGGAGAGGGATCCCGTCATTCATTGTTCCACTACTACTTGCGGAATGCGAACAATAATCTCCTCCTACAAGGACAGTAGGCCCATGCACAGCACGACGACGAAGTATTACAAACTCCCATACAGGCAAGTCGGCGGTGTCGACCTCTTTGGCCAGGGATCTGTTCGGAACAGATTGCGGGTCTGGTCTGGAGGGAGCTCCGTTTGTTAGAATGCAAAGAATTACTACGTACTATCCTATTCACCTAGAGTCTGCAATCAGGTTTGACTGGACATGAGGTCTTGCGCATGTCACCAGTGACCTCTGCAAGACAGAATACAGTCGGTTGCAGATTGAGTTTCATTTCTGCTATTAGAAGAAAGCTTTCCCGTTGGGTCATCGCCGTAAATCATGTGATCCTCGATGATAGTTGTGCTTGTGAATGACGAACGGAATCAATAAAAAGCGAACTGCGGAGAACTAAATTTGCCATCTGTAACGAGAACCGTGGTACATAGGTGTCGCTACAGATAAAGGAATTCACTACCGACGGTCTTTTCGTTCCTGCTAGTTGTAATGTCGCGACGAGGGTCGCCAACAGTTGCGGGAGGATGCAGCCGTACAGTCCATAGATCATAGTATATTCCAAAATATGTATGAGATCGAAAAGCTGCTCTGTTCACTAAGCAGAGAGCCGGGAGCGAAGCGAAGTTTTTGTAAAGGAATGCGCGATTTCCAATGTTGTCGTAGCTGGTCTCCACTCAGCTTACATTTTCGACCACTTTCAGTAGAGGTGTCCGGTCTGGCCTGAGCCAGGAAGAGGCAGTAATCACGTTCAAGAACCTTTTTGAGAGCGGACTTCCTCACTGAGATCGAGTGCTCGATGCACTGTCTGCTTTCGTCTTGGCAATTTGCTTTCGATGTAGAGCTTCAAGTCGATGGATTGCCATGTCCTTCTCGGCTTGACTCAGCGAGGAGTTCTTCAACACAGCCTCGATCTCATTGAGAATCTCGATCTGATGCTCGCACCAATGATTGTGCTTTGAGGAATCCTCTGTTGTTTCGTCTGTCTGTTTCCCTGGCGCTGATCATCGGTCATTCTTTCTGTCGGGGATATAGCGCGGGCAGGAGAACTCACCTCTCTTCCTGAGTCTTCCCAAGAAGGCTTTGGTCTTGCCTAACAATCCGGGATTGTCGTAGATGTACCTAATGTTAAGAAACAACCCATCCATGTCGAAGTCTGCTTCGCCGGTGTCGACCTCGATCATGTGCTCGTGATACCTCTGAAAGGCATTGGCCTCGCTCAAAAGGTCATCACTGAGGAGAACACCAGCTGGAAGACCGGATAAGATGTGGAAGTCGCGTATGTATCGATCTGTGAGGCGGCCATCGCCGAAGCGAAAGTCAACGTTCCTCACCACGCCAAGAGTCCGTGTGACGATGCCGCCCGGAAGCTCAAGCGCAATGGAGTGCTCCGGACCCATCAGAACTTCGGCCCCGGCACAGCGCAGCTCCTCTGCCATTAATGGCGAGACGAGGTCGGCGTCCGACCCAGTGTCCGGTAGCGTGGCGACCTTTATGCCATCACAATAGCCCATCATTCGTAGCTGCGACGCGCCTTGATACATAACTCGCGGGAAGCGGAGGTCACGGGTTTTCGAGATGATGCGATGGGCGAAATGAGACAGCGTCTTGGTCATATGCATAAACTTGCCGCCTAGTACCAAGGGGTAGGCGCCGGTGTGAGAGTCAGGCACAACATCGAAAATCAGCTTGTGGACTTCCTTGTCGTTGCGGAACCTCCATGGTAATTCGACGCGTCCGAGTGTTGAGAAGCTGGAATCGTCTGCTCGTCTGATTTTAGTGTGATGTTTGCTATCGAAAGGGATGCGTCGATTGTGGAGATATGATGCACTGACAAAGTTACCAGCGCACGTATCAACGAATGCCTCGACTGAAGAAGAGGCAATACTTCCTTGAGCAATGCGTTCTGTCCTTTCATACTTTGAAGACTCGGAGAAATCAAGCGGTCGCTCGCGCCAATTTCTGGCCGCGTCATTATACCGAGTAGCCTTGACATAGTCATGGTGATCGTACAAAAACGTGCGGTGAAGAGCAATCAGAGCGTGCCATTGCTCGTTGCTTAGTGGCGATCTTTTTTCGACTGCTTGTGCGGCATCTAAAGTAATGCATTTGGCTTCGATGTTGGCTAAATTACCATATATCTTCTTGAGATCGGCCGATAGCTCCTCTGTAGTCATGTGAAGACTCGACGGAGTATCGTTGTAGAAGACGTCGTCGAAGCTGACTTGCCCTTGAGACCGCTGCTCGTCATGGCTTGGACCCGTTCCTGGAACCTTTCGCAGATTCTTCTCAACTCCGGCAAGACTGCCAGGAGAATGATAGGCGCCTAGGCTTTTGGGTTTCAGGGGCTTCCATAACCGCCCAGGGGTGAACGTGAAGGGATTGTTCTCGCACGCAAAGTCTGCATCCGTACCAGGATCCGGTCTGATCGCGTCGTCATCCGACAGAATTTTCCGTTCATTATGACTCCTGTTGATTGCATCTGGACCGGTGATAGTCTCAACCTCGGAACCAATGCTAGCGCCTCGGACACGTGCAACTGGAACAGCTAGGAAAGACTGCTGGTTGCCCCAATTTGGCGATGACACATTGTGTGGGCTTGTAGGTCTTGACTCTCGACTGTCGAAGCTTGTAGTTGTGTAGTAAGGCCATGCCCTGCCCTTCGAAGGGAGTCGGAAATCGCGATTTTCCCCCATGATTCTGGATCCGTGCTCATTATCTCGTCAGTGTTCTTGTTTTGCAGCGCCCGCGCAGTTCTGGCACTATTCCTATAACCTACCTTGGCGTGCAAGATCACCGCTTGCCACGAAGGCTTTAGCACAGGTTGAACGTGCAAAGCATTCAGATCTTGACGGTTGGGCAGGGTAGAATGTTGCTCCTGCTCTCCTTTGTGGCAGTCGTCCGCTCCGCGAGTATTGTAACAAGACCTATGGGAATTTTGTGTCTCCGTGCGGATCACGAGAAATGTTTTATCGCGCGTGTGAGCACTGATAGCTGCACGACACGATATCATGTAGTGAAACACACAAAATCTGACATGAGAAGACTTACTTTGGGCATCGAACGGCTAAGTCAGATCGTGCGTCTGTTCGCAAGCCGGTGGGAGGCCGCCCGCAAAGCGTGAATGACGCGGGGGGCTTGACACAGCCTCACCGCGATATCGCCCAATCACGAAGTCGTGCAAATACAGACAAGGAGCGACACCTGGGATAACCTGAGAACCAGCAACATCGTTCATTGCAAACTATCCATGTCCAAGCCGCAAATTGATGAGGATGTTGAAAAGTCGTCCTCGCAGCCCCGTCACGGCTTTCCAGCCGTCGCCGCATTCATCGCCAGCGACCCAGATCATGAGACATACATCTTTCGCAAATTCAATACGCTGACCGCGCGGAATCTCATACACTTGCAAAGCGAGATCCTGGATTTGCAACAGCAGCTGCAGGAATATGACGAGAAAGCGCAGTCGGGAAACGACTCTCGACTCATGCTGTCGCTGCGGCACTGGGAGATTCTTAAGACTTGCGCACGAGACCGCGACGGTGATGAGAGAAAGTTGAAGGCTTTGGCGGACGAGATCGCCGTCAAATTGGACAAATATCGTAAGTCGGAGTGACTGTTGTTGCAAACGTTGACATTCGGCCGGTGCTGATGCTGCAAGTGACAGAGCAAGCGCTCCTGCAAGCAGCGGCAGTGATGCGACTCGAAGCCCCGAATCCTCGCGCATTGAGCATATACAAATATCAATTCGATCAAATGGACATTCGAGGAAACTCCGCAGGTCTGCTGGACGAGAAAGAGGATCTCGTGGCACTACGGGCACCGGCCGACAGCGATTTCCTTTCACGCCTGACGAGAGAAAATTGGCCATTCCCATCGATCGCCGGTGAAGGTCAAGTTGGATATTTCCGAGAGCGACACTTGCGTACGTTCGTCGCGGCGATGAGCGTCATAGTTGCGGGAATCCTGTTGATCGGGTCGATCTTGACGCTGTATTTTGTGCAGCACCCAGACGCCCGCTTGGGGCTGCTACTGTTGTACGTCGATGTCACTCTTGCATCCATTCATGGGAGAAAGTCTACTGACGAATCGACCGCCTAATAGATTTATTCTTCTGTTTGCGGTCAGCATGCGTATCAGCACAACAGCCACGCGCGACAGTATCTTTGCAGCGACTGCTGCTTACGCCGCAGTGCTGATCGTGTTTGTCTCTGGAGATCTTGGGAGAGCGAATCAAAGTTGAACAGAATTGTTCAAGGATTGGCATCTCAGTCGATCGACGCCTGCGTCAGGGATCGGTCGCGGCATCCGCTGCCTTCAGATCATTGTCAAAGAACAATGATTTAGCCCGTGAAGAGCGAGTGGCCCCGTCGTCGAGCTCCACGCGTGTCGCAAGCATATCTTGCACGTGTTTGCGCATAAAATCGAGGATCCGCAAGTCCTTTGGAAGACGGCCTCGCGCTCAACAGCATCAACCGGCGGGACGGCTGTTTGGCCCGGGCCTGGCCGTCGCCGCCCCACTGTCACTTCGTAATAAGAATGGCAACATGAATGCCTCCTGCATTCATTTGTTTCTCTCTGTTCCTGATGAAGAGAGTCAACATGGCGTCAAACATTCACTCGAAGATGTAAAAGCTATACCGAGACCTCGGAGCGACGCGATGTTTGTGTGACGCTGTATATATAAAACGGCTACAATTCGCTGCCACGAGCAACTATATCTACGAATAACCTAATCATTATTTTTCATCCACGTGAGAAAAGCATTCCGTTTGAGCACATTCGTATCACGAAGAGACACGACGCTTTGCTCGCGAATTTATGCTTTCGACGCGCGAACAACAACACCATCACCAACATGCGGCAGGTCTGAAGGATTTCCAATCAACAGTCAGTTCTCGAGATGATCAGCACGAGAGGGAGGATTATGTACAGTACACGAATACGATATCACACTTCGCGCGACTCGGTTCAATAGCAGAACTATTTTTATTCTCATTTCAGTCAATTGAATTCCCAAAAGTGCCTAGGTACTACATCACAAAAACGCCGCGCTGTCCCCGTTCAAAATGCTGTTTGTAGCATGTCACAAATGCCTCCCTCAAGATGGTCGATCAACCTTCATGACTCATTTCATTCCTCATCGAATCCTATTGTCCTTTCGCAAACAGAAAAGATTCACTTAATCGTAAAGATCCCTGTCTCCCCTCCTCCCTCTTCCGGCATTACCACCACCGCTCCTCCGTGGTGGATAATCGCGTACATCATCCTCCTCGTCGTCCTCACTCCACATCTCCTCGTCGTCATCAGGATCCACCGGACGACCGCCCGCAGGGCCAGGGTGATACTGTCCCTCGCCCATTCCATCGTCCTCACCATCGACACTGCCCTCGACGTGGTTTGGCAGAACGACCACGCGGCCATCCTCGAGGACGACGCGAGCGGTTTCTCCATCGCGGATGCTTCCGCGGAGGATAAGCACAGCCATGCGGTTGAGGACCTCTTTTTCGATGACACGCTGGAGAGGACGGGCACCGTAGGCGGGCGAGTAGCCTGCATCGCCGAGGTAGTCCTTGACCTGCTCGGTGAGGGCGATGCGGACGTTGCGGCCGTTGCTGGAGAGGCGTTTCTGGATTTCGTCGAGGCGAACGTCGACGATGCGGCGGATTTCGCGCTGCGTGAGACGGTTGAAGATGACAGTGCTGCTAATTCGGTTGAGGAATTCGGGTAGGAAGTAGTTGCGTAGCGCGGTGTTGACGAGCTCGCGCGTAGTCGGGTCGATGCGGCCGTCGGGTGCGTTGGGCCGGGAAAGGTATTCGGCACCGAGATTGGAGGTCATGACGACGATACAATTTCGGGCGTCGATGACACGGCCTTGGCCGTCTGTAATGCGACCGTCGTCCATGATTTGAAGTAGCACGGTGAGAACCTCCTTGGCAGCTTTCTCGACTTCGTCGAATAGCAGGATGGAGAAAGGGCGGCGTCGAAGTGCTTCGGTGAGTTGACCACCCGCGTCGTGACCGACGTAACCAGGAGGAGCACCAATCATACGTGAGAGTGAGTGGCGTTCCTGATATTCGGACATGTCCAAACGGATCATAGCCTTAGGGTCATCGAAGAGGAACTCAGCCAAAGCCTTGGTAAGAAGGGTCTTTCCGGTACCGGATGGACCACAGAACAGGAATGATGGTGGCTGACCAGGATTGCTAAGACCAGATCGCTGCAAACGAATCGCGTTCGAGACGCTGGTGACAGCCTCTTCCTGTCCGATGACCTGTTGGCCGAGAACAGTCTCCATCTGAAGAAGCTTCTCTTTCTCGGTTGTTCGGAGACGGGTCACAGGGATACCAGTCCAGCGGCCAACAATCTCGTTGATCTGGTCAGGACCGACAGCATCGGCAATGAGAGCCTCGCCACCGTCGGGGCCGCGACGTATGGCTTCTTCTTTCTCGGCCATTGCCTTCTGGAATTCGAGCTCTTCGATGCGGTGTTCTACATCAGGGATGGCGTAATATTTGAGGTCCGATGCTGTGGACAGATCTCGAGTTCGCTCAGCTTCTTGTTGTTTGGTCTTGAGCTGGTCAAGCTTGATCTTCTGTTCTTGGATTTCTTTGGCGCGTGCTTTCTCACTTTCGTACGACTCGCGGAGTGGCTTCAGTTCTTCCTCGACGTTTGCCTTCTCCGCACGGGCTTCTGCAAGTCGTGATTTGGATGCATCATCCTTTTCGCGAGCGAGCGCGTGGATCTCAATTTCAAGCTGGCGCAATTTACGCTCCATATTGTCGAGAATCTCGGGCTGTGACTCGCGAGCAACTCGGACTGCAGCGGCCGCCTCGTCGATGAGGTCGACGGCTGAGTCGGGTAGTCGTCTTTGAGTAAGATAGCGAGCAGCAAGAGTAGCTGCAGATACGATGGCTCCATCGAGAATGGTGACACCGTGGTGGACTTCGTACTTCTCCTTGAGTCCACGTAGAATGGAAACGGTCTCCGGGACTGAGGGCTCCTTGACAAGGACTTGTTGGAAACGTCGTTCGAAAGCTGCATCTTTCTCGATGTATTTGCGGTACTCGGCGAGAGTTGTGGCACCAATACAGTGAAGCTGACCGCGCGCAAGCATGGGCTTCAGCAAGTTGGCAGCGTCCATTCCACCCTCTCCTCCAGCACCAGCACCCATAAGCAAATGCATCTCGTCGACGAAGAGAACAATCATTTCTTTGCTAGCTTCGATCTCGTTCAAGACGCCCTTGATACGCTCCTCGAACTCTCCGCGGTATTTTGAGCCTGCCACCAGCGCTCCAACATCAAGGGAGAGTAGCTTGCATGCCGCCAAGGAGGCGGGCACATCGGCGTTGACGATTCGACTGGCCAAACCTTCGACGACTGTAGTTTTACCCACACCAGGTTCACCGATGAGGACTGGGTTGTTCTTTGTACGTCTTGACAAGATCCGGACCACACGTCGGATTTCCTCTTCTCGGCCAATCACAGGATCGATCTTGCCTTCTCGTGCCATAGCCGTCATATCAATGGTAAACTTCTTGAGGTTCTCATTCTCTGCTTCGGCATCGGCAGTCTTGCTGTCCACTCGCTTCGTGCCGCGAATTTGTTGAATCGCTGTGTCGATAAGCTTAGTGTTCGGAACATTGGCCTCAGCAAGACATTTTGTAATGGTAGCGTCCTGCACGAGGCATTGGATGAGATGGTCGACGGCGATGTAGCTGTCTTTCTGCGTCCGTGAGAGATCGTCGGCAGCGCGGAGCACCTTTGAGAAAGATGGAGCTACTCCGACTTGATCAGGAGGTGGGTTTTGTGAAGGTTGTCGAACAAGCTGCTTTTGCAATGCCCGTGAGAGTAGTTGAACATCTCCATGTGCTCGCTCAATGACTTGGCGAAATAACGGCGCCGATGTCGAAGCGTGTGAGCCATGGCCTTTATTTTGTTGGTCCTTGGACGCATCTGGCTGAGGATCAAACAGTGCTACTGCCAAATGGATCGGCAGCATCTGTGAATGTGCGTAACTTGTGGCCAAGTCTTGTGCTTCGACCAGTGCACTGTTGGCCTTGTCGGTGAATTGCATCTTGCCTGACATGATTGCGGTTGTTGTGATTTATCACAAGTATGTCGATGCGATTCCCCAATGGGGGGGTAGTGTACTTATATGTCTGAGTTTTTTGCGCAATGCTGACAGACTAATCTTGCGTTTGCTGGTTTGACTTTCCAGTTTAGGCGACTTACAGCCTATGTGATAGCGTCGAAATGTGTGAGGGCGATAGTATTGTATTCAACAGAGTAAATGTAGCTTCCCGTTACATACACCGGAAGAAACGATTATGTATGTCGCCGGCGGCTATCGATACTCGTCACATTCCTGCCTGACTGGGCCGTCGTCACTTCCAGCAATCACGAGAATCCACCAGTGAGCACTCACAGCTGCCCGAAAAGGCAGAGAAGTTTCGAGAACGCCCGCGCAAAGTCTGGACTGTTCCATGACGTCGGCGCTCACTCGCGGGGAATACAGATAGAGACATGTGGGGAACGACAAATGCGTGAATGACTCGCGTGCTCTCATGTTGTCTAGGGTTAGTGTTTGGGTTAACCACCTATGGACCCAAACCCACCTGCAACTGCAATCATGAACATGGGGATTTTTCCGATGAAATTCGCAATGGAACATCCAGCGAAGAGATGACGGTAGCAGAATCACTAGAGTTGAGGCTGGCTGATCGAAATGCAGAGGAATTTACTGGACCTCATCTAGGCAAGTGCGGATTTCGTTCACTCACGATCTATTCAGGAGCAAATAAATTGCTTAGTGGAGTGGTCCTTACATTTGATGATGTGCAACGCGCTTGTGGGAAAGGACAAAGTATTCATGTACGGCACGTGATCGTTGGTGCTCGTCTTGATTTTCTTCGTATCGTGTCTGTCACTCGGAGCAAACTCCTCTTTCGACTAGAACGAGTATCTGTCATCTTCTCGTCACACCGTTGTCCGCTGGCCCACCATATTCGTGCTTGATTGGAGATTGTCTGACTCGAGTGTATTGGTACAGCCTTGGTTAATGCTTGAGAATATTCGACAGTAGAGAGCGAGCTGGAAAATGTTCGTCTCGTCTTGTGATCTCTGGCTCCGCGCTGCATCTCTGATCCGGCCTGATGCCGTCCACAGTGGCTCTCTGTGTATAGCGCGTTTGCTTGCCAAATTGTTCAGATTTCTCTCGCCAGGCTCGCCAGGGACCTCTTTTACATTAATGCGCCCAGCGAAGAGATTCATAAAGGGGTGGTGTCAACTTCACACCGTCGAGTGAACTTCGCCGTTGTCCCACGTTTTTGTCGCATTTGTGCCAGCATCTTAGCAGGAAGTGAGAGAGATTTCTCCTTCTCAACCCACAAGCTGCCCTGCTGCATCCGACGCCGCCGACAAGCTCGCCGCGTGAAGTGCAGGCTTGATGCTCTTGCCCAATTTCCCGGCGCGCCGCCGTTCCAGGGCTCCAAGGACCCATTCGCCGACTTCGCGATCGATAAAAGGTGTGCCATCTGCAGCCGTTGCATATTTCGATGCTTGTGTTTCACCATCAACAGGAGCAGGGTCCAAGGATAATTTCTCAACAGCCTCGGCCGCGCTGTCCGCGGCAGCAGTAGACCCGGCTTCGACTTCGGCTTCCTCTTCATCCTCTTCGGCAATGGTGGCAGGTTTGTCGAGAGGCGCCAGCCAGGCATGTTGGAGAAGCATGGGGTATGTCGGCCGGAGGTTCGGAATCTTGTTCAGGCAGCCAGCAACGAAATCGCGAGCAGCAGGAGAGAAGGAGTCGGCTGGAAGGTCAGGAGGTGCTCCATCGACGATCGCCTGTTGATTTGGTTAGCATGAACTCTGCGGCTGGAAATCGTGAGATCCGAACTTACAGATAATTGCGAGAAGATATTATCGTACGTTTCGGGAGGGTAGGGATACCGACCCATGGCACACTCAATGATACTCAAACCCAACGACCAGATATCTGATTGTACGCTGTATGTGCCCATAGACGCACCGGGCTGTGCTGGAGCACCTCCACCGCCAGAAGAAATTCGTTCAGGGGCCATGTAACTCTGACAACCAATATTAGTCTTGGCGATACTTGCGACGAGGTTGCCAGAAACGCCAAAATCACAGATCTTGACCTGGCCGCGACTATTGGCAAGGATATTGGTAGGTTTGACATCACGATGAATGATGTTGTGCTCCTCCTTGAGGCTCTTGAGGCCGAGGACGGTTGCGTGAGTAATCTTGCGCAGGACACCTTCAGGAACGCCTTCGCCTGGAAGAGGCGAATAAAGTTTATCGATGGAGCCACCGTCCATCCATTCCATGCAAATGTAGACTGCACCTTCTTGAAAGAAAGCTCCGTAGAAGTCTACAATATAAGGAGAGATGCAACGGTGGAGAATATCGAGTTCCATAATGATGGATTGGAATTTTGCGTCATCAAGTTCCAGACGCATCTCTTTCATGGCCATCACCATGCCTGTTGGGCCACCACGGCCGTAAGCTTGAGCAGAAGTTGCGTTGGTCGGCGTCTCCGCTGAGGCGCTCGCGTCTCGTGTGGGAGACAGAGGCGTGACGAAATCGTCGCTCCCGTTAGGACCGCTCGACTGTATTCCGGCGATACCCTGGCCCTGCTTCCGAAATTTGGGTCGTGCGTGACGCACTTTGTACACTGTGCCGTAGTTTCCCTTGCCCAGCTCGTCCATACGATCAATTTCGTCCAAACTGATGCTGAAGCTCTTTCCAGAGCTGAAGTCGATGCCCTGGCCATGAACCACAGCCTTACCCTTGAATGTTAACGCGCCGGCTTTGGTGTCCACAAAATCAGCATACTTCTCCATTTGAGACTGCTGCCGAGGTTGTCCTGATGCAGCGTCGCCGTCGGGCGCACCACCCGCCATGGCTGAAAGTGTAAGACCTGGTTTAACTCTTCCTCCGGGCGTAGGACCTTGACCCGGGAGGCCGCCGGGTAGTTTTAGTCCTCGCTTCTCTGCCAATGAAAGTCCTTTGCTGACGCCTGCCACGGCAGGAGAGGATGCTGCGAGATGAGGTGCTGGGCGGTTCAATCCCTGCGGGAGGCGGAAGTTGGCGGGAAACCCTCCTGGAGCTGGGCCAGGTGACTGCATGCCGCTGGCGAGAGGACCTCCACGATTGGGCCCTGGTGTTGGTGGACCCCTTCGCGACTCGGAAAAGGCTTTCATCTTCGCAGCCATGTCGGCATTCATGGGCGTCGCACCCGTTCTTTGAAAAGGCATGGCCCCCGGCGGTCTCCGTGCGGCATCAGTGGGACCCAGAGGTGATGAAGAAGAAGTGGTGATATTGGGACGAGCGACCGGGCTGGAAAGCGTGCGAGGTGGAGTGAAACGCGGAGTGCCATCGTCAAGGGGGCTGTCGAGGGGAGAAGTGGCCGACTCGTCAGGTGAGGTAGGTGGGGAGGGCGAGTCGAGGGGTTCTGACATCGTTTCTGTTGCGGGCACGGGTTGGGGAGGAGATGCGAGCAGAATAGTGTCGAAATATCTCCTTCAGCCCGTGGTCGCAATGAGAATGGGTGTGACCGATCAGGCTTGATGGTGTCGAAACTATTGTGAAAGTGTCGATCGTGACGGTCAATTGATAACCAGTTACAGTATGTTCGTGAACTTGAGCAATACGAGATCGTGCAAGGCTTTCCTCTTCCGAGACGAATATTTGGCGGGAGTTTGTCGACGGGTTGGAGTTTCTTGCGTGCGTGCAATGATTAGGTTGAGAGGTGTTGTGAGAGCGACGGTGGCGGTGATATGTCTGCACTGTGTGACTGTGTGATGAGAGAGACTGGAGGTCGGGTCAAGTATGGCATGATGGTTTCTTGCAGGCCCGTCGGCTAGGATGATCGTCCGAAACCTTTTTGCTAGGGAAAGCTCGTGAAGCGGGGGTGGAGCAGCGCGCGCAGGCAGACGAAACAGCCAGACACGCACGTTCGATAACGCACGGTACGGACGCGGCGGGACCGTCACGATGGGCGTCAGCGGATGAGAAGGCAGCTCAGATCGACGTCAAACTCGGCGCCCAAAAATGATGCATTTCCCTCTCTTTGACTTTGTTCGCTCCTCCATCTCTACCCGTCATGCATTTCCTCGCCTTTTTCGTATTCCCATCCCTTCTCTTCGTTTACATTTGAAACAATTGGAAATTTTCGCGGGATCGGAGCACTCTATCGAATGTCGTGTGCATCGCGTAAATGCGGATACAGCAATATCCGAAGATGTTTCATGTTTGCGAGCAAATGCTGGCGGAAGTTTCTCCGTGGAACCTTATAGTTGCAGCATACATCCCGGTGGTCCTTATATTGGAGGAGGTAACATATGTGACGGCGAGCAAATCGCATGACCTACGTACCTGAAACTCATGCCGGCCATACGTCGAGTCACATTGCATCACAGATAAGGATATTCGCATGATGATGTTTTTCACCGGCACCATATACTTCGTAGCGAGTACAATGGCACTGTCAATGGACAACAATTCTTACTCACACGACCAAGGTGTCGATCTGCACGATCATGGAGATCGAGAGAAGGGGTTCACCGCATCCAACGGGATCGGTATGAAATCCTCGTGTGCGCACGCTTGTGGCACACATCATGTACTGTACTGTATCAAGAGTATTGGAAATCTTGGGACACCGTCCAAGAGAACCGGCGGGCCACCAGATGCGCCCACGTGAGAACCGACGTACCTAATGAGGAAAATGTACGAATGGCAACGGACGGGGAAGTCTTGACGATCGGAACAGCAGGCCATCCCCGGCCCACCAAACATTCATCCCACCGGGCATGCGTGTGCACGAGGCCGGGCGGATCGGAAGCTCGCACCTGCGATCGGCCTCGTTCGAAAAGACGTTGCCCGATGCAAATCTATGCGGCCTGACCCAGAATTCCATCTTGTAATCACGACTTGATTACTTGCATGTCGATCCGCTGCACCCCGCTGCTGATCCGATGAGGCTGGACAGCGTCACTCGTCCGCTACCAGAAGTGGTTTGATCGATGAGTCGGCCAATATTGCTGAAGGCGTGTAATGCCCGGCCAGTCGAATGGGAAATATTCTAATCTGTGAACCACTATAACTCGGTAGTTGCACAATTTGATTCTCGATGCTGTCAACGCGATGGCATCTCGACGAGAGCTCAATTGGCGAAGGGCTGCTTGAATGTGACGTCACTCGGCGTCCGAGAACTTTAGAAATGTCCAGAGGCCCAGTGGGCGGTGGATCCTATGATGAAACAATGATGGCGGTGAAGACCCGTCTTGCTGTTCTGTCATCAGATGATTGACCATGGCGAGGATCTCGGTCGTGCAACCTCAATTCGCGAGCAAATAACTTTCCATCTCTTCTGTCATCAATGTTTGCGCCTGCAGAGGACGGCGGCAGACAGGGGAGGTGTTTACGCAGATGCAGGCGGCCTACAGCAAGTGGTACCGAAATACATCTTGATACTAGCGGAATATTGCCATTCATGTGGAGGAGGCCACGCGGACGGCGAGATTACTTCTTTTTGTAATAATTGTATTTTGGTATGCACGCATGTTATTCGGAATGACACCTAGAGAAAAGCCAAACGTGCCGAATTCCCTGTCAATGTCGTTGGCTTTCCGCCGGCCTCCGCTGCATTTCGCCCATCATTATTACGGTAGCAGGACTCAGAAATTCTAAGCAGAAAATCAGGCAAGACTCTATGCTCCGATCGATGAACAGTGAGGTCCAGAAATTAATGCAGTGGCGACTGGATGAGCTACGAGAGACGGAAACACCCCGAATTGACCGAGAATCTGTGCTGGTCGGGTATTTTGGAACATCATGCATTATGACCAATTATCTCATCATCAGATTGTAGAACCTTGGAATGCTCTGTATCATGCATGGGACGAATCTCCCTGCATTCGTGCTGGCGATGATAGCAGCCAGCCAAGACGCGCCTGCGTCTGAGTCTACCCAGGTCGGTGATGGTACCCGGCGCGGCAGAGACAATAGCAAAATTCCAAGGTTTACGCCGTTCGGACAGCTCCACGGCATGCGGGTGTGATGAGTACACTTTCATGCATGTTGTTCAACTGCATCTCCAGCGTCATCGCTTTTGTTTTAAACGGTCTACGAGACATTCTATTCAGCTTGCGACCAGACTGTCGTATGAAGGCACTGTCACAGCTGACGGCAATGAGAGGCGAAGAATTTGTCTAACATACTCACATCTTTGGTATCTTGCGACCATCTTTGCTTCACCTGTGTGAGTTGAGACGACACACATGCATATCCGTATTGCAAATGGCCATGGATGGAGCTTGATATCCCATCCGACTTGCTTGGCAGACGCCGCACACCATCCCGTTCGTGGCGCATGTGGCGTCTAGACCCGTGCATACGTAGATACTGCATGTGTGGGAGAGAACTGGACTGTCACTTGAGTTTCGACCAACGGCGCTTGCAGAGATAACCCGGCGAAGATGTCCGCCTGGACCCCCGGGCTATCACCAGTAATCAGCTTTCACATCTTCCACATTCTGCACGTCACCAAGAACTGCGTGCTTGAGGATTGAAATCCAGCCATGGTGCGACGATTTCAAAGGCAAAGACAATCGGATAGCGGTTGATTTAGTCCTGTGCTCGGGCAGTACAGCATCGTATCGGGGCAGGGACAATTTTGATCTATCGCCTGGGCTGGCGTCATTGCACCCGCGTCGTTACCAGGCAGCGATTCGACTATCAAAACAGTCCAGGGACAAATAAACTTGGCATTCCGTCTCAGACATATACCGTACATGGTATCTTTCCAACCGCCATCGGTCTAGAGAACTATATTTTATCATACAATATCGGTCCTGGATTGGAGCAGATAGAAGAAAAACTTCAAACAGTCCCCAAAGATTTCCCGTTCGGAGGACTGGCGCTGCGCGTACTTTTGTATCACCAATCACCAACACAGCATCCGTCGCTTATCGGGCACATCCCAGGTCGATTCTAGGACATATCCGCATCACGGTTGCCCTTCCTGCGCGCGTGTCTTAACCGTCGACCAGACAGGCGGTTGCGTCGTCTTTCCAGTCTTTTTTACCCTTCCCACCCTGCCTTGATCGGTCTCTAACGTCTGCTCAAAACGTCACCAGCCATCGTCATGTCGTCCTTCTTCAACTCACCTGCGTCGCTTCGCCTACGCGAAATGCCAGGCGCCATCTCACCATTCACGACATATCCTCAAGTCCCGGTCATGGCAAGCGATCTCGCCGTCCTGAATGGCACACTCTCAGCATTCGGCAGTCATGGCGCTGCCAAACCCGACTTCCTCAATCTTGCCGGCTTGGTCTCAGAGGCAGTCCTTGAAGTCGTCTTTGTCGCGCTACCGGGATACCTGGTCGCGGTTACGGGCATGTTCGATGCAAATAGCCAGAAATTTGTCGCGGAGCTAAACACCATGGTCTTTACGCCCTGCCTGATCTTCACCAAGCTCGCTAGTCAGCTCAACGCTGACAAACTCGCCGATCTCGTCGTGATTCCTTTCATCTTCCTCGCGCAAACACTGGTGTCCTACTGCTGCGCGCAACTCATGTCATGGGCATTTGGATTCTGGGGCAAAAAGATGAAGAGACAGAAGAATTTCATTTTGGCCATGGCGGTATTTGGTAATTCAAATTCCCTACCGATCTCACTGGTCATCAGCTTGAGTAAAACAATTTCGGGACTACATTGGGATCAGGTCCCGGGAGATAACGACGACGAGGTCGCTGCGCGAGGTATTCTCTACCTATTGATCTTCCAACAACTCGGACAATTGCTACGTTGGACATGGGGCTATAGCGTGCTGTTAAAGCCGGCGAGCGCATATGAAGAGGAAGAACGGGCAGAGGAGACCGCTGAAGATCGCAGCATTGAGGAAGGCGAATATCGAGACGATCCTGAGGAGCCAGAGTCTGAAAGCGTCATCAAGCCCTCAAAGAGTGACGATTCTGGATTTCTCTCTGGCCAGTCTACTCCGCAGGTTCGCCGTCGGGCACATGATGATGATGACGAGGCCAGTTCCGAGATCGACATCAATGCCACGCCGGGTAATGGCAACAATCGTAACACTGAACCCCGCAACATCCCAAGCCCATCAGGCGAACACACCATCGATGGCCGTCCTCGACGACAAAACTCAAGCCTCTCAACTCTTACCGACGACGCGACTACCAACCCTCACCCAAGCGATATTCCTGCCTGGAAAGCCGGCCTCTATCGCGCCAAGTACACTTCGATTTTCTACCTCCGCAAATTTGGCATCACGCTCAAAACCTTCTTCCACAACCTTTACCGCGCAAGTCCACGTCCACTACAGAAAGTCTTCGCGTTCCTCCAAGCCTGGGTCGGCGGCTTCCTCCGTGGCATCTGGCGCCAGATGAACCCTCCACTCTGGGCCATGCTCGCTGCGCTCCTCGTCGCCTCTATCCCACCTCTCCAACATGCCTTCTTCACAAAGGGCACATTCCTCTCCAACTCCGTCACGCGCGCCATCTCGCAATCCGGCAGTGTCGCCGTTCCACTCATCCTAGTCGTCCTCGGCGCCAACCTCGCCCGTAGCACTCTCCCCGCGGACCAACTCGCCACCTCTCCCGCCGCTAAAGCCGAAGAGCGCAAACTCCTCTACGCCGCGCTGTTGTCTCGCATGTTCCTTCCCGTGCTCCTCATGGCGCCGGCGCTCGCGCTCCTCGCCAAATTCGCACCTGTCAGCATTCTCGACGATCCGATCTTCATCATCGTCTGCTTCTTGCTCACGGGTGCGCCGTCGGCTCTGCAGCTGGCGCAAATTTGCCAGATCAACCACGTCTTCATGGGCGCCATGAGCTCGTTGCTGGTTATGAGCTATGTGGTCTGGATTTTCCCGAGTACGCTGCTGCTTGTGCTGTTGGCGCTGGAAGTTTTGAGCTGGGCGGTGTTCAACCATTGAGCATAACGGTTCCGTCGGATTGAGGCTTGAATTGCTATTTTTGTTCTTGAATATGGTTTTACTAGATGGGATTTCTTCTTGGAGAGAGGAGGTGGAAGAGGAGGATGAGTATGATTTTGATGTTTCGGCTCGAATCTTGCTTTTTCTTCCATTGTGCTTTGGATCTTTGCCGACTTTTTCCCTCCCCCACCCTTCTCCATCAATTTGTGCGTGCGCGTTGATGACTCTCACGACGTTCACGAACTTCTGTTGATGCCAGCTTTTATTCTCTACTTCTCCTGCTGTTTTTCTGCCTTTGGAGGACATCTCTTGCAAACGATGCATGTCCTGTCTCCTACTTTTCTCTCAGTACTGGGCGTGTGAATTTTTCGTGCGCATGTTTGTTGACTTGCATTGCATTGGATTATCTTGCATTTATTTCTTGACACTAACGGTGAGGAGACGATAGGTCCGGTAGCATGGATAGAAGTGGGAATCGTGTTTGTCTTTGATTGGAAATGCGGTTTAGTTGGTTGATAGGGCAGGAGCACTTTCACTGCATTTTGTCTTCTCCTGATACAATACGGTTCCCACTCAAATCGCAGCATAGCCTTGATCCATCTTCGCCTACTACTTTGCCTACATAAAAATCCTAGCCTGCCCAGGCGGCTTTCTGGTTTGAATTCTTATTGATCATGCTAAATTTGTTATTGAACGAACATGGCAAAGTATGACATGTGGGCCGTTTCGGCGACTTGCTTCCGCTTGGTCTGTGCAGACAGTGGCGGACGACATTGAATTTCGATGGAACGACAGCCCAAGGGATGAGTTTATTCGCTTTGTCACTTTCGCACATGAGTTCGTCTCCTTCATCGTTTTTTCTTGCTTTGGAATCGCGAGTAGGGCGATCCAGCGTCTACGATGATCATTCGGTCTTTGATTCGACGGGATGTGGGTTGATAGAAGATAAGAGGAAAGCAAGTCTCCGAACATGTCGATGGCCCATGTTGCACCGCGGCCAGTTTTGAGTTATGGCTTCGGGGCTGTAAGGTCGCCATTGTCGAATGGCAATGTCATTCGCCACACTAAGGCAACTTTTTCAGAGACCTGCGCAACTCAGAGAGCAGCTTTGCGAGAGAAAAAAGCACTATTTGCAGCTCTCAGCAGACTGGACGACACGGGGGCTCACCTCAACCGGAATGCTCGGGCACAATCCCTCATAGCGGCTTGCATGAACGCCCCTCACATCCGACCTCTCATAGATTCAATCGGTGAGGCAACTGCCAGAGAACTGGCCCGTCACTGGATCAGGTGCAATCGGGCGCTACGAAAAGCAAAACCTCCACCGCTGCCAGAGTGTAGCATTTCTAGCGACACTTCGAGCGAACTATGTATCGGGAAAGATGTGACAACGAACGAGTTGATGGAAGCCAATCCAGCCTTGATCGAGCCCGCGAACGATGATTCAATAGAAGTCAACTCGGTCTTTACTGAGTCAGCGAACGACAATGTGATGAAGAAAGGGCCTTCAGAAGTTACATCGCTTCCAACAGATGCTAATGTGGCGTCAAAAGCGTCGTCCTCGAACAGGAAAGCTAAAGTGGAGCTCACACCGCTACAGAGGTTTTTAACCTCTGATTCTACTGATCTCGTACTGAAGTCCAGCGCTCGCATCACCATGAGAGACTCACCGTCTCTACCCGAACAAGATGCTCGAACATCACGTTTCTCTTCAAGGTCAGCGTCTCGAGAAAAAGCTCTTTTGGAGTCTCTCCCCTCGTACAACTGTCGAGCAGTGCAGATTCGCTTGCTTCGTCGACTTCAAGAAACTTTGGAGCTCTCCTTCTACAAATATGCACAGAAGCACGTCCCGGACATTTTGAAATCTAAGGGTTGGACGTGTCCTGAGGCCGTTGAGCTCCATCAATGGGCTCATCATTTTATCGGCCGGCCCGACCTGTTTGCTGAACAACATCGCGAGCGTTGGACGGTTTCAGGTTGGGCGACGATGTTTCAAGATATGACACGACTCCGACATGCGGCCGTGCATCGATCTCAAATGTCCATGGACGAACTACACGCACATGCGTCCGGAGCGGAATCAGTCTTCGAGCTTCTGGGTGATCAGGCTGCAAGACACGACGCATACGTGATCACAAGCGAAATTGCAGCAGCCTCCTCCCGAATTCAGTCAAAGAAGGAGCTGTATGCAAAAGATCTGAGGACATTGGAGAACGAGTTTGACCAAAAGGCTGATGAACTTGGTCAGCTCGAGAGAGCAATGGAGGAAGATTTTCAACGCAAGAGGGCAGAGCTTGATCGGCTTGAGAAAGTAGCACATGATGATTACCAACAGAGGAAGAAAACCCTCCATCAGCTCGAGGAAGCAGCATGCGAAGCTATCATGGCACGGAGCAAGGCCTACGAGGACTCAGTAGCTACTGTGCTGGAAAATAATATTGCAAAGATCCCAGCAAAACTATCCACGGCATCAGATTCATTGGTAGGGCAAGAGCTGAACGCGGCTGATTCTCACCATGCTGGGTTGTTGTCTGCAGACGGATCTACAAACCAGACACCGGAAGCCACAGCTCCGAGCGCAGGTCACGACTCTTTTGTAAAAGGCTCTTCGTCAAATGAAAATTCCAATGGAAGCACTGTGGACCACTTGGTATTAGGACAGCAGGATAGAGAGGCCGAAGCCCGACGACTTCTCCGGAATCTTCTTGAGAATTACGACCATTACCGCGATGCCAGCAATGCTCCCACCACATCACCCGCCTCCATTACATCAAATATTATGTCAGAGGCATCATCATCATCATCATCATCTACTGACCTTTCTACTGCCATAAACGAAGCGTTGGAAAAACTTAATGCGCCAAGCCGAGGAGTATTATCAAGAAAGTCCGAGGACGCCCCTCGAACAAACTTCGAAATCTCCGTCGGGACTGGTCTTGCGAGAGGCGTTCATTCTTTACGAAATGAAGATGCTGATCCGGAAAACCAGTCGGTGGCGCCAGCTGAAGTCATGACGGCATCAAGACACAAGAGGGCTCGGGGCAGACGATCTCTTCGACAGCAACGCCCGCATCAGCAGAAGCAAAATGAAGAGACTGCTGAGGGCGTCAATTCCAATGGTGCTGTGGCCATTGTTCCTCCTACTGTACCTCTACCAAGCGATGCCACCGCCGATCGATCCAAAGTCCTGATGTCGCAAGCTACTGAATTAGACGACGAGCCTGTGGCTACTGGACGCATCGGGCGGCTGGATGTTTCCCTACCAGTCCGCTCTATGGTGCATGGGAGTGAAATTTCGTCAAGCGCAGAATCGGTTCAAAGACCATTGGAATTACCAATGCAGACTGCAACTTCAACCGGAGTTCAAACGCCTGTTTACTCGGATATAACCGGCTCCGCTAAAACGACTGGGCGGGCACTTGCACAAACGCCGGGTGAGCACCAAGACCGATGGAGTGAACATAAGAGCTGGAGTGATTCAGCACCCCCTGCGCTCCAAACTCTTCTCGGTGGTGTGTCCACGAAAGACATGCTTGCTACGGTTGACGTCCAAGGACTCTCGGCTGTGGAATTGAAGCAGATATCCCGAGATTATTCGATCTCTTCGCCGCAGACTCCGCCAACGTCGTCACCGAAAAAGTCGACTTCGGCGAAAACCCGAAGGCACCTTGAGCTGGAGATGGTGAAGTTGGTAGCAGAAGATGGTCGAAGATGTGGGGGGTCGATAATGCACATGATTGGGATAAGTCTCAAGACCGGATCACCCACCAACGTTGTCTCTACCAGGTCCAAGCGAATAAGGGAATTGGCTGGACTCGCGATGATCGGCAAAGATAATTTGCTGGGTGCTTCGTGGGACAATGTCTGTCAGGCGGTGATCAAACAGGAGCACATCAAGAAACGTGGATACAGTAACTTTGAGATCAAAGCGGCAGAAGTTCTAGTCAACGAGCCAAGCCATCGACGAGCTCTTCAGCAGTATGAGATAGAATCAGCCTTGGCGCGAGTTACGCAATGGCGAGCTCTTGTGCGAGCTGGATTCGACGAGTGGCTCAACAAGCTTGGTTGCACAGATCCCACCATCCTGTCTGTGGTACAAGGCTCAGGCATATTCGAAGACTCTCAAGTCGAAGCCAAATGCCCTCTACATGCGAATGTTGCCGATCGTGTTCGAGATCTCGCATTCCGTGTGCGAATGCCCTGGATGTTCACCCTCAGTCTACCAGCTCATCGCACTCTCAATCTTGTGCCCTCTGTGATTAGTCATAGTCGCCAGGGGTCGAGACGCCACGTGATCCGAGAATTTGTCAACAAGCTGAAAGAAAAGGGACTGTCTTTTGCATTGAAGTTCCCGTTAAGCCGTTACGGCCACGAATTTTGGCCTCTCAATTTAATCAAAATGATAAGGGGCCGACGTAAGGGCGAAGCTGAGTTTCCGGAGGATGAGCAGGTTACTGCGTTCATCGAGGCTTACCTAGAACGCGACCGATTACAGGGGATCTTTAAGAGCATCGCGTGGTCACTGCGACGCAACTTTCCGATGGTGGACTTGCCATTCGGCATTCAAGACGGGTGCAATCTAGACCTCGGTGGAAAAGCCGACGTAAGTCAGCTCCATGACTCTGTGAAAGAGTTTCCCCCACCGTCTACGCCAGCCACAACTTCGATCTCTGTAACATCCTCGGCACTCATGGAATTCTCAACGTCTTGGCTGCAGAATCGACAGTCAACCGCTGGAGAGGGCGATTTGGAGGGCCAAGAAGGGGAAAGCAACATGACTGCTGGCACACAAAATGTCCAGCCGGCTCAACCAGCGTTTGCTGAAGAGGCCCCATCACCTGTTCTGCTTTCAGCTCCTGAACTTACTTCTCCTGCCATTGGGCTTGGAGACGACACGATTGTAAGCCTGGAGAGCTTCGATGAGCACCAGTGGGCTAAAACAGAGATTGAACTTAAGAAAACAGCTCTGCATCTGCGGCAGGAAAACAACTTAGTTGGTTTCACGGGCAATTGGCTAACCACCAATGTCGGACAATCGAGGGCTGAGAGCCAGGAATCTTACAATGCGACCGTCCTAGAGTTCTATCGCGAACATGCCATTGTCAGGGGCGCACCACGTTCGTGGCTCAAGAAAGCTGACGCCCTAACATTCCAGAAATATCTAGCTTGTGCCATGAGCTTGTTGAAGCGCATTGAGATTCAATTCCATCATCGCCGGAAGCAAAAACAGTTCAAAAAAGAGATGAAAGCTTTAGTACCAGCTCGTTTGGACATTGCTCAAGGGGATGCAAAGCCCACTACGCACTCTATGCCATACTCGACTACCAGGTACGAAATTGGTTTACCCAGCTTCCGGTTCTTGCAGTCTGAGCGGCACCAAGAGCAGTCGGTACCGGATCCAAAGGCGTTACACATCATGCCTCTCAAGCTTCATCGGGAGAACTCGCTGACGCTCGACGATAACCAAACCGTAACGAGAAACAATAGTTCCTCTGTAGACGAAGTCACAACTGATTCTGCAATAATTTCTGGAGACCCCGTCGGCATTTCTGACGTCGAAGCTCACTCGCTTACACCTAGCAATGTTCAAACCGTGACGGGCGACGAGTGTTCTTTTAACAACGAAGTCGCAGCCGTTTCTTCAACACATTCGGGAAACTACGTCGACAACTCCGAAATCAAAACTAAATCGCCAACGCCTGACGATGCTCAAACCATGACGAGCGATGAGACTTCTACTACAGAGGAAGTTGGAGGCGTTGCTGCAACAGATTTGGGAGATCACGTCGACAATTCTAGCATCGAAGCTACTTCCGAGCTTGCTGGAGTGAACCAGATACTTCCGAAGACCGACACGATGAGTAACACAACACATCTACTAAATACCCAATCGACAACTGTAGTTTAGTAACTACTTCCAAGATTTCCGGAGTTGAACAAGTGGCGCCCGAGACAGACGCGATTAGCAGCATTGCTGCCACGGACCACGTCGACGACTCTGGCAATAAAGCTACTTCCAAGCTCTCCGGGGTAGAACAGGTGCCTTCCGTGACAGACGTGACGAGCAACACAACCACTAGAGAAGCATAAAGTATCAATATTTCCATCGTCCTTCACAGTTCGACGCGCATTGGCGCGACGGAAAGGCAGCTCCAGGACGCCGTCTTCATCGCCGGTAGACGAAATTCCAATTACCGTCAGAGCAATACATGTACTGTGTGAGGCAAAATGCCTCCCTTCCATGTGTAGTTCTGTGTGCCAACGTTGTATTATAGACCAGACGATCAGCCGATCGCGAATTCCCATAGATTTTTGTACACGCTTCGGAAGAGGAACTTCCTGATTTCCTTTCGACATTCGAGTTTAAGATTGTGAAATACAAAGGCTCGAATACGGCAAGCGAATCGATGGCTCGGTGCTGACCTTGTGTCGAAACGACACTTCGGGCCGAAGTGTTTGCCATTCAATACTCAAATGAACTCCGATCCTCCAATTGACCAGCGCTTGATCGCATGTGTCATCCAATTTTGTCTTCGAAATCGTTTTTCTTTTCTCTACACGTGTGTAGATTTTATTATGTGTCAACCTGAAACGTGACGAAACACCGTACGTATAAGTTCGGCTTGAGCGACTGAGCCTGGGGTACGCGGCACCAAATTCTTTCAGCAGACGAGATGTCACACGGAAACTTGTCGTCTACATACTCCATTCTGTCCTTACTCTATGCCAGCCATTGCGAGGCCCAGTGGTCGTCTCCAAAGCAGCATATGTATTCAGATATGAAAAAATATGAAGAAAGTCGAGATCTTTTCTTCGAAGGGATTCATAATGTGTCTACGGAATTCATTTTACGTTGAAAGGACGAAAATTTAACAGAAGAACCTGGCATAATCAAGCGGCAAGCGAGTCGAATTGTACTGGTGCTTCAGCAGAATGTCTCATTTGAAGACCTCGACTTTTCCTGGGACGTACGAAATTCTCTTCGATGCGCTTGACTACGAACAAGCCATTAGCATTGGTGAACTTCACCAAGGCTCGGTTCGAGGTACGCAGTCCAGTAATGCTTGTTCAAGACCAGAAATGTGTATGCACACGTGTGGCGGGCTCGCTTCCGTTCAAGAATGCGCAGATGAAATTTGAGAAGCAAAAAGGGAAAGAGACGATCGGAGATGGCAAACAAGCAGTTTGCTCTCCTTCCAGAGCGTTCCGTGAAGAAACGCACCACGGCGACCGCAGCAGCTATATTATGGAAACAAACGATTACTCTAAATCAATGATTGACTGACCATCGACATCTCCAGCCTCCAACATCCCAAGTCCCATCCCAGAGAGATTATCCTTCCCATCAACTCTCTGGCCCAGCCGTATTCTTCTCACCACCAACTCCGCCACATCTCTCCTTCCCTCCAAATCACCCTCCTCCTCATCAAACGAAACATTGCAGGAAAAACTCCCGAACAGCAAACCCGGTCTCCTACGACATCCAATCATAGCCAGACCGTCGTCGATCATCATCACAACCCCCAGATCATCGTCAGAAAAGTGCGAGAAACAGAAACGGGAGCGGAAACGGGTGAGATTTCTCGATGTCGAGACTGGTCTTGAAATCGCCTGCTGTCGCAGTGAATTAGAGACAAACGAGAAAATCCCCAGCGGGTTTTTCTTGCCGGACAGGGTTCTTCTGCGCGAGATTGAAGAGGATGAGGTGAGGATTTGGATTTTCTTGGTTTGCCTGGTGGCTATGGTTTGCTTTGGGTTGGTTGTTTTTGTTGGGGCGGCAGGACAGGGGAGAAGGGCATCATGAACGATTTATGACGAGTGTGGTTAAATGAATACGATAATGAAATGTTTTGACTTTTTCAATGACGGGCACGAGGTGGCAGTGAGATTTTCAACTCCAGAAGGAGCAGAAGAATATCAGTGGGACGCGTGCCCGTCTATAATGATAAGCATGAAGACGGATCGTGATGAAGAAGAAAAGGAAGAGTTTGTAGTACCTATAAAACAACCCGACGTCAACGAAAATCTGACCGGGATCACAAGATGATAGAAAATAATACATTTTGCCTTTCCTGCTCCACCACTCGCCAAAGCTCCCAGGGCCGTGCGGCCTACTTCTCAGCCGCTTGCCTGGCAAGATAAGCCTCCTTTCTCATAGCCTGCCTCGCAACCTTACTGGGTTTGGAATTTTTTGCCGCGTTACGGGCCATTCGCCTCGCGGCTCTAGTAGCTTCGAAAGCCTCCGCGTCGCGAGCCTTCTGCTCCTTGATCTTCTGCTCCTGCAGCCTGCGCACCGCCGTCTCCTCCAGCCTCTTCTCCTTTCCAATCGCTCTGGCCTCTAGCAACGCAGCATGGGCCTTTTGCCTCGCAGCAGTCTGCAGCTCCCGCGCCGCCTGCATCCTAACCCTCTGCTTCTCCGCGGCGGCCTGCCTCATAGCCTTCAGCTGGAGCGCGGCCTCTCGCTTCACAGCACGGGCAGGGGCATCGTCTCGCTCAGCAAGATAAGCCTCCTCCCTTGCAGCGCGCCTCGCAGCACGAGCAGCTTCGAAAGCCTCCGGATCGCGCGCCTTTTCCTCTTCAGCCTTTTGCCTCACAAGGTCAGCCTCCTGCTTGCGTGCCGCACGCTCTTCATCTCCCAGCTGGCGCGTCGCCTCTTCCTCGGCCATTGATTGGCGCAACGCCTCTCTCTCAGCTTCTCTCTTCGCAGCCCGAGCAGACGCAGCAGCTCGTAATGCCAGCACAGTCTGCGGCAAGTCCCTGAAAGCGTTGAGGTTTGTGATGCGCGGCGTCGACATGACAAGTTTGACGCTCGGCTCGTTACTCGTATCGACATCGGGCAGAGTCTTGTCGATAAGTTTTTTCTGAAGACGAGCGAGTTTCTCCTTACGGGCGATGGCGGCTTGGTAAGAGTTGGTCGGTTGGTCGGCGGAGGCGTTGGGGGTGGATGGTTGGTCGGTCGAGGAGAAAGGCTCCCAAGTGTCTTTGCGGGGCGCGTGGGTGGCGTTCCAGGCGCGTTGGCGGGCGCGGAGGGCCTCGAGGGCATCGGTGTCGTCAGTTTGGAGCCAGGGAGCGGTTTGGCTGCTGTCTTTAGGATGGGCGAAGTTGACGGGAGTGGTCTCGGTGGGGACACCGCGGGTGCGGCGCCATTGGCTTGCTTTGAAGGTGGCCATATCGTGGGCGGGGCCGTCGGCGAGGGGATGGCCGTCGCGGTAAATTTGGCGAGAATCGAGAGTATCGGTCACCGATGCATGAGTAGGCGCGGGGGGAGTATGCCGGAGAATGCCCATTGGTACATGTTTCACATCTTTTGGCCATTCCGCAGCAAATTGGGCGTCGTAGATATCGGCCCATTGGATGGTAATGCCGGAAGTGTCGTATTTCCGCAGGCCTGGTACGATGTCATCTCCGATATATTCCGTGGGCATGCGCGGTAGAAGAGCTTCGAGAGTTTCGATATTGCTCTCTCGAAGTTCTGCGTCTGACGGCACAGGGAAGATCTTCTCACTGGGAGGATAGAGTGGATGATCCGAGTCTAGACCAAGGAGGTGAGCTCGCGTGTCCACTGTGTTGCTGATCTCACTCTGGCGTGTCAAGATCTCCTTCGTCTCCTTTGTTGATGAGGCTACCGCATTCTCAGCGTTTCGACTTTCGGCATCCATTTCGCCTTCCCGCGCGGCGGCCGCCAATCTCGCTTCTCTGATTTCTGCAGCATATTCTTCTGCAAGCTTTGTCTGGTCTAGAAGCTTTTGCGTTGGTAGTTGCGTGAGCAGGATATTGAATTTCTCCATCTTCAGCCGGAGTTCAATGCTGGAAGCGTCCGATTTTGCATCATTCTCGTTCGTTGATTTCTCCTTGTCCGTCTCATCACTACGTGAGTCAAGTCGTGCTTCTGCGATCTTGATCTGACCGGCCAGATCTTCGACTTGCTTCTGCAGATTTTCTCGCGCTCGTACGAGCTCTTCGACAGCGTACTTTGACCTGGCTTGCTTGGCGTGAATCTCATCCATGGCTGCTCTAAGCTCAGGGGAAATTTTTGTGGATATGCCGGCCGCTTCAGGCTTCATCGAATCCTCCAATCCATCCTGCGAAATGGGCTCATCCGCGCCCAATTCGCTGATCTCGGGTGATACCGAACTCTTCAATTGGAGATATTCTTCATTCGAATCTCGGATCGTCTCTTCGAAGTCGTTTGACAACCGAACCAACAACGCAACTTCTTCCCTCTTCTGTCTGGCTTCCTCCAATGCCAGATCACTTGCCTCCTGGTCTGAGATTTGGAGAAGCCCGGCCGCGAGATCCGCGACAGAGTTGGCCTTTTGGTCCATTACCATTTGTGCCCGCAATTTTTTCTTCTTGTGTTTGATCACGTCGTAGACGGATTCCTTCTTGGATCCTCCTCGGCGTTTCAACTTGTCCTTCATCTGTTTAATCTCTTCCTCGTCGAACGGCTTTGTTATCGACTCCGGCATCTCCCAGCATAGCTCGTGAAGCATCCGGTAGTCGCGAAGTTTGGTGATCAGCTCCTGGTTTATCCGGGATGTTGTCGGCGTTCCCGGGATGGATACGGTCCATAGTGGTCGCCATTCGTCTTTTCGTAATGAAGGGGGTGTGTTGTTGGCTCCAGCGTCCGGTAATTGCTTCAAATCTTGGGGCTGAAAACAGTCAATAAAGGCGTCTCCTTACATGCGAAGCCGACGTGTGTGAACATACCCGAAGCGTCCGTGAGAATGAGTAGAGGACTTGATTTGTGCGATTCTTGACAAAGGCGTAAATGTGTCGGCCAACCACATCCTCCCGCTTAGGCCGCTTCAATAGTAAGTTCCTCATCGGAGAGACACGCGACCTATCAGTCGCAGCATATCAGATCTCCAAGCGGATGAGCGATGATGGTGCTGGTGAGCGCAAGATAATTTATTCGCATTGATGATCTCGCCTGGCATTGATCGTGTGCAGCTATGCACGGGCCACACACCTCCGCGGAGGTCATGAAAGAACATATCACGAAGGGGATTATCCCTCCCACGGGTGACACATCGCCCGCGACTAACTATTGAGATAAAATAGCATTGATATTGACAAACAGTAGATTCTCTGTAGCTATACCTCGTAACATAACGATAAATGTAGATCTGCGTGATAGGCAGCAGAAGGAGCAACACGTCGATGTCGCTCGCTAATTCCGAGGCGAATTCTAACAAACAGCACCAAGAACTCTATTCACGACATAGATACTATTGATCTTCATCGTGGAGAGGTTTGCAAGCTGTTTAAAAATATTCTCCAGAGCGATACTTATCACCTCTCAATCAATATCATACGGTAATGATTGTTTCATAGTCGCTTTCTCTCGCGTTTTAGCAGCGTGAAGCATGAAATTCTCAATGACCCGTACTGTAGAACCAGGACCCACTGCTTTCTAAAAGATATTCACTCCCATTCAGATGCAATTTTTGCTTCTATACGATTGATTGCTTGACTTCTTCTGCGCGCGAGCTTCGAACTTATGCCGTAAGCCGAGAACTTCCGTCGGGTGTAGTCCGAACCATATTCTGGTCAAACGCCAGGTTCGCAACATAGTTTGGGATGAGCTCTTAGCTGGACTCTGTTGATCTTGAAGGTGGAGCAAGAAGCATGTCTGCCTCTGAATGCTTAGTGATTTACGGATGTGGGCAGTCCCAAGGGATTCCAAACTTCCAGTAACCGCAGCAGCTGCACGATCGCTTCAGGCTTCCTTCAAAGCATTTTACGAGACGACCGACTTCATCCAGCTCGGTCTCTGGCGTGGTTCAACGGTATGTTGTGGTTAACTTGCAACGTTGGTAATTGGACGTGGTCGGTTGTCACATGAGATGTGCTCTTGACCTGCATGATATGATTCTCTTCTCGGTTATCGAGCAATTTGGCATGTCAGAAGTGGGTTCTTGATGCATCGTTGTAGCGCGAAGCCGCTCCTGTAGGTAACGCGAGTGTGCTCTTCGATTCTCGTGTAACGTTCGTTGAGCGACGTCGCATCTCCTTCGGTGGTCTTGATTTCATCATGGTCAACAGCCCTTCATCGTGACTAGCGATAGCTCAAAGCTCGTTGCTGCGAATCGATCATTTTCCCGACTGGAAACAACGGCTGTTGACATCCCGTCGGAGGCTGTCTCCTTCCAAACACACTGCCTTGTTGAAGACTTTTGTCGAATTTTCAAAATCAGCCCTCCGCCTCATCATTTTTGCACCCCATTCGGTCCTGCTTGACCGGAAGCTTCAGCTCGCCGACCTCTCACACGAGCCAGATAGGCCTCCCACCCTTGTTTCTGGTACTCCCTCGCTGCCTTGGTTCTATCCGGAGCAGCCAAAATCCCACGACCGACGATGATGACATCTGTTCCCTTTTCTCCCACCACCACAGATGGAGTATTGTATTGCTGACCCATGCCATCGCCGCCGGCAGATAATTGCACACCAGGTGTCATGGTGATGAATATATCGTCGGGTTGTTCGTTGAGACATTGCTGTGCGATGAACCCCATAACGAAGCCCCGATGAAGGCGAGCTTGCTCGAGGCAAGCTTTGGTGTATGGTGCTGTGAAGAAATTGTTCGCTGATGACATTTGAGCAAGGAGAAGGAGGGAGCGCAGGTAGGGCGGTGGGCCTAAGTGGTCAAGCATGGCTTGCCGGTCGGCCGGATCTGAAGTATGATCGTCGAGGGGAGCATTGGTGTTGTTGTTGACCGTGGCATTCTGGTAGAATGAGTCGGCACTGTGATCGTTGTTGCTGTACGGGGAAAGATTGCCATTGTCGTGATACTTCGCGAGGTCGTGTGACACCGATGGGCGATGGTGGGCAGCAGGAGGACTAAGGACCTCGGATTTCATGCTGATTGTGGTGCTGACCGAGACAACAGACTGCTTGCGCGCATAGCGGGCATCGTAGGTGTTCTGGTATTCATCTCCATAAATGTCCTCTTCCGATTTCTCACCAGGGTCATCCCGATCTAAAGCTTCGAGGTCAATCGGCTCGTCCAGAGAGTCGGTCACTGACGGTGCAGGGGAAGCACTGATATCCGTGTGCACCGAACTGTTGAAAGCCACTATCGCTTGATTTGCTGCTTGCTCCAGGGCGTCGATGATAGCAGGACCAGGGAAAATGTGCGCATTGACGATCGGTGCCCAGCGCACAATGGTCAATGGACCTCCGACGTATTGCTGCTGTACAGTATCTGTAAAGAAAACCAATAAGTTTCAAATCCCGACAATATCCTCACTTTCCCACAGCTCTTAATCTCCTGAGTGAATTGCATTGGAAGATGACCTACTGCCGATGTCGCCAAATTTCCTGTCTTCGAACACCAAGAATTTCCTTCGCCGTGCGACCTCGTTCAATCCTCTGATCGTCCGGTCACCGAAATCACGTACGATGTCGGCGTGTGTTTTGAGAATGCAAATGTGATCGCCGACCTCTTCTGCCACACGGAGCAATTCGGCGCTGGTGGTAACGTCTGCGGAGACACAGAGATTCGTTTGCTTGAAGTGCATCAAACGAAGTAGGTAAGCCGCGAGCGGGGAGATGTCGGGGTGGTATGACCGCTCGCAGTATGATTGTCCGAGAGTTGCATGGCTGATTGACGGCAAGTCAGAATTGGCGGCCATGGTGTTGACGGTGAGGTGTTGACGAGCCTCGGCCGAAGAGAAGAAGATAAGCAAGTGATACCAGGATGAGGACTGTACAATTCACGAGGATGTCCCAGAGAGGAGTCAAATCTGTAAGAGTGGTACTTTGGGTTTTGTGAAGGATGGAGAAGTGCAGTTCAAGGTCTCGTCGTAAGAACTTTGCAGGGAAAACAGTAGAGGAGGCAATGAAACAACGAATGTTTTGATCATGAATCCATAGCGGAGCATTGATCCGGTGAGCGAGAATTACGAGGCTCTACGAGGATCACGGGACGCCAATTTCCCGCCGGTTTGAAGGAAATTAATGTGCATGAGCGAGAGGTTGTGGTGGTGCGCATGGAATGTTACTTTTTGTGATCTGTATCTGCAACAAGATGATCTTAGGTGGGTTACGGCAGGACGCTGGATCATCATCATCAAGAAATACTGTATTAATTTTTACCGATAGCGAAATGTCCCCCGCCCTGCTTGTCCCCGCTATTGAAAACGGGTGAGCAGCAGCGGGCATTGGCGTAAAACTTTCCCGCCAAATTCCGCCTGACTCAGGATGAGAGGTATGTGAGATAGATTATTTGTCGTTCTATCAATCTCATGAGGACGAGATCTTGTCGCAAAGACAGGAAAGGTGCATGTTAGACGACGTGTGCAGGAGAAACGGCGTCATCTAGTGACGATAGTGCTTACGACGACCGATATGCACGTAGACCCCATCCGCCAGGATTGAAGAGTACTTTGAAAAATTGATCAGATTCTCTCTCTCTCCGAAATTCGCACATCCAGCAGCCAATGTGTACTATCATGGTGTTTGCAATGATCTCCTCAACGGATGAGTAAATCCCGGGCGTCATCAGGTTCTGCATGCGCGTCTCTCCTTCGGTGTATCCGCTCGTCTACAAATTACACGACATGACACGTACGGTACCTACTCTCCTCTCAAGTCCACCTGGGTCTGGGTAAGTTCCAACCGGAAATATATCCGAATTGGGACAGGAGGGGTTCTCACTGGGCCGTCACGTTCTGCAACTTCTGCCGCATTGCATACTACTCAGGTATCACATCGAAGGTAACATACGTGTCTGGAGCTGTGGGAATCCTCCCTCCCGCATAATGTCAAATTACTCGCAAGGTTCAGAAGGATTGAATGTCTGACAAGTAAGCTTGTCTTTGTAGGACGTCCCACTCTCAGGAATTGGCGTTGCAGATCAGACGTAAGAGACGACCAGGGCTGGTACCGTACCTGTCGCCTTTCCGAGCCTGCAGGTGGATTGCATATTGCATACTGTAAGATTACAATCGTGGATACGAATTCTGTGCGAAGGTGGATCGCTCTCACTTCACGGATCTTGGCGACGTCGATTGATAAGACATTGTGCTACGATTGACATCTTCAAGTCTGCCCATTGGGTATCACTACGGCTTTGCGTTGTCAGTGGGGAATCTTGGCTGAGATCTTGCCCCTCATGTCCGCGCGGTGCTTGGAGGCGTCATTATCATCTTTAGCAATGGTCCAGAGGAGTCGAGAGCGAACGCCGTTGACTTTTGAAGACGTCCGCGGATCGTGCTACTACTTAAGTTTGAGGTAAAATGGCTCTGCGTCGGAGCTGTCCGACAATCTGGTGACAAATCTTGTGAAGACAAAACGCCCTCTCGTCATGCCAGGTTAAGCTTCAGATGTACATCGAACAGATCGTCCAGCGAGCGTCCCCGGCTTGACGGTGCGCAAAGCGAGATCCCGAACACATACCTAGGTATGCAAGGACTAAAGTATGTATCGATTGAATATGCTTTACCATGGCAAACAAGACCCACGACGTCCTGCTGCCAGCAAGCAATTCGGCCTCTGGATCCGATCAAACTTTTCTCAGAAAACCTTGTCTTGTAGAGAGCTTGCTGCTTGCACTCACACGGGTGACAGGCAGTGTCTGTACTTTTCTACAGCTTTGAGGCGCAATCTATTGACTCTCTGAATGTATATTGTACTGTACATTGAGCAACGCATTCTCATCGATCTACAGCAAAAACCCTACTTCGAGGCAAAGCTCTGTCGGATAAACGGGAGGAGCATACTGGCAATCCGAACCGACCCTCCCATCTCGCTTCCTCGGCAGGATATCTTTGGCCTGTGCTTGGGCTGGTCGTCACGGTGGTCGAGAAACCCTCGAGATGGCTACACAAAGTCTTAGGGTTCTGTCGGCTTCTGTACAACAGTTTTACAGCAAGAAGAGGAATGTACTGCATCTTCGTTGGCTGATGTAGTGGATTGGTAGGCTGGTGAGAAGAAAATGATTGGTATTTAGTGATGTGTCCGTATGTTGCGAGATACCCGCATGTTTAGGTAGTGAAGAGATCTGAGAAGTACTATAGGGGTGTCCGAACAAGCAACGATGCGCAACCTGTGGATGACAACCTCACTTCTGGTTCGCCATTTATCGCTCTCACTCTCGTGGGGTTGTAAGACTACGACTACGAAGAGAGCCAAAGATTACGACACTGCAAGGTGTTGGAAATACTGAAAGATGATTATTTAGCATAATATCTATGCAGAAGAACCCACAAAGAGGGCAACGGAACGAACGAAGGCAATTCGACGCTTGAAGTCAAGTCCACGTATTTGCCTCCCAAGAAACCACCGCGATCAATCACCTGCCTGTTCGTAACAACATAACTTTTGGATTGCGATACCTCGAGATAGAAGATACTCTTGTTGGCAAGGACCTTCATTTGAGTCCCGAACCAGGGACATGGAGACCGAAGTCCTGTTCGGCAGCGATGTTAGAAGGGCGCGGCGTTGATGGCTGCACATGCAACACCGACGTGCTGCGATGCGGACGATCACATTCGCGATGTGAGCAGGGCGCACGTGCACCCACAAATGCTCGTCCAATGATCGCGTGTGCGGGATCGTGGCCAGATAGTGCCCAAGAGGCTCAAAAGGGGAAACACCCAAAGGGATGAATAAGATCAAACTCAAATTTGTCACTTCATTCAGCGAGAAGTCCCAATTCTCTGTCGATCTAGTCGACGATTGACAGCCCCGAGGACAACCTTCAGGATGGCATCGCCAGTCAGACCAGAGCCATGGAGGTCCTTGAATGACACGGTATCGACGATATCGCGCATATGCGGATCGCCGCTGAGATCCTTCAGATCGTCATCCAGACGGCGAAGGTGCTCACACGCACCGGCATCGTTGCCGACCTGGAAGAACTGAACACCAATCTGCCACAAGGGCGCTTCGAGCTGATCGAGCTTCTTGGCGGCCAAGATCAACGGCGCGGAGTCGTCGTCAGTAGGCACGCCGTCCGTGATGACAATGATGTTGATGGGTTTGGTCTGCTCCTTCTTGGCTTTATAGGAATCGAGGTAAGGCTTGAGGATTTTGTTCAGACATTGACCCGTCGGCGTGGAGCCCATGGGGGACATGCTGGAGAATATCTCGCGCACGGTCGACACGGAGGTTACGTTGTGGTGGAAGGGGGATCGGTTGCCATTTAGGAAGTAGATGTCGATGCCGTTGGAATCGTAGGCTGTGCAGATGGGCGTGATGGCTTCGACGGCGTCGCGGGCTTCGTCCCAGTAGGTTCGATGCCGTGAGCCGGCGACGGGCGTGCCCATGGAGTAGCTGTCGTCGATGACGAAGACGGTGTCGAAGGTGGAGAGGAAGGCATAGGGGTCGTCTTTGAGAGTCGCGTTGTTCTTGGGTGGAGGAGCTGGGGAATACGCCGGAGGCTTCTCGTTGAAGACATCACCTGGTAGTGCCTTATCGAAGTTTGTGTTGACGGAGTTGCGGTCCGGCGATGTTCTACGACCGCCGAACTTGTCTTTCAAGCCTCCAAATAGCTTCGACATTGTAACGGAGACGTTATGTAGCGCTCGTTTTTGATAATCAGAAGCGAAGATGCGCTTGTCAGTGACCTGAACATCTCAATATCGACCAGAACCTACATCCTCTTATAACCATCGCCGTGTTTGCTCTGCCTCACCAGTATTGTTTGTGAACACAAAGGTCAACGGCCCAGTACTCTGGTACGCGCTACACAGCCTCATCGTTGGGCTACACAGCCTACGATGAGGCATTCAAAAAGCAAATTTTATGACACGAGCGCTTGTTCAGGCATGCGACACAGGATCAATATGTATACTTCAAGTCATTGGTACAATAGTGAAAGGACATTGCAGTCAGCGGTAATGAAAATCCGCTGGCGGCTGCAATACTCCGAGCTTGAGATGGCGGCCTCACATGCCTTGCATGCCTGACGCCGCCCGCAACTGCGACATTGCGGCGCCGGCAAAGCAAATAACAACTGATCGGCTGGCAGCGGGATGGCGCAGCAATATTGAAAAGTCAAAGTGTAGATCTTCATGCTATCTATCCATTATGGCGCCCTTCTACATCCGCAATGAAACCTGATCAAAAGTGACACCTCATAGACTTAGTTTTGCTGGAAGATGAACTACCGAAACATCATCCGACCAGTCCCTCTCCACAGCGGTGAAGAATCTACGGACGCGAGCATATTTTTCTATCCGCGGAATGCTCACCGGCAACTGCAAGTCTTTCTTTGTGCATCGCAGAGGCCGCTTTGCGTCAAGCCACGCATCCTCGAAACGGCTCGTCCTCCAATCTTCCCCGTGAATTCCAACGAACGAACAGAGCAGGACGAGCGCGTCGAGGATTGGTAGTATCCGTGTACGAATTCCACAGTGATTGTGATGCTTGTCGATTTGGTACTCCGAGACTTGTCGGAATGTATGTACAAGATCGAGCAAAGTGCCCTCATAAGTATGCGTAGGCGCTTCGTCAGTGGGAATAATTGTGCCATGTATTTGGATCGTTCCGATGCGCGTGAAGTACCGAATGAGCTCGCCGAGTTGGAATGTGTCGCATTGTGGAGAAGAATCGTAGCCGAGCTTGCACTGCCTCTCGCGTGAAGTATACAAGGTCAAGTAGAACATCTGCAGTGACTGGAAAGTTTCCAAAATGCACTCTCGGCGGAATGCGAGTTCCTCTTCCAGCCGCATAGGTAGATCCCACCACAGTGCGCTCGTCTCAGCAGCGACTCCTCCCACCCAACCATTGCCAATCATCCGCGTCGAGTATCTCTCTAGCCACTGCGCATCGTCCAAGAACACAGCGATGAGCATCCTCTGTCGCGTCTTCTCCTCGGTCAACCCCAATTCCGCACGAGATGTTGTCTTCCTATCAATTGCCCTCAGGATCTTTCTCTGCTGCACACAGTTCCTCAAAGCGCCTACTGCGTCGAATCGATCAGCGACAATGGTCAGATTGGCGAGATTGGCGACAGGTGGCGGCGGCTCCTGGGGCAAATTGATTCCATGCAACATATTGAAAAAGTCGTTGCAGAGTGCTGCGATAGATTTCACTTCAGAAAGGCGACCAAGATCTTCGATATGTACCACTGGCAGCTCCTCGCTTGGTGCTGCCGCAATGTCTCCATACTTCTCCCGAAGTTTGGCATGTGTGCTCGTAATTTTAGAGCCTTCGTCGAAGCGTTCCGAAAGCAGGTTGTTGAAATATGCCGACTTGGCTTTGAGTATAGCTGTATTGGCTCCCACGGTATGTGATAGATCCGCGTGCGATATCTCAAGACTCAGATCAACCTGTATTTCGACCTTCGGTTCCTCTATGACTGGGACTATGATCTCCACGGCTGGACTGGGACCATTGGAAGGTTTCTTCGTGCCAACCCGTTGGCTCTTCTTCGGAGTGACCATTTCTAGTACTATTCGTTTTGTATTCCAAGCCTTCGAAAAGGCACCCAGCACACACTCTCACGGGTAGGGCCAGAACATGTTGTTCACAACGGCCGCGGCGTAAGGATGACAAAATAAAAAGATGAGATGATTGAACGAGGAACTATGTCATTGACATGCTGTATATCTCTCGCCTTCACCCAACGGCTACTCCCGCACAGAATTCGAGAAGCCTTACCTGATAATCTGTAACTGAAGTATATACCTAGATAATTTGGATTTGGAGAGGTCGCAATCTTGTGATCTGATTTCGAAATCATATGATTATGGGAATATGATTACTCGCATCGTGTTCTAGCAAACGAGGGTTCATGGGAGCGCAACAGTACATTTCCTCGTAGCGTCGTCGCAGTCATCACACGATCGTAGCTTCCCATAATCTAATCATGAATCTCACCGATGGGAGCCGAGCGAACCTCCACCGCTTCCTTCTTTTCCACGGAGAGATTTTCCTGTGATAGTTGACTTGGCGAATCACTATCCGACCTTTTCTCGTCTGCTTCGAATTTCTTGCTCTTCATCAATGGCCAGTGCCCTCGCACTTCGTGGTAGCGGAGGGCAAGCACTGATATGATGACAGCAATCCAGTAAGCGTTGTATGCGATCACGGAGCCGTATGTGGCAGAGTTTTGCCAACCAAGAATAGCGTTGAAGATACCCCATCCGCCGCCGCCATCAATCTCCGGATTGCAGCAGTTGACGTGCCAGACGCTTTGTCGGATGTTGTACGAGCCAGGGCCAGAGCCGACTCCATCAGCATCCCCACCAATGATTTTGTTCCAGTCGTTCACTTCAAACGCCCAGACAGCTTTCGAGAGGAGGCCTAGAGTGGTGTGTTAGCAGCGCCCTTGAAGGCCGTACAAGTTCTGCAGCAAGGCTCACCGGCAGCCACGAGGTAGAGAAAGCACGTCGAGATGATCAAGAAGATCTGTAGCTTGGGACCGCTCCCGAACCTACGACGCGGTCAGCATCTCGATCACTATTTTCGAGTCTCGTTTCTGCTTGCTCACTTGTAGATCATGTATCCAATGGCGAGACCAGCACCAATTCCACAGATGACCGCCAATGGAAAGGAAGTTGCTGGAAGGCCAAGACCGACTCCTCCAATGAATAGCATGGCTTCCAATCCTTCACGCAGAACTGTGATGAATGGCAGTATGAACAGGCAGTATTTCTCTGCCCAGCGCTTAACTCGAGCGCCAACGGTCATTTTGTCGCCCGTAGGTCTCTTTTCGAGCGCTTTAGCAACCTTTACTCTCCATTTGTCTTGCAGCTTGTTGACTCGCAAAAGACCGATCCCGACCACGGAAATGATCAGCGAAGCAATGATTCCAAAAATGCCTTCCCACAAGTATTCGGCATTGGCGAAAACATCCTGGTTCAACGCGTAGAATGCTCCGATCATGCCACCTCCAATGCAGAGACAGATGAAAATGCCGGCAGCCACTCCACCCCAGATCTGCCAAAGTAATCTCCTGTAGACAGCTTTGTCTGCTTCACCGCCGATGGTCTTCTTCAAGAATGCCAGCAGTATCGAAACGATGATAGCACACTCGATGCATTCTCGGAAGCAGATGAAAAACACTGGGTCGTTGTGTTAGCGAGGTGTGAAGGCATTCATGGACGCGTGTGATCACGGCCGCGTCTTGATATAACCTACCCGGAACCGCAAACACGTTGACCATGGCTGCGATTGAGTCGTAGAGTGCTCACCAGGAGCGGTTACGAATTCTACAATTTGGATAGAAATGTTCGAGTCGCCGAGGTGGAATAGAAAGTAAATTGAGATATCAATCGAATCTGATAATCTCGAGGGATATCCGAGCACGAGGGACGATCGGACCCTCCATAACCAACGACCACGGCACGATGGGCTCGTTCAGATTGTGTGGCTCTTCCGGGAAGGCGGCACTCCGTCAGTAGTTCATATCATGTCCCATGTATCCATGCAAAACCCCACACCTGTATCTGATTTTTCCGTCTCACAACTCGTGAGGCGATAAGCTAGTATCGATGAAGCATAGATTGGTGCATTGAAAGCTGACTTCTTTCGCCGGGCGCCGTGCTATCGCTTCCACTTCGGGACTAATGAACGCCTTGGCTCGAGGCTAGATCTCCTTGTCCCTCACCTCACTTGCTCCGCTGCAGGACTTGAACCGAGCGTAGCAGCCACAACATCTCTAACGAGCCGGATAGATGGATAAGATAAATGTCACTGGTAAATCCTGGTTGACCATGCCTTCGCGCTCCACCATCATCCCGCCCTCGCCGCCCTCGGGCATCGAATTGCATTGCACCTTCACGCCACGCCCGGAGATCGTCCGATCACGATGCTCGACCATTTCAAACTATTACCAATTGTCTGATCTTGCGATAATCTAATCAATCTTCTGCATCGTACCAAGAAGCTACACTCAACAGTATTCCTCGGCCGGTTTATTTGATCTTGCAGGTATTTCCTGAGCGACGCCGTGCGCATACAGAAAAACAGAATGGCAGGCCGTGGAATGGACGTCCTACTTCGGACGGTGCTCATTTGCTCGGTATGGCAAGGACTTGCTTCAGCGGCGACCTACGATCTCAATGTATCATGGCTCCGACGCAATCCCGATGGCATGGCTGATCGGTCGGTCATTGGCATCAATGGCCAATGGCCAATCCCAGTCCTCAACTTCACTATGGGTGAGAATGTCATCGTGAATCTACACAATCAGGTCCGTCAGCCGATATGTTGCTGTAAGTGCGACACTGACGAAATCTCAGCTCGGCAATCAAAGCACCAGTCTGCACTTTCACGGGCTGTACCAGAATGGCACCAATGCCATGGATGGACCAGTTGGCGTTACTCAGTGTGATGTCCCACCCGGATCAAGTTTTACATACAACTTCACTGTAGGTCGAAGAGTCACCATGCGAGAGATTGGAAACTTTCATTGATAGCATCAGATTGATCAACCTGGCACATACTGGTATCACTCTCACAGCCGTGGTCAATACCCAGACGGCCTGCGAGGACAATTCGTAGTCCACGATCCCAAAAATCCATTCCGAGGACAATTTGATGAGGAGATTTCCTTGACCTTGTCAGATTGGTACCACGACCAAATGCCTGGCTTGTTGGACCAATTTGCCAGCTATAAAAACCCTACAGGTGCCGAACCTGTTCCGAAATCCGCGCTATTGAACGACACGCAGGACCTTCAAGTCAACGTCCAGCCTCGCAAGACATACTTTTTGCGGATCACCAATGTCGGCGCCTTCGCAAGTCAATACTTTTGGATCGAGGGCCACAACATGACGATTATCGAAGTCGATGGTGTATACACCGAGCCAGCATCGGCCAACATGATTTACCTGACCGCTGCGATGCGTTATGGTGTACTGGTTACGACGAAGAATGACACAGGCGCGAATTTCCCCATGATGGCCAGTATGGACACAGTATGCCTTTATACACCACGGTGGGCAATATTATAAGCTGATCAAATCCCAGGACCTTTTCGACAGCATCCCAGATGGTCTCAACTATAACGTGACAGGTTGGCTTGTTTACGACAAGTCGGCGCCATTACCGCCTGCGGCAGAACTTGATGAGTGGACGGATTACGACGACTTTACGCTGCAAGCGCAGGATGGTATGGCAGTTTACGACAAAGTCGATCATTCCGTTCAGCTCGATCTCTCCATGAACAATCTTGGAGACGGTGCCAACTACGCCTTCTTCAACGACATCAGCTACGTCAGACCAAAAGTGCCGACATTGTACACTGCTATGTCTGTTGGTAGCAACAACACAGATGTCCGCGTCTATGGTAGAGATACCAACTCGTTTGTGCTGGAGAAGGGCGAAATTGTTGAGATCGTCCTGAATAATGACGATGGAGGCAAGCACCCTTTCCACTTGCACGGACATGCCTTCCAGGTTGTTGCCAGAAGTGACGACGATGCTGGTCACTACGATCCTAGCAATCACACCGATTTCCCTGCGATCCCGATGCGCCGCGACACTTTCATGGTCCGACCTAATGGTAATTTCGTAGTGCGATTCAAGGCCGACAATCCCGGCATCTGGCTGTGAGTATTTCTCCTCCCCATGATCTCATGACAACCTGCACATCAAACATTGGCTGACACGCATTTTCTTCCCACAGCTTCCACTGTCATATCGAATGGCATCTCGCCACAGGTCTCATCGCTACCTTCGTCGAGGATCCCACCACCCTCCGCGAAACACAGACGATTCCCCAGCAACATTACGATACCTGCAAAGCTGCCGGTGTGCCGTATCAGGGCAATGCGGCTGGAAACAAGGACAATGTCTTCGATTTGACAGGCGAAAATTTGTCGGTAGCGCCTCTTCCTGCGGGCTTCACGGCTCGAGGTATTGTCGCCCTGGTCTTCAGCTGTATTGCGGCATTCTTGGGAATGGCGGTAATTGCTTGGTGAGTGGTTTCGAACTTCTTTCCGAGGCGCATACAAGCTAATAACACCCAACAGGTATGGATCTGCGCCCTTGACGCCAGCGGAGATTGAGCGTACCAAGCGCTTCGTTGAGGAAGCGAATGCGAACAACGCAGCCCCTCTTCCCGAGAGGAATACTGCTGCCTGAATAGACGAATGCCGATAATGATGATGACATGTTTTGACATATGTATATGAATCTAATGCATCAAAAGTTTGATATTCCGTCGTTGCCGACATGAAATTCAACATATCCTCTTTGCACGATTTTACTAGATCATAAAACAGTCCTTCATTGTTCATTCCTTATCATCACTGTCGTGTGCACATCTCTCTTACTTCCTTCCCCGAGGAGACGCCACAAACGTCTCACCTGTCAACTCCTCAATCCTCTTGACACTCGCCAAAAAGCCAGGGTGATTGGCCAAGCTATCGATGTACGCCGACAGCTTCGGGTACTTGGAGAAATCCATATTGTCGCCCTTCGCCGCGACGAGGGGGTAGCTGAGCAGGATATCGGCGGCCGTGAGCTGAGCCCCAGTCAGGAAGGCGCCGTTGTCGGGAGAGGTCGTGAGTTGCTCGTTCAGAAAGCTGAAGTGCGTGGCGTAATTCTCCGTCAGGTAAGCGTCGTCGACGCGGCCGGTGATGGTGCGGGTGATGGGTTTGATGAAGAAGGGCTGAGGGGCGTTCTTGATTTCTGCAGAATTGCGTATAGCATATTAGCTATGTTCTCTCTGCACATTCCGCAAGCTCTGTCGACACCTACGGTCCATGAACAGCTTCACCATAAGCAGTGACATCAAGCTTCCCTCAGCATAGTGCATAAAGAAGCGGTATCGCGTCCACGACTCCGACTCGAGTCCCACAGTCGGCTCTTGTCCCGCCGCATACTTGGCCGGCGCAAGGTGCTGCGCAAAGTTGTCGGTCAAGTACTCGGAGATGGCGGCCGACTCGGCGAGCACCAATGGCTTCGTCTGGCCGGCGACCTCGACAGTGACCAATGGTGATTTGCCGAGCGGGTGGATGCTCTTGAGCTCAGCGGGGGCGAGCATGTCGGAGCCACGCTTGTAGGTCTTGATCTGGAGATCGATACCCTTGCATTCTTGCAGGAGCCAGAGGATGCGCTGGGAGCGCGATTGTTCGAGCCTGAAGAGTAGGTTGTTGTGTCAGATGTGCTGCTTCGTTCGCGGCGCAACGGCGCGATCAAGGGCAAGCACATTCATACCAGTGAAGGGTGACCTTTGGCAATGCTGCCGCCGGCGCGGCAGTGGTATCTGCAACAGTAGTGGACATTTTTGTCTGTCGGTGATGTGGTAATCAACGTCTGTGTCTCGAATCCTCGCGATGCGCCTTTGCGAGGCCTTTGAACCGCCGCCGTAGCGTCATTTTGCCGAGCCCGTGCTCTCAAGCGTTAATGTTTGATCGCAGAGACGCTATCAAACGCGGACGAGTCGCTAAAGTTTTGTAGACTTCTCCGAGGTTCAGCGTTATTACGCGGGGTTAGCGGCGTTAAGGTGCAGCTCCCAGGTGTTGACCAGTCGCTTGAAATGACATTTTTAAGATGACACATGGTATAAATTTTCAGATCACGCTGCTGCGCATTAAGTATTACACAAGCTTCAGTTCGAAACTCGGAGCGTCAGCGAAGAAGCCAGGCTCCCGATGCCACGGCGCGCATCCGACTCCTTCCTACACCCCCTCTTCGGACAACGGTCGAAGCACAAGGAATCGGAGATAGATGATTTCGAAGCAAAGAAGACTATCGTATGAATCAGGCAGCTCTTGGTCCAGACAGGTTTAAATTGGTCGCTTCTAAGAAAGGCAGACGAGCACGCATCGTCTCTGTGCGTGGACCGCCCAACGGGGCTCTGGATCATTCTCCAGCTTGGATACTTTCAACCCGAAAACGCCCGGCTCGCTCTCGAAATGCCACACTTCCAAACGCTGCAATCCTTCTGTCAATGGATGGAGTCTTCCAGATAGATGAAGGGTGGCTTTAGGGCTTTGTGTAGTGTGCTTGAGAAGTCGAGCCCGTGAGGACACCTGCTTGGGCATGTCTATCTTACGGGCGGCTGCTATGCTGGCCCACGACCATGACCGCAGCGGGCTCGTCTCTCCCTGTCTAAATGGCTTCCAGGGTCCATTCACCGCCCAGATCAATTGCGCTGGTAGTCGACCAGTCCACAATCCAAGAATGTATTCTTCGCCTGTGGACTGAGAGATTATGTCTGCTAAGCCAGATACTGCGGGGAGTCTATCGCGATGATCAGTAAAGTCTCGGATCGAGTACATCAAGATCATGTCGTCCCAGAGAAGTAGCGAATATCGAATCGTTCGAAATCGGTAAGGATCTAACATTTCCATACCGAAAGTGTTAGTAAAAAGATCGTCTTTGACGTCGTCCGCCGTCCCATTCTAGGCATTCTGGTGCTCAGAACACGACCAAAAAAAGCCCTTGGCTCGACCAATAAAGTATCCTGAGCGAAAGCAACTCCTCCTAGAATGTTCAGCGACGGCTAACACACGGGCTTTCGGCCTTTGCCTCCGCGAGTTGTTGGGGAGCTGAGTAAGGAAGTAGGCCGTCAAGCGCACATTTCCAAGGTTTGAGCAAATACCCCCCTTTCAAGGAAGGGTGCAGGAAGTCATCCGACGCAGAGTCTGCAGACGCAATACTCAGGGTTAAATATGCGTTGCCGTACGTGTGTCTAATGCTTTTCAGCGGCCTTGCTCCACTCGACGCTGCTGGGACCTTGTTCAATGCAAAATGCATCGACCCACAGGTAAAGAATGCCCAACTTTTGACAAACTTGTATCGCATGTTGCACGGTCAACGAAGGGAATCTGATTTAATTCCACTCTTGAGTCTTGCTTCGTTGTCTTGAGTCAGTGTCAATATGTGCTTGTCATGTCCTCCCCAGCAATAGCTTAGAGCGACATATGCGACGCCGTGCAGTGTAGAGCTATCAACGAGTGGTACAAGCTGCGATATATCTTCTCTGAAATGGAAAGGTCGATCCGGAGCTATTTGAGAAGATCTGAGGCCAGAGCAAAGTTTGCGATCCTTGTGACATGACTGCAATCTTTCCAGAACCCATTGCACCTCATCTCCTGGCCTTGGTCCCATAAGTACCAAGAATTTCTCATCGGTGCTTTCATTTCAGGATTGAATATCCGAAAATAATGTATCTCGGCCACCTTGACGACACCTGGTTTTATACGCGATTGAGATATTGTGATGAGAGATGTGGCAAATTCTGGCGATTCACATTCCTGGATGCGACGTAGCATTGCTGGCGGCGCGCTGCCATTCAACAAGGCCAGGGACCAACATGGATATAGTTGACAGCCATCGTGGACACTTTGCTGCAGAGCTTGGAAGTCGGCATGCAGCAGGACTTCGACCGCGCTCTGCGCTTTGCCCGGCTGCTTCTTGAGAAACAAGAAATGAGGTGCACAGACTCTCACATAGTCATGACACGACCCACATCTTCCGCGTGCTATGTCCAGACGAATGCTGTTTCGGAACCCGAAGCCGTCCATCCTTCTTAATGCTGATCCTCATAATATCAAAATCTTGTGCGAGATGGCGCACGCTATTGATCTTGTAAAGTCACGCGAGGTTTCTAACCTAGACTGACTTTGAAAAACAGGGGTGCGAGTCTGCTTCACCTCGCAAGTGTGGTCGAAGTGTTATGGACATTTCACGAAGTGCGCTCGGAGGTCCATGTTGGGGTGCCCTACCAGAGTACGGAGTAGTCCCGCGATCCACATCATTTACAGCATTACGAAGTCAAGCCAGATCGCCAATGAGGTTCGTATATGGAAGTGGCTCAAACATAACCATATGCATCCACTCGGCTCCGCGCGGTAGCAATGATATGCATCTTCAATAAGTTTTACGTTCGCAACCCAATCATACTGCGAGGGAAACTGTTCCATGTAAGCATTTACACTCAAATCATGCGAAAATGCAATCATGACGTTCATCGCTTCGGTGCGATGTTGTGAGCTGCGTTGGGCGCCTGGCCAAGCGAGCGCTAGAAATCACAGTCGCTCATCGGTCGATCGTTTCATCGAGTAACCCTGCATCACCTGAATGTTGAGTCGCGACGGTATACTGCCGCTCGATGAAGGCCAGTAAATGCCAGATTTGATAATGAATGTTGTACGTCTGTTTTCCCAAAAGAGCACCCTGCGTGGTCTGAAGCTCAGCCGGAAGTGGTCAATGCGCTTCGAGCTTCGCGCCAAGACATTTCCGCAACGCCAGCCGGCGATGACATCCAACGACTTCAGGTCCAGGTAGGCACTGGTCTCGCTGCTCTTCGGTCAACAACACCTCTCTTCTGCTCGTCAACGCAAGGTCACAGTCATCATGCGTCCCACATTCCCTCGCCTTGGCGGCGACAAGCCGAGTACGACTATCTAGCGCCCGCACGTTTACTTAGAGGACCAATGACTGACGCGAATCTCTAATCTGCAGCCGTCCACATGGATCCGGCCTTGGTCAAATATGCCAGTAAGTGTACAGCCAGATATGAACGGAGCAAGATATAGGATTTCCGGTGGAAGACATGGGAGGAAGGAAAGGCGCATAGGAGTGAGCGTGGACATGGAAGACTCGGGCAGACATAGGATCGCGCGTTGAGGCGTGGGACCAGGAAAGAGAATGGGGAGAGACGGATTTCATGCGACGACAAGGTTCTGGAGGAATGTTTGCTGACGGCCACTCTCACTAGACATGTACACCAAGCGACACGAGTTCTTCCGCTGGACTCCTCGAACTGCCTGGCTCTCTTTTGTTTACATCATCGCCATTCCTTCCGCCACATTATATCTCTTCCAGTCACATGAGGTATGTCAATCATGGCCGCAACTTCTGAGCATATTGGAAATGCGTCCCGGGGCGAAGAGAAGGAAGTAGACCGACATCCAAGCTCGAAAGGCTGTGATGGGCTGCAGACACAGAGTGGGCACTGATCGGGTCTTTATGATGTATAGCTGACATATTACCGTCTGCAGGGGAAATACTCACTACGCGGAAAGCTGAAGGGCGATGTCATTGCTGAATTTTAGAGGCTGAGACGTGCGATTTGGGAGGATAGGCGCGTGACGGTAGTCCGCTTGCGATGATACAATGGATTATTGCGCCAGAAGGGCCTGTATAAACATTACGGATCATTGACAATACTGCAATTACTCTCTCTAAAGGACTTTTCCTTCAGATTTTCTGTCCAAACGACCCAAACGGAGGGATTTCTTATCTCAATTGCCTGAATGTCGCTCGGCCGCGGCGACATGGACGCTGCCAATCGTTTCAAGCCCAGGAAATAAGAAGCCTCATTTTCGACGAAGAGCATAAATACCGTGTTTCGGGTTACAGTCTAACTCTAATCTAACTTGGCATATCTGGGTATAATCCATCGGCACTCCAATCCATCCACCCATCAAGTTCCGCACCCGTAGCAGTCATGAAAGGATTCTGCATCGCGGAGTTCAAATCCAACTCGAGCAGCCATGACATGTCCTCCTGCTGAGGAGGCGGGGCCGGCGCAGCAGGCGCATACATGGGCGGAAGCGGTGCGGATATTCCGCCGCCTGCTAGATCAAGCTGCATCGTGTTCAGACCTGATGGCGAGATCGGCATGGGCGTAGCTTGTGGAACAACTGGCGCTTGTCGTGGCGGACGCCGACCGATATGGACTTTGCCCAGCATGGGAATTTGAATCGCTAGCCTCTCTGTCGGCGCAACAGTAGGGTCGTCGAGGAGCGAGTGCAGTGAGCGTAAAGCCACAGCAGCATCGCGTGCGAACTCGCCGCCGAGTTCATTCGCGTCGCCTTCCAGACCACCTAGCATTTGCAATGCCAAGTCAAGCATTTCTTGAACCTCGTTGATTTGTACCGCATTTGATTCGGATTTCTCCATCGCGCGCATGTTTTGGTATCGCGCCAGCAGGAGCACTGTAGCGCAGGTGAAGACTTGCATGTGCATGAGGCGGGCTACGAAAAAGCCCTTAGGTAGTTGTGCGCGTAGGCTTGGGTGGCGGCGGGCGACGTTTTTGCACGCTTCAATACACGTGTTGCGGCTGTAAGCGTACGTGGCGGTGCTCGACCAGGCATGGTCATTGCCGACCGCGTCGGCCTCATCGTCGTCACTGTCGTTCAGGGCGAAATGGAGGTGCACACGGACCGTGACGTAGTAAAGGAAGAATTGTGCAATGAGAGTGGGGAAATGCCATTTGGCTTCATCCGAGAAGCTGTTCCACCATTGTTTAGGAGTCCTTGCGATCAAGACGCGTAACTTGCGATCGGCGGCTAACACTTTGTCGTAGATCTCGGCAGGTGTCAGACCAGAGGCAAAGTCTTCATCGATGTCTTGCACACGAGTCGCAACAGAGGCTACCTCAAAGGCGAAGGCTTGGGGGTTAATGTCTCCGTTGGGCTCAAGGAGAGATCGTGGAGGCAATCGAAAGTTTGATGTCGCTGCAGGAAGGTTGAACATCATTGAGGCCATGCGATCGGACGCACAAAGTGACTCCAGGATTGACAGCTTTTTTCTTTGATCCAGGGTCACAGAATGAGAACTCGTCGGATCTGCCAAGGCCAATCGTTGTTGCTGCAGAAGTTGTGATGTCACACGCGGAAGACTGACAAGCTCTGCCAATGCCACGAGGCTGCGCAGTGAGAGTAAAGTCTCTCGAATCTCGCCACGCGCAAGCAGTCTAGGCGATTGGATTGTCAGTGCTGGCGCTAAGCGTTGTCGGGAGTCCTATTCGTTCTGCAGACTTACAAGTGATTATACACTATTGTCGTTTCAAACCCATCCAATGTTGGTGCGATCTTGTTGTACGCCACAACGGTGGTGCGAACTGTACGAACCACTGTATTGACGAATCGAGGGATGCTTCCCACGCTCTCGAGAATGCTGCCTGGACTTAATGCTGGCAACTGTCGTATCATCATTGCGAGGACCAACAGAAATGCAGCAATGCCCGTAGGATCAGCAGCAGCATGCATATAGTCGTCATATTCCTCATGTATAGCTTCTGGCTTGTTCATCACAGACATTACAGGGAAGAAGACGGTGTAGAAGTGCAAAGAGCCTGCTCCCTGCGTGGCAATCGTGTGAACATCGGACCGCGACGGTATCAATCGCTGCAACTTCTTCCTCGCTTGAGAAAGATACCGTGATGAGCTAGAGCGAACCTCGTTTGCGAGACCCTCTATGCCTTGAGGAATTTGGGTGTCACGCTGAGTATTATCACTTAGATCGATGAGCGCATTATCGAACAGCAGTCGCATATGAGTTGGAGGGGCCGCGCCTCCGGGAAGTATACCTGTCGCAGCATTTGCTAACAGCTCAATGGCATCATCAGGATCTTGATGGGCATCATCGTCACCAGAAGATTCGGTCTCATCATCTGCTGCTGACTGTACCGGCTTGCTTGATTGTCCGACTCGGGCGCTGATGATTGCAATTTGCTGTTCTAACCGATACAGACGATCATTTGACGGCGGATCGCGCGATACTTGGCCACTACGTCGTCGATGCACGTGAGTTTGTGGAATACATTGTCGGTTCCTCTCGCGACAAGCTTGACAGACGTTGTCGCTTGGCTGAGTGAATATGCAGCGAGTCTTGCGCTGACGGCCTAACCTCCGAGATCAGTTCGGAACGTCCAAACGGTACCTACCACGTGTCGCACGCGCACATACACTCGGTGCAACTTCGGGTGCCCTTTCGGATTTTCTTCAGCGTTGTCTCCGACATCATCGGGTATCACCGATGCGTGATTGAGAGATCTTCGCCGTGTTCGGCCATGGATGATTCTACGGACGAACTGTGCCGCTGACGCCGGAGAAAGCCACTGTCCGCTGTCCGACACTGCTTACTATATGTGTGGGCTAACCGGAAAGGGTAGATTTAGAGAGGCCGAGCCTTTCTTAGCGTCAGCGTCGACGATTTTGTGCGATGCTTCGTCCGAAACACCGTGGGTATGATGATGATCGCCTCCAGGACAGTGCCATCTACGTAGCGTCGTAGTCTAGCATCATAGCTCAACATCTAGATATGTCAGCGTGTTTTTGTCAGTATGTTTTATACATATATCGGGTGGGCCGTCGTAAATAAATTCTCAATGTCAACGATCACAGCCACAAATTCACTGCCTTGTACACGGAGCGTCGCCGGTGCATTCCAGAGCACCTACCAGACCCAGGATAGCCTCTGAACAAGAGAGTACCATACACAACATGCTTCTCCCACGAGCAAGCAGTGCACCGTCAGGAGTAAGTAGCCCGTTACAATGCTTTGAGACATTGTGAATGAATTCTGATCCCTGGTTGTACAGCCTCCGTATGCATCTCAAATGGCAGTATTAGGGGGTCGCCCCGACATTACAACCGACATTCCCATCAGTGCCGTCTTTATTGCGCTCTACCTCACCTGCGCTATCACAAACATCGCCGCCATTTTCATACCCAACAAGAAAGCCGGCCACAAATTCCTGATTTCGATAGCCTTCACCGGCTTCTGCATGGCGCGAGTCCTTACTAATGCATTGCGCATCGCTTGGGCCACGGAGCTTGACAACGTTTCGCTGGGAATCGCGGCAATGATCTTCACCAATCTCGGAGTCATTGCACTCTATGTCATCAACCTAATCTTCGCGCAACGCATCCTTCGGGCGCAACGACCAAGGCTCGGCTGGAATCCAATCTTGCGCGTGACCTTCAAAGCTCTGTACGCCAGTATCGCCGTGTGTGTGGTACTGCTCCTCACCTTCACGGTCTTGTCCTTTTACACTCTCGACCAGAGTCTGCTCCTCGCAGCAAGAGATATTCAGCTCGCGGTTAGCACATATTTGCTCGTCATCTGCGTGCTTCCATACGTGATGCTCGCGGCAGTGTTTCTGACACCTGCGACTTCGGAGGTTGAGGAATTCGGCCACGGTAGCATGGGTGTCAAGGTCATGAAGCTGTTGGCATTGACCACGCTGATGGTGCTCGAGCAAGGATACAAGGTCGGCACGGCCTGGGTGCTGACGCCGCATTCCCGCAATGATCCACCATGGTACGACGGGAAGGCGTACTTTTACGCTCTTGGATTTATGCTTGAGATCATGTACCTGATCATTGTCCTTGTCGGAAGAGCAGACCGAAGATTCCACGTCCCCAATGGAAGCAGTCAGCGGAAAACTTATGTGGTGGAGCCGAGCAAGGAGCTGGAGTCGAGTCATTCGGATACTGAAGATGATGGTCGAGTATGATGATGGATTGAGGCGCATTTTTGAGAGTTTGCATGATAGACGATACCCCAATTATGACCAGCATGCAGAAGTATTAAATTCCGAGTAACTTTTTCAAATGGCAACCGGGCTCCCTTGTTGTGCAGGTCGTTGCTTGAGTCCCGCGACTCCAAGGCGAAGACACGGAAAATGCCACTAAGCTCTCCAAGCCTCTGCGACGAGACGGGGCGCGGTCCTCATAACGTCTCCTGTGTAAGTGCGACCCTTGCGTCATGCATTGTAAAGCTTATAGTCGGACTCATCGCATGACCGGCGGGCGAGATTCTTTGTTCCACTTCACGCGGCTGCAGATCCATTCAACCGCTTCTTTGACACCGGTACCAGTGAGCGCGCTGAGCGGCAAGACTCTGCTGTCACGAACATTCTGACCCTTTTCTCCCTCGAAGACTCTGCGCACCAGGCCCTCCTTTATGCGTACAACCTCGACACAATCTTCGCGATCCTGTTTATTGGCAAGAACGAGCACAGGGACACCCTCGGTATCCTCGTTCTGTAGAACATCCTCCAGGACCAATTTGCATTCGCCAAGTCGACCTTCGTCGTCGTCATCTCCCCTCTTGCTCAGACTTTCGATATCGCCATCGCCGACGTCGGAACTGTCGATTACGAAGACAATGGCGTGGCAGCTGCTGTAGTAGGATTGCCATAGGCCACGAAGAGAGTGTTGTCCACCGACATCCCAGATCCGGAGGTAGAGTTCTGGTAGATCAATTACACTGACATTTTGGCCGACGGTGGGAACGGTTCGCAGGTTGGGGTGATGGTCTTTACTGTAGATGCTCTTGATCTGTTCGAGGAGTGTCGTCTTGCCAGCATTGTCTAAGCCGAGCAGGAGAATGGAGTATTCCTGCTTGCTAGTCGCTTGCATGTAAATCGATTTACACAAGTGATACATTTTGACTAAATGAACGAGAGGCTTGTCATGGGAATATGAGTATTTTATTCAGCATTGTTCTACGATACTGTATGCACAGCAGTCGCATGATGAAGAGGCACAGCTTCGACTTGTTCTTGCGCACCCATGTTCAGAGTCCGCCAGATATGCAATCTTGCCCTATGTCTTCTTGGGCCCGATGTGACCTTTGGCCAAATATCGTGGTGTCGACTTCATGTCACAAGTTGAGGTTCACCTCTCGCGCTCGGCCGCACCCGAACTTGATGTCTTGGCGCACGCTGTAAATCCTCAAGCCCGCACTTCTGCAGCCAGCGTTGCGTTCGACATTTCCAAATCACATATATCGCAATCATGGCGCCCGCAGCAACTGGAGCCAAGAAGCAGAAGAAGAAGTGGTCCAAGGGCAAGGGTACGTTGGGATGAATACACCACTGCGCGAGAATCGCCGCCGCGCGAATTTGGGGGACAATCAGTTAACATTCCATTTCCGTCTCATAGTCAAGGACAAGGCCCAGCACGCTGTCATCCTCGACAAGGCCATCAACGACAAGCTCCAGAAGGATGTCCAGTCCTACCGTCTGGTCACAGTCGCCGTCCTGGTCGACAGACTGAAGATCAACGGCTCATTAGCACGGAGGGCTCTCGCGGATCTGGAGGAGCGGGGTGTGATCAAGCAAGTCATTTCGCACAGCGCTTGCAAGGTGTACAGTGAGTACCCACTCTTCTCGCCTCTGGCGAAGCAACCGTCGGAATTTGGACCCAAAATCACAGCGTGCTGACGTACTTTCTTACCACAGCTCGCGAAATCGGTGGCGCCGAGTAGAGCAGTCGACTTGTGTCTCTCAAATTGAACGAATTCTGCATGGCATCGGGTACCCTTTCACCTCGGGGCCTGTGATGGAAACACGGCGTACGGAATGATTTTGCTTTCGAGGAGGATTATTGGGCTGTGGCGATGTATCGGCGATAGTTCTACAAAGACAGTTCCTTGAGCACGCTGCCTGAGTCGGTGTGGATGAATTCAAAAGGAAATACCAAAAAGAGCATTGTCGTGCCCCAGACGTCTATGATGTGTTGACATGTGGGAATATCTGCATTGCGAATCGCAGCGACACGCAGCAACACACGGTGCTCAAAGTCGAAAACGCTCCCGGAAATCCATTTTCGCTATGTGATCTTCATGCATGTTTATTTTTCGCAATTAATTCCTTGCCGTCAACACGCTGTCATCATCATCGTCATCGTACTCCGAGCCCGTGTAGAGCATGCTCTTCTCCGCCTCTGACGCATGCATCAGATCGAAACTCGACGCATTCGAGCTCGCACTCGGGCTCTCCGATCTCAACTCCCTCGCACTGAAATGCGTCGGCGTATCACTTCCAGAAATTACCTCTCCCGCCCAGAATTGCCCGCCGTTTGACGCTTTCTGGCGCGAGATTTCGCGCTCAGCATTGGTCAAACCCTCACCCAATCCAAGATTTCTCCGGTGCCATTCACCCAGGAACATTCCCTCAGGGTCAGCCTCGTTGCGGACTTTCGTCCATTGCGCAAGGCCGTCGCCAAGCATGTCCTTGAGATCATTGTGGTTGGTGTACGAGAAATTCTTGGCGTAGTGAGGTTTGCCTCCAAGTTCCTTCATGAGCCATTCGAAGGCTTCGTAGTAGCGGGCGGTACATGGAGGATCTTGGAGGTATGCTCGGTAAAGGGTTGCGTTGAGATACAAAGTCGGCTCGTCGGCGACGGAGTTGTCGAGGAAGGGTCGTGGATGCTCGCCTCGCCTGGATGTGTCTGAAACGCGGACCTCGACGGGACAGTGGACCCAGAGGTTCTTGGCGCTGAAGGGAATGTCGCCGCCGCCAGGCTCGCGGTGGAGCCATGCTGATAGTCGATTGATTGCTTCGGGACCTTTCCTGAGCGGAATTGCCCACTCATTTACAAATTGCGAGTAGAGACAGTCCATCAGTAAACCTTCCTGGAGAGGCTGCACGGCAGACGTGCTGTAATGCGTCTTGAAGCCGTACTGCATGCCGAAAATGAACCATTCGACTGTCGGTAAGATCCACGGGATGAGGTTCGACAGGTAAAGTAAATTGTGGTAGGTGTGGAATCCCAACTTGCCACCATACCAGGACGTTGGTGCTTTTCGAAGAGGCTTATCGGTTTTTTCTGCCGACCACAGAATGCCACGTTTGGTATATGGCATCCACCAGACTCGTGTGTATTCTCGCTTGGTCCATAGATCAGTCTCCCATCGTGAGAGAATCTCACTGAGAGGGAGAAGCTGTTGTGTCCATTCGATGTTGCAAGCATCGACCATCTCGAACTCCACTTCTGCCACGATGCCGACACCACCAAGAGACACAAGACCGGCGCGAAACAGGTCCTCATTCTGATCTTTCGAACAACGGATCGCCTGACCATTAGATAGCACGATCCTGAGAGAGCGAACGCTGTCCGACAGCAGCCCATGCCTCAGCGAACTACCATGCGTCGCCGTCGCAATTGCACCAGCAATCGACTGGTCGTTGATGCTACCCAGGTTTCGCATGGTAAGACCATGCTTGTTCGCTGCCGCATTCAGGTCTTTTAGGCGTATTCCAGCCTGCACAAACAGTGTCTTCTTTTGTGTGTCCACTTTGAGGACCTGGTTGTAGTAATCCAGATTGACCATCCACGATGACGTGCATGTCAAATCGCTGGGGGAGTGGCCACTTCCCACGACGACAATCCGCTTGCGACTTCGACGAGCGATCGCAACAATCTTTTGGACCTCTTCAAGAGTATGTGGTTGTATGTAAAGCTCTGGCCGGCTGAGAAATGTCTTGGCCCAGGTGTGGTGCGTATGCCCGTCAGTCGCGCGAAATGGAACAGCGTCCATGGTGGCGATGTCTAGAATCTCGTCTTTCGCCATCTCGTCGTCGCTCACTGGAACAGTTCGCTTTGCAGATTTGCCGAAGATCTAGAGGCTCACTTGTCTAGAGTGATGGCTACCGGTGAAGTGGTCGTTCTTCGTAGGCGATCGAATCAAGCAAGTCTGTGAGTTAATTATGGTATCATGTTCGCGAGGAAAGTTATCAGCAACACAAGTCAGCACTGTGAGCACGCCCGTCGAGCTCGTGACAGGTAATCCCAGAAAGAAAAGGCTGCATAGTCGTTTCGCGACTTTACGGCGCGTAAAGATCTCGGTTTCTCGCCCGAGGTCGGCATCTGATCGCTTGTCTCAAGCGTCGCGCGCCAATCACGAAATGTGCTGTAGCTGCGAAGTTTATTCTAGGAAAAGGCAGCGTCATGGACGATTCCGTGGTGGGGTCGAAGGATCATAGGTAGGTTTCATCACGACACTCAGCACATACAGTACTGGAACTTCGTTCCGATGGTCATCAAGGTTCAAACAATTTGCATTGAAAGAGAAATACTTTACTGTCGTTGATCATTGTCTTTGCTCATCATCGACAACATGCCTCAAGATCAAAATTCCCAATGCTCCGGATACTTCTCGATGAATTCATTCAGGAGACCGACACACTTTTGATCGTTCAATACGACTACTTCCATGCCGTGACTGCGAAGGAATTCCTCTCTGCCGCTCATGTGCGAGTTCTCGGCAATGACGACCTTCTTGATGCCGAAGAGCACCATCGCACCGGCGCACATGGGACAGGGTGATAAGGTCGTGTACAATGTCGCGCCTTTCCAGTCGCTGTTGCGGAGGTGCCGGGCACTGTCGAATGCTGCGGTTTCGCCCTGGAGAGAGAGGTGTCAATTGCCATGAATGTTGTCATCTGTTGCTTCATGAACCTACGTGGAGAATTGGGCTTCCATTCTGGACTCTACAACGCCTACTTGGTCAGCATGGCTTCCCCGAACGTATGCTTTTATAATGATCATTGACCTCAAATTCCGACCACGACCCAGGATTTTGCCATCCGAACCGACAATGGCGCTGCCGACGGGAATACCACCTTCCGCGAGACCGGCTTCAGCTTCTTCGAACGCAATTCGAGCGCCCTCGTCGTTTACAGACATAATGGCAAAGCAGGTGTTCCGGCCGCAACCAATTCAGTAATCGATTTTGATGGATTTGGCGATGTGATCAGCAATGCAATGGAAGTAACTCCTTCTTTTATGCTAGACAACGGCGCCTTCGAGCCTCTGGGTCTAGGTGTGTGAATTGGTTGACGTTGGCCAAGCTATCAGCTGACAAATGGATTCAGTGCGCCCTATTCAGACCAACCTTCGGATTCGTTGAAAACGATAGTGGGTAGCGATCCGTCAGCAGAATTCCCAAAACCGTGGGGTACAAAACAGCCACGACAGATTTATATGATATTCACCACCTGTGGTACATCTGTGGAAGTGCCAATGTGTTTGACTTCCAAGGTTCATGATGACATTGACATCCACAGCCCGAGAGATAAAGAATTAGGGTTTGGGAGGATCATCTCCATGGAGCCGAGGTTAGTGTACAGCCACCTGAAGCCTCAAAGTATTGCGAGCACCTGAGCATTTATCCAGTCGCCGTGTGATGATTCACACTGGACGCAAATCCGGAAGACCACTTCACGATCATCCTAGATGGAATAGCCAAGCTGTCTGCTTGAGAATGTCTCGAGAGCTTGTGAAGCAATGAAGCAATGAAGCGTATGACCTTCGACCTCTCTCATAGTCCGAACAACAAAATACACCACACACGTCCTCAGTATCCGGCCTGTGGTGTACAATCTTCACCATGTTCGACGCTTTTCCAAGGCTGCCTCTAGAGCTTCGAATTCGCATATGGGAATCGGCTGTATTTCCACGGATGGTATACCTTCCTCAGTTGACGAAACAGATGCTTAGCACACATTTACGTGTACAGCCTACAACATCGTGGCCGCCAGTTATGCTTGTTTGCCACGAGTCTCGACAGTATGCAAATTACCAGCAGTTCCACATATCTGGGCCCGAATCGCGTCCCACATGGATCAATCTGGCAGCCGATATGGTGTGCATCGCGTGGTACGACTTCCTCGAAGACCCTTTCCCCCAACATCGATCACAAATTCAGCGACTTCAAATCGACCTCAACATCGATGACTATTCTCCCTTATACTTCAGAAGAATCTGCCACCAAATCATGAGCTATCCTAATCTCACCGACCTGCGATTCATCGTATCCGAACCCCTGATATTTTGGGGATTGTTCTTCAAGGATCGTGACTGGTATGCCTGTGCTGCAGAAAACATCAGTCTCGTTTGCCCCGTATCTGGCCTCGTCCTCACTGGCGATCAACTTGACATGTCCGTGGAATGGCGACGGAAGCGTTCGTAGGGGACGACAGGAGATTACGGTATGGCTAGAACATGGAAGTCACTATACGCACACCTGCATCATTGGGTGGAGACCTCATGTGGAGGTGTGGTAGCCCGCCCGTTAATGGGCAACTGGCACCTGCCAGCAAGATGATTAGGGTTTCAAAGGAACGCTGACCCTATCAAGCCTAGTGCACAGTCATGAGACGATCTGGAGGCAAGGCCAAGCTGCGCAGAACGACACTTTGAGCACCTGGACACTCACAAAGCAAATCACTGCCATGTTTGACCTGTTCCCAAGATTGCCAGCGGAGCTTCGCATTCGCGTCTGGGAGTTGGCTGCATTTCCACGCCTGGTCCACTTACCTCTTGACCAAAGTCAGACACCTGAGTCGCGTTCACCGAGAGGATATGTGCAAAGCCCAACTCCATGCCCGTCAATCTTGCATGTTTGCCGAGAGTCCCGACAGCACGCACGGTATCAACGCGCCTTTCTCTATGGCGCGGACATCCAGTACATCTGGCTCAACTTCGACGTCGACGTGGTCTCTGTCTCGTTTGATGACTTCATCAACGATACGCTGAAGCACTTCCGATCTCAAATCCGCCGGTTCCGGGTGGCCGTCGACTACGATAGCTCCTACGATATTTTCTGCTACTATGCATATGACCTACTGCAGGATCACACCAGGCTCAATGAACTACACATATTCGTCACAGACGCAAGTTTGCACATCTGGTTGACAGTTTTCGAGAATCGGAACCTGGGTAGTTTCCCTGCAGAGCGCGTCCGCTACATTTGTCCTTCCACAGGCCTGGTATTTACCGGCCAGCAGCTGATCATGTCTGAGGACTGGCAGCTCTGGCATTCGTGGGGAAACGGCATGGGATTACGAGAGGACCAGACCGTAGCGTCAGCTATTGCAGAGATGGAAGACGGGGACTGCATGCAGTTGAGAGAGATGCATCAAGTTGGTTGATTCCATCTGCCTGCTACTGCATGAATCATCAGCAGTTCGTACTCCTGTTCGAGGGCCTAATTCACAGTATTACCTTTGTCGGCTTAGCGTGAATACTAACCATCGATGGATTTTCCCATCACCTCCACGGCTTGAAGTCCCAATGGCCTTGCGACCGAATGAGGTGGGCGAAACCTTCAAGCTTGTCGGGTTCACATATGTCAACGGCATCATGCATCAGGAGCTGCTACAACATTCGAACCTCAAACTTCCAGAGCGGGATTTCGTCTTGACATAAACGGCGTCTTCGACAACCATCTCAATGTCAGCGTTCACGAGACCTGACAAACTGAATTCGCCGCCCATATGACATGGTAGCTGAGGGCCTACATTCACAAGTCATCTTCACTGGCCAGCGGATCCTTGCAGCCACAGACTTACGATTCCGATATGCAAGACACCGATGTTGCTCAGATTTAGCAGACGACATCGCCCCAGCTAGAGAAAGATTCGAAAACTCTCGACCAGATCAGAGAATTGCAGCAACTTGAAACCTGATCTCGGAAGCCTCCACTGCAAAGCGCGAGCGCAGTGCCACCGTGTGGCAACTCCGTTGATGACTAATTATGCGAATCCGATGAGTAATCATCATTCAACGGGCTCCGCTGCTTCAACGTGCCATCGCCCAACGATTGCAGCACAATTTGACGAGTAATAAGAATAATTCTTGTAAACATATTTCGTGGAGGGTAGTGCTGTTATTCATGTGTGGACAGTAGACACACGAGAAGATATTCTTCCCTCAACTTGAGGTGTCGATCAACCTTTCTCATCAAATGGCACCGTCCAAAGAACATCCAGATTTGGGCGCCAACTCCCGAGGTTCCAAGGTTCCAAGGTTCTCAGATATGTTAGGGTTGGAACGACATATGGCGCATTCCCGTATGGCGCGTTTCAGCGAACGGCGGCGGCGACACAACTGCCCGAGTGCGCACATGCTCCGCGAAGAAAGTTCCGTCGAGGATGTTCTTCTGAGGTTGTTGGCGGCGCAACGTTGTCCTATATCTTGGCTAGAATCTCCGATCCGCACCACGATGTTCGAACCATTTTCCAGGCTACCAACAGAGCTTCGCATTCACATCTGGGAGCTGACAGTCTTCCCACGCCTTGTCCATATCGCCACGCGGACTTCACCCGGAAACCCGCCCGCCGTCGAGGTGATTTGTGTCAAGTCGAACACTGCCTGTCCAGCAGTCATGCAAGCATGCCGTGAGTCCCGCAATAATGCAAGATATCAGAAGGCTTTCACATACGGCTCAGAGCCGAGGTATATCTGGATCAATTTCGAATATGACATGATTAATTGTCACTGGGATGAATTTGATCGGTATTCGTTCAGAGACCATCGGGCAGACGTCCGACGTTTACGGGTAATTACGACGGACGAAGCATCCCTCTGGTTATATTCCCTGCAGTCCGAGGATGCGAGGAGGAATTCCAGGAGGGGAATCAACAATCTTATTCACAAAGATCTGCCATCAATTCAAGAAGTACACATTTTCGATGCCGGAAGACGTCTGAAGGCCATTATATATAGTTCCGCGTCTTGGGTTGATTTCACCGTTCCGGTCGGGAGCATCAAATCAAAGGGTCTGGATACAGGAATCATAGTCATCGATGCCAAGTTTTACAGAAATCAAGAAGAACCGGCCAAAGACTTTCCATCGCTAGATAGCGACGGTAACGAGGATGGAGGGAAAGACGTAGAAAGGACGATTCGTGATATGACTCCACCATCGGAAAGACATTTGGTGCGACTACGCGTTGGCGAGTCTATCTCTGGTATTTGGTCTTGAACATTTAACGATCGGCGATGGTGTTCCACAGACCTCTTAACCATACCTAGATGCTTTTGCCGCAGATGAATGTTCAGCTATGCAGGTACCCTTGCTGTAGGAGATGGGTGGTTGCCTAATGTTACGAAATGCTGTCCCCGCGAAGGCGCGATCAAGTACAGGCAAGAGCGAGCGGAGATGTCACCTCGCCTCAAACCTACCACTCTGCTGACATCGTTGAGCTATCTACGACCGATATGCAAACACTCCGAGAACGCTAAGTCATCCTTTCAAGGTCGGCAGTATCTCATCAACATTCGCGTCACAATGTTCCACTCGTTTGCCCAACTGCCCGCAGAGCTTCGCCTCTACATTTCGCCTCGACTTGTGCCGATAATCACAGGGCTACACACTCCGCCGTCGACAGAAGAATTGGGCCCCCGACACGAAGAATGATTCATATACACAGCGTTGTGCCGATTTCATCGATACTGCACGCCTGTCGAGAATCGCGTCATTGGGCCAAATATCAGCGAGAATTTGAATCCGGTCCGAATGCGAGGTACAACTGGATCAAATTCGAATACGACATGATCTCCTGTTCGTGGGGATGCGAATTGGACGAGAACGAGCCCAAGGATTGAGAATTATGGAGTGCTCAGGATCTATCGCAGATTCGGCGTATCAGGCCATTTTTCTTACATCGGTGAAGGCCCATTTCTTCATGAACTACCGATAGTGAGGAAAATTCGGGTTTTCTTCACGGATGGGACCATGGAATGGTTCTTTTATTTGCTTTGGGAGGATTCTTGGTCAGTTTGGACCAAGTCGAGGAAGACAGGCATCATTTTATACGATCCATTGACACGCAACGCAACGGTAGATGAATGGCTTCAGGAACACTACGAATAGCCGTGCAGTGCCTGGCGTACAAATGGTACGACCGAAGCGGACTTTGCCTGGTGCCGTAAACACCGTGGAAAGCTCAAAGGCAATTTTGAAGAGCTCATATCGCTTTCAGAAAGACATGTCACACGTTTGAGGTTGGCCGTAGAGGGAAGTTTTATTCCAGAGCTTAATACCGATGGCTCGCAAGAGTGATTCCGAGGCGCGTTGAGAAATGTCAAAAAATGACCGCGTTTATAACCCAGCTTACTTTGTTTCATCATTGAATCTTCAAACAAGCGAAAGCGAACCACGTCTTTCATGCCTCATCAGTTGATTTTATCATTCCTCCATTCATCAAATATGTTGGACATTATCCAGCGACAATCAAAAGTGTTCACATGTGCGTACGACGGAGAACACCAGCCGGCAGCTTCGTCTTTAATTGGCTGAGTATGACATCTGCAGCTTTTTCTGCGACAAGGTAAGTCGACGCGGCTGTGAAAGTTCCTGTTCAAGAGAGAAAGCTGTCAGCTAAGGATATTGCAAGATCTCTATGGAGGCTGAAGCACTCGTTCAGTCCGAGGGGACGTGAAGATAACTTACCAGGGATTCTCGGATACACCGATGCGTCCACCACTCGCAGGCCATTCACCTTGCGCACCCTGAAACTCGAATCCAACACCGCCATGGGGTCACCATCAGCTCCAATTGCGCACGTGCTGGAGCAGTGGTGTCCCCAAGCTGTGTTCTTGATAAAATCCTCAACATTGGCATCCGGCCCGGGCAAAAGTTCGGTGAAGGGAGTGGACTGTTTCGCGAACGCATCCCTCGCCACGCCGATCGCCTCCGCAATTTGCGCGACGTCCTTCTCCCAACCCTTACTTCCGGCATCGAAATAGTTGAACTGAATTTCAGGGGTGTCCAAGGGATCGGCTGAGCGCAGCGTCACACTGCCTGCGGTGTTCCTCGGGTGAGACTTCAAAATCGCCCAGGACCAATAGTTGTGCTTTTGTGTCGCGTTGTAGTCGTACCCGGGGAAATATCCCCGGAAATTGATCGGCCCACCGAAGGCCAGCGCGCCGTAGTTGGCGTCGGCGGCGACCGCGTCTGAGTTCTTGAGGAACATGCCCGCCGCAAACCCGCTGCTGGCGTAGGCCCCTCGATCGCCGCCGGGTCCGGCAGAGAGCCATTTCTGATAGCAGGGATCGGTTTCGGGGGCTGTCGGCTTGCCATTGGAGTCAAAGGCGAGAGTGCAACCATCGAGGGTGGAGAAGTCCTCGTCAGTCGAGCCCTGGACGACGACCTCGTAGTGGTCTTGGAGGTTAGTTCCGACACCGGGGAGATCGGCGATGACGGAGATGTTGAACTTCTTAAGTTCCGCAGCTGGGCCAATACCAGAGAGCTTGAGGATTTGAGGACTGTTGTAGGATCCACCGGCGATGATGACTTCTCGGCTTGCACGTGCAGAGCCTGGCTTGCCCTTGTTCGCGCTCTTTTTTGCTCGAGGATCGGCACGATAGAGAGCCTGGCCGTCAAGGAAATTGACCCCATAGGCTGTTGGCAATGCTCCCTTGACGGCCGGGCTGTTGAAGTTGACTTTCGTCACGAAACAATTGGTGCGAATATCGAGGGGATATTTCTTGCTTCCATCAGAGTTTGTGGCAGTAGCAACAGAGACGATGAACTCGCGAGCACCATTACGCGCACCTTTGTAAGTGGCAATCGGAATCTGGTAAATGGCCTGTGTTTGGTCTCGCTGGGTGCCTTGCGCATTGGCATCTCCTTGGAGCAGCGAAACAAAATTCGAGTTGGTATCAGGGCCCAGAGCATTCACCCCGCCGAACAGCATTCCAAGAAGCTTGTGGTCACCGAAAGCTAAGGACATATTAGCCTTCTCAACACTAAGCCAACCATCGTATCCGTGACCAGTGGAATTGTCCGGGTTGTAGCGATTCTGTTCGAGTCTAGTCCAGTAGTTGCGCATGTTGTCCGGGCGCCATGACTTATCGCTGGTAAGATCGGCTATGTACTGAAAGTCGCTCTCGTCTGGGTAGATCGTGATAAGAGCGTTATGAGCCGTACATCCGCCAAGCGTCGCGGTGCGAGGATACAGGACTCCTTTAATAGTTGCACCCGAAGGGGGATTCAAACCAGTATACGTCGATCCATCTGGGAGGTCGTAGGTCAACTTGTAATCCAACTTCTGGCGAGCCTCGTCGGAATAGTGACTATTGTTGGTGAGTAAGGTTCACGAAGTAAGATCACACACTGCATAAACGTACTTGACGAAAAAGTCCCAGGCCAGAGCAGGATCTTGCGTGGACTTCGCTTCATACGCTGGCACCTGGTAATTTGGATTTGATCCTTGATCGTTTCCGGCTTCGATTAAAAGAGTCTTGTGGCCGGCCAAAGCAAGACGAGCGGCCAAAGGGCCTCCGCCAGCTCCGGAGCCAACGACGATGTACTCATAATTCAAGGTCGTGGTGCTGTCGACTCTGCATCACTGATCAGAAACTTATAACTCGAAATGTAAGCATGATGCCTACTCGGTATTTGCCCTGACGGCGGCCAGTAGACCTGCAAAGATAGTGAAGACGCGAAGCATGATGATGGCTCAACTCTTTCGACCAACGAATGATGGAAGAAAATATAATTCAGCCGACAAACTCGTGGTGACGAACCACGTTTTATCATTCTGCTATTCAAGCGCGCTAACAACATACCTCCTCCTTTGCACAAGATGGGAAGTGCTGTCCTGATCTGCGGCAAGCTTTTCGATTCACTTCAGCGTAAGGAGTGAGACTTGACAAGGGTTCATGGTGTGGTATCGAGCACGGCGGTCCGTCGATAATAGTCTCAGTGACCTTTCAAAGGACCCCTGTCTTGCCATTCAGCTATGTTGCAATGGTTGTGGCGCTACGTGTATGCTCTCGATGAGCCCACAAAATGCAATCATGTTGATTGACTTGGCACAGATTTGAAATCTGCACTGACACCGCCGGAATCGGCATCTAAGCCGGGCCGCTTCGACGGTCTGCGAGCGTGATGAGCGCACATATTTTATGCAACGGAAAGAGCCTGCTGGTGTATCGGCATAGACGAACATCGGCCATCCCCTCTGGCTTGTGTAAGAATCCGTTGACGCGAATCCGAAACGAACATTGAGGCGTGCTGAAGACACGGGTCGTTTCTTCGATCCTCGGTTAAGGGACGGAGTCCTGCCGTTGGCCACCGACAGGGTTTGAGACAACTTGATGTCACCGAAAATTGTGTTCATTGTGTCTCAGGGCAGTGTCGCTCCTTCAGGCACAGAATATCAGACGACGAACGAGACGGCGCTTGATTCTGGCCGAGACTCAGGCGTGTCAGGGCGCGAGCTCCGGTGAGCGGGTCCGATCGGTCGGCCGGGGCGGGGCCGCGTTGAGGCGCGTTGACTTCAGATGAACCCGATCTCACGGTCCCGCTCAATTACGGTATATTCTGACTTGAAAGTAGCCACAACTCCACGATACCATCACAGCGTCATCTCTCTGTGGGACCGCCCGGTCATTACTAAACTTCCAGCGGACGTCAATCCGGGCAGCGTGGACCTGACGGGCATTCACCACTGAAAATGCGCAAGACGGGCGTATCATATCTGCAAGCTGTCACTCGACCGGTCTTCATGACTTCAGGCCAAATGATTATTCGAAGAGTCAATGACGAAGGTCACAAGAAATAGCCGGGCCAGGCTTGCGCTGAGGTATTTGCTCGAAGCGCATTGATATCATGATATCATAATGATATCCGCAACTGGCCACCGGGACTCCATTGATTCGCTAGTCATCGATCCCTCGACGTACGCTGCTCCAATATTCTTCACCCGCCCATCGGAAATGGTTCGGAAAATGTGCGGTCGAGTCATGCCGGCGACTGCATAAGCGGTGTCGCCGATTTTGCTTCTTTCCGGGACCCAGCCAAATTGCCCGTGATCGAAGCGACAAAACATGGTCTTAATCCATGGTTTATACTTTGCGACAAAATCAAACAGCTCGATTAGATCGCCATTGGTCATCCGGTTCAATGCTGGATGAGATGGAGTCCAACCGGCGTCAAGTGCGAGATCTGGTGCCGCTCTGACAAGGCGAACCCATGCAGGAATACTTTTACTGAACCCTTGAAGATCATGTCTCAGACGAGCAGCCGTACCCACAGCGATGGCTCTCCAACAATCTTCTACCTCGGCGTCTGTTGCCATTCCAATGAGGGTGGTAACTTGCTTGATCACCCGCGCACATTCGCTGATAGTCGACTTTTGGCAAGCAGTCTTGGCCTCTGTCACGAAAGCTTGTTCTTGCTCAGACAATCGTCCGAATAATTCCTTATTGCTATCTGACTGACGTTCAAGTGCTTCAAGCAATGAGTTCAAGGTGAAACTAGGAGCCCACTGTTGCTGCGCATCAGACGAGACATTTAACGTAATTTCGGGTTTCCAAGTATCGACCGCCCCGGCAGTCACGCTTCCTTCATCGATTGCTAATTGTGCGATCTTGGCAATCGCCAGACCATGCACGGATAATGACCTTGGGTTACTGGGTTCCCAACGAACGATTTGTGTAGGTGGAGCACCACATCCGGTCGTCCAAGTCCATGCGTGTTGCCCATTCGCACGCGTGATCGTACCAAAATTGGGCACCCAAGACGGCAACACATCAGTCTCGTGTAAATCACCGTAATCAACCATGCCTAAGAGCCATTGTGTCCTGCTCCATTCGCTGCGCTCGCCGCCTTTTTCGGGATCTCGGAGCATCATCTGTGCTGCTTCGAGAAATATGTCAGCTGCTGGACGCTCGTAATCAATATCTACTCTGTTCGATTCGGATGATATTGCGAAGAACGCGAACAGCCGGTCGACGGGTAAACTTGTCCTATGTGTAGATGTATAGAGACACGAATTGGTCATTGAATAAGGTATCCTGCCGACTCTCTGGTAGAAGCTGCGGCGTTCTTGAGGATCATGAAAGTACGAGCAAGTGTCAGCTAAAGGAAACTCGTTCTCAGCGCAAGCGACGAGGAAGGCAATCATTATAGTCGCAAAGTCATCCCACTCGATGCACATGTCACCAATGCATAGAACAACCTTGCGAGCGAGTACGATCTCCTGGATCACCCAGGCACGTTCGAAGTATGGTCGATGGACAAATTTGTACAGATCAAAGCGGCCTTGCCATGGCAATATTGCATCAAGCTGATTATGCGTCTCGACGAGCAGCGGCGATCGCGGCGAGCGCTCTTGGGTCAACAGACCGAGGGAGTGATACAGGTCATATTCTCGCCACCATGGCCGTAGGCGAAACAGGTCATTCATGACGTCTCTATTCATGAGGGCGAAAAACGCAAGGTCCTTGGGGGTCTGGATATAACCATGGAAATATCGATCCAAAGCAGCCCTCGCAGAAACTGTATTTGGATCATCTTCCGGCGCGAAGGCCGTTGTCAACCACGATAGCGTGACGATCTTTCGTAGCCTCCACTGTGCCTCAGACACGGCCGCAACTGCTCGATCGCTGCCTTCCGTTCTGAATCCCACCCACGCGAGTACCGCAAACGCGCCGCCGAATATTGATCCCATCATGCGTACCTGGACGGTCTTCTCCGCCAGATCATCCTGATTGATACAGATTGCGTCCAGCCACAGGACACGTTTATGTTGGGGTAATCTGAATTGCCACAGAGCATCCACTGCGCTCTCCGTAACGGGGAGACGCTTTCCAGCAATCTCAACATTGCATGGCTTTCCGCCCTGGCCCCAGCAGTACGATACAGCTTCGTAGAATTGTCCGCTTGAGGGGTCGACGGTATGTAATTCACAGCTAATCGGTGCCGCTCCGGATCCAGGCAGAACATGAAGCAGGCGGATTTGTCCTGGAACCAGCGGCGAGTATTCGTAGATTGGCAGGTTTTCGAGGGATGAGCCACTATATTTCTCACTTGCCTCTGGCCGTTCAGGGTTCCAGAGTTCGGATAGCTTCCTCAATTCGAACGCCATGACTCTGTTCTCGTATGATGACAAAACGGCATCTTGTGCCTACATACGAAAATATGTTTATGACTCTAATGCCTTGCGGCTGTGTTTGCTGCACTTGAGGGTGCCCCCCGCTACTGCCAAGATGGTCGTCTAAGCCACAATCCTTCTGGGATCAGCTCATCGTCAATTGATGAACGACACATCGAGCTTACAAATTCATGGGTATTCGATGGCGAATTTAAGCGGAATGACATGCTACCACAATTATTTCAATTTCAAGGTTCTACTTCGAAGTTCTGCCACTACATGGCAAGCTTCAATTCAAGTGATGACCATCGACGGACGACTCCTCTGCTAATGGTGGGAGTTCAAGACGTCTTGAAACCAATCGTGTAAAGAATTCTTTTCATTCAAATACCATTCGTCCCCAACAATAACAATTGACAAATACATCAAGCATTGTTGCTGATGATTGAGCCCAGTTTCCTCAGCGCCCATCAACGGCCGCAGTAGCTCTACAACCAAACGATATCAGCGCAAAACCTGACTCTACGGTTTGATATCAATGAACCCTGGTAACCGGTACTTCTGAGGCGACTAAAATCCTGGAGCACAAGCACAGTTGTGGCATCCGGTACCCGAAGGGCAATTGTAGCCCGCCTGCCAGGTAGTGCCGACACATTTCAACTATTGAATATCGTTAGCACGTCATCTTACGCTAAACCGCAAGCACACGAGTACGTGTCTCTCGCGATCTCATCTCGACCAGGGAAGAATGATCAGAACTCACGATGTAAGCACGGCTCGCGCTGGAGCAGGCAGTGTCGCCATCGTGGTTGTGGCAAGTGTCGCCGAGGTGGTGGTCGAGACCAGACTCGCAGCCCGCAAGGGCGGTGGGCAGAAGAGTGCCGAGGAAGAGAAGAGGGGCGAAGACGTTGAACTTCATGTTGAGTTTTGAGGTTGAAGGGGTTTGAAAGTGGGAGTGGTAAGTCGTTCGGTTTGAGTCTTTGAGTTGGTTGGGGGGAGGGATTGTGTCGAGAACTTTGAAAAGTCCGAACGACTTAAGCGCTTTTATGTTGAATCGTCTCTACTCCTGGCCCCCAAATCCACTGACGATCTTCCGTGCGCTGTTCAAGAGAGAGATGTTCATAAATGTAAGTATCGCATCAAATCTCAGCATTTTCCGGTCTCAATGGGAGTACAGCCGGCCAGCAGATAGAGATCGGCGTGGATGGATACCGAAATGTTTCATGCACCAAGCTTTGCTAAGCTTCCTGGCATCCGTCTTATGCGTAACCTTGTACGCCACAAACGACGAATCTTCCAATGGGGAAGCCGGCGGATCTGCAGGGTGTCCTGGGAGGAAGATATTTGATGGGAAAGTCCGAAAGGCCGGACGAATCAATGCTTGATCATGTCGTCCCAAATCCGAGCACATCGCTTCCCCAGGAGTTTGACCGGCATCGCTTGTCCAGCTCAAGATCATACCGGAAATTCATCGTTGCACTATATAAAAGTTGTGAGTGTCGATCTTGACGTGGTTCTTCTTAGGGTCACGTACCGAGCAGGCCATCGAGCACTGACAGGTGATGAGCCATTTAGTCTGCGACTCAAGATCTGTTCGGACACGATCATGCTTGCATTTCAGCTTGTTAGCTAAGCTTACTGTGGGGTGATCAAGAACAATTCACAATGATGTTACATGCAGGCTGAATGTGACGAGTATGACTAGGCGTTCGTGGCGTTCTTCAAGGACAGTTGCTGGACATAAGCGATAAGGCAATGTTCGACACTCGCGTACAAAGATCATCTTTTCGATCAGCGGGATCACCGGTCGAAATGTACACGGTATGTCTCTTTTGTGGGGCAGAGGCGTTTTCGGGGACAACGAACCCGACATGCCTAAAGATTCGTAGCAGAGACGAAACTTCAACCTCGAATCTTTCCGAATACAGGAACTCCCGTCTCGGCTGGGATGTTTCGCTCAGCTACTGTGCTAATGAGCACGGATGTCAAATTCTCCGTGCAGTTCAACGTTGTTAGAAGGACAGAGCAGCTGCGTTAGAAACGAGCGAGATACTCGGGTGTTACGGCTACTAGAAACGAGCGAGATACTCGGGTGTTACGGCTACTATACTTTGTGGCTGCTGTCCTTCGAGTCATTGCACATAATCGATTTGCAGGCGTGCATGTATGCAGGGCATTGATCTTGAGGGGTCGTCGCTCTTGTTTTAGTTTCTCGGTGACTTCTCCGCGACTTGATTCGCCTAAGCATAAGGTTGGACGCGGAACATCTCAAGCAAGCATTGACATCGGGACAGTGCTCATTTTTGGTCGTCGGAATATCGGCAGAATCTCATGCCATTCGATCACAGCGGTATACATGAATGGAGTACATTCGACGATGCTCAGGTGGGCCAATACAGACCCCGCAGGCAGTGGCGCTCCTCAGCTCGGATGCAGCTTCAGATTGGAGTCAACCATTCAGCGCTGGAATGCTAATACCGTATGACTGTACACTTCGATACAGATTCATCTTCCTGCAATGCTGACTCGATATATTCATGGGCAAAGGGAGATGAGGTCGGCGTCCAAGATAAGACGCGTCGCTGAGAACCGCGCGCGAAAATGCTTATCTTTTTAGCGCGATGACCTCACTCCTTGTCATGGGAGAATGACGAATGCGAAAAGCCAGGAATGCGCGGAAGGACCAGCGGTCAAAGCACTCGAGTTGAGCACACGGTGGTGTGTAAAAATATCATAGGATAGATACAATTGAATTTATTGCAAAGCTGAGAAGTGGTTTACACTTTGTTGTGCATGTGTGGACGACTCGCAGCTCTCAAGAATTCGGCACGGTGAAGGAAACCGCACGGCGTCCGCTGGGAGGCCAGGATGGCACAACAAACTCGTGCCGGCGAACGTCAGCCTTTACTACAAGACAATCAACAACGACTACACCAGGATGGATACCAAAACCAGCATCAAGATCAAGAGGAGCATCACGAAGATGTCGACTCCAAAGAACTCAGCTTTGCCAAAGATGACCCAGAGAACCCGCGCGCATGGTCTTACCGGACGAAGATGATCAACGTATTTCTCATCGCGAACATGGCCATCCTCGCGCCTCTGGCATCTTCCATGTTCGCTCCGGGAATTAATGAGATCGCTGAAGGTCTGCATACCTCCGTGGAGAGTGTCATTGCATGCACTACAGCACATGTTGTATGTCAAGGTATTGGACCATTGATTCTTGCACCACTTTGTGAGACGTTCGGGCGAAGGAAGTTATATCTTGTTTGCTTCGGTGTCTTTGCTCTCTTACAGATTCCTTCCGCTCTGGCACCGAATATCGGGACGCTCATTGCTATGCGGACCTTGAGTGGCTTCTTTGGGAGTGTTGGTGTATCGAATGGTGGTGGGACATTGAGCGATATGTTCGTGCCCAGCGAGCGTGCTGGGGTATTTGGATGGTATCTAATCGGGCCACTTTTGGGTCCTTGCATTGGGCCGGCCCTGGGTGGTATCATCGTACAACGTCTGGGCTGGAGATGGGTATTCTGGGTCTTGGCTTTGATTGCCACGGCTGTCACCCTCCTGGCATATTTCTTCCTGCACGAAAGCTACGCCCCCGTCCTGCTCTTCCGACGCAAACGTCGTCTCGAAGCCGAGTCCTCCGACCCGGACATCGAATACTCCATCAAAGGCCACGACACCAGTCCGCTCAAAGACAAACTCCTCCACTCCCTGAGTAGACCCTTCCGCATCCTCTTCACGCCCATCGTTCTCGTCATGAGTACCTACCAAGCCGTCTGCTTTGCCACCGCATACAGCATCTTCACCAACCTCCAACGGATCTACGGCGGAGAATACGGCTTCACCAATGAACAAGTCGGCTTCACCTCCTTCGGTCCCGGCCTGGGGTTTCTCACCGCAGTGTGGTTCATTGTGCCACGCATCGATACCGTCTTCAACAAGCTCACCGCGAGGAACAACGGCGTAAGCAAGCCAGAGTACCGACTCCCTTTGGCGAACATCGGCGGCGTCTTGCTTCCCGTGGGATTATTTTGGTTCGCATGGACGGTTGAAACACATCGTCCTTGGTACGTGACTTTGCTGGCGACGTATTTCTTCGGAGTGGGCCAGGTTTCGATTTTGAACTGCACGACGAATTATTACATCGACTGTGAGTGCTCGTTCCTGGCTTTTCAAGCTATGATATGAAATAGGCTCGGCAAACTGACAAAGTCGATCCGTCTTCCAGGTTTTGAAAAGTACGCCGCATCCGCCATCGCTGCCGGCGCCGTAAGTTCATCCCCTTCCCATGCCCGCGCTTTGTCACGCTGGACTGCATTCTGACCTTGATATTCACAGCTCTTTCGTGGCATCGTCGGTGGTGTCATTCCACTGTTCGTACCCAGCCTGATCGATGCGGTAGGGTTTGGATGGGGAATCAGTCTTTTTGCTTTCATGTCTCTCGCGATGGCGCCGGCGCCATTGATTCTGCTAAGATATGGCGAAGGGATTCGGAAGAGATTTCCCGTCAAATTGTGAGATGGAAGATAAAGGGAATTTGGCCGTGAGCATGCGGAGATTTTAGCGATAGATTTGATCATATGTGAATGTGGACTGTGAACTCCTTTCACTAGATCCACCAGGTAAAATAATGAAGTATGAGTTCCTTGTTACGATATCCCAGACAGAAGGAGGCATTTGTAGCGATGCATACCGCTACGTATGCATCCCAGAGCTATATCTTTTCGCTGGATTCAGAGGGTGCATACGATCCTATGATTTTCCCGTAGCTAAAGTACATCTTACCCTTCAACCTCAATATTGTAGTGCCAGGATAAATGTGCGTGGTCAAATCCGAATACAACAGATACCTATCGCAACAGCTTATGGCAGTATCACAAGCTCACCTCAATGGCTACTCAAACCAAAGAGAAGGTGGGTACTGATCAATAAATGTCCCTCCCCACGACATAATCATCTCCAAGCGAAAAGGCAAGCCCGGAGCGAATCGTACATGGTCAGAGGATGAATCACCCTTTTGAAGGAAGGATGATCCACGTAGTTTACTTCTTGCAACTCTGTCCACACTCGTTCATCCTGGAGGTTGGAGATGACGGGCTCTAGCTTATTTTCATTGCATTGTATTTCGTCTTTTTGGAAGGAATTTTGGTATTGGGGAAGGGGAGATCTGAGGATTCGAAAAATGGTATGATGTTAGGTATTGAAGGGGGAATGAGGAGCGTGAAATTGGTGCTCGGAGCGGTCTGTGGAATGCGTGGAATGAAATGTGGAAGATGTTCTCCATCCTACTAGGAAAGAGACACGACAAATGCTTTTGGTATGCCTTTTCCTGTGGAAGAGGCAAGTCATAGCACTAGGCCGATCGTAGAGAGATAGCAATGCATAGCTGTCTGTGACATACGATTCGACATGTCCACGACGACGTGATGTTCCATGTATTGCCGCGCAGATTGTGTTGGTTGGAATTTGGATCGAGAACATGTTGGATGATGTGGTGAAGAAGGAAGCGTGCCCAGGTGAAGAGAATTGATGCGCCAAGATTAATTGGGAGCTCACTAGCATGTTTCGGTCCGCAGGTCTGCTTACTAAGTCGAATAGCGCAGCAACGTCATTTTCGATGTCTGAGAATCAATGATCTGCTTTGTGCATGCCGATTGAGCATGCAACATCAATGTGATCCATGGTTAGTACTTCCTGTTGGATGTCTCCATCATATCAAGATTAGAATGCATGCTGAAAAATTCAAAAGGCTCCCAAGCGGAAGCAGGCCTCCACAGCGGCGGCGACCGCATCATCCAGCAAAACGCCCGCCAAACGCCGCTCCAAACTCGCCAAAGAGCACGACCTGACCGCCGAAGAAGAACTCGAAATTCAAGAAACATTCGCTCTTTTCTCTCGAGAGAACGACGACTTCGCAGACACAAAGGAAGGTGTCATCGCAACGAATGATGTGCGCCGCTGTCTGATTGCCCTCAACGCCCCACCGCGCGACAATGCGGAATTACAAGAACTCATCGAGACCGTCGACCCGGAAGATAGCGGCTGGATTCCCTACGAACACTTCGTCGCGATCGCGGCCTTGAAGATTCATGCGCGCCATGACGATGAGGATGACAATCCCGATGCCGTGAATGAGGAGGTCGCTAAGGCGTATCGGCTGTTTACCAAAGGCGAGGATCGCGCGATTACGATGGCCGATCTTCGCAGAGTGGCTAAGGAGCTGAGGGAGGAGATTCCGGAGAACGTGCTCAAGGACATGGTGCGTGAAGCGACCGGAGGTGGTCTGGGTCCGGTGGAAATGGATGATTTCGAGGATGTGATGAGAAGGGCGGGTGTCATCCGCTGAGTGTGCAGCGACTGATGTTACGAATTCCTGAATCGCCCTTATGAAAAACGGCAAAAGCGGCTGGAGCTCCATCTATTGGCCGAGATCTCAGAAGACATTCAGTCGATTGAAGCTATACTGCATTCCCGGTTACAGAGCGAAGCTCATCTGGGTAGCAAGAATCGATATGGAGAGTCTGGCGGGGCTGGAGGACACGACACGACCCCTGGCGGCTGACGAAATAGCCCTTGAGATCTTGAGCTGAGGCTCGCATATTTGCTTAAAAGTTGCGTCGCACGAGAACACATCTACGTGACCAGCGCGACTGTTCGAGTCAGAAGGAGATTCGAACTCTCGGAAGAGGCGAGTCTAGTCATCCGGGACGAGTCTGCGTTCTATGAAGCGATGGGTGATATGCGGTGTGTCAATCGTGGTGCACACCCGTTGACACTGTCAAAATCACCAGGTCGAGATCGGTGCAGAGGATGATTCCCGCTGGCAAGGTCTGCAAGAGGACGGATGGAAATTCCACAAGGCACAAAATGGCGGTATTGTTATGGTTCCCCTCTGGACTGCGGCGGTACGCACATATTACTGCATCCTGTAATTTAACATACCCCAATATGATCTACTGTGAGGTATGGGTGCGATGTTTCACGGAAAATATGATGATTTATCGGAGAAAACATCCGCGACCGTGGCACGCGACGCGGGAGCGACCGCGGGGTCGTCATTGCAACAAAGGGTCCAACATGTGATGATTGTACTGTCCCTAGCCTGGGTCCATGTTATGCTCGGTACGAGAGCTTCGAAATTTGTTTGTTTCTTTTCATCGTGAGCATGAATAATCTTTTATCTTGCTGACATCCGCTCACACGAGCGGCTTGTGTTTAGGACGTCATCCTGACACGCCGCCCTTGAGGAACTCGAAACCCCTCCAAATCATGCTCGAGAACAACAGATCTGCCGATTGTCTTCCTCCTTGAGCGGGCCAACACGTCGTTCTCCATCAACCATTTCAAGCCTATCTCAACAATGGATTCGTTCTTGACTGGATTGCGCGAAAGCGTTCTTTCCACGCGTTCCATGTCGTACGCCAGTAATGCAGAAAGTGTCACCTCCCACGACGACCAACGCTATCCGCAACATCATTTGCCTCCTCCAAGTAGACATGGCTCCGTCCCGACTTTACGCGCTCCGCGGTCGCGTAGCCGCCGAAGCAGTCTCTCTGACTACTCTGATGATCAGGATCTGGAGATGAGTGGGGCACAAGGAGAAGGACCTCATGGGTTGAGTCAGATTCAGGAACTGCCTGATAGTGTCGCAGACTCTTTGCTATTTGAATTGCCAAGAGAGGTCCGGGATCTGATCTACACATACTGTTTGTCATCAGGGGAAGGACATCCCATAGATTGGCCAACGGCACAGAACACTGCGGGATTACAACCACAATTGCTGCGAACTTGCAAGATTGTTCATGACGAAGCGGCGCCCGTCTTGTACTCGTCAAACACGTTGTCCTTTCTTCAATCCTCAGATGCGAATATGTTCGCTCGCGCCATGGCATCTCCGGTCTACGCTCGATGTGTCACCAGCATTCGACTTCTGATAAAATCATCAGATACCCGTTATTGGATGCCGTACCTCACATCGAAGAACGCCGAGCGCAGCCTCGCTGCAGATTTCCCCAAACTCAAAAATATCCTGATCCGGTTCAAGAGTGCGAAATGGCAACATAACCACCCACCCGAGACTCACATCTCCGAGCTACCTCATAGCGATCTCCGCTGGACAGAGGTCATAGTCGGCCTTCGAGGTGTTTACATTCCAGCTCCGAGCGACTTCGTCACCGACGAGGAATTCCACGAACACATCCGCCGCCGCCCGAACGACTTCCTCGAACTGGGCGACGAACTCGCTTTGCGTAAGCACGCTATGGGATTGTACAAATTAGCTGAATTGAGGATGGCTGGTGCATTGCCAGGACCGAACATCCGCGCAATCTGCACCTTCCGCGTGGGCTCAACACAGTTCGGCGCATTGGTAGGTCCTTATCGGGGAGTGCCATCCGTCGCCGAGAAGCTCTCCCGGAGAGTGATTCAGCGGGACAACGAGCCGTTTGTGGGATTCCGCAAGGAGGATTTTGAGGGCCGAGCGGAGATCCTGACCAGGCAGACGGATCCGGAGTGGGTGTCATCGGGTCTGGCGCTTTTCGCTCGGACGGGTCATGCCAACCTGGAGGGCATCTCCGTCGCTCTGGAGGTATATACTCTTGACAGTCGAAAAGAGAATATGGGGGTTTGAAGACCGGTCATTGTTGGGTCGGTCGGGAGTGAATAGAGATCATGGTCGCGAACAAGACAGGGCTCACGACGTTCCTTGTAGGACGTGTGCATGCGGCTTCAAAATCACGAACGACATTCTTAATGAATATGGTCGCTGGTATCGATATGCAGCAGATCACCGTCGAGCAGCATCAATAAAGCTGGGGCTGACGGCATTCCCTGGCTTGTACGACACAAACGCATTCAACCTTCTCTCCAACAGGTGGCCAATCGCCAGCCACTGAAGCTCTCCTAGCGAAAATGATGTAGTCCTCTGCGCCTGCGAATGCAAGGGGGCCTGCGACTCCACGCACAAAGACGGAAATCCATTGCACGACACCGTCTGTCCAAAACGCGGACGTAGCTGGGCTTTCTTCCTCTCGCCATCGTCCAGGCGGTATAGGACACGCGACAACGACAGACCATCGGGCGGTGATAGACGTTCGTCGCCACCGGCCGTCCAACGCAACGAGCAGTTTTCGTTCATGATGAGCGAACCCCGCAGTGCCAACCTACTCTCACCTTCGAAGGGCGATGAGACTCACCCAATAAATTTTACTACAGAGCATATGTTTTCCCAGTCGCAGACGCCAGCGAGCGACTCGAGACTTTTTCCGACCTGAGAAGCGTTTGGTCGAGAAATCCTCCAGAATTAGATCTGATGTATGTGTCGCTGCTGCTGTCGTTCAATCGTCTCGGGCGAAGGGTCGGAGAGGGCGGGACTCAGGTGGGGTTGACCTGTCGATCGCTGATCGAGCCTCATTTTGTGGGATGGACTATCGTCGTGTCGTTGGGTGAGCAGGCTTGTCGACGTATATGTGAAGCAAAATCTCTGTCTCCTGCGGAGATGTCATCGGGAGATGGGTGCCCAGACAGACCTAGATAAATGTGATAACCATGACCAACACCTGCTCCTTACCGGTCTCCCTCTCCGTCATCCTGCTTTCTCGCCATTGAACAGGTTCGCTTCACCAGAGTCGAGAGGAGCAGATGAAGCAGAGAATTCGGAATTTTCCAAAAAGAGATAGGTCGGATCGTAATCGAATCCAGGGGTATATATACATCCTCCCGTCCCTCCGTCCGTCACGGACACCCGAAACACCAGCCCATCATTCTTCAGAAACCAAACGAGAGTCATCTCCCGACATTACACGCATACGCCATCATCGCGGCCCCATCCTCCTCCTCCATGGGAGAAAGAGAGAGAGAGAGAGAGAGCGCGCGCGCGGCAGAGATGAAATCAGTCCCCCCAAAGAAAAAGTCCCCCCGATCCAGAAATCCCCGCCGGCGCGGAGCAATCGATCAATCAAATGGTGATTGCGCCCACGGCTCAATGCTCCATGACCTTCCATCCCTCGGCGAGGAACTTCCTGCCGAAGAACATGGCGCCGAGGATGACGCCGACGGCGGCCAACACGACGCCGGACCACCAGGCGCAGCGGATGCCCATCATGACGTCGTCGGGGGTGGCGTCGGCGCCCTTGCGGTTGACGGCGACCTCGACGGTGCCGGCGATGCCCAGCGCGATGCTGATCGAGTAGTTCACCATCGTGTTGACCAGGCTGGCGGCCAGGCCCTGGTGCTCGCGCGGCATGTGGTTCGACAGGATGATGGTGGCGGCGGGGAAGGACATGTCCATTCCTATGAGAAGAAAAACAACGGAGAATTCCAGTCAGTCGGGGTGGACGGGACGGAGACCGAAAGGAGGGGGGGTACGTACCGAACGGCATGATCAGGATCGCGACGAACATCTGCGCCCAGTAGGTCTGTCCCACGGGCTGGGTCGCGGTGATCAGCTGGCCGAGGAAGAAGGCCACCATGGCGATCATCATGGTGAAGGCGACGGGGGTGTGGGTCAGCATGAAGCCGGTGACGCCGGCGGCGAGGAGGCCGCAGATCATGGCGGGGAGGTATTCGATCGAGACGGCGAGCGGCGATTCCCCGCGGAGCTCGAGCAGGAAGCGGAAGGAGTAGTAGATCCAGATGCCGAAGGAGCCCCAGCCGATCCCCACCAGGGCCATGGTGTATGTGACCGTGCTGGTCATGGCCTTGACGGGCAGGATCGGGGAGATGGCCCGGGTCTCCACCCAGCCGAAGGCGACGAGCGCGAGGACCCCGAAGATCAGCACGAGGTAGACGTGGGCGGTGCCCCAGCCGTACAGGGGCCCGTTGTTGAACGCGATGTTCACCAGCACGAGGCCCGTCACGCCGAGGACGGAGCCGGTGTAGTCGAAGTGGACCTTCCCCGACGACGACGAGGAGGAGGAGGGGGATCCGGCGAGCTGGGCGTCGTGGGCGAGGGATTTCGGGATGACGAGCAGGGAGAAGGCGGCCAGCAGCCAGGCGGCGATGGCGTAGCTGAAGAAGGCCCAGGGCCACCAGGAATACTGGGCGAACAGCGAGGCGAACAGCGCGCCCAGGACGAAGCCCCAGGGCGCCATGGCGCCGAAGAGGGAGAAGACGATGTTCTTCTTGATCCCGGGGGGGTAGGCGCGGCCGAGGAGGGCGAGGGCGTTGGGGGCCAGGAGGGCGGCGCCGATGCCCTGGAAGCCGCGGCAGACGTCGAAGAAGACGGGCCGGTGGGTGTAGGCGCTGAAGCCGGCGAAGGCGGACCAGGTGCCGAGGAAGAAGAAGCCGAAGATGAAGATGCGCTTGTGGCCCATGATGTCGCCGATGCGGCCGGAGATCAGGATGAAGGTGCCCACGGTCAAGCTGTAGGCCGCGGCGAACCAGGCCTGCTGGCCCGGGTTCCCCGGCACGTCGAGGTCTTCGGCGATGATGGCCATCGGGGCGATGGATTGGCCGAGGCCGGCGAGGGCGAGGAACTGCGCCATGATGACGACGCCGATGAAGAGGATCTCGTGGAAGAGGGAGATGTTGAGGGGTTCGACGCGGTGGAGTTCGGGGAGGTCTCCGTCGTCGTCATCGTCGTCGCTGGGGTCGTTGCCGAGAGAGGTGGTCTTGGTGGAGACCAGAGCGGTCTTTTCGGCGTCTGAAGGCGTGGGAGGGAGGAGCGGCGCGGTATGTGAAGCGGACGATTCGCGATGGTGGGCGATCTCGACGGAGGAGACCTGGATGCTTTTGCTGTCCCTGTGGGCGGGATGTTCGAGGAGGCCGACCGCCGATGGCTGTCGCGGTCGACTGTGACCGCTGCTGCTGTTGCCGCTGTATATTGCAGGGAGAGCAGTGACGCTGGGGTCGCCGTCATCGTCGTCGTCGTCCCATCTTGAATCGTCGCCCAGGGAGAGAGCACGGTTCTGTCGAGCGAGATGTCGAGCTGTCCTCGTGAAGGGGGATTCTGTGTCGGAGGAGAAGAGGCCAGGGATTTCAAACGCTGGTAATCGATATTCGGAGTTGTGGTTGTTCGGGGTGGATTTCTCGCTCATTCGAGGAGTTCCTTCGTCGCTGGCGCTCTTGCCACGTAGGGATGCCATGTCGAATTACGACGATGATGAAAGGTCTCGGAGGTTCAAGCGAGTGGAGAGATCATGGGACTGCAGAGGTGCCGTGTTCTTGAACGGTTGTCAAGATGATGGTGATGATGATCTTCAGGATGACAGATGTGGTTGACGTCGTGCTCGGCTCGCACAGAGTCGTAACGAGGAGAAAGATGATGATGAATGACGGCGAAGCAGGCAGGAAAGTCCCGGTTGACGTGTGTCTGTCCTCCCGGCGAGGATTGATTCGCCGACAAGGCCAAAGAGAGATGATTGCTCAGAAGGAATCAGCATGACATATCGGTCATCAAATAGAACACACCCACAGCAAAGCGGTTGAGGAGGAATCGTGAGCGGAGAGATAGGAGGGAAATCCTCGCCGCGCGGGTGTAAAGATGCAAGAATCCCTCCCGATTTGTTTTTCTTTATTGCCCGGGAAAGGCAGTATCGCTCATCTTGTTGTTTCCCATGGTCGTCGACAAGGCTGACCCGGTGATATCCCTACAGCCTTATGGGCGGGTTCCCGATCATCTCTGGTCTCGGCCGTTGGTAGGCATGCAAGTTCTCGCCTGCCAACGTGGTTCTTCCATAACGGCGCTGCACCAGTGCAACGCGTCGATCGGGATGATGCATCATGCTGCTGATCAGTTCTCGATCGTATGTAACAATTATCGAAGTGTGTTCGAGAGTGATGCTTTATCGAATGCGTCCCTCGGAGCATATATGCCGTTCAGCTGGAGATGTGCAGATGTTCGATCTCGGAGGATAAGATCTAAGGCTTAGATCATCTCAAACCTACCGCCTGGCTTTGACCCTGATGATGCTATATTACCGGGAGACGAGATGGAAAGCATCCTACCTATATAACATATAATGAGAGAGAGTGGACGAGGACGAGGACGTCGTCGAAGCCTCTCCGCTCTGTCGGCTCCAGCGCCGCCGCCATGAGGGAAGCATGAATTATATAGCCCGTCCGTCTCCGCCGACACAACCGCTCGAGTTGACCGGCCGAGATGCCATGGCTTTCCTTTTGCCCATCGCGATCCCATCCGAGAGGCATTCCAACGAGCAAACACATTGGAGGAAGGATCGAGGCCAGACCACCAGCAGCAGCAGCAAGGGCCAAACAAAGAAAGGCAGGCAGGCAGAGACGACCAGCCGCTCCACGACCAGCCCGCCGCCCATCGCATCGCGGAGGGACGCCCGTTTGTATTTGGGGTAACCCCAGCGACGTCGACTTTCTCTGTAGAGGCCGGCCGATTCATTCATTCACCCACTAACTCACTCACGGACAAACCAAGAGGAATGAATGGATGCCCCGGCTTTTCTCTTCTGTTCCTCATCAGACGGAACTTCCCTATGTGATACCTTCCTATATAATAACACCTCCTATTTGGTACCTATACTTGGAATGACGTTACTTGGAACGGTCAGAGAGGGAGCATACAAACTCCATGGAGTATTTCGGATGTGGTCGAGGAGGGATGCCGCCACTGATACTACACGATCTATCTCTCTTTCTGATGATGATATTAATAATAATGGTGAGACTCGAGCATCAGGTTCCGAAGACACACATACGCATACGCCTCTAAACATGAGACGAAACAATGCACGGAGAAGAGGAGAAAAGGTGAGAGTCGAGATCAGAGGAAAAATGATCATTCATTTCGATCAACGATTATCTGTCGCGCGCGCGCGTGTGAGAGACAATCAGAGGACGCGATGTGTGCAGGTAGAGGCGGAACACAACCGTTCGGGTAGTAGTGGTATCATATGCCAATCTGCTCTCAAAAAACTTCTTCGACAAAGGAAAACTTTTTTCTTTAATCTCTCTTTCTCGCTCTCGCGTTCATTACTTCCGCTTCTTCCGTCTCTTTCTCGCTTCCCTTCACATCATCGTCGAGCGGTCATCGCTTAGAGGGTCTGGCCGGCGCCGATGATGGGGTTGATGGCGCCCTGGGGGAGGACGGGCGGGCTGGTGGGACCGGCGGCGCCGAGCTGGTTGGCGATGCCGTCCGTGGCGGTGGTGCTGGCGAAGCCCGAGGCGAGGCCTCCGGAGCTGGCGGAGGAGCTGGCGGCGGGGCCGCCGGTCAGGACCTGGCCGCCGGCGGTGTGGGGCTTGCGGACGGGGTCGGCGGCCTTGGGGAGGTTGGTGGTGGCGGAGGCGGAGCCGATGGAGAAGACGGGGGACTCCCACTTGTCGCCCTTGGCGGCGAGGTCGCGGTACTCGGTGGCCTTGGAGGAGATGCCGCCGGGCAGCGAGATGTGCTTGAAGATGCTGTCGTGCTGGGTGACGGCGATGTTGACCTCCTTGTCGGCGGCCGAGGCCTTGACCTCCTCCTTCTTGCGCTGGGCCTTGTTGATCTGCTGCTGGAAGGCGGTGGCGTAGCGCTGGTAGATGTTCTGGAGGTTCTCCGGGTCGGGGTTGTTCTTGGCCTCCTCGATGGCGCGGTCGACCTCCTTCTGGATGCTGTAGAGGAAGGCGTCGGCCTGGTTGACGCTGTCGCGGATCTGCTTCTCGAGGACCTTCTCCAGGACGGGGCGCAGGACCTTGGTGAGGAGCGGCTTGGCGATGCTGAACAGAAGCTTGTGGTTGGACTGCTTCAGCTTGATGTTGAGGTTCTTGACGTCGACGGAGACCTTGGTGATCTTGAAGAAGTGCTGGCGGTCCTTCTTGTCGGCAGTCTCGAGGGCGACCTTGAAGCTGAAGCCAGAGCCACCGAGGAAGATGTCAGCGACACCCTTGTCGGTGATACCCGGGAAACCCTCCTTCTTCTTGACGTAGTAGGCGACGTCGCGCAGGTCGGCCTGGACGCCGGAGACGGACAACAGAACCTTGTTCTTGTTGTAGCTCTCGACGTTCTTGCGGCCCCATCGCCAGAAGTTGTCGCTGCCGAACTCGAGCTGGTTGGGGGCAAGGTTGTCACCCTCGATGACGAGGTTCTCGACAACGGCGTCAATGGTAGGGTCGCTGTACTCGATGCGAGGGATCGGGATGTAGCGGACGTTCTCGAAGAAGGCCGGGAGGAGGACATCGGTCAAGTCCTTAACCAAATGAGGCTTGAACTCAGGCTTGCCGTTGTCATCGTTGCCGAGGTCCTTGAACAGACGGTCGAAGGCAGCAGCGAAGCTCTTGTTCTGGGAGTCGGCCTCGAACTGGTTGGCGATGAACTTGAACTCATCGGCGACGCGGTCGGTGTGGGCCTTGTACTTCTCGCGGAGAAGGTAGTTGCCGTGGTCGTAGAGCTTGTTCCACTCCTCCTCGGACTCGTCCTGGAGGACGTAGCCCTGCTGTTGGAGGGACTTGCGGATGAAAGCATCGATGCTCTTGAACCAGTTCTTGAGCTCAGGGTCGCGGTCCGCGTCGGTGTAGATCTGGTTGATGGAGGCAAACAGGTCATCGAACGAGGTGCTGTTGGCGAAACGCTCGAGGAGAGTCCTCAAGTCAGTCTCGGCCTGCTGCAAGTGAGACTTGCTGCGGGTGTCCTGGACGGCGGCAGTGCCCTGCTGGGTGATAGTCTTAGTGTGTCCAGCGTACTCCTCGGCCAGGCGGAGGAGGGTGTCAATGGCTTGACGGTAGTCGGAGTGTCCCTGAATCTCGACAATCATCTTCTTCAGGCGGTAGATGGTCTGCTCCCGGCGGTCCTTGGGGAACTTGCCCTTGAAGTACTCGCGGGTCTTCTCGCGGTACTCGCGGGCGTTCTGCTTGGCCTCCTCGACCTTGTCGTCGTCAACCTTGCTCAACAGAGTGTCCTTGGCTGCCTTGGCACCAGCGACGGGGTCAACGGATTGACCGCCAGCCTTGGCGTCCTTCTGGGCCTGCTCAGCGACGGCGTTGGGGTCACGCGAGCCGTCGGGGTGGGCAGCCGCTGAGGCGTCACCAACCGCCTGATCGACGTCTTTCTTGCCGATAGGGAGAGCAGCCTTGATCTGGTTGGCGATCTTCTCCTTGGAGAGATCGGGGGCGTCGTGCCAGGTGTTGTCCTCGGCAGGCTTGTCGAGGGTGGCAAGCTGGTCCTCGTTGGGCTTGACTACGTTGGCGGTGTTGACTGCGGCATCGCCAGCGATGTCACGGATGAGGACGGAGGCGTCGCTCACTAGAACCATCCAGTCAGTTTGTGGTTCAGCGCTGATGGTGACCGCGAAAGAAAGACTTACAAAGCTTGCGGAATTGACCGTTGGTGATGAGAAGCGTTCCGAGAGTGCGAAGACCCTCGAGCGCCTGCTGACCGTGCTGCTGGGCGGTGTCCTTGTCAAGGGGAGTGTTGACATTGGGCGCGTCAGCGGCGCTGATCTTCTGAGTCTGCCAGATGAAGTCCTGGAGGAGATCACCGTGGTTCTTGGAGAGGAGGAGGAGCTTCGACTGCTCGATGACATCCTTGAGGTCGGCGACGAGCTTCTTGCCGTCAGCGGACAGCTTGGGGTCGGGCTTGTTGAGGTATTGCCACTCGAGCGCCGAGTTCAACGCGACGTCGATTTGCTTGTTGGAGGGGACCTTGCCCTGGGCGAAGGCTGTAGAGGAGATGCGCGTCAGTTTCTCGGTCTCAGGCACGTTTTCGTAGTTTTCCACTGTCCCTCCTCTGGGGCAATTCAACAGCTCTGGAGAGCTTTCGAGACAGGCAAGAGCTGCTCTCTGCTCCGCCGGCTGGGTGGAGATGAAGAGATGCCACGTACCGGAGTAGATGCCGTACAATTGCAGCTTGGCATTGACATCGCGCTCCTTGACCTTGGGGTCAACGGGAACGTTAACGCTCTTTGAGGAACTCATGACGGCCGTTTTCTGTGCGCACGAATTTGGTCAGTAACCGTTTGAGAGGAGGAGGTGAATGCGCGCAGACGCCGCTGTACCCGATCTCGCCAAGTGAGGATCTCGTCGAGCGAGAATGGCCGGGCGATCAGATCAAAGCAGGTTCTGTTCTTGCGCGCAGTCGTAGGAAGTTCGAGGGCCAACGTACAAATTACAATATCGCTAATGGGGTATCTTTGGGTATTATGCGAATAGGAATCAAAGCAATCGTGGGAATAGTTTGGGGGGGATTGGGGTATCTCTGTTTGTTTGTGGAAAGGAAAAGCAAGAGGAAGAGGAGGAGGAGAAGGCAGGTGAAGGGTAGAAGTAAATAGCAGCGACCTTGACGGGCAGAGGGCAATGGCAGCAGCAACAGCAGCAGCAACAATTAGATCATCATGGATAGACACACACCCACACAGCGTGCGAGCGTCAGTGTGCCAGTGCCAGTGCCAGGGCCAGCACCAAAAAAAAGCAGGAACTGGCCTTGGATGGAGGAGGGAGCTTGGTGGGAATTTTGGCTTGCACGAATTGACGTAATTCTTGGATAATCCATCCACCACCTGGGCAATGCCTAGTACCTACCTGGCTATCCATCCCATCGCCTCCTCCCCCGACTTTCACACACAACACACACAACACACAACACACAGACACACAGACACAGACACAGACGCAGAGTTGCCCTAGTCGCAGCCAATTCCGCGCCTAGGTAAGTAGTAGTAGGTACAAGGAGCGGTGGCCGCCGTATACCACCATGTAGCTTCCTCCATTCTATACCCACATTCATCTCACATGGTCTCTATCGATTCACGATGTGGATGTGGATGTGGAAGACGACACCAGAACTGTCGTCGGGAGAGAGCGCCTCTCCGAGCAAACCCTCCCCGTCTCCCTTCTGTTGAGTGTGGAGTGCTGTATAGCATTATTCGGGAGGGGTGACTGTTCCGGGAGATGGGGCCACAAAGGATGGACGACTGACATATGAAACAGAGAGTTCATGCAGTACCACCTTCCTTGATCTGGAGGGAGGCACTCGGGCCAAGGTTCGTTCGTTCACTCAACTCAACTCAACTCCACTCCACTCATCGCTCACTCGCCCATTCGCTCACCACGGCAACGTTGAGTCGTCGTCGTCGTCGTCGTCGTTGTCGTCTCATCACCTGCGCACTCTCGGCTTTGAACGATACATACGTCCCTTGAGACGATGATGGGCGAGAAAAGAAAAAGCCCGTGTGGGTAAGTAATAGCCACGCCAGAGGGGACAGACACCACTCGTGCGCGCAAAACAACCACGAGGCCGGCCAGTCAGCCTATATCCAGGTGCCAGCGGGTATGTGTGTATGTGTGTATGTGTGTATGTGTGTATGTATACAGATGCTCATCATCATCTCACTCGGTGACGGGTCGTTCGTTAGTCAGTGACAGTAGTTCCCGCTGGTCGGTTTCGGTGATGAGCCGAAAGTCTCGGATGGCTGGTGCTGTGTGTTGTGTTGAGCCACACTTGACAAATATGGAGGAGGCGCATCATTATGGATCATTCCGCATACATAGTAGAAGATTCTCCAGCTCTTGTTGTTGTTATCATTATTATTATCATTATCGTTATTATTATTATTATTGTGCGTCAATGCCGGCCGGAATGACGAGACCACGGAATCATCCCTGTCGCTTCGAGACCAGTTTTACGCGCGCGCCTCTCCCACATCATCGTCATCGTCTTCTTCTTCATCATCATCTCGACCGCACACGCCAGCAGTATCGGATGCTGTGTGCGTTTTGCTCGCAGACGCCTCTTTCATGGTCACGACAAGGACATCACACACGGGCGAGGGGAATGTCGTGCCATTGCCATGACAATCTCGCAGATCCAATAGCTCCCACGTTTCATCGCAGGCTATCCGATAGCTTAATTCCCATCTCTCATCTAGGCGGTAGAGGCGAGACGGTGAGAAAGCGTACCGGAGGAAGAGAAAGGCATGGGGTCCAACGTTGACGGGCTTGCGTAATGGCCGGGAGCTGTTCTCTCCCTTGTACAGTGCACTTCCAACTTTGGTGGAGATTTGGAACAAGCCTTTCTGGCACGCCCCGCCCGTCTCTCCCTCCTCCTCTCCTCCGCCTGCGCCTGCGCCTCATCTGGGCTCAGGAGAATCTCCGATGACGACACCTGCGTCCAAGGAAAAAAATCTCAATGCCACCCAGGCAGGTAGCTTGTTCTCCGTCTCTCTCATCATCAGTGGCGATAGCTCCACCCCCAAAGGATCAGCACAGCGACTATCCACATAATGGTAATGAATGAACGAACGAACGAACGAACACCTGTCTGCCAACAAACTAGAAAAACGACGATCCCTCTGCCCGTACCCATAAAAAGGTTCCGCATCATCATCATCATCATCGTCGTGGTTCTTTCTCCAAAGGAGAGCCGCCGACCGTCGTGCACGTCATCGACGTCGAAATGATGGTCATAGCGGAGCAGGCGTTGCCTGGCGTGCCAATACGCACGCACGGACGACGGTCGGTGGGCGGGCGGCGCGCATCGAAATCTCGAAATTGCACCTGTCATCATCATCGTCGTCATGGGAGAAGGGCTTCTTGGGGATCTGGATGACGACGACGACGATGGTGATGATGATGATGATGGAATGGACTGGACGACGACGACGATCATCGCATCGAGGGAAAATGGGTTTTCTCTTGCGGAAAATTCTCCATTCGTCGTCGTCGTGTGTGCGCGCGGCTCGTTCTATCGCCGGTCGCACATCGTGCTGTGTGCCCGGGTGCATGTATTAATGGTGGCCTATGCTCGTTGCTGCTGTTGCTGTCACTGCCTATGCAGTTGCCAGACAAACACCATCCACTGCACTATGCTGTGTTGTGCTGCAGCCGTGCTGGATGGTAGTCTTCGTCTCGATAATTCTCCGCGCGTGTGGTGGTCCAGGACAAACCCAACCCAACCACGGATGTGTGTGTGTGTGTGTGTGTGTGTGTGTGTGCCTAGGCATGTCGAAGCTACCTATGCAAAGGGCCCGCCGGCATACGATCATCCTTATGTCCTGTTGTCATTTTGCTGCACATGTCGAAAAGCCGAATGACGAGAGAGTGTGTGTACATTGCTGTGTCCTCCTAGTGACAATATCATGGAGATCAGCCACAGACACCTCTCTCTTCTCCCATCTCCCTCCTCTGTGGCGTAGAAGGGGAATCTTCGATCGCACCCGTCCATCGTCCTGGTCCATCTCCGGCCGGAGAGAAAAAAGACCCCCTCTGGCGCACACACGACACCCGTCCACATACACATACACACTCTCTCTCTCTCTCGCCAATCAGAAATTCACCTGTTCATGTTTTCGTCTGAAACGCCCTATTGTTGTTATTATTACTATTCCAAGGTTATCATTATTATCATCATCAGTCCCACTTGTGCCATCGCCCTAGCTTCGGACCGAACGACCGCAGGGCAGAAGAGATGACGCTGCTGACATGATATTTGGTCATCATCCGCTTGATGACTCGCATCGGGGAACTTCAAAGGTGTAGATCAATTGCAGCAGACGACTTTTGTAGACTGATCACACGTGAGAATGAGCAGCGTAAAGAAAAGGTGATTCTCTAGAAGAACACCAGATAAGTGCCGTTAGGGTTGGAGTTGGGGCAATTCCGACACGGTTTCTCTTCCGAGCTCTCGTCGTCGAGCATTCGAATGTGTGGTTCACATCTGGAATACATTGCGTAGTATTTGTTATAGTAAAGGAGAGCTTGCAGTGCTTGATGTGTTGTTTGATATGAGTCCAAGAGCGTGATGTGTGTCAACGCTGTCGGCTACCATCTCTTCATGTAAAAACGAGTGTCGAATGCTTCCTCCTCGAAAGCGAAAGACACATTCATACCTCCACTTTTGTATTTGTTCACTTGGGCATGCCATGTCACATTGTGCCATATCGCATTTTGCTGTGCGGTCGCTACGGCTTTTGAACGAGCATAGTATGTATTTGTCCTTGTATTTCGCCGTGCGTAGCTATCCCGGATGGGCGCCTTCAACACCTTGACATGTGTCCATCGCAGCAGCAGTGAAGTCGCAGAAGTGAAGTCAGGGCACGAACCCGCCAAAGTGGTTCGCGTGAAGTCGCGTCTCTCCCACTTCCCACCACGAAACACCTCAGTGGCAGACAAATTGTCGATTCTGGCGCCCAGGCCTGAACATCATGTCACGACCGATGACAAGATCTCCGTTTGAACACTGATCTCCTTCAAATTTATCGACAGCGAGACGCGCGATTCTCCAAGGAAATATTCGACTGCACGGCCGTCGCACCTCCCACTTGCGGAATGTCGATGTGTGTTAAGGTAGACTTCCTGTTGGCTGATCCTGACAGGGCTGCATTGTCGGCCACGATATGTATGGCACTCGCAAGACCTTCATTGAAGCCGTGAAACATCACTGCCCTGATACGACCAGCATAATTTTACTTGACATGGACTTGATTCCTTACTGCGATTGATCCACCACGATTTTTGGAAAAAGATGGCCCCCGAAGCACTGGGCAGCTTACCGGAAGGGTTTGTTGATTTGGCTACTGCTCGCAGTCGTCCTCTCACCACACCAGTCAACATCATTGGCCTCGTCGTCGACCGACAAGAACCTAAGTCTACCCGGGGTGGTGTAGGCGACCACGTCTTCACTTTCAAATTGGCGGATGCCTCACTATCTCTCACCACGACAGGCGGTCAATATGGAGAAGGGAGGTGGGATGGGTTCCCCATTCGATGCTTTCGCAGCAGTGGCGCACTGCACACGATGCCCCAGACCGCACAGATCGGCGATGCTGTCCTGTTGCGCGGCATTTCTCTGACGACGTTTAGTGGTCAGGTGCTGGCTCTGTCTTCAGCTAAGGCGCAACTGAGATTTCTGACCATTTCAAGTGAGAGCATACCCTCGCCATCCTACCAGGAGTACATCCTGGGCGGGAAGCAGAAGTTGATGGGAGAGGGCTCACCAGGTCAGATGGAGGCACTGACCCTCGCGGAGCAAGCATATATTATCAAGCTCAAGCACGACCTTGCCGAGCAAGTGACTGCTCGACAGCAGGTTCGGGCATTGCCTGCAAATGTCCCGACAGGACCTTCGATCCCCACGAAGAGGACAAACACACATGATCCAACCTTGGCCGTCAACGATGCATTACCAAAGCGTCCTCGCTTCACAGGAGGCTTCGGTCCGAAGTTTCGACTGATCAGAGATGTCACGTATCCACCCTGTTGGACCGACTTGTGCGGGGAGGTCATCAAATCATTTCCCAACTCTTACGGAATAGATTTGTATATTTCTGATTACACCCCAAACAATAAAATGCGTGAATATCCCGAGCCGGACGATGCCGAGGACGGCGACTCTTACAACGAAGGCACTGGGCGCGATGGCGACTACTACAACTACGCCGGCGTACCCACCAAACGCTGGCCAGGGCCCTGGGGGTACAACATTCTCAAGGTCAACGTCAAGGAGCCACATGCATCTTACCTCGCATCTAACGTGAATCTCGGTGATTTTGTTGAGCTCCAGAACGTCAAGATGCGACAAGCGCCTGATGGGACTCTCGAAGCGGACATGTGGCCCGATCATCTCGACGCAAGCCGTGTGCAGATTAGAAAACTCGCCCCGATGAGTGGCCTGGTCAATCGACTCCAGGAGAGGCGAGAGATTTACTGGAGCAACCGACAAGAACTGGTCCGCTCGCGACACGACAGGGACTCTACCAAAGATGACCAGAACGCGAACGGCTCGAAACTCAGCAAGACCGAGAAGAAACGTCTCCGAAAACAGAAAAAGCGGGAACATGAACAGGCCGCAAAAGCCACCACAGCCGGCTCGAATGTCATTAACTTTGAACCTGCCCAGTCGTCCACCAAATCCGGCATCAACGCGCATATCCGCTGCAGCCATGATGACGTCCCTGTCCTCTCCCTCAACAAGATCATCGATCGCGGGAACGTCCGCCACAGCAGCGTGAAGCCCGATGAAACCGGTGGCGAGACGAAGATGATCTTGCCCTTCATCAACGCAAGATATCGCGCACGTGTGCGCGTCGTCGATTACGCCCCGAAGCAACTGGAAGATTTCGCCGTGCTCGCCGGCGACGACGACGACGACGATGACATTGAAGGAGGATCGAGTGATGACGACCACGACTACGACTACGACGACTACGATGACGATGACGACGATTATAAACCGCCAGAATTAATCTCCTCAAGGGACGCCCACCGACGCCCCACGCGAAGGAGAAGACGTCGTCGCCGTCGACGATGGGAGTGGCGCTTCGCCTTGCAACTTGAGGACGCCCCCGTCTTCCCCACCGCCACCAAGAAGAAGAATCCCGAAAACCGCGACGACGGCACAGGCGGCGAACCCGAAGCGAAGGAGGAGCGCATCTGGGTCCAACTCCACCACGAACACGCCCAGTTCCTCTTCGGCCGCGACGTCGACGACCCCGCCGATCTGCGAGCCGATCCTCGCTTGAAGGGCCAGTTGAGGGAGAAACTGTTCATTCTGTGGGGCGATTTGGAGGAGGTCATGGTGAAGGAAAAGGGTAAGGGGAAGCAGAGAATCGAGGGGACGGGCGGACAGGCTGCTGGGAATGCTGGTGATGCTGATGCTGATGCTGATGCAATGGAGATCGACACTATTGTTGCTGCTGCAACCTCAGGTCAGAATGATAACGGAGAACAGCTTGGAAAGTCTGCACATAACGAGGACCCTCCTCCTGCTGCTGCCGATAATCATGATGATGAGGGAAAAGTTCCTCCTCAACAGTCGAGTAACCTCCCGTTCGAATGTTGTCTTATGGAATACGGCGTGCAGACGGAAGAAGGGGATTCCGCCGGCGTGAATTACGGTGACGAGGGTGAAGGCAGCGTGGATGATGAACGACAGCTCGGAAGAGGGTTTGGATGGAGGAGGATGTTTGCTTTGTTCGGGACGACGATCTTATGATTTGTAGCGCCGACCTGGAGAGCATCGATCGCGGTGAGCTTCGATGTTGGAGAATTGGGTTCTACGATGGGTGCACATGTCTCTCTGGTAGGAGGCGCATCTCTTCTGCAATTTTGCCCAGCGTGGCTGACTATTCAGCGATCGTATACTGTAGGCTGCGAGGCAGATCGTATCCTGTCACGTGCCAGATTCAATTCAGAGGTAGATCCCTCGCCTATCATCATATTATCAGTGGTGGCACAACTTCCGTAGTGGTTAATCTCTCTTCGGTCGACGATACACCCACATCTGACGAAATCCGATGGCTCAAAGGTACTTATCATGCCAAGCAAAAATACCAGCACCACCAGGTACCTATGATTCATCCCCTAAAACCCTTGTCACAGCCCGACCCGCCCGCCGGTCCACTTTCCTTTCCATTCTCTAGACTGTGCCCCGCCAAACGTTTCTCGCTCCCTGACAACCACCGTAACGGGCTCTGGGCTGCTTTTTCTGCTCTGCTCATTACATTTCCATTCACACGATCCGTCCTCCGACACGGTTGCTCCCCTTGTGAATTTTTTTATTTTCTCCGTGTCTCTCTCTTGCCGTTCAGACAACAACAGTCGGGAACCGAACAACTTCTTCGCCAACGCCACTGCTCATAACGTGCGAGGCAGGACCCTTGATCGTTGTTCAACGACTCGTCACCGTTTCTTTCTGAACATACCCCTCTCTCTCTCTCCACACACACACACTCTCACACAAAATCGAAACGAGCCCGCAAACATGGCGGAACGATACATCCCCGAGCATCGCCGCACCAACTTCAAGGCCAAGAGCACCTTCAAGCCTGATGAGCTGCGTCGTCGTCGCGAGGAACAACAGGTGGAGATCCGTAAACAGAAGCGTGAGGAGAACCTCGCCAAGAGGCGTGGTATCGGTGCGCGCGGTGAGGGTCTAGGTGCCTCGCTTGGTGCGGCTCCTGACAGCGACGATGAGGGCGCCAACACCGAGAGCCAGGTGAGTCTATCCCTACAACTGGATTTTTGGATGGTCTACAAAGGAGAGTGGTACTAACGATATAACGTCTTCCAGCTCAGTGAGGATCTCCCTGTTATGGTCCAGGGAGTCTTCTCCGATAAGATTGACGACCAAATCGCTGCCACCACCAAGTTCCGGAAACTCCTCTCCAAGGAGCGCAACCCGCCCATCGAGCGGGTCATCGAGACCGGTGTCGTCAGCCGTTTCGTCGAATTCCTTCGCTCCCCCCACACCCTTGTGCAGTTCGAGGCTGCCTGGGCACTCACCAACATTGCCTCGGGTTCTGCTCAGCAGACCCAGGTCGTCATTGAAGCAGGAGCTGTGCCGATTTTCGTCGAGCTGCTTCGCAGCCCTGAGCCCGATGTTCGGGAACAAGCCGTGTGGGCCCTGGGTAACATCGCCGGTGACAGCCCTCCATGCCGTGACTTTGTCCTCAGCCAAGGGGCTTTGGCACCGCTCGTCAGCCTGTTGGGTGACAGCCGCAAATTGAGCATGCTCCGCAATGCCACCTGGACGCTTTCCAACTTCTGCCGAGGCAAGACTCCTCAGCCTGACTGGAACACCATCGCTCCTGCTCTGCCGGTGCTCTCCAAGCTCGTATACTCTTTGGACGACGAGGTCCTGATTGATGCTTGCTGGGCCATTTCATACCTCTCAGATGGATCCAACGACAAGATCCAGGCCGTCATTGAGGCCAACATTCCCCGTAGATTGGTGGAGCTGCTCATGCACGCTTCGACCTCGGTTCAGACTCCTGCTCTTCGATCCGTCGGAAACATTGTCACTGGTGACGATGTCCAAACTCAATTGATCATCAACTGCGGTGCCCTGCCTGCCCTGCTGTCCTTACTCAGCTCTGCCAAGGACGGCATCCGCAAGGAAGCTTGCTGGACAATCTCCAACATCACAGCCGGTAACAGCACCCAGATTCAATCTGTCATTGACGCCAACATCATCCCGCCGCTTATCCACCTGTTGAGCCACGGAGACTTCAAGACCCGCAAGGAGGCATGCTGGGCCATCTCCAACGCCACCAGCGGTGGTCTTCAGAAGCCTGAGCAAATCCGATTCCTCGTCGCCCAAGGTGCTGTGCGCCCTCTCTGTGACCTGTTGGCTTGCCCCGACAACAAGATCATCCAGGTCGCACTTGACGGTCTGGAGAACATCCTCAAGGTCGGTGACATGGACAAGGAGGCCTCCGAGGGCAGCGCCGAGGCGCCTGTCAACCAATACGCGCTCTTCATCGAGGACTGCGGTGGCATGGAGAAGATCCACGAGTGCCAGAACAACAGCAACGAGGAGATCTACATGAAGGCATACAACATTATCGAGAAGTACTTCTCCGATGAGGAGGGCGATGCTGAGGTTGGTGATCTCGCACCCCAACAGGGCCAGGATGGACAATTCGGCTTCGGTACTCAGCAGCAACAGCAGCAGTCAAACTTCAACTTTGCCAACGGCGGAGACAGCATGGACATGTAAATATGTTCCCATGTTTGTATGAAGGACTGCTTTGTGTACGCTCATTTGAGATGTGGGTTTCGCTCTTGAACGATTTCTGCTGCAAGACCACGACGCGCGGAAGGACACAGTATGTTGTCCGCTGCATCCTGCTTCGTGCAGGATCAGAAATGAAAGGTAAGTATAGGAGACGCTGAGAGGGTCATAAACGGATGATTTTGCCCCGGCGTAAAACGATGCAATATTGGAGGGATAGTCATGTTCCCTTCACTTCAATCGCCTGCGACATCCATTCCATTATCGCCTACTCAGAGCCACGTCATGCCACGACACATCATAACCACCTTATCACGGCCTTACTACTCTACGACGGCCGCTGCTGGAGGTGGCATTGCGCAAGATTGGCGACCGCTGGGGCATCGCCACCTTTCGGTCGCTCATGTCTCGCGTGGCCTCCAGCAACACCATTTCACCACGCTTGCATCCCTATCACGCCCCACACGCCCCACACGCTCGCCATATCACGTCACTTAACCAAGATTATGACCACATCACGCTTTTCACTTGGGACACTTTTTCACATCCGACTTGCACCAACCACCAGGGCTTTTTACGATCGAGGCACGACCTTCAACTGCCCACGGAGCCTTCATCGTGATCGCCCCTTCACCAACCATATACCCCTCACGAATTCTGATCATTAAATTACTCCCCCAACGCCAATATCACCGGTTGATTCTCTGCCGATGTACGCATCTTTGAAGCAGACATCGACTTAGTTGCTACTAGGTAGGGAGTGGCGGATATCTTCTTCCCGCCATTGCGTCGAAGTAACGGGATCCTCAATTGGAGAGACACTTTCTCTCTTTCCCTATCGCACTTCCTCGCCGGCCGCGACAATCTCCAAACCCTGCGTTCTTTTCTTGATGTATGCCTTGTCCTTACAGGTAGCCTGATAGATCGACCATGGGTTACACTGGTGCATTGGCAGGAGTCTGCAGGGTGAGGATCATGGCGGAGCGGTATGCGAATCGCTTGCACGACCCTTGTCAAACCCCCCCTTTTGATTGATCCTCGGATGCGCACGTTTCGTCTAGATTTTACTCGTTGGTACTGGAATGGCAGGAGCACGACTTATTTATTCTCTACCTCTCTACAGCCCTCTCTCTCACTTTTCTCAATCTGTGAAATTTTGATCATTGCAGGTCGTAGCAGTCCCGCCGTGAATCTTGTAGCAGGAGCGATAGAGCGGCCACCATGACGAATGATCCTCGTCCGTCCGACATGAAGTCTGTTTGGTAGGGAGTGCGCCGCCCCAGATTTGCGCATGGAGTAACCCTAACCCATGCCCTGGTGGTGACGATGACGCAGACAGAGTCATAATGAAATTTGGAGGGATCACCCCTCCATATCATACAGTTTACGGATTCCTGTAAAGAAATCCGCATGTTGCATGGACTGAACGAACGATCAATACACTGATCCCTTTCCTTTTGACTCTGCTCCTTTCATTTTGGTCCATCCGTCTTCTCCTTCAACTCCCCGAGCAGCAGCACACTTGCAACACGTTCGACGAACGAAACAATACTTTAACGAACGAACGAAATCATCAACCATGCCGGTCGTCCAACCGGATCGGCTGGTCAAACTCCAGCAACAAGGCGAGGACATCAGAAATGTTGGTTTGAACTTGATATAGCATCGATGGAGAACTCGCTCTCTCCACGGATTGCGTCGAACGAACGACAGGAATTCAATTGACTGATTCGATTTTCTGGGAGGTAGATTTGTATCCTGGCACATGTGGTACGTTGGCGCGATGAAGAGACCGGTTTCCCCTTGGAATCCAGGGCTTGAGATGTCTTGACTTTTCAGCAAAGAATTAATCGATATAAGATGCTGATGACGACTGCAGGATCACGGCAAGACATCTCTCACCGACGCTCTCATCGCCACCAATGGCATCATCTCGCCCAAACAAGCCGGCAAGGTCCGTTATCTAGACTCCAGACCAGACGAACAGATGAGAGGAATCACCATGGAATCATCCGCCATCTCCCTCTACTTCTCGTTATTGCGGCGGAATGCGCCGAATGCGGAACCAGTCCAGAAGGAGTACCTCATTAATCTGATCGACTCTCCTGGACATATTGATTTCAGCTCAGAAGTTTCAACCGCATCGCGACTATGTGATGGTGCGGTCGTTCTTGTCGACGCTGTAGAGGGGGTGTGCTCACAAACGGTGACGGTACTGCGACAGAGTTACAACGAGAAGTTAAAACCTCTACTCGTCATCAACAAAATGGATCGTCTGATCACAGAATGGAAATTGACCCCCGCAGAAGCGCACGATCATTTGAAGAAGCTCCTCGAACAGGTCAATGCGGTCATGGGAAGTTTTGCGCTGGGTGAACGAATGGAGGATGATCTGCGATGGCGGGAGAGAATCGATCAGAAGATCAGCGCTGCGACTGCGGCACGCGAGCAAGCTGGTGACGCGAAGACGAATGGCGCCGAAGACGACGACGAAAGCGTTGTGAACGCAGTCTACGAAGAAAAAGAAGACGAGGATATCTACTTTGAACCTGAAAAGAACAATGTCATTTTCGGTTCAGCGATCGACGGATGGGCTTTCACACCGCGCCAATTCGCAGGTCTATATGAGAAGAAGCTCGGCATCAAACGCAGCGTGCTGGAGAAAGTCCTCTGGGGAGATTTCTACCTGGACCCCAAAACGAAGCGCGTCCTGGGATCGAAGCATCTCAAAGGTCGTCATCTCAAGCCCATGTTCGTTCAACTCGTGCTGGAACAAATCTGGGCTGTGTATGAAGCGACGACTGGTGGTCCAAATGGGAAAGGCGATCAGCCATTACTGGAGAAAATCACCAAGAGTTTGAACATCAACATCCCTGCGCACATCATGAGATCGAGAGATCCCAAGGCATTGCTCAGTGCGGTGTTCTCGGCTTGGCTACCGCTTTCGACAGCAGTACTGGTATCGGTGATCGAGGGCCTGCCATCGCCACGCGCAGCACAAGCCCTGCGTATGCCGGCACTTTTAGATTCGCTACCTGGCGCTAGCCACATCGACCCATCGATCAGGGACGCCATCTTGCAGTCGAAGGCTGCAGCCAGCGAGCCCGTGGTCGCATACGTAAGCAAGATGATCTCAATACCGGAAAGCGAATTACCTGTCAACAAGCGCCGTGGAGGTGCTCTCACGGCTGAAGAGGCTCGCGAGTTGGGTCGGAAGAAGCGGGCGGAGATTGCAAGAGCCCAGGCGTTGGCTGGTGGGGAACCAAGTGTTGACTCGGTCGCAGACGCGCTGAGCAGCGCGGCAATCGGTGACGAAGAAGATCTTGAGAATGGCGCCGGGGAAAAAGACCAGCAGGATGACCCGGAGCACCTCATAGGCTTTGCACGTATATTCTCGGGAACACTCACGGTCGGTGATGAGATCTATGTACTCCCTCCGAAGTTCACGCCCGCACGACCTCAAGCTCAGCCATTACCCAAGAAAGTCACCGTCACCGGGTTATATCTGCTAATGGGACGGAGTCTGGAAACGCTCACCTCGGTTCCAGCAGGCAATGTCGTCGGTATCGCCGGTCTCCAAGGAGCAATTCTCAAGTCTGGAACCATCTGCTCCAGCATCGAAGGCGCACCCAATCTCTCCTCCACCAGCTTCATCTCCACCAACGCACCTATCGTTCGCGTTGCCTTGGAGCCAGTCTTCCCAGGCGATCTCGACAAAATGATCCGCGGCCTCCGTCTCCTCGAGCAAGCCGACCCCGCAGTATCTTATGAGCAGCTCGAGAGCGGTGAACATGTCATCCTGACCGCGGGTGAACTCCACCTCGAGCGCTGTCTGAAGGACCTCCGTGAGCGGTTCGCGCGTTGCGACATCCAGGCCGGCGAGGCCATTGTCCCGTACCGCGAGAGCATCGTGCGAGCCGAGGAGATGAATGCTCCCCGGGACGCGAATCTCGGCCGAGGACGTGTCGAGGTGGCGACTTCCAGCAAGCAGATTTCGATCTGTCTTGCGGTCAGACCTCTTCCCGCCGCGGTCACGAATTTCCTCATTCGACATACCGGTGCCGTCAAAAGGCTTTATTCCGAGAGACAGGCCCAGGAAGAGGAGCGGACTACCAATGGAGCTACGGATGAAGGGAGTGGCGGCTCGGAAGAAGCTGATTCTCATGAGAAGGAGCTCGAGGCGGAAGCTGACGGTGCTGAATCGGGTCAGCAGCTTACTCAGGCGGAATTCAAGAAAGGCCTCATCGAGGCATTCGAAGATGAGAAAGCAGATCGCGAGGTATGGAAGGATGTCGTCGACAAGATTGTTGCTTTTGGTCCGAGGAGAGTCGGACCGAACCTTTTCATCGATGCCACGAAGGAGGGTATTTGTGAGAGATTGTAAGTTCCAACATGAGGATACTCAGAGATCGCTATCTGCGATGAGATCGAAGCTGACAAAACTATAGCTTGCAAGAGGACGATGCCAACGGCACGGCCGAAGACGGCGTCAAGAATCACTCTTCGATGTTCGCCGACAAAGCGGCCTACGCCTTCCAGCTCGCTACCCACCAAGGACCTCTCTGCAACGAGCCCACGCAAGGCCTCGCCGTCTTCCTCGAGGATCTCTCCACCGACCTCTCCACCGACGAAATCAGCTCCAACACCGGCCGTCTCACAGGAGAAATCATCCGCACCATGCGCGAGTCCATCCGCCAGGGCTTCCTGGACTGGAGTCCACGCATCCTGCTCGCCATGTACAGTTGCGAAATCCAAGCCTCGGCCGAAGTCCTCGGCCGCGTCTACTCCGTCATCACGCGTCGGCGCGGCCACATCGTCAGCGAGAGCCTCCAGGAGCCCTCGACGAATTTCACCATCCTCGCCGTCCTCCCCGTCGCCGAGAGCTTCGGCTTCTCGGACGAGATTCGCCAGCGGACGTCGGGATTCGCCGCGCCGCAGTTGGTCTTCAAGGGCTTTGAGATGCTCGACGAGGATCCCTTCTGGGTCCCGTTTACCGAGGAGGAACTTGAGGATCTGGGGGAGAAGGCCGACAAGGAGAACGTCGCGAGGAGATATGTGGATAAGGTCCGCGCGAGGAAGGGTTTGGCGGTCAAGAAGAAGGTGGTGGAGAGTGCGGAGAAACAGAAGACGCTCAAACGATAGGATGTTATGTTTGACTTGTAGTCGTGTTTGTTACAATGTCAATTTAAGTGCTGAAGCCGTTCCTTCTTCGGACCTTTTCATGACTCGTCAGGCCCTAGTCGTGGGTTTCGGTCGACATTGATGGGTTCCACGTGATTCGAGAAAGTCTGCCCATCTCGCTTGATGGCCAAATTTGTGGAGCGACTGAGCACAATGTGAAAACGGTTTATCATACATTCATCAACGCGCATCAAGATATAGACCTAGAAGACGTCGACGCACTTCAGATCGAGCCCGCCGCATCATCCCCGAAGTCAACGAAATCAAGAAGAACGATAAAAATAATAATACATAAATCATGGGCTGGCTCGACGAAGTCCCCCGCGCCGGCGGCCTCTACATCGGCGGTCTCCACGCGCTCTACCAGAAACAAGACCTCTTCCGCGCCGCCCGGATCACCCACATCGTCTCCGTCATGGACTACGAGATCTACGGCGCCGACGGCGAGAAGTTCCCCGAGTACCGCTCCCTGCAGCTCCGCGTCGAGGACGACCCCAACGAGAACCTCCTCGACCGTTTCCCCGCCACCAACGCCTTCATCCACGAAGCGCTCCGTGACGGCGCCGGCGGCCGCGTCTTCGTGCACTGCGCCATGGGCAAGTCCCGCTCGGCGACCGTCGTGTGCGCGTATCTGATGTGGAAATTCGGCCGTTCGCCCGAGCAGGCGTTGCGGCAATTGTGTGAGGGCCGCCCGGTCTGCTCGCCGAACCCCGGCTTCCTGGAGCAGTTGGACGTCTATCATCACATGTTGCAATGCGGCGACGATTCCGCCAGGGCGAAGGTCGTGTATGACACTTGGCTCAAGGAGAGGTTTCGGGGCAGTGCCTGGGAGTGGGAGAAGAGGAGGGCGGAAAAGGTGTCGGCGGCGGCGAAGCTTTGAGCGTGAAGCATGTGATGGCGGTGGCGAGAAGCTTTTGCCTTGGTCGACACTTGCGAATTTGTCCTCAGAGATGGCTCCGCCTGGGTCGTCGCTTCACTCTGGTCGTCACTAGTCACTTCACTGGTTTGGCGACTTCATCGACATCTCGGTCTCATGCTTCGGAATACTTTATTCACTTAGCTCACCACCAAAACACAGAATGGCGGCAACGCAGAATGGCGGCAATGCACGACGCACAAAGGCTGCTGGTTTCGGCCATCGATTGGATACGACTCGACGATCGAAGGTGTCGTAAGGACTTTCGAAGGAGCAAGAACCTAGTCAACGTGTTGCGTGGTCACCAGGATCCTTTTAGCGCAACCAGAGGATTGTACACGACACATTGACCGAGAACATATGAATCGAGCTTCAGCCATTTTCCCCATTGTTCTTATTGTGGCAACTACAGTCTCCGAGCATTCCCCGAACAATTGGCATTGTGGGAACGACAATAGTGGGTGACTGGCCACTGTTCCTATTGTTCACGCTGCTGTTGTCGAGGTTGCGACATGGCCGCCATGGTGAGAAGTGACGATTGGAAAGGTTCTTGAGCGTTCGATACTGACCTCTCTCAGACTCGGGTCACCTCGGGCGCCTTCCTCTCAGACCCAAGACATCGTCGAATCACTCGCGGACAAGTGCAAGCCTTTCAGCAAATTTTCCCATTTCTTCACTTGCCTGGCGAACTTCGCAATGAGGTTTACAAACATGCTTTTGGTGATTTCGAGGGAGTGGGCAAGGTCTTCGGGTCTGCATACGAGTCGCTGATAACTCGAGAGCCGATTGAGAAGCCTGAGCCATATCAACCACCAGCGAAAGTCACGCCAACAATCCTCCTGATCAACAAGCAGATCTATTGCGAGTCAGTATATTTCCTGCAGCACAAGAGCATCACCTTCGACCACGGTCTCCTCCATGTCATTGATGTCTCTTCAGTCATCAGTCCCCATGTCCTTCGCAACCTCTCCTCTATCACGATCAACGATACAGCACACCCGATCATGAAGGATGAGATCCAATGTGCATCCTGGCACGGTTACAACCGGCTCCTCAAGCAATTGACCAACATCCTCAAAGACGGTCATCGGCTCAAGCAATTCACCATCGACTTCACTGATCCCGACTTGGTTCATCACGTCAAAGCTTGCCCGTGGCATTCTGGATCCAATTGCGACTTTGCAAAGCATCTCGCGAAGGAGATGAGCCGCATGTCCCAAATTCGAGGCGTAGATACTGTCACTCTCCGTGGTCTGAATCCGCAATTGTCAGCAAAGCTCAAGAAGCGCATGGAGTCTCGAAAGGTGACTTTCTTCGACCTTCCTGACAATGTCCGCACGATAATTTACAGCCACGCTGCAGACTGGAACGATGCTTCTCGCGCCTTCCAACGTGCTCTGACAGGCTGGCGCGATGCCAACAAAGCAGTCCACACTTCTCGCCGTACGACACCTACAATTCTGCTCCTTAGTCGCCAGATCACCTCTGACACGCTCAAGATCCTCCACGAGAAGCCCTTGGCCGTCACCATTCCCAACGATTGGCGCTTCTCCATTTCAGGTCTCACACCCTTCGACCTTCTCACCTCTTGTATCACAACCTCAACCCTCCGCACTGTGAGAAACCTCCACATCGCCATCGAACACTGGGGCCCTCTGATCGCCAGCGACGGCGACTTCCTCACTCCCTTCGCCCATCCATCCTCCAAACTTCGGACTCTCCGCATGAACTTCATCGACCGCTTCGTTCCCCGCATGAAGCACAGCGTCGCAGACGCCCATCGCTTCCATCTTTCGCCTTTCGCGACCGTTCGTGGCCTCGAGGAGGTCATCATCGAAGGTGATATCCCGCTCGTCATTGCCGATCAGATCGGTCGTGTCATGACTTCGCTGCCGACCGCAGGCGAGGAACTCCCGCGTGCGTTCTGGCCAGCGGCATCGGTGGGACCCCAGTGCTCGGTGGTGGTTTGATCAGTTGCGAAGTATTGCTTCCTCCTGGTCGAGTTGAGACCGAGCTGTCTTGCCATCTGTTCGCGCTTTCGCCATATTTCTGCGCCATTTTGATATTTGGTTCGTGGTCTTTCTGATGAGGAACAGTGGAGAGCACGGATCCATGTTCTCTTTTTTGCGATAGTTTCTGTTCGCTATTTATGAGACGATGAAGATGACTATGATTTATGATAGCAACGCAGCACCAGCGCAAAATATGATCACTACATTTTGACACACATGTCCTCCCCCCATCTCCTCCTCAGCTCAAGATCAAAGAGCCAAACCTCAACAATGAACCTCGTCGGCCAGACTGGACCGCCGCGAGTACTTGAAACATTTCTCCGATACGACAATCTTCGCCAGGCAAAGACCCCGTCAAAAGAAAACCTCTCATTGAAAGAACGAATCGAAATCAAACTGTTGCCCATCATCCTGATTCATCTCCGATCCATCCCCGGTTGCAGTACTCCCACCTGCCTGTCCATTCCCGCCTGCAGCCGCGGCGGCCGCGGCACCTTCGGCATCGAAATCGGTAGAATTCATGAAAGCTTCGAAATTGAACGGTTCGCCATTTGCATCGCCACCACCGGTAGCATTACCGGCGTTGCCGAAGGGATCGTCATTGTTGCCAGCGGTGTTGTCATTGTTGTTGTTGCTGTCGTTGTTCGCGCCAAACGCGTCCGAGGAACCGAACAGCGCGTCAAATTCCGTGTTGCTCATACCGCCAGCTTCGGCGCTTTCGTCGTTGCTGCCACCGAAGTCGATGTCGCCGTCGCCGTTGGCGCCCGCGGCGTAGTCCTGGAGACCCGGAAGGAGGGAGGAGAGGTTGTCGTTGGCTCCACCATTGGCACTGGAGCGGAGGGTGGACTGATCGTTGTCATCGTTCGGATTAGGGTTGGTAGTAGGGTCGTTTTTGGTGTTGGTATCTGAGGTATCGAAATTAAAGGGACCGTCGTTTGCTTTGGCCTTGGCTGTATGGGTTTCGTTATTCCCATCTTGAGGGTCTTTGCGGTCGGTGTCATCGTCGGCGTCTTGGAAGAGAGAGTCAAGGTCTGTGTTCGCCGTCATGGGTGCCGGTTCGTCGGTTGGGTTGGATTCGATGTTGGTATCGAGATTGAGGATGCTGGATTTCGCATCGTTCTTGTTGGTTTCCTGTTCAAGCGAGCTTGCATCCTTGCTCGCGGAGTCATCGCCCGTTGCTGGTTTTGCATCTTCCATGGCGACGTCTTCGTCTGGGTTGTTTTCCAGCTTGGGAGCGTCCTGCCCAGCGGCATTTGGAGGCGAAGTGGTAGCAGTAGGATCGTCGGTCATTTTGATGTCATCCTTTGTGGCATGTTTGGGTTCGGCCTTTGCGTCCTCTAACGACTTCTTGGCATTGGTCTCCCGACAGATGGCGAGCTCTCGACATAATACCCGCCTTGATAGGAGCTGTACGTGAGACTGTGTCAGACATTTCTTGACTTGCGAATCGAACGAATGGGACCTCATTTCATACTAGTTGGTTCTCCAGTGGATCTAGACTCTCGTGCCATCTGGCGACAGCTCCAGGAAACTCGCGCTTCAGACGATCCTTTTGAACAATGGGAGCGGTATTGGGATTGTGATTGATAGCCGCAAGCATTCGACCCATGAGTTCGAGCTGAGATGTGTGATGTCAATCAAACTGGTCCTTCACCCTGCCATCTGGCGAACATACCACTAGATTCAGCTCCTTCTGAAGGTTGTCCAGGTGTTTGGTCTGCTCCTCAAGAGTCGCCATGTTGATGATCAATGATGTTCAATAGGGATATCGATTGAATATATATGCTACTTGATCGAGCTTCTCGCGTAGAAGCGAGCGACGCGTGTGTGTCTCGTGACGTCTCTCTCTGAAGCGATTATCCTGGCCGTAAGAACGTGTCGTGCATGTTGCATGTGTCTGATATGCGACTGGAATTTAAGGTTCGGGATCGGCCATTCACCAAACACACGCTACGGGAGCTTCGGTCCGTCTTCCATGCGGCAGTTTTCTCCATTTGTCCTTTCTCCCTTGCAATTTCAGGGTCTCCATACTAATTCATAAATTGTATGAGGAATGCGGCACGAAATTGTCCCCTGCTCTCACCTCCGCCTTCACCCTCAGGCCGACAAGTGATCATCAGCTTACTATCCAATACAGCTTCACCTGACATTTCCGTCCCGACTTCCTCTCTCCTCACTACATCAACCTTCTCTGTTCAACTCTCTTGCAATAGACGACACGTCGTTGATCGACTCGGCAGGATTTCCTTTCTCCTCTATTCCTCTCGGTATTCTCTCATCGGGCGGGCTATTTCCTTGATCTCCTTTTTTCTTACTCCTCTCAGGCGCAACTCCTCGCTGCGTTCTACTGCTGCAGTCTGTTTCCAAGACGGCGTTGAGTCAAAAGAGAAGGGTCACGGATAGAGCAATCGAATCGCGGACGTACATCAGTACCTCCATTTCCTTGTCGACGTTGGCATATATACATACTTGCTCTTCTGAGCTCGTCGATTATCTCAAACGAACATCTCGATAAGCAATCTTCGGGGAGCTTCTTCACTTTGTTCCTTGCCAATTCATCTCTTCTGGTCCAGCATTCAGGAATTTCTTCAAGCTTCATCTCCGTGTGCGTACCCTTTGTGCGCGTAGTGGTGTCGACAGTGGTGAGATGGCTACAGCCTCCAAGGCGGCCGCCTGTCACCACGGCCCATCGTTGCACTCTTCGCTCCATTTCTCCTTTTGTCACTGTCCTAATTTTTCTTTCGCAGTCTTCAGTTTCTTTTCAGCTTCTCCTACTCTCCTACTCTCTATTGCGTAGAAACCGCTGAAGACATGGCTGAGAACAACTCCTCCGGTGCGGCTCCTGGCCAGACTGGCTACGAGACCGGTGCCCAACAGCACATGCCACCACCTTCTGTCCCATCATTGACCATTCCACCAAACAACAACCCTGTTCCTACTCCCGTCGATCTTGATGGGATTCTGTCTCCGACAAGTGCTGGTGGTCAAGTCCGCCGATCCGCACCTGAGCCGAACAAAAGAGCTTTGTACGTGGGTGGATTGGACCCACGGGTGACAGAGGAGGTTTTGAAACAAATCTTTGAGACCACTGGTCATGTGCAGAACGTCAAGATCATCCCAGACAAGAACGTGAGTTGCCCTAGAGGGAGCATACATATTATAAGGATATCCTGTCCGAGATCGAGTGTTGCTGACTCACGACCTCCAGTTCCAATCTAAAGGATTCAACTACGGCTTCGTCGAGTACGACGACCCAGGTGCGGCTGAGCGTGCCATGCAGACTCTCAACGGACGTCGCGTCCATCAGCAGGAGATTCGCGTGAACTGGGCCTACCAAGCCAACACTGTGACCAAGGAGGATACCACCAACCATTTCCACATTTTCGTCGGTGATCTATCCAACGAGGTCAACGACGAAGTCCTCCTCCAGGCATTTTCCGCTTTCGGTACCGTCTCTGAGGCTCGTGTGATGTGGGACATGAAGACTGGTCGTTCTCGAGGTTACGGTTTCGCTGCTTTCCGGGATCGCGCCGAAGCTGAGAAGGCTCTGAGCTCAATGGATGGCGAATGGCTCGGCTCTCGCGCCATTCGATGCAACTGGGCCAACCAAAAGGGTCAACCCTCCTTCTCTCAGCAGCAGGCCATGGCCGCCATGGGTATCACCCCGACGACTCCTTATGGCCACCACTCTTTCCCGACTCAAGGCGCGCAGTCTTACGAGATGGTCCTCGCGCAGACTCCCAGCTGGCAAACCACTTGTTACGTCGGAAACCTGACTCCCTACACCAGCCAAAACGACCTTGTTCCGCTCTTCCAGAACTTCGGCTATGTCACCGAGACCCGCTTCCAGTCCGACCGCGGCTTCGCCTTCATCAAGATGGACACCCATGAGAACGCGGCCAATGCCATTTGCAACCTCAGTGGATACAATGTCAACGGTCGTCCCTTGAAGTGCAGCTGGGGCAAGGATCGACCTCCGACCGGTCAATTCGATGCTTACTCCCCTGCTGTTGGCACTCCTCAAGCCGGTGGCTTCCCTGGCGCACCGCAAGGCTTCTTCCCGCAGTATGCTCAGGGCGCAGCTGGTCTCTCCGCTTTGTCTCCTGGAGGTACGTGTGATCTTTTATTCTTGTATCCTTCTGATGGCTCACCTACTAACATTTTTTTTCTCTAAAAGTAGGCGCTCAGCAATTCTCCCTTCCATCTCCAGGCAACTGGCCCGCGGGCATGACCCCTCAAGCCATGCACCACCCATCTGCAGCCGGAGGCTGGTCCGCCACGCCTCAAAGCGCAGGCGGATATGCCGGCGGCGCAGGTAACTTCGTCCCGGGATCGGCCGGTGGACTGGGTCAGCAACAGCAGGGCGGCGCTGGTGCTCATCATCAATCGCAGCCTTCGGCAGGCTTCGGACGGGGCGCGGGTGGATTTGGAGGCTACCAGGGTTGAAATCTCCATTTGTGTCTTGTGAGTGAGAGATTCTTATCTTGGTAGGATTAGAGGCTTGTTGAAGAGTTACTTTTGTGGGCGTGAGACTTACTATACCACTGGCCCGGATGAAACAAATCTACGTCATTTGTTTTTGCTGATGGCTAAATGTTTAACCCTTGGATACCACTCTCTCCCCCTCCTTTCTCTTCTCTCCCTCCTCTTCCTCTTGTCTAGGCTCCTCACTGCCCACGCATCTGTACGCATGATAACAACTACAGCTCATTTGTCTGAAGATCAGTAATTATCCAAGTTTATCGAAAATCGAGAGAATAAATTCGAAGGGCTATATCGGACCCCCCTCACTCGCCAACTGTCCTCGTACCTGTCCTGATCACTAGAACGCGCATCGAACAGTGACCCCCGGGAACACCGAAATCGAAAAACAAAATCTGAGGCGCTGCATTGGACTCTCCCCTGACCTGCCAAAATCCCCCTTCTTGGTTTTGACCACACCAGACGCACAAACCAGTGCCACAAGGCAGAAACTAGACCACGGTCTTTGACTCATCATCCTTTCCCCCTCCGCTCTCATCCTTCACTAGCTCGCCCAACTCCTTCCGCGGCGCCTTCATCTGTTCAATTTCCTCTGCGTCGGCTGCACTTAGCCGCCGTTCCTGCTCCTGCTCCTGCTCCCGCAGCGTGGGATCCCGATCGTCCGTCCCATTCGCACCTCGATCCGCGAAAAGCCCCGTGAGAGCCCCCGCCACCACCGATCCGCCCTGGATGATTCCATTGACGACGGGAACGCCGTAGCCGCCCATCGCAGCGCTTTGCAGCGTCGAGAAGACCGCGTTCGTGCCGAACGCTGATTGGAACGATGCTGCGAGGCCGCCTGCGGATCTCTGGTCAGAGGCCTAGTAATAGGTATAATCTCTCACGAAGGAGCGCGTCTGACCTGCCACCGGACCCACGCCGCTGAAGCCCAATACCGCGAACAGGGGCCCCGCGATCAGACCCGGGAAGAGCAGAGTCACGAGTTGGAAAGCAGTCATCTTGGGGTGTTCTTGCACATGTTGGACCACCCTGTCGCGGACTTGCTCCCAGGTGAGATTCGCCAGCCCCGGGAACTCTTGACCGAAGCGTTCTTTGGTAGCCTCGAAGAGTTTCCGGGCTTTCTCAAGGAGCGGGTGGTTTATTTGGTCTTGCTGTTTGTCATCGGCCATGATGGGCTTGTTTCCAAGAGAAGGTGATCGCAGCTCGACCGATGTGTTGGAGGAGGAACGATGTTGAAGAGGAATCTTACAATGAGTCAAAAGGGAGGAGCTGGGATAACGGGAAGAGCTTCGCTATCAATCCCACGGCATGCAAGAGCAAGTGAAAGCGAACGTAACCTTTTTGAAGCTGAATCGGACCGGGAAACAGTGAAGTATATCTATCTACGTACTGATTGGTGAAGTGAGAGTAACACCGCGGGGTAGCTCTGCTCCATACCTAGGTAGGCGCGGAGTGAATATTGAAACCGCAGAACATCCACAATGTACACCTCCTACACTTCACTTCAAAATCGACGATGCACAAATCTCTCACAGCTTCGCCTTCACCACCAGCCTCTCTCTTTTCTTCCTCGCGAGCTCGACCGCCGCTAGCACTGCCGCGGCAATCAAACTACCTCCTTGAGCAACAGCATTGACAGTATGAACTCCAGATCCTCCCATGGCGGCACTCTGCATGATTGAGAACAGCGCCGGAGTGCCGAATTGCGACTGAAAGGCAGCCGCGACTCCACCTATTACGTTTCAGTCAATTTGGAAGCTCACAATCGAATTACAGACGAGGTTCTGAAATCGCAACGGGACAACCGATGCGGAACGGCAAGAAACAAAAGTATAGGACGGGAGAAAGGGTGAAATCTACCTTTTACAGGCCCCAGACTCCCCAAACCAAGCACCGGGAACGTCGGCGCCGTAACGATCGCCGGGAACACTACGGCCAGAAAGGTCGCGAGTTGTAGCGCGGTCGTGGACGGATGCGTTTTGACGTAGCCGATGATGGGTGGGCCGGCCTGTTCCCAGGTGAGTTTCGACAAACCCGAAAAGAGATCGCCGAATTGCTTCTTGGCTGCTTCGAAGAGGGCGAGGGCGTATTCAGCCATCGTCACATGCGATGGTCTTCTAGAAAGGGGAGAATGTTCGTGGCAGTGGCGGATCGAGGGTGATATACACTTGGAGTTGTTAACCTCCGGCGAAGAGCGTGAGAAGAGTCTTCATGAATTCGCAGCAGTCATGCTAGAAGAGGGAGATGGCGGTGTTGCATATATGCGCCAGGCATCGAGGCGTAGAGCTGTGCCTCATGTAAAAGCTACGCCGTGCGGCCAGCCACAGCCACAGAGCACTGCCTACAGGGAAGTCAGTCACACCGGTGATACCCATTAGACTTTTACCGCGGGGCAAAATGTACGATGCATGCAGCACATCTACGTCAACATCGTGTTTGACACCTGTATGGTGGTGAAGTAACCGATTTTTGCCCAGCATGGCGAGCATCGTGCAAAATGTCTCGTCGCCTAGTTTGCGAAAGTGTTGTTATCAGACGGGTGAAGTCCGGCGCACGCCAGGACGCCAATTCAAAACCGCGCAAAGTATACCAAGGTATCTACGGGCAAACGCTCCGCACTAGCACCACATTTCCAGGGCATCGCTTCCCTCCGACCAAACGCTCTCGCTCACCATCATAATCTATTCCCTCCTTCACGTCTCTCATCTCAAACATCGCCGAACTCACCTATCTCCCTTCCCTGCCAAAAGTCCCCCTTCTCCCTCACAGCTTCACGCAGCAGCAGCAGCACCACCACCCCCACCGCCAGTCCACCAAGCGGCAACAACCCCCGCCGCGATCGACCCGCCCTGTACAATCCCATAGACAATAGGTTCACCATAGCCACTCATCGCGGCGCTCTGCAGGGTCGAGAAAACCGTATTGACGCCCCAGTAAGACTGGAACGAAGCCGCGAGACCACCTAACAATGTTTCCCCCAAAGGAAAAAGTCAGACAATATAATCGTGCACATCAGTCCAGTCCCATCCGATTCGGGACCCCCAAAAAGTCGCGGGACTTCCATGGATGATCACTCACCGGCCGCAATCCCCCCTCCTCCGAACCCCAGCCCGAGCAGCGCCGGGCCCGCAGCCAACCCGGGCACCAGCGCGGGGACGACCATGGCGAGTTGCAGCGCCGTGGCGCGGGGGTGCTCCTGGACACGGGCGACCACGGCGGAGCGGGCTTGTTCCCAGGTGCGCGCCGCGAGGCCCGGGACGGCGTGGGCGAAATGCCGCTGGACGGCGTCGAAGAGGGAGCGGAGCGCGTCGAGGCTGGGTTGTGCTTGGGCCATAGCTTTTCTTCTTCTTCTTCTTCTTCTTCTTCTTCTTCTTTTTTTATGGCAGGCGGGTTATTGTTGTCTTTTCCTTTGAAGGGAGGTGATCGGTGGGGATGCTGGAGACGCTGTAGACGATAGAATATATGGTTGGGAAGAGGAAAAGGACTTCGACGTGCGGTAAGTGTTCACTCCGGGATGGTGCGGGTGGAATGTTACAGGGATCCTCGTGGAAGGGCAGCCGTCGGTGACGTTCTCGTCATACTCCAGCGCCGGCGCTCCAGTTAGCTGCAAGATAAGGTACGTTTCGTTGTTTTGCGGGCAGAAGCATGGACGCATGCATACATTCGTGCCTTCATGCGGTGGTGTGGCGCAGGCGGCGGGGTGGAGCTGAATGTTGCAGGTGGGTCACCATCACCATTCCATCTCCTCTAAAGACATTGAAATTACAACAAGTGTGATTGGCAACGATCACCCAAAGAAACGTCTATGCTTTTTTCCAGGATTGGTACTCTAAAATTTCAAAGAGGAAAGACATTATTCTTAATCGATGTACATGGCATACACACAGTGTGTTTTCATCATGAAGTACAGGCTTCGGCGCTTAACACAGCCGCCCAACAGCGCCGCTTTTCAACGCCAGGGAGTTCTTTTTGGAAACTCTTGTGACGAGAGATTGTTTCGAGGCCTATGCTTTCTTGGCGGGTTTGCCCTTGGATTTCTTCTTGTTGTTCTTGGGCTTCTCCGAATTCGACTTCTTCGGCTGTTGTTGGGAGGACTTGTCATCCTTGTGGTCGTCGTGGCCGTTCTCCTCTTCGTCATGGTCTTCATGGTCATCTTCGTCATCTTCCTCGTCATCATCGTGGTCGTCTTTCTCGTCCTTCTTCTTCTCGTCCTTCTTGCCATCATCGGGTTTCACTGTCTTCCTCTGCAGCTTCTGCAATCGCTCATCCTCTTTCTCTGCTGCGTCCACCAAGTCGGCGCTCTTGTCCCATCCCACGAGGCCACGGATGCGGTCTTCCTGTCGGATGATCAATTTCGGGAGGGAGGCACCGATTCCCATGAGGACAAAGGCGGCCCACTTCCATCGGAATGGGTTGACTACGATGGTGAAGATGAACCAGTAGATCAATTCGGAGTAGGTGAAGAAATCAAAGGCAGCGGTCGGAGCGGCGCTCTTGATGAACTTGGTGAAGTCGATCCAAAGACGCATGCGTTGCGCGCTGGGCCGGGCGAGTGGGTCGGAGAGGTACATGAGAAGGAAGCGAGTGTAGATTCCGATGTGATAGTTGCCAACGCTACCAATGGCGTTCACGTAGGTGCAGTTGTTGGCGCAGATGTCTGGGTGTGCAGGCGGGAAGACTTGAAGATACCAGTTCGGAGGTTCGTAGTGCTTTTCGAAGCAGCCGTCGGGGAGGAAATTGAGGGAAGGACGCTCGTAGCCGGTAGCGAAGATGACCACGTCACCTGGGATAGATTCCTCGCGGCCAGGTCCACCCTTGGGTACGCCTGGTGAGCGGTGGTTGAAGAGGATGCCGTCGGGGGTGAATTTCTTGATGTCGCCGCGAAGCCATTCAGCTTTGCCAGAACGGATCTGTTCGAGAACATCATTGTTGACCTGATGAATGAGATCATACATTAGTATATGGCCAAGTAGAACAGGCACAAACAATCACATACCATCGGAGTCTCCATAAAGAGACCTTGGCCACTGTTGGCTGCTGGGGCAATGTCTTTGAGATCACGGTAGAAGAAGACGCGCAACAGACGTTCGGGAATCCAGCTCAGAGGTGTCTCGGCACCAAAGATGTTCAATGCCAGGAGAACGTTGATGAAAGGGTTGCGCGGGATGATCCACTTCTCACTGCGAGCCAAGATGTGTACCTTCTTCGCTCCGGCAGCCGTGGCGAACTCGAGAGCCTCAATCGCAGATGCACCACCACCGATGACAATGACGTTCTTGTCTTTGGCATCACGGCCGTCCAATTCGGAGGAATGGTAGATGTCGCCTTTGAAACGCTCTTCGCCTTTGATGTGAGCAGTCTTGGGATCACCACAGGTACCCACACAGGCAATGACACCGTCGAACTCGCCGAGCGAGGGATCGTCGTTGATGATGTATTTCCCCTCGTCGTTCTTCTCGCATTTGGTGACCGGGGTCTCAAACCTGGTCTTCTCCTCTAGACCGTACCGTTGCCACAGCTTTTCCACCTCTCCCAGGATTTGCTTGCGGTTGGGGTAGCCGCCGTTCCATTGCACGCTTGGGTGGAAGCGGTACATGACCGAGTGGATCTGCAGACCGGAAGTGTTGTTCACGCGAGCCCAGATGCCTCCGAGATTCTTGCGTCCGCCTGATTCGAAGATGGTGACGTCGAAACCATGGCCGACACAGTGAGCAGCCGAGGAGACACCAGTGATACCAGCCCCGACGATGGCAATGCGCCGGTCACCGAGCTTGCCATCTGGTGGAGGAGGAGCTGGCGAGAGGAGAAGATCGAGGATGGTCTGGATGATACGAAAGATGAAGTTCCATGGGTCGTTGGCGAGGTGCTGAAGAGCACTCATCAGGCTGAACGCCATGGTGAATGATGTGAAGTGGGAGAGGCCACTGAGTGAAGACGGAAAGAGAGTGAAGATGAGGAAGAGGAAAGAGATGGCAGCTAGAGAGAGAGAGAGAGAGAGAGGATGAAAGGATCGGTACCTATTCTACGTGTGATGAGATGAGAGCTTGGAAGGAAATTACCTAGGCATGAATGAGACAGATGACGGGCTACATTACAATGGAGCAATTATTAGGTGAAGCATCTCCTCCACCAGCTCCCACCGTGTGGTGTGACGAGAGTTTCAAAAAGCAGGATGATGACGATGTATTATTCATTGGAGGAGCTCATCAATGGTCTCCACCCGCCGGCTTTCCGAGCTGCTTTCCGAGCTGGGAAAAGGCCGCCCGTGTTTCAGCTTAGCTTCTTGCACGTGTTAATCCGGCTATTTACGCCCATCATTGCGACGGATTCCTCCCAGTTTCCCCCGTTGTTGGTGAACATCTCATGTCCCAGCTGCACCAGAATGGATCCATGGACTGGGCGTATGGAGATGATGCTGTTGAATATGTCCTCTGTGTATCAAAGCACAATAACATACTGTGAAAGAGCGAGCAATGGGTGTTGTACTGTACTGCTCAGCTTGATTACGACAATTCCTTCCCGCATCGGACATGAAACCGGCGGGCTCGGCAGGCACAAAACGTCTGCATGATGTCATGAATCGTTCATGCAACAATACTGTAATAATGTTCCGCGTACGTACATAAGGCGGGCGTAGGCGGATACTTTGGCATGTGAAAGCGGAACCCGCACCCACCTGCACCCATCATCATCCAGTTCAAGAGAGACGACTCAACATCCCTTTCTCTCATCGTCTTCAAAGATTTCACGAGTTATAACAATCAACCTGGCACATATCCACATATCCACATACACAGGAGCCTCACCATGGATGACCCAATTCAAGAAATCAGCGACGTCGTCCACCGTCTCACCCAGTCTCCACCCGAGGAGCAATCCAAAACCATCGACCAATACTTCAGCAAGAATGCCTCCTTCACCCACCCCTTCTGCCGAACCGGTAGCTTCAACAACAGCCGCCAATTGATCCACTACATCTTCCGATGGTACAAAGTCATGAGCCCGCGGATCGACCTCAAGGTCAATGGTGTTGGTAAGTAGCAAACCTCCTCCCTTGCGACGTGATGGATTCGCAAGACTCAAACGCTCATTGCTCCGATGTGAACAGCTTTCGATGAGACCAACCTCGTCCTGTACGTCAACATCAGCCAGGTGTTCGCCATCTGGTTGATCCCGACCCATCGCGCCCATGTCACCCTCACCACCGTGCTCCAATTGGCTCGCGACGAATCCGACAAGGGCAACAAGAAGTACTACATCACTTCCCAGAACGATCTCTACCAGACCGATCAATTCATCAAATTCGTCTTTCCCTGGGGCGGCTCGCATTTGGTTCTGCTATGGCACTTCATCGCCACCTTCTTCTGCGTTCTGGCCGCGTTGATCTTTGCACCTTTCACTCAATTGATGCAGGCGTACGCCGACCGACAGAACCAGGGGCAGTCATCGAAGCAACAGAAGGCACTGCCGGAACGCCAGAAGCCGTTGTCGCATCAAGCCAAGGATGTCGTTAGTAATCTCAAGACAAATGGCGTCAAGGCGGCAGAGCAGGTTGAAGAGAAAGTCAAGTCATGATTGTTTGAGTATGGGGGCTGGAGGTCCACGTTTGTGAATTCTATGTTACATACTAATGATGTCCCATGAAAAGCAATATGCTAGGAATAATGTTAAAAAATGGCAAGAGTGAAAAGCCACGCTTACTGCCCCGACAACACTAGTACAGAAATACTCCAGCGTGGTGACATGGCAGACATACGTATAGCTAACTATGAAAGGCAAGCACAAAGGTCAGACCGAGCCAGCACGGGTTTACCACCTGCAAACCTGAGCAGTCGTCGCAACCGACTACATCAATCTTGCCGTATCTTAGGTTTTTCCTCCTACCACACTTCACATCATCACTTTGGAAGCATTCTCATCTTCGCCGTCACATATCGCTCCGTCATCCGCGCGTCCGGCTCTCCGACGATCGGGTCATCCTTGAATCTTTGCACCTTTCTTCTGTCATTCTTTTAGTGCAGGACTTCTCGCCAATTGTTGGATCTCTGTCCTCACGAGCATCATTCAACTATTTCCGCCTCGCCAGCCTACCATCTATCAACCCGCTCACTCAGCCTTGACCTTTCCATTTGCGAATCTGTATCCTTCAAGAAAACATGTCCGACCACCGCGAAGCACCAGAAGAGAGGAAGATTGAAGTCGTCGTCCGTGAGGAAGACGAACAAGATTTCGAAAAAGGCGAAAAGTATGAAGTCGTGTTGAAGGAAAAGGCCGCTAAGGCAAAGGCCGAACACGAGTCCAACGCCCACGAAAAAGAAGTTGAAGCCGACGAGGCTGCCTCGAAAGCTGCCGCTCACGAAGCCAACAAAGAAGCTGCGCATGCCGAGAAGAAGGCCGCCGAACATGAAGCTGCGATGGCTACCTCCGAGACCGAGAAGGCTTCGGCTGAACATGAAGCTCACGTGAAAGAAAAAGAAGAACACGAAGAAGCCAAAGCGCAAGCCAAAGAAGAGGAGAAGGTGGAGCACGCCGAAAAGGAAAAGGAGGTGGAGGAGAAGAGGGCGGTCACGGCCGAGGAGAAAGAAGCTGAACATGCTGAGAAGGCTGCCGTTGAGGAAGAAGCCCACCACGAGCACGAGGAAGCGGTTGCGAAGAAGTCGTCACCCGTTGCTGTCGCCGTCCCTCTACCTCCAGTCCCGATCAGCGACGAACACGACATGCAAATTTCAACTGCAGCACCAGCCGTGCCGGTCCAGAAGATTGAACGCACCTTCACTACTCCCTCTGGTCAACCCATCACAGTCCTCGAGGTCAAACCTGCTGAGACGATCATTACGGAGCCTCCTTCAACACCAGCACCTGTCGTTGAAAAGCACATTACCTACGTCGAGCCTCTACCACTCCCTCCATTACCTACCAAGACTTTGCCACTTGAGGAGAAACCAAAAGTTCTCATCGTTGAAGAAAATGAAACGCCCATGCCGTCTATCGTGGAGCATTCAGAGCCTGTAGCGGTCGTCGCCGTCGTCGAACCTGAGCCGACTCCTGTGATTCACAAGGAAGACCATCTTATTGTGGAACGCCATCCAGAGGGTACTGTCGAGACAACAGAGACTGTCACGACGACGACTGTCACAACTACGAAGATCGTCAAGGATGAGCGTGAAAGGGAGAAGATTGTGACGCCGCCTGCGCCGGTCGCAGTGGTTGAAGCAGACCTGCTGCGTCCGATCACGACAGTGCAACGTGCACCTCCCACCACTGTCGTCGCCGAGCCTCCAAAAGAGGAAAGGAAAGTGATTGTTCAGACGGTCCCTGAAGTAGTCCCACCGCCACCGATTCCAACTACGACTACTTCTACCGACTTTGCTCCGATGCCTATGGAGACTCCTCGCGCCGCCTTCCGCGGTCTCGATGTCCTCGGCACACCGATCGGTCTCTTCCCGGAATACTTTGCCCTGCACGAAACGCGTTTCGTCATCGTGGAGCGACTCCCCTCAGCCTCGGGTGCGGATTGGATGGTACGGGACGAAGATGGCAGAGCAATGTTTTCCGTCGACACCACCATTATGTCGGCCTCTGCTCGTCGTCATCTCCATGACATGCATGGTCTCACGGTCCTCGACCTCCGCCAGCGTCGCTGCTGTCTGTGTCATCCGAGGTAGTACCTCGAAGTCCGCGGGCAACGTATCAATGCATCGATGATGCGTGTGAGATCCTCCGAGCGCGACGGAAAAGGTCATGTCCATGATACTTTCTCCCTGTCGTCGGCGGCGATGGATCGCGTCACGGGCATCAAGCCGTTGTCGGTCGCCTTTGAGAATCACCGCACCAGTGCTCGGACTCTCCTCACCCTTCGAGCGGTCTTCCCACCGGAAGGAAACGTCGTCGCGGTCATCCGACTCGAACCGCGTACCTCGACGGCGATCTTCCCGTCATCCTCTTCAACTGCGAGCAAACCTGAGAAGAATTCGGAAACTGATGAGTCGAAGACCACCACGACGACCAGCCACCACGGCAACAAAACCACCATCACGGTCAAGAATTCCGGAAAAGACACCACCACATCATCATCTTCAGCCTCGCCATCGTCATCAACATCCGCCAAGCCACCGCAGCAAGGCATCATCATCGCCCGCATCGAACGCTCCGACGCTTCCTCCTCCTCATCGGACATCCGCTCCTCCACCTCCACCGTGCGAGACACCACCACCGCCACCACCACCGCAACGTCCAAAGCCCGCGCCATCTCGCCTTCCCGACCATCGACGGGCAAGAGGTGGAAGCCGGAGTATTTCATCACGGTGGCGCAGGGGTTCGACGTCGCGCTCGCTTGTGCGGTTTGGATGGCCGGGGTGGAGGGGCCTTGATCATTGCACTGTTTGATGGATGATGGACGATCTATGATGGGTTGACGAGGGGGGATGGAATATGGTCGTGCAGAGAAGGGAAGTGAAGGGGAAAGGCAGGAGGATCCTAAGGTGTTTTTCTGGTCTCGGTTGGTAGGGATCTGCTGCCTGCTTTGGCGGTGTTATTACTCCTGCCACTACCACCACTGCTATTACTATTCTGTTGTCATCAACCTAGACGAGGACTCGTAAATCGTGCTGTGTTGTGTTGTGCTTTGCTTTGCTACTGCGCCCAACCGTCCTCCACAGTCTGTCTCTGTTTCATCATGACATCTGTCGCGTACACATCTGCAAGAAGGAAGTGCGGCTCCAATGCTTTCCAATTGGCCAATTGTCGTGTGGTTCGCGCACGTTTCACGTTGCCGCCGCCGCCGCCGCCGCCCTTTTCCTCGCGAAATTCAACGGGTCACTCGTCGTCATCGTCCCGAGATAGGTATTTCTCATTAGTATTGCAGAAAGAGAAGGATCTCGGTAATAACTGATAAGATCTGAGGGGATTCATGACATCCCTTGGCATCTTTCCTGCTCCACCTGGGCTTGTATCGACGAGGATAATGATGATGGTAATAAGCGTCCACGGATACCCACACAGTTGTATCGAAGCTTGTTGTTGCTATCATTACTATCATTACTACTGTTGTTGTCATCATTATCATGAAAAGTGGAGATGTGTCCAATGCAGCAATCGATGGATCTAGCTAGGTAGGGATTGCGGCGCTTTGGAAGGTTTGTTGGTGGTGAACTATTAACGATAATGATCATCAGCAGCAGCAGCAGCGCCGCCCAGCCAGACGACAGATGTCCACCTGCACCTGCATGTTTCAGAAAAATGCTTGGATGTGGCCCCCCCCCCCCCCCCCTCCTGGTATGTCTATGTAAACCACACCTGAGGGGGGCACGCGCGGCGGCTGATGGATCCATTGGCTCTCATGTCGCCTCTCTCTCTCTTTTCATTCCTTTTCTTTTCTTTGGTCTCTTCTGCCTCCCTGCCTGGTGATGATGATGGTCGTTCGTTGGTTGGTGGTGAACCCCTAATGTCACTCGACGCCCGCCCGCCTGCCGCACGTCCATGGTCAGTCAATACTTACTGTGTGTTCTGCATGGTTGTGTGTATATGTATATATATATGCGCGTGACGCGGTAGGGGTTTTTGAGGATTTGCGCGTTCGAGGTTCGTGATGGGTGGCACGGGGAGTATTGTTCTTTACAAAAGCGTATGAATGAACGGTAGGATGGTTTTCCTGTGGTTGATTATATGGTGGCAGAATATAAATATATGTATATATCACAGTGTCCAGGAGGGAATCGCCCGCCCAAAGAACGGTCCCCGTCTCCTCTCCCTGGCTCCTCTCCCTGGCTGCTGGTGTATGATTACTTACTGCACCTTCCCATCACTGCAACTTCCCCATACTAACAATTACAGCTGGAGTACATTCAATCCTCCTCTTCCGCTCTGCGACTACCCTTAGACCATCATCAATATCGTCATTCCAGAATCCTCCTTCTCTCAATCATTCGACCATCTATTCTCACGCGCGCGCACACACAATGCTTTCTACCTCCCAACACATCTCATCATCATTGTTCTCAACCGAGAAAGCATTTGCGCAATAACACTGCAACCTCTCCAACACACACTCACACACACATCATGGCTGACGCTTCTTCACGGCCGAACCTCGCGGTCGCAACGTCCACCACAACGGCACCCGCTTCGCACAGCATCCCCATCCCTAATAGTAATCCTACGTCACATTCCGCCTCACAAGCACACCGCAAACGAACCGCCCTGGAACCTTTCTCTCCCGTCACGGAGAATGGAAGCTTCGAATTCGACCGTATCATCAAAGCAGGCGAAGTCCTGAAGAGGACGCGCAAGACGAAAGTGAGTTCGTACATAACCTAGCATTTCCTCCTTTCTCGAACGGCGAGGCGCATACGTGTTTCAGGAGAAGGCTCGAGGCTGATGATCTCTCTCCTCACAGACATGGAAGCCGGTCTACATCGTCCTGCGACCGAACCTCCTCTCCATCTACAAAGATCGCCACGAATCTAAACTCCGCCATCAAATCAACCTCTCCGAACTCACTGCCGTCGCCCGCCAGAAGGATCCCAAAAAATCGGACAAACATCGTTTCGGTCTGTTCACCCCATCGCGGAATTTCCACATTCAGGTCACCTCCGATGTAGAGGCTCAAACATGGGTGGAATTGATTCGGACGGGTGCGCGCATGGATGATGTTCAGGAGGAATTGTACCTCGCCAGCCCAGGTGGTTTCGGCGGGTCAAGCACCACTGCCTATCATGGCTTCGAGCGTAGCATCGATGCCCAGCTAGGCTCGTCCTCGGCGGCCGCACTGGCGGCGGGATACAGCAGTTCCGATATGGAGGCCGCGGCGTTGAGCCCTGGGCAAGAGCGGAATCACAATCACCCATACGCGCGGACACGTGAGCGAACGGGGACCGGCAACCTCAGTCACCGACGAATGTCGACGGCGGAGTATTCAGGAGTGGAGCTTGGCTCCGTCTCGGATTTCTCGGATTTCGCGGGTCCTACGACGACCGGAGCGGCTGCACGGATGTCGGCGCTATCGCTGGCGGAGGGCAGGCCATCGACGAGTAGCATTCGTCCTCCGGCCTCACAGCCACAGCAAACACAACCATCGTCATATAGCAGCGTGGGACGACCCTCCATGGGTACGCGCACCGCCAGCCAGATGTCCGGTTTGGCCATGAGTCTCGAGGAAGCTGCGACATTAACAGCCTCTCCCACCACCATCTACTCCCCCGGCCTATCCCAACCGCCACAACAACCACAACAACAAAACCCCGGCACCACCGGCACCAACCCGAAAAACCGCCCCATCGACCACAGCGAACGCATCCTCTACCACGGCTGGATCCAACTCCTCAAACGCAGCAAATCCGGCGTCCGCAGCTGGAAGAAGATCTGGATGGTGCTGCGGCCCGCGCACCTCGCGCTGTACAAGAACGACGAGGAATACTCCGCCCTCCTGATCCTGCCGGTGGAGAACCTCGTCGACGTCGTCGAGATCGACCCCATCTCCCGCACCAAAACGAGCTGCTTCCAGGTCATCACCGAGGAACAGAAGAACTTCCGCTTCTGCGCCAGCGACGAGGAGTCCCTCGCGCGATGGCTGGGCGCGTGCAAGAGCCTTCTGAGCCGGAGGAAGGCGGCGGCGGCACAGGCGCAGGCTCAGAAACAGGCTCAGCAGCAGCAGCAGCAGATGCAACAAGGGCAGGCACAGCAGACATCACAAGGGCAGTGACGGTCGGATTTCAGCTGTGAAGAACACAATTTCTCGCAGCGATTGATGATTGATGATTGATGATTGATGATGATGATGATGACGGTTCGGAGTCGTAGACACATGTCTGTCCCCACACAGCTCAGCGGAACACAGCAGCAGCAGCAACAACAACAGTAGAACGAACTGGAAGAGGGGGGAAACAACCCGGGACCAGAACACATTCACCCCTCTATCTCTCCCACTTCTCTGCTTCTCTCGCGCCAACAATTACAACAACAGCGATTGCAACAACAAATCACCATCCTCCCACGACGCACCAACCAACCAACCAATCCGTTTGAATGAATTTTCGTATTTTTCCCTTCCCTCTCCTTCCCACCCTTCTCTTCAACAATCCTCCCTCGAACCTCCACCAGACAGACTGGGCAGACAGAAAGACAGCACAGCACAGCACAGAAAGGAAATGGGAGAGGGGAGGAGAGGAGAGGAGAGGAGAGGCGGGGACGATTTCAGCATTTCGTAGAAGGTTCTTTCATGATTGAGCAGGCGGAGCAGCGTCCTTTCATCATCATCATTATCATTATGATTATCCTCATTATCATCCTCATTATTGTTATCATTATTATTATCAGCAGCAGCGGCGGCGGCGGCGTTGGACCAGCGGCATTCTCTTTTTTACTATCATTCTCTTCATGATTATGATTATCACTACTACTACTACTACTACTACTACTACTACTACTACTACTACTACTACTACTACTACTAGCAGCAGGACAGCAGACAGCAGGCAATTCACAGTTCACAGTTCACAGTTCACAGTTCACAGTTCACAGTTCACAGTTCACAGTTCAACTTTTGTTTTTGGTTTTTGGTTTCTCTTTTTCGATTTTTTGGGGCGTGATCATCACGGTCGCTTTTACCTCCTCCCCTCTTCTTCTTCTAAAAGGAAAGGAAACGGAAGCAGAAGAAGAAGGGAGAGGAAGGGGAAGAGGAGAAGTGATTCCTTTCTTTTCTCTCTCTCTCTCTCTCTCTCTCTCTCTCTCTCTCTCTCTCTCTACTTCTATCACTATACAAAAACAAAACCATCCATAATAGGACAAGATAAGAAAAGGGAAAGGAAAAGGGAAGAAAACGAAAGGGTATCATGGGTTTTTTTGTTACAAGAAGAGTTCGCCTCCTATCCCGAAACCACACTCCCACCCACCCTCTGGACGCCGACGCTCAATGCACGCTCATGCCCTGCCCTGCACCCCCCAACCCCGACCCCATGAGTCCTCTCCCCGACACCAGCGATCCCGGCTTGTACCCCGGAGGCCGAAGAGAGAATCATCCGTCTTGACACACACGCATACACACATACACACGAAAGACGGACCATCATTTCGCCCCGCCACCACCACCGTTCCTCCTCAGGAACGCCTCCAGCGGCCTCTTGTCCTTCCGCGCGATGTAGTAGCTGCCCATCTGGTCGGTCCAGGAGACGGAGTTGGAGAAGTAGGTGAATTTCTGCTGGACGAAGAGGTTCACGACGGAGCCGACGTTGCGGTTGGTGATCTTGTGGCCCTCGGGCACGAAGGGCTTCAGGCTGACGACGCGGCAGCCGTCCTTCAGGTCGAGGAACATGTCGCGTAGCTTGTCGTTCAGGCTCGGCGTGAAGGCCTGGTTGTTGACCAGCACCACGTCCGCCCGCGCGAGCACCTCCAGCACGGGCTTGTTGGACGGGAACGAGGTGAAGTCGCCCTCGTGCAGGTGGATGGAGCCCGCGGAGAGGCCCCAGAGCCGGGCGCGGGCGCGGAACTCCCGGGCCTGCAGCCGCGCGAGGGCGGCCGGGTTGGGCATCATCTCGATGCCCCAGCTCTCGGCGCCGCATTCCAGCGCGGCCTGGAGGACGACGTTGCCGACGCCGGAGCCGAGGTCGATGAAGACTTGGTCGTGCGTGAGGCGGGTCTGTTCGAGGATCTTGCTGACGAAGCCCGTGAGGAGCTCGCCGTAGACGTTGTCCGTGCCGTTCTCGTACGCCCGGAGGGTCTCGATCTGGGGCGACACCGTGCGGGCGTAGACCTGGTCGAGGATGCGCTTGATCCAGTCGAGGTGGAGGGTGCTGGTGTGGAGGAGTTCGTGTTTGATGCGCCCGTCTTTGATGAGGCCGTCCAGGATGCGGTTGAAGTCCTTGACGATGTCGATGAATTCGTCAATGTCCCGGTGGACGGCGGCGCGGCTGAAGCGGCGTTGGAAGCCAGTCTCGTTCTCTTCGCTGTTGTACAGTTTTTCCAGTTCAGGCGGAAAGTAGAAATTACAAATGGTGAAGATGGTCTCCTTGATGTCTTCGAGTGGTTGGTATTCATTGTATTCGCTCTTGGGCATCTTCAATTCAAACTTTTCCCGGATGCTGCGCGAAGGATATTGTAACCGGACCGTGTCGAAATCGGTGTCCGACCACGGGTTCTTGAATTTGGCGTGGTCCTTGCCCGAGGTGATTTGCGATCCGTGGATGATCTTGATCGGCGCAGCATCCTCTATGAACGCCTCTTCGGCGAGGAGGGCCCTCCGCGGGCCACCGCTGTCTATGGAACTGACGCTGCTCTTGATCCGTTTCCGAGAAATATCCGACCCGCTAGCGACATCGCTGCTGCCTCCATCTTCCTCATCGCTGCTGAACATGGACAGCTGCGGGGTCACACTCTTCCGCTTGAGGCCCCTCGATGCTGACAGGGCGCGGTCGGCATGGCTAGGTCGCTTCGGAGGAGGCACCGGTCGAGATGGGAGGTGATTCGAGGAAAGTTTGAAGCGATCTGGGTTGGCCGGCCTCGCTGAGACTGGTGTAGAGGATGCGCTTGCAGATCGACGGACTGGTGTTGAGGAGCCAGCGATGGCGACACGGACTGTGGATTTGCGGATGACGGGTTCCTTGACCAAGGACTTGGATTTGTTGAAGTTCATGATGCGTCGCGATTTATAATAATGGTAATAATAGTACGGTCGAACGGGAGAAGTGGTGGCGGTTGTCGACCATGCTGGACTTCAGCAGCAGCAGGAGCGAGGTCGAGGTTGTGGCCAGGATCGGCGTCGTGGTAAGAATTGTGGTATGCTGTCCCAAACAAGTGATGATGGTGAAGAATCGAAGATGTGTGTCGCGGTCCCAAAAGGATGTGGTGGTGTACAGAAAGTGGTTGCGCCAAGTGTGGTGTAGAGAAGAAAAAGTGATATAGTTGTGGTAGTGAAGGCAGGGCTGAGGGAAAGAAGAAGTGACGGGGATATTCTTACTCCAGGGCTAGAAAAGAAGGTTGATGGTGGTGGAGTCCTGTACAGTCCTGTTCTGTTCAGAAGGCCGCTGCTCACGAGACGAACGAGAACCGCCGCCCGCCGCCCGCCTTACGAGTTTACTTTAGGGTACGGGGTTCATCATCGTCACCTCCATGTGGGCACCTGCACAAAAAGAAAAGGCGGCGGCCCGCTTTCGACAGTCTCGCACAAACACGTATCATACTGTAGCAGGGACAGTACAGACTACTTGACTGGTTGGTGTCTCTCGCCTCGCCACTCATCATCTAATTGATTCCACATCGTTCCCGTAGAGACTTCTGGGGACCACTGCCTGAGAACCGTCACGGAGCTGTCGTCCGCAACGCGTGAAGGAGGTACACACGATGCGTGGGCGCATGTACAGTAGAATGCTCGAAACCCCATGTTCGGTAGCAGCGCTGCAATCGAAGACCCTGCGCCGGACATGCGATTGACCACGTGGGAGACAGACGATGTGCATCACCATTATCATCTGAACTACATGCACATGAGACAACCTTGGAATATGTGGATCAACACCAAAAAAGATGCGCCCGGTAGTCCCTTATTCATTCCTTCATCCCGTCCATCCATCTGTCCGTTCATCCATCATCCTTCCGATTTCATGAAACAAAATGCGGGATTGATGAGTGGCCGAAAGGCAAGTGAGGCATGTCCATTGACATTTCCTCATCAACCCTTCAAGACTGGTCATTCATCAATAATAATAAGTCCATTCAGTCATTCCTTACCACAGATCATCTCATCCTTCCGCGTTTCCAGACATTGCTCTCCATATCTTCCCCTCTCTTTAGATACACACACCGTGTATGCGCGTGTGCATTCCGTCAGAGAGATCACAGATCAGACCGGGCGAAGAAGGAGGGAAATATGTACACAAAGACATTCCCACCGCGACCAACGATGCCTTGCTGTACTTATGGCAAAGTGGGGTATTGTTACAATGAGTAAGGACAGCAAGGGCGACTCTCCTCCTCGTCTTCCTCGTCTCCACCATCATCGATCATCACGATGCTGGCGATCCGTCCGACATCTACCACTTTTCTTTCCAGCCACACTTCCGTCACGCATCATCATCGCGCAAGACTTGACAGAAGACCGCCCCATCAATGCAGGTTTCGCACTTCGAGCACCGATAGGATCAACTGTGATATTCATAATGGTTGTAGTGCAGATCTTGTCATTTTGTCTCTCTGTATCTAGCTTGAGGTGTTTCTCCGTTGTTAGGGTTGACATTACCCCAACCGCTTCAAAGCTCAAACGGCCCAGCTTTCACACCACCCGTCCACCGAGATTCCGAGACGAAGAACAAGAAGAGCACCGGAATTTCCCGTCGGGACAGAAACAAACAATCTTTTCAGAGGAAGAAAAAAAGATAGGATTTTGCATTCCAGAAAAAAGAAGCCACGTGAATTGAAATCTCTCGTGAAAAACCCACATGCTATGCACTTAACACACATCCCCACCCTCTCGGTGACGACAACAACAACAAAACCAGCTAATCCTAACATCTCATCCCCAACCTTCCCGCCGCGGCACTCAATTCCGCGAAGAGGAGGGTGTAATCTACATATGACTGCTGCTGCTGTTGCGAATCGGATTCCTGCGCACCGTCTTTCCTTGAGGACTCGATGAAGAGATCTCTGGGACCGATGGGCAGATCGGTTACAGCGTAGGCACCGACGCTGCTGCTGCTGCCAGTATCGCGAGCAGATCGATGGAAGCCCGAGTCGGCTCTGCTGCGGTGATGCTGAGGGAACAGGAGGCTGTTGATATCGAGTTTGCTGAAGTCGTTCTCGGGGATGGTGGCGAGGTTGATGTGTTGCTGTTGCTCCTCGGGTTGCGGAGTGGGGATTTGGAGTTGGGAAGCGTCGAAATCGAGGAAGTCGAGCTTCATGTCAGGTTGTTGAGGTTGTGGTTGATGCGGGATGAGGTTGTTAGAAGAGGAGGACGAAGGTGTTTGTTGTTGTCGTTGGGAAGGCAGAGGGGCGTTGGATGCGAGTATTTGTTGTTGTTGTTGTTGTTGTTGCTGTTGCTGTTGGTGCTGTTGCACATGTTCTTGTGGAACGCCAAGCAGCGATGGGTCTTTGCTGATGTCATTGATGAAAGGAGTGAATGCCGGATGGCGGAGCAGTGTCTCAATCAGGCCGCGATATCTCTCGTTTTCTTGCATGACGGATTGATTCTCGACTCGCAAAGCATTGATTTCTTGGCTGCGCATTGCAATTTCGCCCTCCAATTGAGTGATGTATTCTGTGGGTTCAAGTCAGTATGCGATTCCCTCCGATATTCTCCACTCAAGATCTTACCCTTTCGTCGTGACCGGAAAGCACGAGCAGAGACCTTGTTCCGCAATTGTCGGCGCTCTTTACTTGATAACTTCTTTCCTTCCTCTGACGCCAGCAGTCGCTCGTCTTCATCCATTTCCTCCTCATCCTTTTTCATCCGAGCAATGTGAGGCAGCAGGCCGCCTTCACCATCCTCTGGTGTAAGAGTGCCACCATTCTGGCGCATCTGGTTGAGCAGGCGGGATATGCTCTCTTCCACGTGCGGCTCTACATTATTTGACGCTCGTTTGTTGCCGGTCGATTGGCTTGGCTGCGTGGACGAGGCTTGGCTGGGCTGAGGGTGGGGATTGTTCGAGGCTTGGCGGAGCGGAGCCGTGGGTAGTTGGGCTGATAGTCGATGTGACCTCTGCTGCTGGAGGGCTTGCGCTTGGGCGGCCTTTGCCATCGCCGCCTGTTGGGCCTGTTGCAAGTGCATGCCAGGCCAAAGTCGGCCGACATTGTTTTGTGAGTCGTCTTGGTTGGCGAGGGGTTCCGCGGTGACGAAGTCGAGTGTAGCATCCGCACCAGTCGGGAAAAATCCAGGTACGACGGGATTGACAGGAGGGAATGTCACGCCCATGTCTGTGTCCAAGTCGAAGCCAGTATTGTAGCCGTAACCGGCGTTGAAGTCCATGTCGCCGAAGCCAGAGTTATAGCCGTCGAACATGCCGTCGGGAACGTTGGCCTGGTTCATGTTGGATAATTGAATGCCAACCTGCTGTTTGAATTGGCCATAGTTGTGACTAGGTGCACTGAACTGCTGTTGTTCTTCTTGAACAAACGTCGAGAGGCTGTCGTGATTCATTCCGGGAGCGGTGATGGGAGATTGTTGACTGGTACCAGCATTGAAATCGAAGAGGGCGTCCATATCAAAGGCGGTGTCCTTGGGCGCGGACGAGCGGGATGTCATTGTAAGAAGTATGAAGGAAGCGAGGCCGGTGGACGAGCAAGAAGGGAGGAGCCCAGGGTGCCGGTGGGTGACGATAGCAGTCGGCGATGGTGGTGGTGAGGATGATGTTCGAGGGAGGTCCGGGTGCCGCTGCGAGTAAGTTGGAAGGGAATGGCGTCAAAGATTAGCAGAAGCCAGATGGATAGCGCGGTTTCGCAAAGCACGCGAGGTTTGGTAAGGAATGGCTCTCACGATACGAGCGAGCCTGAGAATGGTGGTGGAGGAAGGTAAGTTTGAGCGATAGTAGTGGTGTTTGTGATTGTAGTAGGTATGACTGCAAGGTGGTGTAGGGAATGGAATGCACAGGAAGAGAGAACCCGTCAGTCAGTTAGCCAGCCAAGCAGTAACCCGCAGCTCGCAGTGAACCTTCTTTATTCCCAGCTAGTCACGATAAACGAAAGGCATTAATCAATGATTATGCTGGGCCAGTCCAGTCCGACCCATCAGAATGACCACCGACCACCGACCACCGACCACAGATTACGGCTTGTGTGCAGATACAACTACTGGAGAGTACCTACCTACCTACCTACCTACCCTTGCTCTCTGCGCCCGCGCGAGAGTCCGTCGTAGGCGCACACGAGCTGACGCGGCCCACGTATGGAAATTGAGCGGAGGAGGATGCAGTCCAAGCTGGAGTACAGTGGTAGTGGACCCCCCCTCCTCTTCTCCGCTGGGCGCAGCAGTGTCGGAATGGATGGCACAACGCCGCTACCTACCTACCTAGGTATGTAGACGGTATTCTCTCCCCGAACCACAAGCTTCGAACACCTTTCCCTATTGTATTGTTGATACCATGCCACGATTATTATGCAGGAGAATGGAGTGTGTTTCAGGATTCGCGTCACGTGGGTCCATTTCTGGGCGTCGACGGTATCCTCTTTCCATTGCTATTCTCTTTCCATTGACTGACTATGTCCAATCGACGCTTCCATGATCGACGGTGACGAGAGGTTCAGTAAGCCACCTCAACAGCGATCCCCTTTACCCAACAATCCCATTCCCACCTCTAGGGCTATGAACGATCCGACCGAGCGGAGCGGGCCCGAAGATACCTAGTATTCAAGCACGGAAGCGGCAGGATAGAGCGGTTGAAATAGAGCGGCGGGATACAGCGGCGAATGATGAGAAACGGGCTACTGGGCTCGTCTGCATAAGGTTGAGGCAGTGCAAAAACAAGGGCCCAAATTCATTCATTCCACGGAAACTTCCATAGCGAGCGACCACGCGGCACCGCTGTCCGGGCGGGCATGTCGAGATTTCCTGACCACCGAGACGCACTCAATGTTATTCCTGGGCCCGATGCAATATCCGTAGCTTGTGGGAGTGTGAAGATCGAGAAGAATTGATCTACAGGCCCCTGCCATTGTTACTACACCATGCATTGCGTGACGTAGCGGACTGCCATTCAAAACCCTCCAATTTCTACCTGTGATAATTACATCAATCTCATCAATGACAACCCACACGCTGGACGTTTTCGATATTTTCAAGGCTATCTGGGTACTGGCGAGGAACCACAGATGGTGCCGTTGACTATGCAGTTCACCAAAATTGCCCAGGTGGACTGTTAGATAGACAAAGCGCAGCACCTGTTGGGCCCGCCGCCGCCGCCCTAGCCTGACCTTGCCTTTCTTACCCTTCGGGTCTCATCCGCCGTGGCCGTTCCTGCCGCGCAATGACATCAAAGCGCATGGACTTTACCTCCACACTTGCAGACCATGCCCGCGACTACACACCACGGATGCACCGCACGCACGCACGTACGCACGCATGCACGCACCGCACGACCGATGAATGCATAGATATCCATGTGGTGTCTCTGAATCTCCCTAGCACATGGCGCAGCAGTTCCGGAAATGAGGGTAAGATCCTTTTGTCGTTGCTCTAATGAGAAGTGAGAACAAGTTTATGAAGGAAATCCATCCTAACAGAAACAATCTTCGCTTTCTCGTATACGCCCATCGGGGAACGAGCTGCATGCCGGATTCGCATATTTTTGATCACAATGATAATACCAAAGCTATTCCTGCACCACAGTGCCGATAAGCCAAAGACCGCTCGATCTGCGAATGAGAGTCCTCGAAATGTAAACGCCTCCAGTGCTTACGGTGAGCGCGAAACGCCACCGGGCAGTTCACTCCTGAAACCTTTATAGAGAGGCAGCCTGCGAGGACAGGCTCCAAGGACATGTAAGACCTGTGCATCGCTGATGTCGAGGATTGCTGAGAACCACTGTACATCTCACGACTGGAGGTGCGCGAAGAGGAAGAAAACCAACTCACTATGTAGATGGACTTGCAGTAGCATAGAGAATTCGTTGGCTGGAGCTTGTTGCTCTGATGTTACTCGTTGTTCCACCATGGACTGGGTTGATAATTCGGGTGTGCTGGCCCGAAGCCCTGAACGCGAAGACTTTCCAAGATCATTGTCCTCATGTGAGTGGTGGCTCAGTTGTGATCACTTCCAAAGGATTGGCCAAGTACCTATGATCTGCGGCATTTTCTGCCCTCCTCCTTCACCTACAGGGAATCGTGAACTTCCTCAAGTATCGTGTGTGACCAGTATCGTAAATGTAATATATCGCGGTCAGCGATCAGTCTAAGAAACTGGAAGCGGGCAAAACGAAGCTTTTTACAGTAGGTCCCATAAATTTCTTCAAGCGCACCGAAGGCCCGGTTGTCCGAACGGCCGGAAGATTCCTTGCGTCTGGCTAATAATTAATAACTAACAAATGTCTCTTTGATGGAAGGAGAAGAAGGAGAAGAAGTTGCAGAAGATCATGCACATAGCTCAATCGTGGCGTATGATGCGACGCAGCCATCATTACACAAAGGCAATTTCAGCGCTCACCTGTATGCATAGACTGCGGATAAGTGTGAGATTGTGCGATGCAGTGACATTGATCGCAACACCGCCAAGTTGAGAAATGATCTACAACGCGAAGGATGGAGTGAAACTCGTCGATAGGATCTAGACCTTTGCGAGTTCACGTCCGTGGATTACATAGCACAGCAGGTGAGGTGGTGGCTCCCTGTACGTTGCGGTAGGAGTGGGCCCATCGACAAGTATACGCAACGAACAAATCGGACCTCGAGTCGAACCTGCCGCCAATGGGTGATGAGCCACGGAGAGAGAGAGATTTGATGGAGACGAAGGGGCCACGCGTCTGGCCCATCTCTCTCTCGCGCGGGGCCTAACTTTAGAAACACCCGACTGGAACCTTTCTCACTACTGGGTGCCATGCCTCGTCCAAGAAAGCTTACCTGGGACCACGATGAAGGAGCAGTGGCAGACTTCGGTACGATTGTGCCGGTTAGCCCTCATATCTGGACTACGATAGTCCCATTCCTCGAGCCTTTCTCTTCTCGATGTAGTCTGTTCTCAATGAGGTTCGAAGGCCGCCCTGAGAGGAACGGTACTTTCTCCGCGGCAAGGGCAGAATCATCTTTTGTTACTCGAAGACACCGCACGTCCTGGTAATAACATGCGATGACGAGCTAACCATTACAGCCTGTGTTGCAGGATCGTGATCCCGGGTACCCCATCGTCCTGGGATTCGATCACCAGGAATTTTATTTCAATCGTCATGGCAGGAACGCCTTGCGGTATTTTCTACCTCTAGTGATTCCTGTACTGGGCATTCGCATCGGCTGTTTCACAGGAAATATGTGTCTCGGTGTCGCATTGACGACGAATTGAAAAGCCATTGGCGTCATTCTCCGCTCCCTGATCGGCAGCCCTCATTCTCCTCTCACCACCTCGTCACCAATATCCGTCAAACACCGAAAAAGAGTCAAAGGCTTCTCTGTTGATCGTCTTCGCTGGTACTGTATCGCATGGTCGCACGGAGGCATCATAGACTTGCATGTAGATCACCTTGATCATTATCACCCGGATGAGGAGGTATTCGTGTAGATGGAAATGCTGTATGACGACACGAGGAATCAGGATTGTACTGCTTGCTAGTCATCGCATGTCTTGGCAGGTTCGTAGGCATGGTGAGGCTTAGCTTGTGTCAAACTCTGTCTATAGTGGACTACACATTGGACTCTGTTCTCCTGATGTCTATCTCAACGAGCTGCCGCTAAAAACTGCCTGTGATAAGAGTTGAGTCCGCAGGACGGCCATGTTCCTGTGCGGAACAGCCGAAGGGGGAGTTTCCCATATGCAGGTGGCGGTCTGCGCCTCCACATCGCGCGCGTCGTGAAATCGTATTTTGCGAGAGTATCTATTATCGACAATGGAAAGTTTGATCGTTCTTCATGAGAGTAGGGTACAACGTGGACGGATCTCTGAAGACGTCTTACCAAATTACCACTAAATGTCCAAGAAAAAAAGTTCAAGAACATTGACCACATTTTCATGCGCAACTATACATACATACCTACATACGAGGGCCACCACACCTGAGTTTGTCCTCCACCAGGCTCTCTGCTTCCCCCCCGTCCTTAGCTATCTTCAAGCCTCTCCCATCATGCCCAGAGCGGCGCCACAATCCCCACCGCCCTCTCCACCACCGCCCTGACCCTATCTCCCACCGTCTTATTCGCACACTCGACCTCCAACTTCTCCAACCACACCTTGATCTCATGCTTGTCGAGCTTGACCAGTAGCCCTGGTACAGGGATGCCCTGCGCGTGCAATCGCGCGAGCTCTTGGGCTTGGTACTTCTCGAGATCGAGGTCGACGTCCATATCTGTAGCGTCGGAGGCACTCGCGGGAGGTCTGGGGAGAGCGATGGGCGTGATGCTTTCTTCGCCGAATTGCGATTCGAGGAACATGAACAGTCGGGAGAGCTTTTCTTGGGGACGGAGGTTGGCGAGAGGGTGGGATGGCTGCGAGGAGACATTCTTGCCATTGGTCATGCCGCCGTTCGCGTGATCTGCTTTCTCGGAATCTTCATCGATGGCGCCTTCGTCTTCGTCGTCGTCGTCGCCGAAATGGTTGTGGCTGTGGTCGTGGGAGTGCTTCTGACTGCTCTGCTTGACTGCAGCAGGGGAACTCTCCACCGTGAGGAGGACCGCCATCACGGCATCGGCGATGCTGTCGTTTGTCATGTTGCCTTGCCATCGTAGCTCCACCTCGCCTTGTTCTTTGCAGATGACGCTGACGGCTCCGCCCATGACTTCGAAGATGGTGTCGGTGTGTCGCACGAGCTCCTCGTCGGCTTCCTCGGGCTTGACTTCGCCGTTGGTTCCTTTCTTCTTCTCTTCCGGTGACGAAACATCGACGGTGCCGAACGTGCCCTCCAGCGCCCATTTGATGAGATCAATTCCGGCTGCGCCGAGAGTGATGCGCTGTCGGCAGATGATCGTGGTCGTTGTGAGGCCGGCGTACTCGTGGAGGTCCTCGGGTGCCATTAAGCTCAATTTGAAATCGCTTTGTACAAGGACTCCACTGATGATCTGGCCGGCGTTGCTGGACTTGGCTTTTTTCTTCTCGCCGCTCGCTTCGTCGCCCATTTCTTCGTCATCATCGCTAGATGCAGGTGGGCTGGGCATCAGTACCGGTGGACTGATCTGACTTGCGAGCCGTCCGACCACACGAGCGATCTTCTCTTGGCGGAACGGTATCCTGACCTCTTCACAGTTTGCCGGTGTGTATACTTTGAATTTACCCAACCCGAGCAGTCGACTCTTGAGACCTCGCATTAGATTTCGCTCGCCGTGAACTAGAATGACGACAGGTGCGTTGACCTCCTCGATGAACTGTCGATTCTCCTGCCCATCGACGTGCACTGCGAAGTTGAATTCTTCCACCGTACATCTTCTTGGAATCATTTGTTTCTCGCCGTCGTTCAAGCCCGCCCTCTTCCCGAGAGTCATGCCAGCCGACCGATTTGAAGTTACGGCTGGAATAGCATCGAGGTCGGAATTGAGAAGCTGCTTAGCCATGGTACCTTCAACACTGTAACCGGTAATGACCACTCCGTTCTTCGCGTCAGGAGCCCATCGCTCCAGTAATGCACGGGAAGGCCCATTTTGCAGCATGCCCGGACTAGCCAAGACGACACTTCCTCCAACATCTTCAAATCTGTCGACACCTTTTAGTGCACGGACGTATTGGAAATCCCAAGGACCGGCAGTACCACCTTCGCCAGCTGCACTCGCAGCCTGGAACTTGGCTCGGATACTGTCGTTCATATCATCCACATATGTTTGGTAAACGACCATGACCTTCCGAGCCAGGCCACTGGCGTAGTAGATGGGAAAACGCCGATATTCCTCATGACGTTGCCAATAGTCTTCTAGAATGAGCAGGAGCTCCTGTGTGTTGCCGACGGCTGTGGTCGGCATGAGCACGCGTCCTCCGCGATTGAGAATGCCGGTGACAGACTTCAACAGAGCATTCTCGCGCTCCTGACGGGGTGTTCTTGTGCTGATGCCAAAGGTGGATTCCGTGATCAAGCAGTCTATTCGAATGTTGCTGGGAACAGCGGCTGGTACAAGATGTCGATCGGTCTCGCGGCTGTAGTCTCCAGTGAAGAGGATGTTCAATCCAGCGATCTGAATAAGGTACATGCATGCACCTAAAACATGACCTGCCGGGTAGGGCGTGAACCGAATGCCGTTGTGTGAATGAGTCGTATGAAATGAAATGGTTTGGATCATCGGCAATGTAGAAAGCATGTCTTGCTCAGTGTATAATTGGCTGACGTATCCATCGGTGCCGGAAGTTGAAGAAGATGAGGTGTGTGTGTTGTGGACTCGTACTGCGTCTTGGGTGGTCCATTTGTAAATGGCTTTGGTCGGATGGGTCATGTATACACGACCGGCGAAGTTGGTCTTGGATAGCACATAGGGGAGAGAAGCGGAATGGTCCTGATGAAAACTGAGATATGGCGGTCAGTCTTGGGTTCGAGCTGGGAGCGGTCTGGGGTGTCTACGAGCTATCTATGTCTGATCGCACGGGAAATCATTGGTCAACTAGCAGGCATTGTGAAGAGACATGAGGCAAGGACTTTGGCATACATTTGCTACGAAGTGGCTGCCTTGACTGACAACAAGATCTCCCATGTTTGTCAAAGTCCTTTTATGAGTGATTCCTTAACCCGATATATCGGATTACAATCACAACTCATGTTTTGTTCGTCCGATCTTCCAAACAGTATCCCCTCCCAATGGGTGCTATATAACGGAGCTCCGGCACTTACTGTGAGATGAGAAGAAGATCGACCGTGCTGAGATCGAATTCATCATAGTACGGCAAAGAGCCGAGACCTTCGTATGATGGATGGATGCCGGCATCAAGCATGACAGTCTTCCCCTTGTATTGAATGATGTGACAAGATCGCCCGACCTCATTCCCTCCTCCTAGCGCAAGGAACATGAGTTCGTCTGAGGGATCGACAGGATCGTCATCCTCCAATTTGGCATCAATTGCCGCGTGAGATCGCTTTGTCGCCATGATATCGCAAACCCAAAGTGGGACGCCTGTGGCAAGGAGGGCGAAGACGGTCGAGCTGATGGAAAGATCGTGGAACTACTTCATCTGCATTGGACGGAAATGCACGATCCAATAGTCATTCTCTACGAACAAATTCGATGTCGGGTTGTATGTCGTGCAGGCGATGGATGCGATGGAACATGGCTTGACGAAGATGTCTCGCGATGGAGTGTCGTCGCGTCTTGAAGCGGAAGCACGTGATGAGTCTTGGCGTTTCGCGGCCGCTTCCTCCGCGTTTGAGAAGGTCGCGAACGGAAAGAGCGCAGTGCAGTAGCTCCAGAATACACGACGGAAGCCTTTCCGTAAATCGTGACAAGCAAAGTCACTTGGATCGATTTTGGCGCCTGCGGATATCGACATATAAACATCACGACATCATCGACGCCCGCCACGCATCTCCTATTCACGACTGCCGAAAGCGACGCATCACCGGATTCGACACGAGAATGGAATCATAGGAAACGGCGAATTCTGTTGTCTGATGAGCGGCCATCAAACGCGCCAGTGAGGCATCGCCCTCGCGTGCTTTGAATATTTTGCGCATTCATAGCGAATCGCCTCTATCAATTACGGAACAGAAACGCCTCTTCACAACAAAAGACATGTCGTTCTCAATGTCTCCGCCGCCGCCGGCGCAACCGCCTCAACAATTTGTTCCTCCACCTCCACCGCAGCCTGCGCATAGCCCTACACAGACTCAACTTGCTCCGCCATACTCGCAAACAGGCTCTCCGATACCTCAATCGCCGTATGCTGCTCCACCTCCTGCGAAAAGACAGCGGTTATCACCAGACCCGAGGAGTCCAATGAACGCAATGCCGCAGTATCCTCAAACGCCGCAACCCGCAAGCCAAGCCAGTGGATATGGTAATCCCTACGCTCAGCAAGGTCATCAGCAACCTTATGGAAATAATGCGTATCCATCGCCATCGTCACAAGGTGGCTTCAACACACCCCAGCCATACCAGCAACCTCAGAGTCCCTGGCCAGCGCAGCAGCAAGTAGCTCCCAGTCCTTCGCGGGGAACTGGAGCCGCTTCACCACCAACAACTTCACAGATGATGCCGCCGCCCCCCAGGCCGGTCAAGGAAGAGCGAGAAGAAAAAGTCGGAGTAGATGATATCAATGACAGTCTGTTCGGAAGTGGCATTAGTTTGAAGGACGAAGAGAACTATTTCCACAGCATGTGGAATAATCGTCCTGCACAAGTTAGTTTCGCCACAAATCGGTCTACATCGTTTGCTTCGACTACAATAAGTCCGGAAAGAAGTTTCAACTTATTGCAGTCGGGCTCATCCTTTGGCGAGCAAGGCAGTGGAGCATTCGCTGGAACTCTAGGCCAATCTTTGACACAAGAAGAGATTGAGAGCGAGCACAAGAGGAAGCGAGAAGCTGCGGCACGGGCAAAAGCAGAGCGTGATCAACATCATCTGAATAACCCTTTCTTGTTGGGCAACATATTGCGTCACAAGATACAAAAGCAGGCGTACGAGGCGGGTGTGAAGGTCGAGGTGCAGGGTGTTTACGAGCGTGCGGAACCACCGAAAGTAATGGTCAACAAAGCAGGCACAAATGGTGTTGCTGCACTGACGGCAGCCCCTGCTCAAGACGCTGCGCCGAGCAAGGTCGACGTTGGGGTCCCCTTTGAGCAGTTGCTGTCGCTGCTGAGTCTCGCGTCTGGCGAGCGGATTCGCGGGCTTGTAGATGATGCATACGGATTGGCTCGTGTACGGAGATACGGCGATCATGGACGAGTAGTGCCGCCGGAATTCGCGGATCTTGCAACCGGTGAGGGCAAACAATCACAAATTACAATCTCATCGACAAACATCAGTGGCTCTTCGTGGGAGCAGTCAGCAGACCCGGATCAGACCACAAAGGGTGCTGAAGAGGCAGAAGAAGCGTCACAACAGACTAAAACCATTTCCTTCCAAGGTACACTCAATACGCACTTTCGACAACTCGCTGAGCGCGACCAACTCGCCGAGAAGGAACGTATAAAAAAGCGTGAAGCTCGAAAGCGCAAAGGCGAGAATACTGCTGGGTCAGACGAGATGACTACAGAGGGTTCCGCCACAGACGCAGGCGATTCGGCGGCTACCCCCAAAATGACAAAAAAGGAACTCAATAAAAAGAACAAAGAGAACGCAACCGCCACCGAGGCTCAAGCAATCAACTCCGCCAACACCACCGCTGCGATGGCTTTCATGGGCAAGAAGAAGAACAAATACGGCTGGATGACGGGCGGCATGGGCAGTGTGCAGGGCAATCGCTACGCCAAACCCGCCTCCGCCGGGGCGGCTGTCAAATCCGAAAATGCGGCGGGCTCATCAACGCCTGCGTCATCCACTGCAAATGCGAACAACGCCGCCAACGGAACGAATGGGCCATCTGCATCAACGACGGATTCTTCAGCAGAGAAGAAGACCCCATCGTGGGGTGAGTGGCGAGAGGACGGCGTAGACGGCAAGGGCATTCAATTGCGAGACTGGGTCCACGTTCTCGAAAGAGATGGCCGTGAGAGAAAAGCGTTGTTGCAGGCTAGTTTGAAGTTGCGGTGAGAAATGCTGAAAGGGGAAACACGTCTTTGTAATTGTTCCACTTCTTCTTCGTCCTCCCTTCACTTCGACTTTTTTGCTTAATTATATTACTATTATTACCTCTCTCATGCTACGAGATGTCTCAAACCTTACGTTTTCCACAGTACCTTTCTACTCATCACGATGTCATAATGTCAAGGACGTGTTTTCGAAAATTTGGCACGCCGGAACACTTTCTAACCGAAGACAGGGCACTTAAGAGAACAGTATCAAGCTATTCATCCAGGTACTGAAAGCATGGCGAAAGAACAAATCCAAGAGAACTAACTTGCATTGAGTAGAGTACAAAATTTTCATCTGCTGTAATCGCCTGTGACATCCGGAACCCTTGCCGATGAAATAAAGACAAACTACCATTTCACCACGTACTCACCTCCACTGTACCCGGGGCCTTGGTATATTGTGGATGTGCCTGGACCTTGATCTCCCGCGGATGGTCCTGAACCTTGGTAGCTTGCTGAGGAGCTTGGATCTTGGCATCTTGGGGATGTGTCTGGACCTCGTTGCCTTGCTGAGGTGTCGTTGAATGATGCTTTCCCGGCTCGGCATCTTTGGGAATCTCTGGTTGATCTTTGGTCTCGCTGTTAGCGGTACTTCTGGGAACGTCTCTCTTCCTACGACGGCGCTTGCCTCGAGAAGATCTTGTGCTCCGCGCATCTTCGCCCTTGAACTTCTCATGTGCCGACTTCGCAGGCGTCGGCGTTGGCGTTGGCGTCTCTGGACACGGGACATTTTCGTGGGGCCGACTGGTTCTTCTTTGGAAGATTGCCAAACTCACAGGCTTGTCCGACTTACATCCAATCTCCTGCAAATTGCCACACTCCCGGAATCCAAATTGATTATTCAACCATTGCCACAGCCATGTCATTTCGTCATAGCGGTGGTACGGGACGTGCATGAGGATGTTCGTGATGGGCCGTGGTGGCGCGCGTGCTATTAACTCGGCATCATGAACTATATACCGGTTGCTATACTGCTCAAGATAGTCCGCGTCGAGTATGGATATCAACTTGTCGAGAAGGCAAGTCGCGATGCCTTGTCTCAAGTGACCACGGTGAGTGAACACCTGAATGCCGACAGTAGAGGCGAACTGAGACGATGTATATTTTTGATCGTATTTCTGTACATCAGCAAAGCCGAGAATTACGTCTGGCATCTGTCGGTCCTCGACGTGACCACCGTGTCGAGCTTTGTGGCTCTTTGAGGCCTTTACTAAGTGTCCAGGTTCATATGCAATGAGAAACGGTAGCTTTGAGACCTGTGCGCTTCGAACTCGCTCGAAGATATCCTTTTGGAGGCAGGGCGAAGCTTCTGAGGTTTGACATGTATTCAGAATGCAATGATTATACAATGCTAGAAGGCAGGCTGCGTCGGCAAGTTTGGCGAATCGCAAGCTCGGGCTTTTCTCATGCTGATAGATTGGCTGTTCATGAGCGCCGTCTCGTCTCGTCTCTGTCGTTGTAGCTGGAAGAAGTCGGTTCATACGTGTAGCGGCTCGAATTTCGGCTTCAATACTCTGTTCGCGAAGCGCTCGTTCTTTTCGTACCCGGTTCTTTGCATGCCGCGCACTACCGAAGTCATTCTCGCGTGCGAGGACATCCGTGAATGATTCATCTGGATCCGGACCGACGATCTCTGGCTGGCGCACATTGTCGGGTATGAAAAAGCCTCCTTCAACGCGATGATGCCACCACAGACCGTCGCCATCGTCGTCCTTGTCCCAGTCTTGACAGTCTCCACGAAATGGACGAAACGTCACCCTGAATTGACGAATAAACGGCAACGGCTGTTTGTCTTCGATGGTGCTAGGTATCCAGTAGACTGGAGTAATGTCGCCCATAGGACAAAGCTTACTGGATTCGTTTTTGGATCCGTTGAAGACATAAGTCTTACCGCCCAAATACACTTTGGGAGGGATTGGACTGTGCTGAGGAATACCCTCCATCGCCTTGTTTATGCTAGAGAGCCAATCTTGAATTGTTGTGGAAGACTGCTTACTTGTGAAGGCAGGTCGCTTGTCCCATTCAGTAGGTGCAGGAGCCCATTCGCCATTCCAGCCCTTCAAGCCCCCGCCGTCTTCGCTATTGCCTGGACTTGCTCGCGGCGTCCATTCGCCACTCCAACCTTTCAAGCCTCCGCCGTCTTCACTATCGCCCGGAATCGCTCGCGGCGTCCATGGCGGTGATAGGGAGCGGCACGCAGGAGCTCGCCACGTGTTCCCGTCGTCTGTTTCGGGCGAGGGAAAGTCGGCCTTGGTGGCCCATCCCAACTGGCGCCTTGCGCTTTTCTTCTCGGACGTTTTCCTGTGTGCCGAACCGATGGAATGAACTTGCTGCTTGGGACTACCAAACTGCAATTGTGCGGCGTTTTGGGGGTTATGCCTCTGAGTGGAAGGATACGGCGGTTGCAGGTTCGCAGGCTGGTTGGGAATTTTCATTCTTGGCGAGCGAGTGGGATCTTTTGAACGTTTCGAAGGGCGACGGGCAATGTTATCAGTCGCATTCTTAGATGTCGAGCGAGTGGCCGAGCTTTGAACCTTTGGCCTCCGATTGAGAGGATTATTTGGCCTCGTAACTTCCTCCGTCGAAGGATTTGGCTCAATAGCAGAAGTGTCTGGTTTTGCTTGCTGTCGTTCTATGACACTGTCCTTTGCGAAGGCCGATGATGATTTCGAGATGTAATCTTTCGCATCAGGCTCAATAGCAGGTGCCATGTTGGTCGTACCCGAAGCAGCGACGCAGGCAGATGCGTCGGAACCTTTGAATTCGTTGCTGCCAACGACCTCCTGATCCGGTGTGGTCTTTCCATGTGCTTGATGTTTCAAAATATGCGGAGATTGATTTAATCTTGCCCTGAGATGAGGCGGCACACATGTGATGGGAGCGACGCTCTTGGTGCTTGTCTGCTGCAAACGTGTACCTGCAGTTGTCGGAGGCTTGGACTCTCGGAATATTCCACTCTCTGGTAATGTGTCGGTATTCGAACAACCGCCCTTCGATGTGGTGGGTTGATCCGGGTCGTCGAGAACCTGGGCGAGCTGAAGACGACTCTCGTGATGTGATAGAGAGGGTGCACTCATGCTTCCTCTAATGTGATGATGTGGCCAGCAGGTGACGTACGCACCACGACTACTTTGCTCTTCTTGCAACGAGTAGGCTCAGTCAGGCCTTAGAGGACTACGAGTCGACGGGGTTACTGAGTAGACAACATGGACCGGATTCTCAGGTACTTGTGAAAGGTGGTGGCAGACTTCGTCTTCCGATCGATCGCAAGTAGCTCAATGACCACGGTGAGGGTTCGGCACACATCGGTCAATCCTGAAGATCTTCTAGAAAGGAGGTGAGTCATCGAAAAATTGGGTTCAAGTGTTCTGTGAAGGCTCGTATCATCACAAGGAGCAAGTATCGCGGGTTTCCAGGTGATGCCCGGAGCCATTGGCATCGAGTGTGCAAGTATGCTTTCTAAGGCACCTGGGCAACCGTTGATTTGGGTTGTAGGACGGTAAGATGTGAATGTGAGGTTTCCTTGCCCAGGTGCTCAAATATGCGCTGAAAGCACGTGCATGAAAGTGCCTACCTGCCTTATTATTGTCATAGGTATGTAGGTACCTGCCATATAGGTACCTGGTACAGGTCGATTAGGCATGTGACGGAGCAGATAATAGCATCTGCTCAGGCAGGAACGCAACCTACCTAGTTACTAAGGAAGGTACCTGATAATACCTGATAATACCTACCTAGTAGGTAAAGAATAATCAATCATTACCACGTAGAGTTTTGCACGCTTGACGCTCGACAGGCTGCTTGTCTCAAGCGTTTCAACTCGATCATCACCTTAGAAGGAGGCACCGCTCGACATGGGACCGTACCTCGGCGCGATGATTCCCACGAGCTTTCCATCAACTCGTCTGTCCAGGTCGTTTCTGAATCTTTAAATCGAATGCACCTGACCTTTGAGTTCGCTGTTAAGTCACTCATAAAATGCGGACCAGAAAGCAGTTTGAAGTCACAATATCGACTTTCGTATCGAACTGCACAAGGTGACCGAGATTCACGCCGACGCTATCGCGGGAGAAGACAACCGAGGGATTGTCCGATGTTAGCACCAGTGCCGTCTTCACCTGGTAGTCCGGCAATAGCGGGCTGGCATATCGTCAATGCTGGAGGCGTCAATAATGGTTCACAGTGAGCTGTCAAATGGGTGTAGGCTCAAGCAGCGCTGGGCCGATAAACGTGCGGATCGAGGCCGGCTTGAGATCGTCAACGGTTCGCGAGGCATGCCAAATGCCAGCCACGAAAACCGATGAAGCGGTAAAGAGCATCGGACGTTGTTCAGGACATTCTTCAATTCGAGCTATTTCTTCACGACGACGACGAGACCGCAGACCGTAGACGACAAAGAATGCTGTCAAAGGACTTTTGAAAGTCGGACGTGATGGCAACTTTTGGGGCAAGGAAGCACATGCGCTGACACGACATGGTCGCATCAATAAATCCCGAAAATCCACGAATGAAAAGGAATACAGGGTGTGCTGCTGTAATAAACGTATACCTGTACCAGACATGTAGAAGTTAGTTGGTCGGGATTTCCTTCCCCAGCTAATAATATACTGAAAAGTCCTGTTTTGTCCCTGGAGAAATCCTGCGAGGCGGGCATGATCCCGTGGTGCGGCTCGGGAGTTGTTCAATGTTTCCCTGGTTGTACGCTGCATTGCTGCAGGACGAAGCTCGAATGAGCAACGGACACATGTATCACCATTGTTGAACACGGTCACCTCCATTTCAATTCAATGGCCGCAAATATTCTATATCTTGCCATCTCCCCACGATCTTGTTGTCCCTTATTAATCCCTCCATACGATAGAGCCAGGCCGTGACACGTGCCATTCTGGCTAGCACGGTCATGCCTCCTGAACAGACACTCCCGAGCGCCGACGAACAGGACGTCGAGCCCGCCGTGTTCCTGAAAAGCCTTCGAGAGCTATCGGAGAAACGCGACCGTGAAGACGCCGAACGATTCCGGAAATTGGAGGAAGAAGTTGAGCAGAGCCGGCGAGAGCGAGCGGCGCGTCGTGCGGGTACGTGAATACTTCCTGTGAAAGACTGCAACCTTCCTCGCCCCTGGAGAAGACGGAGGAGCACCTGCGAGAAATCGCCCAAGTGATGGTGCGACCAAACGTTCGGGTGATGGATCGCCCCGCCAATAATAAAAGCGTCACACCTTACATCTCAATGTACTAATCTTCAAATGTTCTACCGTAGAGCGTGCGCGGTCCATCTCACCAGACAAGCCTCTAGCCATAGCACCAACGTCTTTGAACTTCAACAACCGCGTTATCCCGCGATCGATCCTAGATGACAACACTCCGACTTTGAGGCCTTCATCAAACCTCTCGTCAAATCTTTCCGAGCCTGCACCGGTGCACGACCTCGCAAGTTCAGACACGAGCATGAATGCCAAATCGACCGACGAACATAGAAGCAGCACAGAGGCGGTTCCTGATTTCAAAGGCTTTGCGGCCGTAAAGCGAGCCAGTGGTACAACGTCGAATTCTATTGCAAAGGCCTCTGGATCAGCCCCCTCACCTGCCGCGAATACAACAACAAGCGCAACGAGCCTGGCGCGGTCTGGGACGCTCTCGTGGCAGCAACGACCAGGCTCAAGAGCAAGCGTACAGAAGACAGTGCCCTCGGAGTCTAGCAGCACGCACGACAACGTTCTTCCACACAAAACAGAGGAGCCAGAGCCAAGTCGGGAACAGATTGCTGCGGCTCTTGGGACACGCGATCCCTCGTGGTTTCGTCAAACCGCAGATCGAGGCGCAGGATCTGCCGCCTACAGAAAGAGCAAGGATGAGGATTACTCTGGCGATCGCAGTTCAGCATTGAAAAGAGAGCTTCCTGGTTTGTCCCGGGAATCTTCAATCGATCCCGAAAGCGGAAATAGTCCTCAGCTTTCAGAGAGTCTGTCAAACGGGGGCTCCACCCGAGAAAGTTTCCTCTCTACACCGACACGATATTCTGCTTCGTCACTGACCAACAACAAACCCGACCTCAAGTCGCCTGACCTCAAGTCACCAGATCTCAAATCATTGATCCTAGCAGATGAGGGCCAGCAGCGAGCATCTCCAGCATTCGAACAGGCGCCATCGACGGAAAGCGCTTCCAACCGATCTAGTCGAATCTTCGCAATGTCGAGCTCACAAGCGCGACTCGCAAATGGTGCCGACCGTCCCATGACGCCCACGCGAGGTACCGGCGGTTTTGTTCAAAGTGCAATGCTTAAACGGTCGGATAGCGTCAGCAAAAGGTCGAGCAGCCAGAGTCCAACCCGACAGAACAGCGTCCTGAGCAATAGAGGTGGATATGAGGCAATCGTGAACCAGCGTGAGGTCCCGAAGCTCTACCCGACGCAAGGGTCAGCAACAGTAACAAATGACGTCTTCCCATCCGGCGGCACAATTCTAGAGGAGAAAAGCTCCGACAAACCTGCAACGTCAAAGGTTCCCACTGACTCGAGTGCGCGTTCGACACACCGTCACACTCGAAGTAAGTCCGTAGCATCAACTTTCAGCATGAACGAAGACGGTGTTATACAATCGCCTGGCAGCCCGTCGAAGAGGTGGAGTCCCAACAAGTCAAGCTGGATCGAGTCCGCTCTTACAAGACCAGATTCTCCATCAAAACCAGCGCCGTCGAAGAATGCTCAACCCAGCTGGATGGCAGATCTCGCGAAGGCAAACGCGAAACGTGCCAGTGTGGATGTTGCACAAGATCCCGTACTTAAAAATGCTTTGGATCTCCGCCCGAAGCCCGAATTGATGACATCTAGATCAACTGCGCAAACTCCTCCTGTTGCTGAAAAATACAGTTCGTCAACGACAAGACCCGACGCTACAGACTCTTTCGCATCATCAGCGAGCTCCGTCACTCCAAGACCGCTCCAATCGAAAGTGAACGTCGGATCTACAAAGCCTGCGCCTCTGTTTCAAGACAAGCCGAAAAGTCCCTTACCAAAACCTCAAAAAATGGAGAATTCAAGCGCATTCGCATCTGACACGCCTCCAGCATTAAGCATCAAAAGGGCGGAGACAAGTCCAGCTATGTTGACATCATCGCCGGCATTCAAGCCGCTGGAACGAGCTAGCAATGCTACAACACCGATCACCGATTTCCGAAGCGCCCTCAAGAGTAGGGCTCCTGTAGAAGCTCAATCGAAGGCAGAGCCTGAATTCTTGGCAAAATTTGGCAATCTTCGGCGAACCCAGCAAGAGAAATACGTGGCGCCTGATGAACTGAAGAGTAACATTCTTCGAGGTAAATCCGGCCTATCAGTCACTGGGGGGCCTGTCAAGTCGGTGATCAAGGACGAGTTAAAGGAAAGTCTCCTTGCAAAGAAGGAGGATATCAAGAAGGCTAAAGACGAGGGTCGCGAGCTTCCAGGAGAGGTTCATCAAAAGAAGACGGACATATTGCCCAAAGTTGTTCCAAAGCCAGAGGCTCTTGCGAAGCGGGAACTTCTTGGCCGCACTGACAGCACAAGGACGACGCAATCTGCAGCTCCCGTGGTCGAAGCCGCCCCAGAGGCACTAGTCCGCCATAAAAGCTTGAAGAAGAAGCCAGCTGTTGAAGAGACAAAGCCATCGATGGAGAGCGTTTCAGTCGCGGATGTAGCAATGGGTTCTCTCGCCTTGCTGTCAAAACAGGCCAGCGCGCCAGCTGCAATTGAAACAAGACGCGCTCCCGAGACGAGCAAGCTCGCCGCTCGGTTTAACCCCGGTCTGGCAGGTATGCTGGCCAGAGGTCCGCCATCGGGCTCCGCGTCTCGGCCAGAGAGTGCCGCAAGTGGTGTGCAGACGCTTTCGCCTGCCAGCAACTCTGTTGGCGAACCAACCTCGGACCAGACATTGACGGATGTTCGGAAAGACCGTGCTAAGGGTCCCAAGAGACGCAAGGCCGGTGAGAAGAATGCCAGTGGAAACACTGAGGTTGCCCCCGCAACGAAACCAGCTTCAGTACCAGCATTGAACGTAGTCTCGACCCAACAAGACGATGCTGCTGTTGTTACTTCGCCACCTCCCGTGACGCCGAACTCAGCCGTGCGTAAGAATTTCTCGGCACCCTTCAGGAGAGATGGCGCTGGCGCATCTTCCGAAGAGCAAAGCGACGCCCAACCTGTTGCATCAAAGCCAAAGCCTCAAGCACTTCCCGGATCGGCTGCATCAGTTATGGCAATGTCGCTAAAGAAGAGTTCGGAGGTAGAGCCTCTCACCTCGCCAACGCAAGCTTCCCAACCTGCCAGCAAGCCCTCGCCTCGAGCAAACTTTTCAAAGCCAATAGCGATGTCACAGAACTCAAGTTTGTCTCGCTCGCAACCTGCATCCGAAACGGCTCCTGCTCCTGTACTTAGTAGTGTAGATCCAGTACCTGAGTTCAAAGGCTTTGCTGGGCGCAAGACTGCGAGTGACGAGAGTCGATCCCCACTCCCTCAAAGTCCCTCGGCGGATCAAAAGCCTGCGTGGATGAGGCAGCCACCCGTTCAACGCGGTGGAGCATCATCTCAAGTGCAAGCCAATACACCCAAGAAGATTTCGCAAGAAAACCTGCCTCGATCATCCAGTCTGCAGGCGCAACACGGTGCGACAGGGCTGGGTATATCCGTCGGAGATGCGAGCCCAAAGCTCGGTGCAACAGCGACTTCGAATAATTTTCCGGCAAAGCCCGCCAAATCATCCCGAATCGTCAGCGGTCAGCTTGTTGAGGATCCATTTAAGCCTGGTAAGCAATCACCGTTTTGATCTGTCTGATTGATGAGTTTTCCTCATGCCATTTGTTGTATCCAACAACCCTCAGGTTCTAACGACAAAACGCAGTGTCAAAATAAACCCGACCGAAGTACCTACTAACTTCTTCTTGGCAAGTGTCTCCGGTCGTTGCCCTTTCGAAACAGCCACGAATAAAGACCGAAGCCAGCCGGTTCCTTCTGCGAGCCTTCGGGACTGTCATCAAATCTCAGGACTCACTCTCGATAGACACACAAGCAACACTCAGTTGCGCGGAAAAGTTTGAAGACGAAGGCAGGACGACAAAGACTGTCATTGAAGCAGTCCGTTCGAACGGCACAACCGATCTTGTGCCAGTCCGAGAAGAGTACACACTTTTCGATGAGACCGTTTATCTATGCACCAATCATTTCACCAGCGCCAAGGGTATCAATTCCATACGCTTTTTTGTCTGGGCCGGAAGTCGCTCACGTGAATCGACTGTCGACGCTGCTAAAACCCTTGCACAAAAGGCTTCCAGGGTGTATGCGCTTGCCCCTGTGAGCACGATACGTCAAGGTCAGGAGACGTCAGCCTTCTTGACAGCACTCGGCGGCATTCTCATCACGCGCCGAGGTGCCCGAGACAAGGCACGGAAGCAGTATATGTTGTGTGGTCGCAAACAGCTCGGACATATCGTGTTCGATGAAGTTGATTTCGGAGTCAATTCGTTACAGCCCGGCTACATTTATATCATCTCATCTGGGAGCCGGATGGAGGATCCCAAAGTCTACATCTGGAAAGGTAGTGCGTGCTCCACTGACGAACTCAGCGCCGCAAGACTCGCTGCTATGGACCTGACTCCCACCGGTGGCATAGAGGTCGAGAACAGCTACGAGCAGCAGAACATCTCCAAAGTCTTCGGGCCTCGTACCACCATTGCAAACTTCCCTCGCTCCAACGAACTCTGGAAACACAAAGCCATGGCTCCGAACAAGTTCGTCACCCGCCTCTTTCGCTTCCAACACATCCCCGCCAAACCTCCGGGCCTCATCAGCTCCTTCTTGGGCCGCCGCCCGAGTCTCTCTCCGATGAATACCGGCAAACCCGAGCCCATCAAAGCCACTGCCACGCCTCTCCAAGCAATCATCCAGTCTGTCCTCGAGCCTGAAGGGATATATCTCCTAGACGCCTCATACAAACTCTACCTCCTCATCGGACCACTCTTCGCTTCCATGCAACCCGTCACCACTCGCGACGCGCTCTTCGCCCAAGCGCTCCTCTTCGCTTCTGAATATGCTATTTTGGCCGCCGGCCTCGAGGATCGTGTCTCCATCCCGAAGTGCGTAGTTGTCTTCGCCGGCGTGCCGCTCGATGTGAAGATTTTGTTTCGCCAATGGGACGAGGGCTTGGGCCTTTGGGGTACGGGTGGATTGATGGCTGGCCTGGGAAAGGGTAGTCCTGGGGGTAAGGAGGTTGCGATTCCTTTGGAGGAGGTCGTGAATGAGGTTTTCCGCTCGTGATCATGGGGTGTGCTTTTGGGGCCTATTCTTCCGGAGTTCGCAGAGCGCGTGATCATTGGCGCTTTTGCGGCGGGGTTGGCTTTAATGATTGCGATAACGTGTGTGTTGGGATTGATGCATTGGGATGAAGTGGCGTATTCGTCTGTTGGCAATCATGGAACATACCCCGGCGCTGTTGGTAGGATAGCTGCCTCTTGTTATATTTACGCGTGGACAAAATAGAACGCAACTTTGGTATGGAAATTGAAACACTCTTCAGTGCGAGAAGCCTCCCCATCCTACAGTGAAGGCACACTTCTACAAGCTACTTGAAAGATCTATAAGCTATTCCGTATGTTCTCGAGTGTTCTCAATTGTCTTCCATCTGCATCGAAATTGTTTTCATCGAGCCATCCCTCCAAGGCACGCTTGACCAGCGGCCAGTCATCATCGATGATGCTCAACCAATCCGAACTCCGCGGTCGTCCATCCACGACCATATGTTTGCGGAAAGTCCCTTCATAAACATATCCAAGACGTTCTGCTGCTCGGCGCGATTTGCCGTTCAGAGTGTGACACTTGTATGCAACACGGCTATAAGGCTCGTGGTCGGACCGCGGATCTTTGTCCAAAACATGTCGGAGCAGGAGATAGTGAGCTTCCGTCGCGGCGGCAGTCCTCTGCAGAGCAGGCGAGAATATCACGGCCCCTGTTTCCAACGCCCGATATTGCGGGCGGATGTCTAGGAAGCCGATCACGCCCAGGGTCTCGCGCGCGGCTGTCGGCGGACGCTGCTGCTGGGTGGGATTCAGATGACGTGGATCTCCCACGATGGCGTACAGGACGAATCCATATTTGGACGGGAGACTCAGCATTAAAGCTTCCAATTCTTTAGCATTTTTGGCCACGGGGACGGGAATATAGCGGAAGAGCTCAGAGACTGGGCCCGGTTCGAAGTGCGTCCACAAGCTTGGTGCGTGATCTTCCCGGAAAGCTTCGAGGGTCACATATCGGCCTTTAATCGGCACCGAGTCGCTTGGGCAAACGATCGCTAGCTCTGGTGTTGTCATGGTCGGCACTTGCGATCGGCAGTCGCGTGAGAGAAATGCGAGGTGTAGTACTAGACATCCACGTAGAAGATACCGACTTCCTAGGTAGCTATCTTTGTGTGTCTAGGCTAGATGTCGGCTTGCAGTAGCTGGGAGCTACACCATATCTTGTTCTTTGTCTAGGTTCCACTTTGGCAAATCCACACATGTGTATATTTTGGTTTGCATGCGAGGACAGCAGACCGCCCGAGTGCCTATCAGGGATCATGCGTTGGACGACCATATGGTCGCCGCCTACTCGATCGTGGATTGCCCTGCCTCTACATGTAACAATTATCGCGACTGAGGTCGCACAAAGTGAATGGTGCCTTTCACCCCCCGCTAGGGTTGCCAGGAGGCCCCGCAGTCGTCGTCGTTCCGGAGAGACTCGACGAGACAACCATGCATAATTCCCGACCATGATTTATGCATGCGCCGCATCTGGGCAATCTTCAAACAAGATCTAGCTAGCGGACGATCAAAGCTTATGGTACAGAGAGAAAGCTGGATGTGCTTGGAATCGGCCATCGATGTGCGCCCGCGTAGCCCGGGACAGACGGCAAGAGCATTGCCAAAGTCCCAATCCTCCGAGTGGCGTGACTTGGCAATACTTGAGAATCACGCGTCAATTGCCTGCATTGGCGCCAGAAATGACGCATGGAAATCCAAAAGAATGAGATCGTGCGGTGGCTTAAGTCAATCTAGTGACGCACACTCGAACAATCGGGTCTCGGACCTCAATGGCCGCCGAAATCAACACTACTGATGGTGAAGAGCCCATCAATATATATGGACGAGTGTCCTGCCGATTGCAAAAACCCCACCATTCGAGCGAAGAACATCGATCAGTGGTAGAACGTCGACACCCATAATAATCACCATAACGGATCCTCATCCCGGTACATACGACATTTAGCTGAGAAAACCGTCCCATGGCTTCCACCTCATCGTACGGTGAACGACACATCGCTCAAGTAGTCGACGATCGTGCAGCAGAAACCCCCGATCGACCTTGCTACAGCATCGCCAACTCATCTACTGATTCCACAAAAGGATGGCGAGACATATATTATGGACAAGTCGCCAATGCCGTGAATATCGCGGCACAATGGCTTGTGGACACTTTTGAACGAAAGGGATCTGGCTTTGAAGTGTTCGCTTATATCGGACCGAATGAGTTAGTTGGAGTAAGACCTATGACTGTCCGATGCTGATGATCGTTCAGCTTGCGATACACCGTGCTCACGTTAGCTGCCATGAAGACTGGCTTTCAAGTATGTGATGTCCCAACAAGGCTCTCTCGGGCAGTGACTAACATTGCGATGTCATCAGGCGCTCATGGTCTCACCTCGAAACCCGATCGAGGCGCAGCACTCTCTTTTCGCGGCCACCAAGGCAGTTGCTCTCCTTTATGCAGAATCGTCGAAGGTTTGGATCGATCCCATTGTCGCGGCTAACAACGTGGCGACATATGTAGTCCCGAACGAGGAAGACTGGCTGGATGCAGCTCCCGCGAAACACTTTCCCCTTGAACTGAACGTGACTGTCGAGGAGCTCGCGGTGCTGCCTGCCTACGTTCTCCATACTAGTGGAAGTACTGGCATCCCAAAACCAGTCTTCATCAAGCACGGCTGGCTGTATGTTTAAGACTCCTGCCTGTTGAGATAAATCAAGTCGGTACTGATTCGAGACTAGGATGGCCATAGATCGATTCCACATCATTCGGACGAAGTCAGGACAAGCACCATTTACGGTGCTCTATAAGAAGGACGATCGCATGCTTGCTTCTAGTAAGTTTGAGTCCCGATGTCGAAACGATGCTTGCTAATCCAATGATAGTGCCGTTATTCCACGCCTCGGGGTTGACTCAGGCATTGCCGATAGCTATATTTTATGAAGTCATAATAAGTATGACGGCGATCAACTTTAAAAGCAAATTGACCGTGGCTGACAACATGGCAGCGTTTGGCCCGCCCAATGTTCCCATTTCGGCAGACACGTTCGATACAACCTTACGATATTCCAAAGCGAATACGGCGATTCTCCCGCCGTCGGTCCTCGAAGATCTTGCCGCCGATCCTACACATTTGGCCACATTGAAGAAATTAGATTTCATTGTGACTGGTGGTGGCCCCTCATCCCTCAACACAGCGGAGAAGCTCATAGAAGCGAACATCAAGGCCTTCAGCCTGATCTCTGCGACGGAAGGGATTCTCCCGCTGCTCGAGCCCGAAAATTCGGACTTCCCATATTTCCGCATTGATGATGAACTTGGTGGCTTCGACTGGAGAAAGGTTGAGAGCGCCGAAGAAGAAGACCTGTACGAAATGTGGATTCGTCGACTGCCAGATTGGCGCCATCAAGGTCACTTCTTCACGTTTCCAGGCACCACCGAGTACAACACGAAAGATATTTGTCAGAAGGTGCCTGGTCGACCTGGTCTCTGGCGTTACTATGCGCGTTCCGATGATGTTGTAGTATTCAGCAACGGCGAGAAGTTGAATCCCATCGACATCGAGGGCGCCGTCACAGATCATCCCAAAGTCAAGGGTGCTCTCGTCGTGGGTCAGGGTCATTTTCAAGCTGGCCTTTTTGTCGAACCTCGCGATGAGCTGAAAGACAATGCCAGTCGGGCAGCATTTATCGACGACATTTGGCCTACCGTTGACAAACAAAACCAAATGACCGTCACCCATGGTCACGTCTTGAAAGGATTGATTCGCGTGACATCCCCAGAAAAGCCTTTCCCCAGAGTAAGTCCTGCTCCCCTGCTTTGTGCCTAAGCAATACTGACATGGATTCAGGCCGGAAAGGGTACCATTCAAAGGGCATCCGCGAACGCATTGTACAAAAAGGAGATCGAGGAACTCTACAAAAATGAAAAATCTGATTCGAGTGTTAGCGCCGCGGAACTTGATCTGAGGTCTGAAGCAGCACTTGCAGGGTCTTTGGTCCGGGCCTTTGCATTAGCACTCGAGTCGCGTGGCGATGCTGTGGAAGTTGATACTGATATTTTTACGGCCGGAGTCGATTCTTTGGGTGTTCTCACAATGGCTCGGAAAATTAAGGCAGGTATCCAATCGCAAGGCGTGGCCGTGAACGACAAACTCGTATCGCCGCGAACTATCTATGCGAATTCAACGCCTCAAAAGCTCGCTCGTGCGCTCTTCACAGGCATAAAGGATGCCGGCGCGAACGGTTCCAAACAGAATTCGACAGAGGATGCGGCCGAGGACAGCACGGCCGAGTTGCAGAAGCTTATGAAGGAGTACTCTGCTGGTATTCCTACAGTTCTTCCGAAGAAGGCTACCGCCCAAGAGGAAGTTGTAATCATCACGGGCACAACTGGTGGTCTCGGCCCATACCTTCTAGCAGATACTTTGGGACGGTCTGTGGCGCACGTCTTTGCGCTCAATCGAGATCCCACGGCCGAAACGAGACAACAGGTTTCTCAAGTGGCCAAAGGACTGACCACCGATCTGTCCAAAGTCACGTTTCTCACCACGGATTTATCGCGCCCAGATCTCGGCCTCTCTGAAGATGACTTCAAACTGATCAAGAGCCGAGCTACTCGGATCGTCCACAATGCGTGGCCGGTGAACTTCAACTTGCCATTAGACTCTTTCGTGCCGTCTATCAAAGGCGTGCGGAACTTGATCGACTTGGCTGCCGCATCTGAACATATTGCCCATATCGCTTTCGTCAGCACTATCGGCACCGCTGCTGCGGCTGCGAGTCCTGTCAAGGAATCGAACTTGCCCCTCGAAGCCGCTCGTATGGGCTATGGACAGTCCAAATCCGTCTGTGCCTCGGTCCTGGACGCAGCACGAGAGAAAGGTCTTTCCAACGCCGTCATTCGAGTTGGCCAGATCGCTGGCTCGAAAGCTGAAGCCGGCGAATGGAACAGAGCGGAATGGTTCCCTACAATAATCGCCTCTTCAGCAGGTATGGGTTTGCTACCGTCTGACATCGGTCCTCAGGGAAAGAGAGTCGATTGGCTACCTGTCGAGGCAGTCGCCGGTACAATTCTTGATATCAGTGAGGCTGGAGTAGATGGCTACTACCACACCCTCAACCCCGCAGTCACGACTTACTCCGAACTCCTCCCTGCAATCACAAAGTACTTTGGAGATCGAGTCAAAGTCGTGTCATACCGCGAGTGGTGTGCCGAGCTGGAAAAATTCAGCCAGACCGCGAAGGGAGATGCCGATATTGAGAAAGTGCCTGGTATCAAACTCCTGGAATTCTATCAGGGTAATCTACGTGATGGGGAACCGCAAATCTTCGAGACTGTACGCACGGAGGAGGCTAGCAAGACGCTGGCGGCGTCGACTCCGGTAAATGCTTCGCTGATGGAGAATTGGTTGCGGCAATGGAATTTTTAGAATCATCAGGATATTGGATAATTGTGCCAAGAGTAGTTGACAGATACTCAGATACTTTTTCATGGTAAGCTTGCCGACTTTCTTTGAAGTGTGATTGCTGTATGTTCTTAGAGCCAGAGTCTAGTCTAGGGGTATAGGTCGTTCGACATTGAGGTCATGACGAGAATCTCACGTATGGACGTCCTGAAGATCGCATTAGGATTCATGTATAAATGTGCAGACAAAGACGTCTGTCCAGAGAAGAACTGACAGCGTGAACAGGAACAAAATCATTATTCAACGCTGAAGCTGGGCAAGATTCAAAATGAGACATACAAAGCTGAAGTTCTTCTGTCTACGAGGTAAAGTATGGCTAGGATCTTTACTTTTGCCTTGTGGAGGGGAGAGCTGTTCCTCATTAAATGCCTCAGACTCCTGCAGCGACTCCTGCGGCAACCCCTGCAGCCACACTTTGCCTCCATTCTCTGTGAAATGAACTATCCCAAAAGGGTCGTCGTTTGGGATAAGCCGGCACGCTTAGTTGCTTGATCTTCCAGTAGTCCTGAAAAGCCCTTTACTCCTTGACCTTCCTCGGTGCTGGCTTGATCCCTCGATAGATATCGTCGTTAGAATTGACTACCACTTCTTCTTGCCCTCGTTCGTGAAAAGGGGGAATTCGAATGAACATGGTGGCAAATGAGGACAAGTGTATGAGCTCGTGGCATTTCCTCTCGGTCTGGTTCGTCACGTATTGACGTTCACCAGTATCTGCGGATCCCCGCCGTAGCCAAGTGGTCTTGTCCTCTTGCACGAGACCGCATTTCTCCCAGTCCTCTGGGACGCAGAATATTTCCTGCATAGCGGCCGGAATCGCATGTCTATAGTACGCTCCGGACTCGAGCACAGTCGCTTTGAAGTCTGGGAACATCTGTATGTCATCGATATACCGGTTTTGGCAATCCCAATCTGGTACTGGAATGAGATCATTCTCCACTTCTTCCCACGGGCGTCCCCACCCCTCGACGAACCACATGAAATCAATCATGTGGTCGGTTGTGAGTCGGACGTATGTCGCCAGGTTCAAAGCTTTGCAAATCTCGAACAAGGTCATATCGCTGCCTCTCAGTCCCTGTGGTAGGAAGCAACGCTTTGACGTATGCGCATAATTGTGGGACATCACAATGGCCAAGATCCTTCCATCAGGGAAGAACGATGGGGAAATCAGAGACTTGCTCAAGATCTGATGTAAGGGCATGTCGTGTACGTCAATGGTCGAAGGGGATAGGTTGGCCAGCTTAGTCGGAATGAGCGATTTCCAAACTAGATTGTAAGTCAAGGTTATGTGATGTCCCGAGGTCACAGTGAGAAACTCAAGTTCGCAGTCGCTGTAGAAGGCTGCCCACTGTATCACGTTCTGTGCGACTCCTTCGGAGAAATCGAACTTGACCCTGCGATCGCCGCGCTTGACTACCAATTCGCCACCAACGTGAGGTACGGGCAGTGCGACAATTAAGCTGCAAAATTGATGCACACCACGTGGCATGTCAACGTGAACCGCAGAACAACCGGAGGGACCTGTGTACACGCTGAGCTTGGTCAGGTTGGCTAGAATTGCAGAAGTCGGAGCACTACTCTCATCCGCGACAGAACTGCTGAATACCTGGGCGATGGTGTCCACAATACCCGCGGAGTACGGACAGAAGTCGGACAGGAATTCCTCGGCGTTGAGTTCTCCGGCTCGGCAGCTTCCATCGTCAATGTCATTCGCGCATCCACACCTGGGAACAGCAGCGGAACAGGCCTCAAGCAAAGATTCCAGCGCTGGGGCGTTTACCGCATCGCTCCCAGGAGTCAGTGGCAGTTCCAGCTTCCCTCGGTCGAAGCGAAGTTGTATCCTTGGTGCTTTGAGGTCATGGCTCATGATTTCATTTGAGTCTCCATCATCGATTAGGACGCTGCCGCCGATAGCGAAGGTGGCAGCGTCGTCTTTTTGGTTGGCATGGTTGAGGATCTCCTCAACAATCTTGTCTTGTGTAATTTCCGCAAGGGTGGGCACTCGGAGTTGGCTCGACTGCTCCTCGTCTGTAGTTGAAGCCATGTCGGTATCGGTCTCTGGATATCTGAAAGTAAGGCCGCCATAAGACCAAGACACGATTCGATCATCATCTTAGATATGTCACCTCAAGGCAGCTCCGCTCGTTCAAACATTCACAAAAATCATTTGATTGGTATGTTACCTGGTAATGCCTGTGCTGTTTGTTATGGTAGTTTGCGATATCTACCTCTCTGAGTGGTACGCAAGGCAGGCGTCGGAATTTCCTGGTAGCACAGAAAGCATGCCATTGCGAGGCTTCAGGCACCAGCGCGGAGTGTGCGCCGTAGTTGAGGCTTTAACAAAGCATCGCGGATGTTTATGGAGGTTGATCTAGGCAGGTGACGAATATCGGATCTTGGGAGAACGTGTCGCGAATCTATCGCCTGTCGAAAATGCGGTTGGCTTATGACCCATCGTAAATCGGAGGTGACATCTTCGTTGTTTGGTGAGGACCGCCATCTCGCTGGGCGACTATCCTGCCCGCAGCGCGGCCTGCCCGCCGTCATCAACGGCTCTATGCCCTGAATTTATGACCGAACTCTTTGAACATGCCGCGGTGCCATAGAGCACATCGCTGGAGTCAGCTCTGGAATGATGTCGGCGGCGATACTTCCATGGTGCAGGTTGGCCATTATGTGAAATAGCGCATGTGCAGACTACGGAAGAAATAGAAAATGTTCCTGGCCACGCTGGCATCGCACTCGTCTCGGACGTTGCCCAGGTGGCATTGATCCCGCTCGTTCCCCGCCAAATATTTTGGTGAACAAACGTGATCACCTTGATGTGCACATCGAATGCGAGCTCTGGAGTATACAAAAAAGACGCGTCTCTACAGCATTACAAACACCGTTCTTCAACAAATCGCACACCACTAAAGCCCAAAATCGAGGACGACGTCTTTAACAACCATATGCGTTAGCAATGCGCACGACATAAGACCAAGTGAGGGAGATCGAGATCGGACCTGCACCCTCTCGAGATGGAAACGTCATCACGGCTCACCATCAAGACGCGTCGCGCGCTGTACGCACATGAGCTCGTGGACAACTTGAGACGCGGATCACCACACAAGCAGGATTCCCTCTCATTGCTCACCCGCAGCACGTCCTACACATGCCGTCTACAACATCGTGAGACTTGCTTTATCACGGCGACATGATTTTCATCGCAATTCTCGCAAGGCGTGCGGCTGCTCACCAGGGCGGCCTGGCCGAGAGATGCGATCGGCTTCACACGATTTCACACTGACACAGAAACGAGCTGAGGATTGCTCCGGCGGAGTATTCTGTAATTGTCGTTCACCAACTTCACGTTCTCCACGCCCCGGACGTCATTACGTGGTTTGGTGAGCTCATTCTTGCTCGCCACCCACACCCTTCGCAATCGCCTTCTCGGCACGCACATGAAAGTGCGCCTTCATCGCGAATCTGGCACGAGTTAAGAGCAAGGAACAGGTGTGGCGCCTCGAATCTCGCCTTCGGTCGCAATGTAGCTATCCCCAACAGATGCGCACAGCCAGCAGCACGCCTAGGCGTTGTCTCGGATGAGGTGGGGTATTAGTGGGGCGAGCAAGACGAAAAGCCACAACTTTCCGATGCAGTCAAGTTATGGTCTTCGGCCAAACTCCATGGCGCAACCAGTTCGTCCGCAACTTGCAGCAGGTTGAACCAGGCGGCACCAGGCACTCGGACTGAACGCGTTAGCACGGGCTCGCCAAGGGTCAAGCAAAAAGTAGTAATGATGATGACTACAGGAAGCCTTTTTGGTAAGGCGGCAAGCCGATCACGAACGAGTGCAAACCTAATCTACACAAAGTGATGCGCTTGTCTTCTGATCCAAGATCTCGTCTGGCGAACCCGAATGAGAAGAGAGATTCTCATCACACGCGATTAGATGCGGTGATGATGGATGGTCCGCTCCCTTCTGATTACAGGGCTCAAGTCCGTCCAGTGCGATAAGGACGACACGCGGGGCACGAAGCTCGACGTTCTTTACCAAGTCGCGTTTTCAGCTTTTTCCAGCAACGCGTCAAGCTCGCCTACACGCAGGTCCAATCCCATCACCGCTCCCACCTGCTCGCAGCCGGTGGGATGGAATATGCCTCTCCGATACAATGTACGACATCATTGCATTAATTAGCGTCCTCGATGAGAGGCCAACAGCGCACCCTTCTTGACGCCAGCAAGCATTGGAACATGGCTATGAAATGCACCAGATATGCGGATAGCAACGTAATAAGAGCTTTGTACAACACACGCAACACAGACCTTGGACGACAATGGCATCACTCCACACGTCTGTGATCAGCCATTGGTTGGGAGTCCCGTGTCTTGCCTTAATACTCGAGCAAAGTCCGATGCTGTGCCGGCGGAGTGGTGTCATTCGTCGTCTGCTGAATGCGGATACGCGCATTGATGATCAGACAGGTACGAGACCGAGTATTTATTGACTCGAAGAACTTTTTTGATCTCCCGCGCATCATCCTTCGTTCAAACATTTCTTCGTCGCTTCCTCCATCTTCTGCCTCATCTTCGTTTTCGAGACTCGCCAAATCTGCAAAGATGTCTGATCTCCAGGCCACCGTCGAGGAGACGCCCAAGGGCTTCCACGTTGCAGGTTACGAGAAGATTGAATACGACTTCACCTTCATCGACAACATTTTTGATCCCAAACTCGATGACCTCGCTGCTTGCTACCGCAAATGGGGGCGATGCTTGGCTGTCATGGATACCAACATCTTCAACGTTTACGGCGAGTCGATTCAGAAGTATTTTGACCACCACGGCATAAACCTGGCAGTACACAAAACTTTGATCGGAGAGAAGGCAAAGAGCATTGACACTTTCCTCTCTCTTGTCGAGTCTTTCAACAAGTTCGGCATTTACCGAAAGGAGCCGGTCTTGGTCATCGGTGGTGGTCTTGTCACTGACGTGGCTGGGTACGTTGATGTCGATCTTTGGCGCCGAGAACATTAAAAGCTTAATCATCTTCAAACGCAGCTTCGCTTGCGCTGCATACCGCAGAAACACCAACTTCATCCGTATTCCCACCACCGTCATTGGCTTGATTGATGCTTCAGTCTCGATCAAGGTCGCCGTCAACTACGGCAACTACAAGAACAGACTCGGTGCCTACCACGCTCCCATCCACACCTTCCTCGACTTCACATTCCTCCGAACTCTCCCCGAGGCGCAGATCCGCAACGGCTTCGCTGAATTGATCAAGATCAGTTCGTGCGCGCATCTACCCACGTTCGACCTGCTTGACAAGTACTGCGAGGAGATTATCCGCACAGGATTTGGTCGTACCGACGATGCCTCGGCCGAGGTCAAGCAGGCTGCCGACACCATCAACCGCGCCGGGATCCACGAGATGTTGAAGCTCGAAACTCCCAACCTTCATGAGATTGGTCTGGACCGTGTTATTGCATACGGCCACACGTAAGTACCAAGGACAAAAGAATCATTCACAAGTTGAGGATATGACGAATGATGATGAACTGACGTGAACAATAGCTGGTCTCCTCTTCACGAGCTTGTACCTGACGTCCCGCTCCGCCACGGCCACGCCATTTCCATCGACATGGCGTACTCCGCTACACTGGCAAACATCCGCGGCCATCTTCCCGATGCCGACCACAAGCGCATCCTGAACCTCTTCTCCCGCGCCGGCTTGACTATGGACCACCACCAATTCGACGAAGACATCCTCGAGAAGGCCACTCAGGCCATCCTCAAGACCCGTGACGGCAAGCTTCGTGCCGCCGTTCCCGCGCCTCTCGGCTCATGCGAGTTCCTCAATGACGTCACTCAAGAGGACCTCAACGCTGCCCTGCGCAAGCACAAGGAGATCATGAAGAGCTACCCGCGAAATGGAGAGGGTCTCGAAGCCTTTGTCGACGCAAGTGACACCGGATACACCCTCAACGAGTTGAAGCCTACTGCGGGTAGCGAGGCGGCTGGTCTCAGCGAGGGCTTGAAGAAGCTCTACGTCATCAACGACGACACCCAGACGACCGACCACAAGCCGCTCGCGGTCAACGGCGTCAATGGCAAGAAGCACGATTCACCACTTGACAGCCCCACCGGTCGCGTTGACGAGCACGGTCACGAGTGCTGCTGAGTGCGAAACACCTAGATATTTCCAAGTCTGCAAAGCTGTAGCAGGCTGCCCGATTCTCAGAATGAGTCTCAAAAAATTATTTATTCGATTCTGATGACATCATCATTATTTCATGTATTTACACGTGAAGTTGTAGAGGCGATTCAACCAAAAGATCTGCCCAGGTGGTTCATCAATACCCAGGTATGCTTCCTTTCAAAAACGCGAGACGCGTCGCCCGCGTGCAATCAATCCCCCCCACCCTTGTTTTTTTTTTTGGAAAACCTCCCAAGCTCTAGAAAGCATCATGGACGGCGCGTGGAGCTCGAAACACGCGGGGTCAGTCTGCATGAAATTTTGATGGGAAGCGGGGCCCCGATGCTCTTTTGCAGCCTGGCTGCAGGAAATGTCATCATCGCCAGCCCATTCTTAGGAGCATGCCATGGTCGCGACGGGATGACACGCCTCACCACATCTACTGTGCATATACCACATCCACATACATGTACCACTGCATTCAGGCACATCAGTACTTCAGAGGAGATCGAAGGTGTCCACCGCCACTGATGTCTCCTCCCGGAATCAACTCCTGCCCGCCTGTCTGCAAGACCACACACCTACCTGCAGCCAGGCGCTTTGCCATGTCGTCCCCTGCTCGCCATGCAACATCCAATGGCCATCGCATCATTATCCCACGCCTTGGGCGTGCTCCTCTACCAAAATATACACGGCAGGCCGAAGTCGCGAAGCTGTCGCGCCTTGTAGATAGATACATGCCCAGGTGTACGTACCCCTACAGCCCACGGGATACATAGGTTGCGCAATTCTCATGCGATGATGAGGACTGCATACTTCCTTTGAGCGAGTAAACCCATACGCGATATATACAGACCTTCGGGAAGATCAGGGTGGGGATGCCGGGTCGCGGCGCTTTCTTTCCTGCCTCGAAGAGTCGTCGTGAGCGAGTTGCGCAGATAGGTCGCTAGATGTCGTGCAACATGAGAAGTGCTTCAGGGCATTGGAGTCAAGGCGGCGGATGTCCTGTGATTGCTTGCCTTGGCATATGGCACAAGGCCTCACGACTGTGATGTAGTCGTTGGTACGGTACTCATGCCACGTCTTGTAGGCTGGTCATATAGATCATCCCCCATCATACTTCTTGTTCTGTCATATGTTGCATATATCCATCTCTCGTTCCTATCGACGACGCATCCTGAGGACGGAGTACGGAGGGCTTCTATAGGTGCTTAACATTCGCCGCCATTGACTCGGACTTCATCCGCGTTAAGTACTGTAAGTACGCCGCCAACGCCAAGGACTACTCTCACGAGGATATGGGTTTTTCTCATAAGAAGTGGCAGACCAATAATGTCTCGAATAATGTGAATGACCAGAGAACGAAGGAGTTCGAGGCTGACAAGACTGCCGGCAAGGAGACTGTTCGCAAGTACGGATCGGGCGACAAAGATGGGAATGCGCCTGTGAAGTCCTTGTAGAGATGCAGAGCCCAGGATGCTGCTTAGGCTCTGGCAGTCCGGCTTATGTTGTCAAAGGGATCGTTTCGCCAAGTTCGATTGCCCGAGGATCCTGTCCATATTTGTGTGCAGTAGTTCTATGAATAATGCTCAAGTGTGGCCTACGCTCTGCATCCGGCATCTCCCGCGTCGAAACTCTCAGCGCGAGCTCCCATCGGACATACATTGTTTGAGTCAGGTCTCAATGGTCAGACCATTGTTAGGCAGGGAACGACGCGCCCAATGCACCCCGAAGCCAAATTCTCGACAAAATGCCCGAACAGCGAGCGCCCGATGCACATCAGCCAGGATCTATCGTGATGAAGGAGAAGGCGTAACATCGTACGGGACATCCCGAAGATTGTTCAGAATCCAAGTTGATCTGCAACCCTAAGACGGTGCATCGCCCGAGCGTTCTAGAAAACCTTATTTCATGCCGATCAAACACTGTACGACCGCCCGCCGGGCCGACGGCGCCGGAATGATGTGACGGAGTTAGGGCGCCGATTTTCTTTCAGGCCTGGAAGTCGGAAGGTGGGATGGTCTGCCCTGGGAAATGTCGTAGAGGGCACTTCCAGGCGATCCAGGGGAGCGAGGGGTCGCAAAGTTTTGACTCCGCTCCGCAATACTGCCCGGCCGGCACTATCTCCGAGGTTGTTGATCAGCCAATTCTGATCAGACCTGTGTCGTTTTATATTCACATCGTGAGATGCACATCACCGGCTGATCACCTCGTCCAGCGCATTCTGTTCCTCGTATTCCTGTAATATTCAGTGATATCGGTCACTTCCCATGAGATGATCACAGCAGTTGCTGTTGTAATTTTAGAGCCACAGTTCGAATAATTTTGTCATTTTCTGCACATTACACAAAGCATCAAAGTAAAGATTCCTGTTCCTCAATTACGCCCCTGCATTGAGTTCTTACACTCATTCCATGAGTCATGCTTGTGCTCCTTCATGGTCTTCTTCAAAGTCGATTCGGACGGGACGCGTCTTACATCAATTCTCGATGTCAAGAAGAGTAGCACCTCCAAGTCCAAGGTGAAGCTCGTCGATCTCGACGGCAAGACCTTCAGTCATATTGAGAGCTTCGGCACGCTTGAACCGGCCTCCGTTGTAAGGGCTGGCGATGGACAATGCGCCCTCGTCGCTCCAGACATAGCAGGCGAAAGTACGAAGGCCATGAATCAGGAATCCCCCGCTGTAGAAAGTCAGAAGACACACTCGTCGAGAAACAGAACATTGCTGATTCAAAGCATGAGCGACGTACCCATTGAAGTCAGAGAAGAAGTAGGTCGGGGGGCTGGCGTCATATTGCTCAATGTAGATTGAACGAGCGCCCCGGTCACGGTTGATGTAGACGCCTTCGCCGTAGATGTGGAGGTAAGAGGTGCGGAACCCATCTCCACGGCCGCAGTTGTAGCCGCTCCATTGCGTGACCTCGGTGTAGGCGTTTACGCTGGCGGCCATCACGGCTGATGCGATGAGGGCGGTGAACTTCATTTTGATGGGATTAGAAGGTTGAAGAGTGCGGGCGAAGGAAGAAGGTCAGAGGTATAGGCTGGTCAGAAGACTCCCATGACTGGAGGAGAGCACCATTTTATGTTTTTTTGTTGCACTGGGCCACAGATCATAGTTGAGAATGAGCCGGCGATCTCGGCCGGTTCAATACTGCTGCTGCTGCTGCTCATGCAAGTGCCTCCAATCGCGTGGCCTATCATAACAGAGTGTTAATGCAAAGGTGAAGTTGTGATTAGCTATACGGGCGATTAGCATTGCCGGATTACTTGGCGCTACTTGGGATGCACCTGCAGGTTTCGGAGCCCGGGTGCGAATGCGATCCGGCTTAGGGCTTATTGGGAGAATGGGAAGGGGTCGGAGGACGAGACGATCCTCGTAACGAAGTCTTCTAGCAGGCACCAATCTAACGCGCCTGAGGTCAGAAGCTGCTAAGGCTATAATAAACCCGAATTGGTTTTGTTGCGAGCTGATCCTGACTCCCACGATATAGTGCCTGTGGATGCGTTTGTAGTTGACGTGGTGTCAACTCACCTAGTAAGACGCTCTAAATTCTTTTGAAAGTGGGACTGCGGGCGCCGTGAATGCTGACATGGCTCTCACGGCCATCCTCTTCACACCGTGCTTAGATTATCAGAAGAGGGAGGCTTGTACTACAGGTGACGTGTCAATAAAGCAGCGACGAGATCGATTTTGTGTAACGTGGAAACGCCCGAGGCAAGTTCGGGCCCGCTCGTCAGTCGAAGTACTCAGCATTGCCTACAAAGTCGCTAGTTGAGATGTTCGCGTGCTCGAGCTCGTGCGCGTTATGTGTGCATAGACTTTTCTTAATAGCTTTGCTGTCAATTACTTAAGCGCTGCTCAAGTGCTGATGCGATCCGGCTTCTCGCGGCCATGTTACGAGCACCATCTCCACCCGACCTGCGTGTAACTTCGCGCATTGCAATCCATTGAAATGCATCGCTCTTCGACCACCGGCCTGAGCTGTCATTATTTCCCTCAAGCTGACAATCAGAAATCAACCACCAAGTGCCTTCACCAGTAAACCGAATAGCTCGTCTCTGCTGTGCTGCTGTAAGATCAATTTGGTGCTCGGGCATGACTTCTTCCCATTCTCGTCGCTGCATATTGAAGCGGTGGAACACAGAAGGTCCTTCGCCAGGCCATGATTGATGCGTCGTGATCTTGATCCTAGGTATGTTGGGGTCGGTGATAGCGACACCGATATCTGCTGCACGACGGGCCCAGGTTGTCTCCGAGGGGCTGGAAGATGGGTCTTCTAGCAGCGCACAGCCGCCGGGAAAGATGACGATCTGCGAATCGCACTCTCGTATGAGTACGGCCTTAAGCCAGTCCCAAAGCATGCCGATTGTAACGACTTCAGTACATTCGTGGCGGGACCAACCACTATTGGTATCTGACTTCCAAAAATGCCACCAGTCCAGATGCGCAACAGGAGGCTGCGTAATAAGCATCTTTCTCCATGAAGCCTCAGGTCTAGCATAGGCTTGCCTCGCTGCAGCGTCCATTTGCGTACCATTATAAGCCCATGGAAGCTTGATCAGATCTGCAAAGCGACTGATGTCAGTCTGGAGACCTTTCTTGTCAGATGGAAGGTGAAGCACATGATGACAAGCAAAGAGCGGATCAAAGTGTGTTTTGAGAAACGGATTCACGCTGACTGCTCCGCCAATCGCGCCAGAGTCTGCAACCAGGAAAAGGTGCTCCTGCAATTCTAACATAAGAGCACATATTTTCAGCCCTGAAATGTTTGAAACCCATACAAATTTCGTCTCTAAAAGTAAGAACTAGCAAGTATTTCCGAGGTTAGTTAGGGTTACGCCCAAACTATTCACCCGCCGGTTAGATATTCCCGTTAGATATGATTTTTTAGTTAGCGGATAACCCGTAGGGCGTTTAGGAGGGTTCATTAGATTGTCATGTCCGGTTTAGTTAAGGGAATTATTGTTACGGTACCCTCCAAGGAGGAAGAAGGGTCGTCGACCTCGTCACCGCCGGCTGCACTTGCCCGCAACTACGACTGTCCAAGGCGACTTGGACAGTCGTAGCTGCTGTAACCGGCGGAGTCAGACACGACATGTTATTTCGAAGTGCACAGTAGTTAGTTATTGAATCAACCTTTTCACAGAATACGTCTTGACCATGCAACAATTATGGTCGAAGATACCCGGACAGACGCTTAATAGAGTCAGAGTCAGAGTCAGAGTCAGAGTCAGAGTCAGGGTTAGGGTTAGGGTTAGGGTTAGGGTTATTTGCATCTCAAGATAGCGACTGACGAAGGAGCTCGGATTCTACACGCGAATAGAATTAATCACGGTGCTCGCAAGACAAACCCAATTTCGACGCGGAATGATTGACAGAATGCTGTTATTCTACTCTACAAGCCGGATATGATGAAGCAAATACGTACCTGTGCTGCTGAATGTTATCGATGGAAATCTTCATAGGTGGCTCGTTACACAGGGTGGCTCGCGACGCCGGGAGGGACATTACTAGATCAAAGTTGCGCGATCCCGAGCGCTGCCGCTGTCGACGTTCAGATATCGTCTTCGAATCTCAATTGCTGAGTCATGCCCGTGGCCGAGAAGTCCCGAAGAGCCATGCTATGCGCCTCCGTAACTTGGCCAAACACACCTGTCTACATCGAAGGCTCGGAGACTACTGTGGTCTACAAAGCCTGTCATCCAGACAGGTCATCCTCACGTTTGTAGGGTACTAAAATCAGCTCGTAGCGTGGTGCGATCAGACTCGAGCCAATTCGCACATCGAGCCGCAGATCGTGGTGCCTCTTTCGACAACGTCCACCCCCATTTCGTCACCTGATGTGTTGTGCGACCTGCTTTTCCCGCTCAATCCATGTCCAAACCAAGGTCATACATGCGACATATGCAGCCCCATACCGGTCTGCCACTGCACATGGCGTCTCGCCTTTGCGGCACAACGTGTGCAGCAGCATTCTTCTCATGAGGACGTGTGCGAGCAGCCCCAGCTATTTTTCCCGAACGCTGACTACGACATGACTGCTCATCGTCTCCATTAATTCGCGTCTCTGCTGATCACCATCCGCGAACATCATCATGGTACCAGACGCCGTCCGTGGCCGTGAGGCGTACACTGTCGGCATCGTTTGCGCGCTGGCGATTGAGAAAGCTGCAGCCATCGCCATGCTTGACGACAAGCACGAACGCCTACCGCCTGCTCCAGGTGACGAGAGCGACTATACTTTCGGAACGATCGGTGCGCACGGAGTGGTTATTGCCTGCCTCCCGGCGGGCATGACTGGCACCGTATCTGCTGCATTAGTGGCCCGCGACATGACTCACAGCTTTCCGATCCGCATCGGCTTGATGGTAGGCATTGCAGGTGGGGTGTAGAGCGAAGAGGTGGACGTGCGGCTCGGGGATGTGGTCGTGAGCCAGCCGAACGGCCAGCATGGCGGAGTAGTGCAGTGGGATTTTGGTAAGACCGAGGCCGGCGGGGTCTTTCGACGGACTGGGACATTAAGGCGACGACAACGACGAACTTTTCGAAGCTAGCTATGATCACGAAGGTGGAAGCACATGTATGCAGTGCGCCCGCTCGCGTACGGTGCAGCGGGCAGCACGCCGAAGCCGCCGCACACACCTGCATTACGGCAATATTGCTTCAGGAAACGTGGTGATAAAGGATGGGCGTACGCGCGATCAGATCGCGCAGCAGGAGGGCGTAATCTGCTTTGAGATGGAAGCGGCGGGCTTGATGGACTCGTTTCCGTGTCTTGTGATCCGCGGGATCTGCGACTATGCCGACTCGCACAAGAACAAGCGATGGCAGCCGTATGCAGCAGCGACGGCGGCGGCATACGCACGGGAGCTGCTACTGTGGATGCCCGCCACCGAAGTTGCAAAAATCCGCCCCGTGCGAGAAGCGACAGGTATGTAGATGAGTGATGCTTCAAACAGCTTTTGTAATGCCTGTTGATCGGATGTAGTAGCACCACATGACTTCTCCGTCCCGTTCAGCCTACAAGGTGTCCCGACGACGGAATACTTTGTGCCTCGCAAAGTTGAGATGCAGCATCTCACCGAGTTTTTCGCAATCACATCGACACGGACGGCACAGCAGCGGGTGTTTGTGGTGCACGGCACGGGCGGGATGGGCAAGACGCAGCTGTACGCCAAGTTCGCAGAGACGAATGCGGAGCGGTTCAGCGCGGTGTTCTGGCTGGACGGGTCGTCCAAAGACGCTCTGCAGCGATCGATGGCCAGCGCAGGCTCGCGGGTGTCGACGCCTACGAATGCATCGTCGGTACCGATGGACGTCGCGCAATCGGTCGACCACTTTCGGCAATGGTTGTCGTCCCCGGGCAACACGAACTGGTTGCTAGTGATTGACAACGTCGACCGCGACTGGCAGGGCAAGACGAAGGATGACCAGGCATACGACTATCACGAGTTCCTACCGTATACTAATTAAGGAAACGTCTTGATCACGACGCGTCTGAGACGATTGCAACGGCCAAAGGCTAGCCTGCATTTAGATACTGCCGACGATGAGCTCGCGAAAGAGATGGTCGAAACTCGCGCAAATGAAGCGGTAACGAGTACGTGGGTGTGGCAGCGCCGTAGAGCGACTACGATTACTGATGTATGACAGACAGACATCGATCAATTGCTGCCTAAGCTCGGCGGTCTGCCGCTCGTGCTCGCTCAAGCAGGAGCATATCTCGGCACGACCGGGATGAGTATTACGGACTATCTCGAGCATTATAATACGACGTAGACGGCATTGATAAAGAATCAAGATCAGTTTCCGCTACAGGAATACGGCGAACGGAGCGTGCTGACGACGTGGACGATGTCGTACGAACAAGTGAAGGGCATAGATCCACTAGCAGCACAGCTGCTTGATCTATAGGCGTTCCTCTATTACGGCGACATTTGGGCGGAGCTAGTACTAGCCGGGCAAAGTGACGAAGCACAGCACAGGCCTTACGAAGAAGCAGTCCTTAGGCCAACGACGAAGCTCTCCCTCTAGCACTCGATCGGAACTCTCGTCCAATACTCGATGGTGAATATGAGCGCCGCGGATCGAGCGCCTACGATACATCCGGTAGTACATGCATAGTGTCTGCATAGCTTGGACAAATTCACAGCACAACAATTCATAGCAGCGGCGTTAGGACTTGTAGCAAGGATGGCGGAGTCGGTAGGTCAAGGAGTAGGGAAAGACTTAGGCCTTCGGCTAGCTGCACATGCGAAAATGATCGGGACGAGAGTAGGAATAGATCGATCGGATGAAGCGGAGCAGGCCGAAGAATGTCACCAAGTCGCATACTTTCTGTCGGATTGGGAAAAGTCTAAAGAAGTAGAGAATCTGTACATACGGGCGCTGGGTGGGTACGAGAAGGCATGGGGCGCAGAGTACACGTCGACGCTAGACACGGTCAACAATCTCGGCCTTCTGTACAAGAACCAAGGCAAGATGGCGGAGGCGGAGGAGATGTACCTGCGGGCGCTACGTAGGAAGAAGAAGGCATAGGGTGCAGAGCACACGTCGACGCTGGACACGGTCAACAATCTCGGCATTCTGTACAAGAACTAAGGCAAGATGGCGGAGGCGGAGGAGATGTACTTGCGAGCGCTGTGTGGATACGAGAAATTGTCCTGGATCCCGTTGGACCGTATAGAATCCGTGAAACGATCCTTATCATCTTTGCGCTAACAATCAACTCGCCTTTACAACGAGCAAGCAAGGGAGGGCATCTCACATATAGACGACGGCTGTGCGATACCGTCGAAGACGTCTTAGAAGAGAGGGAGCAGAGAGAGTCCCGTAGCACTTAGCAAGTTGATGCGCAAGATGTAGAAACGCTCTTGACCTTAGTAGCTTTCTAAAGCCAAGTCTTCTATGTAATTCATTCTCATGTTAATCTAAGGTTATACTCCTGAATAAATTTGAATTAATCATCCTTGTATCGCGTTGATATAAATTCTATAAGGACTGTCGGTAATCGGATGTACATACGCAGAGTGCGAATCTATAAGAACTAACCGTACAGACGAAACAACCGGCGCTGTAGGCCACAGTGGTTTTATAGCCCTTAGTGTGGACAGGTGTGTTAAGCCAGATTACGGAGGCGTATAGAATAGTTTTTCGGGAGTTCTCGGCCAGCGGCATTACTTAGCAATTGAGGTTCGAAAACGATATGATGAACGTCTACAGCGGCAGCGCTCGGGATCGCGCAACCTTGGTTTATTTGAGACAAGATCGAGGTCAGCAGTAGAGCTGCTTCTAAGCGATCGATAAAGACCGATAAGTCTGGAAATGAATATGTATTGTATCTGTACGAAGCGATCGATCAGTCAGGTACGATTTCGCACGAGGACGGAATCGATGGTAGCGTCTACAAGATGAGACCAAATTGGACATAGAGCGGTCGATGGGAAGCTGGCATTCTGGTCTACACCCCAGATATGTTAGAGCGTATTGACACAGGTGTTGTGGAATATTGTAGAAGACTGTGTCCGATGCTGGCTCGTTACTCAGGGTGGCTCGCGACGCCGGGAGGGACGTTACCTAGAGTCCACTTCTTCACCGCCCTCAATCTTGCTTTGTCCAGACCTAGAGTGCATAATCCCGAGCACTGCCGTCGTGGTAGCTCGAATCGACTGCAGGATTCAGACGGAATTTGGCATTGCTAACTCAGGAATCTGCGCCATATGTTCTGGCTGTTGAGCCACGTCCACATGCGCAGTCTGTGGTTTACGACCGAGTCCACAGCACTCCCAGACTCTTCATCACGTCCTACAAAATTGAATACAGCAACGCTATACACGCACTTGGCCTGCGACATTCCGGACTTGCTAGGAGAACGCGTCCTGCTGCAGCGAAAATCGCATCAAAGCAGTCTCTCCTCAAGGTTGTAGATGCTGTTAGCATGAAATCCATCAAGGAACGAAGTCGCTCGATTGATCATCTTCTCGATTACATGACCAAGGTGATACTATTATGTAGTTCCCGAGCATGAGTAAATAAAGCGAGCGGCCGGACCTGCTAAGATTAGCTTACAGGAACCCCTGGCGCGGTAGTGCTCAAAGCCTATCGACTAGCGACGAGGGACACCCAGAGTCAAGGCTGTGTTCTCGGCATAAGCGCCAGGCTCCACGCAACCCCGCAGGTGCGGCCTCTCCCACCAACGTTAACCCTACACATCATCGTCTGAGGCCGGCCTTGCAGCCTGTATCTCGCCGCATATCTCTCCCGACACCGCCGCACTCTTTCCGACGTTAACGACAATGCTCATTCTGATATCAAGTGAGGTCCGTAGAGATTGTGCCAACAATGAGCCGCTCTGGCGCATGCATTCGTCTCCTCCAGCGCCTGCCGGGCGGGGAAATTCAGCTGGCCGGACCTTTCACCGACGACAGTGTCCCTGCTTATGCAATTTTGTCGCATCGATGGGAGAGCGACGAACAGCAAGAGGTGGACTACGATGACATAGTGCAGGGTCGAGGTCGCGATAAGACGGGCTTCAAAAAAGATTGCATTTTGTGCCGAGCAGACAGGGAGGCATCAGCTGGAGTATTTCTGGGTAGACACATGCTGCATCAACAAGTCTCTCAATGGCGAACATCAATTAGCGATGGAGTCTATGTTCCGCTGGTACCAACGGGCTGCGAAGTGCTATGTATACCTAGCCGACGTGCCGGCCGATGCACTAACAAAACCTGACCAAAGTGAACACGACTGGGAAACCGATTTGATTAAGAGTCAGTGGTTCGAGAGGGGCTGGACGCTTCAAGAGCTCCTTGCACCTTCTATAGTCGAGTTCTACTCGCGCGACCGCAGAAAGCTTGGCGACAAGCGCTCTCTACAAGATCTCATCCACTCTATTACGGGAATCTCCGTTGACGCGTTGCAAGGGCGACGCTTGACTAGCTTCAGCGAGAAAGAGCGGTTTTCGTGGATGGAGCGCCGTAAGACAAAATACGAAGAGGACAAAGTGTATGCACTGCTTGGAATCTTCGATGTCGAACTACACATCCATAAGGGGCAGGGATGGTCTAGCGCGTATCAGACGCTTCGCCAAGCGATCGATGCGCAGACCCGGATCCTCAAGGATCTGCGAGTAACCCATCCTTGCGACGATAAAATACGCATCGAAAAAGACAAGGGTGGCTTGCTAGCGGGTGTGTGCGACTGGATCTTTGACCATCCAGAGTTCCAGCGCTGGCGCGAGACTACCGGTTGCCAGTCTCTATGGCTTAAAGGTGACCCGGGAAAAGGAAAGACGATGCTTATCTGCAAAATTGTTGATGAGCTCGAAAGTAACGAGCTAAAGCAGTATCAGTTGTGCTATTTCTTCTGTCAAGCAACAGACACACGCATCAACAATGCCGTTGCCGTCTTGCGCGGCCTTCTTTACATGCTCGTCAACCAACAGCCTTCATTAACACGATACGTTGAAAAGCAGCACCACCATGCTGGACGGGCATTGTTTGAGGACGTCAATAATTGGGTCGTTCTGGCGAAGCTGTTCTCTAATATTCTCCAAGATCCACAGTTGAACAGCACGATTTTTATCATTGATGCGCTGGACGAGTGCACATCGCAGCGGACAGATCTCTTACACTTTATCGCTTCAGTCTCAGCACATTCACCTCGCGTGAAGTGGTTATACTCAAGCCGTGACTGGCCGTCGATCGAAGGGCCACTTTCCAGAGCGCGGCAAATACTGCATTTACGGTTAGAGCTAAACGCAGGAACGATCGCGCACGGCGTCCGCATTTTCAGTGAGCAGAAGGTGCATCGACTAGCTACAGAGGAAGGCTACAGCGAACCCCTCAAGCAGGAGATTCTTCAATACTTTCAAGACAATGCAGGCGACACATTTCTGTGGGTAGCGTTGGTTTGTAAGAGTCTGTATGCTGTTCCCCAGCGGCACGTCCGGCGGAGGCTGCACGAATTCCCGCCGGGACTGGATGCGCTGTACGCGCGCATGATGGTTCAAATCGAGGAGTCGGATGACAGCGAGTATTGCAAGGCTGTGCTGGCCACTGTCGCACTCGCACTCCGACCACTCACGCTTTCCGAGCTCGGCTTCCTAGCTGACTTGCCAGAAGAGATAACCTGCAGCATGGAAGATATCGCCGACATCGCGCGTCGCTCTGGGTGCTTTCTTACAATGCGAGGTGACACATGGGAAGACAAGGTGTTATCCTTTGTACACCAATCAGCTAAAGACTACATCATCGAACAAGCTAGGGACACCATCTTTTCAGCTGGAATGTCGAAAGAACACGAGCGACTCACCTATAAATGCATTCAGCGAATGTGTGAGCCCGGCGGCCTACGTAAAGACATCTGCAGACTTCGAAGACCGGGCACACGACGTACCGACTGTGACTCAGTAGAGATTGCGAAAACGATGTCGGCCAGAGTGACTTATACTTCCAGCTTTTGGGCAGAACACTTTATCGCGAGTAGAGAAACTTTGGTTGACGATGATTACGTCCATCGATTTCTGCAGCAGTATTTCCTCTATTGGTTCGAGGCACTCAGCTGGTTGGGACAAGCAGCTAGTGCGGTCTTGTACACCGCGCGACTTCAATCTCAGATCAACGAGGTAAGCGCAGTAGCCTGGCTCGGGCAATTCGCATGGCTGACGAAGTTGTAGGAAGATCGCGGTCAGCAAGTGTATGCCTTCCTCAATGACGCTTACCGATTCGTTTTGATGAATAGCTATGTGGCCGATCTTGCACCTCTTCAGCTGTACTTTTCTGCACTCATATTTACCCCAGCGAACAGCATTGTCCGGAACGCTTTCCTACAGCAACGTACGAACATGTTTTCTATGCTGCCTAATGTATTTCCGCATTGGAGCGCCACACTCCAGACACTGACGGGGCACACGGACTGGGTCTCGTCGGTCACGTTCTCGGCGGACGGCACACGGCTGGCGTCGGCGTCGGACGACGGCACCGTGCGGCTCTGGGACGCGGCGACGGGGGCGCCGCTGCAGACGCTCGAGGGGCACACGGGTTCGGTCTCGTCTGTCGCGCTCTCGGCGGACGGCACGCGGATGGCGTCGGCGTCGCACGACCACACCGTGCGGCTCTGGGACGCGGCGACGGGTGCGCCGCTACAGACGCTCGAGGGAAAGACGGAATATATCAAGTTCTCGGCGGACGGCACGCTCCTACTTACCGATTTCGGGCAGTTTGTAGTGTCCGAGAACGAATTCTACCAGGATCCGGATCATGTGCTGCTGAAGCCTATTCCCAATACTTTACAGATAAGAGAGGAATGGATCCAGCGCAACGGTGACGACATCCTGTGGTTGCCGCACGATTTCCGCGGAACATGCTCAGCAGTGTATGGAAAGACGCTCGTCATCGGGCAAAGCTCAGGAGCCGTGTCATTCTTCCAAGTACAAGACGACAGCCATGTAGAATCGTAAGCTGAAAATTACTGTATTTATTGCAACGTGTGTCAATTATTGTCCGGCAGCTAGTGTGTAAACCACAAGCCGTGGCCCTGGACGTAGAGAACCACATACTAAGAGGCGCAAGATGTGGCGCGCTCGCTATCTAAAGCGCACTGCATGACTCAGCGTTAGCATCTTCGAATCGACTTTGCTACAGACACGAACGGGAGTGCTCGGTATCAAACACTACTCCTCGCCGTAGGAAGAGATGCGTATAAAATACACGTAAAGCATAGAGCAATGCAACGAGCAGGTTATTTATAGAATAGAGTAGATGTAGGAAATGCAATTCTGCGCTCAACGTTAGAGGTCGGATTTTTGAAGGAGACTAAATTCAACACGACAACATCACAGCAGAAGATATCGCATCATGAGTCACATGTAAGAATAAGGAAGTCCTGCTGCTTAACATGGTACCTAGTCCTGTGTTGATGCGACTGTGTTGAAGAATTTTAAAGACCAAAATGTCAGATGCCGGCTCGTTACATAGGGTGGCTCGCAACGCCGGGAGGGACGTTAACTTCGTTGTGTCTTGTCCCGATTCGAAGATAAGCTCAGCATAAGTTACTTGTGTCCTAATCGGCAGATGTAAATCGCCAGTGTAACATTCTAATGACTGTATTACTACAGACAGGTCGTGAGCAACATTAGCGTAATTGCTAAAAGGAACAGAACAATTTGGTTATCTTTGTTTAACACTTCGTGCCCATGCTCTTCGCAAATGAAACTCTCAACGGTCGCATGTTTGTCCTTCTCCAATTTATTCTCGAAACTCTGGACACTTTTTCAAGGACGATAGTTGCTTTTGCAAGGATCATATTCACTATTAACAAATGCCGAGACTTCCGGCCTTGCTAGACTCCACATTAAATCCATAGCGGACGGTGGACTTCACGAATTTACAGGCTATAAAACAATGACGTGAGTTATGCAGCACGCGCATTACAGTATAACGAACAGATCCGTTTCGTTTTACATATGCCCACATGTTGCCTGTCTCTTACTACCGACAGCTGCCGCAGACAATGTTATCACGACTATAGTGCATCATCTATCTGAGTTTGAAGAATGACACTGCGCCTGACGCTTGTCCTACTACAAGCGTTCGGTCTCGCAGAGCTGAAGTGATCCCTCGATAACCGTGCGGGAGCCAGAGGAGCCCTTCAGATCGATGCTTGGTCCACTGCTCACGATGCCGTCTCGGTAACTACGTCTTGTGCCAGGCTTAGAACACCCTCCGCAAGCTTGAAAGTTGTATAATCCGAACGCAAGCATGTCCCGTCTGCGCTTAATGAAAGCCGTGTAGTGATTCTCGAAGTCTTGAAGAGCTGTATCGCCGCGCCCGTCATCGCATTCCATAGCCGCACCGTCTTGTCATCAGACGCCGATGCGACGACCTGCCCGTCCGGCGCGAAGGCCACTGCGGTGACCCGCCCATCGTGCATTACTGCGTTCCACAGCCGCACCGTCTTGTCCCAGGACGCCGATGCGACGACCTGCCCATTCGGCGAGAAGGCTACTGCATCGACTCCATCACCGTGCCCTTCGAGCCGCTGCGTCGCCTCGCCCGTTACCGCATTCCACAGCCGAACCGTCTTGTCCTCTAGAAACTACGTGAGCATAATGCTAAATAGACACAACCGGATTCTTGTTTCCTCCAGCTGTCGAATTACGGCTGCCAGCGACCGGTGTCTCGTTATTTAATTATGGCAATGCTATGCTGATTGGTCATACCAATCAGTGAAAGCATACATTGCGCGTTCTTTACGTAGCTTTACGTGTACTTTGACAATGTCGAAGATATTCATGTTTGAAGGCAGGTTGTTTGCTATCGACGTTCCGGCACATAGGGTTTCCATGACGCAGGGATGGGGATTACTCTCATTTTGGCAGTCATGTACATATGAGCTCGGCAGCGACAATGTATGATGGCTTTCTGAACATGGTATTGCGGTCTCCACCTCTGACGAGAAGCAAAATCCTTGATTGCACCGTAACTGAGGGCGAGTGAATCAGCTGATTCCTGGGCAAATTTGAGACGCGTTTCTCGCGAGAGTGTCCAATGAGCACATAGATGAGGTCCGATGCGGTGACGCTCGTTTGACGCTCAAGGACGGAATCACGGCAGGTTGGGCGAGACCACCTCCACTTTATCGCAAAACGGCCCTGGGCACCATCCCAACGTGCATATCTGACTACTTTGCGACATTGCCCATCATGTGGGCTTCGACACTATTTCCAGACCGCGACAAAGTAATGGTTGATTGACCCGCCAGACCCAAGGATGATCAAGTCTGTCGTGCGGCTTCGTCAACAATGCTCGAACATTTCGTTCACCGAACCCACGTCTAGCCCGTCTTTCGCACGCCGTCTTTCGCACGTACCGTTTTTCGGCATTGCGTACCGCCCTCTCGAAAGAGCAAGAAACAAACGGGGAGGCAGCGAACATTCACCTGTGGATCCTGATTGGGTGTGAGTGCGCCTTTTACGAATTGAGACACTGCCACGGATTTGGAATGCTCTGGCAGTGCTGTTCGCCTGTTCAGCCCGCAAAAGATGATCGGGGAAAGGATACACAACGCTGAAAGGTCGACTTTCCACATACGTACGTGTCATTCCCCATGCAAGGCAGCCGCGGACAACTCAGGCGGCCCTTCGGGTATCGTGTGAGCCAGCTAAACGTTACATGCAAGCGTGCCGTGACCACTTGCCCTGCCGACTACAGTCTAAGTTTCCACATTCGCTCGCCCCGAGCGATGTGAGCTTCCGCAGCGCTTCTCGGATGATCATGCAATTCATGTCTGGTGGATTCCATGTCGTTGCCTATCACGCCTGCGCGCTGTACGGCGATTAATTTGGATGTGGTATGTTCAGGCTCATCGCGCACACAGCCGAGACGGAATACGCGAGTGGTGCATCAACAGGTCGTGCCCTGACAACATGTGGTCCGGCGCAAATATTATGATGGATGTTCCTTCCACGTGCTCCTCATCTCATACGTGTGCAATGTCGATCGGGAGAGGATCCGAGAATAGAGAGATACGACATAAGATTAAATACAATTTTCTAATGGTTCTGTCATTCCGCGCCCCGCTTGCGTTTCAGGGGGCTCAGCACTGAGAATGATTGCGCCCAACGACTTATATTAGACGATGCGTGTGGCGAGCGGACATAGCAATGGTTAGTGCATGATTGCCCACAAGCACACTCCAAGCTCCGAAGTACGTCTGTTGCGTCCTTTGCCTTCTGACTCGGGTCAAGGCTGAGGTGGTCCATCAAGGTCCACAATAGCTCTTCCCTCTCGGAAAGCAGAGCTGCGCTGCTCGTTCCGAGAGTCTCGCGGAACATTGGAGAAGTTATGCGGTCGGACATACTGCATGCATCCCACACGATGTTCAAAGCCAAGAAGGTGTTCTGACTGAAGTATACCGTGTGCACAAAACCTGGCGGTATCACGACGAGCTCGCCACCGTTTGCGCAGAACGCTCTTGTGTTGATGTCAGGCCGCCAGGCTGCGCCGAAATCCATCAGGTTGTCCCAGCAGCTGTTCATGGAATTGGGCGATGCATAAAGGAACCAGGCTTCGCCATCAAGGACTTGGTAGACATGGTGGGAGAGAGCGTCGAAATAAGTGCCTGTAAAGGCGCCCGCGTTTCCAAAAGTTGAGCCACGCAGGCGAGCGTTCGCGTCGGTTGCCATTTCACTGATATCTTGATCAGCCCACCTGGGGAGTTTGACAATCAGTTGAGGCAAGAGCTGAAAGCGAGGATGTCGTAGAATGGCGGGATTTGGCAGGTCAACACTATGTCCAAGGTTCGTCGTGAGGACCGGCTCTGAAGTGCCGAAAACAGAAAGAAATGCACGAGTCCTCATCTTTGTCGTCGTTCCATTCACATGAATTGCTTGAATGTTCGTGTATCCGTAGGCCGCCGACACCGCCTCGAGCGCTTCGTTCGCGTCTCGGCGCAAGCCCGGAGCGTCTGTGAGCAACGTCGGCTGGCGGAAGGAGCCACCGTTCTGCAAATATTCTTTTGCGCTCTCCATGGTCCGGCATAGCACATTGGAGTTCGCTGCTGATGACAGCCATTTAGCTCTTGCCAACGCCAGCGGTGCAGCATTGGGCAAGACTGCAGTCTCTTCGACAGCTTTGGTGTGAGTGGCCAGAGCGTCCTGCGCCTCCAACTCCGCCATACACATGATGATGAGCATCAGACCAGCTTTAGATTTTTGAGACGGACGTGCTGGACACGGAATTGTCGGCCAAGCGCCTTCAATTGTGGTCTGCTCGCCAAGGAAGCCTTCCGGCAGGCCAAAATCAATGGCAGGTAGGAGCTGAGGTGATTCGCATGTTGGCCCGAAAATGTCGAGGGATTCAGGCAAAGCGAAATGCTCAGTCAGGTCAAATTCGCTGATCATGTTCGTGTCCTGATGACCATCTGACGTGGCGGCTGGTATGGGGCTGAAGGACCAACTGTCGATCTCGTCGACACTCCAGTCTTGAGATTCTTGCCGACCAATTGCAGTGGACTGCATGGGCATCGCAGATTTCGGTCTGGCCTCGGCGATTGGTGCGATGCGCTTTGGAGTTGACGACAATAGATTGGTGCGTTTTGGCTTCGGCCTGTAAGAGGATGCCACGTCCTCTTTGCGGCAAAAGCGTCCTGTGCGATGAAACATGAAAAATTTGTTGCACCCCAGGGCCCAGAAATGAGGTACTCCGTCGACTCTTTGATTCAAAGGCTTTCCGTCGACGTCGACCGAGCCATCGGTATCGTAAATCCAGCTGTGGAGCTCTTCTTCACTAACAGGGCCTTGTTGACATAACTGAACATCCTGATAAGTATGGTTAACACAGCTAGAAGCTCGAGTTAGACACATTCGGCTCAAGATCTGCCATTCATTGAGCTGTAGCGATGCCGTCGAAGCAAGGTTTTGGAGATTGTTCTTGCCCAATATGATGGATTTGTGTCGGATCAGCAGAACTCGATTGGCGAACTTGACAAAATGTTCTTTGGACTTGTATCGTCGAGAACATAACCTGGCGCAATTCAAAGTGCTGACAGAAGCTGCGCTGGTGATGCCGAGCGAGCTTGCGAACTCAAAGCCCCAAACCTGTTGAATATCTTGAAGGTGAAGACTTGATCTCAACACTCTGGTGTTCTTCTCTGAGGCTCGAATCGCCTTTGAGCGATCAAAAAGATATTGCCAATTGGTATCGCCCTCTTGCAACGCATCCTTGTCATGTCCTTGATGTTCGACAAAGTCTGCGAAGCTCACAAGAAGATCACTTGATTTCAAGTCTTCTCTCAATATCTTGTCACGAAATCCTGCCAATTCTTCCTTCGAGTATCTCTGCCCTTCGGGGGAGATACCAATGATCTCCAAATGGTTGAAGTTTGTGGATTGGGGAGGATTTTGGGGCATCGCCGAGTCCTCGGAGCCGAGCTCCATGATCATGTTCAGCGCTGTTGCATCTCGGCCCTGACAGGAGGCGACCGATGCATATTAGTATAAGTCTGCAAGGTCTGCCCGTCAACATCCCTTCCTTCTCTACGCGCCCTAGGTATTCTTCAAAGCATCAGTGCGCAGGATCATCCCCACCCAATACCCTTTCTTGGCCCACTGCTCTATTATTACACATGGATGGCGTCGATCAGCGAAGGGAGTATGTGGGTGCGCACTATTGGTGTGCACGCTGAACACATGCCAGGCTATGGCATGAGGAGAGGTGAGGCTTTGGCCGTACTGGCATATATGCAATCTTCGCACAGCGTACATTATCACACAAAGCTCGTCATTGGGAGTGATGGAAGATACGCTGACAGGTGCCCGCGTCCGAGGTCTTCAGACGCCTAATCATTTTCGCCCACCGTATAGTGAGAGTCGTGACATACATGATTAAGTAGCGGCAGCTTCATCACGCACAAGTCGCTCGAGACCGTGTTGACGTCCGGACAACCTCGAACCCGGTAAGTGATGTCTGCGATGCCAATATCAACCAATCGGCAGCAGTGAGCCACAGCGCGGTAAAGTGATGCATGAATATCGGCAAAGGACTACGAATTTACTGGCAAACTCAGAGTCTGGTCAAGGTGCGCACCGAGAAACAAGTTTGAGGGAGCTTTCATTATCTGCGTGGTTCCGGAGGTGTAACTTCCCAGGTATTTATATGTCACAGAGAGGGCTCGTGGGCCGATTGGGGTTCCTGGGCGGTGGGGTCACGGGTTCAAGCTCCCAGCCAGGAAACGGAACACGCATGTTCAACACTGCGGGTTGCGGCTGCGGTTGTACACGCCCAGCTGTGAGCACCGGAGGGAGCTGCTGGCCTGAGCGCCCGGAGAGGACTTGGCCTGAGCGCCCGGGGAAAACTTGGTCTGCGGGCCTAGGAACGTGTTGGCCTGCGTACACGACTCCCACTTGCGTCTCTGCCTTCCGTTTCGCTGCCCTCACAGGCGCACATTGCTGCCCAAGCCCAGGCGGTAAAGTGGTCGCATTTTCGCTGTTACGCCATCAGCTTTGTCGTTCGATCTGCAGTCTTATGCTTACATTCTTCGGACGCTTGGCGCCGCATACAAGGAGTCCGGTGCGGTGAGCAACTCGCGCAAAGTCCCAAAATAGAATTCGATGTTCTGAAGACACTGGAGCATCTCTCTTTTTGAATCCACTGATTGATGGTACATCATGCGGATGGAGTGGTTTTGTCGGCGAAGGTTGTCGATATCCGCCCAAAGCCTGGCGTTCTCATCGTGGAGCTTGTCGTGCGAGTCGCTGGCGATGGTGTCAGCTTGATTGGAAGAAGCCATTGCGGTACTAGAGTGATTTCTCGCAGGGTGTTGACTTTGTGAGGTCTTATAGTCCTCATGACACAGTCTAATTCTGCGCCGCGTTATACGGATCTTAGCAGCGAGGCGCTCAGCGTCGCAATCTTTACTCACCTGGTCACTCGGTCGCCCGAAACCGCGAAGTCAAATGAACGATAATGGCTTCCCGCCCCCCCTCTCCCTCATCGATATCGACAACGCCATTCCATAGAGATAAGCGATTACCACAAACAGCGATACTTCGGGCCGAGATCCCCTCGCCACCTGCCTGATATAGAGCTTTCAATAACGCAAATTTTTCCCCCTGGTTGAACTTACACCATTCAACGTCATTAGCTTCGCCATAACCGCGCAAGGGAGGACCAACCTTGATGCTGCTTTTTGCGCCGTCGTTGCATCAAGCGCATCTGCGCGACGGGGTGGCTTCTTTGTGTTCGTCGGCTATGCTGTGATCTCGAGTTCTACCTCGCCGACGTACAGGGAAAGCTTCGTGCAGACCTGTGACCTTGAGGAGCGGTTGACGATCTGGACAGTCACGCTGTTCCTCCTTTCAGTCGCGCCGAGACAGCACCACAGCACCAACGACTGGCGGTCGTGCCGTGGAGACCCACCATGATACATCGGCACGATAAGGTGCGATTCCGCGATGCATTGCACCACTCTGGATTGTGTTCGCCCATCGTTCTCGTTCCCAGCCATGGTGAGGTTTGGTGGTAGAATGACGGACGCGACGACGAGCGGCGTAGGGATCGAGTTCAGATATGCCAGAACGCGGGAATTCGTTGACCAGGATCGTAAAGAATCATAGCCGTGCAGTTGAAAAAGGACGCAAGCGAAGCTACGCAGCAACAGAGCAATGGGCGGAGACGTGATGTCTAATCTCGGGATATCCGAGTCACCCGCTCAGCTAAACTGCATGTCGTTCGGCCGTGAGTCCGTCTTCGAGATACTGCATAAGCGCCGTTTAGCGGTTCAGACCCCGTTGGAGGCCTCGCATTGCCAATGAGGCTACTCACGTGGGGCCTCTGCAGCACAGGCGCGGAAATGGCCAGACAACAATGTAAAGCGCCTCCTGCGGAAAGCATCAAGACCAAATCTGGGATGAAATGGCGAAAATTTTAGTGTGCGGCGCGTGTCACGCGCTAGCGTTTAATCGTGCATGATCTACATGCTTACACCCTTGCGAAGCTCATTTTGACTTCGCGCGATAACAGATCAGCGAGCAATACAGTCAATGAACCCTACATCTTGGTGCTTGCTCGCGGTACGACCACCGAGCACCAAAAGCCCTTTCAGCTCCATCATTGACGGACAACAGCGGAGATAACAAAAAGGTGGAGACATCTACAAATGTCTGGCGGAAATGCAGGAGTCTAATCAACTCCGGCCCGAAACCCTCCTCGCGTACGGCCGCGATCGATGTTCACATCAGATGGCAGACCCCTGCTTCCTGCCCGGCCTTGATCGACAAGTGTGTTCGAATTCAGCCGAATGTCCCGATCAATCGAGCGATGGCATCCATCTGAATGTAGACCATCTGCATAGCTGCTTTTACATACCACTCCAGATTTTGTCGAGTCTCCAACCGAGTCGCGATAACAGAGATTTGGTCCCCGATTTGCTGAATCTTGTCGCTGACTTCATGGAGCTTCGCCATCGAGCGGGCAGGTCGCTTGACAAAAATGTTGAACTCATAGCTTTCCTGGGTAAATCGCCCCGTTGTCGATGGGGATGCTGATAAAGCACTATACGCGCTCCATGTTGAGGTGCGGGCCCACCCCATGTGATGCTCCGGCCCCGGATGTTTACACAGGATTCCCTCGAATATTTGGATAACTGCTTTTCGCATCGAGTTCCCAGGTCCTCGACACATCTGGACTTCTGACTGAAGCGGCGAAACTCGGTCCACCAGCCCAAGGGAAATCTTGTCCGTTGAGACCGCGACCAATCTGCACCAACTTGCATAATGCGCATACTGTATCATGATATTCGCCGCCCTGGTTCCGTGCCTTCTGGCATCTGTCAATACTCAGGTGACGCATCACCGTGCCGCAAAATTAGTGGAAAGTCTCTAGCATTACTAGCCCATTTGTTGAGGGGCAGCAAGCTCCGGAATCTTTCCACCGCGCCCGCAGCGGCTCATCCCTCTCCGTGAAGAGCTGAACACTCTCGGATGGTGGTGTTGGTTGTTCTTTGGACGAAGTGTTTTCTCTTTCTATTAATAACCGTGACGATCTCTCCAGCGGCCCTGTCTCACAGCTCGAGGACAATTTTCGCTGATGGGTCTTGAGCGCCGTGGGAATGTATACCAGATGTGACTGGCGCTTGGTGAAACACCGACGCTGGTTGATGGCTGTCACCTAGAACAGGTCATAGTTTGTGCTGCTGGCGATTGCGAGTGCCCGTAAAGCATATAGAACGAAGCATCATCATCTCTGAACCAGAAATATTTCGATCAGACAACTGCGAACCTCACGTTGTTGTGGCCAAGTCTTTCACTACTGCAATCAAATTTCCGAGCATCAAACTACTGCAATCAATTTAGCCAAACCCTTACACTACTACAAGCCGGAGCATATCAGCGGCCCTCAGACCGACCACGACCGGACGGCCCACAAATTTACTCTACGCGTTTGAAGAATGTCGTCATTTGCAATCGACCCCAACGACCTTCTTCTTCGGACGTCTGCCACTGCGCCTGCGCGGTAAGTTTACAAGCGATTGTACGTAGATTAGCGGTGAACTCATTATTCACTAGACCGGAATGTGCAGCGACAGACTATGCTCGGCGTCAGGCCGTCGTCCGCGTGGCTATTCATGCATTCAAGGCAAAATTGGAAGAGGTCAGTGATACTGTACTAAGGCGCCTTGGAGATTTTATGCTAATGTTTGAACTGCAGCGAAACATCAAGATCGAGGATCTTATCAAATGGGCATTCTCTACGGAGGACTGACTTAAAGATGCGCACCCGATCCCGTGTCTGGAACACGCGAAAGGCGACGAAGCAGGAATGAGATCCGACGGCCAATGACGTTTTCCAATGCCATTCATTTACTTATGTTGTACTATTCTATAGAGAGCGCATTGCCAAGATTTGGCACGAATGACCTTTACTTCTTGGCATATTGTAGAGAAATCTATGGCTTATCGCATTCTCCATGTACTACCCTAGGGTCTACCAGAGTGATGATAATGGTTGGTGACAAGTTCGGTCTTGCAGTCGCACACGGCAAGCCCTGGCCTCCGACGGAGAGGCGGGGAAACAAACCCGGGGCAGACTTCGCCGCAGCGCAGACGCTGCAGGTATCTTGGATAGGCCTACGGAACATCAAACCAGGCTCTACACATAAATGTATGATGCAAGCCCATGCAATTTCAATGCTGGCACCAGAAGGTTCAACAGCAGTCTATTCGTCCATAACTAAAAAACCCATACCATGGGTGCCCGAGATGGTTTCTCATTAGCGGTGACAGATCCGCTGACATCCCCCGGCGAGGAAGTCCCTATTGCCGTCATGCAAGTACATGAGAGCCAGGGGCATGGTGCGTACATCTAACAATGTTTAATCACTGCTGAGTCTGACACTGCCCAGGCTTTGATGAGGTGGAGGATGAAGATGAGAAAAATAATGGAGGCGTCGATGTGACAGACTATGGAAGCGGAACCGAGAGTGCAAACCACCAGCTCGAACTGTCCGATTTGGAAGATTACGAAGAAGACGAAAGCACGAATTGCGACGCTGACATCCTGGTGGAGGAAATGCTGCAATTGTTGGAGGTGGCCCAGGGGGCACTGGACAGTGTGCGTGATCGACTGCATGTCATGCAAAATATCCGTACATCTCGAAAGTAGATCACACATAGTGTCCTGGTTCTCAAGGCTTTAGACACCGCGCGACGCGGGCATCAATAAAACACTGAACGATGTTTTCCACATTTGGCTTTTGGTGCCGCATGTCTAGGGCGCGCCCTAGGCAAAGCCAATGCCGGTACCCAGCTCGGCCCGCTGGCGCTGATAATCACGTGATTTAGCGTGAAATGAATGGGGAAACGTCCCGTCGAAGTGAGAGCACCATGATATTGGGATCAAGAATCATGCTTTTGCGACAATCGCAACTATCGACGGGATGCACCTCATTACGGGACGTTGAGGAGACCAGCCGCGAGAGGCTTGCAGTACATCGTCGGGCTTCCGTCTCCAACGGCAGACTGAATGAAAGATGATACTCCCAATCCAATCAGTGCTTTGCGTGGAGAACACCCACTGTCTATCACGCTGGAGTAGCGCACATCTACAGCCGCGACTACTAGCTAGAAGAGGGTGTCGAACGAGAAGCAGAAGTCCTACGGTCGGTCCACCACCAGCCTACCGCGGCAATATCTTGTTGGCCCAGGACTGATGCACTCCAAAGCGCCACCCATTGCATGCGGATCAAGACCACATCGACCGGGGTGTTGACACCCACGATATGTGCAGCGATGCAGTGCAGACATGTGAAATCAATCATTCAAGCGGCACAGGAGGTCATCCTCACGCACAAGCATTCGACCTCGAGGTATTTGTTGAATTCCCATCCTTCTGTTCACATCTAGCCAACTTTCTTCCCTCTGGCAACACTTCAATTCCAAGCTACAAGCTTTATTCCTCGCAGGGTCACTGTTCGACGACATTCAGCAACCTATCAAGGTGCTACTCCGCAACCCTGTGGACTATACCGAGCCGACACGGTCCCCCAGTATTAGCGATGCGATGTCCCCATCCTGGTCACCACTCTCTCAACCCGACCGAGTGATTCAGGCTCCATTCGGCTATTTTCAAAGCCCGCCTCAAGACACGCATACGGAATACGCAAATTTGGACTGTTCAAGTCCGCCGCCTCCAGGCATTGTCCACGCGACTTGCGCAGAGATATATTCGAGCCCGCCTCAAGGCATCGCCGCTTGTACAGAAGTGAACCATTTGTCCCATCACGTGAACAACGGGTCGTACCTAGTTGGCGCGCAATGGAATCAAGCTCACAATCCAGTCAATGTCTTTGATGGTGACTCTTCGCAGCAACCGTCCCTCCTTTCTGCATGGCTTCCAGATCCTTCATTGTACCCAAGCTTCCGTAGGTATCTTCTGCCAGCCGACTTCAGTGATGGCCACAGCACGACGAGTCCATACTTCCGAGTTCAAGATCCGATATCTTACGTCGAACAATTGGAAAAGCAACTCGCCTCTCTAGAAACAGACTATCACGCGAGTGTCGCTACTCGGCAAGATCATGGGTTCCCTACATATCCGCAAGATCATGGGTCCCCCGCGACGCCGCACAATCATGAGTCTACTGCTACGCCACAAGATCATCAGCCTGCTTCGACTCCGCAAAACCATGGGATCACTGTACAGGCTCCGCCCCCGTCGGAAACCGATGTCATTTCACCGGAGCCATGCGAAAGTCAGAACAAGCCGGCGGCAGCCGACACTGGCGGCCGTTGTAGTCGTCGAATCACAAGCACTTCCGATATTCATCGCCCGAAACAGCGTCTACGCAGAAAGCGGCGAAGCGCCGCCGATCGGGGCCTTCCCGCCAAATATGCAGAAGACTGTGCACCCAAAGCGAAAACCCATCAGTGCCCGGACCTGGCTTCGGATGAGTTTCCATGTCTTCGAAGCTTCGCACGTATTGAACACCTCAATCGTCACATGAAGTCTCACGCTCCCTATGTAGACCGACCATGGTACTGTCCGATATGCGAACATCGCCCTTCACGCTGTGACAACCTTGTCCAGCATCTACTCACTCATCTGGACGGTAGCACTAGGGGCCGGCGCAATCGATTTTGCACTTGGCCTGATTTGAAGCAGCTGTTGATCGGGATATACCCAAGGAAAACTGCGGATCAGCTCATCGATTTGCTTGGTCGCAAGTGCGAATAATGGAGAAGGATGTTATACTAAGAAAGGCTTGTAGATCATCCTGGACGACGCTGTGATCTCTTCGGAGTTGGTTTTCGATCTCCGATCTCTTGTCTCTTTCATAGGAATATGTAAAGTTTTTGAATTAACTTGTACATCATGCACTACGTATCCTCCTTGCCTCATCTACTGGCATGCCTCTCAGCGTGTGGTGTATTCGCCGCTGTTGCATTCTGATAATGAAATCTCATGGTCACGTGGAATTTTGCGGACACTCATTGTGGGACGGTATGAACGCCGCCGTGGTGATAGTTTCGGTACATGATTACGAAGGTGCTGCGAAGATTCCGAAAGAAAAATCCTATGAAAGGTGGGTGACATGAACTCATCTGACTTGCGTTGGATTTGAGAGCTAGGAAGCCTCTTCTTTCGAGCTCTTTGGATAGCATGATGTGAATCGCATTGTTTTCGCCGTTTCTTGATAAGGCGCAAATCTTCTCCAGGGATCCTTTGTGGGAGGTTTTTGAGTAAGCACAATAAATTCATACAGATCATTGTCCCACAGCCGCCAACACATGTGGGGCGCCGTATACTGTGGCTCGGACGGACCTGCAAAATGTGTTGAGAATGTACGGAACCCCCGTTTGATCAGCCTCTCCAACGCCTCTAGGAATAATGTTTGCTGATCGGCGTTGCAGTGCCAAGTTCGCGGTTTAGACGAGTCAAGAGACAGGGATGCAACGGAGTTTTACTGCAGCGTCGCCGGCGGCCACATAATACGATATTCCATTCCCAGACGAGTCGCACCTTTGCGACCTTCAGAGCGGGACAGCTGATTCCATGTTGTGTGCGATGGTTCGGTAAAGATGCAGACGGAACATTGAACGAAGTCATCGGGCGGCCAGAGAAGACAGTCCGTACGGCCTCGTATCCCTCAACAAGCCTTCAATGTCCGCAGCGAGCCTACTCCGTAATCCTACATCGATACTGAGCAGAACGCAGGGAATACATATTTGGAACTCGACTGCAGCGTGCACACAAAGCCTTCGATTCAACGTTTCGACATACTTTTCGAGCGGTTCATGTGAATTGTTGGTGGTTGGATGGACTCTAGGGGCTCCATGAGGTGAGATATATATAGACCTATGCCTCCCCCTAAGTAGTCAAAAAAAAAACAACGGGACAATTCTTCACCTTCACATTTAACAGGTTATGAGCCCGGGGCATCGTTCACCACTGTGTTGACAATGGTGCACACCGCTGCTCCAAAAAGGAGGCTAGAACCAGCCACCAAAACGGTTGAGATCAGAATTATCCCTAGCCACCAGATCGGTCAAGATCAGAATTGCTTCCCGCTATCGAGTCCATCACGATCAGAAGTACCTCCAGCCACCGAGTCGGTCAAGATCAGAATAACCTCCAGCCACCTCTCCTCCTGGAAATCATTTGAACAATGCTGAATGAACACTCTAACCACTACATTAAAAACGGGAGATTATGGCTGACGTACGACTTAGGAAGAAGACAAGGACGACATATATACAAGGAAGTACCCTCATCAATACTAGAAACGACCTTCAAAAGCCTACTCTCCTACAACTCCAAGTCTTCACACACTTCAAACAGCTATACCCCCTCGAGACCTAGTGATTCAATCACATACTAGATCATCGACTGCACCTCCCTTCGAAGCCACATCCTCAACGCACCAAAGGAGAGACAACAGAAGAAGACAACACACTACCTCTCCTATCATTCAGCCTGCGAAATGGACAGCACTATCGAAAAGACTACGATAGCTGTACCAAAACTGAACTCGAAGGGAGACTGGAACAGGTGGTACCGGACGGCTATAGCCTCAATCCAAAAAAACGGTTACGGCCTCCTACTCCTAAACAGCACACCGACGCCTGTAAGAAGGGAGGGCGAGAACGAAGCTACCTTTGAACTCCGCAACGATAAGCACAGGACAGACCAGATCGCTGCAAAGGCAATCCTCGACCTGACCTTAGGAGAGAACGCCTACCGATTAGTCGAGGAAATGGAGAACGTTAGAGACGCTCTCAAGAGGTTGAGAGAGGTCTTTGAACATCACGACTCTGGCAACTACGTCCAACTGGTTAAGACTTTTGTTAGGACCACGCAAGAATCGTGTGGGGGCAGCGTTGCAGCCTATGGAGCGGAGTTTCAGACAGCATGGCTCAAGCTGCAGGCCTACCAAGGTGCGCCCTCTGAGAGCCTAGCTATGGCGACGTTCATTCAGAACCTGAGTGACCCTCTTCAACAATCATTTACCCTTGGTTTCGAGAGCAGGCACCGGATCGTCGCTCTAGTAGGGATCGACAGAGACACGAGGCCTATAATGAGCCTATCAGAGCTGATCGCAGCAGCTGAGCAGTGGGAAACTACCCTCCAAAGCAACGACTCCCTCTCCTTCTACACCGCAGTGAAAGGCGGACCAAGAGGAGGGAAGAGAAAACCCTGTGAGCACTGCTCGAAACTGCACTCCGGCATATGCTGGACGAAGCACCCTGAAGCAAAGCCAGCGTGGCTCGTCGACAAAGAAAAGGAAACTAAGAGGCAAAGGACGGAAGGGAGCGAAATCACCTTCCAAGGGAACAAGGGGAGCTGACTACATGAAGCCCCTGAAATCACACTTCTAAAACAACAACACAGCCACGCTTTCCAAGCACTAGGACGACAGCAATGTCCATCAACTACAGGACACAACCTATTTGATTGCTGGATCTTCGACACAGGAGCGAGCCAGCACCTTATCGGCAGAAGGGACGTCTTCCAAGACCTGAGACCTATTACAGGGGCCACCTCAAAAGGAATTGGAGGCACTACGATCAGACCTGTAGGCGTCGGCTCAATCAAGCTGCAATGCAACACCTCAAGCGGGACGCCTGTGACTATAGTGCTGAGAGGAGTGCAGTACTGTCCAGAAGCCGGTGTGAACCTTATTAGTGCAAATCAGATCTGGGACGACATCCAGGAGTTCACAAAGACGCCTAATGGAGCGACGATGAACGGCCTCAAGATTAATATTATTAACGGCCTGATGATGCTGGATGTGATCCCAATAACAAACACAGCACTAGCTGCTTACCATGTCGACCCAAAGATGTGGTTGTGGCACCAAAGGATGGGGCACCTAGGACAAGACAACCTGCACAAGCTCCAAAAGATGGCAACGGGCATACAGCCACAGCAAGGGTGCCTGTGCGAGCCCTGCGTGCAGGGAAGGTTACAAGAGGTCCCGCACAATCGCACGCTGCGGAAAGGAGAATGGCCCCTAGATCTTCTCCACTCTGACGTCAAGGGACCGCTCAAAGCCGCAGGATGGGATGGATCGAAATACTGGCTTACCATCCTCGACGACTACACGCAATGGATTGAAGTGTATCCCCTAGCGAGCAAAGCCGACGTCCCTGCAGCAATTACAACGCACCTGCAACGGTATATGACGACGGAGAGAAGATGTAGGGTTCTTCACACGGACAAAGGAGGGGAGTACACCTCTACCTACCTTCAAACCTGGCTTGCAAACCGAGCGATTGAGCACGAGTTCACCGGTACAAATCAACACCAGGCAAACGGCGTAGCGGAGGTCCTTAACAAGCACCTCTCTGACCGACTCCGCCCAACGATGATCGATGGAAATATCGATGACAAGTGGTGGCCGGAAGTGCTACAAGCGATAGCGTACCTAAAGAACAGAAGCCCATCTACACGCATCGAGAAGACGCCCTACGAAGCATGGTTTGGTGAGAAACCAGACTTGAAACATGTCAGGGTTCTTGGGTCAAAGGGTTTCCTATACATACCAAAGGGCAGCAGAACAGAGACGTTCAGCCACACTCAAACCGTGAAGCTGCTCGGTTTCAGAAGGGACACGTACTACAGAGTCGTAGGCCACGCTGGAATCCCCTTCTGGGCAAACAATGTTGTGTTTCAAGAGCCTACAACCCACCATGTGCACGACGCAATACCTCCGCAATTACTTGCTAAAAACTCGTTATCGGAACAGCCAGTCCAAGAAAAAGACCAGGAGAACAACAACGATCACCAAAACCAAGCCTTAAGAATTCTGGCTAGACTAAGGTTGAGGGGAGAAGGTGAACCAACCTCAGCCCAGCCCCTGAATTCAGAGGTAACCAAAATTTTGAGACGACCTGAAGTAGCGGTCATTGAGTGTGAAGAAGGCACCCATACCGACGTAGCAGATGAAGAAACTGCACCGGATGGCGGCAGCCCTACTGAGGAAGCGGTGGACGCTCCAGAAGGGGATGTGATACAGGTTAGGAGACGGACCCTAATGCCCCAAGCACAGCCACAGCCTACACTCGAAAGAACTGCACCAGGAACAAATAAAGAACGATCTTCAGAAACCGCCGGACTCGGAGAAAGACCTCCGGTGGATGGTAACACGAGACTCCAAGGGACTAGAAGGTTTACAAGGATGGGACGAGGAGAAAACCCTCGCTTTGACGCCCAGCAGTGGCACCTGGCGGCCCTCACGTCCGTTACAACAGCAGCTGCAGAGCCCTACGAACCGTAGTCATACGAGGAAGCTACAGCGGACCTCATGTAGCCAGAATGGGAAGCGGCAATGAAAGATGAGTTAAAGTCCCTCAACGATAATCAGACCTGGACGTTAGTCAATCGGACCCAGCCCTCCAAAAAGGGAAGGAGGATCCTTCCTGGGCGATGGGTATTCAAACTCAAAAGGGGCCCTGACAACTCCGTCCTCAAATACAAAGCAAGATGGGTAGTAAGGGGAGACTATCAACAGGAAGGCTTAGACTTTACGGAGACCTTTGCTTCTGTAGTCAAGCCAATGAGCTACAAGGCCCTCTTCGCCATCGCCGCAGCAGAGGACCTAGAGATTGAACAGATGGATGTCAAGACAGCTTTCCTCTACGGAAACATCGAGGAACAGGTCTGGGTCGAACAACCTACGGGGTTCGGTGATGTACAGCAGGTCTGTCATCTTAACAAAGCCCTATACGGTTTGAAGCAGTCACCCAGGATCTGGTACAACACTTTAGCAACATGCCTGAAGGAAATGGGCTTCAACCCCCTAACTACAGACTACAGCGTGTTCTCAAGACAAGGGGAGTACATTGCTGTCTACGTCGACGATCTCCTAATCCTTGGACCACGAAAGGAGAGCATCACTCAGATCAAACAAGCTCTTAACGCTCGATTCCAAATGACGGACCTCGGCCCCTGTAGCTACTACCTTGGAATGACTATCGAGAGGGATCGGCCACAGAGGAGACTCTACCTTGGACAAAAGGGATACATCACAAAATTCGTCGAAGCTTTTGGAGTTTGCAACGACAGACCTACAGCAGTGCCCCTTTCCTCAAAGGACTCTACACCACCACGAATTCCAGAAGGATACAAGGCCCCTACAGACCTCCTCAACAAATACCAATCAGCTGTCGGGTCCTTAATGTATGCCATGCTTGGCACACGTCCAGATATTGCTTTCGCTGTGTCCCTTGTAAGCAGGTTTGGATCCAATCCCCTGCTAGAGCATTGGAAAATTGTAGAGGGCATCTTGAGATACCTGAGGAGCACTATCGACCTGAAGCTTGTGTTTGAAGGGGCCCTGCAGCCGATAGCTGGGTACACAGACTCAGACTACGCGGGAGACCCAAACACTAGAAGATCCACCTCAGGCTTCGTATTCAACGTAGGAAGCGGAGCTATATCATGGCAATCCAAGAGGCAAGCAGTGGTAGCCCTCTCCTCCTGCGAAGCGGAATACATTGGACAGAGCCAGGCCACGAAGGAGTCGATCTGGCTGAGAACCCTCTTCTCAGAACTACAACACCAGCAGGTGCAAGCAACTATTATCCACTGCGACAACCAAGGGGCTATGGCGCTTGCAAGGAACCCTGAACACCACAATCGCTCCAAACACATCGATGTAGCACACCACTTCCAAAGAGAGAAGGTGGCAGATGGGACGGTGGAAATGAAGTACACACCTACAGAAGAACAGGTAGCAGATGGCCTTACTAAAGCCCTGTGCAAGGACAAGTTCAGAGCGTTCAGGAAGGCACTTGGAGTGAAATAAAGAAAGGAAGAAGAGAAGAAAAGACTACTGCAGGGGGTCAGGGGAGCTAGGGGAGCTAGGGGAGTTAGAGGTAGAGTCCAGCTTACCACCAAAGGGGAGTGTGAATTGTTGGTGGTTGGATGGACTCTAGGGGCTCCATGAGGTGAGATATATATAGACCTATGCCTCCCCCTAAGTAGTCAAAAAAAAAACAACGGGACAATTCTTCACCTTCACATTTAACAGTTCAAGCATTCGCTTAAGTATCCGGTAACCCTCATCTCATAGGCTACCATTGAGCTCCGCCCACGTCGTTGTCCCGCGGGCACTCGAAGCGCTGTCCCGTATACGGCGTGATCTGCCGACCGGACCTGACCCGTTGGTCCTTCCTCCGTCGTGGAAGGGTCAGTACCGCTGCAAGGGCTGGGAGCAGCTTTCGGTGCGTTGCGATCCAGCGACAAATTACCAAAACTGCTTCATCCTCTTCCGCGAGCATCAATTTGAGCCCTGCCTCGCAATGCTTGATCATGCATTCATGCCAATCCCGCTCGGCCCTGGTACGTTCCAACAGAGCCTTGGTGCGTTCAAGTTCCCGCTGGACAAGTCCCAGCTGGGTTCCAAGTTCGTGCTGAACATCGTACTTTGTCTCGTACCGTTTCCCCTCCACCGGCGGCAACGGTCGGCAGAGACTCTTCGTCCGTCCATCGGAGGGTTGCAACCCGTGAGTAATCACACGCAATGTTGGCCTGTCGGCGGCGCGCTGCGGAGAGCACAGGGTTAATGCCATGCATTTCAGTGTACAAGTACAGGAGCACGTACCTTTTGCTTGGGTCTAGCACCGCCGACCCGGTGCACGGTCATCATAGTGACTGGACTCCACCATTTCTCGTGCTGAGATTCTGGCGCTGGCGGGATGCATTTTGTATCAACCGGCGAAGGTGGAACAGTGAACACCTGTCCTGGCTCACGGGCAGCGACTTGTGATGCTGGTCTTACAAGAGCACGCTGCAGCGGATTTAGTGCTGTACACTTTGGTTTGAGGGCAAGGATGATTTACCTGTATTCCATGTCGGGAACGGATATCTTGCACTATCATAGCGGATGGATCCCACTGGGACGTCTCGTATGCACGAATTGGATTCATTACGACCCCGGTAATAGTCATAGTGGTGATGACGAGAAGATCTGATAGTGATCGGAGCGATGCTGGTGATAGTACTTGGAGCGAAGATGATGAAGCAGTTGATGAGGAGAAGATATAGCAAGTAATGAGAAGATGATTGTCGGATTTGAGCAGCTTAGACGAGGCATTATGAACGTATTTATCTCTGCGCATCGCATGAGGCACAGCCTTCAGCGTGAGCTTAGAGATCGCGATACCACCTTCGTTCACACGCCATGAATGAGATGTCTAATAATATAGCAACACGGGAGTCGCGAAGGTGCATCGCAACAACCATGAATGAGGTATCGTTCGCCAGGGGGATGTTAAAAAATGGCGCGGTGGATAAGCGCTGATCAGCAAGCTAACGTGAGCCTTAGATGGTCGTCTGGGAAGGGCCTCCGAGGAGGTCGGAGAATGCAACCTCCGGGTTGGTGTAGATGCTTGATCCGCGACGCACGGCTGCGAGATTTCCCCCTGCGGTCGCACGATTGTAGCCGACCGGGGTCAATTTTTCGATCTAAGGAAGCTTATTGTGTCTTGTAACGCGGCACAGAACTCTCGGGCGTCTCTGGTCGCCGCCCTGGCCTTCAAACAGGGCTCCCTGCGAGGCTTGGGGAAAAAGAATGAACCGCTTTGCTGCAAAACCTGGCTTTGTGACTACACATTTGTTTGAAATCGCCTACGGCTTGAGTTATTCATTTTCGCCGCATCCTTTACAGCCGACAAATCTATTTCTACATTGAAGGTGGGTTGCTCCATGACCTTATTCGCGTGCCCTGAATCGCCCCGATCCCAGACCGAACTCCCCAAGGGATGCTCTCTGACCTCGGCCTATACATTCACCACAAGCTATAATCTATTTTTGACCTCGGTGTCGTCACGTCATCAGAAAACGTAGTCATCGCTACTGAGAATGTCGTTAACGGAGCATTGCGGATCTCTGAGCTTTGGTGTGTCACATCTGCTGCGGACAAGCGGGACCTGCATGAACGTGATCCCTCCACGCATGCAAACGAAGGATCAGGCGCTTATAAACTTCCGTCTTTGGCAAGGATCGGTCTTTCGGCGCCGCCAAGGTCATGAAATATCCAACCTTACCTGATCGCAACCGCCATTGGGATGTTCCAACATCTACATTCGCGCGCCGAATCGTACCTCTATTCATGTGTCAATCAAGTGGGGAAATCGAGTTCATCCTTAACACCATCCTACTCGAAACCAACTTGTGGCGATTGTCGTCGCAGTTTGAGTTTGGTTTCGAAACGGGCGAGTGCGATACGAACTGTGCTTCGGTGAAAGCCTCGCCGGCCATGAGTCGGAAGGGTACGATTGATCATCAGAAGTAAATATCCTCTCTTGACGAGACGGCACTGAAGCTCTCAAAGCTGGAGATAAAAGCAGCTGTTCCCGCCCCGAGATCCCATCATCACTCCAAACCTTACCCAAACTTGTCTTCATAACTTTTGGCGCACAAAATCCACAGAATGCTCCCTCAAAATCCTCAGACCCCGCCGTCGCAGACCGCGAATTTTTTCGATGACCTCTTCGACTTCCCCAACAGCGATTCCTTGTTTGTGAGCCCAGCACCCGCGCGGACCTGCGAGCCGTTGTTTGAAGATGTGGACTTCGACTTCACGAGCATTGACAACACTGCTGCGCACAGCCAGCCCCTAAACGTGGCCCAAATGCCAAGCATAGGGCAGGTGGTCACGGATCCTTCCGCAGCAAAAACATTCACGATGGAACAAACATTCCGCAAATCTTGGGAGATTTTCGTGAAGACGCTCGAACAGGTATGTTTCGCTTTGACATTCGAGTAAGGCCAGCATGCTGATGGTGTACACACAGAACGTCCCCGGCAAAAGTGCCAGGGAGATCGTCGCGGAGTATGTGAATGGGGGTGAAGGCTATGGAATGAACGCCGCTTAATTCTACCCTTCGTTTTTGCGCAGACATTTACATCATAGATTCGAGTTACGACAACTGCAAAACCAATTCCAAAACCTCTTGATTTCTGCGAAGGCCACCGTGACATTGTGATCATCCATTAACATTGCCCCACCCATGACAGCGTGCGATCGTGCGAGACGAACACTGTTCAATACCAAAAGCATGTGATCGGTCCTCATTGTCTTCCACCAGAAATGAGTAGGGAAGCGTAGAGAAGACTCCCCGTTCTTTGCGTTCTCGGCACATAGATCGAGACAGAACTTCATCGAAGCCGCGAGCTGTGCCCTCCGTCCCCTATCTCCTGTGGTCCGTAGCTCTAAGCACGGAATCCGATGCGTTGAGGAGGGAGGGAACGCTGCGCCAAGAAGGGCTGTCCATCAATGCCCTTCTTGGCCCAGAGCGATATATTTGGAATCAGGCAAATTCAGATTGAGGTGGAATGCCAGGATGCGCTGGTGGAGGGTCAGTATTTGGAATCGCCCTCTGTAGGGCACCTCTGACGAGTGTTGAGGCGTGCATTTGACGCCCTTCCAAAACCGACCAGAAAGACAGGTAGCCACAGTCGCTCAGCCGCCTTTTTCACACCATCATCACCAGCCGCTTATGCTCTGCACAACTGACGGCACGGAGCGAGCTGAAATGGTAGGGTCTGTCATCCGTACAACATTCACCTCTTTTCGTATGCGCGCAGGTAGGCTCTGTTGACCATCTCAATGGTGCTGTGATTCGAATGGCTCCCTTGGTAGTGTTGTTGTGATAGCTCCTCTGTCGCTGCAACGTCTTTCCTTGACCGTGGGCTCGCCCTTCGCAAGCGTTTGACCCAGTCTGGTCACGTTACGCGGACGAGAATGAGATGATGCAGATCGCACAACCGGCAACAAACAGCAAGTCATGGACGATCTAGTTGATGAACATGGTTACTCGAAGAAAATGGGCTTGCCGCTTCCTGATACCATTCTAGAGCATTATTATTCCGTCCCAGAGCGCTGAGGAGCTTGCCTTTGGTTTTGGTTATGCGTGCGGTCCGCATGCCTGATTTGTGCTTCCTGACCATCCGCTTGTTCTGTCTCAGCAGCCTAGTGCCTTCCAAATCCTTCGACGGACTTGTGTTGTCATCCGGATCGCTGACAGTTTCAGCCTCTTTGAAAAAGGGAGCATGAGTCTGATAAGCTGCCTTCGACGGAAGTCCTAGGCGATCATAGAAATGTCGTGTTCGACGCGTCGTGAATGTATGTGTATCGCGACGACCGCGGTCTGTATCGCCCTATCGCTGCGGACAAATTTCCCTGGAAGCTGGGGACGGTGATGTTACCTGATAGAGTTCAGTGATATATGATGAGCATACAACATATCACCCATCCGCCTTCGCGCCAAGGAAATTCTTCACCCTCGTGCATCGGCCGAAGAAAGCTGGCGATCTGCGTCACAACAGGATGCTCGAGCTATTTGAGATCGGGCTTATAGGTGCAGTAGGGCAGTATTTTATTCCCTCAATATTTTTTCGGCGAGAGTAATAACATCACTGCAGGTAGGGGTGTAAAAGTCCTCAATCACACGAGTCTCCTTGGTCTCTCGTTAGATCTCGTAATCTTCTTCACAGTACACGGATTCACGGAATCGCATGTCAACTTATCATAGGGTTTGGGTTATACTCTAGATCTGCGCCCATCTTGTGTGTACGTACATATAACGTAATCTATCACCGAGCGGGCCAAATCACCGAACGGGCCATTTTGTCTTGGCATTGTAAACAACATCTTTCCTGTTTATTGTATCAACAACGAGACATGTCATCAGATAATCAAGAAGGTAGAATCGATCTTGCTATCAATGCGTATAGATCTGGTCATGTTCGGAGTCAACGGAGCGCAGCTGCTGCTTTCAATATCAATCATCAGATACTCTCTAAGAGACTCAGAGGAACCAGATCTCGCGAGACTATGGCACCAAACTGTCAGAATCTGACGTCAACAGAAGAAGAGACGCTTGAGCAATATATCCTTGACCTTGATTCGCGAGGATTTGCACCTGTACTCTCTGAGGTAGCAGATATGGCTAATAAACTTCTAGCTGTACGAGGGAAAGGGCCAGTCGGTAAATGCTGGCCTAACAGATTCGTCACGCGTTCGGAGAAGCTG